TTGCTGATAAAGATTAATTTTTGATTAGATATAATTCTATTTGAGGGTTCGAAGATCAATTTAATCTGTTTATAGAATAGTTTGATAAGATCTGGGGCAGTTATTATAGACAGAACAGCAAAGAAAAGACAGTATTTTAAGAATTAATTAATAATAACTAGAATAATATCAATAGTCTTTCTATATTAGATAATAAAGAGCAGCTCTGTAATAAAATCTATTGCTAATTTGATAAAAAAATATAATAAAATTGGTAATAATTTAAGACTGCTATATAATTAATGCTTTGGAGCAGTAGTTTCTTGATATATTAAATAAGTTCAGATATATTTGACTATATTATACTGTAATCTGTTTTAGTGAAACTTTCTGTATAGCAGTACTTTTATTTAAATCTTTTTAAAGTATTCTGCTAACAGATTGTTATAGTATAGTTTAATAAGTGTCTAATATAGTATCTCAGAAGAGGGAATATAGTATTGATTTTTGAAATAGATATAACTAGTTGTTTTAATAGTTTAATACTTTTAATCTAATTGCTTTTATTAAATAATAGTTTTTTATTATTATGTCTCTGAATTATTATTCTGTAAATATAAGATTATCTTTTAAAGTTTGGAATTATATATATTTGAGTACGAAACTTCCGCGGTATATACTTATAATACTGTAGATTGGGAAATAAATCTTTCTTAAGATAAGTTCTTTCAAGCAGCCTAGTCAGCTGTCTCTATATTAACTTGATTATTGAGATTTTTTGAGCTTAATATAATATAGATATCAAATTCAGGGTAATCCTGTGTATCTTGAGATTTAAACTAGATTTTTTTTTTAATAAGATCTCTTATTGTCAGAGATAATACGCCTATAAATCGCGCTTGAATTAGGGTTAATAGTTTCTTTTAAGAAGTAGATTTTATTTAAGATTCAGAAGATATTCTAGAGAGTTTATTTATTAAATTTAATTTCTCTGTTTTATATTTAATAATAAAATTATAGAAAATTAGATTTATAAGCTATTAAGCTTGTCTTCTGTTAATCCAGATTTGATATATAAAAGATTATAAGTTTGAATAGTCTGATAGGATCTTAATTATTTGAGGAGTGTCTTCTAAATATTATTACTATTATTTAAAAGAGTAAATAATAGTAAATAGCTCTTGATCTGGAGTATTATAGTTTAGCTTGATATTAAAGAACTTATAGGATTAGAATGTAACTGGATAGAATATATTCTTAATATTAGATTAGGATAGAATATTATTTATTTTTTTTTTGATATATTAGTTTCTAAACAGCGGGGTTTTGTAGGATTAAAATATATTAGTAAAGATACTTATTAAAAGACAGTAATAAGGCGGCGGAAAGTAATCTATTTAATTAAGATTAAATAAATCTTTTTTAGCTTCTGTCTGTTAGTTGTTTTATGAAGTAAAGAAGTAAGAGGCAAGATAATATAAAAGTAGTCTTAAATAAATTATTAATAAAAGTTGCAGAATCTAAGAAAGATCTGGATATTATAATAACTTTTAAAAATTAATTATAAAATAATATTATTTATCTGTCGAGGATCTATAGATACTCTGTCAGAGTTAATAATATATTCTAGAAATTTAACTTGGGATTGATAAAATAAATATTTTAATAATTTTATATAGAGCTGAGCTTCTTGAAGTCTTTTTAAAACTTAATAAATATACTTTGTATAAGATTTCTTATCTGATAAAAAGATAAGGATATTATTTAGATATACTATATAAAAGTTATCGAGAAGTTCTCGAAGTATAGTATATATATAATTTTAAAAAGTTGCTGAAATATTAGTTAATTTAAATAGTATAATTGTATATTTAAAGTGGCTGTATTAGATATAAAATACTGTCTTTTATTTATTATCTTTTTTAATATAGATTTGGTAGTATGTATTCTTGATATTAATTTTTAAAAAATAGATACTTTCTGAAATTCTGTCAAGAATCTTTAAAATAAGAGATAAAAAATAGTAATTCTTGATAGAAATCTTATTAAGATCTTTGTAGTCTATATAAAAATATAAGCTATTATTTTTCTTAAATATAAAGAGAATAAAGACTTCAGCAGGGCTCTTTGAAGATTAAATTTAATTTAGTTTTAGATTTTCTTTAATATATTCTTATAGAATCTTGAGTTCGGCTTCGGATAAGAGATATATTAGATTATAAGAAGATATTTTATTAGATTTAATATTAATAATATGATCTGCAGGGCCATGAGGAGATAGCTGTTAAGAGGAATTTATAGAGAATATATCTTAAAACTTTTTGAGTTTAATAAAAATTATCTTAGAATTTAATAATAAATCGCGAGATTTTTTTTCTGATAGTCAGATATTTTTGGGGAGCTTAATAATAGTATATATTTTTACTAAGTTTTGAGTTGCTTTAGTAAATTGAGTAACAGAAAGCAGTGAAATAGATAATATATTAAATTATTACTGGTGGTTCTATACTGATAAGATAATATATAGATTATAAAGTATAGTTATTAAAAGTAGTACAGAGCTATCTTTTAGTTAGAGATTCTGATTAATCTCTATATAATATTATTTAAAAATATAGGTGTCTTCTCGCAAATCAATAGCAATAATAGGGACTTTCTATATATTATAGATAGAAGTAATAATTTAATTAATAGCTTTAATCTTTGGCGCAGTAATTAAAGTATATTAGAGATTATAAACTTTGATAAACTAATAATTAATAATATCTACTTCGGCGCAGCTATCTAGGTCTGTAAAGATTTTAAGACTGTTTTAAATATAGATAGAAATATGAAAATAATATATAGTCTCTACTATAGATAAAGAAGTTAAAATTATAGAATCTATTCTAATTTCTCTACTTTTTTCTTTGAATTTAATAAGGATTAATAGATTCTAGTGGATTAGATTCTTTTATTTTTAATAGAGTATTAGTTTGCAAGATATTGAATACTTTTATATATAAAGTATTATAATTAATTATTATTTTTTTTAATAGGGTTTTCCCTGTGATTCAGGATATCTTTCTTAATAATTTTACTAGTGATTTCTTAGAAGCGCTTGCGTGACTTATAATCACTGAATTAATTATTATTTTGCTTGTGTTTTTCTTTATTTTTTTATAGTTTATAATAGTGAGTAATAATAGTTATTATTTTGTCCTGCTTCTCTGGTAGATAGGGAATATACTTTTAAATATAATAATTTAGATTTGATAGTAGCTTAGTAAAATAGGATAAGATTTTTTTTTTTTCTGCTTGGCGAGAAAAGTATTGCTTTAAAATATTAAGATAAGTATAAAACTCTCGCGGATTTTGGCTATATTACTGATAAGCCTGTTTAAGTTAGGCTATAATATTTAATTAAAAAATAACAGTATTCTGAATCAGTGTAAGAGTTTAATCTTTAAATTAAGATTATAATTTCTTAAGGAATTATCTCTCTTCCGGACTTTTATTATTTATAAAATAATATTATCTCTATTTATATACTGGGTTTATATAGCTAATAGTAGTAAGAATCTTATATTTCTCTAATAAATATTTTTTAAATATATCTCTAAATATATATTTTAAATTAATAATTTATTCTTAATATTTTTAGAGATTGAAGTTCAGAGTAAAGTAAGAAATATTTTTAAATTTAATCTCTTTCTTATTCTTTTCTAATTCAGGGGAGGATTAATAATATCTTGAGAAGATTTTGCTTGAGAAGCTATTTCTTTAGAAATAAGCTATTTTTTGCTGTAAGTTGATAGCTTATTTTAATTAATAAATATAATCTTCTAGCTGTTAAATCTCTTTAATAATAAAAATAATATTCGGCGAGGATTCTGGATTGATTTAATCGCTAAGTATTTCTATTTCTTTACTATTTTTAATAAATAGTATCTTTCTTAGATAGTCAAAAAAAGAAGAATTAGAATATAATAGAATCTACTTATCAGAATAGAAAGTCTATTAACTAGATAAGAAATTAATTATAAAATATTATATATTTATTTAATAATAATAAAGATAGTCTATATTCATAAAATAGACTAATCCTTGAAGAATCAGTAGCTTCTTATAAAAAGATTAATATCTTATAAATATCAGAGAGATATAGAATCACTATTAATAATCTTATAACTCTTACAACCACTATAACACATCATCCCGATGACACAACTCTCACAACCACTATAATACATCATCCCGATGACCTTTATCCCAATAGCTGGTTTATTCTATCACAATATCCTTATTATTATAACTATTTATATCTGCTGATTAGAAACTTAGAAAGATTAGATATAATAAATAGATTAATAATTATAGATTAATTCATAATATATATATTCTTTACTCTAAAATACAGAAATAGAATACTAGTAAAATTTGAATATAATACTTCTTAAATTTATTATATTAATAGTAGACTGCTTGAGTACTTGAGTGCTTGAGTGCTTAATCTCTTCTAGCTAGTTGCCACCTGGCAGATTCTTTAAGGGGCTGCCGGCTGCCAGTATGTCGCTTACTCAGCCGGTCATGGAACAACTATGTTCCACCCGTGGTAACCAATTGCATCATATCACTATCGATCGCGTCATGCGGAGTCTTGCTCTGAGTCTTCTTCGAGAGATCAAATTACTGCGACTTTGCTGCCTACTGTATCTTGTTTTTGGAATTGGAAATTGGATAGACACTAAGAAAGAGTTGGGAGGGTCTATGATACAACCGAGGAAAAAAAAAAAAAAAAAAACCAACTAACTAACAACCATGGTATATACATGCCCGTCGATGCTGCCAAACGCCGTCTCGCTAAATGCAATCAATTTCAATCCATATCCTCTGAAGTTGCCCTTGCTGCAGAGTCAACAGGCAGGGGATCCAGCCCCGATGAAGTATAAAACCGAAGATTGCAACCACGTTGCGAATACGAATCAAAAACAAGCCAAGCCAAGCCCACTCTGAGGGTGAGTGGTCGATCGTGAGACAGTTTACTGGGACAAAGCAGGGCCCACCAGGTCCACGATCTTGCTGGCCACAGCAGAGGGATATCCTCGCGAGAGCATCTCCTGCACCGTGCGCGATGCCCCCTCGCGGTCGTCCACCGCCAGGAAGGCTCGCGTCATCGCCTCGTACGTGCTGGGCTCGCGCTTCTCGATGCCGACGCTGTCGTAAATGCTCTTCGCTTGTACCACATTGCCCTCCGTCGCCCACCCGTGGATGAGCGTGTTGGCAATGTACGCCGTCATCTCGACGCCGCGACGCGCCATGTCCCGCGCGATCTCCTCTGTCTGCGACACCTGGTGATTCGCCACCATCGCCTCGAGGAGCGCCTGGTACAGGCACGGCTGCATGCGCACCTTGCTGGCGACGACCGACTTGAACACCGTGTGTGCGGCCTTCATGTCGTGCATCACGCAGCCCTTGGCGTGGATGAGCGACGCGTAGTGCACCGCTTCCGGGCGCTGGCCGGCCGCCTTGATCGTCTCGAGCACCTTCTCGGCTGCCGGCATATCCACCGGCTCCAGGGAGGCGTGTGCGTCGATCAGCAGCTTGTACGTGTGCATCGTCGGCTGGATCTTGCGCGTCAGCATGCGCTCGTAGTACGCCAGCACCTTGCTGCGGTCACGCTTGGTATTGAGGAAGTACTGGATCATCGAGTTGTACGGGGCGGGCCGGGGCTTGTAGTTGGGCATCGACTCCATCTCTTCGAACATCTCCTCGGCGAACCGCTCGTCGCTGACCCGGCAGAGCGCGTTGACGACCGTGCCGTAGGTGACGCTGGTCGGGCGCACCCCGTTGGCACGCATCTCCGCGAAGTAGAGCAGGCAGTCGTCGATGCGACGCGCCTTGCCGAGCTTGCCGATGAGCGCGTTGTACAGGAAGGAGGTCGGTTCGACGCCCTCTGCCACGGCGCGGTGGAAGATCTTTAGCGCCTCGGTGGCTTCATCGAACGTCTTGGTCGATTCCTTGAGCGTCGTGATGTAGAGACCAAACGTGTTGGCGGAGGGAGCCGAGCCCAGCTCCAGCAGCTCCTGGTGGAACTTGGAGGCCTGGCTACGGTCGCCCAGGGTCAGGCACGAGGCCACCATGGCGTCCAGGATCGAGACCCAGCCGTACTTGACAGCGCTGTACTGGGGAAGCAGGGGCACGTCGCGGCGCGCCATGCTGAGGATCTCGTAAACCAGGTCGATCCGGTTGCACTTGGTGGCGGCGTTGATCATCTTGGCGTATGTGATGTAGCGGGGGTGACGGGCGTTGCGGCGCATGTTGCGGACTCGCGCGAGGGCGTCGTTTAGATGAGCCTCCGGCTTACCGCCGGTGCTCTCCAGCTCCTCGGCGATCATCGACGAGCCACGGAAGTCGGTGGCGTAGGCGTACGGGTCGAACGACTCTTCGCTGGAGACGGGGGTCAGCGTCGACATGTCCGAGCCGGGGGAGTGGCGGCCGCTCATGAAAGATGACGGCGGGCTGGAGGTGAGGGCCAGGTGGTCGTGCCATCTCTTCACCATGTCGGGTCGGCTGTTGAACAGCTTGCCGACCGCCTGGTCGACCAGGCCGGTGGTGACAGCATCCATGGGCAGGCCGGTGGCGAGAGCGATGTCAAGCATGTGGGCGAAGCGGATGGGGTGAGCGACGTCGAACATGGCCGTGTGGTTGACTAGCATGCCGGCCTGGACCTGCAGGGCAAGCATGAGGTCGCGGGCGTTGAGCTGGGAGATACCCACCGGGCCCAGGCTGGCGACGACGTGCTCGGCGACCGGCGAGATCAGGCCCCCGTTGTCGACCATGGACCACAGGAGAGACATGGCAGCTTGGGGAGAGAGGACGGCTGCAGTCTGGATAAGAACACGGCCGAGGAGGTGAAGGCTTTCGTTGATCTGTTCGCGGATAGGATTAAGAGTGGTGGTGTGAGTCGAGGAGGCAGCAGAAGCAGAAGTAGAAGCGTTGCGGATGCGGGCAAACATATTGCGGGCTTGGACCAGGGCCTCCTCGATCTGCCCACTCTTCAGCAGAGCGACGGCATACATGGCAGTCGGCTGGACCATGTCCGGCGTTGCCTGACCGGCCGTGCTGAGAGAGAGCCACAGCGATCGGGCAGCTGACACATTGCCCTGACGTACGTGCAGAGCCAGCAGGGACACGGCGGGCCCCTGTCGGACGGTCGCATCGGTGGGGAGAGCATCGTATGCTTCGGAAGCTGCCTGTGGATTACCCTTATCCGCCGCGGCAATGCAGATCTGAGACATGGCATGATCCAGCGCCCCATCGTGCAACCGGGTCTTGGCCTGTTCCAGAGCCCGTTCGTGCTCACCCGAGGCGAGGGCATGACGCACTAGGCCCTCCTGCACGATCACCGACTCCAGAGCCGTCTGGCGTGCCTCCCTGTTTTCCGTCACTTCTTCAAACGACGCGCTGATCCGCTCCAGGAATCGCAGGGCCTGCTCCTCCTTACCGCACGCCAGGTACGCCCGCACCAGCGCCGCATACACCGCGCCGTCCAGCCGCTGCACGATGCAGAACGTGCCGTTGTCGTCCGACACCGCGAGGCTCTTGTACTCATTGTAGCACTCCACCGCACTCTGCAGATCGCCGGTCGAGGCAAACGCATCGATCATGGCAGGGAAAATCGCCGCGTGGGGGGTCACCTTGTGCGACTCCATGTGCGCGTAGACGCGGATCATCTCCTCGACCTTGCCCTCCGTCGCGCAGGCGGTGATCAGATAGCGGTACGTGTCCAGCGAGAAGACCAGCTCCGTATGGCGGGCCGTGGCGGTGCCGAACAGCTTGAGCGCAATGCCCAGCGAGTGGTCCTCGGCAAGCATGGCCCGCTCCAGCTCGCTGGAGTGCAGCATGAACTTGCCGGGCTCCTCCATACCCCCGTAGCGGACCCGCTCCTGTTCGAGCAGCTCCTTGGACTTGATGGTATCATGGGCCCGGACGACAAACAGCTGCACCAGGGTCTGGTACGTCTGCTGGTCAGGGATAACCCGGCGCCGGAGCATGTCCGAGTAGACATCCAGGGCCTTTTGGATGGCCTGCGCGGTGTCGCCGTGCAGCTGGATGGCCGACTCCAGCAGGGCATTGTACGCGCCGACCGTGGGCGTCAGGCCATCGCGGAGGAGGGCCGCAAACGCCCTGGGGATCTCGGTGTACTTTTGGCTGGCGGCGAGCTCCGTGATGTGCTCTGAGGCCAGGCGGGATTGCTCGGTGGCCGCGTCGGCGACGGCGGCGACGTCGGGCGGCAGCTCGGGGAAAGCCTCCGTTTCGGTGTCCTCCTTGGCCTCGGATGCCTCCTCGGCCTGGGCCTGCTCTTCCTGGATCTGGATCTCGCGGGCCACGGCCTCCTCGACCTTGGCACTGACATCGGCGTTGGCGGAGGCCTTGGTTATATGGGGGGCGTTCTGGAAGTTGTTGTTCTCGTCTCTGTCCTTGGCATCGGTGCCGTCCTCATGCGAGGGCTTCCAGCCGATCTTTCCCTTGACCTGTAACTGTTTCCAGTCGCTGTCATCACCAGTCTGCTGGGCGTGCTGCCAGGCGGCGTAATAGGCGGCTAGGCCAAGATCGCCGTTGCCGGAGGCGCCCTGGCTGGCCTTGGCGCCGGCGCCGGACGAGCTGGAAGGCTGGAAGACATTCTGGAGGGCGGTGCGCGAGAGCTTGGCTGGCTGGTTGGCGATGGAATTGAGAGTGGTGGAGGAGGCGTAGGAGGACTGGGAGGCGGCGACTACGGACTGAGCATAGCCATGGGTGAAAGCCTTCGTGAAACTCTGACGCGCGAGGTGGGTAAACGGCTTGAACACCATTTATCTAGCGGGAGACCTCTTCAGAGGGAAGAGGCAATGCTGGGGAAGGGTCAGCCAGGGAATTAGTACAGGGGATTTGTGGGCGTGTTTGGTGGATACTGGAGATGTATACCTTGCAATTAAAATAGTACTGAAGATACAGGTTCATTTGACGACAAGGGGTCGCCAAAGGAACGCGCGGGGAGGAAGGGGGAAGGGGAGAGAGGATCGGATAGAAAGAGGGACGATGATTTGAGAAGTTGACAATTATGCAGGAAGAAAAAAGTTGGCCGGCAGCGAGGGAATTACAGCGTATTTCAGCGCGGGCGGAAGAAGTGATCTGTATCGCCGACGGGCCTGGATCCGGGTTAGTGCCGATCCCACGCAGGCTTTGCCCAATTGGGCCTGGTCTGCAAGAACAAACCAATGGGGGGCGAGGAAGGGACCTGGGGGATTGAACTCACCACGATGATGTGATAGGTGTACGGAGTACGGTAGATAGATACAGGCAGTCAGAGGATACAGCGGGATCTGCTGAAGGAAAGTCGGGACAGGCCCTGTTTTGTAGCGATCCTGGGTCAATTGAAAAACTCAGACAGTTGGTTCGCCCCAGGGGGAAAAGGAGCGATGACAGGAACCGTGACAAGGAATGCCTGCCTGAGGCGCGCCGGGCGGGTCCCGACCAGATCAGCTGGTCTCGCAAACCTGGCCAATCGGAAGGGGCGACGGTAGAGATTCTTAGGAGAGAAAGGGAAGAATAGGAAGGCCAGGAAGGGCGTGGAAATCCCTAGCGGGTTCCTGTGCCTAGTAGTTCTAGTAGTGACTCACCTCCGTTCCGGCTCTTTTTCTTGCGCCGGAGTTTGGACGCTTGTCTCCGTGCGCCGCCGGATGCCCGGATCCCCGAACCGCCGATGCTCGCTGTGGCGGAGACAGCCGCCATCATCTCCGTGTGTGGCCTCAGGACCTCTCAGGCACCCCATTGGCGGGTTTGATTACGGAAGTACCTACTTACCGTACTCCGTCCTCCGTACTACCAGTAAGCAAGTATATAGCACGGAGCAAAGTCATTTCGGCGTGCCTCGTCCGAGTCGGAGCGGAATTTCTCGGCCTCGACCCCCAGCCCAGGCTGTCCTCCGCGTGTCCGCCGGGCATCCTGACTCCCAAAGTATATACGGCCCGAGATAGACCACTCGGACGATGTCTGCCTGCACAGAGCCCCTGGGAGTCGTTACGATCAGCAGCCATAGAATAGTACGGAGTACGGAGTACGGAGTACGGAGTAGACCGTACGTACCTTGATGACGCTTTTCCTCACTCTCGTGGAGGCGGCGTTGCTCAGGCGTCGGTTGCAGGATAGCCTGGAGCTGGTGCTCCTTTGAGCCCATGATTTCTTAGCAGGAGGATAAGGTCGACTACAGAACATCAATAATGGCGGGTGGATAGAGATTAATATATAAAACTACTGCGGAGTAGCAACAGCCAGTAGATAGTATGACTCTGTAGACCATGTGATTCCTCGCACTATCCATTCGCCAGGGCGAAAGTACATGACTCAGCTCTTACCTCAGCCACCAACCGATGATTGGCGGGGCAGTTTGTGACCGCATTGACCGCCAAAATAATAATGCCGCGGGACAACAGCAATCATTGCTAGTCGAACCTCGTCTGCTCTTTTTCTTCCCCTTGTTGGTTGTCATAGGTGCCAATCCCTCTTGTTTCATCGTTACGATCTTCGATGATTTCCTCGCCACGTCGCGCGCGCTAAACTTTCCGTCTGTCGCGAACCTTATGGGGGAAGTCGCAACCCTTCCACCACCCCAATTGGAAACAGCTGCTTGGGACGACGGTACACCGCGCAAATAACTCAGGATGGCCAATGGGAAGAACAGCGAGCCGGACGCTGGGCTGAAAAGCCTGGATCATTGTATGTGAATGCCTAGTACTTTTCAAAGAGCAAGACCAATCCCAGACTAACGACGACGGTATCCTCAGATCGCAATAAGCTCCCCCCTTGGCGATACTGGCCTCGCCAGAAGCTCCTCCCGCTCATCCGATATGAGACGCCGTATCTGGCCTGGTTCCAGGGAAAGATTCGCACACCAGCCCTGGATTCCTACTTCGCCTTCACAGCCAACCTGGGAACGCATACCTTTTTCATGGTCTTTCTGCCTTTTCTTTTCTGGTGCGGGCATGCGAGCTTAGGACGCGGGTGGGTATTCTCGGATCTGCAGAAGAAAGAATATCTCAATTAGAGACACGGCCATCTGGTCTACAGGAGCACTGACGTCGCTAAACTTTCTAGGATGGTACATCTATTGGCTTCGGGTGTGTTCTTTAGCGGTTTCATCAAGGACTTGCTCTGCCTACCGCGACCCCTATCTCCTCCTCTTCAACGAATCACAATGTCAGGTTCTGCGGCATTGGAATACGGATTTCCTTCCACCCACTCGACGAACGCTGTCTCGGTCGCAGTATACGCTCTCTCGCTACTGAATTCCTCGGAGTCGACACTAAGCCCCCAGGCCAACATCTTCCTCCAGTCCATAACGTATATCTACGTCATCTCCATCGTTCTGGGTCGTTTGTATTGTGGTATGCACGGGTTCTTTGACGTGACCATAGGCAGTCTCCTCGGGGCCTTGCTCGCTTATCTGCAGCATTTGTTCGGGCCTCTAATTGATGAGTATGTCCTTGCCGCCACTGGGAAGGGCGTTACACTGGTGATCCTGGTGATCCTGGCTCTGGTTCGTATACACCCGGAGCCTGTAGACGACTGCCCCTGTTTCGACGATAGCGTGGCCTTTGCCGGAGTGATGGTTGGCGCCCAAGTCGCTTACTGGCACTTGGCAAAGTCTACCATTGAAGACGCCGCTACCTTTGAATTTACAGGTGTTGGGCCAGTGAGAACAGCGCTTAGGCTTGTAATCGGCGTCCTTCTACTCTTTACCTGGAGAGCAATTATGAAGCCCTTTCTCCTCCGGGTCCTGCCGCCTATCTTCAGGGGCCTGGAAAAGCTTGGGCTTATTCTTCCTCGGAGATTTTTCACCAACGCTTCGTAAGTAGACTTCCGCATCACTGAACCGAGAAATTCCGAGAAGGCACCCGGTAGATCAAGCACACCAGCCAGCTGACGTGAGGAGCAAAATAGTCAATACACGACAGTCCCATCCCAGCTCAAGGACCACGAAGTCCTACCGGGATTTTCTGAAATCCCCTCGATCATCACGACCATCCGTCATCCCCGACGGCGCGCAATCTCGGTCGGGCCGCAATCGGAAGCCGACGCGTACGAGACCCTGGCGTATCGTGAGAAGCGTCGACGGGAGAGTCTCTCCACCGGCAACGGCGCCTCTCCGGTACGTGTCACCGACGTTGGCGGCGGCCACTCTGCCTCCATTTCGGAGAGGGAGCACCCCAAACTGTCACGGAAGCAGTCCAAACTGCACGAATACGAGAATATGATGGGAACCGGGGCCTCTAGTATGGCGACATCAGTCGATGTCGGCTCGCAGGAAGCCACGGTGCCCTTTCCCGCGTTCGACCCCGGCATTGGCGACGACGAACAGGACGTGTTTTCGCAAATCAAACAGCCACGCGTTCGGTATGACGTAGAGGTAGTGACAAAGCTTGTAGTATATTCCGGTAAGTAGTGCCCCCTCGCGTCCCGGGAACCCGGCGAAAAGAAAATTGACGGGGTGTCTTTAGGAATTGCCTGGATCGTGATGGAGGGAGCGCCGCTACTCTTCGATCAAATCGGTCTGGCGGCCAAGTAGGAAGGAGTCTCGGTCCGGTCGAGAAACCTTTCTGTAACGTTATCCCGACGGTTCAGCGGGCTGGACTAGGTAGATGAGTCCATGTTCATGTCATAACATAGTATACTAAGTACTAGGTACTTTGGCGTTCTTGTAAACCAAGACTTTAGGGGGCGCGCGAGCGCGCCCCCATCCAACCCTTGATAGAATTGATATACATATTCATACGCCAGTTAGAAGAATTCCATTGTATGAGTACCGTAGAAAAGAAAGAAACCGGCCCCTGTCACTCCGGGATCGATGTAAAGTACCTACTACCTACCGTACCTTACTTACTACCTTAATGATACGCAGTACTCTGTACCTAGGTACTAGTACTCTGTGTTCCGTACAGTAAGTAGTAGTTACGGAGCAGTAATAGGTAGTAGGTAATCTCTCCATCTCCCCATCATCTCAGGCTCGCAAGCTCAGCATAGTCCGAAATTACCCCCGTGTACCTCCGTATTACCCCCCCCCCCCCCAATGTATGTCATGGTTACGGTCAAGGCGGGTCCAATAATTCTGCCACGGCCCTCAAATCGTGATGACCGACAGCTATCTAGACAGGCGTATGCTTTTGCTTTTGAGGTGGTCTCTGTTCGGGTTAGATTACACTGTAGGCTTAATGGAAAGGGAAAGGGAAAGGGAACGAGGGAGAGGGAGATGGGGAAGTTGTGTTGGCTGTTGGAGAGGGAAGATCAAGGAGCTAAAGATAAGTCCTTTGTAGGTAAAGGACTTTAAGCAGGTACTCATACTATCAAAGCGTTTCTGGCGTGGGGGTGGGGAGAAGAGGGTTACTCTTGATAAGATTCCAGGGCAGGGGAGGAGTGGGCTGGTTCTGGGGGGGTAATGGAGGTGGATGATTAGGCAAACTCCCTTGCATTGATGATGGGATAAAAAAAACATTAACTTCGTAGAGTCTATCATCTATCATAACGACGATCCCCCGAACGTATTCCCATTCGGTGAATCCCACCACGGCTCGATATCAGTCAGATTGGGCAGTGCCGAGTCATCGCCATACGAACTTATCTTCCCGAGTTGAGGAAACCCACCATCTCCCGGATCTTCGGAGAGTAGTTGCAGATCTGAATCCCGGATCCAATCTAGATCTCCTGGTTGGCAGGCGCCTAATTGCGCAGTAGGGTCTAGAGACGGTTGCTGACCGGGCCCACGCATGGACTGGGATGAGTTGAACGAAAGGCCCGCGGCTGCGAGAGGGATCGCGGGGGGTAACGATATGGAGACCGCTGCTTTGTTCTTCGGTGCGGTGAAGCGGGATTTCTTTCTCGATGCCTCTGGGTCCTGAGGGCGTTGTTGCGAAGTCGGTCGATGGCTCGATTGACGCTTCAGAGCGGATCCTGAGCGCCGCATGTGCACTTGCCAACGACGTTGCAGGCTGACGAGGAAATCGCGGGTCCGTTTGGCGTTTTCGAATGATTGGCCGATCTCATCCAGGGCACGGAAACACAGGTTCAGGTAGGCAACCATCTCTGCGTTGCTGCTGCTATTGTCTCCACCGGGCCGGGAGTTGGATATGGTAACGTAGAGGAGCATTAAAGCGGCGCTGAAGATGATCGCTACAACCTGGCTGTTCATGCGGCGGAATGTGTAGTGTTTTTCATAGATATGGAGGAGTTTGGTGATAGCAATGGATGACTCAACGCACATCCTTCGTGCGTGGTGGTAGCCGGGTCCCTGTCGGGGACTACGGGGCTGAATGTAGCTCTTTGAGACCCAGGGTCTGTGGGTGAATATGACGATTTGGTGGTATTGCATGCTGTATTTGGGTTAGATTGTAATTTCTACTTATATTATCCAGAATGCGGACATACTGAAGCACCAGAAGATGGGGTAGCGTTGGGACAGTATCGTTTGCAAGATCTATATCCAGGTTGGATGGTAGATTGGCTTTCCAGGCGAACAGGTCGTCTGTTACTCTATGACAAAGCCGCTGCAGGTCATGGCGTGGAATATCGGAGCAGCCATATCTATGCACTTTATCAGTATTCCACAGGAGGTCTAAAAGAGGAAAGCTTACAAAATATGGCCCGCAGGTGAGATGATTTCCCAGAGGACGGCAAACTGCCGACTGATCAACTTATTTGGATTTTTTAATCCATTCTCCAATACGCCCGGGTTAATTAGTAGCCCGTACGGATACCACATGCCTTCTTTCTCCGCGCCCAAGTCAGATGCCGGCTTCGGGATTGTAATGTCTCCTGCGTTCATTCGGAAAGGTCTTCCCAAGTAGAATCCCCAGAAGCTGAACAAAAAGGTCAAATGGCGTCCATAAGGACTGTTGGAAAGTCGACTTACTGATCAGCTGTGTAACTGCCCCAGAATGTAATTCTACGTACGTCAGCCTCGTGGGCACTGATATCGCCCTTTTCAACGTAAGGGGTCGTATCTAGATGGAGTCCAAGGTCGAATGCCAGCCGCATTGACATTCCTAAATCGCATGAGTATAAGTATTGTCATGTAAGAGATGGGACCCACCGCTATACAGCCAGCCTCTGGCATCGCGATTCGAGGATCCTTCGTGGGAGCTCAGAATCACGAGAGCTTGAACAGTGGCGACACAGGGAGAGTCTAACTCAATCTCCAGTAGGGCCTTGGCCCTGTCTGCAAAGAATTCTGATAGGGATTTTGGAAAGGTGATGAAAGTCGGATGATACCGGGCTTCAAAAGCACTCCCGATGGCACATCTAGCATTTGTCAGTTAATGAGCAGAATTTAACTACAGTCGTCCATACATGGCATTTGTGAGGACCTCCGAATAGAACGGAGTGTCAATGAGGTCATTCCTCCACTTCGATCTAGCCTCCATATACATCTCCTTGTCGACAACGTAAGTGCTTGGGTTTTGCCAGGTGAAGTAAAGGTTGATAAGATGGTCTTCCAGTACCAGATCAACGGGTTGTCCGACCCGCAGGTGATTCAATATGTCCTGCCCATCGTGTCGAACGGTACGTGCATCCGGACGCTGACGTTGTTGGGTCGCAGACACGTCCACTAAGTTGAGGTTCGAAGTCGCTCCGTAGAATCGAAGATGGCCATCTCCGGCAATCTTTAATGTCCCTATGCGATGCGAAATTTGCTCAATCACATCTTTTTCCGCTTCATCCTCTTCGCCACTGTCAGACTCGTGGTCTCGGACATCCCACGCTTGACCTAATAACACCCCCGGCTGTTGAGATATATCCTGCGTAAACTGCAGGCTATCTGGACTAAGGCTAGTGGCATCATGGGAGCGGTTTGGTGAGCCGTCTATATTGGTGTATAGGGCTTCCAAACTCTCTGCAGTAGGAAGAGTAAAGTCCCAACTCGCTGAGGGATAGTGGTTCGACAAGGCGGGGTTCATCGCCAGGGAGAACATCGGGTCTTGGCGTCCTTCAGTCGGAGGTATAGATGGTGGATTGGGGGGTAAGCTGTGCGAGGGCGATAAGCCCGCGGGCACACCCTCGGCGATCCCCGGTTGACGGCTCATGGAAGGCACAGGGGGAGAGGTCTGGTCGGGGGACTGTGTGGTAGGTGGTTCAGGCTGCGCATTCCGTCCATCAGCTGGTGATAGGTTCCCCCTGCTCATCGGTCCCCGCGAGATCTGCAGTGTATCCAGAACCCTGTTTATTCCCAGCTCATCTTCGGGTTCCATCGGGGGTGGTTCTAGTCCGTGGTCGTAGATAAATTGGCATAGTTGATCAATTCGGGCTGAGAACAACTCCGTCGCGGCGCGGAGAGACACCCTGATAACGTTGCGGTTGCGGTCAGCTTCGATCAGCTCTGCAAACACACACAAAAAAAAAAAAAAAAAAAAAAAAAGCCACCAACATGGCCCCGTGTCCACCCACACTTCTACATTCGCAAAATAGTCGCCGCACAGGACACGGGGGATGAAACTGGTCGGCGGGATATAAGAGATATAAAAGATAGAGCGAGCTGGACCTACTTCCGCTTATCATCGCTATATTGGTATTTGCAGTCCTTCCCCTTTTTCTCGCAGTTGTGGCAATGCGGAGTAGCCCCGTCACACTTATCAGACTGTGTCAGCGCGGGGGAGGGGGGGGGTGAAGGCAGTCAACAGGAAGAAGATATTGCAACGTACTCTGATTTTACTCTCTCGACACGGGACGCAGGCAGTGGTGATATGTTTCCGAGGCGCCCTTTTGGGCCTCTCGGACTGCGGCTGCATGGTGATTCAGGATCTGTTGAGTTGGTGCGACAGCGCGCGGAGATGGGCCGAAGATGGAGGGGAGAGGGGGGAGGGAAGAGAGAAATATCTGTTCAGCCAACGTTGAGAGAGAGGAGAGTGGCAGCATGCATGTTCCAGGCAATGGGATGTCACCCCGTCAAATAGTCAAGTATTGGTAGTGGTAGTGGTAGTAGTAATAGTAGTGATGTCTTGGGGTTCAGCCCGGTCGGCGACGATGGCTCTGGGGAATGGGGAATGGGGAATTGGGGAATTGGAGGGAGGGGATTACGGGGAAATCGTGGCGATCCTCTGATAGGCCTTGGCCGCGCCATGCGGGGCCTGCGCTTTGGGCCAGGCGCGCGAGGTGAAACAGATGCCTTGCAGCCTTAGAGACTAAGAGGCCTGGGAGTCTGGGACATATTTCCGACGATGCGGACGGGGAACTAGGCGTAGTACGGCAGACGATTATGGCCATCGTGCAATGACGTTTTTTTCCCTTAGGAAGGCAAGTCTCTATTTTATCATTCTCTTATCATATAGTATTATCATATATACATTGTCAATCTGCGCGTGGCAGATTCAACCTGGCTGCCTGTATAGGGTCGGGTGCGGACCATGATTCAATGTTTAATTATGGAGTAGCTATCTAAGCAAAGGCAAGATGCTCTGTACTCCGTGCCTTGATTAGTAGTATATAACTGAGCATACTCTAAATCGCGTGATATCGGATGTCTTGCTGCTGCTGCTGCTGCTGGGTTGCGAATACACCGGAAAGCAGGGGCCAAGCAGTGTAGGAAATGTTCCAATTACTAACCCGAGCGCATTATCCACGGTCGCCCGTCTTATGACAGCTTCTATTATTCTATAGCCTTCGGCACCGTCGAGATAGTCATTCTAGTCGGAGCCTAGTGGGCCCTGTATATCAACAATCAAAATAGCCTTAATAAGAGTGCGTTTTTCCAACATCCTTCCCTTCTGGTGCTGAAGGGAATCTGGGTGGTTGGGCTGTCTAAGAAAAAGGCCGGCTGGCCTTTTTTTTTCTCTCTCGTCCAGGACTGTTATACCAAACTGATAGGCATTGCGGATGTCAAGGCTGTCAAATCTGAGCAGTGACTTCGTGGCATGCCTGCACAGGAGGGTTGGGTAACTGGATCGGCCATTATTATGATACACCTCGACGCGACTTTGTGTGAGGAACTGGCCTCTGTGGTTTATAAGGCGATGGCTCAGAATTCTAGTCTTTTGCCGATAGCCTAGCGGTCATTAGTAGCGAACCTGTTCTAGAAGCGCATACAAATCAGGCTCGCGACACTTTGCCTAATGCGATAGTATTGGGGAAGGATGCGTCGGTTGCCTTGTTCCGCTTGGTCTGAGAACTGGTACAGAAAAAGCTGCAGATGCTGGTCCGAACGCGCGATTTCATGCTCCTCCGGGGTCACGGACACTGGTAGATGTCACGTCAGGAAGAGTAGATGGCCTTAGTATCGTGGAGATCGGATAGAGAGAATGCAACCGGCGATCATGTACTGGATGGGTGTTTCCCAACGCAAGTTTGTACCAAAAAGGAGGACGACAAGGTCAATGTGAGGAGCTAAATTCCTAGGAAACGCAGAGGACAAGCTACTGTTGGAGACGAGTACACGTCTTTGCCACGTACCAGTGGGACTAATGCATCCCCGTAGTCCACATCATGGTGTTCTTCGACTTGATCGCGAAAGGATGGATGTATGTAATAAAATAGCCGCGGTGGAGGAGCGCGCATCACATAATGATATTCAGTAAGCGATCGTCCGGCCCCATCACGTGGGAAGCACTAGTCCCGAAGAGGTTACAAAACGGAGAGGCCCCAGGCCCCATTTTCGGTAGGAACGACGGCAACCGACGGTAACATCGAAAACGGAAACATAGGGCACAAAAATGAGAAAGACCGGTTCTCGGGTGGCAAGGCGCGGTGAAGTCATCCAGTGTGAGGGGGAATAATGCCCAACTGGGCTGATAGGATATGGCTTCATACCGGTGGTGTCTTGAGCCTGTCTGTATACACGGACACGGACACCTGGAGTAACCGCTCAGTAGAATCTTCTCCATAGGAGGGCTAAGACACAGTTGTTTCCCAGTGACTGGGTCTCCGACTGTCCGACATGATTCTTGAGTCCGGTACCAGCAATCAGACGAGGCCATCGGCTCCACTCCAGCGTCGAAAGCATTTTAACTCATCTCGGGCCCAGTCTTTCTAGCTTGATCCTTTACTTCACTGCAGCATCTTCAGGGAATAGAAAGGGTCCGTGGTAGAACATGGTCCACTGTGGTGATATATGGAGCCTTTTCTAGCCTTTTTCGGTGAACCGGATGTCAATTTCCCGTTGGGTTGAATGTCGTATTTATTGCAGCAAGGGCCTCGCCTGCCAGTCGACTGTTGAGAGTGCTTGGTCTTGCTACACATATTTGCTCACCCACCTTCCTCGTCAGAAGTGGCCTGGGGATTAGATCCAGACACACCCGTGGGGGTTTTTCCCGAGCCATATTTCCTACCTCATCAACGAAGTGCAGGTCATACTGAGTATTTCGGCCCCAGGCTGATTCTGGTCGCGGCTGCTTCGAGTGGCGAGAATGACGGCCGGTCGTGATGAAGAAAAGTCCTCTGGTTGGTAGCGGATACAACGAGTAGGTATACCATAGTGCTAACGCTGACAGCTCCTCCGAGCGAGACGCCCGATGTGATTATTGTGGACTGGGACGGACCCGAGGACTCCAAGAACCCATACAACTGGTCGAGCCGCAAGAAATGGCTCAACATAATGTTAGCCCTCGTGACGACCTACACGGCTCAAATGAACGGCACAATGATCACCGTTGCGCACGATGCCATAAATAGTGAATTCCACGTCAGCGATTCCAGCTTCCCAAATTCATACTGGCCTGTTGCTTCCTGGACGATGGGTGGCGTCGTCTTTTCCCTCCTTATCCTCCCCATCATGGAGGACTTTGGGATCCGGCGCACATTTTTAATCACCCATTTTTGTTTAATCATCTTCATCATTCCCCAGGCGCTGGCACGGAATTTTGCCACGCTGGTTGTTGTCCGTTTTTTCGCCGGCGGCTGCGTCGCGGTACTCGGCAATGGTTCGGCCAGCATCATCGGCAACATGTTTGAGACGGAAATGGCACGAACGAAGCCAGTCGCTATATGGATTGTTGCATATCTTGGTGGGAGTAGTTCCGGTCCAGTGGTCGGTGCATCGATCTTCCAATTCCTTTCTTGGCGATGGATATCCTACTTGCAGTTGATCTGGTGCGGAGTGCTGTGTGTGATGAATGTCTTGCTTTTGAAGGAAACCAGAGGAACTGTCATCCTACAGCGCCGCGCAAGAAGCCTGCGGGCCATGGGGAAGAATGCATACACGCGACATGAACTTCAGGCGGAGCCTATAAGTCAGGTGTTACTCACCAGTCTCCGACGGCCTCTCAAGATGCTCTGCACCGAGTACGTTGTCTTCTTTGCCACGCTATGGTCGGCCTTCACCGTTGGAACGCTGTACCTTTTCACACAATCCGTCGAACAAGTTTTTGTGGAGCTCTACGACTGGACCCCGGTACAAGCAGGGTATGTCCAGGCAGCCATTGTGATTGGAGAGGTTTGCGCATGGTTATTCTCTTCATTCTCTGCGCGCCTGTACTTCAATTCCGCGAAGCGGAACACAGAGATCCCCGGGGTGCCCATTCCCGAGGCCCGGCTCTATCTGTCCATCGGGGGAGGTATATTTGGATTTGCAGGCGGCATGTTCGTGTATGGATGGACGTCGTACCCCTCATTACCGTGGATTGCTCCAGCCGTGGGGCTTTGGATGGTCGGTCTTGGTAGCATTGTGGTTGTCAGTGGGATCGCAGACTACGCTGTTGACGCGTACTCCAAGTACGCTGGCAGCGCGATGGCCTGTTTCGTGGTGGGTGAAAACACCGTCTCCGCTTTTCTTCCCCTTGCCACCAGCAGTATGTACAGAACACTCGGGTTTCAGTGGGCTAGTACGCTGTTGGCATGTATCAGTCTATTGTTGACATTGGCACCTTTGTCATTCATTGTCTGGGGAAGGCAGATCAGACAGAACAGTCCATTCATGGCCGAGGCTATGCTTACCAAACAAGCGGAGATCATGCATGAGATTAGCTCCGGATCACCGAGGGAGATTCGAGAAAGGAACCCTGACACGGATAACAACATGACACACGTTGTATGACTGGTGTGCTGATGGCCTGGAGCTGACAGTTATGTATCTAGATCAAAAATATGTAACAATAATACAAGCACGGATATGTCGTGATATATACCATTTTTATAAAACCTCAGCTGATACGATAGCCCTTCAAAGCGTGCTATAGCCTTGTGACATATTATACGGAGGGATGGGGGTCCAGAGAAGGTGTGAGACATTATGTGGGATAATCGGGCTGGATCCGTGATGATCTTATTCTTACAGCCGCCTGCTATCTATTTCAACCCTACTTCCGTACAAATAGATACTGTACCCAACCAGCATGGGCACACTGAAGATTTATTTTTAGCCGCTGTGCTTTTCCGTCGTAGTCCGATTATGGTAGCGGCTAGCTCAGTATGTTTATCTCGTGCACCTGCCCGCTTGCCTCTATTAATGGTATGGTATGATAGGGGGAGGCAGCAGGCTGTACCTTCTCTTGCAGCTCTATCGTGGGACCCCGCAGCCTGTGGTTGCCATATCCGGCTGTTGTATTAATGTTGCCTGGTGCTCGGGGCTCCTCTCCTACTACTAGTATACCTGGTTCTGTGTGACACATTGTGCATGCATCGTACCCGAGAATCCCAGATTTGCTAGTAGAAAGCCCGCCCCATCATGCGGCTATTCGGGGTTCCTTTACCTGAGGGACTTGGTCCCATAGCACTCCTGAGCAGAAAAGGATGAATCTACAGTACCAGACCTCCGGAGACTTGGTAGAGACTGTGCGGTAGATGCCATTGTGGTAAAGCGCATGGCATCAAGACAGTGTCACTCTCTAATATGGGATAGAATGAATGACCCCAATAGCGACAGAATGAATAATACGATAGTAGGAATAAGCAAAGAGAGCAGCTTGGGGCAGTGAGGTATTGATATTTAGCATCTGTCAAGTTTAACAATTCAAGTACTTAGCACGGAGTACTCCGTACTAAGGCCAAGAAGCAGCCACCCCAACAATCTGATTCTCGACCGGTTACGGAGTACAATTTATGGATCTGAGGGGGATCGGCTGTTCCTCCTCCATGATGGGGTGTCTTTCGAAAGACTTTACAGACAGCAGGCTGCTTTACTCCGGTCAGTACTTATGTAAAGTGTGATCGTCGTTGATCGCCCGTCGGCCGTGCTTGCCGCTCGGCCACTATCTACTTAAGCGTCAGGTACGAATTCACAAAGAAGGGGCTGTCAGACTACGGAGTACTCCGTAGACCATGGCTTTTTCTTTGTTGGATTTATGTATCACTTGCCGCTTTATGACTGACTGGTTGCATTTTTGGTGCCTTGGTTCGGGCAGCTGGAGGAAGCGTACCACTCCAAGAGGGGGGGACTTGTATGTATTCCCTTATGTATCAAATAGCGCTGATAGATCAGTGGAAGATACTTCGTACATACATATCTACATAGTGCTCCCGAACCCCACGACCACCCAGTGTTCCCCCGGAGATATCCTTCCGAGTTATAAATAGCCGCAGGGCCCCAGCCTCCATCTGCGCCTCGCTGCATGCACGAAGGCGTGAGCCCCGCGTCCAATCATCCCTGAAAGCCTGTTGCACCTGCATCTCAGCTCCTCTAGGAGGCTTTTATTGGTGTCCCAGTCAGATGCCGTTTCCACGAAGAGGACAGGCTCATCCGCGACCTCAAGGCTTGTGTCCGACTCTGTGGGATCTGTACACATCCTGGCGGTAAAAGCCCCAAGTGATCTGCATGTCTTGAACCAGCTAGTTACTATTCTGTGATACCGTCAACTGAATGTACGACGATCACCTCAAAGAAACTGGAACATAAAAGCCGCCGCACCACCCGCTCCACTCCATTGAAACCAACACCAACAACAACACAACTATTACTACCACCACTACAATCCATCTTTTCCAACCACATCTCTTTCCACATCACTCTACTTTCCTCTAAATATCCCATCTCATCCCAGTGCCCCATTGATTGACTCAAATAAACGATAACAATGAAGCTCACCACCACCATCACCACCCTCCTGCTCGCTGCCGCCACCACCACACTGGCCCTGCCCACGGCCCAGCCCAACGCTTACGCCCGAGCCCTCAAGCCGTTTCAGATCACCGGCCTCACAGCCAAAATTCTATCCGATATTGACTACGCCTCCTTAACCCTCAACCTGGTCGACCAGAACGCCAACAACACGGCGACCTCCTGTACATGGTGGTGGTAAGTTTCTCCCATCCTACCCACCTAGTCCCCAACCACTGTTGCTGATTTAATGAAAACCAGGCACACGGATAAAGAGGTGCTCACCACCAACGTCTGGAAGTGCGAGAATACCAACTACGGCCTCCAGTTTCCAGACGGTATGAAGTCGAACATCGACGATTTTACCCTGCGTGTGGAGACCACATCCAGCGCCACGGTGCAGGAGGCTGGAGAGGTGAAGCTCGACGCGTCAGCAAGCGGTTCAAACTGGGTCTGTCAGCAGAACCCGACAGAAAATGTGAAGGAGCAGTGCACGTACAATGGGGAGTTGGATATCCCTGTTTAAAGGGCTTCATCCGGTTGGGTTGGTTCGGTTCTCTCTCGGCAACTTTCCTAGTTCTGCAGAAGCTCGACCTCGTTGGGGCGATGACACATTCCTTTTATTATTCAACTTAGTAGTGATACAGAAAGCAACTACAGAGTAGCTTATAACTCTGTTTCCTGATTCCTATTATTTTCCCAGCCAGGTCCATACCTACCCTTGCAATCCCCAGGTCCAATCCTGAATATAATCAATCCGGATCAATACCAAGTTTATACACCCTCTGCTTGGCCAGTAGCTGCATGTTGAGGAACTTCTCTCGCATCTCCGACACCATGTTTGTTCCCTAGTGATTTGGCATGGTCGGTCGCAATACTAGCAAGTCTATACTTGTCTGTCTAGTTGCGAGTAGCCAGTTTAAATAGTGTGTTAATACTACGCTTCTCCTTATAGTCTTGGGCATGAAGGACCTCCTATCCCGGTCACTTATACGTCAAGTGATGTATAAGTGGAAATTGAACACGATAGGTATATTATTTGTTAAGATAGATGTTAATTATCGATCGGGTATACCGTGAGGGTGATGAATCTTAGAAATAAAATCGGACAAGACTACTACATTTACAAGTCATACTTTCAGCTGAAAACAGTCGCGGCAAGGGCTTAATCCTAAAGCTGTTCCACCTCCACTCAGGCAAGCAAGTTCTTGGCAATTCTCACAACCACAAAAAGGGGCTGGCTTCCATGAAGACCCTGAGATAGAATAGATCAAGCACTCAATATATCAATTCCATGACATGACATGGCAATGTGATGGAACGGATTGAATAATGATGGAAATTCAGTGCATCTGGGGAAATAAGAGAAGGATCCGGGGGTGGATGCGGTGGTACAATTTAGAATAACTGTTATACATACTATAGGTACGGAGTGTCGGTTGAACCAGAGGGGACGTCAGTCGAGCGCAACCCTATCTACATATGTTATACTCCGTATAAACTTCCTACTTCCTAAATAGTATGATGGGTGTGTGCGTGTGTGGCAATCCCGGTGTGCCTGTACGGATTATCGCCTCCCTATATTAATAGTTATGATTACCCCGCCATTATTACGCTGCGGTCGACCTTATATATCTATAGAGACTCAAAGATCTGGGTTCACGAACCAACAGCGCCGGGAATATTGCATCTCTTTCTTGAGAGCCTGCCGGGTAGATAGACCGTAGCCAAAAAAAAAAAAAAAATCATCACCACAGTTACTAGAACCGAGAAGCAATAATAATACTTACTCCGTACCCTATGTTACTTTTCAGGCTGTCCCCATATTCGGGCCACTCCTCCGTGACTACCTCGGTTCCAAACTTCCAAGGGCAATCAATGACTGGGGAAAACGCTTGGCCGGCGATGTATCTCCACAGTCGCCCAGAGTTCCAATCCCCCGTATTATTACCATATTCCTGGCGTAGTTGGAACTTGGAAGGTCCAGATTGTAAGCTAAGTGTGTGTCACCAGCGGGGGAAAAGCGTTCTTCCCACCCTCGCCGTCGCCCCTGAACGACAATGCGACCGCCGACCGATCTCAGCAGCCTGGGAAGGTTGGGGTTGAGGGACCGACAAAGGCACGGGCATTGCCGCTAGATAGATGGACCTATCTACCACCTAGGTTCATTATCGGAAATTTCAACATGCTCTGGGCTCTGGACTCCGGGAGTCTAGTAGAGTCTAGAGGGGGTGAACGGCGGTTACGGGGGGGGGGATGAGCGGGGGCCAGTGGCAGAAAAAGAACGAAGAGCCGGCGGGGTAAAAAAGGGCCGCCCGCCCCCTCCCCAAACATTTCTCCGCCGCGCTCCCTGGCCGGTCGGAGGCGCCTGAAAGTTAAAGCACCCACTATGTTAAATTATTCCCATATAGTAGTACCATCATCCTACCTACCTTCCATCTCCCTTCAACTCTCTGGATTCAATTGTCCCAGTTTCACCCCATCACATCAAAACCACAACCACAACCACCACCAACAATGACCTCCTCACAGCCCGAAGAACCCATCGTCATCCCCGCCGACCGCGATGGCGTCGCCTACCTTTACGGCCACCCCCTGCTCAACTCGCTCTCCCCTCCCCTCCACGCCGCCATCTACAACAGACTTGGCCTGAACTGGATCCAACTCCCCCTCTCCAGTGTCTGCGGCACTTCCGCCACCTACCCTCCTCCCTATACCCGCTCTCCGCCCATCGACACTTTCCTCGCCTCCATCCGGGCCAATCCCAAGTTCGTCGGCTCCTCCGTCACCATGCCCTGGAAGGTGAGCATCATGCCGCACCTGGACGACCTTACCGAAGACGCCCGCCAGGCCGGCGCCTGCAACACGATCTTCATCCGCGAGGACGCCGCCGGCCAGCGCTCCTACGTCGGCACCAACACAGACTGCATCGGCATCCGCGAGGCGTTGGTGCAGAACTCTCCCAACCCCGCCGATTTCCGTGGCAAACCCGCGCTCGTGGTCGGTGGCGGCGGCACCGCTCGTTCCGCCATCTACGTTATGCGCAAGTGGCTCGGCTCCAGCAAGATCTACATCGTGAACCGGGACGCGGCGGAGGTTCAGGCGATTCTCGATGAGGATAACCAGCGCAACCCTAGTGCGGACAAGGCGCCCTTGATCGCCGTCACGGATCCTGTCGTCGCGCAAACCCTCGAGGCCCCCGCTGCCATTGTCTCGGGCATCCCGAACTATCCACCCAAGACAGAGGAGGAGATCCGCTCGCGCCAGGCGCTGCAGAGCTTATTGGGTAGTGCGGATGACCAGAAGCCCAAGGGCGTTATCCTGGAGATGTGCTACCACCCCGTTATCTGGACGGAAATTGCCGAGTTGGCTTCCGCTGCCGGGTGGAAGGTTATCGTTGGCTCCGAGGCGCTTATCTGGCAGGGTCTGGAGCAGGCTCGTTTATGGACTGGAACGGATGTGGTTGCCGTGCCTGGGTTGGTCGACATGGTCAAGGAAGTCGCGGCGAAGAATATTGCGGAGCGGGAGCACCCCTCCTCCAAGTCTAGTCTATAAGACTAACTTATCGTTCCTCTTCCCCTTCCCCCCTCCCCCCCTCTTTCCTCCCGTAAAACATTTCATGATTCTTGTATAGACTCTAGCATACCCGGAGCATTGCTTGTTTGTGCTATAAGATGGATGGCCTGTGGCTACCAAAAAAAAAACAATGAGAAATCGACGTATATATATATATTCCTTACCTGTATGCATGCGTGGTCTAGCTATTGTATATAGCGTGATCTCTAGTCTAGATATGTATCTATGTTCATGCGCCTGGTCGTGCATATTCCAACTGTCGTACCCGCTTCCACACCTCACGCACCGTGCGCTCTTGCGTTTGACGGCCGCTTTCGGTCGCCGACGGCCCAGCCGGTCTACCGGAGGTTAGTAAACCATGAGTAGTGTGAAGGGCGTGCCGAAAGAGTGAGCTTACCTGATCGCCAGGTACAATCGACTGCCCAGTCGAACATCTTGGATGGGAGCTGTGTCCGGATCCTCTGGAGGATTGGCCGTCGTGACAAGGCCGCCTGCTTCTAGAAGGATGGCAATGCCCGCAGCAACATCCCTTCAGGTATATTTTTAGCCAATGCGTTTACCCAGGAACACAGACACTTATAATCAAGAAAAAGAAAAAGGAAAAAGGAAAAAAGAAAAGGAAGAGGGACGTACCACTCCCAGCATCCCCCCTCCCACCAAATATCAAACGACCCCATGGCCGTATAGGCCAGATCTAAAGTGGCACTCCCCAAGCTCCTCACCCCGTGGACCATCCCTCCCTTTCCTCCACGACTCCCCGTCTCAGCCGCCAGATTCAAGAAACTCTCGATCTTGCGATACATATTTCCGTCGGGGATATCGCGACGATCCTTGCCCCATTCGCAGGACAGGATACACTTCCCGGGGGCGTTGGCGGGCATGGGCGGGATGGTGGGGTTGCGGATAAGCGGGAGACGTCGCTTTTCGTTCAGCCAGGCGCCGCGGTTCACACAGGATGAGAATAGTTGGTCTTGGAAGGGGGCATAGATGACTCCAATTACTGGGCGATGGTTGACGATGAAGGCTATGGAGACACAGAACATGGGGAAGATATGCGTGAAGTTGACCGTTCCTACGGATGGAGGATTAGGTCAGTACAGGGGGAGGTGGGGGGGGCGGAGGGTGAAGCGTACCATCCAGGGGATCGATGCACCATGTTGGGTATTCATCGATCAGGTAATCCCGCGATTGGCCTTTGGCATAGGTTTCTTCGCCGATGAATCTGAGGGTGGTTAGCAGGGGGTTGGAAGAGGGGGGGATAATATTGATATGGAACACACTTATGGGTAGGATATCTAGAGTGAATTGCGTTTTTGATAAACGATTCCACATCTGATGATTGTCTCTAAGCTTGTTGTTTACCCGGTTAAAGATTGGTGATTGATACGATACCTTCATCAGTCTGAGTCACAATGTCCACTGCACTATCCTTCTCCTCGAACAGCTGTCCCTCCCCGCCCCCAATACGCTTCTCGACACTCTCCAGTAGAAGCTGGCCTGCCTTGCGACCGAGATCAACTGCAAACGTGTATATACTGTCCAGCTGCTCCTGGCTCAGCTCGTGGGTGGCCATGGCGGGGATGCGTTGCGGGGTAGAGCGGTGCCTTAAGGCAGGGAGGGTATGGGGTAAGTATAAGGTCTATGAGTATGTATGAGGTGTAGGTCTGGCTCTGCGAGCCTGCGATGATGAATTCAGAAGGGGAACCGGGAATTGATGGCTAGATAGCAAAAAAGCAGGTAGACGGTCCCAAGTGCAATGGATGAAGGTTGGAACTTGGGAGAGGCGCGCAATGCTGAGCCGCAGATAGCCGACTTATCAGTGGGGCGGCCACCACGTGAGGGGCCGATCCAGATAGTGAGTCCAATTTGGCACGTTAGGACGGCTAAAAGGGGATGGACGAGAATGCCTCCAGATGACACCGGGCAGATCAATCACGTAGATTATTAGCATCTACTACCACTAGATGCTCCCTCATATACCCCTTCTTATAACTGCTCCTCGACCAGCAGCCCCTTCACCTCGACTCCATCCGACTTCACCAATCCAACCCCGGCCTCCCTCAGCTCCCTCTTTGCCTCCTCCCACCCCTCCCCGGCATCAACACACCTTGTCGCATCCTCCACCAGAAAGCTTCTAAACCCAGCCCTCGCCGCATCCACCGCCGTAGACTTAACGCAATAATCCCCCGCCACACCCACGCAAAACACATCTGTGATGCCATGTTCCCTCAACACCCCCCTCAGGTCCACATCCACTGAGCTGCGATTCACCTCCTTATCCAGATTCCCGAACGCGTCCGCAAACGCCGAGTACATCTCAACCCGCGCGTCCATGCCCTTGTGCACGTAGAGGTCGAATTTCGAGGCGTCGATTTCGGGGATCAGGTCTGCGCCGGTTGTGCCGGCCACACAGTGGATGGGCCAAAGGCGTTGGGGTTTGGTTTCGGTGTGTTTCCCGGGCGCGGGGTTGGTCATTGTGACGAAGCTGGAGAATGGAAGGTTGTCGGGGGCCGGATGGTTCGAGGCGAAGGAGATGTGGTTTGCTGGGTGGTTGTCTTTGGAGGCGACCCGGAGGGTGAAGCCTGGGTGGGAGAGGAGGGTATTAATGGTCGGGGCGAGGGTGCGGGCTTCGTGTACGGCGAGAGAGCCGTTCTAGGTTGAGGCGTTAGTGGGTTTGGAGAATGGGAAGGGGGTGTGGAGTGGAGATGGGATGGCGTACTGGAGGGCAAAAGTCCTCTTGCATGTCGACGACTATCAGGGCAGCTTTCATCTTGGACGGTATTAGGTTGATGGGCAAGCGCTAGGTTTGCAGTTGTGGTCAAACTATGTCCGGTCAGCTGGGAGAGTCTATAAAGGACGGTTGAAGAAGGCGCGAGCGAACTAGTATTACCCTTTATTCGTCATACGTTGCCCGGCTAGCAGACCCCGCTCGAGGACAGTGGCCGTAATACATCGTGCGTAGACAGCGTCGATCAGAGCCGCATGGATATCATCTTCAGGACCTCAGGAGTCAGTACGGAGTACTACCAAGAAGCAACTGCGTCTGGACGACACCCCATGGCCGATAGAGACAAACCAACACCCGATGTGACGCCCAGACATGCTCCAAATCGGGCATAGCTTTCTTTTTTCCCGCTGAGTCAGCGCCAAAGCGGTGGAGCCAAACTGCCGGCCTTGTTATGACATGACCTCAGAGTGCCCAACGTCAAGATCCCTCACACAGGCGCAGCGGAACTGCTACTCGACCCCTTACTTACCTCAAGAAGACCATCTATTCAACCAAAGAATAACATGTGTATCGCACTCCTATCAACCGCTCACCCATCCTATTCTTTGATCATCATCGACAACAGGGATGTACGCGATCAGATCCAGAGCACATGACTGAATCTGTGCAGAACTAATGGCGTCCAGGAATACCTCCGCCGGCCAACATCGCCCGCGGAATGGTGGCCGGAACCGGCGTCTAACGTTATAGGGGGTCGGGATCTGGCACGAGCACCACATGGGACATGGATGGGGGTGACCAAGGAGGGGAAGGTAGCTGTTCTGACCAACTACCGTGAAAATACATCCGAGCAGGCTATTGGAGCGAAGAGTCGAGGGGCCATTGTGTGCAGCTGGATTGCGGCGCCGCCGGGCCAGGAGCGGTCAAGGTCAACCCTGGAGTTTGTGCAGGACATGGTTGCGAGTCCCACTGCGCGAAATGTCGGCGGATTCAGTCTATTGTGCGGCTACCTCAACGAGCCCCTGGCTATTGTCTCCAACCGCTCCTCGACAATGGACCAGATTGCCTGGGTGGCCACGGAAGAAGGCCAGACGTTAGGACTGAGCAACACAGTGTTCGACGATCGGTCATGGCCTAAGATCATGGACGGAGAAAGACTAGTGAACGAAGCCATTGCTGCACATGCACAGGCCGGCGAGGATGAAGATAGCCTCATCGCCCGACTCCTTGACGTATTGAGTACCAACACTCTCCCAAAGCTTTCAGAGGATGCCACGGCAGAGGACTACCTCCCGCATTTTCGGAAAAGTATCTTTATCCCGGCGCTGGGGGCCCGAGAGAAGCTACCTGGGAAGGCAACACCTCTGTGCGCCGAGAGCAAGATCGTCGATAGCACCGCTGCTGGACAGCACGACGTGATAGACCAGTCGTTCTTGCATGGGCCGTACGGAACCCAACAGCAGACAGTGCTCCTGGTAAGTGACAGCGGGCGGGTGCGATATTTCGAGCGGACACTGTATGACAACGATGCGAAGGCCATCCCGATCGGTCAAGGCGATCGATCATTCGAGTTCCAAGTTCGCACACGCTCAGAGTGATTCTACACGAACGATGACCTTTGTCTCCGCTGGCTGGCCTGGTGGGTGTGTATGCCCAATATAGCAATGCAAACTCCACATAACACGATCTCCGTGGCCAAGGGAATGTAAATATGCTGCTGTTCAACACAAAGATGTCCAAAATAGCCGCTCAAGCCCGTAATACTGCCGCAACCGGTAGATACTAAATACTAAAATCAATTGATCTGAATCCAGAGCAACCCAAAAATACATAGTCCGGAGTATGAAAGATCTATAGTACAATACTCTTGGCCAACTACTCCCGTACGGACTTGCTCGTTTACTTCTTCGTACACCCGCGCGCGCCCGCTAGTTATCTCTTTCCCATATGCCCGACAAGTCCTCGTCAGATGTACCACGTTAATGAATATAATTTATATTGTCCAACATAATATCGCCCCCCATTCATGGCTTATTGCACATACACACAGACACAGTATTCAGTTGGGTGCGGGCAGCGGCAAAGCAATCTCCCCGCTTCCACCACGGCCGGGGGTTTCTTTAGCCTGTGCACACACCACACAGCATTAACATACATAACATAGTCCATGGATCGATACATGTGAAGAATCTTGTAATAATAGTCATGTCAGAATGCGTTTTTTTAGCTCATGCTGGTCGCGTGTTTCCCCACAAGGTTCATCAAAACTTGCCCCGTTCATCACGTATGAATGAAGTGCTTTTTTGCCCTATCGGGACTTCGACGCCCTCCGTACATTATCAGTATCCAATGACGAACAGATATACTACGGAGTACATCCCTACAAAATAGTATATCTCCAAGTCTGTTTTCTCCATTCGACATACTAGGAAATACGTGTTCCAAATCCACAGCACCTGAGTTAAAGTATAGCTAATCAATAAATACTCCGTATTCTATTCATATTGCTAAAAAAAAACGCCCAAGCTGATACATGTATGCGAGATTGTCGAGAAATGATCCACATGGCTGCAACGGTCCAGAACCGATAAGTCTGCTCCACTTAGTGTGCGATGACCAAGCCAAGAAAGAGATTGACAGAAAAGCACGGCAATTCGATATCCGTCAGTCACATGCAACCCAAAAAAAAACACCCGAGACTAAATCATTCAAGCAAACCAACAGCCAACCTGATAGGACTGACACTGGACCAAACGAAGTAAATCTCCAGTTACACAGATACGCCTGCTCGGAGGATAAATCGACTGCCTGTACGGAGGCATAGCCCATAAATGAAGCACAGGTGTCAAAATAAATCCATGAACCCTCGAACATTAGGTCCTCGGTCATGCTGGAGCCTGTTAGATCGACACTTCTTGCCGTTCTTTCCAATCTTTCTTCTTTATATAAGTCTTTGTGTTTAGCGAGGGGGGGCCGGAGCAGGAGTTATGGTATGGGTGCGGATGTTGGCGGTTTCGTGATCCCGGCAGCCCCAGAACAAGCCGGGTGTTTCGCATTTTGAGGTTATTTGCGGTGGGAGTGTCTGGGTTGCGGTGGTTGTGTAGTCTTTGCAGCCGAACCAGCCGGGCCTTTGGCAGGTCGTGGTGGTGGAGGTTACCGGATGTTCCGTGGTGGTGATTGTAGGTAGGGAGGTGATGTCAGCGGTGGTCGTTAAGTCTTTGCAACCAAACCAGCCGGGGGTCTTGCAAGTTGTTGTTGTTGTTGTCGAGGTGGAAGTGGTAGTTGCTTCAGTAGTGGTGGTCTTGTCTAAACAGCCCCACCATCCCGGAGTCTTACAGGTTTCTGTTCTGGTGCTGGTGATCGAAGTCGAGGTGGACGTGGCTGAGGTGGTGGTAGTGATCTCGGAGCCGTTGCTGCGAAAGTACTTCCATAGCTGACAATCATAGCATTCCTCTTCGGGGGCACAAGGAGGAACATCGTCGTAGCCAGCGAGAACATCCGAGAGGATGAAGTTAATACGGTGTTTATTCATTCCAACACGCCAGCCCTTGTCTTCGACGGTGTCATAGACACACATCTGACCGGTGTGGCATGCGGATTCCATGGCATAGCCACCCCAAGTGCAAACCGAGCTGACACCATTGCAAGTTCCCATGTAAACAGGGTCCGCCGTGTGTCCGAAATGGTAGGCCCCGGTATACTGGCGTGCCTGGGGGAACCGTGGGTCATACCCCGGGGGGCTTGGAAGTCCTAAGCGAGCTGCTGGAAGTGCCTCTGGAACGGCTTCGAAGGTGACAACTGGTAATCCGAAGGTCAGTCCAAGTAGACTGGCCATTGCACCGCCCAGAGAGTGGCCTGCTAGCCAAACATTGGCATCTGGGTACAGCTCGGTAATGTTTGAATATAGATCAAGCGAGGCGCGATAGTACCGGTTTTCATCTTGCATTGCCTCGGTGATACACGTTAAATTTGCAGTATATAAGGTGGTCTGGCAGTCGCACACTTGGCGCCAGAGGTAGGAGCCTCCCTGGCCGCAGCAACAGCTGAAGAAAAGGTTATCATTAACCTTATCATTTGTGGTAGTGCCCTCGCCGTCAAATAAAGCGGGAGACGTTCCTTTTAGGGATATAACAATCGTGCTGTTGGTTTGGTCGGCGTAAACATGACCTCGGAGCCCGTCGGTTTGCCACCCAAAACTTCCTGAATGGTTGAAGCGGCCATGAACGTCCCGCCAATCGCCCGTACCCGGTTCTTCGATATAGTCATTTGCGGTCATCATTGCTAGAGTGACGACAGTTGTCTTTTCCGTGATATTGGGACCGGCCAGTGTATCTTTGACCCAATCGGAAGGTGACAGGGAAGCCACCGACCCGGACGATCTTGCAGTCATCAAATGCTCCTCGATGACGAAGGGGCGTCGATCCGCAAGCCGTTCGATCGTGAGCGGCTGGGAGGAAGCAAGCAGCGGTGAGCCGAGTATAGCAGCTTCGGATTCGATCCCATCCTCCGAGATCGCCCTAAGGCGAGTGTGTGGTTTGATGTCGAGCCTCTGGTGGAGGCCAGGGTCCTGATCGGTTCCTCGGTGGAAGATGTGGCGAAGAGACTATGGGCCAGGGCGGTAAGCTCGATGGTCATTCAGAAAGCCCGCCGGTCTACTTACGAATTCATGGGTGCGTGAGAGCGAGGGAGAGGGCGGGTCTGCCAGAGGGATCTGGGGGGGGAGGAAGGGCGATGAGCCGAAGTATACAGGCTGATAAGCGGAGGCGATGGCAGGAAGCAAGGTCACCAGCCATGGCAGACGGGAGAGCCCCATGTCCCACAGAAAGCGCTTCTTAGCCCGTCCTCGAGGTCTCTCCATTTTGTCGATACAACGACGAACAAGGATGCAGGGATGATGCTGAAGGGGAGGAACGATGCAGGAGACGCATCAGCGACCCCAACAGCGCGCTCACTTATCGCCCGGGCGGTGAATGACGCACTGCCATTGCCCCAGGTCGCATGACCGCCTCGCACGTGATTGCCGCTCAACGCCGTCGGCGGTCGGCGGTCAGTCAGCCGTCTGTCATCCGGCCTGCTGACACTACCAGGTTTTGTCGAGACAACGCTCGCCACCAGGAAATGTGGATGTATAATGCCGAGGGGTAAGTTGACTAACCACTAAATTATTGAAAACTGTTAGATACATTAAGATGGTCTGCAGAGATATATGTATAGATAACCTAGAGAAATGATACCATTATGTAATTGCTGTATTAGGGTTCTTGGCCAAAGGATAAATTATACATACGGGTTTAGGAATCCGACACGAACGTAGACAGTGAGGATAAAAAAATATAGAAGAGGTCGTGCCCGGGTTCGAACCGGGGTTGCCGGAACTTTTCTTGACTATGCAATCAACTAGAGTGAAGGTTAGAAAGACGTGTGGTGAAAAGAGGAATCATTGGTACATACAATCCGGAGGGATAACCACTACCCCACACAACCAGGCGCTGATCGTCCAACCATGGTATGACTAATGTCTTAGTTATATTCTTCCATATTACCATACCAGCAGGGACGACTGTGTACGGAGTATACCGGATATAATTAACTAGAAGGCATGCTCAGGCAAGCTCGCAGTTTCTGGGTGATGAAAACAAAGAATAACTTCCAAGAGAGAACGGCCCATAGGTACATATATTAGCATCACCATCTGGCCAGCCGTCCTAGATCTCTATACTAAAAAAAACCATGTTCTTCTCCAAGTACACTTTGATACTATAAATCTGCTACTTCCCTTCCTCCAAGAAAGCTCTTGAAGAAAAAGACTATTTATCTACTAGGTAAAGAGCAGAGCTCCTGGTCATATTTAGCTCTTTATTAGAAATAAATTTACCCTTATTATTGGTATAGTATCCGCCTCTAATGAACCGCGGCAGGTGAGATGGGAGGTTGTCGCATTCAAACGGCAGGGGCAGCCGCTGTTACATCTACCGCCCTGGCAGTGCCTCTCGTCCGAATTCCACCAAAACACTGCCACCAAGGCTCCCGGTCACCGGAATCACAACGCAAAGAGATATACATTGGTCAATTGCTCCAGCCTTTATGGTTTTGATTATATACAGCCTGCACCTGTAACCCTGCACAAGCGATTGATCTATGGGCATTCACACTATCATTCCATCAAGTCAAGTCAATTCGAGGCCCAGTAAAGTTCTTGCGTCCATCCACAATCCACTGCACCGCGGATATGACGACGATGATTGCAAAGGCGACGATACAGTAGTCTAAGCCATTGATTAGCTTAATCGGTTCCCCCAGGACAGAGATCCCGAAGACTCACTCATGTTGCTGCCCGTAACGGGGCGATCAGGCGGGAAAAGAAACAAGACGGTCGTGAGGGCAATATACGACAGCGAGATCTGGAACATTCAGCAGCCAGCACACTGGAAATCCATGAGAAACGTACGATATCAATCACCCATCCAATCGCATTGGGCACCTTCCATCTCCGATCGGGTAAAGTTCTCCGTCCACGCAGACAGTTCACCGCAATCGGCATCGCGTAGGAGAGGTCCAGGGCGACCACCGAGGCGGACACGATGGCGTTGAAGGCACTGGCTACATTTAGTGGACGTCGCTCAAAGCCGTTCAGCGGCCTTACCTGCTGGATCCCAGGTAGATGAACCCGAAAACAATCACCACGACGGATGTCAGCATCAGGGCGTTGAGGGGAAGACCCAGCCGAGGATGCACGCGCGAGAAGAACTTGGATGCAGGGAGGCCACCATCTCTGTACGACATCAGCATTGGTCCACCCGGCGGTATGAGTTCATTACTGCCTACCGGGCAAACGCGTAGATCATCCGACTACTCGTCGTCATGACACTGAGGGTAGCGAACAACAAACAAACCAAAGGTAGCCTATCCCTCTGTTAGCCTGTGGTCTTGAATTCTCGACGAGGGTCATACATAAGCAAGCAGATCGCACCCGCCCGGTTATTAGTCGCGTGGATGAGAATTTCCAGGAGGGGCCCGGCGCTTGATGTGACTACTTCATTCATGTCGCCCGCGACGAAGAGCAAGACAATCAGGAAGATTGCCCCGGTGAAAGTGCCGATTCCAACACAGACGACCATGATCTTGGGCCCTTTGATTGAAGGGTTGGGGATCTCTAGATTCCACTAATCAACAAGCATCCACCTAACTATGTCTCTGTTGGAAAGTACCTTCGATCATATGGGCCACCGCATCCTGAGTCATGTTAGTCGGCTGCAAGATCAAAATAAAACGGCAGGGTATCCTACGAAAGCGGTAACTCCGAGTCCTCCTTGGAGAAGCTGTGTCTGTTAGCATCGGAATCATAATCAACGGTGGGGGTTTGCTAACCCCCAGTAGCCAAGCTACTCCATCCGGCCCTATCAGCCGATCAGCATCGTCCACAGCTCGCCCGGAATCAACTTACACCCAGTCTGGTTGACGAAATCGCAGAATACAAAGCTAAATGCCCTGTCAGCATGTGTTCGAGCCGAGCGCAGCAGGAAGTATACCGAGCCGAGTTGAAATCCGGCGCGGCACATGCCAGCACCGTGATGGAAATCAGAACAAACCCCCCGATGGACCAGGTGACTATTGCGGTTATTTTTTCACCCTCCCCTGACCGGGAAATCTCGAGGAAACCTACAGGCGCCCCGATAGATAATTGGCAGCACGGAGTTCATAAAGGCATTGACAACAAAGGCGAGGAGGGTGTATCCCACGTAGATAAGAAACTCCTGCCACCGCTGCCACACAAAGTCCTGGCTGCCATTAGTATGCGCATAGGTCGGGTGAGAAGTCGGCACTCACAGGATACACGGATGACACGATCCCTGCAATTAATTCGCAGGAAAGAAGCGCATTGGTGGCGACAAGAGCAACCTGTCTTATTAGCTGGGTCGGGCCGGCTGTTGCGGAGACATACCCATCCCGCCACATTAATCCATCCGGTAATCCACGACAGAATGGGAACCCATTTTGGCCAGGAGACTGCTGACGTATTAGTACGGGGGTCGACGCTGGGGCTTGGATTTGACTACGTACTGACTGTTGATCGTTAATCAGCATCCCATCAGACAGTGGACTCGTGGACTCGGTGGGGACTTACCGGCTACCCAGTGATATTGGCCTCCCGCTCTGCGCCGTACCAGTTAATATCCGCCATGTCGAGCACTGCACGCTGTTCTCTCTTTCCCCGTATCACTCACGTTGGATATGCGGATAGAAACTCGGCTAGTGACACCGCTATGCATAGATTGCAGACACCCGCCGTAACCAGGCCTGGTTACCGTCAGCACGCAAATAAAAGGCCGTCCAAGAGCCACCCACCCCAGACAACACTGGCACTCCCCCCGGAGGGTAAACTGAGGGATAAACTGGCGGAGAGAGCCGTCCAGGACTAATCGGTGTATTATGAGCGCCATGGAATTGATCATCCTGCGACGGGGTTACGCACATTAAGCACCGCAAACGCCAACCCGAGCATCGATCTAATTCAGGTCAATAACAGTTGGATAGGGCAAGAGGAGGGGGGGGTATGGGGGTACTCACAGGGTGGAAAAGTTCCGTTGCAGCTCGGGCTTGTGGCCCAGCTCGGCCAGCTGGACATCATCCTCCCCCAGGGCGTCGTGGGGGATTTTCTTCTCATCCATGGTGACGGTCAGTGGATGGGCCGTGGACGGTGGATTTTTCGGACGAGGGACACGGTGTGCGACATGAGGAGGACCTGAGGGCCTGAGGCGGGTTAAATCGCAACGAGGGGCGGGGATTGGACGAAGGGAGCTATCGTGGAAGTAGCATGTCCAACCTCTCTGCGGGGAAGGTTAATCTGCAGGAAGCTTGCAAGGATGTCAAAACCGACGCTAATTCTGGTTGATCTGGACTGGCGTCCTTCGACGGGGTCCACCAGCACGTTCGGCCCGTGCTTATCTATCCACGGTACTACTAACTAACTAGTACTACTATCTAGTATCGACAATCTATCTATACTACTACTAGATATACTAGTAACTAGAGAGATAAGTGCTTATCTCCCGCCCGAACCCGGAAGTGAGGGCGTATCGGGCTGCCAATCAGGGGACACAACCGCCTTACCCGCCTGGACATTCCTGACTGGTGTTAAGCACTCTAGATACCTACTAGGTACTACTATCTACTGTTCTTTGTCGGGCATCGGTCCCAAACTCAGGCTCCATGTCACGTGCGCGCTCCTTGGCGTCCCAGGCGTGCCAAGTCGCCTGTCCCGATCACAAGGCCGCCGCCTCCAGCCCTTCACTGGTGATCCATCCCTTCCGTGCAGCGGAACGGAACTATTGATTCTTGCTTTTGGTCCCTGGGCTCATGATCGACTATTTGAAGCAGCTGGGTGCCCGGCTGACCCAGGGGCCCTCCGGGTCTATATCCGGTCCCCTGTCCGCCCCCCCTGTGTGGTACAGTGATACTATACTACAAACCTACAGACAGTTAACCTGCCGTGCATAGCCCAGCAGTCAATCTAAACAAAAACAAACAAAGAAAGAAAGAATATACATCTCTGCCTCCGTTCCCTGTAGACTTGAGCTGCCTGTCATGCATACTGATCCGACGGTCATCGCCATATACAGTCTCCTGGCAACATCGTTCCTTCTTCCCTCCGCCGCGTATGTCGCGCAGGTGCCCCTTGGTGATGAGACCTGCGAGCAAACCACGGTGGCCATCTTGTAAGAACATCCCTTCCATATCTTCTCCCTACCAGCCTTGCGGCAGGATGAATAATAAGGTCTGCTTGCCATCTACAGGGGTGGTGGGATGGCCGGGGTTGCGGCTGCGGTAAGCACTTCACGTCCCGGGCCACTAGTACATTACTCACTAAACCAGCAAGCCTTGGCCAACACGTCCATCGATGATTTCGTCATCCTCGAGTATCGCGACACCTTGGGAGGCCGTGTCTGGCACACGGACTTCGGGACAGATGAACATGGCAAACCGTACGTGGTCGAGTTGGGGGCGAACTGGGTATGACTTTCGTACTCCCCTGGATAGACCATCGCCCTCACCACCCCCAGCTCCAAGGTCTCGGCTCCGACGCCAGAGAGAACCCAGTCTGGGCTCTGGCCAAAAAGTATAGCCTCCAAAACACCTACTCCAACTACAGCTCCATTCGCACCTACAACGAAACCGGCTACACCGACTACCGGCACCTCCTCGACGTCTACGCCGACGCGTACCAGATCGCGGCCCGCGACGCCGGCCGCATCCTGACGCAAAACCTCCAGGACCAAACCGCCCGCACCGGACTCGCCTTGGCCGGCTGGCGGCCCCGAAAGGATGACATGGCAGCCCAGGCAGTGGAATGGTGGAGCTGGGGTATGATCTGCACGAGGGAGACCCAACCCTTTGCCTCCCACCCACCGGGTCCATCCCGCGTATTCCCCGGTCAACTGACTGAAACACCACACTAGACTGGGAAGACGCCTTCACACCCGAGACCAGCTCCCTGGTCTTTGGCATCGCCGGCGAGAACCTCACCTTCAACCAGTTCGGGAAGGCCAACCACCTCGTCCTCGACCCCCGAGGCTACAGCACCATTATCGAGCACGAAGCCGCCACCTTCCTCACGCACCCTGTCCACGACCCTCGCCTCCGACTCAACACCACCGTCACCGACATCCAGTACTCCCCCAACGGGGTCACTATCCACAACCGTGACGGCAGCTGCATCCGCGCCGCCTACGCCATCTGTACCTTCTCGCTGGGCGTCCTTCAAAACAAGGCCGTTACCTTCCACCCCGCACTCCCCCACTGGAAGCAGACCGCCATCGAGAAATTCAACATGGGTACCTACACCAAGATCTTCATGCAATTCAACGAAACTTTCTGGCCCACCGACGCCCAGTTCTTCCTCTACGCCTCCCCGACCACCCGCGGCTACTACCCGGTCTTCCAATCCCTCTCCACCCCAAATTTCCTCCCAGGCTCCCACATCCTGTTCGCCACCGTTGTCGACGAGCAGGCCTACCGCGTCGAACGCCAAACCCCGGCTGAAACCAAGTCCCAAATCCTCGCCGTCCTCCGCGAAATGTTCCCTGAAAAGAACGTCCCCGACCCAATCGCCTTCACTTACCCGCGCTGGTCCACCGAGCCCTGGGCATATGGCAGTTATTCCAACTGGCCGGCGGGAACCACGCTGGAGATGCACCAGAACTTACGCGCCAACACGGGTAGGCTGTGGTTCGCTGGCGAAGCGACCAGCGCCCCGTATTTCGGCTTTCTGCATGGGGCGTGGTTCGAAGGGCGTGAGGCGGGGGCGCACGTTGCGGCATTGCTGCGGGGAAAGTGTGTGGAGTTGCTCGGGGGGTTGGAGACGTGCGAGGAGAGAAGGTTTTATGCGGTGTTGAATGGGACAACGCCCTTGGACGCATATAGTGGGTTGAACGGGTGGCCCGTGAGCAGTACACTTTTGTAGTACTGCGTTGTCATCATGGGGGTCGGCGTCTTTTGGTAGTGCGTACCTTATGCTGGATTTTGTAGCCTGAACTCATGCCCAATTCACATCACCTGGCCTGCTGGCCCAATGGTAAGGCGCTTGACTACGGATCAAGAGATTGCAGGTTCGAATCCTGCGTAGGTCATTCTTTTTTTTCCTCTTTCCAGGTTCCCAGGAAGAATGAGTGAGACTACATAGTAGCAGTAAAGTACGCTAACCGACCCCTACGCGGCGTAGCGCTCCGAGGTCGGTTTGCGTGAACCGGGAATGAGAAGAAGCAGAAAATGAAGGTGTATGGCTACGACAGTGCAGAGACCACAAATAAAGCTACACCAAGGCCCAAGTTGGCCGTAAACCTTTTTTTTAGCTAACACTTGTGTGCATAATAATACAACCAACTGATCAGTTCTTACTCAATCTTTCCCTTGTTAACAACAAATCCTTCCAATGCTGAAATAGCAGCCCATAGCCGGTTCTCCGCCTCCGGGAAGACCAACGACCGATGCCCATAAAACACCTCATCACTGACCTCCTCCGGATGGCGAGGCAAACAATGCATAAACTTCCAACCATCATTTGCACCACCCCTCTTCGCCAACTCTTGAGTAATCTGGAATCCCTCAAAATCCTTCATCCTTTTGATCTTCTCGGCCTCCTGTCCCATCGACACCCAGGTATCTGTGACCAGTATATCCGCCCCCTTTACTGCCTCCTCCGGCACATTGGTTTGTAGCAACTTGCCCGGATTCCTGGCACCCTTTCCAGCCTGACCAATAAGGTCCAACATATCCGCGGGGATCTCATAGCCCCTGGGCGTTGCCACAGAGACATCCACCCCCATCTTAGTGGCAGCAATTGCCATATCGAACAAGACATTATTCGCATCACCCACCCAAGCAATCTTCAACCCTTCTAGCCCCAACCCCGTCCGGTCGTGCGCCTTTGGCGAGAATGTCTCATACACGGTCTGGAAATCCGCAATCGCTTGCAGCGGATGGAACGAGTCGCACAGGGCGTTGATCACCGGAACCGAGGAATGTTTCGCCAGGTCTGCGACATCGGCATGTGGGCCCACCCGCGCCACAATGCAAGACACCATCGAGGAGACCACCACCGCCGTGTCATACAGCGATTCGTTCACCCCCAGCTGAATGTCATCTTTGCCCAGAAACATCGGATGGCCCCCCATTTGGGTGATAGCACCTTCTGTTGATATGCGGGTGCGGGTGCTGCGCTTGCTGAACATCATCGCGACGGTTTTGGCACTGAGCGCCCCGAAGAGGTTCTGAGGGATGGACCCCGACTTGATAGTGCGTTTGTGGGAAGAGGCATTGCGCACAAGGGTCGCGAATTCCGTGGGCGTTAGGTCGGCGATAGAGAGGAGATGGCGAGGCGCGAACGGGGAGGTAGGGGGAGTGGTTTGGGTCGTGTAGCGGCGTAGAGCATGTCGCGTGCCTGACCTGTGGCAGGCGGCGACCATTCGGAGAGGTCCGGCCATGGTGGATGAGGAATTGCTTTTGTATTGTTGGAACGGGGGAGAGAACTGGGCAGCTTCTCTCTCTCTCTCTCTCCCCCGTGAATCTTATTATTGAGAGATGACTCAACATACAAGCGTGTCACGTGATCGCGATTGGTGCCGCCTTGCAAGAGCTAAGCCTAACTGGGATACCGCCCGCCCAGCACCACTTTTGCCAGCAAACGGCGAAACGCCAGTCATGGCGGTGTGCCAAGCCTGTTCTTGGATTTACGGAGTACTTAGACAACCCCATTATTTGAGGTGACCGTCGCTTACAATAATAATAATGGAATTGCTGCGGGGGGCTCGGACGGAATCGGTAGTTATCAACTCCCACGTCAGCTCTCGGAGATGTGGATAGATAGCGGTCGGATGAAGCCGCGCTGATGACGAAACCCGGCCTGCAAACAGTGCAAACGATGTTAGTTCGGCGATTCCCCGCACAGGAAGCCTTGGAGATTTCTCTTCTGAGCACTTACCTCCGAGTGCTTTGCTTAGACAGGCGACTATATTTCCCTGGGCTGGCGCTGGCTCTCGCAATCTGCTCCCGAGCTTTCTCTACCCCCCTCCCCCTCCCCTGTCTCGTCCGGTCCCGTTCTGTCAAAGCCTCATAATCATGGGTCAAGATGCATCGCCTGCGCTCCCGGCTGGGATTTCCTCTTTGCTGGATACTGACTTGTACAAGCTGACCATGCAATGCGCGATCCTTAAGTACTTCCCAGATGTTTGTAGGTGCCTGTTACATCCTCCGCGCGCCCTGTGACCTGTCTCACCATGTCTTCCAATACAGATGTAACATACAGTTTCACGAACCGGACTCCGCAGATGAAGTTGACTCGAGGTGCTTACAAATGGCTTCTGGCGCAGATAGATGGTATGTGAGCTTCTTATCGCGCGCCTGATTATTGCTGACTGGCCTCTCCGGATCAGTGCTTGCCAACATCCGGGTCACAAAGGAAGAGATCGAATTCCTGAAGCGGCGATGTCCATATTTCAGTGACGCTTACCTGAACTATCTGACAACGTTCAAGCTCAAGCCGTCGGAGCAGATCCAGGTTCACTTCACCCCGGTACAGGATACTGGCCGTGATGATGACGAGGGTAACGTGGACTATGTCATCAAGGGTGTGTGGGTGGAGACAATTCTGTATGAGATTCCGCTCCTGGCTCTGACGAGCCAGGCGTACTTCATGTTCACTGATAAGGACTGGGACTACACTGGTCAGCAGGAGAGGGCATACCGCAAGGGCTGTGTTTTACTGGAAAACGGCTGTATATTCTCAGAATTTGGATCGCGAAGACGTCGTGACTATCACACCCATGATCTCGTGATGAAGGGGTTGAGTCAAGCTGCAGAGGAAGGCAAGAAGCAGGGCTGGAAGGGGCAGCTCACCGGCACAAGCAATGTCCACTTCGCCATGAAATACGACGTTGCGCCTGTTGGCACTGTAGCACATGAATGGTATATGACCATTGCTGCGATCACGGATGACTATGTGAACGCGAATGAAATGGCCCTCCGGTATTGGCTCGGCTGCTTTGGTGAAGGGGTAGGTCTATGGCCCCAAAGTTTCGGTCTCCACGCCCCATGAGTAACCCAGCTAGGTTCTTGGAATTTCTTTAACAGACACCTTCGGAACGCCTGCATTCCTCGACGCGTTCCGCAAACCAATCCCCGCGTTCACCAGTGCAGGCGTTGGCGCAGTCAGTACGACCGCCTCAGGAGCCAGCACAACGACCGAATCAACGATACAAAGCGAAGCCAAAACTGAGGCACCAATCGCTGCGCCCCTTCATGATGCTCAAGGCGAGCACCCTAACAAAACATACGCCCAGGTCTACACTGGTGTGCGCCAGGACTCGGGAGATCCCACGTATTTCGTCAAAATGGTACGGGATTTCTACGACCGGGAGGGGATCACGGACCGGAAGACTGTAGTCTTCTCCGACTCTTTGAATATCGAGTCCTGTCTCGAGTACAAGGTCATCGCCGAAGAAGCCGGTTTCAACCCAACCTTCGGCGTGGGTACCTTCTTCACCAGTCAGCCCCCCCAACTTTTCACCATGCTTGTTCTAGGTCCAGTCTAATTTGTATCCAGACGACTACACCAACAATTCCAACGGCGAGAAATCCAAGCCCCTGAACATCGTCATCAAGATCGCCACTGCCAACGGCCGTCCGGCCGTCAAGCTCAGCGACAACATGGGCAAGAATACGGGCGACAAGGACCTCGTACAGAAAGTCAAGAAGCAACTCGGATACGTTGAACAACAGTGGCAGGAGGGCGATGAAAGCAATCGGTGGGCTCGTAAGTAATTGAGGTGTGGCTCTCCAAGAAGTAGGACAAGTGCTGTACGTGAGTCTTGCTAATTCAGTTCTTTCCAGCATCACCACAAGCAGGGTGAAAGATACTCCAGTGCCCAAGGCAGGGCTATGTCCCCCGCATGTTTTACTTCAGTGCTGGAATTATCCCTCATCAAATCATATAGAACTTAATTCCATTAGACTCATTGAACCCGCTGATTATACCAGCTTCATAGGCGCTCCTCCGATGAAGCAGAAGCTCGATGCCTGTACGCCCGAACCCCCTAAAAAATATCGCACGAATCACGCCCCAAGATAGCCTAGTATTTGGCCTACGGGCCCCATCATCCACGTCTCGTTCACTTCCTCCAGCTCTATCAGTCTGGTCCCAACCGCTTGTTTTGACCCTGTAGAGTGATTGTCGGTCGTCACGCTTTCATCGCCCATGCTTACTGCCTATCTATCTGCCTGTCTCGTCTCCTAGATAGGCACCTTTTGCACCATCTCCCTCCACAGATGGGCTCCAACCTTCCTCCTTTGTCGGTCTAAGGAGAGTCGATCAAGCATAGAGATGAGGCATTCCCTCCGCACATTTTATATTTATTATCCCTGGCCGCATATTCTAAAATTCTCCGAGACCCATAGGTGGAAGAGCTAGAGACACACCCTCGTAAAAATACTTTTTATGGTTCTGAACACGGTGATTATTGGCTTAGTCGCAGTAATAGACGTGCAAACCACCTTACTTAACTAGGTTTGAGCGCATATACAATACTGCAATAGACTACGGATACTATCTATTGCTGCCGCTAGATGAGTCCGCAGAATTGTTAAATCTGTGACCAGGGCAGGCTGTAAGTACGGGCGATTAACGCGTGATGACTGAGAGTCACTCCCTATCTACTACTTACGGAGTACTCCGGTACTCCGTACAAAATAGATATAAGCAACCCGGACGATTGGTTGTTCCGGGTTCGCACACCACTGCTTGATCCCCGCACTCCGATACGATGCGCGGCCAGGCAGCTACGTAAGGTGGATGACCTTGGCTAAACGTACCTACGTAGCTAGCTAAAGGACAGTCACAAGGAAAGCACTTCTACGGAGATCTAGTAGGAGCCTAGGAGCCTTGGAGAGACGAAACAGGCGAGGGCGCAGTCACCAGCCCCGCCAACCAGACGCTAAGCCCAAAATGCACCACGCTCCGACACTACGACTTATGAGGTACCAGAAACTCTCCGCGGTGGTCCGACTCGGCGACTACACCGAGACCCAATCTAATCAGATCCAGCTTTCAAAACTCAACCCCTCGGGAGATAATCAGATTTGATTGATATCAGCGTCCGCACACTAGTATCACTTCTTAGTTCGTAGGTGCGTACGGAGCGGTACTACTTTTGTAAGTAGATAATACTTACATAGCCTCCAGCTATCGCAGTCTGTACGGTACAGTATTTCCTGTTATTTCTTGGATCCATAGGTAGATAGATTACACCATCGCATCCACTTCATCCCACTAGGAGCCATAGCACTCTCGCTTGCCCCTCCCGGGCTGAACTTTTCCGGGTGAAACATTTCTCGCCAGGCCGTTCAGCCATTGTTTTTATCTATCTACTCCGTACTCCGTAGTATCATTATTTGTTCTTCCCACGCAAGCAAAGTGCCGGCTTTTTGTCCAGAACACCGTGTAGCCGATTTCGGATCTCCGGTAGATCCGCTGATAGGCGAGCTCGACATAATACATAAGGCACCTTTTGGAAGGATTTTCCGTCGTTTCCCAAGAACCTCACCCACCGCGCGCAACTCCTCTACCCCTCCTGTCAAGATGTACTCTCAGTTTTGGCCCAAGGGTGGTCTCCCGGGCCTCTTGCACCATTATGTACGTGCTTGGCATTCGTCCTTCACCCCCTCCACCCCCTCCTCCCCCTCATGCTCGGCCTTGGGAAATTTACCATGATTTACCGGCATTTAACTCGTGCGTGTGCGATTAGACTGAGACCCTCACTACCTTCGAATATACATCCGCCGCTGCCCGTCAACCACACAGTATCCTCTTCGTTGGAGGTCTCGGCGATGGCCTCGCAACCACATCCTATATGGCGGATGTTGTGCGCGCGCTACAGAAGACTGAATGGTCATTATTCTCGCTGAACCTCACATCATCGTACCAATCATGGGGTCTCGGGCATCTGGACCGCGACACGGATGAGATCGCCCAATGCATTCGTTACATCAAGGATTACAAGACTGAGAAGTACGGCAACGGCAAGATCGTCCTGATGGGCCATTCGACCGGAAGTCAGTGCGTCATGCATTACCTATACCGGCCAAACCCTCACACAAGCGTTCCGGCGTTTGACCCCTGGCTGGAGCACGTTAAACGTCTGCCGCTCGATGGCGCGATCATGCAGGCGCCGGTGTCCGACCGGGAGGCGATCCTCTGGGTCTTGAAGATGGGTATTGGCGGCAAGACGGGGAGTGAGTGTCGGGAGGTATACGAAAAGGTAGAAGCATTGGCAAAGGAAGCTATTAAACATGACAAGAAGTACGACACGATCCTGCCTATCTCATTGACTTCGCAGATCGGATATCCGGGGAATACCCCGCTGAGCGCTCGGCGATTCTTGAGTCTTGTCAGTCCGGATAGTCCTCAATCACCGGGTGAGGATGACCTGTTCAGCTCGGATCTGAGTGATGAGCAGCTGGGGAAGACCTTTGGGATGATCAAGCAGCACGGTCTGCTAAAGCATAAGCTGATGGTGCTGTATTCCGGAGCAGACCAGTCGGTTCCAGATTGGGTGGACAAGGAGAAGCTGCTGGCAAGGTGGAAGAATGCTGCGAACCACAACGGCGAGGACCAAGTCTGGGACCAGGAGAGCGCCATCATCCCGAACGCTTCCCATGCGCTCAGTAACGATGACCAGGCCGAGCCACGGAAGTTCCTCGTGGAGAAGGTGCTGGGATATTTGCAGAAAGTGTAAAGATATCCCACATACAACAAATGATTGGAATGTCGTTCTAACGCGAATGGTGTGCCAAGAAAGTCGAATCCGCACGATTGCACCCAAGGCGTCGTTGCCGATGGCCTGACGGAAAAGCAGGCCTTGCAGGCAAGTGATCGACTCCTGGAGGATCATGTTTGGAAGGTGGCCAGCCGTCTCGAGAGCGGGCCGGCCAACCGTCCGGTCTCAGCGCCAATGAGTTGTGCTCTGCGAGTGTGTCATGTATTGAGATATGCTTTGTTCTTTGCGTTGGTGTACCTTTCCTTTGCATATGTTGTTCGAGCCTAGTGGCCCATTTCCTATCCATCCTGTAGCTAGCTGCATCTCGTTCAAGAAGAATACTACGACTCGGATCCCCGACCAAAGAAAGAAAGGGAGGCGGTGACCCACAGGCGGTCGGGCATTCTGCCGGTCGGGGTCTTTCAGGCGCCGGTCACTCTTCTCTCTTAAACAATCTCTCACCCTTTCTCATCTATCTCTCTACCGCTCGCTGCCCGTCATGTCTCACCGTCCAGAGGAGACCAGATACCCTCCCGGCCCTCCATACAGATCTTTCCCCCACCATGACGACTGGGATGGCCGCATGTACGATGATCGTTCGCCCTCCCGATCGCGCTCACCTGGCGGTACACGCTCTCCTCCCCGCAACCGGTAGCCCCGGATTGGATTCCCCTCCCGACATTACTCGGATCGAGCTGTTACTGACTCATTTGCCATGCAAAGATCCCCCATACTCGCCACCTCGAGGGCCGGCGGCGGACAGAAGACGCGAATACTCCAGAGACCGAGTCAATCCCCGACCCCAGTATCGCACTCAGGACCGTGATGATTACCGACGGCGCTCCTCGCGGTCACCTCCACCCCGGCGAGGGAGACCTGGGTACAAGGATCGCGACCACAAGGGCTACCGCTCGCCGGGATACCGCAGCCGCAGCAGAAGTTACAGCCGCAGCCGGCAGCCGCACTACGGGCAGGAGAGCAGAGAGGTGATGATGGATGGTATACCGGTGGATATGGTGGAAGAAGATGTTTGATAACCCCTCTGTTTCATCGCTAGCTCCAGAGCCGCGCTTCACTCCGACTCTGTTTTGGCAGGAGGCTGAGAATGCATGTCACCGGGTTCCGGTCGACATGGGTTACAGATTTCGCATGAGCTGAAAGAGTTCTACCATGTCGAGGGTCTAGAAGACATCCGAATCATCCGTGACCGGCAGACCAGTAAGTTTGAGGCCCATTACGTACTCTTCAGTACTGACAACGGCTCAGAGATCTCCCGCCAGCTGGGGTTTTTGCAGTTTCGGAATCTCAGCTTCTCGCGGGCCTTTATTCAGAATAATTTCCCTACAATCTACCTCCACGGTCCAAATGCACAAAACGACAGCGGCACAAAAGTCCGCATCGCATACAGTCGTGAAAGGGAAGACCGTGCTCGAGCTCGAGCAGAGACAGACTGGAGCTGTATAATAGTAAGTACAAGGCACCTTTTCACGAATAGAGCTAATCAGCACAGTGTGGTATTATCAATTACTCTACTCGTCAGAAATGCTTTAGATGCCAAGCACCACGGCCTGGTATATTCTTTCCATGACTTTGCAATTCTCAGCTAACAGGAGTAGATGCTGGCCCGGCAGGCCCTCCTGGGATACCCGCACCGAGAGTGGAAAATCATGGAGACAATGATGCTGCGCCTGAGAACCAGCCCTCTCAGTTCCTGCTCTTCCGCGGACTCGAGCCATCTGTTACAGAAGAGCTCCTTGCGAAAGGCGTGGGCAAACTTTACCGCCCCACGCTCACCAACCCGGATGCCCCAGGAACACAGAAAAAGGGAGCCAAGGTAGCCTCTACCACGGGCGACTCGAACCTCGGAGCGCGGGATGGCTCCATCCGTCGTATCCTGTTAGTGAGAGACCGCAGGAGCAATGAAAGCTGGCGCTACGGATTCGCTGAATTTGCGACGATCCAGGTATGTATACCAGGCATCATCAACACCATTATTTGACTTGATTTCATTTCATCATACACGCATGTTTCGGCTATACAGCCTAGTGGCAGAAGATCTAATACCTTGCAGGATGCCCAAGCAGCAGTTACACGTCTCAACTCCTTCGATAAATTCACCATTTCGTCAAGGCCGGTCATGGTCAGCTATATTCACGCTGGTGTGTTTGTACCAGTACTCAACCCCACCTCGATCGCGGAACGGTTTACATTCAGCCCACTGAACAATCCGGCCCTCAAGCTAATGTACTGGGACGAAGAGGCCTACGTAACGGAACTCACGGTTTCAACGGCCGACATCGACAATGTCAAGGCTGAGAAGAATGCAGGTGCATCCGATGCCCAAAAATCTAAAGATGCAGAGAAGGCCAAGAAGAGAAAGTCGGAGGCTGCACCTACTGCAGGCGCCAAGAAGATGGCAGTACCGTCTCACCTGCAATTCTGGAGCAACCGCCATGCGGAACTGCATGGGATCCAGAAAAAGGAGACAGACGAAAAGAGTATAGAGCAGGGTTCGGAACACGGATGGCCTCCGCCAGACTCATCCGCGCCTCCCACCCAGTCCTACGCCGACCCCAAGCGGAACTGCTGCTACCTATGCATGCGGCAGTTCCAGTCGGCATCAGAAGTCAATCTCCACGAACGCTTCAGTGAACAGCACCGCGAGAATCTGAAAATTGAGGAATTGACCGCCAAGGGTCTGGGCAAGCTCATTAAACATGGGATAATCCCTGCGCCCACGGAGTACCGGGATCGCGCACGCGAGCGACGCCAGGCATTCGGTCGATCCAAACCCTCAGGCAACACCAACACCAACACCAAGCCGGCACCACCTGCAAAGAAAGAGGAACCGCCGGTGCAGAGCACGTCCAAGGGCGCGTCCCTCCTCAGCAAGATGGGTTGGTCAGCGGGCAGCGGCCTGGGGGCTCAGGGGACGGGCATGACAGCACCGATTGCAACGGAGGTGTACGCGCAGGGCGTGGGACTTGGGGCGCAGGGAGGTAAACTGGGCGATGCCACCGAGGAAGCAGGCCGCAACACGCGGGGCCGCTACGACGAGTTCCTCCAGAAGACCAAGCAACAGGCGCGAGAACGCTACGAACGGATGGACCAATAGTACGGAGTACACTTGTATAAAATGATCACTCGATTCCCACCACCGACCACCTCCTGTACGTAGTCTAATGTGATGGTCTAGTACCCGGCCGGGTCAATCCTCTCCGGCAGACCGGGTCGGTCCAGGTTGGTGAGACACCCCTGGGCCCAGTCGGCTGGAGTGAATCGGTCCACAATCTCTTTAAACGCGGCCAGCGTGCAGAAGCGCTCGTCGCCGCGCCAATTGCGCCCGGGGGCGCGGCAGCCCGGCACCACCAGCGACTGGTTGTTGTAGCGGAGACGCACATAGTAGGGCGCCAGGGCTTCCTGCTGGCGAGCGGAGAGGGCATCAGTCGGCATCCGCCCGATAGGAGGTGCGCCCGGGGACGAGGCATCTCCCAGTCCCGGGTCCTCGTCCCGGAACAGCTCGACCGCCAGGATGGAGCCGTACGGGGGCCAGTTCCCCGGCCGGCGCAGGTCCACAGCCCCGAGGGCGGTTGCGATGGCGCCCAGGGTCGAGTCGTGCGAGCCCGCCAGAAAGAGCCGAGCGCCGTCGCGTCTCTGGGCCGACTGCACCATCCGTTGCACCACATCGCCCAGGAGGGGCCCGACCCCCAGCACTCGCAGCTCGTGGCTCTCCTCGTACCCGCCAAACTCCTCTTCGAACGCGATCCGCTCCACGATCTGCTTCACCTGCGCGTCGTGGAATTCCGTGGGCAGCCGGAGACCGGGAGATCCGCTGGCGGCGGTCGAGTGGATGATATCGTGGATGCCGTGGATCCGGGGCTTCCCATCCACCGCCACTCGCTGCCCGGATGGCATGCGGGCCCCGAGCAGGGTGTTTAGGTAGTCCACCTCCGGGCTATGGTTCCCTGGTCGGCAGAGGTTAGTTCTAGTCCATGTCGATTGAGGGCTTCCATAGCCTTACACCGGTCGGCCGTCCGTCGCATGTATGCCTTACTGATTTGGATAAATCGCTGGCAGTAGTCCTCGTTGGGAAGGACGGTCTCTTCCTGCGGGCTGCGCATCACGATCCGCGGGGCCCCGAACGTGGAGGCCCGGCTTCCTGCGGGGAGGAACCCCCGGATGACATGCTGCAGCGACTCCAGCGCCCGGGGGTACGGGGACGAGCGGAAAGTAATGCGGTCAGGGTTGGCCATGATCGCGGGGAACAGCTGTAGTCGATCGATATAGAGCCTCCGCAGCTCCGCCCCGAGGGCGACCATGCCCGCGCGGCCCTGGTCAGTCAGCTCGCCGTGGTTGCTGCATGGGTCGGATTGCCGGGTCTTAGCTGAGGATGATCATGGGATTCATGGCTCCATGGCATGCATTACTCACCATAGACTATCACCTCCAGTAGCAAGAACCGGGCCATCATCATTAGGACCGAATGTTTCGAGCGCCCGTCGCCAGCTGAAGATGGGGTCTGTTTCACCCCCATCATGTGGCAGGACTCCCGTATAGCGATGCTGGACCCCTGCGCACAGCGGCCAGACTGCACCACGGACGGCCCTTAGCAGATCCCCCGGATACTGATGGGGGGATGATAAACATACATCGAGGAAGGCCCAACTCCTGCGTGGCATAGAGTTAGCATCCATAATCTCTGTTGGGCCTCGGGACTCGGCATCTACCTTGAGAAAGATTGGAGCCGTGGGTGTCCGCGCGCCTATACCTGTCAGATCGGTCCTCACGGGGAGCAAGTGGCATCATTCACCATGACGAAAGAACTACACGCGACTGTCAGCGGTGAGAGGTTGGGTTGGATGGCCCGCGTGGTACATACAAGGTCTACTGATTCCAATCTCAGGCCGTCTGGGTACGGCGGGGTTGGATCTTCCGACGACAGCATGGTAATGAGACTGCTCTCCGACGTCGAGCTTATAGCAAGAAACCCCCCCAGTCAGCCAACTCCCAGGTTAAATGTAGATTGGAAGTCGTTTGAATGAAGGGTCTGGGAGTGCGTTGCCCATCACGTGCCCCCTCACCCCTTGCCTCCCTGCCTGCCTTCTAGATAGGAGCCCGACCTCAAGGCTGGTTGGATGGAGGCCTGCAAACAACAACATGGCCTCATGACCACATCAAGGTGCTTGATCGAGCTCGCCAATCCATCTTGATGCCAGCCAAAAAGGCGCGGAGGAGGAAGAACAGCAGTCACCTGACCACCTTAGTGCCTTAGTGCCTTGGTGCCTTGGTGCCCATCCTTGCCCGGCTTCTTTTATCTGGACGACCAACGAGATCTTAGCCGGTAGACACCGCTCCTTGCGCTAGGAGAGGCACACACCTCAGACCTCCTCACTCACCCATACCATCCTTGCCGTATGACTTAGCTGCAATTTCCCCCCCCTCCTTCTCTCTCCGTGGCCGCTTCCGACCTGGGCCGCGTTTACTGCTCGAAGTGCGATTTCGTTGGCATCAATATGTCGGATCCCAGCTCGCGGCGCGATAACGGCCAACACCGCTCGTGGCGGGCCCAATTTGTCAACTTCTTCCGTGGACCTTCGTCAAGCAGCCCCCAGACAGAACCAGTCCCGGAGACCCTAGAACCCAGCGACAGAACCCACTTGTTAAAATTGGATAATGAAGAGGGTCCTGCGTATGGCGCCAGAGACTCCTGTAGCCAACCGCCCATAGGGCGGGAAGGAAATCACCAATGGGGCCCATACTCGATGCCGGGGACTGATGAGCAGACTGCTATCCCAGGCGACCATGACGGAACACATTTTGTACAGGGGCCAGAGAACATGCCCAGGCTAGGGCCAACCATCACATGGCCCGTCGAGAACCATAAATCCCTGTATGTGTGGTCTTTGGGCCCTCAGAACGGGATCCTAGAGGCGACAGGACCATGCTAACGGCGCATCGGAAATCTAGATATATATCCTACTACATTCCCTTCTTCAACTGGATACCCCAGTATCGTTGGTCCTTCTTCCGGGGCGACTTGATTGCAGCTTTGACAATCGCATCGATCTATATTCCGATGGCGCTCTCATTAGCTTCAAACCTCGCGCATGCACCAGCCCTCAACGGTCTTTACTCATTCGTGTTTCACCCCTTGATCTATGCGATCTTAGGAAGCAGCCCTCTCTTGGTTGTGGGTCCAGAGGCAGCTGGGTCTCTACTGACTGGCACCATTGTCAAATCCAGCGTCAACCTAGGTCATTCGCGAGAGGACGACGAGGCCGCCAGCGCCATGGTGGTGGGCATAGCGACTGCTATGGCGGGAGCCATGATATTAATTGCCGGGCTGACTCGGTTGGGCTTCCTGGATAATGTGCTCAGCAGGCCATTTTTGAGAGGCTTCATCACCGCGATCGGCTTTGTTATTTTTGTGGATCAGCTCATTCCAGAGGTCGGCTTGGCTGAGTTGGCCAAGGACTCTGGTGTAAGCCATGGAAGCACGGTGGAAAAGCTGGTGTTCCTCGCGGAGAATATCAGGTCATGCCACGGCCTAACGGCTGCAGTATCCTTCGGTAGCTTCGCCATTATAATGCTGTTTCGGTACGTAGCACCATTCCGTCGGAGATTTCAACTTTGCTAAACATACCCAGAACGATAAAAAAGGCATTGGAGCCACGGTACCCCCAGGTCGTGTACTTCCCCGACCGCATCATTGTTGTTATTCTGTCGGCCATTCTGACCTGGAAGCTTGGCTGGTATGAGAAGGGGCTCGAAGTTCTCGGTCCAGTTCAAAATACTGCGAATGGCCTTTTCGCATTCAGGTGGCCCTTTCAGCTCAAGCACTTGAAGCATGTGCGTACTGGAATGAGCACGTCTTTCATGATTGCGATCCTTGGGTTCTTCGAATCCTCCGTTGCCGCCAAGGGACTCGGGGAGAAGCGAGATGGCGTGCAGGGCATGTCTGTAAGCGCGAACCGGGAAATGGTTGCTCTGGGCGTCGCCAATGTCGTCGGGGGTTGCTTCATGGCGCTTCCTGCGTTCGGCGGATATGGAAGAAGCAAGGTCAACTCTTCAACGGGCGCTCGCTCTCCTATGAGCAGTATTTTCCTCAGTATCATTACATTCGTCTGCATTATGGTGCTCTTGCCATACTTGTATTACCTCCCGGTAAGTCCTCTCCTGTGCGCCCAACAATGAGGCTGTCGCTGATGTCTACCGTAGAAAGCTGTCCTAAGTTCTACGATTTCTGTTGTCGCATATAGTCTTATAGAGGAATGTCCCCATGACGTCGCATTCTTTCTTCGGTTGCGCGGTTGGTCCGAACTCGCTCTTATGCTCCTCATCTTTGTCTCGACGATTTTCTATTCCTTAGAGTTGGGCATCGCGCTGGGCATTGGTCTCTCCATTTTGATTCTCATCCGCCACTCCACCCAGCCTCGCATTCAGATTCTTGGGAAGTTAGCCGGTACATCTAACCAATTCGACAATGCCGAACTACACGCAGAGAATGTTGAACTCATAGAGGGCGCGCTCATCGTCAAGATTCCGGAGCCGCTCACGTTCGCAAACACCGGTGATCTCAAGAATCGCTTGCGACGTCTAGAATTCTACGGCTCCAACCGCGCCCACCCTTCCCTCCCGCGGTTGCGATCGCCGGAGCATAATAAGAACATCATCTTCGACGTCCATGGCGTCACAAGTATCGATGGCTCCGGGACCCAAGTCCTGTCCGAGATTGTGAATGATTACAATTATCTGGGAGTCAAGGTTTTCTTCTGCCGTGTTCCAAATCGCGACGTGTTCCGCAGGTTCGAAAGGAGCGGCATAGTTGAGCGATGCGGTGGGATGTCTCATTTCGTCTCCAGCGTCGACGAGGCACTTCGATTCGCTGAATCGGAGGTTCGCCCGTTGGAACCCTGAAGTTCAAGCTGACGTCAGGACGTCAGGACGTGTACATGATCTGGTTCCATAATACAATATATATACACTGTGCTCCGTACCTAGAACACTTGTCAACAAAGTATTCTATATAGTAAAAAATCTCCTGGGTGCTTGGCCTGTTTCAGTTTCGCTCTGCATGCCTCTAGTAGCCCCAGCCCCCTTGTATAGTACCTCGGTATCTTACCCGTATCGAGATAATACCTAAGTAATAAAGCGGGCTTTTGATGTGGGGGAACATTTCTCCGTACCGAGAGCGCGCGCGCCTGACTGAACTGCCAGGGTGACAACATTCCACAATAACTAAGTATTATCTTCCCTTCCATGATTGACTAACTGGCTTGACCCAACATTCGGCTACCAGGATGGAGGTCCTTAGCCATGAATCGGAGTATACCATAGAAGATGTATGTCCAGCCCTCTCTCATCATGGTATAATCAGAAGCCTCTAACACGCGCAGTGCCAAATGGCTCTCAAGACAGCTTTTTCGGAGAGGGAGTACGAGAGGTCACTAGCAAAGGCCACGCAGCTTTTGGACATGGAAATGCAGCGAGCGTGCCAGACAGAGCAGCTGATTCTGCAATTCGAAAACGAGAGCCTGCAGTATCAGTTAGGCCGAGTCAAACAGGAGTTAAACCAAGCGGGGAGCAACGAGTCTGATACGCGAGCCTCGCTACTCGGAATGACGCATGATCGCAATCGGTTGCAGACGGCCGTCCATGCTGCATCTCGCGAGATCGAGGGTCTTCGGGTGTGTACCTCCCCGCTTCTCGAACGAATGACTGTCGTCTAATAAGTGTGACAGCGCGAACTCGCAATAACCAGCAACACTACTCTGGAGTCTAGAAATCTGGCTAGCGAAAACAGGGCTCTATCCAACCAGCTGGCTAGTATGCAGTCTGAGGTCGAGAGACTGCGATCACAGGAAACCTTGCAACCCTTGCTTGCGGAGAACCAGTCACTTGTCCATCAAATCAAAGCCCTCGAGGTGGAATTCGATCACGAGAAGCAGGCTCATAGAGCTACCCTGTCTCGCGTAATACAGCAAACAGACGAGATATCCGCGCTGACTAAAAGGGCGGAGGAGCAACGGAAGCAACTGCTGGCGGAGGCTCGACAGGCGCCTGTCGCCCCGCAACAAACCCAGACATGGGAGACTGAAAAGATTGCCTTTCAAGAAAAGATTGAGACGTTGAACCGAAAGTTGAAAATCGCCAAGGAGCAACTTCAGGAAGCAGAGAAGAGCCTGAAAACTAATAGCAGGCTTGCATCCGCTAGAAGCAGTGGTCCCGCGGAGCAATCCAAGCCGAACCCTGTTCAACACTTTGCCCGGCGAATCAACACCGACTTGACTATTGCAACACCGGGCGCCGTCCGCATCAAAGACAGGAAGAAGCAGTCAACTGCGCTTCCTGGCGACAAGTCAGCGTTCTCGATCACGCCGTTTCTCAACCGCACGGGCGGACAACACGATTCTCCTGGCAGCTCCCAAGATGAGGGAAATGAGGCCGGTGAAATCGACGATGCCCACGAGACTTCTTATCTCGACGGTAAGATCCAGGACGAGTCGCAGGACGAGCCCCCCCAAGAACGCCGCCAAGGCCCGGGAAAGCAACGCTTGAATAAATCCATGGCTCCCAAGAAAGGGAGCCGCTTGAGGCCAGCGGACGACGACGATGATAGCGACGAGGCTGGGCGCCCTACTGCCTCACTCGCCCAGTCTATTTCTCAAGCGCAGGCCCGCACCAAAAAGCGTAAACTGGGGGCCCAGAGTAAGATGGTCATAGAGGATGAGGGGGAAGATCTAGAGCCTATGGAGGTCCGCAAACCAGGTCGTAAACTTGCCCTGGGACTGGGGCGCAATACTAGTCTGCAAGCCCCTGGGTTCGGGGGCTTTGGCGGATTTTCGCCCTTGAAGCGGGACAGGAAGCAAGTGTGACGGGGACGCCTTATTCCGTGGCCACATAGCGGGTGAGCTCTTCTATCGTTTGGCTTCTTCCTGATTCCAACTATATCCAACCATGGGTGGTCCTATTCCAGCGGGTTTCTTTTTCTTTCTTTTTCTTTTTTTTTCCCCACGAGGTTTTCCAGATTGTTGATTGGTTCGTAAGTGCACGCATGTGTCAGCCGTACTCTACTTTGCACACCTACGGGTAAATGCACACGGCGTCAAGCCAGCCAGCATGAATTCAACAAGAACCGGTACAAGATGATTGATAGAGCTCGATATGGGATCCGCGCCGAAGTTTGGATGCGGGGGCTTGCAGGCACGGGGGGGGCCGCTAGGCCCAGCCCGGACCAGTGCAACTGTGCAAAACACTGACTGCCGTGCACTTGCATCTGCCAACGGCGCATCCCGAACAACAGAACAAAAAAAGGAGGCGGTCCTTTGGTGTCATTCATCTCAGGGGCGGAAGAAGAGCCGGGAAAAAAAAAAGGAAAAAAAAAAAAAAAAAAAAAAAGAAATGACACTACTATAAATACCGGCGCCATCACTTCTGCTCCGGCGGGCGACGTGTTGGCAGTGGCACCGTCGCTATCGACCCGCTTCTCCTTTTAGTGGTAAAAATCCCCCTTTCAAACCTCCCCAAAATTAATTCCGTCGGCCGATCCATCACCATCCCATCGCCAGTCTTTCGTGATTCGACCCAAGGTCTTTTCCCTATTTTAATCCACGTCAAACCGTTCCATCCCCCCCCCCCCCCCCCGACGACCACCTGTCCTTTCCTTTCCTGCTTAGTGAGGCATAATAATTATATCTCGGATCTGTGCCCTCAACGCCCCTACCAACCATTGCGATCAAGAACTGCGATCTATTATCGTCTGCTAGACTGCCTCCGAACGAGCCACCAGGGTTAACGTGCGTCATTATGGATGAGTCCCTCGAGCCCGAATTCATCGCCCCTCCTGTCCGCGCCTCCTCGCCCTCTCCCTCCATCCCAGCGACGCCCGCCATCTCCTCCTGCCCCTCGCCGGACCGCACCTTTTCCACCGTTTCGTCGCTGTCGACATCCTCCGCCACCTCCTTCGATGCCCGGTCGTCCGTCTCCATCTCGTCGAAGAGACGCGGTTACATCCGCCCCCAGGGGGCCGAGTTCGCCGACTCCGCCAAGAACCGGGAGAGCGTCATGAGCCTGGGGAGCATCGCCCACCTGCAATACTACTTCGCCCGGACGGGGCTGCTGGACGGCAAAGGGGCCCAAGCTCGCGAGTTCAAGAAGCGGAAGAACCCGGACGAGCTACCCCGGCTTCTCCTGACCCCCAATGCTCGCTTCATCGATGACCTGACTGCCAGTCCCACTGATGAGGAAAGCTCGGACCCAGGCGAGGCCGAGGGGATGTATGACGAGGAGGTCGAAGTCATGCTGCCCCCGACCGTGAGCACATACAGCATCAAGACCCACCATATCCAGCCGCCGCCTAAACTCAAGGTACTGCGGAAGGAGCTGCAGAATGCGATGGCGAAGGCGGACAGGAGCATCGACTCTATTGACTCCCAGAAGGAACCGCCGGCCGAGATGGTGCCCCCGCGGATCAGTCTGTCCAGCGACGACGGAGGGGATGATGCATCGCGTCAGGTACCAGAGGAAGCGATCCCACAGACATGGCAAGAGATCCAAGGAATGCGGGTCCTAGATGCCGTGACGCTGGCCATCCGCGCGGCCAAGATATACTACACGGCGCACGAGCGTCCCGACCGACTCGCGTCGATCAAACACGAGCGTGACATCCGGCAGGAGCTCTTCAACGTGCTGGAGGTTCTGAAGCGATGGGCGGCGCGCAACTTCGCCGACGGGCTGCGGGAGGACGAGCGGTCTGCGATTGTCGACTGGATGTCCAACGTGCGCGACATGCTGGCTCGGGAGGCGCAGATGGAGTCGTTTGAGGCCAAGGAGCGCGCGGCGTGGCTGTGGACGGAGGGCGAGTGGGCGGGTCGGCAGCGCGAGCGGGAGACCTTGTTCCTGCGTAGTCTGATCGGCGCCGACGCCGAGCTGCCAACGTGGACGGCGCCGGAGGAGGGCTCGCCGCCACCGGCCCTGCTGGAGCGGCTGCGCGACGGCCGCGACCTGGTGCGCGCCCATAACTTTGCCGTGAAGAACTCCAAACGGCCCTTCTTCGACATCAAGACATACCACCAGGACGTCGCCAAGCCCTACCGGCGCGCCGAGAACCTGCGGTTCTGGGTGAAGGCGGCGGAGCTGCGGTGGGAGACCAAGCTGGAGCTCGACGTGATGGGACTGGTGCAGGGCAGTGGCGATGAGGTCTGGAGGAAGTTCGACGCGGCCCTCCTGGCGTGGTGTCAAGTGGTCCGCGAGGAGCTGGTGCGAGACTGGCGCGAGAGGAGGGCATCGGCGGCGAGTCTTCCCCCCGACGACCTGGTGGTCCGGCCTGCCTGAGGGGCATCAGTAGCGAGATACCTGGGGAAGGGAATGGGAAGAAGAAGAAGAAGAAGAAGAAGAAGAAGAAGGGGAGGGGATGGGGGAATAATGGAAGGCGAGTTGGACCCGATGGAGGAGGAGGATTGGGACCACGTAGGTTGGCTGGGTTATTGCGTTTGTTTGCTGTCTGTGTCCACTCGGACCACATTGATACCCCTTACTTGTCTGGAGTTTTGTTTCTTCTCCGGGGCTGGGCTGCACACACCCATGCCTGCCTGTCTACCATCACTACGGACTATTGTTGCTACCAGAATCTGATTATGTGATTATCTTTTGGATCATCAACCCCGGCCGCCAACCCCATCTGTCAAGTCACGTGACGTGCGCGTTTCCCACCGCCGTGTTCGGCCTGAGCCACTCAGCCAAGGAGGGCAATTTCCGGTGAGGGCCGCTAGCCGAACCCGACCGGCCACCGTCACTGCCTGGGCTATTACGTGGTTCCCCTTTTCTTTTTCCTTCTTTCACTCTCCGGTTTCAGTCGTGCCCAGCAGAGCCGCTCGCCATTCCATGGCTGAGATGCTTTAGTCGGTGACCCGGACCGGGCCTCCAGAACCCTGGCGCCTAAACTCTGCAGACTCGACCAAGAGTGCGTGCAATGCCGTAATTGCCGTTGGCACTTGGTCTCCCCCCCCCCCCCCACGAGCCATGGTAACTTGCAAGGCTGAGCCAGTACTGGTGAAAACACGCAAATCCCCCGACACAGACTACTGAGAAGCAGAACGAACTCCCTCTGCGCCCCAGTGGGTCTGTCTTTACCCAGATCAGGCTGTGCCAGTCAGTGCACCGACCAAGCAGTTATATACGCCCCGGGCGTCCGGGGCCGCTCTTCCTTTCTCCATCCTCCCTCCTCCCTCCTCCTCCCTCCCCCCTCGTCCTCGCAACCATGAAGTCCGCCTCCGCCCTTCTACTCCCGCTGGCCTGCTTCGCCCACTCCGCCTATTCCCTCACCCTGCACGAGCGCGATGCCCCCGCCACCCTCCAGTTCGACATCGCCCGCCGTCAGGCCCCTGGCCGCGCGGCTTACAAGCGCTCAACCGCCAGCGCGGATATCGTCAACCTCGTGAGTCCCTTGGCCCTATCTCCCGCCCCCAGTTCCAGCTAACAACCTAACCCAGGCCACGAACCTCGGCTACACGATGAACCTCACGCTTGGCACTCCCGCCCAGAAAGTCAGCGTCACGCTCGACACCGGCAGCAGCGACCTGTGGGTCAACGCGGGCAATTCAACCACCTGTCCCTGCGAGTACGGCTCCTACAACCTCAACACCAGCTCCACATACAGCTACGTCAATAGCGACTTCGAGATCGAGTACGTCGACGGCAGCGGTGCATACGGTGACTATGTGACGGACACCCTCGCCTTCTCCAACGCCACCCTGAAGAACTTCCAGTTCGCCGTCGCCTACGAAAGTGACTCTGACGGTACGCCTCCCGGATTTCCCCCAAACCCAACCTTTCCTCCCCCCCGTGTCTAACCCCAAGCAGAAGGCGTCCTCGGTATTGGCTACACCACCGACGAAGCGTCCGAAGAATTCGACGTCTCCTATAAGAACCTCCCCCGCGCCCTGGTCTCCCAAGGCATCATCAACTCCGCGGCCTACAGTCTCTGGCTGGACGACCTCTCCTCCGGCGAAGGCTCGATCCTGTTCGGCGGCGTCAACACAGCCAAATACACCGGCAGCCTCAACACCCTCCCGATCGTGCCGGAGGACGGCGTGTACATCGAGTTCGCCGTCAACCTGACGGGCGTGCACCTGACGAAGAGTGGCGCGGCGGTGACGGTCAACAACACCAACTCGTTCCCGGTGGCGGGCGTGCTTGACAGCGGCACTGCGCTCACCTACATCCCGGACGGCGCAGCCGAGAGCATCTTCAACGCGGTGGGGGCGGTCTACAGTTCCGAGCTCGGCTACGCGCTCATTGAGTGCTCCGTGACGAAGGAAGACTTCGAGGTGATCTACGAGTTCGACGGGTTCAACATGACGGTGGACATCAGTGAACTGGTGCTGGACGATGACGACGGCAACATCTGCACCTTCGGCATCTCCACCCAAGGCGACAGCGATGTTCTCCTCGGCGACACCTTCCTGCGCAGCGCCTACGTCGTCTACGACCTCGCCAACAACGAGGTCTCCCTCGCCCAGGCCAACTTCGACCCGGGCGCCGACCACGTGCTGGAGATTGGATCCGGGTCTAACTCCGTTCCCCATGACTCCGGCACCGGCAGCAACTCCAGCAGCAAGAAGAGTCTGGCGGCGATGACGCGCCCCGATTTGACGGCTTTGGTGGGGGGTGTCGTAGCTGTCGGCATGCTATTGGCGCTGTAAATGACTTGATTTTTTTTTTCTTTTTACATATATATATATTTCCCGTGTTCATCTGACGATTTCTTTTTCTTTTTTTTTTTGATATCCCGACTGTGTATATTTACATGATATCCATATTCTTTCATTTAGCCTGTCTGTATATACATACAATAGAGCCTTCCGATTGGAAAACTTCTCGATTCTGTAGTCAATACGCCATCAGTATCTTTGTTCCTTATTATTGCTTAGTAGTAGTAGTAGTAGTGGCGGCGAACTCAAAGAGAACCAGGCAACAGCCAAAAGCCCAAAGCCAAAAAAAAACGCTGACGACAGCCCGAAAACCACTCGCCCAACCCCAACCAACCATCTCCCCCAGACTCCAGCCCTTGACGTCAAGCTGCATGTCTGCATCCCCCACACTCCCTCACAAGTCACACAAACACGCGGCGCCTGCTTCACCTTGTCGAAGAGAACCAACCCGATGAGTAATCATCCACGCATTAGTTAGTTAACTATTATGTAACCAGGCCAACATCTTATCGGTCTGGTCGGATTGCCTGATCTCAACGCCAAGCCCCCGCCGCTTCAACCGGATCGACGGAACTGCGGATCGTCTAGAATCGAATCCCTACACCCTGCAGCTTCAGCTTCGGCTTCAGCTTCAGTCAAATAGTTAACTACTTTTGCACCAGACCAGTAACCAGTCCCCCCCCCCCGCGATGTTGTCGTTTGCACCCCCGAAGCTCAGCAAGCTGCTGCCCTGGGGAGACCGCATGGTTTTTAACCTGCCTCCGATCAAGGTCCATGAGATCGATGTCGCCCAGGAGAAGCCCGCCCGCGCACTGAAACATCTCCTCAAATTGAACCACATCAACTACGCCATCTTGCACAATGAGCGCAAATTCCACAACCATGCCCCCCACGTTCGTTCATTCCCTGCCCCGCTCATCCGAACCCGAGACTGACTCGCGCAGATACTCAGTTCCTCTTTCCTGCAAGGCGCAGACGCGGAGGATCTGGGCCGTGTCTTCGACGCCGAGTCAAAGATGCTGGAACCCTGGGTGGATGCACCGGCGGAACTCAGCACCGAGGATTGGAGGGATTATCTGTCGTGCAGAGAGTATGTATCTTCTGATGCATCTGATGTACCTGCCTCCCAGCAGTGCAGTGATCGCGCCAGATGCGCAGCTAACTAACAACCCATGGGCTTCCAGATACCAACGCGCATTTGTAGACTTCTTCGAGGACGAACTCGTCCATCAGGGATATGACTGGAAGGAAGTCGTTATGGACTACTTGTTTTCCGGAAAGGAGCCATTGTTCAGTTCCATTGCTGTAGATCGTACGCTATGCCCACTCAACGACGTCCCCTTGGAAGAACTGACCTTACTGACTGACCATTCAACCCCAGTCGGACACCCCCTGATTCATCTCGCATATGCGTTCGAATTCTCCAGCCGCGAAGTGGCCATGGAGGCCCTCGCGTTAACCGCGACCTGCTACGGCAGCATCCACAAATACATCGACGACCCGTCTTACTCGCAAGCCGAGTCCTCGCACCAATCCACCTCCCTCTTCGAGATCCTGCGCAAAGTCCGCGCCGATAAGCGATTCCACGGCATCTTCGGCACCCCGGGGGGTCAGAACATGGAAATCCTCTTCCGCACCCACGAAGGTCTCCTCCTCGACCACTGGAATGCCTGGAAGATCGACGATCCTGTCACCCAGTTCCGCGAGAGCCAGGAACTCGCCGTGGCCATCCTGACCGCCACGCCCTCCGATCGCACTTCCGAACAGTACGATTTCTTCTTCGTCCACCTGCTCACCACCAGCCACGCCGTGCGCGTCCTCCTCCCCGTCATCCCGCCCCGCTTCCAAGTCTCCCTCGTGCGTCAGTGGTGGCTCCTCACGCTGTCGGTCTACATCGCGCAGCTTCGCCCCGAAATCGACCTCGACCGCATCCGTTCCTACGCCCTCGCCGGCCGCGACTGGTCCTGGACGGCCACGCAGGCTGTCAAGGGCCGGTTCTCTACCGATTCGCACTACGTCAAGGCCCTCCGGGCTTTCAAAGAATGCGCCAGTACCTGGGGCGACTCGGACGCGTTCTACCTGAAGGCTGCGGTCCGGTTTGGCGAGGAGTTTGATGGCTGGGGAGGATTTGTCTAGTCTAAGTAGAGATGACGGCTTGTCTTTGTCACGGGAGCGGCGTTTTACTTTTTTTAAATTTTGTCCTCCATCCTGGAGACTATATGCTACTGACTGATTTGGCGCTACTTCTTCCGCCGCGGATACCGCTTATGTTTCCCTCATCCCTTGTTTTCTTCTTCTTCTTCTTCTTCTGACCTATTGGAGTGTTACACTTAGCTGGCCTATGAAGCTCAGGGTCGTGTAATGATACCGAGCAACATGTCTCGGTCTTGGGTGGGGGGGAGGGGAATCTACTTCTGTAATGCCTGTAAGCAAGACATCACCTGGCAGGCGCGCCCCCCCCCCCCCCCCCCCCCCCATCCAACCTTAAGAAAATTAATATCGATATGGAATTACAACGGAATAAGGAGGAGTGAGAACAGAAACCGCTTCCTACCGTACTACCATACTACCGTACCGTTCCGGGGTCGCGATACGAGGACGTATGTACTTATCGATCTAGGTAACTAGTTACGGAGTAGAAGTTTTTTACAATGGTGTTGGAGTGTGTGGGATTAGGAGGGAAAAGGGAAGGGGGAACAAGGAACTGGAAGATTGCTACTATATGTACAATTTGAGGTTCTGGCTATACTTTGTACTTCCAAGTTGCGGTATCTAATATTATTATCTAGATAGCTTGCGGAGGGGCCGGCCACTCCAGTAGAAGTAGTTGGTTAGTGGCCCGCAATGATAATAAGCGGTGGACTACTACTGTATTACTATAGTACTCCGTACTGACTACTACTACAGTGGACTGTGGGGACTGGAGAACCCTGCCCCGCCTTCACTCCAGCCGACAACAACTTGGGACCCTGGACGTGTTCCCGTTAGGATCCGGAGACCTGGGTAGTAGCTTCAAGAAGAAGAAAAACGATGGCAAGTGAGGATGACCAAAACACAATTCGGCAACTCGACAGATCCCCTTTCCAAAAGAGGAAGTATTCTCCCACGTGACTCTCGTATTTTTCAGCTAAGCCCTTTTTATCGCTACAGTAGCCTTTAATTGGCGCAGGTGGAGAGGCGAGAATTAGTCATCAGGAACTTGCGGGACAGCATCCGGAAGTGTGAAAGTGAACGCCATCCAGAAATTGATCCTCTTGCAAACCAGCAAATCAACCAACTAAGCCTAAACGCGCCTCCAGTCGACACGCGTAATGGCGCCGCAGAAATCTGTGGCTGAGATGCCCCGTTCTATCCTGCCGCGTCTGACTTGGAACGGCTCCTCTGCACGCACTACCATCACTTCTCCCCAGACCACCGCTCTCTCAGTAAGGCGCCAACAGAGGCAGCAGTCTGCACGGAGCTGGACCCCTGTTGGACGGCAACTATACACCTCGCCTCACTCTTCCATACGCCTCGCCATAGCCGCCCACGGGATCGGCGCATCGTCAGTAACCGCCCGACGGTTGTCTGTATCCAGCCCCCGGCCGCCGAGCCCCCCAGCAACCCTATCCGATACAACGGTGTTTATGTCGCTACATTCAACCATGCTCGGAGAGCCTTCCACGCCTCAGCACCGCGTCAGCGGGATCACTATTTCGATACCTTGAAGTTTGTCCAACGCTTGAAGGATGAAGGGTTCAGCGAGGAACAGGCCGTTGCGATGATGAGGGTCCTGAATGATATTATCCAGGAATCTATTCAGAACTTGACCCGGACCATGGTCCTCCGAGAAGGTTAGTTGACCTTTGCTTTTTTTTGTTTCTCTTCATGGACCCCGCCCCCCCTCCCTCCGTCTTGTCACCTCACCTGTCGAGAAACCTCTCTTTTTCTTAGTATCGTGCTTTTCTGATATCACCTCCACAATAAACAGATACCGAACGATCCGCCTACACCCAGAAAGTCGATTTCGCCAAACTCCGCTCCGAACTTCTCAATGCAGACTCCACCGAAGCGCAACTAACTCGCTCATCGCATGAAAAGATCGCCGCTGATCTCGCCAAACTGAATTCCCGCCTCCGCGACGAGATCGGGCGCACGCAAGCGTCGGTGCGTCTTGATCTGAATCTCGAGAAAGGTCGGATCCGCGAAGAGGCAAACAGTCAGGAAATGCGTATCAAGGAGACCGAAACTCGAATCGAACAGGAGGTGGCGGGCTTGAGGGAGCGTGTGGAGGCCGTCAAGTTTTCCACTTTACAATGGCTCATGTAGGTGTCTGCATCGCACCCTCCATGAAGTATATAAAGCTGACATGCATTTTTTTTAGGGGTGTTTGCACCGGTACCGCGGCTCTGATTCTTGGTGCCTGGCGTCTTTTCATGTAACCCAACCCGGTGTAGGCCCGACTTCTCAACCCACTGTACATTATTACTCTCTTTTCTCTGCAGACTGCAGACCTGCTTAGGTATGGCGGGAGTTTAGGAGAGACCACAGCTGTTTTGATGTTGTTTTCTCTCCCTCCCTCCCTCCTCTCTCTCGTTTTCTTTCTTCCCCCCCCCCCCATATATCCCATTAGCGATTCCAGGGCTGCCGGCATCTTTGATTTTGTTATGTAAAGGAAGCATGATAGATATACTATGAGACAGGTTCACTGTTACTACTACTACTACTACTACTACTACTACTACTACTACTACTACTATCAACGGATAAATGACCCTCCAAATCCCAGCCAAACCAGTAGTACCCCGACCCTGTACTAGTTGCAATCCCTGACCGGCAAGCTCGTGCTGCTGCCCCAGGATTCAAGCCATGAAACGTCCAATCCAAAAGGACACTCAACAACGGCCGGGTGGCGCAATGGTAGCGCGCTGCCTTCCGGTGGCAGTGGTTGCGCGTTCGAGTCGCGTCTCGGTCGTTTCTTCTTGTTTTTACACCACCTCCTCCCTCTCCGCCTTGGGGTATCCAGTCGTTGAGTGAGGATGATCCTTCCTATCAGGACCCTACAGCAGACCTCACCGCCGGGCAGTATTCCATAACTAATAAGAAGGTTTCAGTCATGTGATTGGTTTGGTGCAATTTCTCAGTAATTCTTTTGATTGGCGGGAATTAGCTCCATCTGAAAGGCGGTGTGGACGACGGCAGGGTAGGGGAGGTAGATAGATAGTACAGTAGATAGTAATAATAATCCCCGACGGTTAACTAGTTAGCTCTCAATCACTACTTTAATAACCGGCTTCCCATCCTCATCCACCCCCTTCCCAGCCAGCGCGAAAGCCCGATCCCCATCCGCCAGCTTGATCTGATGCGTGACGACCAACCGCTCCACGGTCTCCAGATTCCCACTCGCCATGAGCTCAATCGCCGCCGGATACGCATACCCATCGTACCGAAACACGCCGATAATATCCACCTCGCGTAAGGCCGCCGCGCCCACAGGGAGCGTCTGCACAGGATTCCCCATGCCGATTTGCACCAACACCGCCCCGGCGGCGGCGGCATAGATCCCGGCCTGCACGCATGCCGGCACGCCCGTACAGTCATAGACACGGGCAAATCCAGCACCACCCGAAGACACCGACCGCTTCAACACGTCCGCCACGCGCTGCGCATTCTGCAGCGCGTACGCTGTCTGCTCCGCGGGCGGGGCATCTTTCGCGGGCGGAGGATTCGCAGGATCCGCCCTGGGAATCAGCGCCGTCTTCAGCCCCAGACCCAAGGACTCGGCGATGGCCAGCCTCGAGGCATCGATGTCCGCGACGACGATGGAGGAGAAACTCGCCGAGGTGGCGAGCGCGGACGCCAGGAGGAGACCGATGGCGCCGGCCCCGAAGATCAGCGCCGAGGTCTGTTCGCCGGTCAGCGATTGCGTGAGCTGTACCTCCTCCTCTGTGGGTGGGTGGGAGCGTCGAATGGCATGCAGACACACGGCCAGGGGCTCGACGAGCGCGCCGCCCGTGTATGAGACTGTGTCCGGGAGCGGGTGGCACAGGTCGGCGGGGTGGTTGGTCAGTTCCATCAGGGTGCCGTCGAGATGCGGATAGCTCTTGGCGCTGCTTCGGAATTTCATCTCCGGGCAGATGTTATAACGGCCTTGGTGGCAGAGGGGGCATTTTCGACAGGGGATTCCGACTTCCAGGGCGACCCGATCTCCGACTCGGTGCGTGGTTACGTCCGGCCCGATGGCTGTGATGATTCCGGAGGATTCGTGCCCGAGACACATCGGTGAGCGCACCACGAAGTCGCCATTCCGGCCGTGTGTGTAGTAGTGTAGGTCGGAGCCGCAGAGGCCGGTGGCGCGGATGGCAATTTGCACTTCCGTGCTGGTTGGAGGGGAGAGATGGCGGGATTCCTGGAGAGGGAATTGCGATGAGTTGGGAATACTGGGGAAGAGGGGGAGGGAGAGTCTTACTAGGCGGAGGTCTTTAGCACCGTGCAGGACAAGTGCCTGGGTGGTGTTTGGGGTGGTGGTCATTTTGAATAGAACGGACCGAATCTCTAGAGAAGGATGAAGAGAGAGAGAGAGATAGAGAGATAGACCGTGATTGATGCTGGCATCTGTTATTTATCCCCGACCCCATGTTGGTGGTGGGGGGAGGGAGGGGAACCGGACCTTCTCCGCGTCGGCTATTGACGCTGATGGCTCAATAGCCGATGGGATGCGGAATATCGTATTATCGCACGCCCAGTACCAGTCTTACTTACCCTGATTACCACCGTGGAGGACCGTTTCATCTTTTACTTGCCTGTTGACTGGTGGCATGATGATGTCATGGCAATGTAGCGGATAGATGAACCTGGACTGTGCATGGAGGGAGTAGATACTGTGTACACTGTACTCCGTATACACTGTACTTGGCTATAATACTCCATAGTGGGTAGCTCCATCCATGGTTCCAACCCCATGCCGCATGGGGTAAACAAAGTATATATACTAGATACTATGCCCCAGTCTTATTATTGTTTGTTTGTTGTTGTTGTTGTTGTTGTTGTTGTTGTTGTTGTTGTTGTTGCATCACCCAAGATGAAACAGCCGCCGACCCCTCATTTCGCTTCCATTTCCAGGAGGAACTGCAGCTTTCTGCAGCGGCTTCACATCTCACAGCGTCCCCCCCCCCCCCCCAACACCAATCACCACCGCCCTGCCACGGCTCGCTTAACCCATCATCATCCTGACATTTATCAACCGTGATCTCCCATCTCCTGATCTTCCCCACACCCCCCTCTTGTTCGTCCATGCCGTCGCCTCCCACACAATCACAACCATGGGATTACTGAGCCGCTTTCGCCGGCGGTCCAAGAGCCAGAGCCTCGGCCACAGCCACGGCGGGGTGGGGAATGTTGCCAACACCGACGACCATCTCTGCATCGACGCCGACCATCCCTTCGCTGCCCCCGACTTCTCCAAGAAACTCTCGCGGCCCCTGCTGGGCCGCATCTTCGCCTTCGTTTGTCCGCACACCGTCGACTACAGCTATGACGCCTCCGAGCAGTCCATGACTGAGGATGGCTGCATGCTCTGTGACATGCGCGACCTGGCCCACTGCGCCCTCGTCTGCAAGCGCTGGTACTTTGAGGCTCGATCGCTGCTGTATGTTCCCCCTCCTCCCCCATCGCCCAGTCACTCTCTCCCCAGTCCTGACCGACGATGGTCTCTGAAAGCTACGCCCACGTCCGCATCGACGCCGTCCACTACTGCCAGCTCGAGGTCGAGCTCGCCGCCAAACGCAAGCGCCGCTCCGTCTTCGATCGAAATGGCGAGGCGATCGACGCGCCTCAAGTACGCCTCCGCCTCTTTATGCAAGCCGTGCGCGACTCGCGAGACCTGGGGGCGATGGTGCTCTCCCTGCGGATGCCATATATGACCCGCGAGGCCAGCAAGGCCGAGATCGCGCGCACCATCTCCGTCACCCCCAACCTGCGTTACGTCGACCTGCCCGCGGGCATCTATAGCGACGACGCGTCGTGTCTGGCGCTGAAGCAGGAACTGATCGGCCGGTGCCCCGACCTGCGGCGAATGAGCTACCGATACGGCGCGGAGGCCAGCTTCGCGCAGCTGCCGGACACACACCTGTGGGGGAACCTGGAAGTGCTGGAGGTGTCGCGGCTGCAGATCGAGCCGCGCGTGCTGCGACTGGGGCTGGCCTCATTCTCCAGCCTGCGCGACCTCACCCTTGACGATCTCCCGTGGCTCGACGACTCGGCCTTTCTATACTCGGAGTCCCTCCCGCCTATCCCGCCCCTCCAGCGCCTCACCCTTCGCGATACCCCCAACGTCACGGCAAGCGGGCTTGCCGGCTTCTTCTCCCTCCCCGCCAACCGCAAGGCGCTGCAGTCCCTGACGCTGTCGTCCACAGGCGTGCTCCCCGCCACCCTATCCCCGATCCTGGCCGCCGCCCCGCAACTGCGCGCGCTGCTGGTCATCCAGGAAGTGACGCGGTCGTTCCCCGCCGACCGCATCCCGCCGCTGGCCTCCCGCTCCCTCCAACTGCTCCACTTTGAGATCTCCTCCCCCGCCGGCTCCAGCAACCTCCCCCCCGTCGCCGCCTCCCACTACACCTACCTGATCTCCTCCCTCATGTCCAACTCCCTTCCGGCCCTGCGCGACCTGTACGTCCGCGACGCCAGCTTCCCCGAGACCCTCCTCCTCGCGCCGCCGCCGCGGCTGTTCGGCGGCGACAGCGGCAATGGCCCGCCGTTCTTCAGCAGGGGGATCAGCCAGCCCCTGAACGTCTACAGCAAGGGACTGGACGAGCTGGAGTGGAACTTCACGCCCTACGAGCCGCCGTCGACCCGCGGCAACAGCCGCCGCGACAGCACCACGCGGCCGGTGAGCTTCCACGACGCGCAGCTGAGCCGCAGCTGGGGCGGTGAAGCGCGGAAGAGCGTCCTTGTCGGCAACGGGTTTGGCGGGTTCCTGGCCGTACCGGTGGACGATGGACGGCCCAAGAGCAGTGGGGGGTTGAGACGCGATAGTCGGCAGGATTTATGGCGGTGATCTAGAGATCTTTTACGCTCAGTACGTTAATGACGATACCAATGCCATGACCTCCTCCCGTGCTGCATACCACGGAATCCGTAATAGTTCTGCACCCCTACGTCCTCTCCTCCGGCTAGAGGCACGCAGATAGAGACAGACGATCATCGGCCGTGGGCACCGGTCTTTCCCCACAGCAACGACCCGCAGGGCCAGCACATGGTTCGTTAAGTATATATGTATGATTTGATAAGAATAACTCCCACATATTAGTTATAGAGAAACAGTAGTAGAGGATTTTCTGACCCCGTCAACATATTCCAATCTACTTACTGCACCTTACCCCTCGAATCGACGGGCCAGATCTCCTCAATGACGCCATCCCGATGCGCGTAATAAAAGTCATGCAGATTGATAGTCGGATCAATATGACTTGGGATCATCTCGACGCGATCCCCGATGTGTAGGTCAGGGGTTCCCTCGTCCCAAGTCAACGCGCCATGCTCATCGCCGAGATTCCGATGGCTGTACCGGGGGTCCTTACACTCCGCCAGCCCGCTATCGGTAGTCAAGGACTTCAACCCCGCATCGATCGTGACCTGCCTCCGCCCCTGGCGACTAACGACGGTCGCCAGGACGGTCAGACTATTGGAATAAAACCGCCCGACGGCATCGCGATAATCCGTATCCATGAAGATAAACGACCCGGGCTGCAACTCGGTGACGCCGGGGACGGAGGCGCAAAACTCCGCGGTGCCGGTCCCTCCGGTCGTCACGACGGAGATCTCGAAGCCCTCCCGCCGCAGCCGGTCCGCCGTGCCAACCAGAGTCCCCATCGCCGCCAAACACGCCCTCCGCCGCTCCTCCCGCTCGCCCACATGCTGCAAATGCCCCTCGTACCCCTGCACCCCGATCAGCCGCAACCGACCCAGCCCCGCCACCACCCGCGCCAGCCCCACCGCCGCCTCCTCCCCGTGCACCCCCGTCCGATGCAACCCCACATCCACATCCACCAGCACGTCCAACCCCTCCCTCTCCCCCAACCCCAACCCCTCCAGCGCCTCGTCTATCGCCCGCGCCCCCGCCTCGCTGTCCACCACCACCCGCAGCCGCCCGGGATACTTCTTCACCAGCTCCGCCAGCCGCTTCACCTTCGCCGCCCCGATGATCTCGCACGTGATCAGGATGTCTGTGAATCCCGCCGCCGTGATCGCCTCTGCTTCTGATACCTTGGCCACGCAGCAGCCGGTCGCCCCCGCGGCGACCAGTCGGTGCGCTAGGATCGCGCTCTTGGTGGTTTTCAGGTGTGGTCGGATCGAGACGCCCGTGGGGAGGAGTGTCGAGAAGAGCTTCGAGATGTTGCTTTCCATCAGTGCGAGGTCGACGATCATGCTGGGTGTGTCGAGCGTCGTGAGCGGGGAGCCGATTGTCGGGGCGTAGGGGGGCATTTTTGTTGGTTGGTTGGGTGGTTAGTTGGGTTTGTGGTGGTGGTGTTTGGCTGGTGGTGTTTGGCTGGTGGTGGCTGGTGGTGTTGGGATGACGAGTGAAGGAAGAAAGGAAGGAAGGAAGGAAAGGGAAGGAGGGGATATACTTATACTTATATCAACTCTATCTATCACCGTGCGCAAGGGGAGCTTCCTTGCGGAATGCGGAGGGGGGGACCGGCCAACAAACAATACATGCATGATACAATATTAATGACCGCGATAAGCGGTGGAGAACCCTACATACTATAATACATTACCCTACCCCGCCTCCACTAAATATCCACTTTGATAAGTCACTCACCCTCTGTTTGCGGTTGGCTATATTTACTCCGCACACTTCTGTATAGTATAAGATAAAGAATGTAAGGGGGGGGAAAAGAAGACCTTGGAATATGAGATTAGGCAGCAAGGTCTCATTGAAAGTTTCACAAAATATATATCATATATACCAAAGGAGTGAAGAGCCTAGGGTCACGGTATGTATACCTCCTAAATTTGGATAATAACTTACCTCCCTACTAATACATATCTCTCGGGATTAAAGAACTTCGTCTCCCTTCTTAGCTTAATTGCAATACTTCCATCTCTAATAATAATATGTGTACAGTATTTATCTCTAGCATCTCTCTAGCATCCCTCTAGCATCTCTAGTACCTCTCTAGTACCTCTCCAATGCCAATGCTAATGCTAGTCCGTCACGCCTTTTTCGCAACCTCGTTCTTGACCCACGCCTCCAACCCCCCAGCAGCAATGATCGCCTGCACATTCGCCGGCAACTCACCCACCTGCTCCGTCCAGCTCTCACCATCCTGTCCCTCCTTGACCTCAACAACACTGCGCCTGACATCCCACGTCAAAGTCCAGCCAGTGCGGCGGGTAGGCTGACGCTCTCCGAAGGTCGCGCGCAGGCGCTCAACCAGCCTAGGAACCTCGAGGCCCATAAGCGCGTTGTTGATGCTGTTCCGAGCAAAAATATTCCCGAAGCTGCCCGCCACAACAAGGGGGATCTGCTTCGCGAGGATAGCAGTAGCAGCTTGTTCTCTGGACGAACCGCATCCGAAGTTGAACCCGGCGACGACGATATCGTTCGGCTGGGCGGTGGTGGCGAACTCGGGGTCGTAGTTCATCATGCAGGCGGCTGCCATGTCGGACTTGGAGACGTTGTCTTGGTAGGTGAGTTTACCCGGGTAGATGCTGTCGGTGTCGAGGTTGTCCGCGTCGAGGAAGATGATTTCGCCGGTGATGCGCTCGGGGAAGCCCGGGAGGATCTCGGTGGCGGATTTGTCACCGGCACCATCGCCGGAAGAGGATTCAACGCGGTCGATGAGCGATTCCATTTGTTCGAGGATGTTGGTTAGTTCGTTTTCGGTTGTGCGGGCCTGGCCTGTGCCGAAGCCGTATTCTACGCCGGTGTAGTCCGTGGGGACTTCGTAGGAGCCGGGTCCGGAGATGATACCGCTGAGGGCACTGGCGGCGACGACTTCAGGGCTGGCAAGGTAGGCCTTCGCGTCGCGGGAGCCCATGCGGCCCTTGAAGTTGCGGTTGCTGGCGCTGATGCCGACTTCGCCGGGCTCAAGGAGGCCCTTGCCGAGGCCGATGCAGGGACCGCAGCCAGCGGGCAGGGGCTGGGCGCCCGCGTCGAGAAGAACTTGCCAGTCGCCTTTGGCTTCGGCAGCTTCTTGTTCGGGGGCGGAGGCGGCGGCGATGTAGAGTTGGACGCCGTCGGCGATCTTGGGGGTGGTGCCGGGGTTGGCGAGGGCTGCGTCCCTAAAGACCTTGGCAGCAGCGGCGAGATCGGAGGCGCGGGAGTTGGTGCAGGAGACGATGTAGGCGCGGTTGACCTTGATGTTCTGCTGAACGAGGTCGTTGAGGGGCGTGGCCACCTTAACGGAGTTGGGGCCGGAGACGTAGGGCGAGAGGGAGGAGAGGTTGAGGTACAGCTGCTTGGCGTATTGGGCGTCGGGGTCGGCGGCGAGGGGGTTGGCGAAGAGCTCGTCGATCCGTTCATGGGTGATGCGCTGGCGCGTCGTGCGGTCATCAAGCATGGCGGCCTCGGTGGCCTTGTAGCGCAGCCAGCGTTCCAGGGTGCGGTCAATCGGGAATAATCCTATTTACGTCAGTATCATTCACCAAGATCCGGGGTATTATTCAGGATCCTGACCTGTCAATGCCCCCCATTCCGTGGTCATGTTCGCGATGGTCAGACGGCTGTCGACCAGGAGACTGGCCATAGTCTCCTCAGAGCCAGTGAACTCGATGGCGTGGTTAAGAACGTCGCTGTTGAAGAGTCCGCACAGCGCGACGATCACGTCCTTGCCTGTCACGCCTACGGGGAGGGTTCCGGTGAAGGTCACCCGCGCGACGGGGGGAATCTGCCACCATGTCCGCGACGTCGCCCAGATACTGCTGGCGTCGGTGCGCACAACCGCCGTGCCGAGACCTGAAAGAATGGTTAGCCTGTCTGATGGGGTTAGGTGTTAAAAGACAGGGATGGATCGTACAGCCGACTCCTCCGTAGTGATTCGAATGGCTGTCCGAAGCGACCGCCATGGTGCCGGGAAACGCGTATCCCTCCTCGACCATGACCTGGTGTCCGATACCGCGACCGGCGGGGTAGAAGTCGATGCCGTGCTCCTTGGCGAAGTCCTCGATCTGCTGGTATTTCTTGAGGTTGGCGGGGGTGGTGTTTTGGACGTCATGGTCAAGGGTCATGACGATCTGCTTGGGGTTGTGGACGTGGGTGGCGCCCATGGACATGAACTTGAGGGCGACGGGCCACGAGTTGTCGTGGGTCATGCAATACTGGGGGGCCAGACTGATGTAGTCGCCGCTGCGGACGAGCTTGCCTTCGGGAAGGCCAACCGCATAGCGCTGGACGATCTTCTCGGTGAGGGTCTGCTTTCCGGAGGGAGGTAGGGGAGAGGCATTCTCGAGCTGGGAGGGGAAGGCATCGACACGTCGGATGGCGGTGGTGCTGAGGGGGCGTGATGGGAGGGCTGTCGGAGCAGATCGAAGTTGCTGAGGGATTATGCTGTGCGGGAGCACGATGGCTGGGATGCGCCTCGGCCAAAGCTGGGGAGTCAGGTGTCAGATCTGGTATGTGGTCGGGTGGTCGGCAGATAAAGAGCGGTACTCACCGGCCTGCGCATCACGGTGGTGAGACGCGTCGCCATGCTCGTGATTAAAATTGAAGACGGGGATGCAAAGGGAAAAGTTTCCAACGTCGGTCGCGCAGAATCGAGATTGGGGGGGGTCAGGTGACCCGGGGCGAGCCAAGCCTCTTTTCGCCATTTCCAAGCAGGGCGCTGCAGCCGGTATCGGGGATTCGAACATTTGCGGTGACTCATGGGCCAGTCCCCGCCGCGGCTGTGGAGAGAGAGCCTCCAAGGCTCCAAGTCTATTTCGGCCCGGGCGAATCAGGGACCGGATTATGGAGAACGTCTTTAAACCCATTATCATTGGCCAGGCATAAGATCGGCAAGAATAATGACATTCATCTTGAGTAATCAAGGTATCTAGCTTAATTTGATCTTTGATTTATGATTATGATTATGATTATGATAATTACTAAGATGCCGACAAATATTATGGTACTCATGATCTTATCTATCGGGCCGGCGCCGAGTCCCTGTTTGTCTCTTTCCGCCCATGCTAGGAGTTTCCGGGAGTCGTCTTCTCCAAAATTGTCTTCATCATCTCATTGCCCAGCTTCACGGCCTCGGGGAATTGGGGAGCGAAGTACTGCTGGATCCGCTCGAACCGGTCGCGGTAGGACTCGAAATCGCCGAATGATACGCAGTCAGACCAGGCCTGGGAGGTAAGAGTGACGTTAGTGGATGCTGCAGGTCAGAGCATTTAAGTCTATCCCTTATATGCGTGCAATGCAGGATAGGGGACGTGCAAGCGGTCATGGCTGGGGGAGTGGGGGCCCTAAACTGAAGGGAACAGTCGGTACTTACCCGAGCTGCAAAGGTAAACTCCAGGTCATCGGACCGGAACGTCTTATCGTCGATGGCGGTGTCCAATGCCTGTTCAAGAATGTCGGGATTACGAAACAGGTATTCCGTGACACCCAGCCAGAGACGAAAGAGCTGCATGTCGGACCGCCGCAGTTAGTTAGATGAAACAATGGAGCATTTGGTTTTAGGGTATGGGTGGGTATTTAGCCGAGAGGCACTCACAGGTGTAGAACAGATCATATGGTCGTATGGGACAATTCCAAGTTTAGACCAACAATCGACAATGGCCAGCAGACTGAGATGGCTGTTTGGGGGAGATTCCTCACGAGCCCTGTTTGACAGCGAGAATTGGTCAAGGACTTGGTCCTTTAACAGCAGATCCTGCCCATCTGTGCCCGCCTTAAACACGGCCTCTCCTGCAGCCTTGACGCGACGCTTGAGCTCCTCGCGCCGCCCCTCGATCATAAGCTTGTAGAGCTCCGTCACCGACTCGGCGTACTGCCGGATTTGCTTCTTCGCGGCCGGGTTGAGAATGGCAAGACCGGCATAAACGTGCCACTTGTTGGAGTAGATGCGCAATGTAATGTTAATCTTGACGTTCTCAATGCCTCCCACCCAGCGGTTGATTTCCCACGGGAACTGCTGGTTTGCCTGCCACGCGGTTCCCATGCTGAGGAAAGCGGCATGGGTGACAGCTTGGGTATCGGCAGTAATACGGTCATGCATCTCTCCCGTGAGGAGAACGAATTCGGATTCAAAGCATGATAGGACTTCTCGCACAAAGTCAAGGCTCTCATCCGAGGCGCGGTGCTTGATCAGGACCTAGACACAGCGTTATCATACTAGGCCCGTTGATGGCATTCAGCAAAAGGCATACCAGAGGTTGACCTTTGGGATTGACTTTAGGGCCGTGGAGCGAATGGCAGGACACGACTTCTACATCCGGGGGGAGGTGCTTATCGAATGCAGCGAGCTCAGGAGCCTTGCAGGACGTTTGGCCTCCAACAATTGCGCCGACCTTGGTAGCTTTCGACAAGTCAGACAGGCATTATTCGCGGAAGTAAGGACGCAGCCTCGCGTTGAAAAGGACATACATGGGCCATACTCAGCCACTACCCTGTCGATCACACCGGCTTCTACACTGTATATGATATAATCGCTAACCCTTGAAACCAGGTGCCCGTTCGGAAGGATAGTAACACCTTTCTTTCAAAAAGTAATGAGTTTATGTATAGACAGCATGAGCTGCGAGTCAAAACATACTTGGGATTTAAATTCCTTCTGTAGATCCTCATAAAGATCAAGTTTGTCACATGCATTAATCCTTTTATAAAAAATAATATAAATAGTCAGTACAGCTAATTAAGCTCTAAAAAAAATACGAAGTAAAGTCCTGATAGATAGAAATATTAGTACGAAATCAAAACAGCAGATAACGGAGACGAATCAAAGATTGGTTTTTGGTTTCAGACAAAAAAAAGTAAGGTAGCTGAGATGTTACATCATTGACGGACTGGCAGATTTGCAACCGCCAGAATGGGTAGGAAGCTAGCTACCAGTCCATGCTCGAGCCAAATGCACTCAAGTCATCATCCAAACGGGGAGGCGAAGGCGTGGAGGGGGGAAGATATGAGGGGTAGAAGGCTTACCTATTATTAAAAGCAGACCACGAGGGCATATTGTTGAAAACACCAGAAGGAACATCAGAACATCATTACCTCCAACCTGCTTCGCTGAGACGAAGGGCGTACATCTTGCCCATGTCTCCCATTCCGATGATGCCAATGGAGGCAGTCTCCTTGGTGAAGCCCATCTTGGCTGGAAGTCCTTCAGTCCTGTTGGTGAGAACCGATGGATGCCGTTTAACAAACTCAGTTGGGCCAATGAGTGAACCAGCACACAAGGCACGGAGTCTTGCTGCTGTTTGCCTGCTTGGGTCTGGTTGAGGAGTGGAAGATAGAAAGCTGAGGACGCGGCAGAAAAATTTAAATAGTGCTTGGAAGCTCGACTCCGGCCCGACTGCGACCCGACGCGGCGCCAATAATATTACGCATTCAGTGTTACCCCGGCTGTCAGATTATGATTCATCGACGCCGAGTCGTTGACAGCCTCAGGCTGTTCCAGGCCGGGCACGACCGAGGGCCGACGGCCAGCCAATCAGGAGATGAGCCACAGTGGGTAGGCCACGCGCCATTCATTTTCTGTACCCAAGCCAACGGCGGCCGCATTGACTTCCTACTTTTCTTTCTTGTCCTCCATATTCCATTAATATTGCTCGGCCACTGTTACTCAAGTCTTATCAATCTAAATAAATCTACGTGGAGCTGAATGTGTCAGAGGACTCTTCATCTAAATGGTCATGTGTTTTGGTTACATGTGTTTGGTCGTTGCACTAGGTACTGCCAAGGCGGTGAGACATCGTTGCGGGTCCTCACCTCTTAATGCAACTAGTATACTCATTACCTGCATCATAAAATCCTCATTTCAACCTATGCAGTCTGCAATACGGACAAAGAAATCCAAAGTACCTACTACTGATACTGATTAAGGTACAGGTATATTACCCCGCCATCGCACTGTAGCCGACCTTCGTCTCTCATTTCCCCAGACTTAGTTGTATTAGTGAATCTCACTGAATTTCCAGCAATATTCAACCAGTATCATCACATGGACTAGTTACTCCATATCTTTTCTTCTCCACTCTATTTCTGCCACATACACGACCGAGAAGTCAGGATGGAGTGAGTACTAGTAATTTTTCTACCGTTGGTTGTATTGATTTCCGCCCCAGTTTGCCGATTTGCTTTTTAGCTGCTAGAACATGGCCGTGGAATAAATTGCATCAAGAAAAGATCTATACACCGTGCGCCCCGATCGAACCTCAGTGTCCTTGCCGTTTATGAAGACTGAGCCATCTTCCCCTTCCTCCCTCCAGCGGCTGCGTAGGCCGCAGCCCGCTTGCTGCTGCGGTTGTTTGGCTTGCCCTTCGAACCACGGCTCTTGGTCTTGACCCGGATGCGCGAAGCACCGCCTTCAGTGGCTCGATGACCTTCGAACACCAGCGAATTCTGCGAGATGGAAGTCTTTCCCGCGGCCTTCAGCTTGGCGGCACCGGCTCGGCCAAAGAGTCGCCCAGCGCGACCCTGGAGGGTCTTATCGGAGTTGGCCAGGGACTTTCCTTGGCCGCCATTGTCCTCGCGCCTCTTCTGGGGCCTCTTGGCTCGCACCACGCGAAGTTTACGCGGGAGCATGGGCGGATATTGCTTACCATTCAGCAAAAGAGCCTCCTCCACGCAATTCTGATCATAAAACTGGACGTAGGCAAATCCTTTGCCGACACGAGTGGCACGGTCCCGGACCACCCGAACCGACTCAATGTTGTTCTTTGATTTGTCCTTCTTCGAGCCACCTGTGTGCGCATTGAAGTGCCGCCAAAGACCCTCTTCCACATCGGCGGGCTCTCTCTTCTTCTTTTTGTTTTCGTCATCCGGCTTGGTCTCGTTGTCCATGAAATCCAGGTTACCCACAAACACACACCGCTTGTGATCGGTCGCGGCTGGATGCGCGACACTGTCGACACGCAGATGCCGGTCCAGGACGACCGTGCCGTTCAGCGCCGCGGGCGCCTTCCGCGCTGCTTGCACGGAGCTGTAGACAACGTATGCGTTGGTGCAGGGGGTCGTGTCGTCCAGAACATCCTGGTTGGCAAACGAAGCTCGCTTGGGAAGCAGGCCACCGCTAGAAAAGGCCGTAGAGCGGAAGCGGATTGACTCCACCTTGTGAGGCCCCGTAGACTCGGGGAGCGTAGAGAAGAAGGACGCCATGTGCTTGAGGAGGGTCTTCTTCGCCGTTTTAGACTTGATGGCCTCGCTAGACACGTTGCCCAGGAACACCGTCCGGTTGGACTTATCAACTTCCTTGGATTCGGCATCGCCACCCTGGCTCTCATGCTTCGGGACCGCCGTTTTCTCCTCCTCCTCATCCTCCGAGCTCTCCTCGCCGCCTTCGGACTCCTCTTCTGTCGTTCCCTGGTCTTGCTCGCCATCGGAAGTCTTCTGTCGCTTAGACTTCTCCTTCTGGCGCTTGTCATCTTCCTTTTTCTGCTCCTTCTCTATGCGGCGCATGTATGTATCCTCAACGTCCTCGCCGGCGGTTCTCTTGCGTTTTCGGGTGGAGGCATCGGCAGCCACCGGAGTCGGCTCACTGCCAGCATCGCTCTCAGCTTCCGGAGCCTCGAGCATCTCGTCGTCCTCCGGTTCCGAAATCTCCTCCTCGGCATCCTCGTCCTCATCCTTCTCCGCGGCCCGCTTGGGGAAGGGAAGGGGAGCTGTGATCGTCGGGGGCTTTACTGGGCCAGCCTAAGATGCCCAATTGGGCACTGTTAGTCTCAAGGATATCTGTGGGCGACATGGATGATATGTTACGCACACTGGTCTGGAACAAAGCAGCTAGAGCTGGATCCATGGAGGCGCTTCCCCCCAGGAGGGGAAGAGAGGCATCTTTCTTGCCCATGACGATAACTTCTAGGGATCCCTTCCCTGTGTAGTAAATAATGGAGAGGCCAGAGGGGGGGTGACCGGCAGATGTGCTACTGTCGAGCTTCTAGACTTTTGCTGCCTTGGCGTCTTGATTCCGACTTTTCATTCTTTTTCCGTTTTCTCTCTTTTTTTTTTCCCGGACTAGTCTTGGCGATAGCACCTGGGGGTGGTCACGTGGGGCTGATAACGCCGGAGCCTGACAGTGGCTGTGCCATCCTGGTGGCTGTGGGAATCTGACACGTGATAGATCACGTGCTTGACTGTCAAACATGGTCATGTGACTTTATGTGGTTGTCGTTGCTGTTGTACTCCGCACGCCATAACCCACGTGACCGTACTCAGTGGGAGCCGATGACGGCGATTCGGGGGCATTTTGATTGGCCGGAAATGGCGTATGAGTCACGGCGGAAAACTTGGACGATAAGAGCCGGCCGCTTGCCGTCATCGCCTTTCCTACGTAATAGTTTGATCTCCTACATTATTCCTCTATTCCTCCCCCCTCCTTTTTTTTTGCCATCTCCTCTTCTCTGTCTTCCCATCCTCAACCCGCCCAATAACCGCACTTATGGTCGCCAAGCCATCCGCTACTCCTGGGCAACTCCGTCAGTTCTCCCCCAATCCTGCTTTCCCCATCCCCCTGCCATTTTGATCTGGACGGCTACTAAATCCCGTAGAGAGGGTCGACGCGCAACCTGAAAATCCCTATTCCGGGCTGATCACTGAACAATCCATCGTCGTTGTTCCTTCCTTTACCCTCGAGTCGGGCGTGACTTTGCACAATGTACCCGTGGCCTACACCACGCGAGGCGAACTTTCCCCGGAGCGCGACAATGCATTGGTGATTTGCCATGCTCTCAGTGGGAGTGCGGATGTGGCAGACTGGTGGGGTCCTCTGCTTGGTGGGCCTGGACAGGCCTTCGACACTTCCCGGTTTTATGTCATCTGCCTGAACAGCTTGGGAAGTCCGTACGGAAGCGCCAGCGCTGTGACCTACAAAAATGGTGACCCGGAGCAGGGCTTGTATGGTCCGGAATTCCCTCTCACTACGGTCCGTGATGATGTGAAGTAAGTCACTGTCCCTTACTAAAGTTCATCAATGGGACGCTCGGCTTATACAGACTAGAATCCATAAGATTGTGCTGGACGACTTGGGTGTCCGCCAGATTGCAGCTGTGGTGGGCGGCTCCATGGGCGGCATGCTTACCTTGGAGTATGCCTACTTTGGAAAGGACTATGTCCGCGCCATTGTCCCGATTGCGACTTCTGCTCGTCACTCTGCCTGGTGCATCAGCTGGGGCGAGGCTCAACGCCAGAGTATCTATAGTGACCCGAAGTATGAGGATGGTTACTTTCCGTTCGACAACCCGCCGGCCACAGGACTTGGCGCTGCGCGCATGTCGGCTCTTCTTACATACCGCAGCCGTAACTCGTTCGAGTCCCGCTTCGGCAGAAATGTGCCGGATCCCTCTAAGCAGCAGACCATCAATGGCACCGAAAGGTTGCCGACCCCCCCTAACGAGCATTGGGCCATTCACAATGACGGACACCGGGGCAGTGAGCGCAGCTCACCTACCCCCCAACAGGAAGTCCAACAGTCTGAGATTCAGTTCCAGGACCCGCAGTTTTCCGGGGCCAAGACTTTCAGCAAGACAATTGAGACCAATAGCTCTCAGAAACGTCTCCCAACTTACTTCTCAGCGCAGTCGTACCTCCGGTACCAGGGAGAGAAGTTTGTGAAGCGATTCGATGCCAACTGCTATATTGCCATTACCCGCAAGCTGGACACACACGACGTGTCGAGACACCGAGTCAGTTCGACGTCGGAGAACCCCATCCGAGAGGCCTTGTCCCAGATCGAACAGCCCGCTCTGGTATTGGGGATTGAGAGTGACGGACTGTTTACCTTTGAGGAACAGCAAGAAGTTGCGGCAGGCATTCCTGACTCGCGCCTTCGACGGATTGAGAGCCCCGAAGGCCACGACGCGTTTCTCCTCCAGTTTGAACAGGTCAACCGCTATATACTCGAGTTTTTCCGCGAAGTTTTGCCCGACATCATGTCCAAGGCTCCTGCCGAAGGAGTCCTGGTTGCGGACGGAGTGAATAAGCTAACGAAGAGCAGCACGTTCGGTGAAGCAGAGGTAGAAGACATCACGGCGTGGTAAACTGACTTGCAGTCCCGATAACAACTGGCGGATTACAGCCTTTTATTGTCTGCCTGATATCCAGCAGAGGGAAGTATGCCTCGGCCTGTCTCTCGGCAAAGAGAGGGCACGCCGGCGGCTTCGGACCCCGCCGTGATCAGGCGCCTGCAGTCTTGTTCTTCATTATTTTATCTCCAGCCGGAGAGATGAGCATTAACTGCCTCTCTTATTAATCTCTACAGATACGGCTGTAAAAGAAGCATCCAACTGCTCTCTATCAGATAGCCCTTGGGAAAAGTGCTCAAGGGTGGTAGGCGACCTTTCATACAAAAGAGTTTGATCATACATAGATACATATGGAGAATAGCAAATGTTTCCATGTAATGCCCCCCCAGGCCTAGGGGTACACTTAATCTTAATCGTAACCGCACCTCTGAAGCCTCTCAGCCACAAGCTCTCCCGCCTGGGCTTGTAAACCTACGTTACAGCTTACTATGGCTGCTGGAAACCACAGCTCTTGCATCGGCCCACTCCCGCCAAGCCCAACGCTGCTGTGCATCCATCCATCCATCTCCTGCAGTACTCACCAAAGTCAAACACACCCGTCACTATTAGTACTTTGCCGAATCGACAGAGCTTAGTCTACTTATGGGGGCGGTGAGTCTGCTCTAAGCTCGACGCGACTGAGCGCTCCTACTGTTATGTACTTAGGATTCAGCCAGATTAGATGAGTTTGTCCACCAATCAGTCAGCATGGCTGCTCTTGGCTGTGCCAAAGTACACAGTTAGCGTGGGGGTCCAGCAATTTGCATCACACTCGTTGTAGTCACACCAACCTAGACACAGGGCACGCTAATTTACACGTCTAAGCAATATCCGGCAACGACAGCTCGACATCCATGGCATCCTTAATCTTCTCCGCGACCTCCTCCGCCTGCTTGGCGTCCAACCGGCCCAACGGCTTGCGCGGGAACCCTCCATACCCATAATAGCTCTGAATGGCACTCTTCGTGCCCGGGATAGCTGCCTTTGTAAGTACCCAGTCAGCCTTACTCAATAGCTCCTGTGCCTCCATGGCCTCTGCGAATTTCCCCTCTCCCCACAAGTCAAAAATCCTCACACATAGCTTCGGGATAACATTTGCGCCTCCGGCCAGGATAGCCGACCCGCCCGATACCAACGTCTGCAGGGAGAAATCCGCAATGCCCCCGAACGCCACATACGGATGATTCTCGACGGCCTTGGTCTTGGGGAACTTCCTCTCCTTCGGCCCTAACGACGACGCGGGGACAATAGCGTGCAACGCCGATGCCACGCGGGTCAACTTCCCTGTGTTCGCGCAAGTAAACTTCGTCCCCACGATATTCGGGTGCTGCGAGATCTTGATGATCAGATCCGAGTCCATATCAATTCCCGCCACCGCACCCGGGTAGTTGTAGAGAATGATCGGGATGGGCGACTTATCGGCCACTGCGGTGAAGAACTCGTACAGGGTGTCGTCGTTGCCCACGGCGTAGCGGTAGTAACTGGGTGGCACGATCAGGGCGTATTCGGCCCCGGCGGACGCGGATTCACTGCACAGGTCAATTGTGCCCCGGATGGACTGTTCCGAGGCCCCCGCGATGACTGGCACGTTGGAGAATCCAGCTTCGACCAGGGCGGACCGGGTTTCGCTGATGACGGTTTGACGTTCGGATCGCGTGAGGTGGACGGCTTCGCCGTTGGAGCCCATACAGACGAGTCCGACAAGACCGGCTTTGGCGAGCCGGACGGCATGGCGCCGGATGGTGGGGATGTCGAGGTCTTCGGTGGAGGGAGTAAAAAAGGTCATGGTTGGGGCGTAGACGCCCGGGCGGAGGGGGGTGCGGGTCATTCTGAGGAGGTTAGAAGTGAGCTGGAGATGGGTTAGAGGGGGGGAAACGTACTTGATAGCTGTGGTGTGAGTCAATGCGTGTAAACAGGTTAGTGTGATGTGGAATTGATCAATAGTCGTGGTGGAAGAGGCGTGTTGCACCGGAGATTTATATAGAGCCATCAATCACCCCTCATTTACCCCGCGTGGCCGGCCGTACGGTTTCGTATCATCCCACGTCTCCACCGTCCCGGAGCTATTTCTCCACCAATGATAGTCCGTCGGTGGCTGAGTTTCCTGTTTGGTCGGTATCAAACGCCGACTGCAGCGTTTTCGAGCAGAAGGGTCGGTAATTGGAAACGAGGAAAGAAAAGCAAAGGATTGGGTAAGAAAACCCCCTGATTCGAGTCGAGAACAGAACAAAGGGATTCTTGCACATGTCTGTTCTTCCACCATTAATATACCATTGCCATCTTGTAAAGTTGTAGTATACCACGCCGGATCGGCTAATGACCCCGCAGAGCCCGGCCACGGTAAGCTTCTCTTTTATAATCCAATTTCTGCCTCTCCCCGACCTGCTTCTCAAATCTCATCTACTTTAGACATATATACGTACCCAGCAGCAAGCACAATGGCTCCCCCGACCCAGAAGCCTAAAAAGTCGCCATCGACGCGCTCCCCGCCGGCTCCGCCATCACCATTTTCACCACCCCATCCATTACCCCATACAGACCAAGCCTGCCACCCAGCTCCTTCACGACCACCTGTATCTCCTCGTCGAATCCCACAAGCATAACGTTGTCGTCTACATTGAGATAAAGTCCCAATAAAGGAGCCACTCGAATGCATATCTTGAAGAAAGTGATGTCTCAAAAGGCCCGGGAACGCCTAAGAAGGTCGGCATCGTAGAAGAGGTAAAAGATCGGTGATGATGGCGAGCCCTGCGTGATGCCGGTCGCCACCGGGCATTCCGCCGCAGGGCTCTCTTGCAGATTGAGGATGGTATGCCAGTGCCTTAAAAAAGCTGCCGATTCAGTTAACACTTGACAATAGGGATCAGCACACGTCGTTTTCGGGAATCGTGGAGGAAACTGTGGCGAGAGATGTTATAAAGTATTATATACTACTCCTGACATGTCAGGGATTAACAGGGTTCATTTGCAATCACCTACGCTTCCACTGCGCCACGCTGTATACGCCTTAAGGGTTAGATGCATCACGTATTCGCAGGATTGGCCCTTTCGGCCCTCTATATAGGTATCGGGGAGTAATTATTGATTGGAACGAGGGCTTAGCATGATGGCGGAATAGGATTTAGCCCTTTGGTTGACGTACCCCCGACGATCACCTGAATCATCTCATATATGACTTTATATATGACTTCATGTATGCCTTGTTTCTGCCTGATTCTATGTCTATATGGCCCGGCTGCTTGCGCAGCAGTATCGTAGAATTAGATCTTCTTTGCTTTATTATTCTAGAGTTGATAGTTGTGAGCCTGATTTGCTATATTATTTGATTCTCTTTTATATTACTATTAAAAATCTTTATCAAATTGTTAATTTCTTCCTCCAACGTGAATTCCTCGCCTTCTTGTAGGCGGGATCATTTAGGTGCTGCCCAAGTATCTGTATACTCTATTTATTACAGCAAGAAAGAAGTCTGATAATCCTCCTGTTCTGTATACATCAGTTATATTGAGATCCTTGGCTTCGAAAATAATCTTATTTAATACTTTCAGTCATGCTTCTATACTTGTATATCATATACTGCTGCAGATTTCTTTATAGCGCTGTCTGCAGTCTTCTTGAAGTACTAGATCTAATATTTAGAATTATTTCTGCAGAATACAAAGTTTTCCCCGTGATTCTTGCATCTTTCTAATCAGAGATTTGAACTCGTTGGCGATCGCCCTTATTATTATAAGATTAATCTTCCCAATAATCTTGAGCTTTGACTGGATAACTGTCTTCTCTTTCTTATAAATTCTCTTCTTAATTTAATATAGCGCTTTTATGCTAGGATTCTAGATAAGATTATCATCGATCATATCTGCAGTAGTCAAGGTGAATACTTTCTTGCTCACAGGCGTAGGCACTTCCTGATCTGGATTAATATATTTTTATATACCTGGCTGGTGTGCCCTGGCCGCTGCTTTAATATTTTCAATCCATCCTCTCCAGTCACATGGCAACTTCAACACCACAGAGATCTTCAATACGTCGGTCATTCTTGCTGATTCTGATACCTGTGTGGCTTCACAATTTCCTAATCAGGAAGGGGCAACAACCGGTCAAGATTCGGTTGGTCAGGGGTAGATTCAACGATTTGATAAAGACTTTTCAACGGCGGTGTGAAAGAGAATCAAACGGTGTAGCTAACCGGGCTTATAAATACAGATGCTTGGGCAGCACCTAAATAATCCCGCCTACGAGAAGGTGAGGAATTCATGTTAGAGAAAGAAATTAATAATTTAATAAAGATTTTTAACAGTAATATAAAAGAGAATCAAACAGTATAACTAATCAGACTTATAATTATTAACTTCTAGAATAATATAATAAAGAAAATATAATTCTACAATACCGCTGCGCAAGCAGCCGGGCTATATAGACATAGAATCAGGCAGAAATAAGGCATACATTCAATATGATGTCATACAGGGATGATCCAAAGGGGGAAAGTCATCATGCCAACCCCTTATTCCTCAATAAAAGGTGTCCAGACACCTAAGTAGGCGTGATACTGAATGATACTGGGTTTGACAGTAATCTATACTACAACTAAATAGCTAATACAAGCCGCGATAATGGTCTCTGGTGTCTTGCCAACAGTATTTAGCAAGGTTATTGCAGAGTATTTCTTAGCGATTAATTAGTAGTCGCCTTTGCCAGGCTTTCGCAGGATAATCATGGTCGACTGGCAGCTGGTCCGGGCAATAACTACTTAAGATTAACGCATGCTTTAGAGACGCGCAGTATTAATTTAAGACAGCATACGCTGCAGGGTAAGCTCATGAATATTATATAATACTCAGGCCCGGGGGCCTTCCAAGGTGCAGCATGGTTGATCGCCTGTCGAATATCAGGGGGTGGTTTGATAGCGATATGGCTTTACACGCCCTTGGTTTTAGTAAATTTGGTGGGGTTTCGTCCTTCAAGCGGAACAAGAAATAAGAATGGCGGGTAGATTCTTTTCACTTTCTAGTTCTTTCTTATCATGCTGGAACTGAAGTTCTATTACGGTCCAGGCAAGTCTAACACTGGACCGCACTAGCCTCCTTTGGTAATTTCCCTGGGCCTCAATGATTACTAATACCAGCCGGCTCTCCGCCTTCTGAGTGATCTTCTTTCTGCCATTAACAGATGCTCTCGCTATCCTTCATGCGCTCTATCAGTCTCGTCGACGCAACTTACGACGGATTATTGCGCATCTCTTGATCCTGGTCCATTCGGGCCATTAAAATCCAACAACTGGCTCCATCGACCTTGTCTGAGTTTCGTACGGCGCCTCGGATACGCTGGGAGTCGTCCATCTCTCTGTCTCAACTTACTTTGAGCTCCTGTCCAAAACTCCGCCATGCTCCGCTCGTCAATAAGAATGGGCCGGGGCCGTGTCCCGGCTTTGCAGCAGCCTGGACGTTTCCTAAAATCAGAAAGCGCTCTTCTCCGCTGGAACCAGACAAGGAGAACCGCTTCAACTGTCACAAGCCTCGATAACTTCCCGGAAATTGGTGAGGGCATCCATGGGTTCACCGTTCGAGAAAAGAAGCATGTTCCGGAGTTGCACCTCACGGCGGTCCGGTTGACGCATGACAAGACCGATGCAGACTATATCCATGTGGCTAGAGAAGACAAGAACAATGTGTTTGGTATCGGCTTCAAGACAAATCCTCCGGATGCCACTGGTGTCCCCCATATCTTGGAGCATACAACACTTTGCGGAAGTAAAAAGTCAGAAAACCCTCTGGGTATCATTTTCTTAGTTATTATAAATCAGAACACTAACTATTATATTTCTGTATAGGTATCCGATTCGCGATCCTTTCTTCAAAATGCTCCCTCGGTCCCTCTCAAATTTCATGAATGCTTTTACTTCCGCTGACCACACCACCTACCCCTTTGCCACGACGAACCAACAAGACTTCCAGAACCTCCTTTCGGTCTACCTAGACGCTTCTTTTCACCCGTTGCTCAAAGAGGAGGATTTCAGACAGGAGGGATGGCGGTTGGGACCGGAGGATCCCCGCGCTATTCTAACCCAGGAAGCTCAATCGCAAGCAGACCAGAAGCCCGACGATATTCTTTTCAAAGGTGTCGTATATAATGAGATGAAGGGACAGATCTCAGATGCGAACTATCTTTATTATATCAAGTATAAGGAGAGCATTATCCCGGCGCTTAACAACTCTGGGGGAGATCCTCAGTACATCACTGACTTAACTCACAACCAATTGGTTGAATTTTCCAAGCGCAACTACCACCCTAGTAACACCAAAATTTTTACTTATGGTGATATGCCGTTGAGCGGTCATCTCCAACAAATCGGTAGCGTGTTGGACGGGTTTCAAAAGGGCGTGGCTGACACGGCTGTCAAGCTACCTGTTGATCTCAGTCAAGGTCCTCGAAGCGTGACTGTTTCGGGCCCGATTGACACATTCTCCAGTGAAGACAAGCAACACAAAACCTCGACATCCTGGTACATGGGAGACAGCGCTGATGTTGTTGAAACATTTTCAGCGGGAATTCTCTCTTCACTGCTTCTGGACGGTTATGGGTCACCCTTGTATCGCGCGCTGATTGAAAGTGGCCTGGGCTCTTCATTCACCCCCAATACTGGCCTTGACACATCCGGTCGTGTCCCTATATTCTCTGTTGGCGTCAATGGTGTGGGCGAAGAGGAAGTACCGAAAGTCAGAGAAGCTGCTCAGAAAGTTTTCAGAGACAGTCTTTCAAGTGGATTCAATGATGAAAAAGTGCAAGGATTTCTCCACCAGCTAGAACTCGCGCTGAGGCACAAGACAGCCAACTTTGGCATTGGTGTTATGGAGAAGACCATTTCTTCTTGGTTCAACGGTTCAGATCCTATGAAGGAGCTTGCTTGGAATGAAGTGATCAACGAGTTTCAAACAAGGTATGCAAAGGGCGGCTATCTCGAGTCTCTCATGCAGAAGTATCTTATGAATGATAACTATATAACTTTCACGATGGTTGGCACTCCTACCTTCAATAAAGAGCTGGACGAACAGGAGATGGTGCGGAAGGAGAAGAAGCTTAATCAGCTCGTTGAGCAGCATGGTTCTCTAAAGAAAGCAATTACCAAACTAGCGGAAGAAGAACTGCAATTACTCAAAACTCAAGAGGATGCCCAGAATAGTGACCTCAGTTGCTTGCCTTCTCTTCGTGTTTCTGATATCTCTCGCGAGAAAGAGCGCAAGCCGGTCCGGGAGAGCAAAATCGACGGCATGGATGTTATCTGGCGTGAAGCTCCTACCAACGGTTTGACCTACTTCCAGGCATTGAATGCCTTTGAAGGACTTCCCGACGACCTTCGATTGTTAATGCCACTATTCAACGACTGTATAATGCGCCTAGGCACCGCTAATAAGTCAATGGAACAGTGGGAAGATCTCATCAAACTGAAGACAGGTGGCATTTCCACGTCTTCTTTCTACACCCCGTCTCCAACAGAACTCGGAACTTTTGCGGAGGGCCTTCATTTCTCCGGCTCGGCCTTGGACAATAATATCCCAGAGATGCTGGAAATTCTGACTACCCTCATCACCGAAACCGAGTTTAATAGTCCTACTGCACCAGCAATGATTCAAGAGCTCTTGCGACTGACAACAAACGGTGCATTAGATGCAGTGGCCGGATCAGGTCACCGTTTCGCCCTCAATGCGGCAGCGGCAAGCCTCTCACGGAGCTTTTGGGTTCAAGAGCAGCAGACTGGCCTGGCACAGCTACAAGCTACAGCCAATCTCTTGCGCGATGCAGAAACTTCGCCTCAGCGCCTCGCAGAACTAATCCAGAAGCTCTCTCAAATCCAGTCCTTTGCTATTTCGAAATCTTCTGGTCTCCGTGTTCGTATAGTGTGCGAGCCAGGCAGCGCAGGCCAGAATGAGTCCGCACTATCAAAGTGGCTCGGGGGCCTGCCACAATTCCGCCCGCCAACGTCTGCACCTAGCAGTTCTGTTCTGGGCTTGGGCTCTTACAAGTCATTCTATCAAATGCCTTATAAGGTATACTATTCAGGAATGGCTATGCAAACAGTTCCTTTCATCCATGCCTCCAGTGCAGCGCTTAGTGTCCTCTCTCAACTTCTTACGCACAACTATCTCCACCCCGAAATCCGTGAGAAAGGGGGTGCGTATGGCGCTAGTGCTAGTAATGGACCTGTTAAAGGAATGTTTGCCTTTACCAGCTACCGGGACCCCAACCCCATCAATACCCTGAAGGTTTTCCAGAACAGTGGGATAATTGCCAGGGATCGAGCTTGGTCGGACCGGGAGCTCAACGAAGCGAAACTGGGCATCTTCCAGGGCCTCGATGCTCCAATGAGCGTTGATGAGGAGGGCGCGAGATACTTTATGAGCGGTGTGACTCATGAGATGGATCAGCGCTGGAGAGAACAGGTCCTTGACGTAACCGCAAAGGATGTCAATGAGGCAGCAGAGTCTTTCTTAGTCCAAGGTTCACAGCGGTCCACCTGCCTGCTCGGTGAGATGAAGGATTGGGTTGAACCCAACGACTGGGAGGTGAAAAAGCTTTCCATGGATATCCCTAGCCAAGCTGAACAAGCTACCGCGGGCGCCGAGGATGCAACCTCATCTGCCTAGACCCGAGCAGCTATTTCCATTGAGAAGTGCAACTGCACTTCCATCATATCCCTCTCCCCTATCCTTTGGCCTTCTGGCTTGACCGATCGTATCTTTTGACTGCTTCAGGGCCTGCAGCTGCAAGGCCGGTTTGTTGATTTTGTTGGATCTCTCATAGAGGCACGTGTATCATAACTGTGTGTTCTATAGTTAGAATGTCTGCTTGATTGATTGAGTGATTGATTGATTGATTGATCGATTCATACACGCTTGTGTCACCATACGGCCGAGTGGCGGAAGGAAGTCGGTCCGACGGCCAGGTGGTACAGGTAACTTTGTGAGAGCCGGTATTACACTGTATCAGGTACTACTGGTACCACTGGTACTCCGTACGGAGTCAAAGTTTGTTGTCAACCCCGGCCCGTGGAGAAAGAAAGCGGAATCACGATACGGACTGTATGTATGTACGTAGTCACGGTGTAGTAGTACTACTACTCTAGTAGTAGGTATCTACCTGATGCTGTGTAGTACCGTCCAGTCCGTACGGGGTTACATATATGGAAGACGTCTAGGATTGAATTATGTACTGGGAAGTTGCTACAGTACAAGAACGAGTAGTTACTATACTCGTGACTAGTTCACACTGAAAGGTGTTCCCAAATATAGGAAAAGTTCTACTCCATAGCGGCTTGTCGACTCCGTTCTGGCCTAGACTGTCTCGGGCGATTCTGGCCGAGCGGGATGCAAATGTGCAAACATGTCAGCAGCCCGGTCACGTGCGCACATCAGGCCTCCCCTCGATCATCCCATTCCATTCCATTCCCATTTCATCCCATCAGCAAATGCTTCCATCCAATTCTTCGTCTTCCTACCCCATCCCATCTAGTCCCTTCCCACGAGGAGACCGCTCGACTGATGATCCGTACGGTGCTACCGGATTGTCTTCCATCTCGTCTTAGTTTTATTCCTCCCGGTCCGGCCCATTGTATTGGAGTCCCTCAGCATGCGGTGGCGGCTGCCTGGCGCCCGGTCGACCCTCCCTGCCAGTGTCGCACTTCTTCTACTCCCTGTTCTTGTTGCTCCGCAGCAGTGGCATGAACAGTACCATGACCTTCCTTCCACCGTTTCTGTTCCGCTTCGACCAACCGGATTCACCGCGGGAGTTGACTCTTCGCCTTCATTCGATGATGTGAAATCCAACGATGCGAGCGCCCTAGCAACCTTGGCTCTGGCGGGCTCTGGCCGCGCCGTTCGAGCCCCTCCTACCCAGGCGAGCAGCCCTTCGGCTGGCCTGGCCCCGCAGCTTCACGCGCGGTCCTTGCAGGATTGGGAGGTTGAGGATTTTGTTTTGCTGGCGACCGTTGACGGCTCTATTCACGCATGCGACCGCAAGACCGGCACTGTCCGTTGGGCCCTCGAGGTCCCAAGTAGTCCCATGGTCGAAAGCATCTACCATCGGGCCAATCGATCAAGCTTTGACCGCACGCAACCCGAGGATGATTTCATATGGATCGTGGAGCCGAGCCAGGGCGGCAGTCTTTATATTTACAGCTCGGGTCCAGATGCTGGGCTGCAGAAATTGGGGCTGACTGTGAAGGAGTTGGTAGACGAGACTCCGTACTCGGGAACCGACCCTGCCGTTACCTATACAGCTCGAAAAGAGACAACCCTCTATACCGTCGATGCACGGATGGGAAGCATCTTGCGGGTGTTCAGCTCTAGGGGCCCCATCTTGTCAGGCCAGGAGTGCCGAAAGGTCGACGGCCTTGGTGAAGACATGGACGAGTGCGAGTCTCCATCCGGCACTCTGGTACTTGGCCGCATCGAATATACAGTTGCCATCCAGAATACTGAAACAGGAGATCCGATATGCACGTTAAAATACTCGGAGTGGTCGGCCAATAATCGGGATATAGATCTTCAGAGTCAGTACCTCCATACAATGGATCAGAGTCACATTTACAGCATGCACGATGGCGTGGTCTTGGGCTTCGACCATTCTCGAATGGACCGTCCTCGGTACACCCAGCGATTCTCGAATCCGGTGGTGCGGGTCTTCGACGTTGCTCGCCCAGCCGATGTTGATTCGCCCAATGAGCCTACCCCTCTTGTTCTGCTTTCGCAGCCTTTGCAGCCTCCTAATCCGGAACATGTCTCGATTGATGATCGTGACACTCGAGTTTTCATCAACACCACCGAAGTTGGCGGTTGGTATGCCATGTCGGAGGAAACATACCCACTTGTTACTGGCAGGGCGAAGATGGCACAATGCTACGAAAAGGACTATCTCCGCCATGGACAGCCATTAACGAGCTTGAACTTGCCGCTGCAGCAAGACGCGTTAGCGGGAGTTCATTCTCTCAATGGTCCCCGAATTATCCGTCGTCAGATCCCTAGCATCTCCGCGCCTTCTTCGGCCGAGTTATCCAACGACACACCCCGAGACTTGATATACAGCTCGTCTGATTTGGCGCTTCCGCCCGGCCTCCGACACAGCGCCATTATTCGCAAGGGATGGGATAATGCAGTCGACATCTTCGTGACACTTTTGCTCTTGTTCTTCGGCACATTCATCTGGTTCAACTCCCATCACATCCAGGAGCTTGCTAAGCAGAAGCTCGATCTTAAAAACATCATGGCATCCTATGGACAACCCCCTTTGTCCACCCCGTCGACCCCGATTGTGGACGCTCCTCACCTGAAACACGAGGCCAGTCCCAACCGGTCCATGACAAATGTGACCATCGACGTCAACGTCCCTGAAGAGCAGCAAGCGGGTGGTGATGCCACACCGAAGCCTGCAAAATTTCAGAACGCTCCTGCTCCCGACACGACTCCACGCGTCCGTATTCGGGAACCTTCGCGGGGTCCGGAGGCCGATGACGATGTGGAAGACCTAAGCCTACAGGATTCCGAGAAGCCCAAGAAGAAAGCTCGCCGAGGCCGCCGTGGTGGAAAAGCTCATCGCCGAGGCAAAAAGCCCAATGCGGATGGTGACTCCGCCGATGGCATTGCCGATGAAGCGAACGACCTTTCTCAGTCTCGCTTGGAACCTGACGTACAGTTGACTCGGACAGCGTCTCATGATGTCATGGAGATGGACGGCGTGCTCCAAATAGGACGATTGAGAGTATCGACTGATGTTGTACTAGGACATGGAAGTCATGGAACCGTGGTTTATCAAGGATCGTTCGATGGACGAGACGTAGCTGTCAAGCGCATGTTGGTGGAGTTCTATGATATCGCGTCTCACGAAGTGGGCCTACTACAAGAGAGTGATGACCACGGCAATGTCATCCGGTATTATTGTCGAGAGCAAGCGGCCGGGTTCCTCTACATTGCCCTGGAGTTGTGTCCGGCCTCCTTACAAGATGTTGTTGAACGCCCATCCGGCTATCCACAGTTGGTTCAGAGCGGCTTAGATTTGCCCGATGTCTTACGTCAAATCACCGCAGGTGTTCGGTATCTTCATTCTTTGAAGATTGTCCATCGAGATCTAAAACCACAAAACATTCTCGTTGCAATGCCCCGGGGACGCACCGGCTCGAGCTCATTGCGGCTGCTTATCTCGGATTTCGGTCTGTGCAAGAAACTTGAGGATAATCAAAGCTCATTCCGCGCAACTACGGCGCATGCCGCAGGTACTTCCGGTTGGCGGGCTCCCGAACTCTTGGTGGACGATGATATGACCCCATCTATGCAGAGCACCGAGTCTCAACATACTGAATCATCTGAACCTGCCGTCGTGGACCCCCAAACGAATCGGCGGGCCACTCGGGCGATTGATATATTCTCTTTGGGCTGCGTCTTCTACTACGTTCTCACGCGGGGCTGCCATCCGTTCGACAAGAATGGGAAGTTCATGCGCGAGGCCAACATCGTGAAGGGCAACTACAATCTCGATGAGCTCCAGCGCCTGGGTGACTATGCCTTTGAGGCTGAAGATCTTATTCAGTCGATGCTGTCGCTGGACCCTCGAAAACGGTAAGTTGATTCGCAACTATCTAGACTTGATACTAACTTTCCCAGTCCGGACGCTAGTACTGTCTTGACGCATCCGTTCTTCTGGCCTCCATCCGACCGTCTCAGCTTTTTGTGTGATGTCTCAGACCACTTCGAATTTGAGCCGCGAGACCCTCCCTCAGATAACCTCTTATGTCTCGAGTCGGTGTCCCCCCGCGTGATGGGCCCAGACATGGACTTTCTGCGACTTTTGCCTCGGGAGTTCAAGGACAGTTTAGGCAAGCAGCGCAAGTACACTGGGTCGAAGATGCTAGACTTGTTGCGAGCTCTCCGGAACAAGCGCAATCATTACAATGATATGCCGGAGCACCTCAAAGCGCATATCGGCGGCTTGCCTGAAGGGTATCTTAATTTCTGGACAATACGGTTTCCCAGCCTTCTCATGAGCTGCCACTGGGTCATTGTGGAGTTGCGCTTGACGCGGACTGATCGGTTCAAGAGATACTTCACCGCGGTTGACTAGATGTTTTGGTGCGTTTACATAAATGCAATATAGTACATATGTATAGCGCTAGAGGTAGATATGTCAGTACATCCAATTCTAACATGTGACTAAATGTCGTAGTAGCGAATGGATAAGTTCGATATCTAATTGCAATCATTTCAGTAGCCCTTTAGCCCGCTGTTCTTTTTCGTTGAGAGGTCCTGATCGGGCTAAACTCGTAGATGAAAAGCAGCTAGAGATTTTGGGTGACTGCAGTATTCCATGGCAATCAAACTCCAACTGAAATAATTCGGAGATGGTGTATTTATATGTACCGTGGAGCCTGTCGTGTATACAGACTCTGAGCTTGTAGAAAGGTTTTTAGGCGTGAAAATCATTAGAAATGAATGAACTATTTCGGTGGATTTCCAGACTCCGCTTCCGCTCAATTTTTACTTTCCATGACCATGCCTGGAGGTTCAAGTGATCTAGGTACAAGTGTAAATAAATATTGAGCCCAGTTGGAGGCATCTGTCACATACAAATCATAGCCATTATATCTGATGGTATATTCACAATGAAAAGAAGAGAAAAAGTCAACAAACAACATCGACAACGCTGAGCCCTTCCCATAGTATGGAGCTATTATGGACATGAGATGACCAGTCAGATAGCATTCGAGGGGAATAAAAAAAGAGAATTAAAACAAGTTACTCGGGCGGTTCCGCCATTTCGGCAGACGGTTGTGCATCAGCATCGGATGCGGCCTCGGACTCTGTACTCCATTCTTTCTCTGAGCTGGCTTTGCCCTGTACCTGCGTGAGGGGCGATATAACCCGAACACCTCCAGCGCGCGAGAAGAAGTCTCCTGTGCGAAGACCACGGACCTCCTTGGGGTCAACCGCTGTCATCTGAAGTCCATCGGCCTTTTTCTGTCGGATCAGCTCCCGCACGGGTACCATGGCGGCATCACGGCAGGCTTCTTTGATATCGCTGCCTGACATACCCGCCATGGTCTTGACCAGATAATGAAGATCAAAGTCCTCCCGGTCGACTTTGGTATCTTTGAGAATCAGGCTGAGGATCCGTAGCCGTTGGGCTGCAGGGGGTAGAGAGACAGGGAACTTCTTGGGCATCCGTCTGAGGATGGCGTCATCGATATCTTGCATACGGTTGGTGGCCCCTAGCACAACCACTTGCTGGGGCTCACCCCTAGAGTTCGCGGAAGTGAGTCCATCCCAGTGTGTCATGAACTCCGCCTTCACCATACCACTAGCTTCGTGCTCCCCGCTTCTTCTTGTGCCGAGAACAGCATCTATTTCGTCGATGAAAACAATCGAGGGTTGCAACTTCCGAGCCAGCGAGAAGACCGCATTAACCAATTTATTCGAGTCACCATACCATTTCTCAGTGAGGGTAGATATATGCAAGTTGATAAAGCACGCCCCGCTCTCATGCGCCAGGGCTTTTGCAAGCATGGTCTTTCCGCATCCAGGCGGTCCGTACAGGAGAACTCCAGATGGCGCGGTCAGAAGAGAAGATGTGGAGGTGTAGAGATGGGGCATTGTAAGCGGATAGATAACAGCCTCTTTCAACTCTTCGATGATGTCGTCCAGCCCTCCAATGTCTTCAAACGACACCGGAATGTCATCTGGAGCCACAACATCCATCGCGATAGCCTGTTCATATTGGTTTAGGACCAAGTCGCCTTTCTTTTGTCGGGATCCTCCTTTCCCTCCGCGACGCGGCGAGTCCTCGTCGGACTCTTCGCCTCCGTCGAGTTTCCGTAGGATAGCGGCCGACTTGCGCCGCTGTTCTTCTTTCTTCTGACTTTCCGGGTCGAACTCAAGGCGGGAGAGCAGGTATCGAATAAGGAAGTACGCAGACGCTGACTAGTAATAGTAGTAGGAGTATTAGTGAGGGTAGTTGCGAGTCGTGTCTCGCGGCGTTTTTGGAACTCACGGTGCCCGCAACCATCACCAACTCCTGCAAGAACTGCTGCCATCGAGGACCGCGAGCTGAAGCCATGATGACCAAACAGAGGATGTAGTCGAGTATGAAACCTCCGAGCCCAGGCAAATGAAGTGTTCCGAGTCCAGCAGCGGCACTGTATCAATGGATGTGACGGTCATTCGGCGCGGTGGTCCGGAGAGAGGATGTGGCGCGGGCCGGTCGGAGATGTGGCGCACCGGAATGTCACATGCCCCTGCGCCGCAGCAATCTTGATTAGTCATATAATGACTAAGATACAAGGCACAGTACACTTGTGCGGAGTCACCTGACCGTGAGGGGGATCGACGATCGATCTACGGAGTAATCTCTCTCTCTCACTCTCGCGACAAACACCAAACACCCGCTTGTTGCTCCCTCATTCCGATAGACTGGGAGCGACTCCATGACTTACCTCCCATCATTTCAACCCCCCATTCACCATCATTAACCGCCTAATCAATCACAGCTATGTTGATTCTCCCTCCAGATCGTCCCCCATTGGGCCATGACGACAGACGTGAGCCAGCCATGACGTCACCCATCGCACACGATGCTCGCTGGAAACAGGTGCCACATTCCACCCAGCCAGCAGAGCTGAGCTCCAGCCTCCAGATCCCTTGCTTCAACCCCAGGAATTGCCATGCCGTGACGTCAGCCTTCACAAACACGACCCCTATCCTATCCATCGGCATCCCGACCGCTCTCGTCTTCCCTCAACCCATCTTTCCCCAGCCGTCTTCCACAGCACCCTAGCCTGGTTCTCCCCGAGGATCCTCAATTTCAGCAGCACGATGGTATCTTTCAAGTTCGGACGAAACACCGAGCCCAACCGGGAGGGCGGTCCAAGAGATCATGAGGAGGAACACCCCCAGCAAGAAGCCGATGAGCGAACACGGCTCCTCCCTCGCGACCCCCCGGCCTATCTCAGTCCAGACGATCCCGCTGTGAGTATACACTACACCCAATGCCTCACATCTACGCTCAACTAACGCCCCCGCCCTCCCCAGGTCTCCCCCTACAACCTCTGGAGCATTCGCGCCCTCCGCGGACTCTCCTCGCTCTTCCTCGCCCTCAGCTTCATCTGGTGGGTCTTCATACTGGTCTCTCTCTTCGTCAGCCCGCCGATGATGCACTCGCGCGGATCCGGCTTCTTCAGCTTCGCCTACACGACCCTCACCGTTGGATACCTCCTCCTGGGTCTGCTCTTCTTCGCCGTGCCCTCCAAGCCCATGACCGTATCCGGCATCATCATCGCCGTCTTCCTCTGCGTCGACATGATCATCACCGTATCCGTGCCCCACATCCGCGTCGAAGAGGGCTGGGTCGGAATCGCCTCCGTCGTCTGGACCACCTTCATCGCCCTCTACACTATCATCCAGAACCACTCCGTCGCATGGGGCAAACGAGAGGAAGAGGAACGTCTGACCGGCCGACCCGAAACCCGTCGTCCGCTTCGCGAATGGATTGCCGTCCTCCTGCAAACCGTCTTCCTGGTCATCTTCGCTATCATCTCCATCCTCTTCACCGCTACCCTGATCATCCGCGCCCGCGACGCCTCCCTCCCTGCCCCGGGAAATAAATACTACGTCACTGGCAACAACTACCAGGTGCATCTCGCCTGCGTCGGCAACTCCACCACCCATCACAGCAGCCAGAAGAATAACTCCCCCACCATTCTCCTCGAAGCCGGCGAAGGACCCGTCGAACACACCTTCCAACCCTTCCTCGACTCCGCCTACCAATCCGGCCTCATCGACCGATACTGCTACTGGGACCGGCCGGGCTTCGGCTGGTCCGACAACGCCCCATCGCCCTACTCCGCCGGAATGGCCGCAGACGCCCTCTCCGAAGCCCTCGCGCTAGCCGGCGAACAAGGGCCATGGATCCTCGTCTCCGCCGGCATCGGCGACATCTACAGCCGCATCTTCGCCAGCCGACACCTCCTCGAAGTCTCTGGGATCCTCCTCATCGACCCCACGCACGAAGACTACCTCAGCAACGTAGGCTCCCCGGGCCGGGGCTTTTTCCTCTGGCTGCGCGGCGTATTCTCCCCGCTGGGCCTCGACCGACTCGCGGGCGCGATATTTAAGGGCCGTACGCGCGAGGACCGCGTCCACGGCCGCAGTGTCTTCCAGACGGGCAGAGTCATTAAGGCCCTGTTGCAGGAGAACCTGGTCGCTTCGTCGATGACTGCCTCTGAGGTGCAAACCGCGAGACATGTGCAGATGGCCGAGACGCCGCTTGTGGTTGTCAGCTCCGGCGTCGAGGTCAGGAGGAGTAAGCGCTGGGCGAACGCCCAAGAGGATTTGACTCGCATTACGAGGAATTTGAAGGATTGGGATGTCGTCGATGGTGCCCCGCATGAGGTGTGGAATGTGCCTGATGGGAGGAGGGTTATTGAGAGGAGGTTGAGGGAGTTGGTTGAGGGTGAGTAGGTGGTGATTAGTGGTGGTGGTGGTTTTTGTGTTTTTTTTCTTTAATTTTTTTTTCTAATGCTTGGTGGTTTGCGTGGTATGCGTGATATCTTTCTTGCCATTATATTTTGACTCTTGCATGAAATTGACGATCCGACATGACACGATACGCGCTACTTGATATTTACTTATATTTATATGATAATCTCTCTCCGTCTACCTACCTACCTACCTTCCTTTCTTCACTGTCTGCACTCATCTCGAAAGTAATCTTAGCTCCCATACATGCATGACTAAATTCCATATCATCTACGAAGTGTTACTAGTATAGTTGGTGGGTTGATGAAATAACCAGAAACTGAACTACCTAGTTTGATCCATTTTCTCTAGCTTATAATCGTGAAATCATCCGACCGACCCGCACGCACGCACCATAGAGTAGACCCCACCTCAATGCAAGAAAGAAACACGCGACCCAGTTACCCGACAGAAAAGATGCATCACAAAGCCAATGACCGTAAAGAATTGAATGCTGGCTGGCTGGCTGGCCGGCTGGACTGGCTGGACTGGTTCGTAGGTAGGTAGGTAGGTAGGTAGGAAGATGATGGATGAAGAGGTAGAATAAGCGCCTGTGGCTCAATGTGTTCAGGCTTCCCTAAAAAAAAAGAGGTGATGGATGGCAGGAGGTATCGTGGGTGAATGGATGGATGAATGGATGGATGATGTGACGGGAATGCATAAGCAAGCAGAGACCGATTTCTCCTCTCCCTACCTCGTTTGAGACAACTCCGGTAACAGATGATCGCCCCAAGTCCCTCGCATGCAGCCCGGACAAAGATGGTCACGTTTATATACGGAATGGAGGAGTACCGAAAGGGGAGGAGGGTGAAGGATGAGAAGACGGAAATGAACTAGGCGGATAGGGTTCGGCGTCGAGCAGTCATTCTAGACTAGCTCCCTTAAACCTCTTAGCAAGACGTTCACTTTCAGATTTGGGAGACTCAGGCCTGGTGGAGGGGAGGGAACGTTTTCCGGGTTTGGGCACTGGGCGTGGCAGGTAAGGCTCGGCTGTGCTCAGCCAGGGGCGCTTAGGGGGGCGCTCACCACTTTCCTGAAGAATGGTAACCAGGGTGGCCCATCCGGGGGTGTTGATCAGCTGTATTCCGTCGGCCGGGTTGTGCGTCTTCGCGACGCGACAGAGCAGTGCTTCCTCGTCCTGAGGGGAGATTAGGATTGCCGCACAATTCAATGACCTATACTTATCGGAACGTACCTTGTTGAATGTAGAGAGTGAATGGAGGAAGCAAAGAAGATGGAAGTCCGAGACGGCTTGAATCGCCTTGTCCGGGTCGCCGGAGGACACCAGCGCCTTTGCAACGTGCCGAAGCTCCTGACTCTCGCCGATGACCTCGCGGTTTTCGATGGGGAACTCACTGTTAGTGAAAAGCGGGGATGACTCTGTAGGGAAGCCGTGCGTCAGGGTGACCAGCAGGTACTCAACGGGGAAGCTGGGTTTGGCGTTCTCTTGGGCGCTGATGCCGTACTCATTGATCTTGCGGTAGAAAACCTCGGGGATATAGCGCGACTTGTTGTCAGTGTCATCGTCTTCCGATTGCACCAACATTACAGAAGGCTCTGCCGACGGCTCGACAATGTCTGCCCTCACCATCTCGACGGCGGCCACCGACGCCTGATAGGCACTGACCGCGATGGAACCCTCCTCGTCGCCACTTAACACGCAAGTGACGAAGTTCGAGCCAAAACGGCCCGTGCGGCTCCATTTCGTGGCCTTGGGTTGTTGCGCCTGCAGACGCGCTGCGAATGTGATCTCCAAAGACGAGAGGTAGTAGGAGTCAATGTGCCGCTTGCAAATCACCTTTCCATCGCCGCGTCCTCCATCCAGCAAGTCGGTGAAGATCACTCCGACCTTCTCTAACCCACATAGCCGTGCAACTTCATCCACTTCCTTCTCGTTGTGCCACTCATGGAGCGTCACTCCATCCACTTCATCCACCTGTGGCGGCTCATAGATGGCCTGAACCACCGCCTTAACTCCGAGCGGAACCTCCTTGTACTCTTCATAGGTGCCGTACAGAAATCCTAATCTCTGGGCGCCCGACTTCCGCCAAAAGTCGAGTAACGAGTTGATGAGACCCGGCGAGGAAAACTCCACATGATCCACCGTCCGAAATTCCTGCGGCTGAAGACTGATCGCGCTTGGCTGGCACTTGGTGCAAATACCCTCCGGCCACGAAGGATGCCCAGAGGGACAGTCCCGCTTTACCCGGTAGTATGGTTCACTGAGCGGCGGCATAAACGAGCTCTTGAGCTCTGCTTTGTTGGTCGACGCATTGATTTTCCGCAGATACGAATGGAACGAAAGATGCTTTATCTTTTTCTCCGCCAGGTACTTGGGGTCGTATGGCTCGAGCGGCATGCAGTAGTCACACATGCCTTTCGGACCGTGGCGGCAGAATTTTGAGTCCCGGCCCCGCTGAATCTTTCCATCCTTCTTGTCCAAAGCGTCATCCAGAGGTGACTGTTGTACCACGTCCCAGGGATTCTTAATCGTGGCAGTAGGTGATGTCGGTTGGGGGGGTCGGAATGCGACAGTTTCGGCCGGAGCTACGGGGGCTCCATTCAGACGTCGCGAAGACTCTCCCGCTGAGGGCTTGATGTGGCCGTTGATGGAGCCATTCTGTTGCCCTTGCTTTTCGTTATATCCGACGAAGAGCTTGTCTCCGTGCCTACACGAGCAAGTCGGGCAGTGTTAGTAGCTGTCACAGGTGACCACGAGCAGCCTGAGAGCCATCGAGCAGAATGTTCAGACTCACTTGAGGCCAACCCTATCAATAGCCACCCCATCTAGCGATTTCAGAAATCTCTCTTCACCACCGGTGCCGATTGGTTTGTTGGAAAGGCTGATGGACGAAGGATCGACGTCTGGAGGGAGGCGCTCTATGATCTGAAATAACTCGTTAGCACTCAGTTGATATATGCAACCGAATGGCTTGAGCAGGATAGAAGGATACCTTCTCATGCAGGGTGGGAAATAGGTCCTGAGGGTTAACCGTCAAACGGAACTGGCCGTTGCGGCTCTCGAACCTCAGAACGATCGGGCGGGACGCCATGATGGTGAGGGACACCTGAGGAGACTTGCTAACTGCCTCAAATCTAAATTTGACTACCTTCACCAGGTCATTAGACTCACAAGGTCATGCCTGTTGGAGGAGGGGAGAGCTGACAGCGAGAGAGAGAGAGAGAGGGGTGGAGAGAGAGCTGGGGAAGCGAGCAGAAGAAGGCAGCGGAGCTCTATCGTCATGGCGCTCTCTGACCGCCCGCTGACAAATGACGTACGGCTGGTATTTCGATTACACTTAAGCTTCCTTCTGCACATCATTTGCATTATAATAGCTAGTCTTCTTGTTATTCTGCCTAGCATTAATCCTATCCACTATCCATCTATGATTATATCATTCCCATATGTATCGTTGAACATGAAAATCAACCTCCGGAACACAAACGCCAATCGCAACCCAATCGGTCAAAGCAAACAAAGAACGAATCACTGCGGGGTATCTCGAGCACTCCAGTTACTGAATGACACACTTCTTAGGCAGGCCACACGGTCCCTCGTTGCTCTTCTTCGCAGCATCCGCCTTCTGCGCACTCTGTCCGTCATGTGCTGGCGCGGGCGTGGGGCTCGGAGTTTCGGTTTTCTGTTGCTGTGTCGCAGCAGCAGCAGCAGCAGCCGCCGCCGCTGGCTGCGATTCCGACTCGGCTTGCCCGCTACCATGTAGTCAAGCGAAGTTGACCTTGGCAAGGTGCTCGTAGAACGCCTTGCCCTGGGCCTCGGCGACCTCCAGCTCAAGAGCGGTGGGCTGGCGGGATCCGTCGGCACCCTGTACCACGCAAACAAGACATCAGCAGATGGCCAGAGGGACATAAAGATTGAGCGCTGGACAGCGAGCCGAAAACTTACAGCAAAGGTACCAGCACCCCAGGCGCTGCCACCGTGGACCTCGTTGAGGTTGGCGAGCTGGCCGAAGACGGTCTTGTAGCCGAGGGGAACGTAGATGAAACCGTGGTGGGCAAGGGTGCTCATGGAAGCCAGAGCCGTGGACTCCTGGCCACCACCCTGGGTACCGGTGGAGACGAACAGACCGGCGTACTTGCCCCAGTAACCACCGCTGGCCCAGATCTGGCCGGTCTTGTCCCAGAAGGTCTTCCACTGGGCGGGGAAGTTACCGTAGCGAGTAGGGATACCGAAGAGGACGGCGTCGTACTCCAGGAGGGTATTGGGCTCGGCGATGGGGTAGCTGGACTTGGGAGGAGCGTGCATCTTGGCCAGAATCTCCTCGGACAGGGTCTCGGCGATCCTGAAGGCGGCGTCTTAGCAACTGCGGTTCGAGTCGAACCCTTACTGCGTCCAGGGACTTACTGGTAGATGTCGGCACTGCCGCCGGCAGCCTCAACACCCTTCTTCTCAGCCTCGGCCAGCTTCTGGATGTGGCCGTACATGGAGTACTAGAAACATCGGACGTTAGTCATGAGACCGAGACGTCTTCGACCGCCAGACAGGTAGACTTACGTAGACAATCGCAACCTTGGGAGCCATGGTGACGGTGGAGGTGAGTTCACGGGGAACAGAGTATGGGGAAGAGATTGAAGTAGAGGGGATGGTGATAGAGAAGAGAGAGAAGCTGGGCCAGGCCACGACAGCGGGCCTTTATATCCTCGGAACTCCAAAAGCCTCGATGGGAGAGGGACTGGGGTACAAGGGAGGAGCCCCTCCTGCTGGTGCACCACTTTCTACTCTGGGTAAGCAGCAGCATTGGCATTTGGCAAGCATCCGTAATCCATTAGTAGTTACAGACCCTGGGCCTTGCCGTTGCTGATTGGGCGATGGGCCTTAAGGTGGGGGCCCACGGACCCCGCCTCGAGCTGCCGGCCAATCAGCAGGGGGGGCGCAGTCTTACGGAGCATTGACAAATGGGTGGGCCACACAACCGCCGGTTCTCGACGCTGAATGATCTCTTATTCACGATCTCATAATAATCCCGGAGATCTGCCCCCTTCGGCCCCCTCAGGCCTTGGGCAAAATGGCAATGACAATGGCAATGGCAATGGCATTTGTCAACACGATCGCTCAGCATGTCCGGTTCATAGTATCTAGTTTCTATTCTCCATCTACGGCCATAAAATTATTCCGAGAGCAAAGGATTCAGTCATGATGTCATGTAAGCTTCATCAGCTCGTCAACGGTTCAACGGTGTTGACGGATTTACGGTGGTACTTGGCCCTCAGGCAAGAAGCGGGATGGACGCGCAGTCCGTTTGGCTAGACCTCCACCGAACCGGTTCGGGCGCCATTTTTTGGACCTAGTCCTATGTAAGGATCGCAGTAGCTGGCAAAAATTCTCATTCTCGTTCTTATTCCATTCACATTGTCCTATCTACAAAATGTAGCTCACTCTCTTACACGAGGCACAATCACACGGAACAATAATATGTCTAGTTTCGTAAACAAGCATAGCAAGCATAGTAGTATGCCTCAGCAGGGTATCTCGACGATTTTGTAAGCTCAAATCCCAAAACGAACACACCACAACACCCAATGCAAATCATGTCAACGGCGGATTTACCCGCGTCCACGGCCGCGATACCGGCCACGCATGAACCCTCCTCCACGGCCCCGTTCGCTCCTCCACTCGCGCTCGCGCTCCTTCTCCTTCTCCTGTTCCTCCCGGATCAAGGCGCGCTCATGTTCCAGCTCCTCCTCCGTCTTCTCGACTCGGATCTGCGGCCGCGGCAGGTTCTCCGACCACCGGGGGTGAGCATCCGCGCAGGCTTTGCCTTCGGGGCAGAACCCAGCCAGGTAGTACTGGCATAGACGTCGGCGGACATGACGTTTGGCGCACAAGGACCCCAGCGCGCAGAATCCCCGGTCGTAGTGTTCGCAGGGCGGTAGTCGGGCCTGCTCCCGCACGTGCTGGTACAGACAATCGTCCCCGTTGGGGCAATAGCCGGATCGCGAAAAGGACTGGCACTCCGGCATGCGGCGCAGGTTGTATTCGTGGAGGTACTCGCATTTCACCCCCTTCTTGCAGAGTCCCTTGAGAAAGTGTTTGCAGACCAGCGAGCCGTGGGTGGTCGACGGGGCCAGGCCCGAGGCGGTGGTGGTTGACGTGGTGACGCGCGAGGGGGTGGGATGTCGATCAGGGCAGGCGGGCCCCAGGGGACAGTGGCCTTCACTGTAGGCCTTGCACACCGGCACATCACTGGCAAGTCCGAAGCCATAGCTCTTGCGTATAAAGGGCATGAACGAAAAGTCATCGAAGCCAGGGTCTCGAGCATTGTCGGAGGATAGAATGCGTGCCGCCGTATAGCTGACGTCGGCCGCCATGGTGGTTGGCCTCGAGGGGAACGGGAGACGATACTGTGTAGACGCGTGTGATATCGAAGGCAGGGTGTCAAGGTTTAGTATCTGGAGAGGGGGGAGAAGTGGCAGGAGAATGATGAGCAGCTCCGAGCCTTGGACGGGCAGTAACATCCAACCCGGAAGGCGGTGGCAAGGGCTCGGCGATTAATCAGCGGGTTCGAAGAAGCCCATGGAAACAAACACAACAAACAAATAAGGACTTTTGGCAGGCATCAACAATAATGGGGGTGGTTATGAACCATTCAATCCAAGCATCCTCTACTGGGTATCTAGATACCCCCTGTACGGAGTACCCCGTAGCTGGTAGATAATAATTGCAGCCTACAGCATACATGGTCTCAACAGTTGAACCGTCAAGTCAGTCAGGTCAACTGGAGGACCACCCCCCGCCCTTGTTTGGGCACAGTCCGCCATCCTACCCCGTCTTTTCTCGTTTGCTCACTTGCTGCAGCAGGCCAATGGGTACGATTCCCTTGCGGAGGCGAGTCTGGCTGCCCCTGCATCAGAGACTGCATACGAGCATTTCTGTCTACGGGATCACATGGTCTGGTCTGACGTTTGATGGGTCTGACGCCCGACTGCTTTGTGGTACGGTGGGGGAGTAACTGGGGACTGGGCAGTGGCAGTGGACAGTTGGCAGTTGGCAGTCTTTTTGGGGGTTGGGGGATAAACAAGGCTGAAACTGACAACACGACTCTCCCTGACTCTCTCACCCTCCCTCCTTCTCTATTCTTCCTCTTCCTCGTAGTTCATTCCCTCTGCAGCATCGGGCCAACATTGGCAGTTCGGGCAAGTGACGATGCCCGGAGCAAAACCGTCCTGGGCAGTAAGACACCGAGGGTCGCTGGCTGTCTCGCCCCTCCTTCCTCCCCCTCACGGCCCATTATTCGCTCGGGGGTCGGACGCATGGCTTTGAGGATCAGGGAACCATCGCAGTCCTCATGCGGGGATGGACGTCGCTACTCGCTAGCCCTCCACGTTAGTCGTCTGCGGCTGCGTATTCCCCCCCCCATCGGGCAGGGTGCGAGAAGTTTGGAAAGAAAAAGCAAGAAAAAAAAGAGCAACGATGGTGGGCACTCTACCCAAGTGCACACTACCCTGCTCTGTACTCAACAGAAAGGAAGAGAAATCGTGAAAGGAAAAAGCACATTAATATCCCCAGCCCAGGCGATCCCCTGTCTGATCCGGAACAACCGACCGATTCCTCCCTAGGGCTTGCTGAGCGTCTTCCCATGTTGCCCAATTGCCACACGCCTGAAGAGGAACTCGCATCACCGGTCGATCGCTCAATTCTCCTCCGCGCTGCGTTGTGCAGGTCTACATTCCCACGCTGATCCGCTCGGGGTATTGGGAGAAGGATCTCTCGGGCCCAGAGCCTGGACGGAGAGTATCTTGGGGGGAGGGACAACTCTTAATTTTTTTTTTTAAAAAAAAAAGAACCCTTAGCAGGCCGCGCACACCACCTGCTTATCCCAGATGAGGAGGACGAACCTTCTGAGGCGGCCAATGATCAGCACGATGGCTGGATCTGGTCCCCCCGACCTACAGTAGGACAGCAAAAGAGGGTTGGACCGTGTCTGGGGTGGTAATCATCATCATCATCGTAATGGGAAGATGATGATGGAGTGGGTAGACTGAAATGGGCCCCAACCTTAGCTGCCTGCATGGCGGCGCTGCATGAGATACTAAATGCTGCCCCCAACCTGGCCGCATTGCAACCCTAGTAGAGTGTCCGGGGAAAGGCGCCATGCACTCCGTAGAAAGTAGAAAGCCCAAGTACCTGGATCGTGAAAAGTAGAATGAGGTAGCAGCAGGCTGGGCGATGGTGCATCGATCGCCTGGCAGGACATGATGCTGCTGTTGTTGCTGTTGTTGTTGTTGCGGTTGCGGTTGCCTTCTTTCCCTCTCCAACTGGCAGTCTGGGGTTTAAATGGCACATGGCTCAGGAGTCCCAGCAAAAGAAAAAAAAAAAAAAAAGAAAAGAAAAGAGACGAAAGAAAATCACCTTCAGTCCGATTGATCGTACGATCGGGGTTCTCTCTGTCCATACCCAAAAGATACCAGCCATAATACTATCTACTTCCCAGGCAGACCAGACAGACAGAAACCCCCCCCCCCCCCCCCCACGTGACAGGGGCCTTGTCGGAAGTGAACAGCCTCGCATCTCGATCTTCAGCCTACTAATTATCTCTATATTTTTTTTCTTCTATTGGTGACCCTTCCCCCCATCCCATCCCTCAATCTATCGTCTCTCTCCTCCGGCCATGTTCTCCGGCTCGTCCTCCATCTTCCCGCACTGGCGGCGCAAAGCGGCCGAGCGCTCCAGCAACAGCTCCTACGAAGTGCCCTTCTTCCTCAACGCCGCTTACTATCCCAACTGGAGGATCTACCGGAAACAGCCCCCGTCCGCCCTTCGATTGGGCTTCATCTCCCATATCTTCTATGCGTTTGCCTGGTACTAGTCCGCATTATGCCGATGGCCCCGACAGATGTTAACCAGCCTGATAGGGTTAAGGAAGATGGCACCGTCTACGTACGTCCCCCTTCTCCCCTCTAATATCTACCTGGCTTCTACATCCCCCGCTGACCCGGAACCTAACCCGACCCAGCTCAGTGACGAATGGGCCGACACCCAGATGCCCGTGGACGGCACCAACGGATGCCTGCGGGCCTTTGCGCAGCTGAAACCGCAGTACTCGAAGATGAAACTGATCCTATCCGTCGGCGGCGGCGGCAAAGGCAGCGAGAACTTCGCCGTGGTAGCCCACAGTCAATCCCGCATCGAAACGTTTGCCCGGAGCGCCAGAGCCCTGGTGGACCAGTTCGGTCTGGACGGCATCGACGGTACGCTTCCCCCTTCCCCCTCCTCCCTTGTCCTTATCAGCATCAACTATGACACCTGTCAAAGCGTCCCGGGCCCGGTAGATAGCCAGCCAACCCACTCACTAACCTATCCCCTCAATGGTGGCCTAAACAGTGGACTGGGAACACCCGTCGGACCCACAACAGGGCTCGGACTATATCCGTCTGCTGGCACGACTGCGCGAAGCGCTCCCATCACCGCGATACGTGCTGGCCACCTGCCTACCAGCGGGCTTCTGGGCGCTGCGCAACATCGACCTCTCCAAAGCGCAACTCTACCTCGACCTGATCAACCTCATGGCGTACGATTTCTCCGGACCCTGGGAACCCGAGACGGGACACCAGGCCCAGCTGTTCAGCAAACACGCCTCCGCAGTATCATGCCAGACGGCCGTCACGTACGTGCTCGGGCAGGGCGTCGACCCGAAAAAGCTCCTCCTGGGGATCCCCGCGTACGGTCGCTCGTTTCTGGGCAGCAGCGGGGTCGGACAGCGGTATGTGGGCTGTGGCGGCGACGATGGCGTCTTCGATTATAGCGAGCTGCCGCGTCCGGGGGCCAAGGAACATCACGATAGCGGTCTTGGGGCGGCGTATTGCGTCGGCGGGGACGGCGGGTTCGTCACCTACGATACCCCCCAGACGGTGCAGCAGAAGGCGAAGTTTGTCACCAAAATGAAACTCGGCGGCTTGTTCTATTGGCATATCGGTGGGGATGCGCGCGGTCCTAGAAGTCTCATCGAGACCGGGTATAACACTTTGCATGATATGTAAGATTCGTCTGTCAATTTTTTCTTTTCTTTTCTTTTTCGTTTTTTTTTCAGTCCAAGGGACCATACCATGATGGGGAGATGAAAGCAAGAAGACCAGAAAGAAGGATGAGAGAAAGGGGGAGGGAAAGGGGGGGGGGGGGGGAAATAGAAAATGGAAAATGGAAGATGAGGGAAAAGAAGAAGAGAGAGAGAGAGAAGAGAGCGGCGGCTCGCGTCAGGCTTATTTAAGTAGTAGTAGTTAGTAGTAGACAACCAACCAACCAAGACAACAAAGCCAAAAAAAAAAAAAAAAAAAAGATCCGTTTGCTTTTTTTTTTTTATATATATATTGCATGAACACGCGCATTTTGCTATGATGTGCTTGCTTTGAATGGAGGGAGGGGATGATAAGGTCCTTGCTTCTTATAGGAAGCAGCGGGGTCTGACTAGTACTATAGTTACTAGTAGTTGGTTCTGTTTGCTTTAAGTTACTAGTAAGTAACTTAACTACTTTTATGCCTTTCCGCCGTGGCCGCCGTGGCCGCCGTGGCCGCCGTGCATACGGACTACTACTATAGTAACTATGATGTTAGCGCCATAGCAAGCAAACAATTGAACATCCATAGTATAGTACTAAGTACTAGATAACTGTAACAGTGATTCTGCCGATCGACAATCCAGTACGGAGTAGATGGGATTGATACATACATACATACATATATATGGTCGACTTGAGGCAAGGTAAAAAAAAGGTATGGTAAGGTAAGGTAAGTAGCCCCATTTGCACTTAGTAGTAGTAGTAGTAGTAGTAGTAGTAGTAGTAGTAGTAGTAGTAGTAGTAGATAAAATGGACCATGAAGTACCACTCAAGTGCCCCTAACAGACAAGAATTACACAACAATGTAGATTATAAGTCTCGCATGGCAACACAACGCCAACATTAATGATAATATTATTCAGTCAGTCAGTCAGTCAGTCCGTCCATCCGTCCAGCCCGATTGGGTTTCAAAATTGGAATTAGAACCCAAGAGAAAAAAAAAAAAAAAAAAAAAAAAAAAAAAGACAATCGCATGCAACCAATATTAACGTATACATATGAACAGTAAATAAAAGAAAAGAAAAGAAAAGAAAAGAAAAGAAAAGAAAAGAAAAGAAAAGAAAAACACCGCGCGTGTCAATACCCTTCCCCCCATTCATCCACACATCTACATCCATATCAAGGGATTTTCACCCTGCCTCTCTGCCCCGCATCTCATCATCGTTATCATCCTCATGAATCAAACCGGTTCTTGGTTTGGTTTGATTTTGATTACAGAGAGCTACTACCCAACGCCTGCGTCACGTTCAGCTGCGTCGTCAGCGTCAGCGACCCCAACGCCTCGGCAATATACGGGAGCTCCTGGCCATCGTAAACGCTGGAGTTGCCGGTGATGTCGACGGGAATGACGTAGTTGGGGTAGCCGCCGAGCAGACCTACGACGGTGAGCTCACTGATGGCGGCGGTCATGGCGACAGTGTTGTTGCCGGGTCGGATGACAAGATCGTCGATGTAGGCATATCCGATGGCGGTGTTGTTGACGGAGAGGTTGAGGGTGAGGTTGCCCTGGAGAGAAGGTTGTTAGTGGCGCTGAAGGGAAGAGAGAGATGGGGTCAGGGGGGAAGGGTTTGTACCACGGCGATACTGATCACGGACGGGTTGGGAAGGTACACGGTTCCTTTGCCGTTGACACCGCTCGAAGTACTTGTGTCAATGCTCAGGTCGATCAGGTCGAAGCCGCTGAGCTTGTTGAGGCCTGGATGGTGGGAATGTGAGCAGGATGGCGCTTTTGATTTTTTGATTTTCGGAGGAGAGCTTACCCTTCATCGTGGTGGTCTTGTTATACGTGACACCCTCTGTGGGCAAACCACCCTCTTTCATGTTGGGCTTGCCGTAGACGTTCATCTCGAACTCCTCGCTCAGGATGACCGCCTTGCAAAACTCTGCAAAGGCCGTCTGATCGGTGACATTCACACGCTGGTCGATGGGCACGTTCACGTCGTTGTGGCTGCGGAATTGGGGGACTTGGACCTGACTGAAGGCCGCCCCGCCGGCCAGGCTGATGGCAGCGGCGAAGGAGTAGAAGGTTGGGTGGAAGGAGCTGTTGGTTCCAATGACATTGGTCTGGTTCAAGATGAACGAGGTCGGCGATGGGTCACTGATGACCATCTTGGAGACGCTCAGGGTCGATTTGTTGACCAGGTTTTGCGCAATCTTGGGGTATGCGACATAGACTCTGTGGTGTCGGCACCATGTTAGTCAAGGGCCTGGCTTTGTTCGCACCACCCCTGGGCCAACTGGGGAGGGGACGTACACAGGAAGGACGATCACGAGGATGACCACGATCAAGATGATGAGATGCACCCACCACCATCGTTTGAAATGGGCCACGACGCGAGATCCGAAGCTGGGTCGCCCGGAGGCCGTGCCCATGTGGGAGATTTCGGTCACTTCAGGTTTGCTGTCACTGGCCATCTTGGGCGACGGATATCGTGCTGCTGTCCGGGACTGCCGAGTCAGAGGATGCGGGTCTAGAGGACCGAGCCGAGGAATGTGGGCTTGAATAGGATTGGACTTTGAAAGGGGCCCCCCCAAATGTCGTGCAGGTGGTGGATGCGGACGAACTGGCAAGAGGTCAGCATCAGGCTCGGTGGCACGAGGGGGGGGGGTATATAGCCGGCCACCATGATGTGACAGCGACGTACATCCTACGCAGCAGGACTCCGGAGTCGTCAGGTAATGATCAAGTGATGGGCAAGGACAGGCAAGGACAGGCAAGGACAAACAAAGAATAGAGTTGAAGAATGACCACGGAACCCGCGAGGTCGAATCAAGGGAGGCAAGGGAGGAGGACCCAGGAGAAAAGGAAACAATCGGATCTCCCCCGTCCCCATCCTTCTATCTATATGTCCCGAGGGCTGGAGCATCACATGTGTACACCGCGGGTCACCGTCCTAGTGCGAAACTATGCCCAGGCCATGCAGAAGGGCATGCCGCTATCAGTTAGTAGGATGTAACGAAAGGGGGGGGGGGGGGGGGCGAGCCAACAAGGGTCACCGAGACAAGGACCCAGAATGCAGCCAGACGATCCAGATAATTGGGAGAGTGGAGGGGGGGACCCGAACCTCTGGCACTCTACAACGACGGCGGTATGAGATCGATTCGAATATGGGGAAGCCGCTGCTGTCCTGCCCTACCCTGCCCTACCCTGCCCTACCCCGGAGGCGTCCCAGGGACGCCAGTCACAATGCGCAACAGAGTGTCGGCGATTGTTGCGGTGGAACCGAGGCTGACAGCGAGTCGTCGCATCATCCACGAGAGGGGAAGTACTACTAGTATTCTACTTGGGAAGGAGACAGGTCTGCAGTCTGCAACAGGCAGACGGACTCATGCAGGTCGGGGCAAGCGATGGAAGGAAGGGAATGCAACCCCCTCCCCAATTTCCCCCGGGCGATCAGGGCAGCTTGGGTGGGACAAAAATGCCGGCGCCATGCGGTCCCGACGCACCATTTACAAAGTAATCTAGTCCAGTGAATCATGAACTTCACAAGAGCGCTACTGATTTAGGCCAAACCTCCGGGGGCGTGCCCCGACGGCAACCAATGGCCGCCTCGTGCAGGACGAGGGTTGCTTGGGGAATTCCGGGGTTTAATATCGGTTACCAATCAAGTACCAACCGGACTGGTCGCGGAGGAGTCGATGCTTTTGCGGTTTGCAGCAGTTGGTAACCAAGTCTGGAGGAAGCCAGGCAGTACTTACTTAGGTTCCGGCTGGGCGGAGGCGGTCTCACCCCCGCCTGAACCCAGCTGGACCTGGATAGACCGCTGCTCATCCACTGGTCGTCCAGGAGATCCGGTGGCGAGGGGGAGGGGAACCGCCCAATGATTGATACATTCCGGCCCTTGCGAATCACCCAAAAAGAGGCGTGCCCTCAAAATAATCAATCCGAATGGGGGCCGTGGGTTCTCCCGCCATCGATCATTGCCCGAAATCCTAAATCCTAACCCTAGTTGGGAACAGCGCGCCCAGGGCCGCACGCCATGGCGCCGAACGGGCCAATCTATCCACCAGCAATGGAAACACAAAGTCCACGAACCAATCCATCGACGATGGAAGGAAGAACATCAGATTATGTAGGATTCTCGTGAGGATCATCGGGGACGATCTCGGTCAACAAACACGTGCACACACGCACACCCCACCCGGCTATGAACAGGGGGAAAGAAAAGAACGGTACTACAGAGGCTCAAGGAAAGAGAGAAGGTACTAGCGACGGAAAGAGGACGGAGTCCTGGACGGGGGGGGAGGGAGACGAAAAGAATGAAAAAAAAAGGAAAGGAAAATGGCAAATGGAAGAAAGAAAATGGAAAAAAGAAAACAAAGGTGAGCTAGAGGACTTCCAGGAAGTATAGAATCCTAGAAGGGGATCGAATCGAACATCACACAGTGATTAGATAGTAGAAAATGATGGGTATCCAAGAAACGAATATCGATGCCCGCAAATTGGATCGCGGGAGCCGGATGAGAACCATCGGCCCCGGTCCAAAATGTGGAGCAGCTAGCAAGGCCCGCTCAACAAAACAAAACTGGATGCTAGTCGGAAAGGGGAAAGAAAGAAAAGGAACGAAATAAAAGGTGGCTCCGACCCGAGCCTGAACAAATGAGAAAGAAGGGGTAAGGGGGTCTCAACAGGCACAAAAGGGATAGTGCAGGTTGAGGTTGACCAGATGAGAGACACCGGGTGATCGCAATAGGAAAAAGAAACAAAAGTCTCAGGAATTAGGTCAAATCGCAAAGGGCCCGATCACAGAAGCCCAGGAGGACAAGCTTTTTGCTGCTCGCTGATGCAGTCGCCGAGCGTTCGGATGCAAAGAAACACTGCAGGGTCGCAGGGTGGCGGTGGTACAACCTTCCTTCCATTTCATGCTTCGGCGGCAACGGACTTTTTGCGGTGGAAAAGACTGCGCGTCCGCGATTTGCTGCGCTGCTTGGCCTTCTCGGGCGTGCTGCCAGCCTGACGGCCGCGACCGCGACCGCGCGACCGGCTGGCGGCTTCATCCTCCGCCATGTACTTGTCCTTGTATATCCTGGTAGAGAAGTGTCAGCCCGGCCTCAGCCACCCACCACAAATGCCACGGTCGGGAACCTACCAGCTGTTTCCCACCATATTGATCCCCTTCGCCTCCGCCTGGCGGTAGAATCTCGCCGCCTTTTTCAGGTCCTTCTTGCAGCCGATGCCTTCTGCGTAACAGAAGCCGGCCTCGGCCAATGCATCACCATCTCCCCATTGGCCGGCGATCTCGAAACAACGCAGGGCCAGCGACTTATCCTGTTCAATGCCCCATCCGTTCAGATGGCTCACGCCAAGCTCGTAGATGCTCAGCGCAAACTGGGCCCGATACGCCTTTTGTAGCTCTCTGGCGCGAGTGGGAATAGTTGGGTTAGAGTCATCCATGAGCTCGATGCCAACGGAATCCACGGCCTTGCGCAGCCACTGTACGCCCTCCCGTTGATTCGGCCGCATACCCCACCCATGCCGGCAGGCCAATGCATATAGCAGCATCCCGGTTGGGTGGTTCTGCTTGGCTGCAATGCGCAGATGGTACGTCGATTCGTTCAGAGATCCTCTCTCGTGACATTCGATGCCCCTTGTGACATGCTCATCCGCCGTAATTGCAGCGGAACTCGTGTTTGTCCGGCCGGTTTGCGGGCGGACCGTAGATTCCGAGCCCGCGGAAGATGTGGCATCGGTATGGTCACTCTTCGAGACCTCTACATCCCGCTGTTCCATGGAAGCCTCCTCGCTAGATGTAGGGTCGGCGGGCATAGGGTCGGCAGGGGCAGGCTCTGTGGATTCCTGAGCTGTATGGGTTGGTTCGGCAGGGACCGGTTGAGATGGTGTCGCGTCAGGCGACGGGGGAGTTTGCTGAGGCAGAGGCGGCTCTGGTGTCAACAATCGACGAGCTGAAGACGGCGATTCGTACATCGAGCGCGTCTTCGAGATAATGGACGCTTGGCAAGAGGGCACTGGGGACGGGGTCCTTGCCGGTTGAGGGGGGCCCGCTGTACTGTGCCGCGGTGGGCTCTCAAACAACGGCTCCTGCCACTCGAAGTGAGGGGTCTGAAGGCCTGAAAAGACCACAGAGTCTCTCGATACCGCACGCCCGCGAGGCAGGGAGTACTTGGCGTAGGTGTACGAAGACACGGCAGATGACGGGTCTTCATTAGGGTTGAAGGGCATATCCGATGGCGATGGCACAACGATTGGCCTAGGTTTGTGTCCACGGTTGATCGCGGTCTGTAGGTTGGCGGCTGCCGACTCTGACGAGCCCATTGGACCGGGTGCTGAAACACTCGTGCTGGACCGGCTCAACGGGCGCGAGAAATTGTATGGTCGCGGGAGGTGACCTCCGGTGTTCGACGTCTCCGAGCTCATGGATGGCGACCGGGGATGTGAGCGGATGACGGAAGATGACATGGGGGAGTATGGCAGTGACACCGCACTGCTAACGGACATTTTCCGCGGCTTCGAGAACGTCGATCCCGCATTCGAGCTGCTGTAGTCGTCGTCAGAGCTCTCAGGCTGCATCGTTCGGGAACTGCTGGATGGCCTAGATAGCGGAGAGGCTGGCGGGGCCAGGCCTCGCGGAATGTTTAGACGAGAGGCTGAATCGGTCGACGAGGTCCGGGAGGGTCCAACCAGGGTGACGCCCACGGGAGGAGCCACGCCAGCTGGCGCAACGCTGGTAGGAGAGACCGCGTAGAAACGAGGGGTGCAGTCAGCCGCGCTGTCGGGTGCGCCGTATGAGGACATAACGTCTTCCGGCGAGTCTGCGCGCGGCAGGTCGAAAGCGTTGGGCTCTTTCTTGGGGGTAAGGTCCTCGTCCTCCTCCGGATAATCGCCCATGTCGTTTGTCAGGTGAGATACCCCGCTTAGACGGGGGTGTTCAGACTGCGGACGGAACTTGGGTTCCTCCACCTCGGGGTTCATCTTCTGCGTCGGTTGTCTCGTCAACTCTTTACGGCCACCTCTTCCCCCTTGAGAAGACTCGCTCGAAGATGGAGATCGAAAATATCCGGGTCGGGGTTGCGATAAGGAACGGGCCACACTGGAGGGGGGGAGCCTGCTCATACGACGGTTCCTTCTCGCCGACTCCTCCAACTGACGGGCCAGGAGCCGACCTTGAGCGGCAAAGGCATCGAGCGGAGACAGCGCGGGAGGAATTTCACCATCGTAGTGCTCAATGCGCGGCGATGGAGCGCCGCTGCGAAGGACGTCGTGGGAGGGGGATCGGCTTTCACCAAACTTGGGCCGGGAGGCCATGGTTGTTTTTATAATGGACAATTCGCTGCGGTCACAGAGGTCCTTCCACCCAGGGTTCAATCAACTCGGTCAGTCAATTCATTAAACCGATATCGGTGGGTGACACTTTCGAACGTTCAACCGATTTGCATGAAGAATGTGGGATAGAGGCTAGGGTGGGTGGGGAGTTGGCGGTGGCGCTTGACGTTCGGAATGCTGGTGAGCCGTTATACGTGCAGGGCTAGTGGCCTTCGGGGCAGCGAAGAGCTGACACGGGCACAAGGAGGGGGCGGAGGACACAAAGGAATGACAGCCCCAGAGCGAAGAGATCGAGGATGGAGGGAGAGGGGCAGGCGAGCAACTCCAGACAGCAAGCAGATAATCGGTCAAGTCAGGCTTTGGAACATGAGGAGGGGGGGGAGATAGGCGGCCAATTAGTGGTGGTATGATGCGCCCCGTGTCTGTAGGATGCTATGTTGGGACTGAATCAACAATGGGTGGATGGTTGATGGCCGTCACACAAGGAGACGCATCGCGGAAGAGAGGAGAGAAGAGGAGAGGGGGATGGAGAGAAGACAAGAAGGACGAGCAACGACGAGGAGGGCGAGGAGGAGGGCGACAACTACTGTACTAGGTACTGGACTAGTGAGGACGAGGCCGAAAGGGAAAGGAAAAAGGAAAGGGACGACGGACAGGGACAGGAACAAGTTAGATTCACTCACCATGATCGGTTTGTTACGCTGACCGTCATGACGATCCCCAAACAAGGACCGTCGCTCTGGGCGGTCTCCACGCGGAGGGGAAGAACGGTAACGCCATTACCGCCGGCCGCCATGCGACGCTGCCCCTCCCCTTGGGGCCCCAATCAGCGCGGTGCTGGGCGAACAGCCGGCCCCATTCCCCCCCATTTCTCCCCCATTTCAGGGGCAGCCATGGGCCTCGTTACGTCGGTTACATACCCATACGTCGCTGACAGGCCCGCGGGTCTTGGCAACCGCACCACTTGAGGGGGCAGATCTTTACCCATTACCCGGCCGGTTACCGTAAGGTACCGAGCAGGTCGGTCAGGGGTCGCCGGGTCTCCTGCAGCAGCATTATTGATTGTTATTTGTCCCTCCCTTTTATTGATTGATTGATGGCAGCAGCCTGTTCAGGGCTTCCGGGCTTCCTTCAGGCACGGGGGGAAACCCCTCCGGTCGCTCAATGGCATGGCCAGCTTCTAGAAGGGGATGGGAATCTCGGCCATCGTGATTCGTGAGGCCTAGATGCCAGATGGTATCGCCCAAGTTTGGTTCAACCTGAATCGTTGGTGGAGTCCGAACCACACTCGGCTCTTTGCTATTTATATTCGCCTCCCCTGCAAATTTTCGTATCCCACTGGCAGTCGGGCACGCCCCTCTCCCCTCCCCTCCGGTCCTGATTCGAAGATGGTATCCCATAGGTTCTTGCCCTCCCCCTCCTTAGGAGTTAAGTAGTTACTGCAATATGATAGTTGCCTGTCCAGTGTCCACTATCTAGACAGCAGGTCCGTGTGGTGGAAGAAGGAGGTGGCTCGGGTTTATCTTCCACCCATGTCGACTACTATTTTGAACATGAACATACCTACGGGGTACAGTAGTACATGCAGACGGTGTGGGCAACACTTTAAGTCAAAAGAGAAAAGAAAAGAAAAACAAAGGGTTGTTGGACGGCGTAACCACCAAGATGCCGATTAGTTAGGCTGTCTCATGTAAGTAGAAGTAGTAGTCATGTTGGTTGGCTTACGCCGTACGAGCGAATCCAGGACCTCAAAGGCTCAACATCCAACCTGACTACTCGGTACGTTTGCTTGGCATGGGAGCCTGAATAATAAAAGGAGTGTGAGCTATGAACAATAATGAACCTATCCCTCGTCATCGCCCATGATGAGGGCCGATTTTCTCTTTTGTTTAGTTAGTGTTTTGGCTCTGATACCCCCCTCCCCCGGCCCCAGTGCATCCTTTGGTCGGCTGGTCCGACACCAGGCACAAACGTCGCGGGACTCCAGAATCCAGACAGCCTAAAGACAGCCTAAAACAACCCTCCGACCGCTGTGATTGGCGCATCAATCAAGACACTGCAGCATCGGGAAATTCTGCCGCCGAACTTGTGAAGAATGATCGAGTTGACTTAGTAGATAGTTAGTGTTCGATGTTTTACATCCTCGCTGATTGCCTGAGGTGTGCAACCGCACCACCTCGCCTGCCTGTGCTTTCGGGCACCAACCGACAAACCATGGTTGCGCAGGAGTCGGTGCAACGTACGCCGTACCACCTCATTAGCAAATGATATTGGTAGTCATCAGTACGTATGTACTATGTACCATGTACGGAGTACTTAGTATGGAATATCTGCTGAGCAGCTCAGCAGATATTCCTGCGATCAGCCCTGTCTCAGACTGTGAACAGACCTGAGACCAGAAGCCAGAAGCAAAGTGACACCAGAAATTAATCTTAATTAAAAGCGAAATCTCTTCAACGGTCCAACCTCACAGACCACCGTCACCATCGCGAGCTAAGTGAGTTCCGGAGGAGCAGCGGAGTCGCCCATACTTCGGCTCGCCCAATCAAGACGCTCTCCGTGCCCTTCTAGAGTCGCTATCTCGGCCACGCTCCGCAGAAGCTTAGTCTTAGCACCTTGAGCCTAATCAAGTTGAAGATGATCGGTCAATATTAAGGAGAGCATTTACCAAGGGAGGAGCGCGGGCAGAGGAAGAGATAGACAGCCCGTGTGATTTTATTAAACTCTGGTCGTGCGTCCCCTCGCGCCTGTTCATCTCCAGCCCGAACACCAACAACTGAACCCGTCAGTCATGATCTAGATATTACTATAGATATCTCCTACATCCATACACGCAGCCAGCCCTAACCCCAACCCAGCTACTAGCACCACCAGTACCTACCTACCTACCTGACCAAGTGAAGGGATTTCCGGACCGACCGACCGACCGACCTTCATCAAAATGAACAAGGGCAAATCCCTCTCGCTCTACCACCTCCTCCACGTCGACCCGTCCCTGGACCGCGACCACGTCTATGAGACCTCGTGGCTGCTTCCTCCCCTCGCGTACGCCATCCTCCGCGGCGCCATCTCCCTCTACATATTCACCTCCATCTTCTTCATCTGGGGCTGGTACGGCACCCATGGCGACCGCGACGAGATCGGCCAGAGCTTCAGCTACTTCACGTGGCTCACCTACTGGGGCATCGGGTTCTACATGCTCTTTGCCTCCATCCACACGGCCTGCTACGCGTTGAAGGGCCGATCCGTTCTCTTCGACCGCTGGCCCAGAGCCCTGCGCGCCCTGCATGGCCTCTTCTACACAACCATCACCACCTACCCATTCCTCGTCACCATCGTTTACTGGGGTATCCTCTTCTCCGGACCCTGGTTCACCGTGACCATGAGCGCATGGCAGAATGTAAACAACCCCCCCCCCTTCCCCCCCTTACAGACTCCCTCCCCTCCTCCTCCATCATGCATATGCATATCATATGCATAAGTACTATGCATACCAAGCACGTACACATCCATCCCCCACCTCACAAATCACAACCCCTCCCTCACTAACAACACCACCCTCCCCCCCGAATCCAGATCTCCCAACACGGCCTCAACTCCCTCTACGCGCTCCTCGAAATCACACTCGCAACCACAAACCCGCACCCTCTTCTCAGCCTCGCCGTCCTGATCTTCCTGCTACTTCTCTACGTCGCCCTCGCCTACCTGACCTACCACACCGAGGGTTTCTACACCTACTCCTTCCTAGACGTCGGCCCGCACGGCGAACACAGCGCCAAGGTCACGGGCTATTGTTTCGCCATCCTCGCCATCATCCTCGTCTTCTTCGTGTTCTCCTGGTGCTTGATCTGGTTGCGTCGCAGACTGACACGTGGGATGGTGAAGCGGTCGGCGTATGATCCTGATCGGTCGGCGGCAGACGTGGAGGTGGTGGAGGTGGAGGTTGCTCGGTCTTAGGCGTTCTGATGGGTTGGTTGGTTGGTTGTTGGCTTGGTTGTTGGCTTGGGTTTGTTTTGTTTTGTTTTCTTGGTCGTAAGGCTTGATTGCTGAGGTTGTTGTTATGTGATATGTATGATATGGGATTGATTGATACCTTGAGGGAAGTTAAGGGTGGGATGGGATGGATGGAATGGGTCGGATGGAGGGTTTATTTATCGCGCCGTGTGTGGTGATTAATTTAATATGTGGGGTTTAATTAGCAATTATCTGGAGGATGGTGGATGCATGATATGATACAGAACAGGTTGCCTATTAGTATAGTATGGTTCAGTCTGGAATGATATGCTTCGTTAAGATACAGGGGTTAATGAGAGAAGAGAGCTTTCCAATGTGCATTGCACTTTAGGATTAAGAGAAGAGAAGAGAAGAGAGGATATATTATCGCAACCGTTATAGTCCAACTGTTCATGTTCAACATTACATCTTCTCCCAGCTCGTCTCACTACTCCCCCCGCTAGGGCTGTCCCCAGAAGAGAACGGCTGCTGCCCAGTCCGCAGCCCGAGCATCCACCCCACCAGACCAGCAGGAGCCCACTCGCCGATCAGGCTGTAGGACCGTGCTCCTCGTCCGACATAGATGGTCGATTTCTTGGCCACCTTCCTTCCGAAAATGTCTTTCGACGGAGTTTCCAGTGCGTCCTGAAGCGCGTATTGGAGCGTTCGCACCGACGAGCCACGGACTGTGCCGGGGCCTGCGGATGCAACGGGTCGCTGCTCGATGCTGTTCAGGTACTGCGAGGCATAAAGGGATCGCTGTTGAACGCTCCAGGCAAGGACTTCCGTGCCGGTGATGTGGCTCTGAGCGTTGCGGTACTGCGGGCCCAGGTCGATGTTGCCGAGTTTCAGTTCCACGACATCGATGTTGTTGTGCTGGAGAAGCCGGAGTTCTCGGCGGAGGGAGGTTGCGAACCCTGAGAGCGCGCGTGTGGTCGTGACTTCGGGGCTGGTGAAGGGAGCGGAGAGCGACGAGGAGATGGATGGGTAGGCAAGGACGATGGTGCTGTTGGTGTTGCGGACGGTGAGGAGAGGGAGGAAGAGTTGGGTTGTGAGGATAGGTGAGAGGAGGCGGGTGTTGACCGTGTCGATCCAGGAGGAAGGGGGGATGGTGGCCACTGGGCCGGATGCGTAGTTGGGCGAAGGCACGAGGATAAGGCCGCTTAGCTGGCAGGTATGTGGTGGTATTCCTGGCATGGGCGACTGCGCTTTTGTGATGAGGGAGTGGATTTCAGCCAGGGATGGGTGGATATCGGATGGAGACGGAGGTGCCTATGCGGGTTGAGATGGTTGGTTAGTGTGCAAGTTTGACTCCATGCGCGGATGCTTGGTTTCGTACAACGGAGAGATCCAGCCAAAGAGCTTTGATATCCACGCGATTCTCCGACTGAACGAGATGTTCTTCTTCCGCAGATGTAACCGTCACGTAGACTATGTATCCTCGGCGTTCCAAATCGGCGGCGATCGCTCTGGTCATGGGCTCATGTGGGGACCCGGCAACAACTGTCGTAGCAATTAGATCGCGAACAGACGGATGGAGGCTGGCGAGGATGCATACCCACGATTTCCTTTCGGGCCCCATTTCCCGCTCTCCTCGCTCTCCGTCGCTTCCCGTTCAATTTCTTATTCCCGTAGTACAGCACGCAGCTGGTGCCGACAAAGGCAAGAATCGCGGCGCTCCATGCTCTATGATGCAAAACCCACTCGTGCACGCGATCAACGAAGGAATGCGACAGGGGCGGACTAGGTCGATATCTAGGTACAGGCCGGACAGTTGCAGGGAGCCATGACTGGCCGGAGAGGGTATCTCGGATTGCGTTGGCGGCGTGGTCCACCTGTCGGTCGATCGACTCGGCGACTTGGAGCGAGTATTTTCTTACGTCATGCGGTATCGAGGCCAGCTGGGGGGAAGAACAGGGAGGTGTCAGTGCGGGCGGGGGTGGGTATGCAGTAGACATGATACATCAACTCACGTAGTCGAAGAAGAACTGGTCGTCGCTGGTCATGGTGAATGGGCCTGCTCTCAGCTCTCAGGTGCCTGAAAGTCCGAGATGGGAAGATGGTTGAGGAAGGCGAAAGTCTGCGGCAATGAAGATTATGATCTTTATCGGCGGGCGGGTCACATGAGCGATCCCGTCCCATTGGAGAGGACCGATCTATACCCAAAGATCATGTTGCATGTGTTTCCTGTATTTATTTTGTCACCGGAATACTACCATGGATGTGTGGGCTCGAGGACATCGGCCAGCAAGAAACAGGGGCAGAATATCTGTCCTGAGTATGTATGTATATATATATATCTATATCTATATTCACCAGTTGGGGCCACTAACAGCCGTACGGAGTAACAGTCACTACTCCAATAAGTGCTTCGGCGCCCCCTCAAACAACCCGATCGCCTCTTCCAGGCGCTTCTCATACTCCGCCATTTCCTCATTCTCCTGCTCATCCTCACCCACCCCATCCTCCGAGAAAGCGTCTTCCTCTTCGTCATCAATCTCGCTCTGCAGTCCCAACTCCACCCCATCCTGCCCTGCACCCCGAACCGTATTCACCGACATGAAGTCCCGATAGAGTCCCATGGATGTGGGAAGCTGCACCCCTTCCAGTCCAGTCTTACCCATCTTAATGAACTGAGCATCCAGCAAGCGAAACTGGGCAGCCCACACGTGCCGCTCAGGCACTTCCATCGCCAACTCCCACGATGTCTCATGGCCCAGACTCACGGATCCGCCCACCGGCACGCCGGACAACGCCCCCAGGACCGACGATGAGATTCCCGCCGAGGCATCCTTGGAGTGACCCCGCGAGACAACTGTGCGGGTGCCTTCGAGCATATATAGGCCAGTGAGGAGCCAGATTTTGGGGCGGCGGGCGAATTTGAAGTTCAGCACATAGGCACTACGGGCGGCAGAGAGCCAGAGTTTGAGCTTCTGTTGAGCGAGTGGGTTGTTGAGAACGGATGCAGTGAGGAATGATTCGGGGCTACGCGTCACTTGTGAGCAGTGTGAATATTGAACATAGAGGGGCGGGTGCATACTCTTTGAGGACTATTCGAGTCCCCTTCTCGGCAGTGACGATGCGCTCGAGGTCTTTGTTCCAGGCGAGATTGAGATCGATAATATCGGCGGCGCTGAGACCTATGGATGGGGATAGACGAGAGGAGCCGTGGAAGGTGACGTTTGTAAGGTTGCTGGTGAAGGCATGTTCTTGCAAGGCCTCGTCGCTACCTCAATAGTCAGACTGGTGGGCTGTATACACCAGATGTATGTAAGGGGGGGGTAGAAAACCTGAGCATTTCATGTGTATAATGTCGCGCGATGAGCGGTTGCCAATATTTCTCCAAGACCAAGGATCCGAGTGTTAGGGCCTCGGGTTTCTCGCCCACTCCGTAGAGGTAGAAGGAAGAGTCGTCGCTGGCCGCCATACTGAATGGATTTAATGCAGATTAGCGTCGGCTGTATAAGTGGGTGTACTATCATGCAATAGTTGAATTTGAGTTTCAACTTCAACCTGCTACTGATGTAATATGTATACGTTGTAGGAACCTGGGCTGACTGCGCGGGGCTGACTGACTGACTGACGCAAACCAGCCCAAGTAAGCGAGGAGCTCAGCCCTGCATGATCCATCGGAATCCAATGACAGTTGGGACAAGCGGGGCTTGGGGATGGCGGGCCGAGGCCGTCCAGGCTTATTACTTAGTAGTATTATCTATCGAGTATCATGCGGGTCGAGAGGCGGCCCAGAATCGGTAATTCCGGGCGAACACGCCTGAATGGACGGGTGTAACTGTATATATATATACTATAAGATGCAGAACATCTCACCTCCGCCAGCGTGGTACTATCAGTGGATCTCCTGCATCTCGGAGTGATGGATTTCGATCAGTTCATCGACCTCTGCGGTCGAAGCCTTGCCCCCGAAGAGTATCGCGGGGACCTGGATGCATCATGGGACAAACTGCAGCAGGTCAAGCCAGAAGTCTCCATGGCTGAGCCTGTGCCTTACGCAGAGTACCTGCGGTGTGCGTCTGTTTATTTCATTCTGACCGGCAGGCTGCGAGATGCGTATGACTGCCTGGCTGCCCTACATGGTCTTCTTGACAGCCTGCCGCCGGAATGGGGTCTCCGCTATGCAAACTACACTCTGCTGGTCGACCATGTTCGGCGCTACCCACCTGCACTTCGATTTTACCACGAGCGAGGAAGGCCACTCAGCATACCCTTCCTCGGTGAGGTCATTGGCGCTGACGATATCTCGGTCAAATTCATGAACAATGTCCAAAAGTATCTTCCTACGGGAGTACCTCGCGATCAGGAACTCTGTCAGGTCCTGAATGTCATCCACTGGTTCCCCCTCCAATACAGGAACCTGACTGCCCAATTCCATCCCCTGTTTCCTCGCGCTGTCCCTTCCCACACAGATGGCGCAGACCCGATGCCTTCGATTCAGGAGAGCTCTAAAAACCTGCTCACTTATCGCATAAGAGCGGAGCAAAAAGGCTCGACAGGAATTGCAACCTACCTTTCTCGGCTCGCTGCTGAGTTTCATATCGCATGTCAAGGCTCAACCCGCACGGTTGTATTGAGAGAGCTATATGAGAGGTATGAAAAACAGGATGACCGGGTGGGCATGGGCAACTGCAAGATGATCGAAGGTGACGACTTATCGAGCCCCTGCTTTGTCAGCCCTATTTCATTGAACTTGGTTGCTATCGATTCTTCTTCCTCAATTGGAGAAGAAATCCTGTGGGACCCTGTGGAAGCAGATATCGCGTTTGAATATCCAGCACAGGTCAAGGAATGCTACGAGTCAGCTCAAAGACTTTTCCAAGACTGCGATTGCAAGAGAGGCCAAGCTGCGGTTATGCTTCGACAAGGGTGCTGCCTGCACAGCGTAGCGCGCCTATTGCTCCCGGTCGGTGAGGAAAGAAGAAGTGTGTTGGATGTTGCGAAGCAGAAACTCCATTGTGCTCGAAAGCTTTTTGGCAGAGACGAGGTCAATGCTCGCATGGTCGAAGCCCACCTGATACTGCTTGAAATAACACAGGGGATTACCAGGGAGATTCCAAGAGTCGCGCGTAGCCTCGGTCAATGGGCTGTCCAGAACAAAAATGAGATTCTAGCTCATTTTGTCGGGCTATTAATGTTACGCTTCGGAAGTCAGGAATGGCTTCGGTTTTCAAGGATGGACACCGCCCTGTTGGCGTGGGAATGTGCCTATGAGGTCTTCAAGGCCCTGGGCGATGTGATTCCCATGTTTCAAACGTTAGTCTTTCGCGCATGGATGCAACATTCCATGTTTAATTCAGCAGCTACGAGAATTTTCATCGAAAAAGCGATCTCGATGGTGGACCTCGTCAGCAACAACTATGATTCCATGATTAGCAGTGTTTCTGATACCTTGAAAGGCAATGTGGATCGCAAGATACTCCTCGCAAGCAAATTTAACACCTTTTGGACATTCAAAAGATACGTTACCAACATCTACCAGCGCCTCGAGGATTCGCAGGCATTTGACGAATGGCAATCGAAACTCTCTCGATTGATCGAACATGATGGGAGCTTCCGGGAATATCGTGAAGACATGATAGAAAGAATGTTGGACCAAAACCAACTTTCTCTCGCTCTATCATACCCGGAGTCGAAACGGAAAGATTTCTGGAAGAAGGCCCTGGCAGACGAGGTGGCTCGTGTCAAGCATGCTTCCGCTGAGGTTGCATTCCACCGCTATCTAGAGGAAGGCGACATTTTTGGCGCTGAAAATGCTGTTCATCAATTTGTCCATGAAGCTGAAAGCCTTGAGCAGGTATATACTAGGGACCTCTACCGGATTCTTGCTTGTAACCGCATTGGGGACCTTGAAAAAGCTCGTTCGATCCTTGATAGCATGAATGATGATTTTCTCTTTGAAGGAAGTCTGGAAGGGTATCTCCAGGGGATTGGAATCAAATCCACCTTTCAAAACGTGGCGGAGAATGCACTGACTTTCACCGTCCTCGTTGAGGACTGGACAAGAGCCTTTCGGATCTTGGATTTGGTCGTTAAGATTTCCCCGACTTTTTTTGAGCGCATAGATAAGGATGCATACACCTTTGCATTCCGACTGAGTCATTATGGCGCGATCATGCTAAGGAAAGGCCATTCAGAAGAGGCTTTTCGCAGTTTGCTTGAAGCTCGGCAAATGCTCGAGCTGCGCAGACAGAATACGAACGATGTGGATGCCCGGATCGGAGGCTCCACGCCAGGATGGACTGGAGAGGTCATTCTAGACCTCGCGCGTGCGTGCCTTAGCTGCAGGCAAGGCGAAGTTCCGGTGGCCATAATGAACCGTTATGATCATGGTCATCCAGCAGGCGTGTCATGGGCCGAACATGCTTTGTTGTTTGTGGAATCAAACCGAGCACGCGCAGTGCTTGATTCATTACAGACACAGACTATTGAAGGAAAGCAAGTGGATGACAGGAGTGCCTCAATTTCCGAGACATTTTATAAGAGGCGGGCTCTCCGGACGCTTCTTGGCCTCAAGCAGCTAAGTCCGGAACGGGAGAAAGAAGTTCTGCAACTTCGAAATGACCTCAATGAGCTGGAATCAGGCGAACACTCATCAGTTGCGATCAGCCTCACTGATGCAACAAACTCAGTGGTAGATCCTAAACTCCTTTATCGAAGCATTGAGCAAGATGCCGTGGTTATAGAAGCGACCTTCGGAACCCGTGGCTGCATCGCATTCGCAGTGACGAGAAACGGGATCGAAAAGGTTCACCAAGGAGCATCTCGTACTGTCGACATACGAAAGCCTGTCATACGCCTGATGCAGATCATGAGAGAAATGACCGGGTACCTAGGAGAGCAAGAGGAAAGACGCAAACAGCTTCTTGGTGAGCTATCAGGCGAGATCTCTTCTGTGTTGCTGGTACCATTCGAGGAAATAATCCGACCGAAGAAACATGTGATTTTTTCCGTATCAGAGCCATTGACCGCATTTCCGTTTGCGGTCCTCGTCTTTGACGGCAAGCCGCTTGTTATGCATGCTGTCGTATCCCAGATCCCTAGCCTAACAGTCTTGCACCATATCTTTCATCGACAGTCAGCGTCGCCATCCCTATCAACATCGTCAGCGGCTACGACAGTATCCGTTTTTGCCAAGTCACCCATGGAGCAACCTGCCGATGTCTCGAGAGATGGTACAGAACTCAATCTGCATATGGCAGGTATTGAGGCAGTCAATATTGCCCGGATATTCTCCACCTGGCCGATTGAAGCATCCCACCTCTCCCGCCAGGCTTTCCGCGAATATATCAAGGGCACATCGTCCATTCTGCATGTCGGGACGCACGGCGACATTGACTACCGAAACCCTCTCTTGTCGTCGATCTCAATTGGAGAAGACTTCCGTGTACTCGATCTGTCTGCCATCCAGAGCAATGCCAACCTCCTTGTATTTGCTGCATGTTTGAGCGGGCTCGGCAAGGCAACCTTTGGCAGCAGCGACCTCCTGGGGTTTTCTCATGTCGTACTGGGGACGGGGTGTCAAGCGTATATGGGGACACTCTGGAAGGTCAGTGACTTTGGGTCCATGATGATGATGATTCTCTTCTATCGGAACCTGAAGGATAAGCCACACCTTTCATTAGCAACTGCTTTGAGAGACGCGCAAGTGGAGCTCTGCCAGTTTGATTACAGCAAAGCCAGTAGATTCCTGGACCAATTGCTGGATGACTGGAGCAAGAAGACAGCGACAGTGGATACAGATGACCACCTTCCGGGGGAGTTCGTGCCCGACGCACCGTTTCTCCTTACAATGTCGAAGATGATTTTGGCTCAGTTGGACTGGTCCAGTCCATTCTACTGGGCCCCATTCATGCTCATGGGACATGGTGGCTTTTGTCTGACCAGATGAGGTGCAGTGATGATGTCTTGGGGTTGTGTGTAGCAACCATGCCATGTTGGAATCTGGATCACTTTGTCCCGCCTGGTCCTGCAAATTGACGGCCTTCAACACCGTCATGGCGTGCAGGTCATGTGCACTTCCTCGTTCCTGCCTTTTTGAGTCGCATCATAGATATCCCCCGGCAAGAGGAGAAACCGAGTCATTGGTTGAGAATTCAGGCTAAGTTAGCTGCCGCTTTGCCTCGTCCAACCAGAGCGGGCAATTTGCCCACAGTCTTCCGGGTGCTTGTATGTATGGAGCACTTCTTGTGGTTAAGCTAGATGCCTGACACTGCCCCCTATTAATAACATTGACTGTGGATCAGTCACCTTCGAGGGGCACGCCGGTGATGTCAATACTTCAGCCATCATGCAACGTCCATTATTTCTTCATCTGCGTGCCAAAGGCTAACGTAGGTGGGAGTGCGACCATTCGATTGACCACCCCACCGGAGAAGACACGAAGGGTAGAACGAACGGTCAAGAAATACTCGGGTGAGATGACAACTTTTGAGTTGCAGTGCAAGGCGCGGTGAATAATGATCGGATCTGGGAAAGGCACGGAGATCCACAGCTACCCCAGCACAGAAGCAAGGAACGATCCCTGCTTACCGACTGATCCGAGGATCTTGTGTCATTTATTTGCCGATACTAGCTAGCTCTAGCCCTCTGGGCGGATGACATGGCAGTATATAATATGATACTAATATGCCCCTCAGCATGTTTGCTCGTCTCCGTGTCCTCCGACGCTCATGTCATCGCGCTGGCTGGTAACACAACAGCAATGAACATGTTCTCTACCCCTCATCAGGGCTCCTTCCAGCAGCTGGAGAAGGTTTGTATTTCCCGTTAAGAGGCTTCCATGAACGAGGAAAGTTCGAAAATCATCTGGCATCTCAGTCACTGACGATGGTCACATCAGCTGGGCCAAGGCACATATGCAACGGTTTGTTACTCCATCCCTTGGAAAAGCGGCAAGAAAATTACTTGGTGATGTCTAACGAAATGGTATTCCTCCCCTCTATTTCCAGGTGTACAAGGGACGCAATCGTCAAACCAATGAATTCGTGGCCTTGAAAGAGATCCATCTCGATTGCGAGGAGGGAGCACCGTCGACAGCAATTCGGGAAATCTCGCTCATGAAAGGACTCACGCATGAAAACATTCTGTCCTTGCAAGATGTGGTGAATGTTGAGGATAAACTTGTGTTGGTGTTCGAGTATATGGACAAGGACCTCAGAAGCTACATGGATGCTCAAGGCCACCCACTCGACATCATGACCATCAAGTCATTCACCCATCAATTGCTGCGCGGGATTTATTTCTGTCACGACAACGGCATCATGCATCGCGACTTGAAGCCCCAAAACCTGCTGATCGATCAAAACCGATGCCTGAAGCTCGCAGATTTTGGATTAGCCCGTGCCTTTGGTATCCCTATCAGCACCTTCTCCAACGAGGTAGTGACTCTGTGGTATCGAGCCCCGGATGTACTGCTAGGGAGCAACACCTACAACACCAACATTGATATCTGGTCCGTTGGGTGCATTATGGCGGAGATGCTTACGGGCCGTCCGTTGTTCGCGGGCACAACGAATGAAGACCAGTTGCAGGAGATTTTCGACGTTCTGGGCACACCAACGGAACTCACCTGGCCTGGGGTCAGTCAGTTGCCTCAATACAGGACTAACTTTCCACTCTACACCCCGCAGAACCTGCAGCATATTATGCCATCCTTAGATCCTCTGGGTGCTGACCTGCTGGGGTGTATGCTGCAGCTGAATCCAGAGCTGCGTATCAGCGCTGCTGATGCCCTGCAGCATTCGTGGTTTCAAGATCTTCCTGGAAAGGATTTATCGAGCTCAGCAAGCGAGAAAGCTATTGGGTAGAGTCGTTCTAACCTGTTGTTACATCATCAACTTTCTTATATTTCCAGTTCAGTCCCTCAACTAGCCGTAAATCCGTTTGTTATGGGATACCCTTTAAGTTCGCAGCAATCTGTGCTCGTCAATATTTGGACAAGCTCAAACCATGCTTCTCCATGTGGTTCATAGTGTACTGGCGAGCCCGAGGCCTTGCCCAGTGTTTATCACAAGTCGCAGCTTATGCCACGGAGAGGTTATAAGCTTACAATCCTAGTGCAGAGGAGAGAGAAAAAAAAAAAAAAAAAAAAAAAAAAAAAAACCACGACATTCCGAATAAAGCACGGTAAGATAGAAAAGCAGAAAAGAAGCTGTTATTCCAGAACCCCCCTAACCAGGCAATTGTGGCCATAAGACCCAATGCATAGTACCTAAGTATCCTCGGGAATTTCAAGCGCCACCTACTATCTATGTAGTCACGAAACAGCAGAGCAATCCCACCACACCACAAAATCCATCCGATGCAAACGATCCGAAAGTCCACAGCGCATCAGATATCCAGCCCAAATCCTTAGATCCGATCCCTTAACCGATCCAAAGCCGCGAAAACACCAACCCCACTCACTAAAGACCACAGCAGCCTGCCCCATTCTTTCCTGAACCCAGCATATCAAGCGTCAGCGGACTGATCATCGCCTTCACTCTCAGCAACGGGAGACGACTTTGCTTTGGCACTCTTGCGTCTCTTTCGAGGAGTCACGGGCGCCGATTCAGCACCGCCCCCCTTGCCCTTTTTGACGGCGCTGAAGGTAACGGAGCATCCGGGCTTGCGGTACTTGCCCAGCTGTTCGCTAAGGGCCTTGGTGGTGGGCTTTTCGTCGCCCGCTGGGTGACTGGTGTTAGTGGCGTGCTTGGTCTTGGCCTCTCGTAAGGTAGGGATGATGTCTTACGCCATGCGTCGGCTATCTTGTCCAGTTCGATTACAAAGCTCTGGGTCTCGAAGATGAGGCGGAGGAGCTGGGTGGTTGTGTGAGTGGGGATCTTGGAGGAGTAGGGGAGGGGTGGGGGGGGACGTACGGTCTCCTTGTTGTCCTCTGTCCAGCGCATTTTGCTGAGTGAGGAAAGCCGAGGTAGTGGTTGTGATTTAGAGAAGCTGGTGAATGAAGGGAAAAGATTCCTGGGTAGAGGGAAGAGAGAAGAAAGTGTGTTTGGAATTTGAGGAGTTCAGGAAGGAGAGAAGAAGGAGTTTGTTTAGATGAGGACAGAGAAGAGGTGGAGGAAGCTGGGAGAAGCTGGGGGAGGAGAGAAGAGGAAGGGGAAAGAAGAGAAGGAGAGAGTAACACTTTTATACTGAGATCAGTGTCTCGTGAGCCGTGCTATATTGGAGACTGGCATGGCAGTAAGGCAAGCCTCAGAGCAAGTCTATGTTGCTAGTCTCACAAGAATGGTCTTCAATGATGGTTCAGGGACGCCTGATTTCATATTCAATTTACAGCTTATACTGTCTTTATGTTTAGATGTCTGTTTCATGGAAGATTTTGAATATAACTGGCTGCAGCCTCAGAAGATCACTTCAACTTGTCGGTCGCTTCATTTCGTTCCTTCGTCATTTCCGTATACAGTGACAAAGCACCTGATTGGTCCGGGCCTCTGCGAGCACACGTGATCTGGGTGCCTGGGTGCCTGCCACTGGCGGAGATTATCAATCAGGCCTCTCTCTCTGCTTTGCCTCAGTCCATCTGCTTCTCCTTCTCTCGTCTCGGGGTCATGTCCGTCATCCGCCATTGCGCGTTGAGGTCCTGTTGGGACACGTTTCACATGCACTGAAAAACTTCAGTCATGATTACTACCTGGCGGAGGCGGTAGCGAGCATCTGCATCGAGATCTGTACTATCATTCTGTCTTCTCCCTCTCTCTTCTCGCGATTTTAAATCATCCTCTCACTCTCGTTTATATCCCCGACCAACTCTCACCCCATTCTTCTCGCGTTTTCATCCCCATCGTCATCATGCGGGAAATAGACCCGCTGGTCTTCGAATACCAGCATGACAAGCACCGGCCGCGAGAATCGGAGGCCTTGTTAGTTCTACAGAAGGTCGCGTCCCTCGTCAAGCCAATTATGCGGCGTCGTGGCTGGAGGGTAGGGACCCTTTGCGAATTCTACCCGCATCAACGAAACCTCCTTGGTCTCAACGTCAACGCGGGCCAGAAGATTTGTCTACGACTGCGGTACCCCTCGGATGAGCGCCAGTTTCTACCTCTAGATCACGTGTTAGATACTATGCTCCATGAGTAAGTACTTTTCTTCTCTTTCGCCTACAAGAAGAACAATGGCTAATCGGATATAGGCTCTGTCATATCGTGCATGGCCCACATAATCAGCAGTTTAATGCTCTTTGGAACCAATTACGCGACGAGCATCAAGAGCTCGCTATCAAAGGCTACACGGGCGAAGGGTTCCTTTCTCATGGCCGCCGCTTAGGTGGCCGTAAGATGCCTGTCGATGAAGCCCGTCGAGTAGCCAGAGCAGCCGCAGAGCAAAGACGGACTCTTTCCGCGGGATCGGGACAGCGACTCGGCGGCGCGGCTGTCCTACGTGGGACCAATATGCGGAGAATTATTGCTGATGCAGCACAGAGACGCATGGAGGTGACGAATGGCTGCGCATCGGGTGCCGACAACAGCACAGAACTCGTAGAGGAGGCCTCTAAGAATGGCTTCCGGACCAAGGCAGAGGAAGACGATGCCAATGAGCGCGCAATCATGGAGGCGTATATCGACTTGATTGAGCAGGAAGAGCGAGAGAGATACGGCCCTTCCTACATCCCTCCGAGTCAGGATAATCCCGCTGGACCTCGGACAACGCTCTCCCCGCCACCTGTTCCAGAGAGCAGCAGGCCAACTGCGTCCCCGCAACCCGCAGATCCTATTGACCTTACGTCCATATCTGATGACAGCTTATACAATAAACCCTGGGCATGTCCAACTTGTACGCTCGAGAACCCGGCTGATTTTCTCTGTTGTGACGCTTGTGCATCGGAGCGGCCGCGGCCATCAGCAACAAGGTCTGCATCTGGACCCCCTGCTATAGGTTCAAGTGATCCGAAGCCTGTGAACAGGAAGCGCCGAATGGGTTCTTCGACTATCCAAAAACCATTCAAGAACCGGGTCCGGGCTGTGGAGTCTCTTGCTGCCCTCGAACAGAACGCGAACAAGCGACCCCTCGGATGGCTATGTGACAGCTGCGGGTCATTCATGGAAACCGAATGGTGGACATGTTCAAACTGCGGATTGATGAAGCGTACATCTTGAATAATCTTGTGTTGTTTGGCATGGGTGTTTTGGTGCGGATTTGTTACTCTGGATATACGCGGGCCTGCCAGATCTTATGATTCATGACCGGACATGACATATAGGAATGTTATGATAGACCCCCAAGGAGCTTAATAATGGCTGCCATAAGCCGCTCCCGTTCTGCTCTGAACCTGCAATCTAGACGAACCTCGAGACTACTAATAAGTGACTGCACTGCTCCCAGAACTCCTTATACTCGGTGACTGTCCGCCGCGTCACCAAGCTCCTGCTCCATACTTCACCCGCCTCTCCTGCTTCATTAACCCCAACCCTCCTCCAACACATGCTTCTTTTCATTTTTGGTCGCGTATTAGAGTGAGCCGTTGCCTCCCATCGGCCGTCTGGTATTATGGCTACGACCCGTTGAATGAAGCGGTGGTTTGTACATTATGGCTTACCTTCACCTGGAGTTACTGTGGCTGAGATATGAGAATGGAGCCCAACTTCTGCCTCTTTCCATCGCCAGGACCGTGAAATGGTTTGGATGCCTGGGGGGTAAAAGTGGAAATTGAACTAACCGTGCTCCGTAGCCAATACTCAATACCTCAAACAGGATGTAGAGACGTTAAATCCCTGCATGATTCAAAATAAAACAATTTATTTCAGGGCATTTCAAACCTCTGGTGAAGACTCTACCTACCTGTACACAGTACTGTATACTCCGTACCATGACCAATCCAAACAACACGTGACCTCTCTCCCGGCCCGACAGATTCACCGGAAAACAACCCCCATTTTCTTTTTTCTTTCCGCACATTTACTCCCGAGTTTACTTTCTCTCTCCAACACGAGCTGCCAGCTTGACTCATGATGCACGAGTCGCACTCGCACTCGCCCTCGCCTCAACCCAATTCAACACCCTAGCTAGTCCCTTCAACACTAACACTCAGGTATGCATACCATCATTCACCATTCATCCCTGGTCCCCATCCCCATTATCGAGATCCCATCCCCTCTCGCAATTCTCCATGCAAGCTCCCCAGCCCGAACGGAAGGAGAAGAAGAAGAAGAAGAAAAAAAGAAAGAGGCAGACAGAAGCGAACCAATCAATCCTCCCCCACAACCGCACCAATATGATGAGAACATTTCCCAAGAACCGGTATATTAGGAAGAGCCGGAAGAGGTATGGCAGGAGCCATTGTTGCTTCCTTGTCGTCGATGCTTATAATGGTTCTGCTGAATGGTATCCCGGTTGTGGCTTGATTGGTTCGGTCGATTTTTTGTTTTTTTTTTTCTTTCTTCCTCCGGGGCCCATCCTTCAGTCTCGACTTGGGCTGGGCCCCAGAGCGCTTGGGTGGAAATCCTGATCCTGCTGCCTTGGCTGTCGGTTGTTTGGTTACATATGCTGACAATTTTATTAGTATAGTACTTTCTAGGTTTGCTGGTTCTGTTGGCTGTAATTATTGTAAGAGAGGTACATTGTACTGTGTGTGTGTGGATGTGAATGGTGGTTGTAAAAGAGTTTGATGCATAGTTTAATATCATGACAAATCTCTCTTATTTCATTTTACACGTAGCGGACGGAACCAATCGTGAACGCACAACTCCAGGATATAAAACTTTTTGTAGCCAAATATGCCGACACAGGTCTAAAACGCCATTTATATGCATGTACACAGATAGATCACTTGCCGCGCAATCATGCGACACTCGTAAACTGCCGCTTCTTGCCCGTGCCTGTCCTCCTCTCCTGTTCCTCGTAGGCCGCTTCATCGATGTAGTCCTTTGTGCCCTGTTCCTGGATCTGCTGGCCGACAAACTGCAGAGCGGAGAGGTTGAAGCCCATCTCGTCCTTTTGGCGAGCGAGCACCCGGCGTAGCGTGGACCGGATGCCATCCAGCATGGGCCTCATCATCTTGCTGGCGATAATCTGGCGGTGGTGTACCTTGAGGATGAAGAAAAGCACACGGCATGTGAGAGGAATGTTCCACTCGCGGTTGGCCCAAATATTCAGAAACGTGAAGAGAGCAGAGACCTTTGAGAAAGGCAGAACGAGCAGAGCGTCCTGGAGGGCGGCTGCAGGAATCTTCTGGACAACATTCAGGAGGTGCTGCTCCGCCGAGATGTTGCCCAACGCCATGTACAAGGCATTCCGTGCTGGCGGTGCAGCATTCGGCTGCTTGGCCTTGAGGGCACGCCATTGGCGCATGACCTGCAAATCTTCCATTCCCAGATCTAATCCTTCCACGATCTTCTCACCTGCCATGAGGGTATCGGTTGTTTGTTTACCGGCATCGACGGCTTCGGCCTTTTCCCCGTCCTGGTCGTCTTCATCTCGTTCGAGGGAAGCAGTCAAATTGTTGTCATACATCTCTTCAAGCTCCTTCTCCCTCTCTTCTTCCAGGAACAAAGGCTCATCAGTCTGCTCCCAGGTACGGATGCTCTTATCATGACTGGCAGTGACGATGAACTCTCCAGATTGGCTGATTGCCAAAGCCCAGATTTCGCCATGGTGACCGGCCAGTTTTTGAATGTGCTCAAACTTGTCTCCGTCCCAGTACTTGATCAACCGATCTTTGCTGACACTGAAGAAGTTGTGGCCGTTCCCTTCCTTGTTGTTCGGGACGAAAGCAACGGCCATGACGCTGTCCTCGTGAGCCAAGAACGACTTGTGGCAATCACCGAAATCCAGACCCCAGATACGGGCAGTCTTGTCAGCTGAGCATGTGACAATCAGCTTGCTGTCATAGGAGATGTCCATGCTAAGGACAGGAAGCTTGTGGCCATAAAGGTTGAGGAAGAGCTTGAGGGAGTCCACGAAAAACACCTTGACCGTGTTGTCCAGAAGAGCAACAGCCAGCAGTCGAGCGTCGGGTGAGAAACGAACGTTAAGGATATCGTCCGAAACCTTCAACGTTCTGGTGTGGACCAGCTTGAGTCGGGGCGTTGTTCTCTTGGTTCCAGGAATCTCTTCCTGCACAACCTGAAAGTTCCAAAACTTCGCAGATTTGTCCGCGCTGCCGCTCACCAAAGACTTTCCATCGGGGTGAACATGAAGGGACCATACCGGTCCATCGTGCGCTTTAATAGTATCCAGGAGAGTCGATGAGGCAATATCGAAAACCTCAAGCTGGCCATCCTTGTTTCCGACAACGACGATCTTGTCTCCTGGAAGGAAAGCAGAGCACAGGGCATAGCCACAATCCAGGGTGCGCAGGCAGCTCTGGGTCCGGACGTTCCAGATCTTGAGACTGCCGTTGGAAGCAGACGCCAGCATCCGATCGTCCGAACTCAATGCGACGGATCTAATATCGGTGCGATGTCCAGGAATATCGATAGCCAGGTTTCGGGTGTATTCAGGGTCCTCTTCATCCTTGTTCTTCTGGTTGGCAGTCACAACACTGTACGCTTCAAGTTGGTTGTTCGTGGTCGCAGCCAGGAGTTGCAAACCACCACTTGATTTCGTTTTGATCCAGTCAAAAGACCGGACTTTACCACCCGTCCGTACGATAGTGTGCGATACAAATACCTCCGAGACAGGCGCAGAGGATGCATCCTCGGACTTCTCATTGTCCACCTCAGCAACAGCTCCGTCCTTGTCAGCTGCGCGTTGCGCTTCTTTTTCCTTTCTCCTCTTGCGCTTCCTCGCCAGACTCTTCTGGACCTCCGTCTGTGAGCGAATGCGCCAAATCTCGACCGCCTTCTCCGAGCCATGAATTCCGATGTAATCCGCTCGTGGATGGAAGCTGATTCCAATCGTGCGGTCCTTGCCATTGCGGTAAAACGTGCCCCGATCTGTCAGTATCTTCTGCCCATCTGATCCGACTTTCTCTTTGGAAATATCGAGCATAGCGCTTTCATCGATGGACCAGACCTTAAGTTCCCCGTCGTTGCCAGCGGTAATACAGCCGCTCTGGTCGGGTGAAAGACCCAGGCTCCAGCATTCTCCATTAGACTGTGCAACATGTGTTTCGATGCAGTGCTGTGCGGCCAAATCCCAGACTTTGATTAGCGCATCTTTCCCCGTCGTCAGTAGAAAACCCGCGTGGTCACTGAGGCCGGCAGCGTTGAGAAGTTCCATCGAGGGGATGAGGAAATGGAGCGAAGTGATCTGGTCGGTATGTCCGCGCAATTTGAAAAGTCCGACCTCTGCTACAAGATCCCACAAGATGATGTCTGTGTCTTTTGAACCACTTGCGAGCCGAACACCGGCGCTATCGAAGGCGAGTTGGGTGATGGCGGTCTTGTGGCCATTGAACGAAATGATCACGGTCGCGGTTCGCGAGTCCCAGATACGGATGCTGCCATCTTCATAACTGAACACATGTGAGCAAAGTAGGTGAATGGTTGTCGCGAGGAGAGAAAAACCTACCCGACCGCAAAAATATCCTCGTCCGTCTTGCTGTGCGTAATAACTGTGACCTGCGCCTTGCAGGCTGTATCGTGCCATCTACTCAATAGTTCTCCTTTCTTAATATCCCAGCAGAGGACCTCTTCACTTGCGCCCACGATGACCCTTCCAGATCCTGTCTGACGTGCAGAGCCCAAAAAGCCATCGTCCCGGGCCCAGATCGCATTCGACGAAGCGGACGCGACGAGCCCGAAAGTCTTCGAATGCTCGAACTTTCTGTAACCGTCAGTACATAGAGGCCATCCAAAGGATTGCGTTAGTCCATTGGGTGACCACTTACAGATATGACTTCACCATCGTTAGGTGTCTCCGTCCTGGGAAAATTTTTGGGAGCTCGGAGAACGAATGCTATCGATAGGCGCAAATGGCGGCCGCCGCTACGGGGAGCGACAGCGACCACTGCGGGCCTCCCCACCGCCTGCCGTTGTTCCCCTACCCCATCAACGTAACCCCCATCCTGGCATGAACCCCCCCCCCCCCCTCCTTCGTGCGATTGAAGACCAGAAGGGAAAGCAAACTATCGGAGACCAAATAACCCCTGAATTGACCGAGGTCGAGTGCGTTTGTCAACATGCTTTTGCTGGATTACCATAACGTCCTTATCCACACCCTCCTAACGGAGCGGTTCTCTGGGTACAGCTCCCCCCTCCCCGCCCCCTCCGGTATATGCCAGGCTACCAGCTAACGTCCGATTGATGTTGTCAACAGAGCCCCGCCCTCATCAATTGATCAGATCGTTTCCGACTTCGACGGAGTCACCTTCCACCTATCTACGCCAGAATCCAAAACTAAGATCCTCATCTCCCTCAATGTGAAATGCTTCCGAGAGCTCGTCCAATACGGGGCCCAGCAGGTGCTAGAGAGGGAATACGGCCCCTATATCGTTGATCCCGAACCCGGCTATGACTTCTCGGTTCTGATCGATCTGGAGAACCTGCCGGCGGAGCAGGAGGCGAAGGATGATCTCATCATGCGTCTGGCCCTGATGAAGCGAAACGCCATGGCCGCTCCGTTCGAGAGAGCATTCGATGAGTTCGCAAAGCTGTCGGAGGAAGCTTCTAGATACACCACTGAATCGGCACCCCAAGGAGTTGAAGAGGGAGGGGAGGTCATGGCAGTCCACTATCGAGAGGAAGAGGCGATTTACATAAAAGCCAGTCATGATCGCGTCACGGTGATCTTCAGCACGATCTTCCGGGAGGAGACAGATCGCATCTTTGGCAAGGTCTTTTTGCAGGAATTTGTTGATGCTAGACGGCGTGTTCTGACGCTGCAAAATGCGCCTCAAGTACTCTTCCGAAACGACCCTCCCCTGGAGCTGACTGGGGTTCCTGGCCTTCAGAATGTCAACGACGGCACGACGAGCTATGTCACCTTTGGTAAATCATTCACGATTGAGCGCCTTCCGGCTTGAGCTGCCACTAATGTCTCCTAGTGCTTTTCCCTCGTCACTTGGCTCCCCAAAGACGCTATGAAAACATCTCCCACATCCAGATCTTCCGGGACTACTTCCATTATCACATCAAGGCCTCCAAGGTAGCTTCCCGCCCCAATCATCATGGGTCCGACTGGATACTTACACGTTGTCAAGGCATACATCCACACCAGAATGCGCAAGAGGACCGCAGACTTCCTCCAAGGTAAGCGTGAAGATCCGATATGGGAGGTTTCCTGGTTGCTAACAGATGACAGTTCTCAACCGGGCCCGGCCCGAGAACGAGGAACGAGAGAAGAAGACAGCCAGCGGTCGCACTTTCAGAGTCCAGGCATAGAGGCCTTGTTCAGTTCTTATTTCTGTAAATTGCGGGCGAGGGGTAACATACGTGCATGCATAGGTCAATTTGTCTGCTTCTAGGATGTATAGCTTGTCGAGTCTCACCGTCTCACATGTGTTTATTTTCTTTTTCTTTCCTACTCTTCTCCTGACTGTGCTTTCGACCCTGCCCCGGGCGATAAAACGTATGGCGGCTGCATGTGGCTCTATGCACAAGTACTATAGATTGTCGTGCAGCATCCTCGCGTTCACTGTACTCCTTGTCCGGAGCAGTACTAACTTGGGCGGGGGGTCTCTTAAGCACTAGTCTAGATGCCAGTCCCCTCCTGCCACTTCTCTTTCCATCACAAATCGGTGCCTCTCTTCCCTGCCATTGCTGAATTATGTACCTGGCACTATCCACAGAGCACAGACCTACTAGTACCCCATACCTGCCTGTGTGAAGCTGAAAACTGAAAGGCTGCCTCTGTTGGACTCACAATTCTCCAGAACTCCAACCCCCAGCTGCTCGTGGCTCCAGCACTTTCAGTGCTCTGACGTGGGTCTACCGGTCCAGATTCAAGACACTAAGTATCCAAGTATGCCACCCGTGTCGGTACTCGGTCGAGCCCTCCGACATGTTGCCGTGGCTGTATTCTAGCTGCAGCCGCTCTCCCGCGGAGAAGACAAAGCAATAGCCAGATGACCAGATTTAAGCGTGTGAACCATCCGAACCGCCGTGACAATGCAGCTGATCGTCACGGGTGACTGGAGTCACCCAAAGGATGGCTTGCAATTGGGCAATAAATCCCAGGGGACTGGTTCTGTGTCACTTCTTGACTGCAAGGTAACAATATTCTTCGGCCCTGTACAGTACGGAGCACTTGCCTATCTACTTGTCAGGGCACGTGCACGGCCTTTTCCCCAGATTGAATCGTGGTCATGTTCATCCCGCGACAACCTCCACAGTCTCCAATATTTTTGATTTGATCATCCAGCGCGATCTTCTCGACTCGCGGGTTGTTTGTAGGTATATACAATAATGTCCCTACACTGTAACTACAGTGTACAGTGTACGGTGTACGGTGTACGGAGTAGGTGGAGGGTCCACTTTACGGGATACAGGCCGGATAGCCGCTTACTGCGACATCATTTTGGGAATTAGGATCCGCCAACAGGGATTCGTTTGCATTGGCGTCTCCATAACATGCACGGTAATCGAAATAGAGGAAAGCGCACATTTACTCATGCCATCCCCAAAATGATCCGCTTACCCAGGTCGGTCCAGTATAAACCCGCTCAGCCGGGGGAGAAAGCCCTCGAGGCCCGCTGTTTTCGAAGCTCGAGTCAGATTGCAGCCGATGTTGTCAGGTTGGTATCGATCTATCAGCATGGCGGCACGCAACATAGAGGAAGAACCGAGTCTGCTCGCTCCATCTGGAACTCGACCGTGAGATGCAAACAATATCTTGAGGCTAATCAAGCCTGGTTCCGAGGCGTGCTCGACTCGATAGTGGTGTGCTGCTTCAAAACCCGGTAGTTGTTTGCTCTGGTCGTGCGGATCAGCAGCCACTCAAGTCGTTAGCTTTGGTTTTCTTCAAAGCACCGTCTATCTTGAATCTGTTTCCGCCCAAGAAAAGAAGTGTCAGCAACTGTTTAACCCGAGTACTCCGTCGAGCCTTTGGGGTTCCTGTTCGGAGCCCTGTTGGGTGGCTATTTTGATTTGGCTGGATTTTCTTTTTATTTTCTTCCCCTACTCCGTATTTTCCGGCACACCAGCAGTCTCATAGACCATTTCGTCCCGATGAGGATGTGACAACAAGCCATCCAGTCAGGCTACTGGAGACGCGATCTCGAACGGTGAGAGCAACTGACTAGTAAATACTAGTTGGCAGTGGAAACCCCCGCCTGCTAGTTTTCCCTGCGAGGCGGCGCAGTTCCAGCCCTCGTGCCCTTTTTTTTTTTCGAGTAATCCATTATCCCGCATGGTATATATCCGATCCTTCTGTTCCCATGCAGAAAGTATGCGTGGCCCGCTCAAATTTCGGCCACCACCTTATTTATCGCTGCTCTGCTGCGGTGTTTTCCACCCCCTTCCTTGCCAGACAGCCAACAACCCCCCTCCTGCCCCCGTGGAGTTGATGCCGGAATACCCTCGATTGCGATCACAACCGCCTCGCCCGCAATTCCACCCAGAACTGTCGCTACGAGTCTGACAAGCCCTGTGTAGCCAATTGTCGCGACCAAACCTGGGACTGTCATGTCGCCAAGCGAACCATAGAGGATTCAAGGGGGAACTGATCTGTGGGCAACCAAACAGCGCTAGAAAGAGACAAGCTACAACTATTCGGGCGGCTGGACGATCTTCTGGGATGGTCTGAAACGGCCAGCAAGATTCCACGATGTCCGACAAAATCAGCCTTTTGCCGTTGGAGCTCACCCTTCACATACTCTCCTACCTCCCTTTCGAGTCGCTACTTGCGTTCGGGGAGACATGCCGTGCCAACTACGAATCTCACACGCTCTGCCTTCGATGCCTACGGCTAGGGGTTTTTGAAAAGCGCATCCACTCCGTGATATCCTTGCTCCAGGCTGGCTGGACCACGCCGGACCAGGTGGCTTATGTCCCGAACAACGAAAAGGGTGGCGGGACTCACTTCACGATCTCTATCATCCAACCTGCCATGGGTGCCGTGAGCCCCGGCTTTGGTGCCAAGTCTCTCTTGAAAACGAATGCTCCCAAAAGGCGGGTCCATATGCCGCAGGAAATGTCTCGGACACTGGAGCAGACCGTCCGCGAGCAAAACAAGATCTTCACCCAGGTAGTAGACCGGTATGGCCGAGGACTTAGGATGCTGGAGTTTATGGCATATGATCTCGACGACGAGGGTGCGATGGCGCTAGCCACCAAGTGCCAGACCATGCTGCAACATTTGGCATTGCGCTTCGAGCACCCACATATAAGAGACGGCCCCATCAGACCGAATGCTTGGCTGAGCCCGTCACCAGGGAGCACGGCTTGGAATGTGCTGATCGGGATTGGACGATATCAGCAGCTTGGGCTTTGCGGGCTGCGAACGTTGATTATAGAGCGGGCGGGGATTACTCCATGGCAGTTGATGATGTTGGTGAAGAAGAACCCCAAGTTGACTGTCCTGAAACTGAGGACCTGCCGCGGTGTTCAGTCCGAGTTTTTGGACTGGCTAGGCGGCTTCACGTCTGATCCAGATGAGTCCGAAACCGAGGATGATGGCCTAGCCCCCGGTCGAAGGCTGGAAGTTCTCTGGCTGGAAAATTGCCACGGCATCACGATCCATCCCGCTGCAGGTCATGAAGATCTGTCAGACAAAGCTTGCGACGTTGGTCTCGAGTGGGTCCGAGGTCTGACAAGTCTGAAGGTAAGCTTTCCAGGTTGATTTCTCGTGGGCCGACTTTGGCTCTAGCAGCCAGCTGACTCGTTGGGCTTTCCAGTCTTTATCCTTTAGCGAAAGCACACACCTTCCGCCTGCCTACATTGACAGGGCAAATAGAGTCATTTGGAAGATCCCAGAGGTCATCTTGCCATATTCCTGCCATGGGGATAAGGCCGGCATTGAAGTTGATCCTAGTATTTTACAGTAGCCTACCACGGCAGCTGTTCCTTTCTCGCTCACTGTGGTTTGGTGTTTTTATGAAGGTGGCTTCGTGATTTCATTTTGAGATGTTTGCAATAGACCACCACTCTTTGTGTAACAGTCAATATGCGTGCTAGATCTTGGGCTACTCCACAAATAAGATTACTGCTTTTGCCTGGAGGAGAAAGAATACCTGCTGGCGTTCCTCGTTGCGACTGCACACTATACTTGTTGGAGGCTTTACTGACATCCCTTAACACCAGTGTAATCAACAATGCCCGTTAACAACATATTTGCAATGTTCTTTCTGCCATCCAACTTACAAAGGGGTAGGCGCTGCCCACCGTCCAAATCCAGCGGTAGGGATCGCAGGCAACTGGGCCACTGAACCACCACTCAGGCGTCACAGACCGGCGAGTGCCTTCTTGATTTTGTCTTTTGGGCAACAACACTTTCCATCGCGTTATCACATTCACTCCTGTCATGAGTCCTCTCTGCTGTCACCATCAGCTAGTCACAGGCGCAGGTACATGTCCTCCGGCCCCGTCTCTACTGGGTGCTGTTGGCTGATCTTCTCATGTCGTCCTTCATCGGCGGCTTCACCCCATAATCTGTAACTGATTCCCGCCGAGCACATACAGCTGCCAAAGAGTCTGCCTGGTTTGGCGGACAAGATGACGCCAAGCCACAGGTCTGCCTCCCAGCTCTGGGCGATAGCCCGTCATCGGCTCTTCACCAGACGTGGGTCCTACGGAGGTCATGAGTACCATCACCCAGCTTTTGACTCTACACTCTCCTCCCCCATCAGTGAGCATACGGACGGGTTCTACATGTACTCCCAGGAGATCCTCGAGAAGAACGGCCCGGAGTACAGAAGCCTTGCCGAGGACATGGGAATCAGAACCTCAGATAGTACTGGAGCTTCGTACAAATCTGCCGTGAGTTGACCTCGCGTCTTGACGCCTCTCCCACCTCTCATTCATATCTGAAGACTGACAACACGGCAGCCGATGGTTCCCATTGGACGACCCTCCATCCCCTACACCATCGGTGCGCCCGATTGGAATATCTTCACCACTGCAGTCCAGGACTTGGATCATCCGGGTGATGCAAACGTCACGGACTGGCGAAACAGCGTCCTGTCGGTCTATGTCAGGGTGTACACTGTTGCCAAAGTGATGGTCATGGTCTTTCTCCATTATGGGGTTGAGGTAAGGAGATGGCACTCTTCATCCCGATGTCGTGGTGCCTGCCAAGGCAAAAACACTTGCTAACATTGCGGCTGACCGCTGCTAGATTGATGACATTCCCGACGGCATCCTGGCCTACATCAGGCGCGCGGAACAGCTCGTCATCTCTGATAAAGTCACCCATCTGGTTGAAAATGTTGAAGATCTGTTCCATGCTCTCTATGCGAGGCTGATCATGGAACTTGCGAACGTTGAGCTGTGCGCCTGTTTCCCGTTCGGAGTTGCTCGAGTCTCTTCCTACAACAACTTTATTCTGCCAGAACCACGTCATTTGTTCAGGATTTTGTTGATGTGCAAGGAGATTCTCGACACCCATTCCATCTGCACTACCATGAACAAGGAGCTGATTCGGCACTACCAGACTGGCTTTATCCGTCGCTCTGTGGAGAGACTTATGAGTACTGGATTTGATATCGACGACTTGATCGGGTTCCGTCGCCATGCCTTGGCTATTGCCAGAGATCAGGACTCCCCCTTCCGCCAGAAGTGGGATGGGCCCGGCCTGATATACCAGATGCCCCCTCCTGAAGTACTCGCGATTCAATCTGAGAAGTACATGGCTTTCGCTCCTCGTGAGGCCATCGACGATATAGTCCCCAATCAGAACCTCCCTTTCGTTGAGTGGCACATGGTCGACCCGAAGGTCTGGGCGAGCGAGATAATCTTAGACCACCGCGAGGCTGCGCGGGCGCTCCTTGAGGGCATCACTCTGGGGCAGCTTAGGCAGACCGACGACGACAGACGCCAGGTGATTGACTATATGAGAGAGAGAAAGTGCACTTGTTGGTCCACCTGTAGCTGTGGAATGATCTGCACTCGGGAGCCGGATCGCCCTTGCCCCTGCGCAGGATGGAGACTGACCATGCACCTTGCCCGTTGCCGCACCGATATCGGGCCCTTCAGCTTCCGCGACCGATGCAGTATTCTGTCGAGGGCCGTGTTCCAGTGGGTGGCCTCTCTCCGGGACGACGCCGACTTCTTCGAGGTTGCGGTTGTGATGGACAGAGCCTTAGCCCAGGTTGCGGACGAGATCCAAAGGGAGCGGATTGCGGCGGGCAGCGCTTGATTCATTTGGAGTGGACGAAGTTGGGAGAAGGCGAAAGGCGAACGGCGTTGGGTTTTATTTCTTACTTGTCACATGCACGCACCGTGTTGCCATGTGGGTTCCCCTATGGAGTATGGTCTAGTAGTATCTAGGAGATATGGAAGACATGAGCCGCATGGTATCTAGATAGGTACATCAATTGAAGTGTTGTTGTCGATTGTCGAAGTCACTAGTTATCTAGTTACTAATACTTCTAAGTAAGCAAGGTCAGGTGGGCCTCAGGTGACAGATCGGGAGGGGCCGTCAGTGGTTGAAAGCCTGAGGCGGCCGTGGTTCAGCTGGCCGGGCAGCCAGGTTCGCCGCCGCGCAAGATTTTCTGGCGCTGGCCAAAATCCACCAAATCCAGTCTGCGTCAGTCCTGCCAGGGCCTGCCTGTTGGGAAACTTTTAGCGGGCATGGTGCCCAAGACTCTTGCTAGCTCGACAGGTTTATTGCGACAACGACTGCTCCCCCCCTCCTCTGCTCCTTCTCAGCCTCTCACCTCAGCCGGTCCGGTAATTAGACGCAGCCCACTGTGGAGCGCTCACTCCGGGGCCCCCAGGACTTCGGTGCGACGGTATCGCGCCGTCTGGCCTTCGTACGGCATCACCACCCCGGTCCCGGATCCTCGACCACAGGTCCCCCTGTCCCGTTCGCCGTATTGCTTCCAGACGGGCTATGCCCTCTGCGCCAAACGGCCCTCGCGCCCCTTCCCCCCACCGTTCCTATCCCCGCCCTCCTCCTCCTTTTCCGACCCCCTGACCACTCACTACCTGAGCCAGGATAAGAGATTATCCGTCCGGGGCGATCTAGTCCGCGGTCTGAACAATGGAGACGATGCCATTCTAGTGGCGGAGAATTACCTCGCTGTGAATGATGGAGTCGGGGCGTGGGCTACCAGGCCGCGAGGCCATGCTGCGTAGGTGTTTGCTGGGTCCCACCTGAGACCCGTCCACAACGGCCGGGCTTTGTGTCGCTGAGGTTATATGCATATGCTGACTGTTTGCCTCTTTTTTTTCCTTTTATGTCCATACAGGCTGTGGTCTAGACTGCTTCTGCATTTCTGGGCTTTGGAAATCGAACGAGAAGCCAGAGGACAGACGGCGCTAGACCCGATCGGATATCTTCAACGAGCCTACGAGGAAACAACACAAGCAACAACATCACCCGGGGAGTGGTTCGGGACGACGACGTCGGCCTCGGCATTGTTGCATTGGAAGCGCGATGATGCGGGCAACGTGCGACCATTGCTCTACGTGACCAACTTGGGAGATTGCAAGATCTTCGTCATCCGCCCCAGAGAGAAAAAGATCCTCTTCCAGACCCAGGAACAATGGCATTGGTTCGACTGCCCCATACAGCTGGGCACAAATAGCGTCGACACCCCGCGGAAGGATGCGGTGCTCTCCGTGATTGATGTACAGGAAGGCGACCTCGTGCTGGCCGTGTCCGATGGCGTTCTGGATAATCTCTGGGAACATGAGATACTGACTGCCGTTCTGGATAGTATGGACAAATGGGCCCAAGGTCGATATGATGAAAAGGGGCTTGAATGGGCTCCACCGGCTGTGTTGGCGGAGGAACAGATGGTGTTCATCGCTAGGGAGCTGCTCAAGGCCGCTTTAACTATTGCTCAGGATCCCTTCGCGGAGAGTCCATATATGGAGAAGGCGGTCGATGAAGGACTAGCCATCCAAGGTGGTAAGAGTGCCTGCCATTCCTCCTGAGCTTGGTTGATTAACATTTCGTCAGGCAAAATGGACGATATCAGCGTAGTGATTGGGTCTTGCAAGAAGAGGACTGATGAGTTGGGAATATGATCCAGGCTTTGGTACTCAATGCCTGTTGTGTGTGTGAACTTTCTTTTCGGACGGTTGCACTTTATTTTAGCCGTCAAGCATATTTTGGGCTTTTTTTTTGGGATGAAATCGGTCCGCAACACTCTAGATGCCTCATTCAACTTGGCTTCGTCGAACTCGAGAAGTTCAATGGGTGTCAATCAACTTGTACATGCATGGCGCGGACAATGTAAATAATGCATATTGGGATCATGATTGGCTTGCTGTTTCCACTCCACAGTGGTGAGGAATATGGGTATAGATTTGCACTTGAACAGCTACTAGTAGTAGTATAGACCGCAAATTTATCAGTACTACTAGATAGACTTGACCGTTTCTACTGCTTTGAAACGAACATCAGCATTACAGCACACTGAATATAGCATCGTCTTGCCCCACATATAATCGTTTCTGCTTGTGCATTGAGCCAAGAAAAAGACAGAGAAAATGGGAGTGCCCCCAAGCGGAGTCGAACAGCGGAGGGGGAAACCCAGGTTGTTGAAAAAACCTTCGTTCACGCTGCACAGACCACATCCAGCAGCTCTCCCCTCCGCCCGGCAAAAAAAGAACCGCCGAAGAAAAAAGTCCAATTGGTGCAGCGACCTCACACTCAGTTCGCAAATAACCCTATAACCTCCCTCACCCGTCGACAAGAGAGCTGTCCAACGCCCATCCGGCGACTCAGTATCCAAAATGAGGGCCAAGCGATCCAAGAAGTACCGCAAGCTCATGCACCAGTATGAACTCACATTCGGGTTTCGTGAGGCGTATCAAGTACTGGGTATGTCAACGACTTTCCATTCTTTCCCTTTCTTATACCACAAGACGGGAGAAATTCCATGCTGATACGACGACACAATAACCAGTGGACTCGAACTTTCTCCGCGCCGTGCATTCGTTCAAAATGGAATTGATCCCGGCGTTAGAGCGCACAGTTCAGGGAAAAGTCAAGCCGCGTATGTATACACACGCCTATCCGATAGTCCTATGCGGCGGGCGATCTCCTGAACCGACTAACATTGTCATGTAACATGCATAGTCCTGACCAAATGCTCGCTCGCTGCAATCATGGCCTCCCAACCCATCAACCCCCGAACCAACAACCCATACCGCCCCGAACACCTCCCCCCTCCGACCGTCCTCCCTCTACGTCACTGCTCGCACAACGCAGACTCCACTCCCATCGATGAGGTCGCCTGTCTGCTCTCTCTGCTCTCGCCATCTACCGAGACGAAGAAGAACAAGGAGCATTATATCCTCGCTACGGCGGACCCGGCTGCGCCGGCCAAGGATAAGAACGCCTCCGAAGCGGGGCGAAAGCGCAAGCGTAACGAGGCAGAGGAGAAAGCCGAGGCGGCGCTGCGGAAGGCAAGAGAGTTACGTCGCGAGGCGCGGTCGATTCCCGGCGTGCCGATTGTGTACGTCAAGCGATCGGTGATGGTCTTGGAGCCGATGAGTAACCCCTCCGATGCTATCCGGGAGGGTGTCGAGAAGGGGAAGTTCCGGGCTGGGCTGAACGACGAGACCAAGAAGAAGGAAGGCGGTGATGGTGCTGGTGCGGCGGAAAAGAAGAAGAAGAGGGATTTGAAGAAGCCCAAGGCGCCGAACCCATTGAGTATGAGGAAGCCCAAGAAGAGGGAGCAGGAGGTGGCGGAGAGGCCGAAGCGAAAGAGTGAGAATGAGGGGGAGAGGGAAGGGGAGAGACCGGAGAGAGATGGGGAGGATGGAGGGGATGCGGAGGCGGCGCCGAAGCCAAAACGGAGACGTCGTCATCATAACCGCGGTGCGAAGACAGAGGGGGAAGGGGAAGGCGAGGGGAAAGCCGATGGTGGCGATGCGCCGGCTGATGCCATGGACGATTGATTGCTTTTCTTGGGTTCTCGTTTGATATGTTCATCGGTACGGCGTTTGGTGCGACAAGATAAAAGTGTCCATATATATCAACTGTGTATAGCTAGTTACTCTGATTGAATGATCACCATACCAATCGACGTCCCGCTTCCAGGGTCTGTTTTGTATCATAATGCATCCGTTGGTACAGTCTCGCCTCGAGATCGAAAAGCATGCAGCAAAGAGGAAACCCAAACGCCAAGCCCAGATGCAATCGTACATAATCTTATATACATGCCATTCCCATTGTCAATCCGGCGTCAGTCTATTTCCCCGCAGCCGCACTCGTCTCCGAAGCAGTGGTGGAGGAAGAAGAAGAAGAAGGAGAAGGGGATAGTCCCTCCGCGAACGCCCTCTCATCCGCCCAAATCCGCTCAATCTTCTTCCGATTCTCCTTTGCCGCGTCGCGATTCAGCTTCGCACGCGCATATCGCTCTGCCGCCAGACACTTGTTCACGTCACGCTTGATATCGTTGCAGCTCCCGATAGCTTTGTGAAAGAAACCCCGAGCGTGGCATTCATCTAAGGCGGTCATGATCTCTTCGCAGTCTGTTTAAGAGTGTTGATCGTTAGCTGATAGGGATTATCCGAAAGGGCTGGTTGGTGTCACGCACTTGCATTGTAGGGGGTGTGAAGGTGGGAATGCATTTTGACGTGGGTTGTCCGTTATTTGTAGGCGTAGAGGGGTCAAATGCTCAACGGCGAAGTAAGCTGCGAGTCGGATAGCCACCGATTGATTCAATAGTTAAATGGAAAGAAATCATTCCGAGCCGGAAATGCCGGGCGGTGAGACTTATCGGGCGGGTATTCTGCCGGGCGGGGGCGGAAATCGACCACAGAAAAAAAAAAAAAAAACCCGATGGAGGGCGGATAATCTGGTTTGGATATCGTCTATCTTTATCAACAGGCCTGGGGTGAAGGGTTGCTGATAATACTCGTGCTTTCTGGATAGTGAGGGACTGTGCGCTCCCCACTGATTTCATCGTTTCCTTCTTGATTTGCTCAAGCCAACCTGCCATCGTCAACTACGTACGGCGCATTTCTACTTTGAAGTCACGCATTTCTCATATTTTTTTTCTTCATTGTTGAGCCACGATGTCGTCTATGATTACTACTTCCGCTTGGGTGCGGCGTGGAGTCGCTGCTCAGTTCCCCACGAAATATGAGATCAACGAGGAGGAAATGGATCGCATATCCAAACTTGCGAGGATGCAGCTTGAGGAGGCTCAGGGTGATCTGAAGGCCGCGCAAGAGGGACATGAGGAGGATGAGGCTATGGATGAGGACCAGGAGGATAATGAAGACTCCAAAGAGGGAGAGGAAAAGAAAAACGACGCCGCGGAGTAAGTTCTTGAAACGGGTCCTCGTTTGCCGAACGGCTGCTGATAATATTTTCAGTGACGATGACTTGAAAGAATACGATCTGGACCACTATGACAGTGACGAAGTCGATGAAGATGGCGAGAAGATTACCATGTTTGGTAACGTCAAGTCGCTTGCTTATCATGAGCCCAACGAGGAGGACCCCTACTTGGTCATGCCGCCCGAGGAGGAAGACGAAGAACGCGAAGAACTGCAGATTATGCCCACGGATAACTTGCTATTGGCTGGTAAGGTGGAAGATGAGGTTGCCCATTTGGAAGTCTACGTCTACGAGGACGCGGCAGACAATCTCTACGTGCACCACGACATCATGCTGCCAGCTATTCCCTTGTCGCTCGAATGGCTGGACATCCCCGTGGGTAAGGCGGCCGAGGGCCGGACCACGGGCAACTTTGTCGCTATTGGAACAATGGAGCCTGATATTGAGATCTGGGACCTCGACATCGTGGACTGCATGTATCCCAACGCCATCCTGGGTCAGGGCGGCGCTGATGCAGAGAATGGCCCCAAGAAGTCCAAGAAGAAGAAGGCCAAGGCCAACGACGAATACCATATTGACGCCGTGCTCGCTCTGGCGGCCAACCGGCAGCATCGCAATCTTCTGGCCTCTGGATCGGCCGATCGCACAGTCAAGCTTTGGGATCTCCAGACCACCAAATGCGCCAAATCCTATGCCCACCATACCGACAAGGTATGTGCCCTGGAGTGGCACCCCACCGAGTCGACTATTCTGCTGAGCGGTAGCTACGATCGCACTGTGGTGGCAGCGGATATGAGAGCCCCCGACTCCAAGGCCCGATGGGGCGTGGATTCGGATGTTGAGAACGTGCGCTGGGACGTGCACGATCCGAACTACTTCTATGTTACGACGGACGGCGGTATGGTCTATCGCTACGATATCCGCAACGTCCCCGCCACCCCCAAGGAATCTAAGCCGGTGTGGTCGTTGCAGGCCCACGACGACTCGGTGTCGTCGTTCGACATCAACTCAACGGTCCCCGGCTTCTTGGTTACCGGATCCACGGACAAGCAGGTGAAGCTCTGGAACGTCGAGAATGACAAGCCGAGCATGGTTGTTTCCCGCAAGATGGACGTGGGTAAGATCTTCTCGACCAACTTTGCGCCGGATGCCGACGTGAGTTTCCGCCTGTCGGTGGCCGGCAGCAAGGGCGTGGTCCAGATCTGGGATACCTCGACTAACGGAGCGGTGCGCCGGGCGTTCGTGTCGCGGATGCCGTCTCTGGAAGGTGAGGTGCAGGAGCGGATGATAGGCATGCAGCCTGATCAGGATGAGTCGGACGATGATGACGGCGGCCAGGAGGCTGGAGCTGCGCAAGGCGCGGATGGCTGGGAATCTATGGATGAGGATTGAGAAGTTGGAAGAATGTGAAGTGGACGATTTCAAATCGAAATGACCTCACTCATGTTTAAAATATATTCGATTTACGCAGTCTCGTATAGATAGTCCTGTTGACATGCAATGAAAACGTTGAGATACCCATGGTAATGACGACTCAGGGAATCCCTAGTTATGAATCTCCGGGATGAATAAGCCAGCGTCGGGTCCCGGGCAGGCAATGATCGGCCGGCAGGATACCGAAGGCGGACCATCATCTGATGCGGTCTCGAACACCAATCACATGCGTGGTCCGCCGTGCAGATGGAAAGATGCTTCCGCTGCATCCACTCGCAGTGGAAGACGGGTCGGGTGATGGAGCTCTGCTATCATCTCGTACTTTGTACGCCGTATGCGGCAGGGAGAACGAATTCTATCGAATTGGATGTACGGAGTACTCTGTCAGCCTTTCATCAGAGGAGAAGGGACTAGTATGTACACTCTCCGGTTTGGTACTATGTATCACACACATCCTCTAGGCATCTAGATAGATTCCTCAGTAAGTAGTATTTTTATCCGTAGGAAAATAGAACAAAATAGAATGCATATGACCAGTGTACTACGGAGTACGTATCGCAGAAAAATGATAGCCGCCCAAAGCACAGGTCAAGTTAGATCAAGTCATAGAGTAGATAGGTAGTTAGATAATACCCTTAGGGAGTTATTAAGTTGACCCACGGGTGGGGAAGCCTCGGTGGCTGACCCGCCCTCTCCGTCCGAGGTCTGACTCTGGTACGGACGGATGCTCCGATGGGAGGCCTCGATCCTGGACCTTCCTACGCATTAGTTAACTACTGTGTGTTAATTACTAATTAGGTATCTAGGGACATGATGTATGTAGGTACGAGTTCCAGCTCTTGCAGCCAACATGTTCCATCGATGCAGGAGACATAACCCTTTCATCAATCAACCGCGACGTCATGCCCTATCGTCCAATGACCCGAGATCACACTCGCACCCTCCAAGTGAGACGGCAGATTGTTTCATCCCCACCGCTCAGGGCACATGGCGGTTTTCAGTGGCTGCCGCGTTGCCGTTCCTGGCGCCAGCCCGACACCATTCGGCGTAGCCCCGGTGGTGCTGCCGTTTGACGACGCCCGCTTGGGTTTAGTCCCGCTCGCCGTCGCCAAAATTAATCTACGCGGTCCTATCCTTCTTCCTTCGTCACGGCAGGCGCTGAGAGTGAGGGACATCCAGCTATCCATCACGGGTGGGCAGGATTTCCCCTGGGAAGTCCTCTTCAATAATACTCCGTACTACTCGACAAATTGCAGCTGCCCTGCTCTGCCAGTCTGCCGGATGTGAGTGAGTAGGTAAGAACATACGTACTTGCCTACGCCCTGTGACACCCCATCTGGCCCCTCCTTGAATCCCTGCGGTACAGACGGTGCTGCATGGCAGTGCATACCACCCACCCACCTACATATGTACGGAGGAAGTAGTACAGAGGACGGAGGACCAGTTGGTATCGAGGTCGTACATACGGCGTGGCCACCCGACGTAGCAAATGACTGGAGGAGGTCAAGCCTTTCAGTCCACACATCGAATCGCAGCGCACAACTAGCCGCGCCTGACTGCCTGTCTAGTGCTGTCCATCTGTCTATCTAGCCGTCGGAGAACCGGAGCGAGATTGCATGCAAACGCTCGTAGTAGTGATCACTCCTTCGGTTCTTTAAAACTCATCAGTATGCCCGATGATTTGCTGCGTCAAGGCCAATCTCCCGGACATTCAACTCCCATGGTAATCCTCATGAACCGGTGGTTCTGGACCAACCTGTCGAGAAAAAAACCCGCACCGAAGCCGTTGAGGCGAACAGGCGAACCGCTGGAGAAGACCTGGCAAAAGTTTTTCCAACGCACTCTAATCCGACCGACTGAGTTCTGGATCCCAACTGGCCGGCGAAGACCCTGGCGACGAAGTGCTGCTCAAAGACTGGATCCCAGGGTGGGCGCTCCAAATCTCCAACTGTCCAACAGCTGAACTCAACTGACTGGGCCGGCGGGTTGCTCAGGGCTGGCTTTTTAGGCTTTTTTAGTCTTGATTTTTTGCCCTTCGAGTCCCCCGAAGAGGCCCAGATTCTCTGTGGTCCGTGGTTCCATCCACTCTTGCCTCTTGTCCTTTTCCCCTCTCCCCCTCTTCGTCGCCGTCGTCGTTTTCCTCTTCCCTTCCCTTCCCTTCCCTTTCCCTTCCCTTTCCCTTCCCTCCATTCCTCCCTGGGGGATTCCGCTTACTCCTGCACCATTCCTTTTTGATATTTCCATTCTTCGCTCCTCGATCTGTGTGTCCTGGATCCCTTCCTTCCTACTCGCCTTTTTTTTTTGCCCTTTTAATTCTCCCAACTCCCCGTGGCGCGTCCTGGTTGTCCGCCCGGAACTTCACTACTGTACAAAATTGCTGCTGCTGCAGCAACAATTCGGCGACCCCCCCCCTTGAGTCGAGCAGCCCACCTCCATATCCGAACATCACTATTCTTCCATCCATTCAATTATTCTCTGCTGTGCAAGAAAAAAGAAGTGGAAATTCTGGCTCATCTCAACAAGACTTTTGACAGCTACAACAGCCCGGCCTGTCAGCTTCCTCAACGCCATATCTGATAACGGTCATTCCGGTGATCGATCTTTCATTCCTTGGTGCTCCACCCCGCGATCGTCCACACATTCCTTGTCTACTCCGCAAAAAGCAACGGACACTCGCAAACGATACCATCATTTTTTACGGGCCCTAAATATAGGCAAAATCCCCGGGAGCGATCGTACACTGTTCTTTAGAAGCAGCAAATTGCACACAAGCAAATAAACCGCGGACCCGACCGGACGTCCGATCCAGGATTTCTCGCCATCTATCTATCGCCTATCGCCTATAGCCTGCTCGACTATCTAATAATTCTCCGACCATCCTCACCATGGCTCTCGCAAGAGCATTCACCAAGCGCAGCAAGCGCCCCGAGGTTTCCGGGCCGATGCCGTATCGCGAGGCACACCACAAGTTTACTGCCGGTACAATCAACCGGGACAAGATCTCTGCTCCAGTGGAATTGTTGTCGACGACGAATATGCTGGCCTACAATGCCCCCGACATTCATTCAGCAACATCCTCATCAACTTCGTCCCTACAATCGCCTGACGAGTCGGAGCTCTCTTTCACTCAGCGCAGTTTCGGCTCACCTTTGACTACGCCTGATGATTCTCCGATTGATCCGAACCCATTGCCGCCTTACTTTCCTAAGCGATCCGCGACCGTTACGAGCCACCCTCGTTCATCGACGTCGACGTCATCTTCCACAGAAGCGCCATTGGTCCCCAAGCGGGCACTTTCTCACACAAAGCGTTCCCATCAAGAGCTAGCTCGCCAGCGTTCGTTGTCCCGGCTATCGCCACCTCCGTTGAACTCCCTGCGCAGCAGTCCTGCTATGCGACAGACGCAAGAAAGCTACAAGCCAGAGCCACATCCGTTCAGCAAGGAACTGGAGCAAGTAAACGAGGTTGTAGAGGAGTTTGGCGGTACGCGCGTCTTGGATGAAGAAGAATTGATTCTTCGAGATAAGGGATTGAGAAAGTTTACGGTCGATGACTATCTTGTCGAGATTGAAGACATGTACGGCAGCATCTTCGATGATCATCTGGGATCAATAGGTTCCGGCGCATGGCTGTGAGCCTTGTCTTCGTTATTCGTCATCCATTTTCTTTTAAGCGCTCGCCTGGAGGGCTCTAAATAGGGACTGGTTACTCCCTCTCCTCACCGGGTATTGACTTCTGCCATGACCTACTCATATTCACTCTTTAATGTTTCCCCCTCTAATCAGTCGACTTCTTTTCATTTGGTTTCGCTTTATACCACGGGAGGATCTTGGTCTACCATCTCATCTTTTCATTTTCTTGTTTCGTTACTCGTTGCTGCAGTATGGACCAGACTATTTGCGCTGCTGGATGAGATGTGACGGTCTCGGTCTCTCTTTTTTTTTTTTTTTACATGTGGAGAAACATCCAACGAGGTTCTCGGCTTGATCCTGTATCGTTCTTTCTTAGCGCTGCAATGAATGTGAAAGACACTGCCAGTGCTACATACCTATGTTCAATGTGATATATCGTATATATTCAATCTATGGATCCGAAATTTTGTACTGCACAAGTTCGTCATTGTGGTAGAATATAACCTAGTCGGGTAAGGCTGCTGGTCGCGTTTGGTCACGCGTTGGCAGCCTCAGGCCCCACACCCGCCCCACCCAGAAAAATTTACGTTGGGTTTCTGTTTCTGCCTCTCCGCCCCCTTCTGCTCTTTTCTACGGACTACTCCCCAGACGGGCCTCCAGAACACCTCTGGTCTGACTTCTTCTCACAGCCCAAATTTATCCAGTGCGTGTGTTGAATAGACAGATGAAGGTTTCCCCCGTCCTCCTTATCTCCAGGCGCGTTTGTCTTCTGTAGCAACACGAGGTGGATCACCCAACTCGCACTGGCCGTGTCGTGTGCTCTGCATTGATCTGTTTCGATTTCTGCCATTCACTCGTTTGTGGGAGACTACTACCCATGACTGGATTTGGGCGAATTTCTCCAGCCACCGCATTCTAGAATTACCGACTCCATCATCATGGTCGTCTTTGCCTCCTCCCCCCTCGGCCCAACGGGCTCCAGAACGCCCGGGATGCTAGCTGTGTCGTCGCCAGTGTCCATCCTTAAAACGCCCAAGAGAGACCCAAGAGACGGGGTCGTACCCATCCCCGTAATGGATGACAATTTCAGCGACCTCTCCCTTCCCTCATCCCCGGTCATGTACGACTCCGACGACAGCATCTCTCCCCGAAAGCGGAGCCGGGTGACATTCAATAGAGACGTGTCATATCATAATGAACCCGAACGGAAACGGCAACCAGAGAAGAGTGTAGCCGTCGTGCGCGAGGAGGTGCGCAGGGCTATTCAACGGCATGTCTCTGGTACCGGCAGCGAGGCATACGACTGCATCAAGGAGAGGTTTTCGTTGGACCCGCGGCGCCGGGATCAGGACAACATGTTTGCCTACGATGTACCTACAAACACATCCTTGAGGCATCACCTCCTGGGTCTTTTGTCAAACGTGGCGTCTTTGGATCGCAGTTGCAATGGACTGGTCCACGCTGTGCTGAATAGCGTATGGTTGGGTCGGGACGAGTCGTACATCAAGCTGTATATACGCTTTATCGGTAACCTTGCTGCCGCTCAGGGAAGCTATCTGGGGCCGGTGCTCAAAATGCTGGTCAATTATCTAGGGGAGCTTCCCAAGGACACGGGCAGAGTGCCTGGCTATCCGCGCGTCCATATTCCTGAAATCTACACCCGGGTGCATATGGCCCTGCGCCATGTGATGCACTTGATCCCCTCCGGTAGTGGAACGCTTTCGCCCATCCTGTCCCACCAATTCCCCTTTGATACCGATTCCGCTAAGGGCAACATTGCGTACACGCGAAATCTCATCCGGATCATCAGTTATACGCCAGAGCTTCATGGAGACATTCTCACACTGATAACCGAGAAACTGGTGAAAATTGACGTGCACATTCAGGTGGACTTGGAAGACATCGAAGACGAAATGGAAGAGACTGTCCTGCAGAGTGTCTCCCCAGAATCCTTCATATATGAGGAGGAAGACCGAGAGGACGACTCTGACGACTCTGACGACGACTCCATCATGAGTGATGAATCGGTCGATAATGAGTCCAAGCGGCTTCAGGGCATCAAGGACAATATCCTCAAGCTTGATGGCATGATCGACACACTATTTGAATACTATGCGCCTTCTTTTACAATGGGCAGCGTGGAAGAAATGCAAAACGCCTTCGACCTTCTATTGAGCCATTTCATGAGCATCATTCTCCCAACTTACCGCTCTCGCCACTCTCAATTCCTCCTGTTCCACTTCTCTCAAGCATCCCCCGATCTTGTGGGTCGCTTTGCTAGAAGGTGTACTACTATCATCTTCGACAAGAAGCATCCAGCGATCATGCGTCAATCGGCTGCCGCCTACCTAGCCAGCTTTGTTGCCCGCGGAGCCCATGTCTCCGGTGACGTCGTTCGGGATATGTTCGACAGATTGGGCCAGCATCTGGACGAACTTAGGAAGATTTATGATCCCACGTGTCGGGGCCCCGACCTCCGCCGATACGGCCCGTTTTATTCCATCGCACAAGCCTTGCTTTATATCTTCTGTTTCCGCTGGCGGGATCTGACCAATGCTGCCGTTGAGGGCTACACTCCCGATCAACTGGACGAGCTCGAGCCAGAAGATATTACATTCCGGCCGTCGGTAAGGAAAGTGCTCGACCAACTGATTAACGCGAAAATGAACCCCCTGAAGGTGTGCTCGCCCACCATCGTGACACAGTTCGCGCGCATGTCTTATCACTTCAAACTGGCGTACGTGTTCAGCATCCTGGAGAAAAACAAGCGCCTGCGCGTGTCTTCTGTCCGCAGCATCGGCGCCATGGCCGATCCACGCTACGGCCAAGTGGAACGTGAAATCCGTGCCGGTGATGATATCGGCCACCAGCTCGATGCATACTTCCCATTTGATCCCTATCAGCTACCTCGCAGCCGACGCTGGGTGGATGCGGACTATGTCAACTGGCGCGGTATCCCCGGTCTTGATGAGGCAGATGATTCGGACAACGACGCTGATGATGATGATTATGAATCTGATGACCACCTCAGCGATGGAACCGAAACGGATGATGAACTGTGATGAATCGACACTTCTGAAGATGGAAGAAAAAGATCCGAAAAAAAAAACAAACACAAAAGTGCTTTCACTATTTCTCGTGCTATTGGCGAGTTCAATACCCAATCTGTTTGCGAATTTTCCGGCCATACTGCTTTGCAGCAAGCCATGTTTTTTTTTTTTTTTACTAGAAAAGAAAGAAATAAAGAGGAATCTTATTGAAGAATTAGCCGTCATTTAATGTATGCTTCTGGTTCGGGCTCCTCATGTATGTTTTAACACCATCATGCCGCCATATGAAAGCTTGTTTCCTTCCACATCATCTTATCGTACCTTCGGATCGCAACTTCGGGTCATGGATGTTATACTTCTATCTATGGTCATGAATCAGAAGATATCGGCAGGTAGAAATGAAATGAACTGAACTGGTCGATATATCAATCAATATATCAATGATGCAGTGATGCAGTGTAGGAGAGTACCTAGAATAGGGCGTCCCCCGCCCCTCCCCAATAGGTAGGAAAGAGGAGGGAGGGAGGAAGAGGAAGAGAGGAAGGAGGGAGGGGAGAAAGTGGAAAAGAGGGGGGGGGTTTATAGGGAGGCTTCGCGACTTCCTATTTTGTGCGGCGATTGCGCTTCGCTGGGAGACGTCTGGACACCCACCTGACACTCACTCCCGGAGTAGACCGCAAATAATGAGTATGGGTATGGCACGTAAGCAAGCACAAACAGGTGCCCTGATAACAGATCGCTTCGCTTCATGAGTCTTGATCTAATCATCGTCTAGTGTACACAAAAAAGGCAGGGAAGGATATTCGAAGCAACGCCAATGCCAATGTGTAGGTAATAATAGCAGAAAAATACACTGTACAGAGAACATACACTACCGGACCTACCCGAGAAACTACGCATCGAAGATATGCTTTATGTCGGCACAGGCGTCCCGATAGAGGATGTTGACTTTAGCTTGATCGCGGAACGGATTGGGCGACTTATCCCAGCCATGCGTCGCCTTCTCGATCATCATGGCGCGCACGTGCTTGTTGATTTTTTCCAACCGACGCACAAACGTCTGTCCTTCCTTTAGGAGCATATCCCACTCGCAGATGTACAGGAAGATGTCGCGCGGGAGGGCATCGGCGAGCACCTCGTCTGTGGCCCGGACGGGTGACGCATAGGGCGAGACGCGTTCTTCCCGCTCGGGCAAGTAGGACTCATCGAAAAGCGTCGTGAAGAAGGATGGAAGGGTCTTACTAGGGTTGATGCTCATGGCGCGGCGGTGGTCACGCGACTCTTCGAAGTCGAGAATGGGGTACCAGCAGAAGAGGGCGACGATGTTGATGTCACTGGCCGAGGCGGATGAGACGAGATTCTGAGTGGATCCGTAAGGTCCGAGATTGGGGGGACTGTTGCTGTTGCGGCCTCGGTCGCGCTCCTCGAGAAGGCTGCGTAAGCGCAGGGGCACGGTGACGGCGAGGTTCCCGCCGGCGGAGAAGCCCGACAGCGCGATGCGGGAGACATCTAGGCCCAGTTCGACTGCGTGGAAGGCTAGAAACTGTAGGGCTCGGACGCCATCGTCAACGGCCGCGGGGAACGGATGCTCCGGAGCGCGACGGTACCCGACGCTGACGACGACGGCGCCGACCTCCTCAAGTACACACTGTGCCCAGCGATTGTCGTCGGTTGGGCAGCCAAGGGTAAAGCCACCCCCATGGAAATTGACGACCACGGGTAAGCGACGCCCTTCTTTGCGACTGGCGGTGTACTGTGGCGGGCAGTAGAAGTGAAGGTGGATTTGGCCGGAGTCCGCGGGAATAGAGCGAACAAAAGAAGGGCGAGGTGCGCGGGGAGGAGCAATGTCATGGATGAACATGCCAATGCGCATCAGAAAGCGCCAAATGATGGCTTGGACGTAGAGCCACCAGCGTGATGAGGCCATGATGAAGTGGCCATGCAGTGAGGGAGCCGGAAGGGATCACAAGGAAGGTAACCGCAAGACGGATCGGATAATAAGTCGAATCAGCCAAAAAAAAAAAGGAGAAGGAATTCACTTTAAGTGACGGAATCTGCCAGCCGAGAGACGCTACCAGTCAGATGGTCAGATGATCAGATCAGAAAGAGAGAACAGAGACTGAGACTAAGTATAGATAAATGGTGGTGCAAGTGAGTGGGCGAGACAGGGGAACGGGACTAAAGGGGGGGAGAGAGAAAGAGAGAGAGAGCAGTACTAGAATACAAGAGCTGTAGAATGCAGGAGTTGTATGGAGTGGAATGCAAGTGCAAGAACAAGAGCGCGAGCAAGAGAGGGAGAGGAGAAGAGAGAGAGAGAGAGAGAGAGAGAGAGGGAAACAAAGAGCCAAGCCGGGCGGGTAAGCAGGTCAAGATCCTCACTAAAAAGTCTTGGACCACATCATCTTGACCTCGCCCACTTCTGCAGTCGTACTACTTACATAGTACTTCGGTGACCTCGTGTTTGCCCCCCTGCTGGACCCTGTTTCTGCATACAGCACGGAGTAGCTAGTACTCCGTAGTTCCATGAATATTGCCAAAAGGGCGAGGAACCCACCGCGATCCAGGAGTTTTGCATCATCGCCCACCATGACATCACTGTCGCCGAGGCTGGAATCCGGAAGGCAATCCTCCAGTCATGAGCTTACAAAGGCTGGCCGTATTTCCTCATGCCCCTCCTCGGCCTCGGCCTGTCCCTTCCCTCTTTGTTCGCCCGAGACTATCTAAACCATCTTCATCTACCTCAAACCTTGATAGCCCGGACCCTGACAAACTGGTTGGAGGAGCTATTTAAGCGCTGACTGTGCCCCTCCCTCCTTATCGTATTTTCTCTCCTCCCCCTCCCTCCCTCTTCTGTGCAGCTCTTCTGTTTCCTATCCCACACCCCCCTCCCCCCGCGCGTCTCCCCGTTGTATGGGTGTCGTTCCCCTTCCTATCTGCCATCATGTCTATTAAGCGTGCGCTCTCCAAAATCAAACCTCTCAAAACCAGCGATGAGGACTCAACCGCCTCCGCTCCTGCTTCCACCACCCCCATATCCCCTCGGCGCAGTATTCTCAGCAATTTCTTGCGTGATCGGGACTATGTCTCTTCTTCCGACGATGTATCTGATGACTCCTCCTCCCCGGGCGCCATGAGCAAGAACCAGCAGAAGCGCCTGGCCCGCAAACAGCGCAAGGAACGGTCTCGGCTCAGCGAGGAGCGCCACTCCGAGGAGTCTGACATGCGTCACAAAGAGGAGGTTGCCGATGCTGCCCGCGAGGAGACCATCGAAATGAAGGCGCGCTATGGTCAATTGCCGCTGGTGCAGTCTCGCACACGCTCCCTGGAGGCTCGCACCAACTTCGGCGAGATCTCCGAGGCATTGGTGGGCAAACAGGTGCTCTTCACGGCCCGCCTACATATAATCCGCCGCATGAGTGCCAGGTTGGTTTTCCTGGTTTTTCGCCAGCAGCTCTTTACATTTCAGGGTGTTCTACACGAGGAGCAGGGTGTCAAGTCCATCGCCATGGTTCATTGGGCCGAACATCTGCGGTTGGGCTCCATTGTGCGCGTGCGCGGCACAGTCCAGCGACCCCAGGTGCCCGTGCTGGGCTGTACAATCCATGATGTTGAGCTCTCCATCGATGACCTTCACCTCGTCGTGCGACGCGAGGAGCCTGTCCCCTTCAGCATCTACGAGGCTGAGATCCAGACCGCGGAAGAGGAGCGAATTGAAGGCCGCCGAAGCCACATTCCAGACCGCACCCGGCTGGCTAATCGCCTGCTTGATTTGCGTACTCCGACCTCCCAATCGATCTTTCGCATTCAGTCCGCCGTCAGCAACCTCTTCAGGACTGCCCTAGATGCGCAGGGCTTCATTGAGATCCATACGCCCAAGCTGCAAGGAGCTGCTACAGAGTCTGGCGCCAGTGTATTCCACGTCCAGTACTTTGGCCGCGATGCCTTCTTGGCCCAGAGTCCCCAGCTGGCTAAGCAGATGGCCATCGCTGCTGATTTTGGTCGAGTCTATGAGATTGGCGCTGTTTTCCGCGCGGAAAACTCCAACACACACCGCCATCTGACTGAATATACCGGACTAGACATCGAGATGGCTATTGATGAGCATTATCACGAGATGTTGGACGTGCTGGACGCCGTAATCAAATCCATCCTGGAGGGTGTCTACGGTCGTTTCCGCCGCGAAGTCGAAACTATTAAGCATCAGTTCCCCTCGGATGATGTTGTTTGGCTGGAGAAGACCCCTATCATTCGATTCTCGGACGGCATTAAAATGCTGAACGACTCCGGTTGGCGCGACGAGGACGGGAATCTGTTGCCAGACGACGAGGATCTGCACACCCGCGATGAGATCCGTCTGGGAGAATTGGTCAAGGAGAAGTACAACACCGATTATTACGTTCTGGACAAGTTCCCCGTTAGTGCGCGCCCCTTCTACACCATGCCCGATCCGGACGACGATAGATTCACCAACTCTTTCGACATCTTCGTCCGAGGCCAGGAGATCGTTTCCGGAGGCCAACGAATTCACGACCCTCATATGCTAGAGGACAACATGCGCCGAGTGGGCATTGAGCCGGATACCATGGAAGAATATATGGAAGGCTTCCGGTGGGGAGCGCCACCGCACGCCGGTGCCGGTGTGGGCTTGGAACGCCTGCTGATGCTACTCCTCAAGTTGGGCAACATCCGCCTGGCTTCGCTCTTCCATCGGGACCCCAAGACCTTCCCGGCTAAGCCCACGACCGTGCAGTTGCGACACCCGGAATCGTCTACCATCGAGCCACCGTGGGTGCGAGACAAGAAGGGCACCACCGTACAGGATGAGAGTCAGTTACAGCCCCTTGAGCATCTGATTGCCAACTACGGCGATGCCACATCCACCTCGTGGGGCGATGAACGCTTCAAGATCTGGCGCGACCCCAACACAGGTGCTGCTGTCTCCTATGTGCCGAGCACCAGCGGCTATGTAATCATCCCAGGAAACCCTCTGTGCGATCCTCGGCAGTACCGTCAAATCATCACCCAGTTCCTACAATGGATGCGGCGCGAGACGAAATACAAGCCGGTCTGGCTTCTGTGCTCCCCTGAGGTCGAGAACGTCCTGGGCGAACGATTGGGCTGGCGGACACTGTCCTGCATCGCCGAAGAACGTGTGAACCCCGCTCGCAACATGGCAGCATCGGATGGCGAGATTGCCCGCAAAATCCGGCACGCGGAGGGTGAGGGCGTCAAGATCGTGGCCTTGAGCAAGGGCGAGATGGTATCTGACGAGATCCGCGAAAAGATCGACAAGCGTATCCAAGACTGGCTGAAGAGCCGCAAGGGAACGCAGGTGCATCTGTCAGAGATCCACCCCTGGCGCGACCCTGAGCATCGCTGGTACTTCTACGCGGTCGATAAGGAGGGCACCATCTGTGCCTTTGTAGCCTTGGCCACTCTCGCACCCGTCCATGGCATGCAAATCAAGTACAGTTTTGACTTCCCGGGATCACCCAACGGGGTCATTGAGCAAATCGTTACGCATGCGATCCAGACCGGAGCTGCGGCAGGTGTCAAGTCCTTCACCTTTGGTGCAGGTGCTATGTCCAAGCTCACGCCCGGCCATAACCTGCATGGCGCCCGGATAAAGATGCTGCAGCATACCTATGACACTATGGCCAAGCAGTTCCATCTGGTGCGCAAGAGTGAGTTCCGGGCGAAGCTTGGAGCTGAGGATGATCCGCTCTACATTGCCTATCCGCCGCACGGACTTGGCACCAAGGGCATGAGAGCAGTGCTCCATTTCTTTGAAGATTAATCGTAATATCACCTGCATGATCTACTAATTAGATGGCGTGGTAAATCACTGATTATCCTCTTGAGAGACAGTTGCATTGGGCACATAGATCATGTTCAGGATTTTCCCTGTTGAATATTCCCCCTTTTGTTTGGCTCTGGATGAGTGTTGGCAGTTTTGACTGCTCATGTGTTAATCTTGTCTGTTTGCATTTGCCCATACTAAAATGATAATGATAGATGTAATTTTATTTAACTTCATGTACTAATGAAGCGCTGTGTATATTCCTGGGATTTAAATCATTCATCATAATGGACGACTAGTATATCATACATGATCATCATCTTCTGCCTACTATATACTATACATTATACACAAAACATATCTCATGAGACACCTCCACTCACCTAGATTTCTTACACAAAGGTATTTATGTCCCCTGGAACCCTGGTATGTACCACTTAATTCACCTTTTTCTGCAACTGTTCTCTCTCCCCCTCTTTCTCCCCCTGCTCCGCCATCACATCCACCACTCTGCCCAGCTCCCGCACCACCCATCCCCCCACCAAAGCGGCCACTCCACCCACAACAACCACATAGCACGCTGTCGGCACCAAAGACCGCGGGAACACATTCCCCAGAAATGGATCCAGGATTATGTCCGCCGCAACGGGGGGCACGTTGGCCATCAGTCCCGCATCTGTAGAGAAGTAATCTGCCGTCGCGCGGATGCGCAGGAATAGCACCGAGTCGGCGACTGGTGCGCTGTCGGACGGTCCGGATATATGGGCGTTGTCAAGGTCCGGCGTTGCGGTGATGAGTCGTGTAGAGGAGTATTTTGTGATGGATGTGAGGAGGATGGGGTCTGAGAGGGCATGCGGTAGAGTGTGGGTTGTTAGAATGAATGTTGTTGGTTGCTGTGTAGGGTGAATTTGAGTTAGTGGGATGCTGTTAGGTGGTTGAAAGAGGGGGAAGGGGGGGAAGTGACATACAGTCGCTAACCAGCATATTCGCACCTCGTAGCGCCGTCCTGGTGTGAGATTCTCGAGGAAGTACCAGGAGTCAGTCCCTAGGGTGTCCGGGGTCGGGAAGGAGGCGTTTAGGGATGTGCGAAGGATGGGCTGGGAGGGGGAGAGCCGGGCGAGTCCGAGGTCGTCGATTGGGGGATGAGGTGTCGGGATGGTGCTGGGAGGGGGACCCAGGAAGATGGTTTTTTCGACATTGGCGGCCGCGAGGGTTGCAAAGAGGAGAAGCAAGAGGGGAGCGGCGAGGGGGAGGAAGCAGGTGGGTAGGAGGTGGTGGAGAGGCATTACTGGTGGCTTTGGTTCGATTCCGTCGTAGATTATAGGTCGTGGTGTGGAGGGCGTCGTCCGTTTTTATATAAGCATCATTGGGTATATCGTCGATCCGGCGCTGGATCGGGGGTTGAATAATGTTAGAGCTGCCGATACCATTGGGACCATTGGGATTGCTTGAGAAAAAGGAACTCACCTGGAGCTTTGACCCGAGGATCTACCTATATCTGGGCTCTGGACAGAGGGTGCTCCGACAGCTTTAGAGTTCTCGGTTGGGTATGGTCGTTAGATTGGAAGAGAGAGGAAGCAACTCTGTCCATATCTGTACTCAGGATGGGGCAAGAGCTGGGAGTTAGCGATGCAATTGGAGTCAAAGCAATGACCGCATCTCCGCCCTGCCGCTGGAGATCTTCAATCCGGATGATGCTCGGCGATCTTTCGTCATCCCGGCACCCTTCGCACGTGATTAGGACCCCGGCCGGCATCCCGATGACTCAGCCGTTCACCGCCGGGTAGGCAGCAGCCAATCAGGGGGCGGGCAACCCAACGCGACCCAACGGACGGATCAACCACGCCGGCTGGGTTGGGTTGACAGCGCATGAAAGACCACAACAAATCGAGTCGACCCGATTCTTGTGTCTGTCCTGCTCCTCCATTGTCACTAAACCACCAGTTCCCCAGGGTTCGTTTCCTTCCCTCCCCCCCCCCGTTTCCCCCAATTTCCCACCTGTTCTCTCTCCCCTTGAACCCTCCTCCCTCCTCTTCCTCAATCAGGTCCTTTCCCTTCCCCCTTTCGTGCCCTGTGCTGTGGTGGCCCGTTAGGTTACTGACTTTACCCCTGAAACATCCGTACAGATCGTCCTTGGGTATTTTAATTTTTCCCTCTGTCCACATTCCACACCCACCTCACCATCCATCCTTCGACATCTGAAACCCGTCAATTCAACCCGCCAAAATGAGAGAAGTTATTAGTTTGAACGGTGTGTGCCCGGTGCTTTGTCTAGCTGGTTGATTTTTCGCGTGGTCACTAATGTTTCCCTTCCCCCCTCACAGTTGGCCAGGCTGGTTGCCAAATCGCCAACTCTTGCTGGGAGGTACGCTTAGGAATGGGGAGATCGACCCCTCCTTTCCCTGAGACAAATTTACAAAATCGAGATGGGCGTAGACGTGTGAAGAAACATGACAGGTGGGCTGACTCTGTTGTTTGTTTGTTTAGCTCTACTGCCTCGAGCACGGTATCCAGGTAAGATTGGCCACGCCATCAATCGACGTTGCCTTGCATCCTTCTTCGGCGAACAGTTCCACTGATCTCTTCCCTGATAATAGGCCGATGGTTACTTGACCGAGGAGCGCAAGAAGGATGACCCCGACCATGGCTTCAGCACTTTCTTCTCCGAGACTGGTATGTTTAGCCAACTTTCCCGGCATCCCCCTCTCCTTTCGCCCGCCCCTCTAACAGGCAATGCTGCTATATAGGCCAGGGCAAATACGTTCCCCGTACCATCTACGCTGATCTTGAGCCCAATGTCGTCGATGAGGTCCGTACCGGTACCTACCGCAGTCTTTTCCACCCTGAGAACATGATCACCGGCAAGGAGGATGCCTCGAACAACTACGCCCGTGGTCACTACACCGTCGGCAAGGAGATGATTGATCAGGTTCTCGACAAGGTTCGTCGTGTTGCCGACAACTGCGCTGGTCTCCAGGGTTTCCTTGTGTTCCACTCTTTCGGTGGTGGTACCGGTTCCGGTTTCGGTGCTCTCCTGATGGAGCGTCTCTCCGTCGACTACGGCAAGAAGTCCAAGCTGGAGTTCTGCGTCTACCCTGCTCCCCAGAACGCCACCTCCGTTGTTGAGCCCTACAACTCCATTCTGACCACCCACACCACCCTCGAGCACTCCGACTGCAGCTTCATGGTCGACAACGAGGCTATTTACGACATTTGCCGCCGCAACCTCGGCATTGAGCGCCCCAGCTACGAGAACCTCAACCGCCTGATCGCCCAGGTTGTCTCGTCCATTACCGCCTCTCTTCGTTTTGACGGTTCCCTCAACGTGGACCTGAACGAGTTCCAGACTAACTTGGTCCCCTACCCCCGTATCCACTTCCCTCTCGTTGCCTACGCCCCCGTCATCTCCGCAGACAAGGCCTCCCACGAGTCCAACTCTGTCAACGAGATCACCATGTCCTGCTTCGAGCCCAACAACCAGATGGTCAAGTGTGATCCCCGCAACGGCAAGTACATGGCCACTTGCCTGCTCTACCGTGGTGATGTCGTCCCCAAGGAGACCCACGCTGCCGTCGCTACCCTCAAGACCAAGCGTACCATCCAGTTCGTCGACTGGTGCCCCACTGGCTTCAAGATCGGTATCTGCTACCAGCCTCCCCAGCAGGTGCCCAACGGCGACCTCGCCAACCTCAAGCGCGCTGTGTAAGTTTCCCTTAAATGACACAACCTCCTGCACACTACAGGCAAGAAGCTGACTGAGTGCTAGCTGCATGCTTTCCAACACCACGGCCATCTCCGAGGCCTGGTCCGCTCTTGACCACAAGTTCGATCTCATGTACTCTAAGCGTGCCTTCGTCCACTGGTACGTTGGTGAGGGTATGGAGGAAGGTGAATTCTCCGAGGCCCGTGAGGACCTGGCTGCCCTCGAGCGTGACTACGAGGAGGTCGCCAGCGACTCCCTGGAGGAGGAAGTTGAGGCTGAATACTAGATCTGACCCTGTCCTGGGCCGGAGTCCGGAGGATGGTCCGGCGGGGCTGTCCGCTTGGCTACCGCGGCTGCTCCTGATCGTTTCCGAGTTGTTATGTTGGGGACCGGCGTTGGCCAAGGTTATACCATACGCGCTGCGGGACTCTGGCTGCATGCAAATAGGAGAGAGAAGATTGGCTCCGTAGTACAGACTATGTTTCTTTTTGTCTGAGTATATTTTTAATATCCCTGAAGCAGCGATGAATTTACCCGCTCGTTCACATGCAGCAGTTTGGCGCCCTAAGAGATGTTGTAATTTACGTTTTGCCAGTTCCAACCGAAGGTGTTTTGATCCGATAAAGTTTGTCTCGTTGACTATGGTTCCAGGTGCCTACCTAGCAAGTAAGTAGATGTGCTGTGAGCATGCCTTCCCCACGTGGGCGGGCTATGGCTGCTCGTATTAATATTTGTTCCTGCTCCTTAGGAGATCACTACAGAGGTAAATACATAATTGAGAATGATCTTCGGTCGGGATTCTGGGAGACGGAAGCTCGTTGCGCCACCTCATCCGTAACCGGTTAAGAGTACTAATCGTAACCCCCAACTAAATGCATGCTGCCCCATCGTCGAGGGAAAGATGGGAGGAGCGATGTAAGTAAGAGGTGGCTGCCCGGTCCGTTGGTGGAGGACGGGCGGACTGACGTCGGTGCCGGGGGAGGCTGACCGCCCGGGGCAGCAGCAGCCGCAGGAACCAACCAACCTGCCACTCTCCCCCTCTGCCGCCCGCCGCCGCCGCCGCTGTGCTGTGCTGCTCTCAGCTCACTGCTGCTGGTCGCAAGTCCCCCAGGTTACCTAGTACTACCTACCTACCTACCTACCTACCTACCTACCTACCACCTGCCCCCTTCTCCCTAATTTAATTGACTTCCCCCGCCCCATCTTAAATTCCTGACTCGTCGGGTCTTCTTCCTCTTCCATCCATCTGGGGCCTTCCTTCTCTTCCTCGTGGTTTGCTGGGAACCCTTCTTCCCCTCCCCCCATTTTCTCACCCCCCTCAGAAGAGCTGCTGCCGCCTTGGCCATACATGCCCGTGGTGTCTTCCACCCGAGTCCACGGCCGTTCGTCGCTCTATTCCCTCGATATTTTTTGAACGCAATCCAGCGCACACTGCTTTTACGGAAGGGAGGCCAGCTCCTCTCGAGCTCTAACAATGGCTGATAACGGTGCGTCTTCTTCCCCGTACAATGGCCCGCCCGAGCTCTCAGGGGACAACGGCCCAACCCGGTCCATATGACGATGGTGCAGCGGAACTGACGGATATTCTCGATCTTCCCATGCAGCACGAAACCCCAATCTCAACCTAACCCCTGAAGAAAAACGGGCCTTCTACCAACTCTTTCAGGCGGCCGATACCACCAACCTCGGCGTCATTACCGGCGAGGTCGCTGTTCCTTTCTTTGAGAAGACCCATCTAGCCCCGGAAACACTCGGCTTGGTATGTCGATGCCTACAACCTCCGGAGAGGGCCCTTCCGCACTCGCGTTATGAAGGACTGGCTAATTGTTTTGGGGGGCTTTCTTATAGATATGGCAAATCGCGGACAGGGAAAATCGAGGTCTCCTGACCCCTTCTGGCTTTGGGGTCGTTCTGCGGTTGATTGGACACGCCCAAGCGGGTCGCGCACCGACTGAGGAGTTGGCTTATCAAGGTAAGTGCTTTAAAGGGGCTATCCATAGGTCCCCTTCGAGGAGAGTGGGAACAAACAAAATATGTGCTGACATTATCGCCGTTCTAGCTGGACCGTTGCCTAGATTCGATGGTATTGTAATTGATGCTTCCCCTGCTCCGCGTGAAGCAGGCACCACCAGTCCTACACCAGCTGCGGGTGCGCCTATTCGTGTTCCTCCCCTGAATCCCGAGGATGTGAACAAGTTTGTGTCGCTCTTCGAGAAATCGGATGTGTCAAAAAGCGGGGTTCTCTCAGGTATGCATGCCCCTCCCGTCAACCTGGGGATGGATAATATGACATGAGTGCCGTAGCTAATGCGCTTTTGGTCACAGGTGAAACTTCCAAGCAGATCTTTGAACGTGCGAGGTTACCGAACGAGGTTCTCGGTCGAATCTGGAACTTGGCGGATACAAGACAACAGGGCGCTCTTGATGCAACGGAATTTGTCATTGCGATGCATCTCCTGACTTCCTACAAGTCGGGCGTGATGCGGGGAATTCCTCAGACCCTGCCCCCTGGTCTATATGATGCCGCGGCACGCAGAGGTCCCATCCGCGCGTCTGTAGGCTCGCGACAGGGTCTTGATGTCCCTCCAGTGCCTGCAATCCCGAAGCAATTCACTGGACCCCAGCGCACCCAGAGTCCGATCAGCAGACAGGCTTTTGGATCTCCTCTTTCCGCCCAGTCAACTGGCAGCGATTGGCTTGTGACGCCTCAAGAAAAGGCCATGTTTGACAACATATTTGCAACCGTGGATACGGCTAAGGCAGGATCAATCAGTGGTGACCAGGCCGTCTCGTTCTTTATGGGTGCGCAGCTGCCTGAGGAGACGCTGGCCCAGATCTGGGATCTCGCAGATATAGATGCGGATGGGCAGTTGACAAAGGATGAATTCGCCGTTGCCATGTACCTGGTTCGCCTAACGCGCAGCGGGAAGGAAGCGATGCCCCAAACACTGCCCCCTGCTTTGATTCCCCCGAGCATGCGCCGCCCTGGATCTGCACACTTCGGCCCAGCAGCTCCTGCTCCCGCCCAAGTGGCACCGCCTGCCCCAATCCCCGCGCCACCCTCTGCTGCAGATGATTTATTTGGTCTTGATGCGCTTTCCGCACCAGTATCCGGTGTACCGGCAGCTCCTTCCCAGTTTCCACAATCTACGGGGGGCTCGAACGCTGCTTTCCAGATGCCTAGTTCCCCGGGGTCCAGAGCGTCTCCTCAAACTGCATCAACAACCTTTAAACCCTTTGTGCCGACCTCCTCTTTTGGTCAGAGCTTGCACCCTCAGGTAACGGGCGCTTCAGCTGGTGTCCCGCCAGCAGTTCGCTCTCCCCCACCGCCAGCGGATGACCTTCTCGGAGACAACGATCCCGAAGAATCGAAAAAGTTGACCCAGGAGACCACTGAGCTCGCCAACCTGTCCAATCAGATCGGTTCGCTGGCCACTGAGATGCAGAACGTTCAGACCAAACGAACCTCTGCCGAGCATGATTTGTCCCAAACCTCACAGCAGAAGCGGGACTTTGAGACTCGTCTTGCCCAAGCTCGGGCGATGTATGAGCAAGAAGTCAAGAATTTCAAGGCTCTTGAAGAACGACGCAATGCTTCGAGAGCTGAGACCAACAGGTTGCAGCAGGAATTTGCGTTGCTCGATGGAAGCAGGCAAGATTTGCAAAACCAGTATAATCAGGTTTCAGCTGCGCTCAGTGCTGATCAGCAGGAGAACTTGAGCTTGAAGGAAAAGATCCGCCAAGCAAATGCCGCCGTTGCCCAGCTCAAGCCAGCCCTGGAGAAGGCACGCTCAGATGCACGGCAACAGAAAGGCATGGTTGCTATCAACAAGAAACAACTTGCAACTGTGGAGGGGGAGCATGAAAAGATCCAAGAGGAGATTAAAGCTCTCTCGGAGGAGCACCCAAGAGAGCTTGAAGAAAGTGTACCTGTCCCGGGTGACTTCGCCGCTGTTACAAGCCCAGCTGAATCAACAACAAGTCAAAACACCAATCCGTTCTTCAAACGCACGGCTACCGGCTCTAGTGACAACAATGCGTTGTCACCCCAGATCTCAAACGACCAGCAGCGCGCCTTTGATAGCCTGTTTGGTCCTTCATTTGCGTCGCCAGTGGCCGCTACGCCCCCGCCAGCAGTGTCTTTCCGGGCGGAATCCCTGCCAACTTCTGGAGTGCCTACACCTTCTGTGTCTCCTCCACCAGCTTCCGGGTTTGCACTAGAGCCCCCGGCTCCGGCTCAGTCCAGACAATTGACACCAAGCGTACTGCCTTTGGGCGAGTCCCATTCGGCAACTTCTTCGACCATGGTCTCGCCACCGGGCAGTAGATTCGGTGGTCAGGACACAGCTAGTCTTGGAACCACTTCCCAAACAGCGGGTAGCGAATGGGTAGACCCTTCATCTGGGGAGCTCGCACAGCCTGCAACATCCCCCTTCGACGAGATCGAAGAATCCAACCAACGGTTTCCTGAAGTCCCTGTCATTGCTGGCCAAGCCACAGGAGATGCTGCATCGCCTTCCGGTGATGACAAGCTTGCAGAAAGCAAGGATCTCAGCTTTGATGAGCTGTTCGGTGGCCCTGCGCACAAGCGGTCCCAGTCACAGAAAGAAAATGACTTCGAAGAGGCCTTTGCTGCTATGAAGAATGGACCTGGAGCCACTAAGTCTAACGGACCATCGCCCCCTGCTGAGTCAGAGTTCCCACCAATTCGCGAACTCGATGATGACGACGATGACGATGACAGCACCGATAATGAAGCCACGATGGGTTTTGATGATAACTTCACCCCCGCATTTCCACCTCAGAGCCAAGTAGCAGCGGCGCCAAAGCCTGACTCCCTTGAGCCCTCCCAATTGGCAGCATTTCCAACTCCTACTTCAAGCGAGCCTCCAGCCGCGGAGTCGCAATTGAGCCCCCCAAACTATGAGGAAACCGTTGGAAAGCAGGAGCCAGGAAGCATGCCGCCTGAGTTCAATGGGCTGTTGCCGAGCCGCGAAGACCCGACAGCTGCTCCAGATGCCCCTCATTCGGTGGATTCCAGCACAGGAGAGCCGATAGTAGGTGGAGAGGTACAGCACAATGACTCAACTACTCCCAGTGGTGGAAAAACCAGTGGCCCTGATTTCGAAGCCGCTTTCGCAGGCCTCAACCTAGCGCCAGCGAACGAGGCTGATGATGATGAGGAGGAGGAGGACGACTTTGAAACCGCTGTCAATTCGAAAAACAACGTGGACTTTGATTTCTCTTTCGACAACCCGTCGGCACAAAAGATCTCAAACAACGCGGATGGCAATGCTGCCTCGGAATTTTTCAACTTCGACAAGAACGTGAGCTCTTCACCTCCTGGCTCTGCCACACTACCCTCAGATTCCAATGCCAAATCACAGACCCATGACTGGGAGGCATTGTTTGCGCCTCTTGACAATGCGGGTGCTGCAGCCAGTGGAACCAATGGGGTGAGCAACCCTGCTGAACTTGCACCCTCTGCAGGAAACAGCAAAGCACCCGGATGGGCTCTTCAGACAGGCACCGAAGACGACCAGATCCTTCAACGGCTAACTGGCATGGGCTTCCCCAGAGATGAATCCCTTGATGCCCTTGAGAAGTTCGACTACAACCTCGACAAGGTATGACATTACAAACCTTCCGAGAATATATATTCATAGGCTGATGTTTTGAATAGGCAGTGGACTACCTGACTTCGAAGTCTTGATGCGCAATTATCTCCTCTTCCACCCCAGTGCACATAGTTTATCTTCAATTAGCCATCCACTCGCTCCGAATATTTTCCTTTCCACTAATTCACTTCACCTCATGTCCTCTCTCTTTTATTTCCTTACTCTATGTCCGATCCAACTTGCATGTTGTTACTTCTGCAATGTATATCCCTTTTCCTTTCGTGGTGTGCTCTCCACCCACCTGACGACCTATCATATTGCTCCTGCCCCGTGTAATCTAGGAATACCTATTGGATTAGCTATTATCGAGAACAAAGTACGTCACAGGGAAAGGTGAGCCCGAACATCTGTATTGGCGCCCAAGACCTTGTGCCTTTCTTCTACGTTTGCTTGGTTCTCTTTTCGACTGTTGGCTATTCCTATCACTATGGTTAGTTACGCGTAGTTCCTTGCCTGTTAGAGAATCGTCTCCACAACATCTCGCACATTTTTACCTCCTGTCCGGGAAATATTCAGGTTCAGTCAAGCTCCAACGTGTGGATTAGACATATCTTCTTCAACATACATCTATGTAGCTAGCAAGTCTATGGCTTGCAATTCTCTCTAGAGATGTCATGTGAGACGACGAATGTCTAAGATCTCAGTAATTTGCGACGAGCGAACCCGAATCTGTCGAGTGAACAGTGAACACATTCAATGAATCACATAATGACTGCAATAATAGACAAAGACTGCAATAGAATACACATTCCCACAACAAACACTCTCACCATCTTAGAAAATAACAAGCAGTGCAAGGAACCATCCGATCGGCAAAGCAGACTACAACATATTGAATACAATTAAACTCCCCGAGTAGCCTGCCCACTCTCCATACTGGATAATGAGCTTTTCTCATGTTGCGATGACACTCGTTGCAATGCAACCACTGGCTGAGTTAGTTATCTGACAATGATATAAACGGAAACGGTGGTATGATCTTACAGAAATCTTCCAACGAACGTTGTTTGTCACTTCTCGGACTCTTGCCATGCATGATGTTGTCAAAGCTTTTAGAGCGATGCAGTAAATAATAAAGACCACTCATGATGCAGAAGATCCCGAAAGAAAAAACGTATATGCGGAGGATTGTAGGAGCCGAGGTTTGTCCACCGACAAACCAGCCAAAAGCGCAGAAGCAGGTTGCTACAAGGTCCACGGCTGCGATAGCTCCTACCAATTTCCAGGACGGCCGCTTTGATGCCCAGAACGCACCATCAGAACGTGTTATGAAGATGAGCCAGTTTTCAGTCAGTGAGATCTCCAGAAACAAGACTTCATCCCGCCTGCCGTAGTTTTGCATGATACCTCCGTTTTCCCCGGCAGCCAGTATGGTGGTGAGTGTAACCCATGTTCCTACTGCCAGAACAATTCCAAGCAAAATTGACATTCCCCATAGTTTCGGAAGGTTCCATTTCACCGGAGTGCTGGAAAACGGAGCATTGTCGTAAGCGATCGCCAACGTTGCAATGTCGGCAAAGATAGCTATGAAAACAACCAACTGCAGATTCAGGCTTTCGTTCCTGGTTGCAATCCAAAGGCCTAGGAAAATCTCCAAGTGTAGTGATAACGCAATTCGATATACCACGTAAGCATACATCCGATGGAAGATTTGACGCGATGTTTTCAAGGCATCAATGATTGCCGATAAGCCAGGCGCAAGAAAAACAATGTCGGCAGCTGATCGCGCGGCGTCCGAAGAGCCTTCGACTGCAATTCCGGTGTCAGCCTTCTTGAGTGACGGAGCGTCGTTGACGCCGTCGCCAGTCATTGCGACCAGGTATCCACGCTGTTGCAAGATATCCACCACGTTGTATTTGTGTTCAGGGAAAACTTCCGCAAACCCGTCGGCAGCTTCGACAAAGTCATAAACTTCAGAGCCAGGCATTGTCCCTCCGCCACCGAGGCCAAGGCGTTCTGCGTTGTATACGTTTGTGCCGAGTCCTAACTGTCGTGAAGTCTCGCGAGCAATTCCAACCGCGTCTCCGGTTAGCATTTTGATCGATAGTCCCAGGGTCTGAGCTTCGCTGATAGTTTTGGCGGTATCATGTCGTGGAGGATCTGAGCATGGCATTATGCCGAGTATTTCCCATTCGCCACCATCGCATTTTCGAGCTACGCCGAGTGAACGAAACCCACGAGTTGCAAACTCAGCGACTTTGTTCTTATATGATTGTTCGACATCCTCCGGGATGTGATGATCTTGCTGAACAGTTCTCAAGACAAATAGTGGTGATCCTTTGACACAAGTAATGCGTTTGCCCTGAGGAGACTGTACTACCGCTGTGACCTTTTTAGAGACCGGATCAAACGGAGAAAACTCGAGAACTTTGAACTGCGTGAGCATCGACTTAGCTGTTGGGTAAGAAGACAATGCCTTGAAGAATGCTTTGTCGATCGCATCCATGCCCTTTTTTTTCCGGGAGGCGGCTAAGCATGCTGTCAACATGAGCTCTTCAGGATCAACTCCAGCCACCGTGTAAGGTTCAGTCAACGATAATTTATTCTTGGTTAATGTGCCAGTTTTGTCGGAGCAAAGTATTTCGACTCCAGCGAGGGACTCAATAGCAGACAGCTTTTGAACAATGGCTTTTTTCTTTGCCAGATACGCAGCACCAACGGCCATTGTGGTGGTCACGACGGCAGGAAGGCCTACTGGAACACCTATCATAGTAATGGCGAGAGTAAACTCCAGGATGGTGGTGGTGCTGTTTGAACGATAGAAGGAGGATACCCAAACGATAATCAAAGTGATTATAACGAGGATGAGTAGGACGATACTGATCCCATGAAGAACTTCAGTGAAGTGGCCAGTGCCTGATGATGCAGCATTGACCAATGCTGCTGCATGCCCTATAGAGGTCCAGTTTCCAGTTGCTGTGATGACAATCCGAGCACAACCACGCTTCACTGTAGATGAGGCATAGCAAATATCCCCTTTATGCTTGTCAACCGCCAGAGATTCGCCTGTAATTGAAGACTGGTCGACCTGGATGGCTGCGTTGGTCAATATTCGTCCATCGGCAGGAATTATAGTACCCTATATAGTATAATTAAAAGCCTGCAGCAAATGGGAAAGCTGATAGGAAGTTACCTCATCGAGCTTGACGATATCCCCAGGAACAAGTTCGCTTGCATCAATGTCAACTATGACGCCATCGCGTAAAGCAACGGCTTTAAGAGCCAGTGTTTTCTTCAGTTCCTTCACAATGGATCCAGCCTGGAATTCCTGGACGAAGCCCACCGACGCGTTGAGTAATAAAAGGCCGCAGATAACGCCCAAGTCCACCCAATCTCTCAAATACGCAGCAAGGACCGCAGCGGCCTACAGATCTATATGTTAGCATGGAAAGTTGCAGCGAGGCAGATAGCATGGAGTCCGTACCTCCATCACGAACTGAACAGGACCAATAAAGAACCATACAAACTTCAAGAACAGATTCTCTTTTGCTTCCTTCATCTCGTTCGAGCCAAACTTTCTGCGACGAACTGTAACCTCATTTGCGCTTAGACCTGTATGAGAATCTGTTTGAAGTAAATCATCCGAAACAGGACGCAGTCGGCCGGTTTGGTTGCTTTCCTGGATGTTCAACTCCGCGTAGCCGTCTAAGGACTCCAGCTCTTCAATTAGGGTATCGATATCCTTCTCCTCCTGTCCTTCATCATCCTGGATGTCCGAGATAGACCTCCCTTCTCTGGATTTCTTTTCGACGCATGCATCGTCTGCATTCGGGTCACCGGGGTGACTGACGGGTACCACAGTCTCGGGAAAGGACCCCGCTGGGCCTAGGATGGCGCTCAGAACCATGTGGGGATGGGTATGAAATGCCGTAACAATGGCTATAATGAGGTCGCTATATTCTATGGTGTAGCATATAGCGTCTGCCAGAACAATTGAAGCAAGTTGGAAAAGGTAGCGAATGTGTAGGGGTAGTGGGTGGTCCACTGGCCATGTACTAACTGGCGCAACATCGGTGGTTAGCATTCCTTCCCGAAAGGGAAATCCCCTGAGGGTAGTGAGCAGCAGGCATTAGGAAAGAGGCCCCGGCAGATCCTGTCTGTCACATTCATTAGTATACTAGTAGAATAGTACGTAGAATACAGTGGCGGTCCTGCAGCGTAAAGGATGTTTCCCACTGCGAACATGCGCACTACACATATAAACATGATGGAGGGGTGGTAGCTGCTTCCACCAAAGTTAATGCATGCTCAGAAAGGAGAGCCACACAGAGACATTTCCCAGCAGAGATAACAGTAGACGAGAGTACACAAGAATACCGGCCAATGAGGGGAGTGGTGATTAGATAAGCGGGAGTCCGACGTCATGTAGTTTTCATTCCATTCATTCATTATTCATTCAAAGACCGCCGGTGCGAATTGGAAAATCTGCACCGCGCGCGCACCAGTTAAAGCAGCACCAGCTGTCCCAAAAGGCCTCTTTAGCTGTTCTCTGACCGCTGACATTCCTACAACTGGTCTGTCTTGGGGCGTAAAGGAAGCGTCACCGATCATTGCTCGCGAGGAAGGTCCTAGTCCTGCACTATGAAAGCTGCGCGCCTCCGCAATCAAGTGACCACCCTCAGAATCTCCGACTTGAAGGTTGGGAGGCTCTCCTCCTTCTAAGGCGCACCTCTTCTTGTCTGCACATCCTCCCGATACCACGATTTATCAGTAACCATGAACAGAGAGATTCCGGGGTTCTACTATGGTAAATGACGTTGTCTACTGCCCACCCTGGTTCTGCTATCGTTGACCGCTCAATAGACCCCGAAAAGAAGAAATACTTCCGCATCCAAGCCAACCACAAAGCCCCTTCAGGGTCTCAATATACCAAAGATTCTGTCAAACGCAAACGCGCCGACCATGAGGTTGTTATAAGTGCCCCCCCCCCGAGACCCCGCATTGCGACTAATAATCTGATAGAAGCACCAACGGAAAATTCACCTGACCAAGAGGGTCGCCAAAGAGAAGATCACAAGAGCGACTTTTCTGTCGCATCCTCTCATTGGAGTCCAGAGAGAAATCGGCTCTCAACATGTGTCTACAAGTATTCGACAAGAACAGACGAGCTCGATTTACGCAAGCCAGTTCCGTCGAAACCAGCTACACCAATTCGAGCCTTGGCCAGACGAGTATACTATCAAGCATGTCCTGCGCAACAAGCGCTCGGGAATCTTGATTGCTAGTAAGTAGAAACCCACAGCTTATCAGTCTCAGTTTGACGCGTTTCTAATTCCAAAAGGTGGCCATCGTGGTGGCGAATCGTCTGTCTCGTAAGCTCAACCTTCGCCCTCGCGGTCGTGTATCCGGCACGCTAACCGCCAGCTAAGGGTGTGCTTCCCGGATTGCGACCAAGACAAGTGGACATATAATCGCACAATGGAGCGTGTGCTCTTCAAAGAACCATACAGGGTACAGCAGTAAACTCAGAACCCAGTTGACTCGTGCTGCATGAAAGCTGACACGGTGTAATTATAGCTATCTTCCGTCTCATTGAGTCATACCGGATATCTGCTGTGAGATCTTGGCCTGACACCCTGGCCTCTGATCAACGACTGACAGAAATAGAGCGAGTATGGATAGTGGTCCGGATGGCGACTCGTTCCTGGCTCCCCGCATGTTGCCTGATCCCGATGAGGGCGGAGACTACCGATGGCCCACGTCATGTACGTAGCACGTCCCCTACAGGTCGTTCCAAGCACGTACACATGACAATTGGAGTTACTGACTCCAACCTTCCAGTCTCCCATCCGATTCGTCTACGCACTGCATCCTCCCTGTGGTGCTCATCTGCCTGCCCAGTAGGCGACATGCCGCTTTTCGCAATCGGAACATCGGACGGATTATACACCCTGGAAGGGTTTGGTAGCTACTGGGCTTTATCGAAAAAGCCCTTTCCGAATGATATGGCGGGAAATTCGAGCTTACATCGTCGTGTGGATTCCTCCCATGCTCTCGTCACCAGTGTCGAATGGCTATCGTCCGACGTAATAGCGGCTGGCCTGAGGGATTCCGCAATATTCCTCCACGATTTACGCAGTGGAGGGACGGCAACACGACTACAACATCCTCACGCTGTCACGAAGATGCGGAAAGTAGATCCATACCGTATCGTTGTGTCGGGTATAAACTCGGTACGTGCCTCTTCATGCGTGATGTACTTGAATGCACCGATGGACACTATTGATCCTCAAAATACAACGCGAGAGAAGAACGACTGACGTGACCTAGCTCCAAATGTATGATATTCGTTTCCCGCCTAATGGCCTCCAGCGTAACCCGAAACCCAACACCAAGTATCATACATCCACGAAACCTTACCTGACGTTCTCGGACTATTCGCCTGAAGTGATACCAGACTTTGACATTAGTCTGGAACTTGGTCTCCTCGCCAGTGGTTCGCATATTCTGTCCCATGAGTCTATCTCTCGTACCTGACACCGGCTGACTCTTCCTGGTACTAGCTTCGGATGAGCGAAAGATTCAACTATTCTCCCTCCGCACCGGCCGCCAGGTTCCGTCGCCCTTGTCACAATATCAGTACGAGAGCTCCATATCTTCAGTATGTTTTGAATCTGGAGACGGGTCTTTGCATGGCCCCCAGACGCCTAGTCTACTAGTCTGCGCTCAAGCAACCGTGGATGAATGGATTTGGTCAAACTCGCCAAAGACGATATGATCGTGTCATGATGCTATGCAAACCGCGCTCGATGGGGAATATTACTAGAAATACATGAGTGAAGGCGTGGAATGGCTCCATATTGCGAATGGTTTAATCCAGTCCTCCCGCCAACCATTCACCAACCTCGACGCCAACCGTCTTGGCTAGCTCTCCGATCCAATCCCCCGAGACATTGACACACCATTTCTCTCCCACATCAGATGTTGTGTTTCCGCTGCTTAATCCTCCTGACCCCAGTCCCATGCGACTGCCGCTCTCGCGTCCGGCAGCAGGCACAACGAGCCGTAGTCGGCGTAGTGTAGCAAGCTCCGCGTATATCGCATCGGAAACCGCAGCCAGTCGAATGGGATTGGCGGGAGGGTTGGGATCTATGGCGTGGTAAATTGCGACCAGCCGCTCCAATGGAAAAGGGCGGGCTGTTAGAATGGTGGAGGGACCGGTGATGCCAGCGCCCCCTCCTACCGCTGAGGTGGTAGCAGAGGAAGTAGCAAAGGCCGACTCAAGAGTTGACTTGGTAATCCGTGTCTTCTGTCTCTTATTTTTCTTGCTAGGGGTAGAGGGGTCATGACTGGCTTCCCGGCTGTCTTCAGCTTGAGCCCGGGATAGCACCTTCAAACGCCGTCTGTGATGTGCACGTTTGTTTCTTGCAGACAGGGAAGACGAAGAAAATTTTGAAAAGAATATAGTGTCGAGTCGTTGAGGAGTATGTGAAGCTAGATATGCGGAGGTCAAGATCAGGGTGGGGAAGTAAGGCAGGGAAGGAAGGGGCGAGGGGGCCGACACGGCGGACAACGATTGTTTTGGTGTCAAGCCATTGATAGGAGTAGCCTCTTCAGTGACAATGTGATGCACAAGGGCGCCTTCGCCTTGATGTCGAAATAAGGCTCGATTCCTAACCAGAAGTCGCGAAAAATCCCATTCATCGCTCCCACCTGGTGGAATGTCACCGTTTGTAATCGGGGCCACAAACTGCGGCCAGATTTTGTCGCATATTGACCTGAAAGTAGGGATCGAGCTTGCCGTCGGTCCGACCAGAGAATCATATATGGCGGACACAAAATGGGAGTATAACTTTGCTGACGTTTCATCTGCAAGACCGCCGACGGCAGGGGGGCCTGCGTTCAGGATTATAGTCGTCGCCTCATTGCGCGTATACGGAGGAAAGCTGATATGTGGAATCCCCGCAGCTTGTAGGAACAGCGACCGGGGCGTGGAGCTGAGGATGAGGACCACGCAAAGGGAGGGAATCTGCAATGGTTGGATGGACTCGGTCAGTGGGGGATCTCGCGAGAGCGGGAGAGAGGAATTGCCAAAACGTACCACTTCCCCCAGTCTTGCTAGTGCCGACAATAGTGTCTGCGGTGCATCACGCTGCTTGTCGATACCATCTAGAACTAACACGAACTTCCTGTTGTTCCTTTCCGCTGATTGCGAAGCAAGACATTCGCCCAACAGCACGGCCAGGGTACTGACGTGCTCGCACCTCCCCTTTCCGTATTTCTCCCATTCATCTCGTTTGCCAAGGGCATCCAACGTGGCCCACAGGATCTTTGTCAATAGGTGACGGCCCGTGATGCATTCTGGGCTTCGGACAATGGCATGCGTTACTTCGAGGGCGGCGAGGACGTTGCGGACGATAGTCGATTTACAGGTCGCGGATATCCCGTGAACAACCAATGTTGATGGACTTGAGATTTCAGCCTATCCGATCGCGTGTAAACGTTAGCTGCTGCTTGTTGGAGAGAGTCGAGTGGAAACCTGGAGATGATGGGGAAAGAAACGTACGCCCAGAAGGCTGGCGATCTGTCGGCTCTGAAGCTCTCGACAAGGCCATTGTTTGCTGAGCGACCGTGCAATTTCTGATGGAAGCATATGGAAGCGTAGTAGATTATATCGTCGTGGATCCAGGCCCTCCTTACAAGCTTTAAGGAACCAGAAAATGCAGGGAAAGAAATAGTCAGACGCCGCCCTCCTGCAAACAAGATTTGGGCTATCGCATCAATGAAATGCGGATGTCACATGCAGTCACGTGGTACGTCCATGTCTGGTACGTCTACTACTCCGTGCTCGTCTCGACTTTAATATAAGAGCAGGGGGGTTGCTTGGAGTTTCTACTTAGACACATCGATAAGAAGACATTGACTGTCTGAAAAGTATGGGTACATCTAATCTACCGTATCTGTGTGGTGGAACAAACGGGAATGGATGTAAACGGTCAAAAACATGAAGCTGGTCACCCCAAATGTATATCCAAAGGAGAGCATGCATCTGGCACAAGCATGGTCCAAATCCAAAGGGGAGGTGGCGCTCATTTGAATGTAAAGTCAGCCCAACTTGGCAACTTAACGCTCGGTCCAGAAAACGAGGAACAGCCGTGCCGATCAGTCCATATGGATAGCAAAAGATTTGTCTTGGTGCCAACACCAAGGTAGCAGGGCTCGATAGAAAGACAGACGGAATCCAGAAAAGAGGGGGGATAAAATCACAATTGGGGAGTTATTGAATAAAAGACATGTATGAAACCCAGCCTCTGCTCATGGTCAGGCCAGCAAGCTAGATTGATGGAAGCAGTAGACGTGTGGGGGGAAATAACTGAAAGAAAAGAGAGAAAAAAAACATTCGAGTTACTATCGTTAGAGGGGACGTTGAAAGAATACAGAACATAATTGAAGTGTAGTGGAACCTTTTATCATGGTTTACATCTTCTCGTCAGGTATGATCCAGATATGCAATGTAGTTTGCATAGAAATCCGATATTGTCATCGTATCAAAATTCGAGTCTTTCCAATTGACGATTTGTCAATATGGCCGTAAGTCATGAAGATCGTGGCATCGTCGCACTATGAGTACAATTCAAGGAAGAAAGTCTGGCGATCCAGGCGCAGTGTAACGGATCAGAAGTATGCGTACAACTGACCTTGCGCACCAAGATTGCCGTTGGGCTGCTGAACAGCAGTAGTAAAGATAGTCTCGCCAGCCCCGCCGGATGGAGCATTGGAGCTAGTTGCGGATCCGGGAGTCGGAACAAAGTTTTGATTTCCAAAGTGAGAACCGACACTGGAAACAGGAAAGGGGTTGTGTTGATACAGGAAGGGCTTCTGTGGCCCTTGAAGAGGCCCTGGAAGCTGGGCGGAATTCATTTCGTTGGGGGTCACCTGCCCGCTAGTTGCGGCACTTCCTCGTCCTGAGCCTTCCGCAGCCATCATCTTACCTGCGATACGACGACCGTGAGGCGTCTGACGGATAGAAGGCAGTATGGGGCGAATGGAATCAACGATCCGGGCCCGGGTATCAACATCAGCAAAATCCATGGCCGTTTGCACAACATAGTTTGCGAAAGAATCACGAAGCATCTTCTCAAGCTCGGCTCCTGCCAGCATTTCATCAATCATCTGACGTCGAACAGGGAGCTCAGCAGTGCGCAGGCACTTTTCAATAACGTTGGAGCTGAACTTCTGTTTGGACAGGGCTGGGATATTGCCTCGGAAAGTCTGGCAAAGGGGTTCGGTGAAGTGAGGCTCAGCAAGATCCAAGATATATTGCACAACATAGTTTCCAAAGGGATCTTGAACCAGCGCGAAAGCATTCGATGTGATCTGAGCGATCAGGCGAGCTCTCTGTTCACCCGAAGCATGGTCAATGCAACGCTGCAGAACACAACATCCGTGACGGTGAGTCCCGACGACCACACAGTTGGCACCAACGGCATCGTAAATGAATTGGGCATCCTCAGCGGAGAGGCGGTTTAGACACTTTTGAATCACATGATTTCCGTTCAGATCCTGAACCAATTCCACGACATGATCTTCCAGGGCGTGGATCACGGTTTGGGTTTGTTCTGAAGTAGAGATAAACTCAATCATCTTCTGTAGAGCACGGGTGCCATGCTGATTTAAAGCGATCTTGACAAGCTGATGCGCAGCATTATTGATCAAAGCCGTCCGTTGATCATCATTGGAGTATTCAAGCAACTTCTGGCACAAATAGTTACCGAAAGGGTCTGTCGATGAGGGTAGTTAGTAGGGGCCTCGGCGGACTGTTAAGTGAGAACGAACCTGTCATGAGCTCCACAACATGCGAATGAGTCTCATCAAAGATCATCTGGACGTGTTCGGGATTACGCTCCTCCAGCTTTCTCTGCAGATACCGACAGCCGTGCTGATCCTTGCAAAGCCCATACAGCTCACCCCGATAATGCTCAAGTGGGAAGTTCGTGAAGCGGGATAGTTGTGCGGCATCACTGTCCCCACTTCTGCGGGATGCAACGCCTTTGGCGGGGCTTTCTGCGAGGCGATAGTTTCCGTATGGGGGATATCCAGCAAATGAGGCAGCAGAGTTAAAGTTCTGCAACTGCCCATTCACCTGAACCGGAGCTCCCATGTATGCCTGAATACCATACCCATAAAAGGGGGCTTGAAAAGGAGTCAAAGTGGTTGGAGTAATCGCGCTATTACTGGTAGCTCCGGTGGTGAGTTGCGGGCCGAAAGGAGTGGCACTGGCTTGCAGCGTAGTTTGCTGAGATCGAGTTCCTTGCAAGTTTGCCTCGTCACTTTCGGGTGAACCCTTTTGCTGACGAGTATTGGCAGGGCTCACGGGTGGAATCCGACCCATGTTGGCATTGTGCTGCTGAAACTGTTCGGCATGAACCTTTGGAGGCGTGATTGCAGGGTTGAATGCCTCGCCCTTGACTGTAGGTAGATCATTTGTCGAGTATGACGACTGCAGAGAATTGGGTCTACCAGACGCAGCAGCAGTGACGGTTTCCTTATTTCCCTCAGCATTGTAGAGCAAGTTTGCTTCCAAAGAGTGCCTTGCAGCATGGCGAGAGGGGTTCGGGGCATGAGAAGGGCTCTCGTCCGCGGGACTCCCGTGCTGTTCGAGGCGGAACATGTTCAAAGTATTTTGAGGCATGCTTTGATGGGAGGTGCGGTGGCGGCTGTGGGAGTTCCAATTCTCAGGGTTGGGAGTACGCGAATTGGCCAAATCTAAAGCGTCCGAGTTGGCAGAAAGCTTGGCTTCGAGTCAGCAAGATGTGAGTATCTGCCAGAGTAAGATAGCTTACCAGGCCCGAATCGTCTCTGCGGGACAGTGTAGGGAACTTGTCGTCAGGATCAGTCAATTTGAGATAGCTCTTGATGTCGGGAGTCGGGATTCGGTCTTCGTCCTTGAGGGTCGCTCGGTCTTCTTCGTTGTGAAACAAATATTTCGAGGCGTTGAAAGATTCCAGTCCAGAAGGACCGTTAAAGCCCGACGTATTGGGACGAGCTTGAGAGCCTAAGCCTGCTGAAGGCATTGAATAACGGTGAATTCTAGATGTTGTCAGTGAGATTCAAGTGAGGTGATGACAAGATGTTCAGGCCGAGTAGCCAGGAAATCAGAGTATGATTTTGGAGTTTCCAGCAGCAAAATAAAAAGATGTAGGGGTATGGAAGACAGGAGTGCAGAAGTATTCGAAAGTCAAGTAAGGGATGCGTCTCTTATATCATGATCCCTCGATAGCACTGTTTCACAAAGCTATAACACAAGAAGGATCACAATGGATAAGATTGCGAGACAATAGGACGGTTGAGTGGATCTGAATAGGACAATAGGTGGTTCACTTACGATGGACCTGGACGGAAGGGAGAAGTGGGTTCCTGATTGAAGTCTTCCTTTTCCGAGTTCCTTCGAGACCCGGGCACAGAGTGAACAGAGAAGCGATTGGTTGGAGTTTGAGCGGAACTATTATTCACCTGACTCGGTGAAGTAGTCGCTTGAGCAGGAGCAAAGACATTGAAGAAGCCAGGAGAAGAAGTGACACTAGAAGTTGAGAATCGATTTGGACGGGTGAATGCAGGAAAGGCATTCTCACGATACTCCGGAGGAGTTGTAGGCTCACTGACAGGACCAGATAAGCCAGCTTTGGCCAGGTCTTTAGCAATCTGGTCCATCTCTAACTTTTCCCGTTCATGCTGTAAGTCTAGCATCTTCATATCTTCTTCAAATCGTCTCCTTTGCTCTCGCATGTATTCGATGTGTTGTCGCTTCTTCTCAAACTGTGACGTGGTTAGAAACACCCGCTATTGTAGGTAATGACAATAGGCAAGCAAGTGAACATGATTCACCATGATAGAAGCAGCCAGAGCAAATCACACGATGTGGGCCATCTCATGTAGTGAATCATGAGGCAAGAATTCCGCACCATGATAGCAAAATTCAGAATACTAGAAGTAGGGAGAAAACACCATCCAAGGAAACATATGAAACAATCCCAAAAAGCCCAGCAATGATATAGAGCAAAAGAACTCTTGCAACAGGAAGTTTGAAACCCAAATACAGTTGAGTACGTGGAACAAGAGCGATTTCATAAAAGCCAAGCTTACCGATGACAGCAGATCTAGGGGATCAGGAAGTTGGGAGCCACCTCCGACATGATTCAGATAATTCCAGGACGAGAGTTTGCTGGAATCGGTTGTGAAGCGACGCTGGAGATTGGCACGGACATCGCCTGACGGCCGCGAGAATGCCGAGACAAAATTCGAGTGGCCTGGCGAAAGCGAGCTATAGCCAGGGAAAGGCGATTCCGAGGGAGGTGACCTGGGGGAAGGGAACCGCAGCTCATCGAGGCGTTCACTAAGTCCGTTTTTGAATGCCATGGCGGGCGGGCTGTTTGGGACGGGAAGCACTGGACTGATACCACTCAGGGGGCCAAAGTCAGCTTATACCATGATAAACAGGATGAGGGGCGCGCAAGTGGTGAAAAGCAAAGAAAGACCAACAGCTTCGGAGGCAATTGCCAGCAAAGCGAAGGGCTGAGCTTAAAGCACAGGATCCCAGGAGTTAGGGAGCATGGGTTGGTTGGCGGTGTGCTCCTTTGGATAACGGGCAATGTACGGGCGGAGTAAGGAGTCGAGAGGGGCTGAGGGGTGATTTGGTGTAGGAGATCGCGGAAAAGAACAGCGACTTACACACAATGAACGCCTCGAGAGTTTAAATTTCAGGAACGAAAAGAGACTTTGTTGGCCAGCTGCCCCGGTGTGAGCGCAAGGACGGACGTTCGATGGGGAGTTGGGAACCGTTCGCGGGCCCAACAAGGCGTTCCTGACGATGCGGAGATCTCGGTCAACGATGGTGAATCACAGGCGCTGGACGGTAGTAGCTAGGTACTGCCTCAACCCTACGCCCTCTCGGATCGAGAGCAGCGTGGACCAGCAGATAAGAATAACGAGCGGACAAACGCGCGATATGAATGGGGGGAGGGGTATAACAATGGCGAAGGAAAGAGAGCTGTTGTACAGAGAGTAGGAGTATGTATGAGCTCAAGGGGAGGGGAGAAGAAGGGGAAGCAAGAAGAGTGAGAAGCGAGAGGGGAAGAAAGACGAGGCGTGGGCGGCGGCTGGGAAAGCAAGCGGGGAGCCTGTTGTTACTGTTAGTTGGTTACGGTTGACTCGTTTGGCTGCTCCTACGACGCCTTCCTGGGACCCGAGCTCCCCCTGGTCGCTTTCCCTGTCATTTATGAAGTGCATGGGCGAGATTTATCTACTCTTAGTTTCATCTCTAGAAGGTGGCACCCTTCGTCCTTTGTGGCAATGACGATGGTGATTATTATGATGATGGGGGGTGTTGGATGGTGATCGTGATATGACTGTCAATTCATTAGTATTTGCTCCGCAAGGTACCAGATTACATCATCCTTCTGTTGTTCCCCTACTGCACTGATGTATCTACTGATTCTGGTCATCCACAGATATCTCCCGTCCTGCTCAACCTTTTATCCCACATACATCAGTAGGGCCGTCGGGGGAGTTTGAAGATCTGTCCATGCTGTCCGGTACATACATACAATACGGCACGGGTACATCGACTCCGACTCCGTCAGGCGTGTGATGAAATCATGAAATATGAAATCAAGTAAAATGGGGAAAAGGAAAAAAGAAAAGAGAAAAAAAATACCAAAAAATACCCTCCCATCAATCACCCGTTACGTTCGTTATTTATCAATCTAACCCCTCCCGAAGCTGGTGAGCTGTCTTCTCTGATGGCAACCCTCCTGGCCGATCATTTGCGTTTCGGACGGATCAAGAATGAATGAATCTCTACTTATCTACTGCGCGGCCCGTGATTGGAGCTTGAATCTTCGACTGAAAATGCTACTGCACGACTTGTTAGGAGGATTGGGAGCAGTTAGATAGTCCTGAGTCTACCGGTATCACTTGTTCCTCTTCATAATTGCATTCCCAGCATCCCCAAGAGGGCTCTTTCTGAATGCTCGGTGCTCCTGTCCATCATGACCTCGGTCAAAGCGGCAGATTCAGCGATCGCGGATTATTGTCAGTGCTACGGAGTAAGTAATGTACATGAGTAATTTCTCGATCGCCTCCCTGCTGGACCACCGTGCAAGGGGCTTCCCTGCTGAGTGTGCTGGTCGAGAGCGTGGCCTCTGCAAGTGTTTCTGCATCAAGTGGGGCACCGCATTGATTAGGAGGGAAGACGTGACGGCGGATCAGGCCCTAGCCACCGCACGTACCTGGGCCAGAGTAGATACCCTATAGATACTCCGTGCTTCAAACGAAATTGGGCTCACTACGGAGTAATGACTAGATATCTACTCTCGCAACTTCATCTACTCCGGGCTCAAGGGCGAGTAAGATTTCTGGAGCTAATAGCGGCTGCGGTGCAAGTCATAGGTAGTGTGTAGCCTAATCTCCCAGCGGTCACACACCTGCTTTTCTTCTTTCTTCTCTTTTCTTCTTTATTCCCCTCCAAAGTTCCCTTTTTGGCAATGTCCGTGGCCCCCGATGAGAGGATCTTTCAATCCGGTGATTATATGCCCTTATGCTCCGTATTTAGGTCTCACTGGAGCATGGATCTGCGACCGACGCGACCATAGCAGTATGGATGGATTAAAGGCTAAGGTAACCGTCCATCAGTTTATTACGGCGCGCTGGCCTCTCTAATTACAGAGGCAGGTACTTGGGTAGTGAGTAGTACCATAAAATCAATATTTACGGACTGCCACGCGCGTCCCAAATAATACGTGACGGGTGTCCGTTTGGTAAGTAGCGTCCTTTCCATAAGTTATCCCTCCAAGGGATGATGGCGCATTTTCTACTGGTCTCTGGGCAATAGGCCCGAACCAAGGTTCATCGCCGGATAGCTCAACAATGGATCTGACCACCGGGGGTGCGGTCAGCCAGTATCCGTGGGCCAGCCAATTCAGGACCGATGGACATTGGAGTGTGCGGCGTATTGAAAGCGGCAAATGGCAGCATCTTTAATAAGATGTATCTGCCTACTACGGAGTACCTTACCTGAGACGATGGCGATGACTGTGGCTGTCTGTCTCATTGCACAGACGGCGACCAATCGATCCTCAAGAGTCCCTCCATGTCAAGCTGGGATGGCTGACGGTTGCTGATTGGTGCGGCGGAGGAGAAGCGGTGTACGACCACCCTGGGCTGGCAACTCCAGGGCGACGCTGATCCATCGCTTCGGCAGAGAGGTATCTACCAGTCCCTATGAAAGGGCGTTTTGGGTCGGTTGCCATCATCACCTCGAGATTCTTCATCTCGCGGCCTGAACTACCGGAATACTAAGTGTCGCCTTTACGGTACGCCGTTAGAAACCACCAGCCTTAAGGCCGATTGCGGGGTATTCTTTGTGCTTCGCGAACCACAGAACAAAGCACGACAGGTCTACTATGTACTAACATATGTAAGATGGGTCCGTGACAGAAATGAGAGCCAGGTAATACTATAACAATAGTAATATTAATGCTACCTACATAGTACCTACTCAATGCCCCCTGTTTTTACTCAGTGGCGTGGATAATAAACGCGCTCTCTTCTTGGGGACAAGCTTAGTCTTGACTACTCTGCCAAAAGCTGTTTAGGTTCTATCTAACTACTCCGTGCTGTGCAGAATAAGAATGATGGCGGTAAGTTGGTCACGACCACTAGGTACTACCTTGTACTTACAAGTACTCCACACTGGCCTTTTCGATCTTAATTTATTTAGGTAGGTTGTTGGGTACTTATCATGAGTCATCTTCAATACGAATCTGCAAAATTACCTACGCTAGGAGTACCTATCTAGGTACTAAGGTATGTGCTTACTTATATACCTACCCACCGCAGGCAGGTACCATGTAGATACGGAGTAGTACTCCGTACTATCTAGACAAAGCCCGGTCCCGTCAATCAGCTGTAGGCAGTGGCCACTTCTGCCGGTATATAGAAAAAACCTACTACAGACGGGCAGTCATTCCATTCTTGATCTCCCTTGTCTTATCTCGCAATGGATTGTTAATCTTACCTGCGAATAAACCAGAGAAAGCAAGGATTTCCTGGGTGTTCCGTATAGCAGTTTATGATACTCCCATACATTGAAGCGGCCGTGATGTTTACCTGAGAAATGAAATCTTGATAGTAATGCTCGTCAAGGTCAGTTGTTCAGATTGGTTGTCACCGACGCGGGTTTCATTGCGGGTAAGGAAACAAGAACTTATTCAACGGCATCAGAATGGCTTCCATAATAGTTAGGAATGCGTAACAGAATTGACCTAATTTATTTCTTTCTCTCCATTGATCAAGTACGTTGTACCTTAGATGTGGTATACTGTTGAGTTCCACGATGTGCCTTGAAAATAATAATATGATAATACCAAATATACGGAGTAGGGCTTTTTCTTCTCCGTACTATTGGCAAGACTAATGAATATCATTGGGCTGTACTCCATCCAGCCAGCGAAGATCCGGAGATGCACGTGATTGTACGAATGGTTCGATTCACTTCTTTTAGTGGATCGGACGAGTCTCATTTTTCCATGCCCTTCGAATCTCCGCACGGGGACTTTGCCGATGATTTCAACCGCTCTTTATCGTGCCCAACGATTCGTCGAATAATGAGCATCTCTCCGATGGGGAGATTTAATTGCCAAGTGGCAAGGCCTTCTAAATTGCGGTCAAAGAAAGCCCACCGCCTCAGACATCGGTTCTCTTAACATCGTCTCCCCACACTACTCCCCGCGGAGCGCTGAATGGAGCAGTCATCATCGAGGGGTATTCGCTTGCCAGTGTGAGCTGTCCGAAGGGGCCAGAATGGGCGCATTTTGCGCCTAAGGCCAGTAACAACTGTACTTTGTACCCCTATTCCTTGAATATGGTGCCAGAGACCCCTCCCCCGCTCATAGGCAGAAGACACTTATCTCTCTGGATACTGAATGGATTGTTGCCCAACTCCGCAAGCTACGTAGGTTGGTCGGCTTTGCAGTCGGACGCGCAGTTTGGTGTCTACAGCTAGAGATACGCCAAGTTCCGGTCATCTCCCATATCTATAGTTGTCAATGCAAATGCACTCTTCAGATTGATAAGAGTGGAAGTGAATTCTGTCAGTTTGGGCGACAGTTACTGGCGCCTGGTTGATAATCAGGTATAGCTTCGGTGCGTCAACTACTGCAACCATCTACCAAAGCTGGCGATTTGTCGCCATCAAGCTCGAACAATGCCATTTCCGGTACACCATGCCACTGAGCTCTACCGCGGATCCTTTGAACCGAAAAAAGTATGCTTGATGATTCTGTGTCCAGCCCAGTATACAGAGGGCACGTATTTCCCTAATGTGGCTGGTCACGTCGGGAACAGTGCCCTATCTGCGGGCGCCGATAATGAGTTGTACAATGGAACAGACGTGTGGCTCCTACCAGCCTGTTTTGCGCAGCCGACATTTCTCATATTTTTTTTTCAGTGGTGCAAATCTAATTGGATACATTTAATGACATTCTTACTATACTTCATCCCTGGGTAGGCGTTGCTGCCTTATGTGCAAATAGTCACTGATATTAAGGCACTCTCCATATCGTGTATGGAGAAGATCACACAATTATTGAATGTAATAACCCTTTCTGCTTTTCACCGAGCAATATCACCTTGCCACCCGTAAAGTGCTTCTGCATGACTATGGTCGAAGTTTATTCCATGCAGCTCTTTTCTTGGATCTTACCCGATGCTTGCTACTGACATCGTCACCACACTTGCATGATTTATCCATTATGCGGCTCAAATATTTCTTTAAATGGAGATCAAAGATTACAACTCCAGTACCATTTGCAGCTCTAAACGGCCCCGCCTCCCATTTCACCCTCGAACGCGTAATGAAAACTTTCCAAGCTCTCGCATCAAGTCAAACAGCAACATTTGATACCCACACCGGTCTCATGTTCCTATAAATTGACCAGATATTGTGTTCCTTCATACCTGAATTGTAATAATATGGTCGACAATAAGGCTGTAGTAGGAGGTTCCGTCTTGTGTATTGGCATCTGGCAATACCAGAAACACACTACTACCTACTACCTACTGCCTAGGTAGAGTAGGTAGGTACACCGCGTCTGCTCCTATTTCAGTCAAATTTTGAAGGACGCGCTCAGAGCCAGATCAGTTTCTCATTCTTAAAGATGTGGGGTATTTACCGTAGTCCGGATTGAAATTTGTGTGGGTACAGGGGGATATCGCAGTAGGCTCATTGTGACGGCCTTATAGGATAGCCTCCATACAAAGAGTGAGATATAACTGTATCGTCGGCTTCAATGGCAGAGGAGTATCTTCCAAGGCATATAGGCTAGCTTTAGCAAAGTTTTCTGTGGTACTCGGATTGTAGTACTTTTGAATCAAAGTGTTGGAGCTGTCTCGAACAAATATGCAACCAGGAAGATATAAATAGATGCAGGGGTGATAAGATGAAGGCGAAAACTGCAATTGCAATAAAAAAGCATGGTCTACATAGCCCATGCCCATACTTCATGTTTATGCGATTATGAAGGAAGCGTAAAACTACCTGGCTATCCTATCACTACGCCAGGTCCAGATCAGTACGTGCTCTTAGGCCATAAAAAGGATATTGGGGGCTATTTGAGAACATAAATAGAAATTAGACTCTTAAATCAGTCCCCTATTGTAGCAACGATATTTGTCCGAGGTTTAGTCCCTGTACCGTGCATGTTATATTTGCCATTGATACCAGGAGTAGGGTGGGGATATATATATGTGAAGTATCTAATAGATGTATTATTCGCAGAACTTGAAAGCATATGTGATGAAAATAAGAAAAGGGGATATATTACAAACTCAAGTTAATGAAATGATAGTGTAGAAACATCACGTTGGGAGACGCAATCGAAAAGCACTTTCGTGCTGTGCCATCGGAAGACTTATGTTCCAGACATGTAGACCTAATCATCACCTTCTTTGCTGACTGGCGACACATTATTGAAAGTCTCGATATGTATGACATACCATGTACCTTGGACAAGATTTAAATACCGATAGATTGCAAGGCTGGTTTGCAATTTCTTGAGGCATTTGGACTCAGCCCCGCGGATGGCGGCGCTTTGACGAGAATTTGGCCCCAACGCGAATCCTGGGGTGCCAGTGCCCATGGAATAATTTTGAAGCATCTGGAGTCTCAAAGTGATTGGAGAATCATCACCGGTTTCATGGAATTCTGTTGTGTAGAGATAGGTGGTCATGATAATTGATTGTTCTTTTTTGCCTCGCCATGATAGTCTCTTTTGAATCTGGGCTGCCGACTTGATAGTGGCAATATACCCTGGCGCTGGAAGTGAGAGACTACAAGTGATAGAAGTTCTCCTTCGCTTCAATGCTGACGGTGCATACTCCAGAATAACCGTTGCGCTCGGAGCTTGGGCTCAAACTTATCCACAGACGCAAATCTTAATCCCTTTGTCTGAAACTTTTAATTCCCAGTATAATACAGTTATGCGCTTAGATATCTGAGCCTGCAGATAGCATTCGCAGGAAACATGTCCCTCTCGAGACCCTAACATTAAAAGCCAACAGTCCTGGTTGGAGGCGTTGGAATACATCTCTATCACCGCTCGGTCTGACCCAGTCAGGAACAACTATTCTGGAAGAATTAGGGGTACAATAGTTCCTGAAATATAGACTTTGTCTAGCCTGTAGTATTCTCATTGTCTGTGGGGTACTGCTGTCGTACAGTGCTGCTATGGAAAGGTTGCGAAAAGAACCTGAAGGCCCACAGTAGAGTAGGAGGTGGGGCCCCAGGCCCGACAAAAGATTATTTGTTTATGCTATTAACTCGGGTCAGGATAGAAAATAGAATAGATGGATAGTCACTACCATCTGTTTAGCAAAGCTTCTTGGAAGACGATATGAGTGGGTTTGCCTACCAATGTCAGCTGAGCCCTGATATGGATGCCCCCCGGCGTGCAGAAACCCGCGGATGGGGAAACATGGTGGGGGTGGGTCGGCAAGAGTCAGTGCAATTCAGTGGAGCCAGACAAGTCATGTCCCACGCTTAAGCGGTCGAAAGTGTTCCGTAGTACATCTTTTTCTTCTACTTTCCTCGTATCGCAACCGGTCGAAAGCGCTCCGTAGGTAGTCTGTATCTTTTTTTTCTGTTCTCTTTTCAATGGCCTCCATTTCCCATCTTTCCATTTCCCTAAACTATCAAAAGTTGGCTTTTGTGTCATTTCCCCAATATTCTGCAATACGACTTTCTTCCATGAATCACAATGGGTTCATTTGGAAATAAAGTCATGTTACCCAAACCCCCAGGATATGTCCTCGCCAGTATCCTATGCTCATGCGGGGGCTTGTTATTTGGGTGAGAATTCTGTTGTGTGTAAGAGATATTCCGTGCGACTCTGACAGTGGTTTACAGCATGGATACGGGCATTATTGGACCCGTTACGGTCATGGACAGCTTTACCTCACGATTCGGCAGCGAGTCCTCAGCAGTACATGGATTGATAGTGTCATCAATCCTAATTCCGGCCGCAATCTCGTCATTCTTTGCAGGGTATCTGGCAGACAAACTCGGTAGACCCACGGGTATTAGTATAGGTGCTCTAATTTTTGGGCTCGGGGCAGCTCTGGAGGCCGCAGCCGTCCACATCGCGATGTTCGTTGTAGGACGTTGTGTTGAGGGTATAGGTGAAGGTCTATACCTCGGCACCTTGGTGGTGTATGTGAAACCCCCCCCAAACACTCATGACAACGTTCCTTAATTCTAATACTACGGTAGTTACATCTGCGAAATTTCCCCGCCAGGCGTTAGAGGAGCCCTGACAACAGGACCTCAGTTACTCATCACTCTAGGACTGGTCATCGGCTTCTTTACATGCTATGGCACCACCCGGCTACAGTCATCATTCTCCTGGCGCACACCTTTCATCATTCTGGCCTGTTTGGCAGTCGCCTTCTCAGTGGCCTCATATCTTTGGCTGACACCTTCACCAAGGTGGTTGACACTTCATGGCCGAAAATCGGAAGCCACTGCCGCCTGGGATCGTCTCGGTGTTAGCCAGGCGGAACGTGAAAAGGTTGAGATTGAGCAGGACCAATGTTCTAACATCCAGGAAGCTGCAACAGTTTCTGGGGAGTGCCCATCGGCTTCACAGCATCAGAACCGATCATTGAAACACAAGCTTTTGGATCTGTTTTCAAAAGATGCACGAGCACAGACTACGCTAGCCGTTTTTCTCATGGGGATGCAGCAGCTCAGTGGAATTGACGGAGTGCTTTATGTGAGATTTTCTGGCCCTGTTTCTTGCCGTTGTAGCTAGTGTGCTAAGACGTCTCACAGTATGCTCCTTTACTCTTTGAGCAAGCCGGGCTTGCTTCCTCAGACGCAAGTTTCTTTGCATCTGGCATCTCGGCAATCGTGATCTTCGTTGCAACTATCCCTGCGCTCATATGGGCTGACAAATGGGGCCGTCGACATAGTGTTATCTATGGCGGCATCGGGCTTAGCATCACGATGTTTCTGATGGGAGCGCTTTATGCAGGAAAGGCAGTGCATTCATCGACTGGGGCAGGTCGATGGGTGGTTATAGTCTGCATCTATATCTTTGCTGTGATATATTCCTCCAGCTGGGGCGTCGGAATTAAAATATATGCAGCAGAGATACAACCCCAGCGTACTCGGGCAGCGGCAACCAGTCTAGCACATGGTAGCAATTGGACCACCAACTTCCTCGTCGCACTAACAACACCGGTCCTGTTGTCAAAGAGTAGTTTCGGTGCTTATTTCCTCTTTGGTGGTTGTTGTTTGGTCACGGCACTCATTTGCGCAATCTTTATGCCAGAGACAAAGGAACGGTCACTGGATGAGATCGAGGCCGCATTCAGGTCTAGGCCATTGGGCCCGCAAGCTTTCCTGAAAGCTTTACGGCCAATCGCTAGATCAAAGGCATAGAAGAGAGCTCATGACCTATGAAGCAAAAGATCGAACCCCGAGGAGAGTGAAACTTTCTAGAAGGCAGGCAGACCGCGGAGGGAGGAAGGAGCACGTGATCGACAATCACTCTCTACAAAAAGTCATGGAGCAAGCAGAGACAATAGATATAAGGTCGCTAGGGTAGAGCAGAATGACACAAAAGCAACATGTCATGTTTCATGCACATGCAACAGACCACAGGTGCACGTGCGGAGTAGGACTTCTTCCAGTTAGCGACGATTGGTAAGCCCACGACAGCCTAACCGCTTTAGGATAGCTTCAATTACCTAACCAGTCTTTTCGCCGAATTGGAAATTAGTCCGGATCTTTCCCCTCGCCGATAGAGAAGAAATTGTGCCCGTCGATCCAGGATGCCGTGACCTCTCCCCCGCATCTTTCCATTCAACGCCCGGTAGTTTATAGCTCCTCCTAGGTGAAAATCATATTCGAACAGTAATGCCGCCTCGCAGGAGAGCGCCGGTCTCTGCGGCCAACCTGCGATCTGCGCAACCTTCAGAGGCAAGGCTTGAAGTGCTCCGCATCCTCATGTCTAGCGGATCGCCATGCTAACGTCTTGTGACAATTCAGGCTGCAGCATCTTCCAGAGCGGGGGCCACGGATTCCTCTTCAAAACGAAGGCGTCCCTCTCAAACCACACAGCCTTCGAAACCCGAACAGCATCCACCAAGAGCCGAGGAACAACAGCAGGATTCGTCGGAGGAGCATTCGCATTCTACCTACCGCCACCGCGATCCATTCGATGCGCTTCTTCAGCCGTTCTACTACAACAAATCTCTCACTGACCCGATCAACACCGCCAAAGACAAATGGAATCTGCTGCCGGCATTCCTCAAGGTCAAAGGATTGGTGAAACAGCACATCGACTCATACAATTACCTTGTCGAGGTCCAGTTAAAGAAGATTGTCGAATCCAGCTCCACAATTCGCAGTGACGTCGATCATAACTTCTACATAAAGTTTACGAACATCTACCTTGGTTTCCCGCGACGTGCGGATGAGCCGCAAGATGTCCGGGCCGACTTTTCGGAATCAACAGTATCCCCTCAAGAGTGCCGTCTTCGTGATACGACGTACGCCGCCCCTATACAGGTCGACTTTGAGTATGTTCGTGGTCGTCAAAGGGTCATGAGAAAGGGCATTGCCATTGGAAGAATGCCGGTTATGCTTCGGAGTTCAAAATGTGTGCTGGCAGACAAGACACCGGCAGAAATGACAGTGTTGAATGAGTGTCCATTGGATCCTGGCGGTTACTTTGTTGTGAACGGAACGGAGAAGGTTATCCTTGTCCAGGAGCAATTGAGTAAGAACAGAATTATCGTGGAGACAGACCCGAAGAAAGAGATAGTGCAAGCGTCTGTCACAAGGTGAGAATCCCCTACCTGAAACTGGTTCCGATGGGGCGGTATGCTAATTTTCAATCACAGTTCTTCCAATGAGCGAAAGTCGAAAAGTTATATTGTGCTTAAGAAGGATAAACTTTACGTGAAGCACAACGTGCTAAGTGAAGATATTCCTATCGTCATTCTTTTGAAGGCGATGGGTATCCACACCGACAAGGAGATGCTTCTACTGGTTGCAGGTGTTGACAAAGTTTACCAGGAAGACTTTGCAATTAACTTCGAGGAAGCGATCAAGTTGGGTATCTACACGCAACAGCAAGCTCTAGACTGGATTGGAGCACGGATCAAGATCAATCGCAAACAGTCGACATATCGCCGAAATCATGTGCAGGAAGCCGTGGAGGCCATAGCCTCTGTCATAATCTCTCATATCGAAGTGAAGAACATGAACTTCCGCCCCAAAGCCATTTATGTTGCACACATGGCTCGTCGTGTGCTCATGGCCAAGAATGATTCCACGCTAGTTGATGATCGTGATTACCTAGGAAACAAGCGCTTGGAATTGGCTGGTCAGCTTTTGGCTTTGCTTTTCGAGGATCTTTTCAAGAAGTTTTGCTTTGATATCAAGATGAACATTGACAAAGTCCTGAACAAGCGCAACCGAGCTGAGGCTTTCGATGCCTACAGTGTCATCACAATGCATAGCAACCACATTACCCAGGGTATGAACCGTGCTATATCTACAGGAAATTGGAGCTTGAAGCGTTTCCGCATGGAGCGTGCTGGTGTGACACACGTGCTCAGTCGCCTGAGTTACATTGCGGCTCTTGGTATGATGACGCGTATTAGCAGTCAGTTTGAAAAGACGAGGAAGGTCAGTGGTCCCAGAGCATTGCAGCCATCACAGTTTGGCATGCTCTGTCCGGCAGATACTCCAGAAGGTGAAGCATGTGGTTTGGTCAAGAACCTGGCACTCATGACCCATATCACAACAAACGATGAAGAAGGCCCCATACGAAACTTGATCTTCATGCTAGGTGCCGAAGACATCCAGACAGTCGGTGGAAAGGAGCTCTATGGCCCGGGCTGTTACACGATTTCGATAAACGGAACACCGACAGCGCTCACTCGTCGCCCGAAGCACTTCCTTGATGCCTTCCGAAGACTGCGTCGGATGGGTCGCATCTCCGAATTTGTCAGTATCTACATCAATCATCACCAGCGAGCTGTCCACATCGCGACCGACGATGGGCGAATCTGCAGACCGCTTATCGTTGTCGAGAACGGCAAGTCGCGCGTCAAGAAGCACCACCTTGAAAAGCTACGAGATGGATCGATGGAATTTGATGATTTCCTTGCCCAGGGACTGGTAGAATACCTGGACGTGAACGAAGAAAATGACTCGTTGATTGCGATTTACGAGAAGGATATCACAGAGACTACGACTCACTACGAGATCGAGCCCTTCACTGTCCTGGGTGCAGTTGCTGGTCTCATTCCTTACCCGCACCACAACCAATCGCCCCGTAACACCTACCAATGTGCCATGGGTAAACAAGCCATCGGAGCAATTGCATCAAATCAATTTCTCCGCATCGATTCAATCCTTTATCTCATGGTGTACCCGCAGAAGCCCATGGTTAAGTCTCGCACGATTGAACTCGTCAAGTATGATCAGCTACCTGCTGGACAGAACGCAATTGTTGCAGTCATGAGTTATTCCGGATACGATATTGAGGATGCCCTGGTTTTAAACAAAGGATCAGTTGACCGTGGTTTTGGGCGGTGCCAGGTATTCCGGAAATATGTTACCAACTTGAAGAGCTACTCCAACGGCACTAAGGACCGGCTAAGTGGACCGCAGTATGAGAACGATGCCCCAATTCGAAAGCACGCCCTCCTAGAGAGCGATGGTCTAGCTGCAGTCGGCGAGCAGGTCAATGCAGGCGAAGTCTACATCAACAAGTCCACCCCTGATCAGTCAATCTCCTCTGGTATTACCGGCTCGGACGCCGGCCGACCTATCTCATATATGCCTACGCCCATGACTTACAAGCTCCCTGATCCGGCGTACATAGATAAGGTCATGGTTTCTGTGACTGAAAATGAGAACCAGCTTGTCAAGGTCCTCACTCGCCAAACCCGTCGTCCCGAGGTGGGTGATAAGTTCTCCTCCCGTCACGGACAGAAGGGTGTCGTCGGTATCATCGCCGACCAGGCGGACATGCCCTTCACCGACCAAGGTATCAACCCAGACATTATCATGAACCCTCACGGTTTCCCCTCTCGAATGACAGTCGGAAAGATGCTGGAACTTGTGGCCGGCAAAGCTGGTGTGATGGCCGGTCATCACGGCTATGGCACCTGCTTCGGCGGCAGTCCTGTCCAGGAGATGTCTCAGATTCTCATAAACAATGGCTTCAGCTATGGTGGCAAGGACTACCTCACCTCCGGAATCACTGGCGAGGCTCTGCCCTTTTATGTCTTCACTGGTCCCATTTACTACCAGAAACTGAAGCACATGGTTCAGGATAAGATGCATTCCCGTGCCCGAGGTCCCCGGGCTATTCTCACCCGCCAGCCGACAGAAGGTCGTTCCCGTGACGGTGGTCTTCGTCTAGGTGAGATGGAGCGTGATTGTCTGATCGCCTATGGTACCAGTCAGCTCCTGCTGGAGCGACTGATGATCTCCTCCGACCGGCACGAGATCGACGTCTGCGAGCAGTGTGGCTTCATGGGCTACCTGAATTGGTGCCAACGCTGCAAGTCGTCCCGGAGCGTGGTCAAAATGGCGATCCCATACGCGGCCAAGCTTCTCATCCAGGAACTGATGAGTATGAATGTGACGGCGCGTTTGAAGCTAGATGACGAGTTCCCTGAAATGAAGGGAAGATGATCCTTGGACGGAATACCTTTCCGCAAGAAATATATGAAGTGGAAATAGAAAAAAAGTTCATATAAGGCTGGATGAAAAAAAGCTTGGGATGCGAAAACGGGCGTTGAGTGTGATTTTCCCCTTTCCCCCCCCCCCCCCCCCTTTGTACATATCGGTTGCATCCATGCATAGCGCTCGGCGATTCGGTCGACTTCTGCTATTTGATGATATGGAGTGAGATTTCTGTAGACGAGTTGATATCGTAGAAAACACCATTACAGTTACAGCCCATCGCTTCCTTCTTACATTAGGATTCATATCAGCATCACGCCCATGGACCAGACCATACAGACATCAACTCAAGAATCTCTATACCACTATCTAACACTAGTACTATCTATATAACTACCTATGATCTAGGAACTCTCACCACCCACACCTACCAAACTCCTCACAATCCCCCAATATCTCTCCGAATCCACCCTCATATGACAGACATGCTTCGACCCGTGAAACTTTTCCCTCCTCACTTCCCCAGCTCCCAACTTCTCCGCCTCCTCCGCATGCTCCTCCACATCCGTCCACTCGACCAAATCATCCTCCTTGGAGTACACATAACACCGTCTCACTCGCCCTGCCGTGAGCCCTCCGAACAAGGCCGGATCATTCAGCGCCTCCCTCCCCACACTAACCGCATCCCGAACCCCACACGCCCAGAACCCCAGAAACATCACCACCAGCCCCATCCCCAAGACCACCTGCCCCAGGGTTCGCAGAACCACATTCGACGGCAGCATGTAGCTGAATGCGCGGAATCCGCCCGCGATGGTAGGCTTTCCGGGCGCGCTGTCGATGAGGATCGATGAGACGGGGAGTGGTTGGCCCGTTGCGTTACGGTAGGCTGCTAGGAGGTTCGTGGTGCTGAAGACGCCGCCGTTGGAGAAGAGGTGGATGTGCACTGCTGCGGGGGATTGTTGGGCGGTACTACTACTACTACTACTAGAGGAGGAGGAGGAGGCGGAGCGGAGCACAGATACGGCTGGCGAGAGCCGTGTTTGTTGTTCGGTGGCTGGGTTCGGCGGTAGGAGGAATGAGGAGGAGGTGTTGAGGAGGATGAGGATCCGGGCGTGTGGGAGGAGGGTTTGGTATTGGGTTATGTATTTGGTGTAGGCTCGAGGTGGGGCGTTCATCCAAAAGGCGAGGATGACGGTTTGAGGTTGGTTGGGGAATTCTGGTGTGGTGGCTGTGGGGGGATGGAGTGCCTCTTGGATGTGGATTGTGGGGGTGAGTTGAGTGGGCGAGGGGGATACCATTGTGGGCAGAAAGAGGTTTGGTCAAGGAGTTGGGAGGGGGCGCGTTGGAAGTGAAAGGTGTAGAAAGATGGTCAGGGAAGCTGAAGTGGTGGAAGGAGGCTGAATTTATAGTACAGCTAGATTTCAGCGGAGATGACTAGAAAGCCTCAGAGGGGTACACAGGCGACGGATCATTTCACCCAAGAAAGGTCAACCCAGGAAGGGGCAGGTCGGAATGATTGGTCAGTTGTGATTATTGTTGGCTAGTCTTGGTTAGCTGTGGCTATCTACTCGTGGTTTGTTGTGGTTTGTTGCTGGTAAGCAGTTGAGGTTAGTTAAGAGTGTTAGTACCTACCTATCTAGGACTATCAGGTTCTGCTGCCTGGGTATCTAGCATGCATGGGCTTGCAGGGGTCCGTCTGGGTGGGAGAGTTATGGTAGGTCAATAATCTCAAGTGTATCTCAAATTGGAAGTGGACGTTAGCTCCAGAGAGCAAGCAAGGAAGAATGGAGAGCCGCCCGGTAAAAAGTAGGTACGCCCAATCTCGACTGATACGAACATCTGGGAGGCAGAAAGAACTCTCAAGGCTGAGAAAGTGGAGCAAGTCAAGTTTCAGCGCAGCTTTGTTAACGCCAGTCCCCGCTAAGCTCACCTGTCCTACTACGTACGGGGGTTTAGCTGCTTTCTACTCCGCATAACCGAGGAGCCAGGTCCCTGCTGGGAGCCTTCTTTCCATAGCCTACAAGTTCGTAGTGTGAGCCTAGCACTCTGTGGTACTGGTAACAGCTCTTACATTCAGCTTGGTCCCTCGTCAGATTATGTAGGCGTGGCGGAGCCACTAGTATCCTTTTTCTTGCCCCGTAACGTTTGCCCGGACCCTTGGAAGCGAGGCTTTTCGCCCTCAACAACCTGGCCACCCTCATCACGCTGCTTCACGGGCTTGATCGCGTACCCGAAGAATAGCTGGTTTGGTGGCAACCGCAGAGGTTGTGGCCCGTTTGTCTTTCGGGCCGGAGGAGGATGCTGCGGGTTCGTAGCCCCGGGGGTTGGGGTCGATGGCTTCGGGGTGGGTGTTTTGCTTCCTTTCTTAGCATTCAGACGCTGTCCTCCCGTGAGGAAATTGGACGAGACTGCTCTCGCGCCTGCCGCAGCATCTGTCGACTCTGGGGCAATGGCAGCATAGTTGATCGACTGTGCCATGGTTCCGTGCGGGTGGAGGAGCCCTCCAGAGGGCAGCTTTCCACTCACTCCGCTACGAGGTGTGCTGGTCCCGCTTTGGCGTTGGGGTTCTTCGTAGCCCACCGGAGGAGCGAAGTCGACCTCCAAATCTGTCTCAAGAACGGAAACGGCATTTGTTTGGTTGGACGGCTTGGTTTCCAAAACCGCCATTTCGTAGACTTGGTCGTTGTACCCAAATGTAAACACGTCGCCCTTGGTAAGGCAGGAGAAGTTGCGGAAAGCGTTTTCCAGAACGGCTTTCGGGTCACTTATATCAAGGAACGATGTCGATTGGGCTTGCAGTTTGATGAATTGGCCCGGGGGGAGATCGGTTGACTTGACCTGAACAAGATCGCCAGGCTCTAGGAGAAGAGTTTGCATGAGCTATGAAGAGAGCAACGCGTCAGTACATAGCATGGCATTCGGAGTGAATCGGTCGGCGAGGCGCTTACCCAGTAAGGCAGATATATTTTCCCCTCTTCCGCAATGAACTCCAACACTCCGGCGTGCGTCAACCGCTCCCGCGCTCCGTTGTGAAGCTCGAACAGCATCGGATACGTGATATGGAGACGAGTGAGCTTGTCTAAGGCGCTCGGCGGCATAATGACCTTGCCGCCGTGGTTCACATTTTCTCTCTCGGGCCCGGGCATCATGGCGACGGGGTAGCACCGGTAGTATTCGTCAAAACGACGGGTAGCACCATGACGGATGTTCATACCTCCATTCATGGGATCGTTGTCCCAATAGCCAGGACCGAACTGCCATGGTCAGCACATACGAGATAGGTACTATGTGCCGCAGTACGGCGGAAGCCGGGCGGGGAGCTCACCATTATTGACCGGGACTGATAGCTTTGGGGACTCCGAGCTGGGACGGAATAGATTCTCAGAGATCCAGTATTGTCTGAGTGGATGTAGTCAGAGGTGAGGTGCGAGAAGCTCCAAGACCCGGGGAGCTTGTTGGGAGAGCTTTGTCTGGTGAGGTGAAGGTCAGGTACTAAGTACGGGCGGAGGAGCGATCAGTCCGCCTGCAGTGCCGGTGACGCAAATGCCTCCGCAACGATTTTCCGACCCGACCCCAGACAGCCCCGGTTGGATCTGCACAAAGGAGCTTCGCTTCAAGTGTTCCGACAGACGATGCTGCCGACTTGCTAGGCTGACTCTGTTCCACCCATTTACTTTTGCTTCACCTCCATGTCTGCCTCCCAACCACGCCCCAAGAGGGCGGGCGAAGACTTCATCCGCACCCATCAGGAAGATGACGACCCCACCAGCCCTTCCAGCAAAAAGCCTCGATTTGACCTACGAAATCCCTCTGCTCTTGCCCCCGACGCGCTCGAAGACGATGCAGTTCTAGACGCCGACGAAATCGGACGGCGCGGGCAACAAGTGCGCCGCAAAGCCATCAACCTCGACGGTTACGACTCAGACAGCGAGAACGAAGGATTCTCGGCGCGGGCCGATGCCAAATCGAAAGCGGATAAAGCAAAAGATGACGCGGAGGACGATGATATGTTTGCCGAGTTGCAGGAAGACTTTGGGGCCGAGGATGTTGATGCCGATGACGCTCTGCGGAAAAACAAGAAAACCGTGCGATTCCTTCGGGACGACGAGATCGAGGGGCAAGTCGCTTCATCGAAAAGCGGTGGAACGCTACATGCAGATCTTCGACAAGGTGCCGATACCGTTGGCGACGACGAAGAAGAGAGCGAGAGTGACGTCGGGGATGAAGAGCGTGCAAAACTTGACGAGGGACTAGATGAAGAGCTAGGTGCTGGGGCCAAAAAGAAGCATGCGCCCGTCCTAGACGCGTTTAATATGCGTACTGAGCAGGAGGAGGGCAAATTCGATGATCAGGGCAACTACATACGTAAGGCAGTAGATCCGGATGCGGTCTACGATTCCTGGTTGGAAGGCGTTTCGAAGAAGGACATTCGACTCGCCAAGGAGGCTGCAGACAAACGGGAGGAGGAAAGAAAGGAGAAGGACAAGCAGAGTGATAGTGTGCTAACAGCCGACGCTTTGAAGATTCTTATCACCCATCTAGAACGAGGCGAAACGATATTGGAGGCGCTTGCCAGGATTGGAAAGGGGGCCCAGAGGAAGCCAAAGTGGCAGGCAAATCGGAACAAGAATCGGAAAAAGCAACAAGTGGCTGGGACGGAGGATAGCGAGATGACCGATGAGGACCCAAAGGAAGCGGCCAGAAAACAAGCCATCGATGCAATCACCGGCGCCGCCGATATTCTCATGACGAGAGGACAGGCGGAGGTTTATGACACTGAACGCGAGATTCTCACCAGGCAATACCGCCGCGAGACCGGTGAAGCCTGGGTTGACCCTCCTTTAGGGGATTCAGGGCCCGCCGAAGAATCCCCTACAATGTGGGAATTCCGTTGGTCCGATGCTCGGGATGGTGGCATTATCCATGGCCCATATGATAGCAATGCAATGGAGTCGTGGAAGAATGCTGGGTATTTTGGCGAAGGAGTAGAGTTTCGAAGGACAAACACCGATCAGTGGGGTAGCGAAGCCAATTTTGCGTGACAAGGAAAGGGCCAAGTCGATCGTAAAGATGCTCTGTACAGTAACAGCTACGGATACCCTATGCGGGAGAGTTGTATTAATTGAATCATTATCATTCGAGCCTGGCTAGGCTCTCTCTTGGAAGTTAGGTCCCAAATATAGCAGTACCCAGAACAAACGAGTTTTGAACAAGCGCCAGCGTTATCATACATCAAGCAATTGATTTAGTAAACAAAAACCGACCGAGTTGAAGAGGGGATGGAAGATCGGTTCCCTTAAGCATTGTGAGTATAGCATATCCCCTCAAAGCTCTACGGAGGGTCAGATCTATGAGATCTCCATCGCATCCCCGTTGGTAGCAGTGGAAAAGCTGACGGCACCCTGGTCACCGATAAAGCGCTTTTCGAACTCGTTGACGAAGCTAACACTGCGTGAAGAGTCGTAGAATAGCTTGAAGCTGCGCTGGACGTCCTCAACACTGACCTCCTTCGCCTTACGCTTTTGGCTGAGGAGATGAGAGGTAGTGATGATGTTGCTGGCATAACGGAGGTTGGACTCCTGGCCAATCTTTGTGAGAATTGCCAAAGCATCTGCGGAAAGATCAATTTCTTCCTCTTGGGCACGAATCGCCAGAATCTGCCTAATCTCATCAGCAGCATACGGTTGGGTGCTAACAATCACCACACGGTCGAGGAAATCAAGGGGTAGACCGTGCGGGGAGTTGTATGTCGTTCCCCGAATCCGAGCGTGACCACGATTGCTGGCCATGATGACGATGGGTGCAAGTTCCGCCTCCAAAGCACGGTTGATATAGGAGAAGCATTCAATATCAAGCATGTGCACCTCATCAATGAACAATACGCCGGGGATGATTTCGGCTTTTCCTTCCTCCTTCCACTCCGCAACCTTTGTGTTGATTTGATCCCTCACTTCGCTCCTAATTTCGCCTGTGTCGCCAGAGAAGAGGGCCAAAAATCCTTGTGACCGGGAGTTGATGACATCGATTTCGTGAAGACTGACGGTGTGAACTATTTCCTTGCGCACCTGCAACTCGCCTTCAGGGCATTGAACAAACTTCGTGTCCGCACCCATCGCATCATAATCTCGGGACCGCGCGTAAGAGCGCCCCAGCTTGGTTATTTTGCCCGAGGACTTGTCGATGGAAATAATGTCACCCGCCATCACTCGCTCTTTGGTCATTGAGTCGATCATCTTGGTTCCCATGTCGTAAATAGTTTCCATGTCGGTTGTCTTGATGGTGAGCTTCCCTTGTTTGTTTCCCTGGGGAAAAAGTCAATACATCGTTTGTCGAGAACCGGAGCTCGCTCATATAATAACTTACTCCCGTAACACTCCGGTCGATCTGAATTTCCACAACTTCACCCTCAATGATCTCACTCTCTTCCTTGATGCGGACGCCGATCGATTTACGGAAGGCTTGTGTAAGCGCCTCTGTCTTCGACATTTCCATTGAGAAGATTTCGGACGACGCCAGCATTGTAAAAGGGACATCAGACCCGAGGGATTGAGCCATGCCCATCGCAATCGCGGTTTTACCAGTGCTGGGAGGGCCTGCAATCAACACAGCACGGCCAGCGATCTTGCCTTCCTTTACCATCTGCAGAATCACTGCGGCAGCCTTGCGCGCCTTTTCCTGACCCACCAGCCCCTGTGAAGAAGTTCTAGGCTGCAGAGAGTCGGCATCGACACCCAGTCCCCGGATATGGGAGTGGGCAGCGATGAGGTTGAGACCCCGGAGCTCCTTGGTCTCCGCGACGGTAGAAATTGGCTGTCGAAAGTCAGCGGCGAAACAGCAGAAAATCGCAGAGATCATGGTTTCCAACTCACAGCGGCCATCCTGACTAGTATTTAACAGTGTAGACTTGGTCGAATTGAGCAGTCAACAAGTAAGTCAAAGGTGCCAGCCAAACCGGGGTGTTGGCATGCCTTGGGAGACTGACGGATGATCTGAAAGAGCTGCGCAGGCAGAATGAACAGGGCCAGAAGCCGCCTTGGCCACCGCCCGGCAGAATGGCCGAATCTGGTTCTGCCCCCCCTCAGGGCCAGGCCTTGGCGTAGTTGCTGTATCAGGTCGCTTTTTGTCATTGTCGTTTGCTTCGTCTGCATCGTTTTTGTCCTTGTTGTTGTTGTTGTTGTTTTTCAGGAAGGCCTACAGCATTAATGCAACTGATATGCTCTTTCTTTTCATGCGCTGCCTCCCCATTCCCTGTGATTTGGTTGATGTTGCTGTCCCCACCGTCCATTGCACCGTTGATGATCCACACGGGCGACCATTTAATGTAGGTAATTTTCCTCTCTTCCAGTTTATCTATGATTTTTGTCTTTCCCTTCCTTACCTTGTGCTTGTCCCATCCCGGTCGCATCTCCCCTTTTCACTTTTACTTATTTGTGGATTCTCTTTCACGTTATGCAAGGCACCTTGGATGTGGTCTAATGATAAGTTTTGATGGCCAGGTCAACAGAAATTGTGACTTCGTGACATGGATCCCGACGCGGCGACAACGCGTGACCCGCGCCTCGCCAGTCGCTCAGGCAGACCGCTCGCGAACCGACCCCTCTCCCTAGACACGCAACCTCTAGCCTCTCCTACTCGCTTCAAGCCCGACATACTGCAGCAGCCCGGGAGCCTTTCACCGGTTGATACCCAGAATGCTCCCGAGCAATTTTTACGCGGGATCTCCGACTTGGTCCAGGCAGCGGTCAGCTATGCCAGCAGCCAATCGGAAAGAGAGAGGTTGCAGAAAAAGAGGGACACCACGGAAACCCTACTGAAGAAAGCCAAGGCTCACTCCAGCTTCCCATCCACTGCAGCATTCTTCTCCCAGTCCCAGCGAGATGAAGAAGTTGATTTGGTTCGTGTGGATGACGCTCTTAGGCGTCATGCAGCAAACTACAGATCACTGGAGAATGCCTTGAAGACGAAAATCGGATCGATCATGCAGATGGATACACTCAAGTCGGGCGACAAGATGACTCAACTGCAGCAAGATGTACAGGTGGCGAAACAAGGGCTGGCATCCGCCAAAATCGATACCGAAAAGCTGAGGGACTACAACATAACTCTAGAGAACAAGATGCAACAACTTCAGCAAGGGACAGATAATAAGATGAAACAGCTTCATGACAAGATGGCTCCGCTAGAAAGGACGTCAACAAATCATGCAAGCACGCTAAATACACATGCTAAACTCGTGAGAGAAAATTCTGAACGTGTGGCAAATATGCGCTCGGAGCTGGAGACTGTGTCGATATCGCAAAAGGAGAGCGGGTCGGCATCGTTCAAGAGACATCTCGATGAGCTAGAATCTCGAAATTCGGACCTGGAGCACAAGATGGACCTTTTGCAGAAGTCCCAAAGGGAGTTCTCTGAAAGCTTTTATAAAATCAACCAGCTCATGGACACCCAGAAAGCAGAAAACGTACGAGTTCTGGAAGCATTCAACACACGCCTGGACTCAGTCGAGCAAAGAAGCCCCTTGTTTGTCCCTACCGCTGAGGATACCACTCCTGGATCGTCTGTCATGTTGAAGAAACTGGAACCACGGCTACAAAAATTGGAAACCGGGCAATACAAACCCGATCCGATGTTAGGAAGCCGACTTCAAGAATTGAAGGGTCAGTTTGATAAAATGAAAGAGATCCAGGAAATGAAAGACGATCTTCACTGTACTCAGTTGGAAGAGCTCAAAAGCTCAATGGAAACTGGCTCCAATGAGTTGGACACAATCAAGGACACCCTTGAGCGAATCACGCAGGAGATGAGTGTCTTGAGCGAAAAGCAAGGAAGGGAAATTATATCCGGGTCTCACGGACAACAGATTCTGGCACTTTCAAATTGGCTACGTAATACACAGCATTTATTTGAATCTTTGAGAGTCGGCCTCCATTCCCTCGAAGTGCGATATAACAATCTCTCAACGGAAGCCATGGCAAGAAACATGCTTGCGGCCATGCAAGAGATGCATCCTACAGCGCACTTAGCAGATCAGGTGTCTGCGTTAAGAGGCCGCTTTGAAAAGGAGTTTGTCCCATGGAAAGCGACGGCAGAACATCTGCAGCATGCTCAGCGGGATCAAATAGAGCAGATGCAGAAGGATATGGCTTCGCGACAGGAAGAATCGAACCGCTGGAAGAAGGAACATACGAATTTATCGCAATCTCTGGCACCTGTTTTGAAGCGACTTACTGCTCGGAGTCAAGACTGCTGGCTCACTCTAGATGATCTTCGCCCAATGCAAACCGAAGTGAGCTCTTTAGCAACACGTTTAAATGAGCATACAACCAGGATTGACAGTTTCCTGGTGGCGAAGAAAAAAGAAGATGACTCCCTATGCCGAAGCCTTCGTAGCGAGAGAGAAGGTCTGAAACGGAAAATTGAAGCCCTAGCTGATGAGCAAAAAGGACTTGTCAAACTGGCCTCTGATGTTAATAAAGACGATATGCCTTCTCAAGTTAAAGCGCTATCTGTGGAGCTCAAGGGCCTGGCCAAATTGTTTTCTGCTTTCGAGGAGGATAACTTGCATGCTCAAGTCAAAGAGCTAACCAAAGGGCAAGATCATCTGGCCAAACGGATTTCCAGAATCCCAAATGACAACTTAAATGTTCAAGTCAAGGCTCTGTATGAGAAACAAGAAAGCTTTGCTCAGAAACTCGCCGAAGTTCAAGATCTGCCCGGCATGGTTAGATCCTTGGATGAAAAGCAAAAGGCTCTGGCTCAAAGTTCGCCCGCTGCACAAATGATCAGTATGCGTGATGGGATCAAAGCGTTAACCAGCGAGCAAGCGAATATGTCGAAGAGATTAATAGATGCCCAAGCTATCTACCAAAACGGCCTGAAGGCATTGAAGTCTTGCCCGGATGAGCTTAGGTCGATGCTTGATCGTCTCTGTCAGGTGGAGGACACGTACCGGGACCTGCGCGAGAAGCTTAGTCTGATTGAGGGGCCCCTGTCAAGCTATACGACCTTGAGTGAAAGGTTCGATAACCTGGTACAAACCTTGGAGTTTAGCGAGATTGCGCCTCAAGCGGAGGCACCTCCTACACTAAGGGAGACTACCAAACCGTTGAAGCTCAAGGAAACCCCGCAAGATGCAGAGGTCGCAAGGATATCAAGTATAGCCGAATCAAGCCCAGTGCGTGCTCTACAACAAAGGAAGAAAAAGCGACCACGTCCTTCAAATTTGTCCGACGAAGACCGCTCTAGCCTTTCCCGTCCCGAATCTCCCCGCTCCACCATTACAGCTTCCCCATATGGGAGAGACACCACACCAAACACGGACAGAAAGAAGGTCAAAAAGAAAAAGAAACGGAGATTGACAGAAGAACCAATAACTATTACCGACTAGGCAGTACAAAACCTGGGCTGCTAAAAAATGGTATACACGGGAAAACCTGTTTTTTTGAAGGCATTGGTGCTACGAGGTTACGAATGTTATGAATCCATCGTCAGCCAAAATTTTGGTTTCCGCTGGATGTCCTATTGATACTATCATTATCTGACTTCGCCCCTTCTTTTCGTGGTTTCAGATGGCGCGGTCTTGACCACGTTCTTGTTGAATACTTCCGGGACAGGTTTGCACATACGCAATTAATGTATATGAGTTTGTCTTGATAGGTATCTTTTCAAATCGTAGAATTAAGGGGCATCTTTCAGGAACTGGACGACAGCTGAGCAGAACAGTGTCAGTACAACGGTATGCTAACCAGTGGCTGTGGAAATGAATATTACTCACATTGTCTGAAGGCCTCGGGATTCTCCGAGATGAGCCAATGCCCAGCCTCTACATCGGCTATTTGGGCGTTTGGGAAGAACTTCTTGATCGCGGGCACGGTGTCGTCGCTCACGTATCTGCTCTTCGTTCCGCGAACAAACAACGTTGGGCCATCATACACGACAGAGCCCGGTTCCCGGTACGGGAAATCGGCCATGGCCCCGAGAGAGCCCCCGATCACTGAGAGCGGCACGCGGAATTTCATGGTTTGGTCCTCCGGGGAGCGGACCAAATTGGTAAGAAGAAACTGGCGGATGGGAAGGGACTAAATTGAGCAACAAGTTAGCCAGAACGGGCCACCCATCAAGTGGAGGATATTCCCACACCAACTAGGAAGGGAACGGAATCTTTCATCCGCATTCGACACATACCTCCTCGTAGTCTTTCAGGATCTCGTCGGCCTCGGACTGCTTGGATACATTCGCCGCTTCAACGTGTTGCATGCCAAGAACGTATGTGCCAAAATCGCTCTTCAAAGGAGCATTGATGGGGGCATTGTCGACGGGGATGAGAGCTGAAACCAGTTTGGGCGAATCGAGGGCGACGGTCATAGCGGCCTTGGCTCCCCTTTACCGATACATGGCGCATGTCAGTAGACTATTCTCTCTCTTCCTGCACATGTGCAAGTGAAAGATGGCAGTGAAAACTTACATGGAATGGCCAATCAAGACACACTTGTCCAGCTTTAACTGCTGTAGAAACTTGACCACGTCTTCTGCCATGACGGTGTAATTGTGTTCCTCGGAATGGAAAGACTGGCCATGGTTTCTGAGGTCCTGGAAGAAGTAGAAACCGTCAATGATTGCACTCTTCCTGATTCTCGGTGGATTTCCGGTGGATTTCATTAACACACCAGTGCAAAGATCTCACGTTTCAGATCACGTGCCAGAGCTCTGAAGGATGGTCAGCTTTGGTTTCTCACTCGAGGGACATTCCATTATCTCTCTGGGGATGAAATTCGAGTATACGCACTTGCTAATACTTCGATTGTTCTGCTTGGAGCCAAACAGGCCGTGCAGGAAGACGATGGGACTCCGGCTTGCTTCCGCCTTCTCCGGTCCAAAGACCTGGTAGGACAGTTCTGTTCGGAGCTCTCTAGTTGTAGAGAATAGGCGGGCGCGTGCTGCGCGCGGGATGATGGTTCGAACCGGGAGCATGGTGCTATGCGTTGCTATCTAGAGCTTTGGATGGTGGTGACTATCTTGAGTTTGCCTTCTTGAAGCATCGCCGATCACCGGCGTGGTGATATGACTAAGCAGTGATTGTTGCCGTTGTCCCGTCGGCTTAATGGGATACTACAAAGTACTGTGTATCTGGAACAATGATATCCGTGATGACATCCTGGCTTGACAGGAATATATATCGCACGCTATAGAGACTCCCGCTCTGTCTTCGTATACCTGGTCTAGTAATTGATGGTTGACATCGAGTTATGAGAACAATATTACAGTAATGCTAGTTACTCGCAGGCAGTGTTTGAATGCAGGTTGCGATGGAAGATCATCTTATCTAATCTCCCTTTAATGCATGTACACAGTAAATTGGGGCTGGCTCCATTCTATGTAAACCAGGTAACGTCCGGGTTCTGTGAGGGGTACTCCGTCTAGACCTCGGGTAATTGATAGAGGAGCAAATTGCTACATAAAATTGATAGTTCGATTTTCGAGTCCCCCCGGAAGTTAGAACCCGTGGCCGTTTGCTTGTTGGCGTTTGATTTGGTCTTCCAAAAACACTGCAAGAACTACCAGACCTCCGGGGTTCATGATGTTACCCAAAACAAAGAGGGGCTAGAAATGATCATATGGTGCATCCCCCGCTGACTGATAGCCCGGGATTACACCTCGCCATATCTTATTCCCCCCTCGATATACAAACTTGGGATAATGAAGTTGTATGTCAGTTGTATATCTCACGGGAATCGTAAATCATCTATTCTCAGAGGCTCATGGTGAAGTAAATTTATATACAAGACGTAGTAGAATATCGTCAACATCACAATGAAGATCTCACGATTCCGAAACCGCCCCGCTTATATGTCACATCTAAGCATCCAAAAGAGGGGGAACCTTCTCCACGAGGTATTCAACAATGGCATCTGGGCCTCTCTCGACCTGGAGACCTTCGGGAATAGCGTGCAGCTTGATGTCGGGCTTGATTGACCGGGCGATGGAGTGAATCTCGTTCGCCTGCTCCGCGGTCCACATGGAGGCGCTGAACTGCAAAGACCGTTAGTTTTGAGTCAAACGACCGAGATCACTTTACCCCGCAATGCAAGTGAGCTCATGATGCGCAGCAGGATACTTACCAGGACGTCGGGCATGTGCTGCTTGACCTTGGGCTCAACCTCCTCGATCTCTGTTCGCGTCATATAGTCAGTCACTTGGGCTTCTCTCAACGCTTCACACAAGCTAACGTACTCTCGCAGTTGTCAAGGTAGATGATCGTGTAACGGTCCTTGAGGGCCTCAACCATCCGTCCGATGAGGCGCTTGGCTCTCTCGGGAGCGGTGTTGACGGTGACAAGAGTGAAAGGGCCCTTAGGGGAAGACATAGTGACGGTTCTGTGCGGAGTGGATGTTAAAACAATTCGGAGAGGGCTCTGCAACTGCGAACGCGTTTGCTTTTAAACGGAGCTCATGCGATCTCGCTGGTTCAACCGCGCGGGCGGACATCCCCACGTTTGATGTGGGGAAGTGGGCTGTTTAGCGTTTTCGCCGCCGGTTTTCGCCCGAGGTTCACCGTTCGGGACTCGGAGAGCAAAAGCAGCGTAGTTGAACTTTGGAAGTAGGGATGTTGTTATATATACCGGGCATTTCTCTTCTCCCACCGGGCACGCGGTAATATTGGCCTCAGGCCTGGAGGTTAACCGTAATAGAAAGGTGAAAGTCATGTGATGATCAAGAAGTAATAATTTTTCTATGGCAATGATTACTCTTCTTATGCCTAATTATGTATCCATCTACTACCTATCTATCTGCGACAATTACATCAATTCGAGCTTTTATATACGCGAGCCAGTAGTTATATAGTCTCGGGGGAGACGGAGCAGCTAAACACGGCCGTGTAAAGGCAGATTAGAAATATTGGGCAGGGCTGCAGGGCAAGTACATATTAAGATAACTATTATCAATGAAGACAATCTGATTAGTTGAATCTGTGGCAGTCTAAATATAATGGATTAAGCCCTTCAAGTGAGGTTGGAAGAGTGGTTATTTTCTACGAAAGTTATCGTTTGCAGGCCTGAATTTATATAGCAGGCTATATAAGTAACCACCAAAGTATGTTACCAGGCTTGGCTACGCAATCAAGTTTAGCGGTAAAGGCCGACTGCCGTGTCATAAAATTGGTGGATTCGGTAATTAGTGGGTCTGCGCCCGGTGGGAGAATAGAAGCGCCCGGTATATATAACAATTTCGCAACTGCCACATCGGCCTAAGCACAACCGAGTCGCCCAGCCTGCAAGAGTGATCATGATCAGTTGACACCTGCAGAGGTCCGTACGGGTAAGTCCTTGTCCTGGCGGAGTAAATCTACTCCGCCAACATGCCGAGAGGCAAACCACGCATGGTAGGATTCCGGGAAGAACGTCAGCTCGCCAATTACTGCGCGCTGTGTCATGCGGTGCGACCTGGACCTCCGAGCAATCATCATGATGGACGCGGAGGCTATCCAAGACTCGTGCAAAACAGTCGCACACTACCGATATCTACATACTATCCACATAGCCAAATTAGTACGGAAGGAATAATGATAGGGACAAGCAACTCCGAGTCACTTCTAGGTGAAATCCGGTAACCATCCCGGCAACCGATACAGAATTCTTCCATCCTTGCCGAACGAAGGCCAAGGCCGCCGTTTCGAGCAGTTCGGGCGGCCGATCGGGCAGCCGGCCCAACACTAGACCATGTAAGCATGGTCTGACATTCGCTTTCCCGATGGTTTACTATCGATCGGATGATGGTCCATGGGGCCCATTCGGGGGATGTCGTTGCGACTCCGAATCCATTTTGAATAATAATAATAGCTAAAAACCTATCCCCTTGGGGCTCTCTGCCTGTAGTCCCTGTCTCTCAGGGAATAGTATATAACTCACTGGGCCTGGCGGGGATAAAGTCTTTTTCCCTTTACCTTTTGCTCCTTTTGGACTTCCTCTGTTTCTACTTTTTGTTTTTCCGTGCTCTAGGGGGAATTGTTTTCTCTTGGATGTTTTCTTGATTGATTTGATTCTTCAATTCGCCGCACCGCATTGCTTTCTATCTGCCATGCATCTCTATATACAAGGGCGCCGTTGCTCTGGCTTCCAGGCCATGTCCGGATCTATATCTAATGTCTAGGGTCGTTTATGTTCGATGATGTCGTCGTTTCCGGATGCAACGCAGACCGTCTCCGCAAAATTATCCAAGTGCGCAAGAAAGCAGAAAAAGAAGGAAGAGATGGAAAGAGATTCGTGTTCACAGTTCATTCCTCAATGGGAGGACGCCAATTCCGTCCCTGCCAATGCAAGACAAGGATCGGGATGACACTGGCGCCTGCGATGAGACCTGCACAAACCCCAGCACTGGCAGCTACACCAACATTGGCAAACATGGATGGATACCTATATGGCGACAATTAGCGATTGCGAACGTTTAGTTGTCGGTACACGATGCAGTTTCGACTTACCAGAACGGTCCCAGGAAGCCCCATAGCTGCCGGACGAAGGTGATAAACACGCCGACATTGCCTGCTTCTTTGTGGTAACAGTCAACGGCATACGTGATGAGGACCGTGGTTACAATTTGGTTGCCTCCAGCACAGATGGCAATACCAACAATGGGGGTTACATTCCAGCGGCCAACTGTGGCTTCCTGCGTCTGAACCAGGAATACTATCAAGCCCACAATGCACAGGGTGAAGCCGATGTAGCTGAGCCATAGTCGGTGTTCGGGCTGGGGCTTGCGATTGATTCTCCTCGCGCGCAGATTCATCCAGCGATCTGACAGCACGCCTCCTAGCTGCTCACCCATAACAGATCCAATGATCGGTCCGATGAACTGGAGGCCCAGCTGCTCCGAGTTGAGGTCAAATTTGGTCTGCAGCAAATTCGGCACTTCGACAGTGGTCATTACGTTGCTCAAGCAGAAGACCATTGCGTATGCGACTGTAGGGATGGAAACGCAAGGGTGCATGAACATGCCCAGAGGTCTAACGAACTCCCAGAATGACAAAGGAGTGGGATCAATCCGGCGAAGCTGGGCATACTCTCGCACCCAGGCGGGCTGGTCGGGGTCATGATCGCCCCCGATGTACCGTGTTTCCGGCCCGAGAAAAAGATACAAGATGAATTGAACGCCGTTTATCTGATCGGAGAAGAAGGTGGTCAGCTAATGATCCAGTATCTAGCGGTAGGTTATGCGTGGTTATGCAAATGTACTCACTATCGCCAGAATCCAGTAGATCCATTGGTAGCCCAGCCGATACGTAACGAAGCCGAAAATGAAGGGCCCGCTCGGGATCCCCAATGTAATCAACAACGTCCATATACCCATGTACCGAGCTCGATCTTTTCTGAACGTCGTCTCCATTACTACTGCACTTCCGATCGCTTTGGAGACCGTCAGCTTTTGTCTTGACAAGATGTTATAGCGTGCCTTACCCGAAGCAGGCGATATGAAAAAGGCCTGCAACGCCCGACAGACGGCCGTGGAGGAATAGCTAGTGCTTTCCGCACATCCTACGTTACAGACGAGACTGCAGATTAAGGAAAGGAGGAAGATGGGGCGGCGTCCCCAGCGGTTTGACAGCGGCTTCCAGAATACCGGTGCCACTCCCAGGATGGCAATCTGAATGGAGGTCAAATAACTCGCGTCCTGAACGCTAACGCCAAAATCGGTTGCAATCCTGGTGGAGAAGTCAGTCAATAAAAGAAGGCACCCAGAACTTCTGATCGGATCTTACGTTTCATATGCAGGAATGATACCTGCGGCGGCAAAGGTGCCCATGCACGCATGGAATGCGACTAGAAGGAGATTTGTGATTTTCTAAAGGCGTCCCCATAATGGTCAGCGAAAGCTTATCGACGCCGAGACCTCTCTTCTTTGCAGCAACGGCTGTGCATGATCACTCACCTTCCAGGATGGCCAATTATAAGGATCCGCAGGGTCCATGCTAGGAATGGGATCGAGTTCTAACGATCCATGTCGTTCCATCAAATAGTCGCGGTGCGCCTTGGACAGGCGACAGGCCACGATATCCGCGTACGTCGAGGGAATGCCGGATTCTGTGCTCTCTATGAAGTCGGCATCTTCTTTTGCAGGTGTCTGAACACCGGGAACGGTGTTGTAAGGTGGTTGCATCTCCATGGACCCAGGCATGTCGCTGAGAGTGAACCTTCGTCAATCTGAGGCTTTGTGGAAACAGAGTTGGGTCGACTCTGGAGAAAACAACACTATTGATATGTCTGAGACCCAGAGACTCTTCCGGGAGACTGAAGGAGGGGGTGGGAGGGTGTGGCACAGGGGAGGGAAAGAGAATGGGAACTCCGCTCTGATGCCTAAGAGGGACGAGCCGTGAGTCCTATGCAGATGGTGGACGACTCCCTCACATCCCAGCCGGAAGGGGAAGGGCCAGGTTCCACGCTCAACTGGGGGATTGACCTATCACCGGGGCGCTAGGGGTGTTCTCCCCGGGGGGATGTTCAAACAAGTGACGAATTCCGCGTCCGGTTGGGGCGACTCGTGGGGAAGATGCGGAGGATTTCCCACGGCAATTCCAGTCCACACTTCGTCCACAGAAGCAACGATGGTCAGCGTGTGCTGTCATTCTGGATAGCACAAAGCCTGCTCATTGGTTGGACCAAGCCAAACGAGCTCAACATCGCCTCCAGGTTCCAAGGGCATCATAACCGAGGGCCCGACTCCGGAGAACCCGGAGAACCCCAAACCCAGAAATGGTTCGAATTACCACTTGGTCATCCGAAGCGGGATAAGTCTTTGGAGTGGATATGCGCCCCCTGCCGGAGAGGCGCCCTGGCAGACCAATGTTTCGCCTCCAATTTCGGTTACGCCGTTGGCTCGTCTTGGAAGTTGGGCGAGAATTTGCCGAATCTTCGGAGATTCGGCCAAGCCATCAGCGGACGATAACCGCCCGCGCAGATCTCTGTGCGATGATGAGATGGAAGACGTGTAAGCTGGCTTGAATTTCATGTCTGCCTGGACGTCACTGCTAGACTCTCCTGGGTACATGCAGTGGTTCTGCAGAAGTAAGGGGCAGCGGAAAAGCTCTCAGTACTGGAAAGTACTACTAAGGTAGGTGGGAGGAGGATGAAGTAGGCATAACAATTAGGTATGCACTAGCAGGTATCGCCTCCGTATGCCTGTCTGTCTTCCTGGGACGGGGGGCTCCAGTCGATACGGGGTAAATACGGAGTAGTCTGGAGTAAGTAGCCCACACTGGCACACACGCTCACCGAGGAGTGGATCGGATATGCGAAGCTAGAGCCCCTAGTGAGCACCGGCGCCTGACAGGTACAATACTCTGATCAGATTCCTTCCACAGGTTCTATCTACAGGTTCGACCGGGTTCGACGAGGCGGCTGGGCCGGCGACCACGTATCGATACGGTACCAATACCATCTGTTTCCCCCGTTCACGTGCCCGCTGCCAAGGCAGCCGCGTTGCCACCACCTCCTGCCCCACAACCAAGTTGACACAATTTCATCCGCTTGATCCCCTTCTCCACGACAAGTAATCGCACCCCCCTCTCACCTCACCCACATCCCCCCCCTCCCCCCTCGCAGCGATCCTTCGGTAGTATTCTTCGAGGTGGTTTCCTGTTATCACCACAATCATATTGTGGTGGCGGGCGTGGACGGGCTTGCCTATTGCTGACTGGGTGCATCGTGGATGGATTGTGTGTTGCGATTAGCTGCACCCGGTTTGATCTAGACCTATCTATTTTTATATGCCCCCCCCCCCCCCCTGTCCAGCATGCCACAAACCACCACGGCCACCACCACCCCATCGGCGGTCAAGACATTGATCTGCCGTGTCTGCCAGAAGGGCTTTTCCAAGGCGGAACATTTAAGGGTAACTTATCCCTAGTGCCTTCCCACGGTGGAGACATTGCTAATACTGTTTTGTAGAGACACGAACGTTGCCGTAAGCATGCCGCACTTGTTGGCCCCTATGTGTTGGGCAGAAGTGATTGATCACCACTGCCCTATGCCCCAAAGAAAGATAGAAGTGCAAAAGACAAGAAAATGATCAACCCCTAAACACATCTCACAACAATATCAAGGCAAGACATGATGGCTGACTTGATAACGCTAAAGATACGGGATCGAAGCCGTTCATCTGTAAAGAATGTCGGCGGCCCTTTGCCCGCCAGGATGCTCTCACCCGGCATGAAAAGCTGCACGTCCGCGCAGCTAATGTTAAACAAGCTCAGGCGCATCAATCGCCGGTGCACCTTCCTCCGCAGACAGCATCGCTAGATGCTCTTCCTTGGGATGCCAGTCGCGCCCCAGCACCAGCCGTAGTGTCTGCGCCTACACCTGGCCAGGGCTGGGAGACATCCCAGCCTGAGCAGCACCCAGGTCTGCAGCATGCAGCTTCCGATCTCGATTTTGCGCTCATCTGGCCTGACTCGGAGAACTTATTCCAAAGTATCATGTCATCGGATACATCGGAACAGTGGCAGATGCCATTGGGGGCTCTTCCTTTTCCTCCTGTTGTACAGGATGTCAATGGAATGAATTTTGGCTCACCGAATTCCTTCGACGACAGAGGCTCTTCAATAGGCACTATCCCCTCAGGTGGCAGCCACCAGGCTGTACGAGATGTTACCGAGATGGTGACGAGCTCTGTGAGCTCCCTTTTTTTATTTGCGTCATTGACTTCTTGCTAACGAGTTTGCCTCAAACTAGTCATCTAGTGTCACAGCAGCAATTAAGGCAACATCGATAACATCGGTGTTCTTGGATGAATGTCTGCATATGTTCTTTGTGCGATTTATCCCTACATTTCCTGTTCTACACCGAGCGACATTCGTTTTCCGCGAGTGCACACATCCTCTACTCCTTAATGCCATGGCCGTTGGATCTTTATACTTAGGGCCCAAAGCCTCTGTAGCCAAGGGCGAGGCTTTGTGGCGCCTGGCACATACTGCCATTGCTACATCCGTACGTTTAGGAAGGTCTTGTCACAAAAGTTCATTTCCATGCTTACAGTAATTTAGTGGCAATCATTGATTACACACCGTGGTCCATATGATGCCTGTAAGGGCGTTCAGCTACTCATCACAGCCCTCCTGGGGCAGATATACGGTGCCTTGTCCAAGGTAAATGAGGAAATTAAACTCTTCATTGAACCATACACTAACGGATCTTCCATCTCAGAATCGAGTTATTCGTACGACAAGCCAGGTTTTTCGCCCGCTTGGCTTTCTCTGGGCGAGGCATTGTGGGATGCTGGACTGTGACCCGTTTCCGATAGAGAATGTGCCATTTCCGAATACGCCCAGCACGGAGAAAGAACATAAATGGAGGACGTGGGCAGCACGGGAAATTCAGCAACGTGCGTTACTCGCGTACCATATTCTTGATGGGCTTGTCGCCCAGATGTCTGGTGATAGTGCATCGACCCGACATGTTGCCAACCCCCTCAATCTTCCAAGCAGCGAAGCTGCCTTTGATGCCAGCAATGTCGACGAATGGATAGCTATCATGCGCACTCAAAAGTTGGAACAGCCCTCTTACCGGCTAGTGTTTCGCTCTCTCTTCCCTCCTATCGGTAGTTTTCGGCCGCTAGACTATCAATTCTCTGCCTTTGCACTGCGCGTTGTTCTAGAAGGATTGCAATCTCTCGTTTCGGACTCGGATGAAAGTGATCTTGCCGCTGTTGGCGTTCCTGGTCGCTCCGACGTCCGGAGAGCGCTGGCTCAAGTACACGAGACTATTACCATGAGCATTCATCTTTCTGCCCCGGAAAGGCTTGAAGTACTTCTGCGCTGGCATACGATATGTCTTGATACCATGATCAACTCTACAGTCCTCTGCAGACATGTGTGTTCTCGATACGATATTGCTCAACATGTCTCAGGCGGTTCCCGGACAATTAGACCAGGGTTTGACATTGTCAAATGGGTCAACACCGAAGATGGCCGCCGTGCTCTACTTCATGCTATCGCAATCCAAGATATTGTTGAACAGCTACCGAGAGGCCGGGCCCATGTCATTCATATGCCAAGCTCTCTTTTCTCGGCGACAACGATATACGTTGTCTTCTCGCTTGCTGGGGTGCTCAACATACATCTCCCACGGACTATTGTCTGGCAAGACGCACTCCTTTCGCGTACTGATCTGAACCTTGGTTGCGATAACATACGTCCCTCGACTGGCTCTGAAACCAGGCGATTTGTCGAAGAGGGTCGGACCGATTCCCCACCTGGCATGGGGGCAGTGCGCAATCTGATGTACGAAATGAATTCGTTGCAAAAGCTTTTCCGCTGCCTGTTCTCCCAGTGGGGAATCGCGCATGACATGGAGGAGATCATCGACCAGTGGATCACTCTATGCCACTAGTGGGTATTGATTTTGCACTTTGAGCGTGACTTGTTATCATCTTAGCATATGTGGCGTAGTGCCTTCCTGGTGATCGTCGTGATCCACGTCCCACATCGGTGACATCACATTACTTTGTATATTTAAGCGTTGGCCCGAGGCCTGGTTCCATATATAGACTATAGATTTGTGGGAAGTTTCTTTATCGACCACTTACCTATCGACTGAGATGCAGAACTGTCGCGTAACGGACAGGCCGTATTTAGCGCGAGAAATGTCGCCGATGCGTTGTACGTAGTCTAGTAGGTGTACAGTGTAAACACTGGATAGGAATCTGTTGGTCGCGCTGTACACTGGGCGTGGTTGATCACCATCCCCATCCGCATGTCCCACCGTTGTTGGCCTCACCCACATACGGTGTGTGTGGTGCCTGGCTTCCCCACGCCAACTCCCCACACCTGCCTGGCCTGAACTCTCGACCCTCCTCTCCCGCCAGATTATTTTCGAGGTTACGACTTGGCTACGGTCAGTTCTCCACAAAGATATACTTTGCACCAATCTCTCCTCCCCTAATATTAGCTCATGGGTCGCATTATTCGGGCGGAACTGAAAAAAAGGGGAAGTGGGAACCATGTAGTCTACGGAGTACTATCACTATCACATTCACGCTCCATAGCGCGATGCTTAAAGTCTTCCCCGCAGGGGGGGTGGCCCCGCCAAGGCAACGACGCGGTGCTTCAGCGCATCACCCCTCCCCGAGTCCCCAATTCCGCCATATTGAATTTACTCAACCATAGAACCCATTTCACAGTGTGCGTTGATAAGCTTTATCGATACTCCGTATCGTGTTTCATATACTTCATTTTTATATCATGTGTTTTGAACATATTCAATCGAATCCCGTGGCCTAACTATGTTGGAAATTTGCGCCATCGAAGGTACAGTGTACTTTCTTCCTCATCCTGGCCAAGACAGACTGAGAGGAGGAACCTTGCAACTTCCGCCAACGATATTCCGCTCCGCACCGTGCCCGCTGCAACACCATCCATCCTTCATGGAATTGGCAACTCTCGCGTCAACCGAACGGGATGGACTTAAACCATCGAAGATAATGTTGTACGGGCCAGATCGAACGGCTGGATATAATAGTGTCCAGTCCACCTACTGAGACTTTCGGACTGACGATGGTTTCAATTGACAGGGGGCATTGTCTATCAGGGTTCGGTATTCTGTAGAGTCTAGACTACCATGACCATCCTGGTAGTTGTTGTTTCGTTCAATATGCAAGCATATCCATGGATGAACATCATGTATGTTTCTAATAATGACAGGCATGGCACTTCTTCCACAATCTCCCCATTACAGTACAATAGCTCACTCAAGTCAATCGTACCCAGGGAGCCCGCATTGGCATTTAACCCAACCCCCCCCCTTTGCCCCCAACACACAGACACACGAATATTGGCTCGAGTCCAGGCCACCGGCAACATTACGCCCCCTCGCGCAGAGCCAGCAATATGGCATACTACGTTACATACGCTATATACGTTTTCCAGGTATATGACAAACATCCTTCTGACTTCTCTAGGCATCCGATACGCCCCTCTTCTTGCAATCGTCCTTTTCCCTCATCCACAAGGCCAGCTGCCCAATTCTCTTGATGTATGGTGCCGTGGACTTTGACATCTGCTACCTCTTCGGCGGCGGCGGGCTTCTTCGAGGCGAATGCCTTCGTCTCCTTTGTCTTCGTAGATGTTGTGAGGACGTTGTGACGAGGGAGCCGCCGCTGAAAGTAACTTCGGTTTCGGATACAAGATACCGTGACAATACCTACGCTTGCATAAAGCGAGATGGTTGATAAGATTCACCCAAACCCAAGCTGGCCGAATCTTGCGCCTTCCTAAACGGGCTATCTCTACATCACTCGAATTGTATAAACCCCCCCTCCCCCCCCTTCTCTCTCCCCTCTCTCCCGCCTTCTCCGCTAATTTCTCAACCAGACTGCATTACTGCTCCCCTCTCTCGCAGTGCCCATCACCTCTCCCTCTGCGCGCCCCTCTCACTGCCGTCCCCGTCACCCCAACCCGAAACCCGACCTGACATTCCTAGGGAGGGTTATAGCGGGGGCAGCAAAGTCTAGTACGTATCGATATTGACGTGTATGAACATTAAACAACGCACTGGTACTCCCGTAGTATTGACGCACTGAGTGAGACAGGAAGGAAAGCGGTGATAGTAGGATTCCTACCGGCTGGCATGGGCAGAAAGGGAAGTATGCGATAACAACGGACTGTCGTCTTCCCTTAAAAGGTGTCGTGGTTGAGACGCCTTCGTTAGTTTCGGCTTCGTAGGGGGTTTATTGCAAGGGATGGTTGTCTGTTCAAACACAACCAGGTTTGTTCATTCTATTCATTCTATGCATGCTATACTCCGTAATATATGCAAATATGCAAATCCCGCAAACCATATCAGACAATTAAACAGTAACAAGTTCCGAGCTCCGATGCAAGGGGTATCTCTGGGCAATGTGATGCTCATGAGAACGAGAAAGGTATGACGCGTCAATAAACGACGCAAGCATAACGAGAAGACAATCTGGATGGCGCAGAGCCGAATATGGAATAAGATGAAAGGGATAAATAGACGCAAGACCACCCATGGAAAAATCAAAATATGCGTAGGGGAAACAGGCTGAGCTCGCTAAACGGGTTCATATGTGCTCGGATCAGTTCAATAATGGTTCTTTAGTCGTAGTCGTGTTCTCGTCCATCCGAATCACGGCTTTGGCAACCGCCACCCCAACGTCCTTGAAGAGGTCCCGCAAGATCGATTCGCAGCTCCCGGGGGCGTTCGGCTGTTTCGCATCGTGACCCCTCAGCCGAGTAGACAATCGGTCGATGAGTCGGCCACAGGTGCTTTCAAAATAAGTCTCGACCAGCTTCATCCGGAGAGTGGCACCATCAACGAAATCTTCGGCCGGGGAGCTCCCAGAAGGTTGACTGCCGGGGTCTGCACGAATGCGTCGGGCTGGCCGCTCAGGAACCGCATCGTCTACTTCAAGCGGCCTCTTGTTGCCGAATGAGGTAGCTGGGAGAGCAAGTGACGACTGGGGAAGAGGAGCCGGGGCTGTATCGAGTTCTGGACTCGCCACAAGATCTGGCTGTTGTTCCCCGAGTTTCTTGTGACGGGCGTCCCGGATGAGCGACGAGAAGGTAACCTGGTGTTTCACGGCAGGGGTCGTTTGCACGCTCGGAAACACCTTGAGCACCGGCGGCGCCTTCAATTCTCCAGCCCATACGGCCATGGGGTCCATCTCCTCTGGGTGAGGAAGACTTCTGAGCCAGGCCCAGACACGTTCGAGTTTCGTCGAGTGCTGGACCAATCCCTGCTCGGGCAAGGTCCTGAGCGGTTCTACGTGCTTTGGGGGCTCTATCTTCGCTGCCAGCGGGACGGATGCTTCAGGGGCCAAAGTTTCACGAGTGGCCTGAAGCCTCGGGTCCTGCACTTCATCACACATTCCATCACACTTGTGCGCCCATGAATCCAGCCCTTCCATGACCTCGTCGACGATGTCCAGGGTCGGCAGAGTCCGACCGTCATCATACGCGTTCCAATAGGCAGTCCGTTTACTAATGTAGGTCTGGATACGGCGGCGACATGACTGCCATGAATAACGGCGACCGGTTCGGATTTCCAGTTTGGCCGAGATCTTGATCCAGAAGCTTTTCGGGCTGGTGGGGGCGTCGTAGTAGTCCATCGAAGCAGCACATAGGTTGACCAAGCAGACTTGCTCGGGGACGGTGAGTTGCTTTCCGCGACCGGTGGAGGCGACCAACTCCATTGAGGGGGATTGATTGCGAGAGACCGACGGCTGGTGGGTATCTTTGGAGGGGTATATGACGGGGTCGGGCTTCGAGGCAGACAAAGAGGGGTTGTTCTGAGATTGCGGTGTGAACCCCCATAGATTGTGGTCGGGCCGCATGGGGTTCAGGAGCGCCGTCGTCGTTGTTCGGGAGTGGTTCATGGCTCAATTGACTGCTGGACACTCATGGGAGAATGGAGGTGATGAGCCTGCAGGGCGATGAAGCCCCTGCTAACAAAAGAACAAAAGGGAGAAAAGGGAAAGGAAAGGAAAGGAGAAGGGCAAGGAAACGAACAGGAAAGCGAAAGACCGGCGGAGGCGGAAGAGGGAAAAGGATCGATCGAGTGCCCGAACGAACCGCCGGCCGAAAAGGAAAAGGAAGATTCGCCGCGCCGCGTCCGCGTCAGCCCACGTGATCGGGTTGGGTAGGAATGGCGCAGATGGGCCCATGGATACTGCTGTCAGTCTTCTCTTCATTGTTACAGTAAGAATTATAACAATAATCAGACACTCCGGAGTTGACAGTTTTCACTCCGTAATGGATCACTCGATCAGACCTGCAATGCTGCAATGATACAGGTGGTAATCATACGAGCATCTCCCGATGGTCGCCTCGATCCGACGAGGGGCGGCAAGTGTCAGGCAACGACATACCATATTACCCGATCGGGCGATTCCCTTGTCATTTGCCCCAGGCAGCCACCCAGGCCAATCCAGGCCAATCCAATCCCGGCCGGGGGTGCGACTCATCCTCCCTCTCGTACCCCCGCCTCCATTATTTGTCTCCTTCTTCCTCTTTCTCTCTCTCCTCCTCGTCTCACTCTGTCTCGGTCTGTCCCCGCTCCCCAGCCGATGATCTCCCCGGAAGAGTACCCGCCCGTCCCGTTGGATAGATCCGTTCAGCCGGCGCGATACATTCCATAACCCACACTCACATCAATCACGGTCGATCCATGATGCCGCCACTAGCACCTCGCTCAGCTCAGCCTGTGGCATTCTGTTGTCATGATTGCTCAGTTCGCGCGGACTGAGCATTTAACCCTCTACTGGAATGGGTTAGCCTGGGGCCATAATGGAAGTTCCTCTGGTGATCAGTTGAGGAACCCATGGTTGTTCTCCGCAGTTGGACGTGATTTGTCGAGACAGGTGTGCTACGTCCAACCTACCAGTAAGTCTCATTCGCTATCCAGCAGCTCAGACCTCGGCCCTTACTTGAAGCTACCACCTCCGGGCCAAATGACTCGCTCTTTTCCACTCGTCGCACCTGTCGTTACAGCCGACACGTCGCTCTTTCCCGAGCTCCCATCCCTGACTACTTTCTGACCCATCCCCCGAAGCATCTGGCGACTCACCTCATCCCTCCACCCAGGATGTCACCACAACCCAACCTGATGGAGGTAATATCCTCTGTATCACCCGTACCCGGGACCCCGAACCGATTCGCAGTGGAGATAACTCGAGACTGGTGCACCCAACAGTACGTCTGTTCAGCAGCAACACCCCTGCTCTGTGACTCGACGGGATGAGTTGACCAGAATAGCTCTATCCTGGGAGGATTGTCAACCGCGGTCATGTTGTCCGCTGGTCAACAATTCCTCGCTCAGGAATTCGGCACAGCCCGGTATCCTGACCCCGTCCATGCGTTCGTGCAGTTTCTACACATGGTCCATCCCGGCCCGTTACTCATCACGTGTACTCTTCTCCGTGTGTCTTCCAAACAATGTGTTGTTCAAGTGGAACTCGCGCCTGCCCCCCAATCATCAGACGGATCACGCTCCTCCCGAACAAGGATACTCGGCATCTTCACGTACGGCAACATACCAAGGGAAACGGGACTATCACAACAGACCACCCCGGCTGTTGCAGCCGCATTCCCCGACAGGGAAAAGGAGTGCGTTGCCATCGATGATCCAGTTGTCTACGCAACACCCGTCACTGCGAAGATGAACTGGGTAGCGCCGCAATCCCCCAATGGACTATGGGGCCACCGTCTCGGTGGCCACCATCGCGAAGTTTGGCTATCATTCCGCGACGGCTCCAGATTCTCAGATATTTTGCACTTGGCGTATCTTTCCGATCTTGTGAGCTCCCCTCTTGTTCTTCGAGTCAAGCTTCATCCGGGCTCATTACCGTGTCGGTCAGCCGCTCCAACCACCAGCGACCCATATCCCGGGATTTTACGCCAGGTACGCCATCTCCACTCTCTGCTTATCGATCGAGTTCAAGAAACGGCCCACGCCGGTGACCGAATGGGTTATGATCCGCTCCAACTCCAACAAGGTTCTAAACGGTCGCTACGACGCTGGGCTACATATATTCGATGAGAAAGGCGAACTACTAGCATTGAGTAGTCATGTTGTGTTCGCGTCCGACTTGAAGCCGAAGCCGACAGCTCGGATGTAAGTGAAGTTAGAATTGGCGGGTAATGTGCTCTGTAGTTGGGGCACTTCTTCAAGAGTAGATAACAGCCAGATGGTAAGTCTCACTATTATACGATAGTCTTAATTAGTTCCTGGTAGAATATACAACATAATGCCTCTATCATAATCTCATAGCATGATGACCTCTTCTATAGCATTGGACAACCAAAATATATAGCCCGAACACTAAAATGATAACCTCAGTCGTCCTCTGCAATCCAGTTTCTCAGGAGGAAAATGCATACTATACAGCCGATTCTGCCATCCTCCCTTACTGACGGAGTACTTGCTACAGTAACAACTAACTACCATCTGCAGTACGGATGGTCGGAAGTAGATGGCATAGGGCTCAGGGCTCAGGGCTAGGGTTGACCCAAGCACGGATAGGATATTTCTTTTGTCCAGGACTACAGCATCCTAGCTAGGTAGTCCGTAGAAATCTAGTCCTCGCTGGATCACATGTAGGCAAAGTGGAATTCGTACTCCGTACCTTAGTACTGACCCTACTTCCGATACGGAGACGTGCCTTAGCGGTAGGTAGGCACCATGTAGGTACTCCGTAGGTAGGTACATCGTACAGAAAAGCCCTTTCCCCGAAATTGATAAATCACATTCGGGGTTTTTTTTTTTTTTTTTTTTCGGAGACAGCCTTGCCTGGACGGCAGAACAAAAAAAAAAGTACAGTACTGTACTGTATGAGTACGGATTCTCCACATCGGAGCGATATTCAAGGCTTGAGCTGAAAATACTACAAATTGATGTATGACGCCTTACTGTTTCCTTGTCGGGGGTTTCGTGCGATTTGTAGGTCATATCGTATCTGATTCTATATTATATTACTACGGCGTACGGAGTCCGGCGGTGGGGGAGAGCTTCTGGGATAGTGTGGGTATTCTGTATTTTGGATAGATGGGATTGAATAGGTATGTATTTACTTTGATGGCTTGCTAAGATGAAGAGGACATGCACGGCGTGAAGATACAAAGTAGATAGGTACATAAAGAAAAACGCCAGAAAATCAACCAGTCCACAGGATGTTAGAGTCTTGAGTAGAAACAGGCAAAATCGAAGGCCGAGTTATGCAACGCCCTCGAAGAGATCTGCCATACTCATGTCGTATTCTGGCTCATTGAACATAACGTTCGCATCTGCAAGAAAAGAATTATGATTGTTGAGATCCGCTGCATTTAGAGCTCCCGATGCAGTTGGCGATGGTGGAGGGAGGGCAGTAGCGGCGCGCTCATACTTGACGGGTGTGAATTGAGGGACGCGACTCGGGGTCTTGAAATGCCTATCTTCAGATCTAGGCATCTGGGGGGGTTCGATGACTTCAATATCGCTGTCCATGTCGTACGCTCTGCTCCTAACCGGGGCGAAAGTTTTATCGGGTGTATCGGGCTCACTCTTTGCCTTCGCATCGAAGCTAAGACCATCGTCCAGGCATATTGCACTTATCACGGATCTTCCGGCTTGGCCCATGCCATTTTTGCTCGGCGAGGTCAAGCTGGAGGGTCGTAGAGCATTGTGCTTTCGAGACGAGGGGGTGGCCTTTTGAATACCGTTTCTTGGTCCACGAGGAGTTCGTGGTGTCGAGCACGCACTCCCGCTGCGCGCTTTCGGAATCGAGACGTCGGTAATACCCCGTTCGGTGGCATTTTGTCGCAGCTCCTCGGCGAGCTTTCGGTATTTGCGGAGCCTGCCTTCGATGGCGTCGTAGGTGGCACCTTGGTCGAAGTAAGCGGCCATCGCGTGATAGTCCAGCTGTGCGGCTAGTCAGATAATAGAAGATTCACATGGCGGGAGAGATGGGGATGTTAAAACCTTCAGACTCGGGTGGGCTGCGATGAGCGTCGCAAAGAGACGATCGGTAGACTCGGGCAGTTTCCAGTTCACCATTCTGTCGACTTTGAAGATTGGAGGGTGTTTTGGTCGGTAGACGAAGAAGAGTGAGCGAAGAGGTGGCTTAGACAGTGTGTGGAAGATACAGGTCGTTGCCTGTTGGAGGCAGGAGGAGAGGAGAAGAGGGAATGACACCGAGATTAAAAAAAGTGAATAGAAAGTCGAAGCCATTGCCCAAGGCCCCGCATAGTGCTCTGTCAGCGTCAAGTCCCTGTCCCTTGGACGGAATCCCAGCAGGAAGGTAAGTGGGTACTGTACGCACGTAGTCCGTAGATACCCCCGAATTGATATGTAGTCTGCATCGGGGCCACTGCAGGCTGAGTGGATCGAGGAGACCTGTATGAAACCAAGTCAAAGTCCATGCCGCATGAGCTGCAATGACTGCACACTGCAGGCTAGCCATGTGAGGAATGCAGGAACATCCTGGTTCACACCTCCGGGGGGGCATTGATTCCGCAAGCAATCAATTGCACGGTTGGACCAGAGGGTGCGCCTGCCTGGTCAGGCATCCAGGCGAGCCCTCATGTCAGCCACGGCCAGCGGCACCACCTGGAATACTAAAGAGACAGCCAAGGCCATCATTCACTGCAAAGTATTGTCTCTAGCACCAACCGGAAGATTCCTCGCTCTCCCTTCACACTTGTCCTGCTCGCCGTTGTTCTCTCCCTCTGCCAATCGTGCCGGGCTCTCTTTCTTTAAACACCCCCCCCCCCACGGTCTCATCATTTACCTGTCTACTCTCACTCACCCTTCTCTTTATTGCCTTTTTCCCAATTCCCCTCTCCTTTGTTAAATCAAGACTTCCAAGCCAACCTATCCAAGATGCGCTGGGACTCTACCTCTGATCAGCTTGTATGCGTCCACTTCCTCCTCTTTCACTTTGTCATATACCCCCAGACACTAACAACCATCCCAGCTCCTGATCAAGATTATCGAGACTCACAGTATCTCCGTGGATACTAAAAAGATTGCTGCCGCCTGGCGTAAGTCCTACAATCCTCCCACCCTCCTCCTCATCCACCACCACCCCTACAATCCCCCACCAAAAGCTAACACCACCCAGCCAGCACTGAAGCCGAACCCGGTCCCACTCCCCGCGCCATCACCGAGCGTCTGGTCCGAATCCGCCAGATCGTCCGCAAAGCGACTGGTTCGGACGTCCAATTCTCCATTGGCGGCAGGACCAGCAGCCCCACGTCCACCCCTGGAAAGTCCAAGTCCGTGTCATCCACTCCCGGATCTACCAAGCGTAAGCGTGGCAGTGCCAGCAAGAAGGAGATTTCCCCATTGAAGAAAGAAAGTGGCAGCGACTCTGACATGGCGGATATCGAGATCGACACGCCGACGGTGAAGAAGCCGTCTCCGCAGCGCTCTCCTCTCGTGGGAAGTAGCATCCAGAGAACACTCTTCCCCAAGACATCGGCATCGGAACAGAGGCCCGTGGGGGTGCCGGTGGCTGCGGCTGCGGCTGCTGATGATGATGGCAAAATGCGTGTGGCTCTGCCCAGCAAGCGCGTTCGCAAGACGAGTGTTCTCCCTCCTGGCATGGTGAAGTATGATTTTGATGATCCTGAGGTGCTCGAGATTGATACTTCGGCGTCCGAGTATGCTCCTGAGGCTGAAAGCGCTGGGGCTGAAAGCGCTGAGGCTGAGGGCTTTGATGATGACGAGTTGATGCAGCTCGCCTGAGCTTTGGGTTTCGGAAGCATATCGGGGGTCCATGGAGTGTCACTTTGGAGGTCGTGCTCGCTTTGTATCTGGAATGTACTTAGCTAAGGAAGTAATTGAGGTATGTAAATTAATGGAATGTAATTGGAGGAAACATGTTCTCCGTAGACTATGGATGACGATCCGTATAGATGAACTCGACTACGACCTGTTTATCCAGGATGTCACCGACTACGTACTCGGGGTTCAACCCGGGCGACAAAGTAATCGGACGGTGGATAGAGACACTCTGTTACCAGACTTGTCCTTCTCTATGAAATTGCATGAGTGACAGATGACGCGTTCAACCAGAAAAAAGAGATAGCTTTGTTTACAGGGGGACAACAAAGTCGGGCATAATACTCCTCCGGGCCCAGATTTCAAATTCTGCCACGCCAACTCCACTCCAGTAAAGCAAGTGAGTACCTATGGTACAATCAACGAACCCATGATGCATCCAGCAACCGCCAATACTATCGATATCCCTATATCTAGCCACCCACGCCATTTCTGAGCCCCATTATTCTCAAACCACCCTGCAAAGAAAAACCACAGCAAAAGCGAGATACATCAAAAGCCTAGTCTGCGCTTAGATCTCGATTTTCACCTTCATATCATCATCTTTCTGATCGTCTGCGCCGATATCAACGTAGGAATCTTCGTTATCAACGTTCATCTCAGCGTCGACGTCCATCTCGAACTTGACATTATTGCTAGAAGCAGAAGCAGAGGCGGAGGCAGAGGCAGAGTTGTCGTCGCTTGCCTTCTCCGAGGAATTCACCTTCTTGGGTCTACCTCTCTTGCGAGACTGAGTCGGAGTCTGCTGGGGAGTACCGGTACCGACGCCACCAGCCTCAGGGGAGGCGCCCTCAGGACCAGGAGCAGGGTTTTTGGGAGGCCGACCGCGCTTCTTCGTCGTGCTGACCGCAGACTCAGTTCCAGCACCAGCGTTCTTTGCACCAGCCTTCTTGACGGGGGTGCCCGAGGCGGAATCAGTTCCGGCACCGGCACTGACCTTATCCTTGAGCCGCTGGATGCGGTGCTGGACGGCGCTCACGGTGCAGTCTGGGTCACATGTGTTAAGTCGGTAGGTATATCTGTGGGAGGATGAAGCGGACGTACCAGGACCCATGTACTGGGCGAGTGCGGCGAAGTCAAGCTTGACGGAGGAGGTGTGGAGGATGCCGATTAGGAGCTGGGGAGTGGGTGGTTAAGCTTGCTTGGTTTCATTTGGGGGCGGGGGTTGGGCGGGAGGTGCTGGAGGGAGGGGGCAGGGAAAGTGAACTGAGTTTAGTGGGATAGCTTAGATGTACCTTGGCGTCAGCCGTTTCATTCCAGCTCATGGGCATTGTTGCGGTGGTTGTTTTCAATTTTGGTTATTTTGGGGTAGAGCTGGGGGCTCGAGGATATAGTATGAGCGAGGCTGGGGAGGAGAAGAGTGTGGTGTGGATGGAAGAGGAGGAGTGGTGGGGAGGTGAAGGGTAGAAGAGGAGAGAAAGAAGGACTCTCAAGAAGTAAAGTCTGCGTTGATGTATTTCCCTAGGCGCTGGACTGTGGGCTGAGAGTAGCCTGGGCTTCGACATTCACTGCCATAGAGGCTGGTTGCCCGCATTGCCGGGTGTACGTAGTCATATCGACTAGCGTATACTGAATTGATCTGGACATCTAGTTTGAGCTCATTTGTATATCATACAATTTGTCAAAGTCTTTACTATGGAGCTCCGGGTGGGGTGGTGTGGGAGGTTCTCCGTAGGCCAGGACATCAAAGGATGTGGGAAGAAGCAATCAACCGCTCCGTCTAAAGATGAAACTTTTGTTCCCCTCAGTATGATATGATGAGAAGTAATCATGGTACAGCAACTCCTGTTTGCTCTTCGGAAGCGTCGTCAAGTCGTCGTATTGCCGAAATACCCGCCCAAGGGTCACATATAACTCACAGTACGCAAGCCTGCCGTGGCGAGGCAATTAGAATAGTCATAGTTGGATTAGATGGTGACTTACGGCATTCCTATACACTGTCTAGAGCCCTTACCAAATGAAAATAGGTACTTCTCCAAGGTCTTACTTTCGGCTGGATCGATCCACCGACTTGGATCGAACTTTTCGGGGTGGGGAAAGAGGTTCTTATCATGGTGCATTGTCCACGAACTCATGCTAACAACAGTCTATAAATCGGTTTAGCCCGGCAGCATTTGATGTGATGGTCGTGAACATACCCCGGCAGGAACTTGGTGGCCATTAAATTCTGCGCCAGGGCCAGGTACGACCCGGGGAAGCCTACCAGGTACTCCATACGACAGCCTAGGCAAGGTCAGTCCATCGGAATCAATCGAAGAATATGTTAGATACAATGCGGGCAAGGCATATACCGGAGAGATTCTTTGATAATGGCGGTCTTCGAGGTTAGCCTTATCTGCCGAGGTCGGTGATTGAAACACATACCAGATGCGGTAATTTCTCCAAGGTCACAAAGTCCATTGTACCGTCAGGTTCAGGGAACGCCTGCTTCAGCTCGTCCGTTAATTGTGTATAGATCTCCGGATTGCGGACTACATTATAGGTAGCAATTGTCAATGCATTCCCAGTCGTATCCGCCGCCGCGGCCAACATAATGTAGGCCTCATCCTTGAGCTCCTCCACAGTGGGTACCACATGGCCCTCAGTAGCCTGTGGGTGAAGAAGCGTATGAAATATAGTTGCGCGAGTCCCTTTCTCTCCGTGATCAACAGCATCCTTAACCTGGGCAATCTGGCGACGAGAGCCCTACAAACGTCAGCGAGAACGATAGACCCATAACGCGCCACTAACATCGTGATGCAACATCATTCTGATCAAAGCGCTATTTGTTAGCTTGGCTAACCAAAACGGCATTTTTAATGCAACATCCTGGATTGCTGGGAACTGCTGGAAGAACCAAAAGGCCGGGCCAAAACCTCTAATCATTTCGAAGAAGGCGACGCCAAAGTCCTGCTCATCCAAAAAACCATAGCAATTGTCAAAGGCGTAATCAGTAATCACATCCACAGACAAGGCCCGGAAGCCATAGTGCAGGTCAATGTATCCTGTCGACTTGAAGGCTTCCCGCATACGCTCAATCAGTTTATTTGCCTTCCCCTGCACGATGTCCTCCAGCTCGAGCACCCTTTTGCGTGAAAAGAAGGGATTGAGGGCGGATCGCTTCACTCGGTGTACATCGGGACTCGATGCGGTAAATGTTGCTGTTTTGGTGCCGAAGGCTCCGTAAAAGTCAGGGTCCTTGCCATAACGCGTTCCTATGAAGTGGATCTTCTCGCAATTCTTGGGATCGCTCAGGTGAATCTCGGAGGGAGTGATACGGACAACGGGACCTAGGCTCGTCAATGTCTACTTGAGGTGGGTGGGTAGCCACGCAATAGACCGGATGAACCCACCATAACGAGCGTGCAGCTTCTGAACCTGGAGATAAAATAAACCGCCATTGATGTTGTACCAAAAGGCATACAGGTGTGTAGCACGCGCAAGACGTGGTCCCGGTATATTGGCTAGAGGGTGGAAGAACAGACGGTATATAACGACCCAGACGCATCGCAGTACGAATACAGCGCACAGAATGGCTACCATCAGCCACCCGGTATGAATGGGGATCATGGCCGATAGATGACTCTGGGGGGTAAGAATCTGAGTGAAATACCACCGTCAGCAGGGATCGCGCGGCTGCTTGAAAAGAAGAGGTCAGAGAAAAGACTCACGACTGCCATGGATAGCGACATAAGTATCTTCGACCTGCTGCTAAGCCGCAAGGACCGCCCATTGGGGGGTAGTGGTAGACCCCACCAGGGACGACCTGTAGTCTGGACGGCATGGAGCCAGCGGACTATCAGGTTCAGAAGCCTGGCGGCCTGGAAAGAAAGTTCTGGTGGAGCATATCAGATTGGACCAGACAAACAACGCGCAATGCGCGCAACGGCACCGGTTTATACTTTGTAGGGAGAGGCCCGTGGATCCATCGGTTGCCTCCTGCAGCGTTGCAGCATTCCGGGCCGGACTGACGTCCGCACGTTGTTCGACGGGACAGGCGGGGAATCTGTAGCCGTGGGGTGTGTCATTGGCAGAGAACCGAAAGAACAATAGAGTCATGGTCTGAGCAGATGACCCCGTCTGACTTTGGCCTGAAGAACTTGACAACTTGTCCCACGCGACAATGGTACTATTATTGACGATTTACATACAGACAGACTGTTGCGTCCTCCAATGGCATTCGCAGCAGCCACATCTTCACAGTCGAACTAAGGCCAGCCTGGGCTCCCCGACCCTCCATTCAACGTCCCTTTCGCATTCTTGACACGGCTAGTCCTGTCGGCTTGCAGTAGTCCCCTGCACGGCCTACTCCAATCACTCCCCAGCTCTGCCGGCGGTGCACCCCCTAAATCTAATACGCTCCGGTGGGGTTTTGGCCATACACCCCGACGCTGTGGTGAAAGGAAACGAAAAAATATCGAGTTAGTGTGGTGTCATGTTTGAATGGATGAGTTGGAGGCTTACACATTGAAATAGGCGTGCGTGTTCGGGTCGCGGAGACCCTTCCGCATCTGGGCCAAGAAGACCTGCACTTCGACATAGCTCCACTAGATTGAGAGAGGTTGAATCGGAATGTCAGCCTGTGCCCGATTGGCTGCAGCTGGAACGGATGGTGCGATTGCATGGTGCCAACACAAATGCAAGGCATCGGGCTCTCCCACACATCTCCCATGAAAGGACGGGCAAAGGTAACCAAGGACATGGTCATCGGATCAGCATAGACGGTAAGTGAAAAGTAGACTTACTCCCATCACTCTAGTCAGCAACGCCATGGCCCACCCCTCAATACCCTGCTCGCAATGGATCAGGTTCCACATCCCCAATTTCTTCAGCCTTTTGTCTCGGCTCCACTGTCCAATGGGGAGCTTAAATCGCTGTTCGGTCACGTTCTGAAAGCCAGCCTCCTGCATGTAACCTTTGGCGAGATCAGCGATGCGAAAGGTTTTGCCAAATTTCTCACCCGCCTCGATAAAGGTTTTCGACCAAATCGCCAGGATATGGTCTTCGGTCACCGTGCCATCATCCGATTGGAATTGAATAGACATCTCGAGTTGGTCGAACCAGCCTCCAGGCCGTAGATGCCTAAGAAGCACTCAGGATTGTACCAACGACGCTCGTGAAAACATAGGAGACCTTACCGCAGAACCTTACGATAAAACGCGATCCAGTCATCGACAGCCCCGTATAGCGCACGCACGTGAATGAGGTCGAAATGATTCTCCGGAAAGGCCCATTCATCTGTGGCATCGTCGATCTCAAACGTTAAATTGGGGGGTAGAAAACCAGGTTGGATGGGCGATAAGTCCGTGCCGATGACCTGAGCAGAGGGATACTCGTCCGCAAAGTCCCTGGCATAGCCAGTCAGGTATTCGCCATGCTCGTCCAATTTCAGACCGATCTCTTGCACTTACATGGCCCAAATCCCGGTGCCGGTGCCAACATCCAGCGCCCTCTGCCAGTCAAAGTTAGCACCCCTCTGTGATGGTGCTAGTGGAAGTGATTTCCAAGATCACCCACCTGGATGTTATCCTCTATGGGTGCCAAAAGCAGCTTGCCGTCGAGAAGCAGTGTAAACACGTGGTGGCTAGATGGAGAGTCAGTAGGTCCCAAAAACTCTCCATCTCGGGTAGCTTACGCAACGTCCATTTGCTCATTCTGCTTCTCGTCGTTGGGGCCCCTGAGAAGCGATTAGAGCCGTTCTAAAGACGACGTTACCCCGAAAGGTTAAAATACCAGTAGGCCCCTTCCTTGTAGGAGTGGTAGCGCCGTCCATTCTCAAAGCGGTAGGAGGTGATCTCAGAGTTTATGGAGGTTGTATCGCTGGCACTGGTTGTTGGAAGGGTATAGTTAGTGCCTTGTGCCTCATCTCTGGCGAGACTCGCGACATTGACTTACAAGTCCTCTGCATAATCCGAAAATTCGTCGTCGCGCTCTGCCCCGTCCTGAGATGAACTCAAGTCAGTTGAGGAAAGTTGGATTTTTGGCCGACAAAGGGCCTGCGGGGGAGAGTAGAAATCGCATACCGAGTCCGAATGATCACCTTCATGCTCTATTGCCAAAGGGGCGGCGACCTGGGACACATCTTGCGGATTGGAATGTGAAGACTCGGTGGCCGGTGGGGGATCACTAGTGGCGGCCGCATTCAAGCCGGTTGGGGAAGAAGGCGACGGCGACGATTCTGCCATGGTTGCGGGCTTGGGTGTTCGAGGCGTCGTGAGGGATCGAGTGGTGCGAGGTCTTGCGAGATATATCTTCTCTTCCCCTGCCGTGGTTTCTTTTGTGGTGTCTACATGCCTGGCTATACTTACGGCAACCAAATCCGCCTCCCGTGTCTCGTGAGTGGAACCAACCAAAGTGAGGATGCCGATTCGATGCTCGCTTCGGTGTGCTGGTCGCGCCCGCCCGGTGTCTCCGTGCTACGTTGGATAGCAAATCCTCCCAACCAACCCTGGTCGCCCTGGATAAGTCGATCGGTCTTGTTCAAAGTACGATGTACGTCAGTATCTCTCCAGAGTCCGCTCATGTCACCCCTGCCAGCAAAACCAAGTCAGTACTTTTCGGCCACTCGGTCGAGAGCCACCCAGAGCCACCCGCGGTTAGTGCCTTTTTGGTGGGGGGGGGGGGAATCTGACAGGTCTCCTCCATCCAGGCGTGGTTCGGAACCCTCTTCCATAGAATGGATCGTGTAGATATGGTCTACGGCTAGAAATTCAACATGTATTCAAAAGACTTCAATCTGAAGAGAAAGGGAAAATGACAAGTATCCACATTAGACAAGGACCCGAATCCCTACTTAGGTACAGAGTAGCTAGCTACTGGCACTATGATATATATACCATACTTAGTAGTACCGTGACATGATAGCAGTGGATTATTGCCACATTTGTAGAAAAGGTCAAACAGTGTTGAAGCTAAAAGGCCTCTAGCTCAAGCATGATGGTAGCCCATGTTGATCATTATAGCATGGTCTCCCACTCTCTTGCACATCAAAATACTAGACAAGTAGTATCTATGTACCTAGTCAACCGCGGAACGCTGGCAGTAATTAGCTAGAAATCCTGCTCATGTGTGCTTTTCGCGAAGGTGTTTCCTTTCCCCCCCCCCCTTAAAAAAAGGTTTGAAGGTTTGGGATGAATGTCGTAAAGAAAGCAGACGGACTTTTCCAAAAACCCAGGTGCAGGAAGACATGGTTTTCGCCTCTTGATTAACTAGTATCCCCTAGCTTACGGAGTACCGAATGCCTCTTTTCGAGGACCTCAGACGTTTTGGATTGGTCTGGAAACGGCATTTCCATCCAACATTTGGCCAGCTGTGAAACAAACGCAATCCGCCAAAGAGATGCCCCCGGACCTCATAGTAATGATGATGAGCGGCTAGAATGAGCAGCTGTTTAGTGCCGTCTTATTATTAATAGGACCCAGCAAAAAAAGAACGACACTTTCGGGTCTGCCCGAGAACCCAGCGATGTCAACCCCTCCCCGCTTCTCCAAAACACAGCGCCACAGACACAGTCAGTGTATGGCATTCAGACACAGGGGGGCTAGGACCTTCTTCTTTGTAAGTGAGCTATATTCAAGGGGCCACGTCACTATAGCGCCCGGTAAGCTGACCAGGACCAGGATGGGAGAGCAGGTACCACCACCGTCGCCGAGCCACCCGCGCTCCGAATCCCAGCCATCGCTGCCTGAGGCACTCAGCCCTGTCAGGCGACGGATGGAGCAGCCGAAGCAGACAGAAGCAGACGCAGACGCAAACACCGCCAGCAACTGAGCAAACATCGCCGGAACGCAGCCACCCCGGTTTAGATACGTCCCCTCGTCAGCCTTATCCCAGTGTCGCTATTGAATGATGCCAAGGGGACCTCTCTTGGCGCCTGTGGACCCCGCCAGTGTCCCCCCAGCCGTGAACACTGAATATGCGGCCATCCGGATTCCAGCCCCAGCGCCAATGTCGCCATGCTGTCTGAGGCGCAGCGCTTGTGACATGCAGTCACCGAGCTAGATAGATACCAAGACTGCTGCCTGGTACGATATTCAATCGAGCGGTTCAAGTCGAGGCGCGCCCCCCCCCGAAATGACAGGATTGAGACCCTGCCAGGGTCCACCGCTGAAGTGGCTGCCAAGGGACGCCATCAGAACGCGCGGAGTGGGGGAAGCTGCCCACCCCCTCTTCCCCAAAAGCCACCTTGAAACAATAATCGATGGATGCGACAGGGTCATCAGCCACAATAGTGGGCTCACGGCGGTTACCTGGGGCGAAAGAGGGGATCCCTCGATATGAGCGGTCAAATCATCGATCGTTCCGGCTCACCGTTTGCTGTGTTGCATTCCCTGATGTAGGGCCCCCACGACTATTCCCCTCAGACATTGTCAATCACTGCGTCAGACCCTGGCAAATGACCTAAGGCCAAGTGTAGGGCTTCAGATTGTTCAGGTTCTGGGAAAGGGGGGGGGTGAGGAGAGGCCCAGCGAAAGCACGGCGGGTATAAAGACTGCTCCCCCTTCCTGCCCTCCATTGTGTCTTCCATCCTTCTCATCAATCCATCAGAAGCCAACTCAGAGCACATTACAACCCGATCCTCTTCATACCCAAACCAAATCTACCACCCAGCCTCTCCAAAATGAGCTTCTTCCGTACTGCAAACGACATCCGTGTCGACGACGGCCACATCCTCGTCGCGAACGTGCAGCGAGAAAACGGTGAATTTGACGAATCCACGTTCGACCTCAACGAATGTCTGGGAAACAACGAAGGTTCGTCAGCCTGGTCCGTATGACGGATTGATTGGTATGGTGGGCTAATGCCGTGTCATAGGTCGGTTCCAATGGGGTGGAAGCAACTTCTCTGAGAGCGCCCAGGATATCCAGTTCCACATCGAGGGAGGAGATAATGTCCCCGTCCTGAGGGCCCGTCTTGCAAACTCTGAAGATCAGTTCAGTGATGCCGATGTCAACCTGGCTGAACACATCACCAACAACAACGGTGTCTTGGAGTACCAGGAGGAGAGCTTGCTATGAGTGCCCGTATGTATGCTTGGCAATATGACGATGTCGTCTAGAGGTGGCCATCTTTGATTCATGGCGGTACCTACTTGTGTGGATGGTTTGGGATGCCGAAGAATTTGGATGCGGGTATCGTTGAACAATGTCAAGATCATATTGATTTCCTTTGGGCATTCTGAGTCGCCGTGCTCCTCGATAAGCATTATCAATAAGAAGGAGCATTCAACCTCGCCAATTACAAAGGCTCTTGGTTTTTTCTAAACTGTAGGGTCTAGTGAACTTTCTCCCGGGAATACAGCGTAGTAGAATTGACATGAAAAAGGGAACACTTGGTAGTAGTTAGAGTAATAGATAGGAGGAAATCTCCCCCATACCAGCCTGTTCGCCCGTTTACAACGCTCAAACACCATTCCGCACACACCCCAGTCTACCCCGTGCGTATCCGAGAAACAAAAAAGAGAATGAACAAAAGCAGATGATAACCCACCAAGGAAAGCAATAACTGTCGGGGAATAAAGTACATAAAGTCGTAAAGGAGAAAGATGAGTAAATGTTAACAAACTACCATGCGTGACTCCCATCGTTGACATCCGGATCATTTCCATTCCAATCTTCATCCCCACTTAGCTCGTCGTCAAGAAAATCTTCTTCGTTGAACTGATTCTCGGTCGGGCGTTGGTTGTCAATTCGGACCATGACGACATCACACATTCCTTGTATAGCACCCGAAGACGAATCACTGCCCTCATTGAGTCTTCGCGCTAATACATGAGCAGCTTCATCCTCGTCTGCTTCAGAAAACTTTCTCTGGGCAATGCGCACACTCTTCCGTTTAGATGGCGTTGAGAACCCAGTGTCAGAATGGGTAAGCGACTCGTCTGGAAGTGCACTTTGGATGGAATGCGATGGATCTTTTTGCTGTGGGGTACGTGGAATAGAGCGTAACTTCGGGTCGGGGGGGGCGCTTCGTCGTAAAAAGGTATTTTCCAGCTTTCCAATCCACTTCTCTCGAAATGTAGCACGATCACGCCACCCGATTTTCAAAATTGCACTGATGACGAGTCGTCGCAGGCTCTGTAATTCAGGGGCCGCGTCAATAAGAGACCTAAAGAAGACTTCTGCGGTTGTGTCATCCCATTTTCGCAATTGAATCAACTCAATTTCTTGTAGGGTGGATGGCCAAGTCGGAATTTCTAACGGATCAAGAAGCTCCTGGAAGTGAGGCTCGACGTCATGATAACTAGTCCAGTCGTGCATCGATATGTCCATCTTGAATATCTCAAGGTTTTTGCATGACTGCGCCAGATTGACAATGAAAGACAAACTCAGATGGCGGTTATGACTCAAATCCAATCGCCGAAGATTCTGGCCGTGTGAAGAAAGGAATGAGCCAAGGTTCACTGCTGTCACCTCGTCGCAGTCCTTGAGAGTGAGAGATGTGAGCGTCAAGGGAAGATTGGAAAAAAGGTACTCGTTCACGATCGAGCATTCCACAAATTCTAAACAGCACAGATCTGGCAGCTCCCGAAGAGCTGTCGCAAGTACTACTTCTCTTTCGTCGGAAGCCTCCGCCAGATAATCATCGTCAGCATCTTCTGATGTGATATGCAACAATCGGAGCTCTCGAAGCCCGTGGAATGCAGGCTGGAGATGTTTTTCTAGCATGAGAGGAAGCAGCTTTTTGGTCTCCATGAAACGACTGTTCCATTCCCAACAGCAAAGGCGGATTGAGCTCGAAGCCATCGAAGAGAAAATGAGATCGGGATAAATGAATTTCGAGCGCAGTCGACGGCCCACGACGTAGTCATCTTTGTGGTAGAGACGCAATGCTTTCACTTGAGGGGTCCGTTCAAGCAGCCTTGGTAATTCAAAATAGCCCAGGGTTGGTCCACTTTTGTAGAGTAAGAGATGCTCCACGTCAACATTTAGCTCTTTGATTTTGTTCATATAGCCAGTGGAGAGAGATTCCTGCGGCTTGGCCAGTAAATGTAGCAATCCATGTGTCTTGGCAGATGGTATTAGGGGGGGACAACGATAGAGTGCCGCCAATGCAGGCTCGTGAAAAGCACGACATAGCAAAGCAACATTAACAAGCCACTGTACAGAGCTATGTCTAGCCCCGGTCTGTTCGTCAACAAGAGGGCTTGAAGCGCGAACAAAAATGTCGAAGAGAATGTGGTATGGAAGGGTTTGCCATGGCGGGATAACACCGGAGCCAACAAATGGGGTATTATCCTCCTCAATCTTTCTACGTTTGTTCAACGGCCTCCCCAGCTCTATGCGTCTTCCACCTGTGCGCCTTTCTGATTTCTTTGTTTGCGATCTCGTTTTCACGGTTCGATTGCGCGGAGCTCGTGGTGGTGCGGTGCGTGTATTGGTTTCCGGAAGCGAATGAGCCAGATGAGACGAGGCTTCGCTGGGGGCTACAGCGTCGGGCTCATCGTTGAGCGTCACCTCCAAGTCATCATCAGTCGATTCCTCCCGGTATGATGGGGGCATGCGACCGGTTGTTCGGGGGCGCAACGAAAGCGACAGGCGCCTAGATCGCTCCTGATCAGACTCGGTGTCCTCGTCAAGCCGATCTTCCGAGCTGCTATTTTCGTGATAGGACTGAACCTGCGTGCGACTAGAACGGACGGGTCTCGACAGTTTCGACGATCGTGGACGGGGAGGGCGTAAGGAGGGGGCCATTGCAGTAGAAATTGTTGCCGTCAGAGCTTGCAGAAGGCTACAGCGAGAGGTCGATGGCACATGAGCGGCTAGACTCGGTGTGCTGGGAGGCGGACGAATGGTCTGGAGCTAGACGGCATTTCATCTAGACGGAGGAGAAGGACGGAGGGGGAAGAGCGACCGTAAGCACAGAGCTGAGTTGCAGATGAAAGAAGAGGGAGGCGAGAATTTCGGGACGTGGGGGGTAGGAGGAAGGAGGAAGGAGGTAGTCGGAGGTAGTACTAGGATGGATGATGTCGACCCGTCGTCCTTCGAGGCTTCCTTGGGAGGGAGAAGGTTTATCGATAAGGACGACGGAAAGGCAGTGGGCAGCAGTAATAATAACGAACTGGGAACTAGTCGTAGGTAGTACCTCTGTAGTCTGTACTAAACCACTAATCCGCTCACCTAACCCTTTCCCGTTAGTTAACTAACTAACTAGTGTTACCGGCATGACTAATTGAGGGGGGGCTCGACGATCGCCTGATCTCTCTGGCCTGATTGCCCAGGCTCGCGCTCTTGTCGGGTGGGCCTAACCACAATGGGACTGGGGGCGCATGTGATAGGAGGGAACTGTGACTGAAAGTGTGACAGGCCCAGGCATCAACTCCCCCGCCCTGAGGCCTCGACGCTAAACCGGGACAGGCATCGAGGGGAGGCCCGAAATAGAAACAGTCAGCTCCTCCCAATCTATCACCGGCCTTCTTTAAAGCGCCGCCGTCTTCCAGCCACCCTCTCCTCTTTTCTCCCCCTTCCCATTTGGCGCCTGCGAGAATGGTCTGTCGCCCGAACCATCGCAGTCGCAATCATGGATTGATTCTTCCAATCCTCAGGGTGCGTCTTCTTTGATAGTTTCTACTCTATGTTTTATGTACCCACGCCCTACAGCCCCTCGAAATACGAAACAAGTCCGACCCCCATAGCCATTCATGCGCAACCTTGGGCTGGTCCCTAATTTACCCGTGCTGTTCGCAATCTGATAGGGTCCTCTACGTCGCCGCGCGCTGGAATTGGATCTGCCCTATCTTGATCCATATGATACTCCACCTTCCCATCTTGCACATCTCGCTTCTCTGTTGCTATATACCCAGAACCAGTGGTCTTGATAATTAGAGTGTTGTTTGTTGCCCGTTGTTTCTTGCTCAAGATGGAAACTCCCTTCCCCAACGTGATGAACCAGCCTGTCCCACCGGACCGGACTGAATTGGGGCCTCCTCCGCCCATGGTCATCCAACAGTACGCAAGGTATCCTCCGGCCGTGGAGCCTGGTTTACATAGCGCTTCTTCCATAGGCAGTGCTCGCAGTCGGATAGCTACCTCCAAGTCCCCCCCTCTCCATCGCAAAGCTACTCCGCGCAGTCTACAGGCATCGCCAACCGGCCCACGGCCGGTCGTGCCTCCTGCTCCCGTAGCGCGCCCCGGGCCCTCAATGTCTCCCCCAGTGTACGATCCTCTGCGCCAGCGCCCTCCACGAGAATCAATAGACCAAACAGATACCAGAGCTCTGCCATCTCGTGATCTCACAGATAGCACCATTGATGATGCTTATATCATGTTCATCTTCTACTGCAACCCTAACGTCCCTCTAGCTGTGGACACGTCTGAGCTGCGCAAGACCTTCAGGTGCCCTCCCCGGAGTGACGGCAAGAGCTTTAGTGTCTTTGCGCTGTGGGAGCTCATCAAAAAGCTTGACAGCAAGGAACTGAAGACATGGATTCAGTTGGCGATTGAGCTGGGGGTTGAACCACCTTCTATGGAAAAGAAGCAAAGCACGCAAAAGGTCCAGCAATATGCTGTCCGTCTCAAGGTCTGATTCCCATACCATTCCAGTGATGTCACTGTTCGAATCAAAGATTGACATTATGCTAGCGATGGATGCGAGCAATGCATGTTGATGCCTTCTTTGAATACTGCCTCGGCCATCACCATCCATACTACACTTTACTTCCGCCTCACAACGTGATCAGTGATAGCCGAGATGGAGTGCCACTCGAAGAGGATCTTGCGCTACGGGCGCTGGTCCCCCAGTGGAAGCCAAAACGAGGACGAAGGCGGACCGATGATCCAAATATGGTTGGCGAGCATTCAGCTAAAAGACCACAGCTGGATACCTCGGTGGGCATCCTGCCGGCAGGCCCTTACCCTGGTCAGCCACCCCCGTTCCCATCAAGCGCTATTCCGTTTAGCGCCTTCTCCGAGGAGATAGAGTCTCATGATCCGTGGATGGGCACCGCACCTGCGTATTCGCAAGAAGGGTCTTCTGAGGTCCAGGCTCCACAGCCTGGTCAGGATATGAGGTGGCGGCCCATAGAACAACGGGATGCGTCTCCAGCTGGTATTCCGCACTCCGCGATAATCCCAAGAATTCAGCATCAGTCTGAAATATTCATTCAGCCTGCAGAGCCACGATCAGCCCTTACACCAACTTCGGGTGAAAAGCCACGCCCCAAACGGCGCCATGGGCCCGCAGTGTCATCCGCTTGGCCTAGCAATAATGGAAGCAATGGGAAGACTCGGGGCCGGCCACCAAATAGGGGCATGGTATCGGGTCCCTTTTCTTCTTTCCCAGTGAATCCCAACCGCCCAGATCCATCCCAACTGCATAGTTCGGGTATGAGACCGTCCCCTGCGACCATACTCGAGCAAGACCCTTCCAATCGGTTCAGCCACTCCCAATACCAACAGTCTCCTACACCGTTTCCCTTCGGACCCAGACCAAACAAGCTGCAACTCCAAGTTCCACAACACCCTGGTGCGCCGGTCCGTCTTGCGACCCCTCCCACGCTGATGGTCAATGGCATCAATAACGCTTCGACCTCTTTGAAGGTGGAGGGAAGTCAACGCAATGGCACTTTGGCGCCTTTGAATGACTTTGTCGCCAACGTGGGTGTCACGAATCCATCATCTTATGCCAACCGCACCAGCGTTCCCCACATGGACATCACATTCGACGACGTAGTGCGCGTGTTATCTGGCGAGCTACTTCGCGGGAAATTGACCGGTCGGCCAGCTCCCCTCAGCGCTGAAGAGGCTCGTTCTTTGGCAGTATCCGTCATGTCAAACCTGACGACAACATATGCCAAGCTACCGGCCGGGCTAGCGGCTCTTATGTCAGCCTTTCATCTTGGCCTTGGACAGCAGTTTGGCTATCCTGGTGTCACAGACAGTTTGATGACTGTGAGTGTTGATGCTGTCCCTGCCGTTACCTCGGACATGCCAAGTGTTGATGCAAGCGCCAACTTTGTCTACACTATCTCCCATGAGTACAAACACGGACGTCGGTTCTCGACCAAGGTCACATATGGAGACCTTAGCGTCAGCAAGACGGACAGTAACAAGCTTGAAATTACACCGAGGGCGACCGAGGAGCTAGATACCAGTGTTGCAGAAGTCGACAGTTTGACCGATGCTGAATTCGAGATGGATGGGGCAGAAAGTACCATGTCCGAAACGACATGGAAACAGCGATACCTGAAGCTCCGGTCGCAGATGCAGAGAAAGGAGCGTTCATTGTCTCAATACAAACGGAAGATACTCGAGTCTGTCATGGCAGACATTTAGGAGAATAAGGGGTTCAGGAGCGCGGGATGACTGTTTGTCGAAAGCACATAACTTATGGCGATACCCTATCCTATATGTCTATAGATTTCTGAGTTGCTTTGATATTATTTTGTTGCACTTGCAAGTTTGGCTCTCTGATTGCTGAAGCCAGATGGCGCTTCAGCTGTGAGTTTCGGTTCGGTCTTCCTTACAGATACCCCCTGAGCGAACTTGTTCGACCTGCTTTCACGCATGCTAGGTAGTATAGAATTACTGCATTGATGCCAGTCACTGCAACACTTAATCATGATCTGCATTTTTGCTGCTTAGCTAGCCTACTATTGCATTGTCCCTCCATGCAATCCAATCCCGAGTAAATCCTTAGTCAACCAACCAACCACCCATTCCATTCACACGGCCTCATGTAAAGCACCAATTGCCGCAGAGAGAATAATGGCAAGCTGAAAAAGAATCAGTTCTCATCCTCTTCTTTCATAGCCAGCTTCTCTTCTTCCATTTCATCGCACATCTGATCAAAAGAGCTGGCCCCATCAACCCCTGCTGCATGTTCCTCGGCCTCCTCCTCGTCACCCGACTGCACCTCATTCTTGATCAACGCCATGGACTCGGCTTTCTCCACCAACGTCTCCGCTCTATCGAGGACCATCTTCCTCATTCCCTTGGCCTTTTTCTTCTCCGGAGAGCCATCGTCACTATCGGCGCCTGCGTTGGCCTTTGCGGGGGACTTGCGCTTCCGATTCTTCGTGCCCGAGGGCCCTCCGCCATCGCCGCCTTCGCCATCAGCGGTTCCATTGCCCTTGTTGCTGCTCAGAGGACCACCGGAAGGGTTGATGTTGTGGGCTTTCATGAGACGCTCGTAGCGTTTAGCTCTGGATATTATAGGTAAGTCTTAGTCATGGGTGAATGAAGAATGACCGTGCGGTTGAGGAGAGGGGTGGGGGCGGGGGTGGGGATATCCTGTAGCAAGAGACATACGCTGCAGCTTTGGAGACAATGTTGCATTCCTGGGCGACGGTGGCGAAATCGATCTGGTTAGGTCATGTTAGACGAGGCAGTTGGGATATATGTCGAGTTGGGGAAAGGGGAATGGAATGGCTACTACCTTGCCATTGTTGGCGTAGCGGATGCAGCTCAGCAGAAATTGAAACTGCTCTTCCGGGGTGATGCGTGTGGTCTTTGAAGAGCTCATCTTTGAGGTTCTTTGGTGATAGACGGGGTGGTTGTAAAAGAATAGGTGAGGGGTTATAGGATTGTGCGCTTTTTTTTTTCAGACTGGCTCTGGGAGGGAGTGTGAGTTGTACAGGCTGATGAGTTGGTATAGAGCCGGTGGATGGTGAGAGATAAGAGGAGGGTGAAAGGGAAGGCGAGGGCGAGGAAGAGAGAGAGTCGAGAATTACCACGAGAAGAGCGCGCAGGTCATGCTTCTAGTGGCAGCAGTGAGGTTCTGTTCTGGGTGGTGAATAGGATACCGGTGCAGACAGTGAATTGAATTGTCATTGATGAAGGTGTGGGAGATGGAAGTGAGGGAAGTTGGTCGGGTTGAAAGAGACTGGAAAAGACTGGAGGAAGTGGTCTTGGAAAGCAGTCTTTGCTACTGGTACTACTGTTGGATTCTATAATGTATGATACGATAGGGCGAGAAAAGTGAGGCAGTAGGCTAATGCGCTGGCATTGAGTAAATAAACTGGTGCTTCCTAGCCACAAAGTCCATCCCGGCTAATCCAGCTTCAGAAACTGCCAAAGAGAAGACAATATTCACCCAAAGACAGATATAACAAAATCCATGCCCTTTTCCAGATACAAGAGATAAAATGTTAGGTTCACGCGAGGCCTAGATGGAGTTCTCCAATGCGATGATATTTGTCGTTGACGGTACATTGAAGAGATATCAACTGAAAAGAGAGAAGTAAGACGTATGAAGCAAAGAGGGTCTGGCCCAAGTTAGCGTACTCATCGAATCAACTTAGATGGAGACTTACGGTTTAGAACAGAGTTCCTGTTCCATTCCGTAGCGGGAGCACTCTAGGCATGTTACTCCATGAGGGCGTCAGTAGCTTCCTTCTTAATTGCCGAATTCTCTACCTCCATATCGAGATCCTCTGCCTTCATGACAATATCGTCATTCATGGTAACGGGATCCGAAGCGGCTTGAGCAGTAAGTTTAGCACCACGCTTACGGCCCTTGGTTTCAGTCTTAGGGGCATCAGTAGCAGGGATAGGCTTAGACGAGACTTTTGCTCCCTTGCGACCACCAGCTTTCTTGGTAGCCTTGGCCTTGACAGGAGTAGGCACCTCGGATTCAAACTCCTCGTCCTGAGCGGCGTCACTAGCCTTAATAACATTCGCCTTGGCTTTCTCGGCCGCATTAGTGGCATTTGCCTGGGCGTCCTCGGCGGCTGTGGTCTTGGTGATTCCGGATCCAGCCTTGCTCTCGAAGTGCATGATTCCATGGCGCTTACGAACGGCACGGAAGCGATTTCCAACAGAAGCGATATTGGTGTAGCCCAGACTGTTGGCCACTTTGCTGAGGTCAACCTGAAGCAGTATCAGTATTAGTATCGGAAGATATGGTATCACTGTTCAAATTGTCTACTTGCCAGCTTGTCGTCACCCATGCTCTGGACACAGGCCATAATGAAATCCGAATCAGTATTGTGGCCTTCGAGCTTCGCCTTCGATTTGACGGGCGACTTGGCCGGATCGGACATGCTCAGGGCTGAAGAATCAGTTCGCTGTTTACTTGAAGGAACAAAGTGAAAGTAATAGACGGCTGAAGGGATCCTTCGTGGAGAACAAATGAGGGTTGGATGTATGTAACTGTCAAAGAACACAGCAGACAGGTGAGGATGGTACAGATAATGAGGAAATAAGGCGTGTGAGGGGTCAACACAGAGAAGGCTTCACAGGGGTGACGCGTTTAGATGCGACTAGATATGAGCATGTCATGAAGATAATCTGCTCACGTACTAGGCTGAGAATAGGTTGGCATTAACTGTAAACCTTGTAGCAGTTGTTATGTTGCAAAAGGTAGTTATGTGGGGATTCTTGAAGATAATAAGACGGTGGAGAGTAGAGGCAATAAATGCAAATGACTGCTCCAGGATACAAATGAAGAGAAGGAGAAGTAAACAAATTCATAACCTTTTCCGCTTACTCCACGATTCCCGCGGCACGGCCCTTGTTTCTGCGACGACATGGTGCAAACAACTTAGATTCTAAAGCGCAAAAGAACAATTGGGAACCACCACCATCATCCCCCCTGATAGCATGTACGGTACCACCCTCAATACCTCTGGCGAGTCAATTCGGCTCCTGCGGTGGCTCCACTTTAACTGCCCTTTCGAAAATGCCATCTCCCTCCAAGGGCTCAGACTTGATGGGCGCCCAACTGTGGACGAATGGCGGGTATCCAGGACCATCGGAACGCTCAGCTGAAAAGCACGGTGCCGACGCGAACATGGTCGTCTCCGGGGAGATTGCCATTGGCCTGTATGGCACCATTTGTGGCTGAACCGCTGAGGTTGCCATGGTCTGGGGTGAAGCGAGAGGGATATCCGCCAGGTTTTGGACCCTAGGGCCGTACGGATCGGACTTCATGTATGGGTGGCTCGACTCATACACAGGGAAATGAGACTCTTGCTTCATGACCGCTGGAGGTGAAGACATAGGCTCATTCATCAATTCGGCTTTGCCGGGTCCTGCCTTGGGTGCTTTATTGGCGGGTTTCTTGGGACGAGGCGCTCGGGGTTTGGACGTAAGACCCTCCATCTGCTGTCTGAACCGCGAATATCGCATCCGAGCAGCGTGTCCATTGGAGATTTCGAGCTGAGATGCCACCAGACTCCAGTCAATCTGCCACCGAATTAGTCATCGTTGCCCGCCTGCGATGCCCATATCGACTAACCGATTTCAGGTCCAGTTGCTTGATGATGGTGTAGAGGAACTTGGCCGTTGGCCCATCGGTGGGCATGGCCTTGCTGCGTCTAGCGGACATAGTTGGGGCTTTGAAGATATATGTTAAGCTGGGTTGGAACAAGCTAGGAGCTCAACTAGAGGTGTTTCCTTATGCTCGGAGTGTGATGAGATTTTGGGAACTTTAGGATTGATGGAGGAACATGCACTTTGATGCACAGTTGATGGTATTTATAGCCAGACATTCTGAGCAGAGCATCAATTCTTGTGGCCATCAACCACAAAGCCATCTTTGTTCGTAAACACTCAACTCTTGACTATCCCACCCCGAAAAGGCTCATGTTTGCTTTACAGTATGGTCTGCTACTGATGGAGACATGCGGTGGAATCCAGTGGATACAGGATGTCCCAGCTTTTCCGCATGCTCAAAGGCCCAATACAAGGAGAGTCTTTAAGACAGCCCTTTGAGATCAGAACATAGTTATGTTTGGGACAGAACCAGAAGCTTGAAAAATCATTAAACGCTGTACGATCTCCGTCCAAATTCATCTTGGTTGCTAGGCAGACAGTCTGCTATCTCGTGTCAAAGTGAAGCCCTGATTTGTGTTTTTCTTGGGATGAGACATTGGACCTATGGGCAGCACGCACATTTCTTGTCTAGATTTCAAAAATGATTGCCCACCAAGATTTGGACGGCAAAAGTACGGGTTATGGTAAGTTTCCTCTCCAAAAGCCGCAGTCGGCCTCCTGCATCGACGATCATCTGACATCTACAACTACCACTATTTCTATACAGACCAAATGCAAAGCTTTTTCTTCGGAGAAAAAAATACTACAAACTCTTCCATAGGCAGACCTCAGTAATTCCAGCACATCACCTTGGAAGTTTGTCGAAGGTTTGCAATTTTTCGTAATTCTATCCGAATCCCAGAATACTCGTCTTCCTCCGGATCGGCCATTTTCGTCCCGGCCGGATCCACGAACAATGCAAGCCGGCTTGACATATCAACTGCTATGTACAGTACCTTAGTTTCAGCTTCGATCCCCGATGCACGCATGGTATTATTTCCAGTAATATACCGTCTGTCAAAACCATCGGGGTATTTAGATGCGGGGCACTATGCATGGGATATATCAGATACAATACTTGCTCAACTTTCGCACATTAACTGCCAACCCGAGTGTAAAATCCGGCGATGCAGCAGGAGCAACGCGCTTTTCTTTTTTTCTCAGCCACTCGTGTAGATGGGGTTTCTGCATAGCAACCTATTGCAAATCTGATGCTTCTTTTTCCCGGACATATACCAGTACGCTCTCTTCACGCGTTTCCTGGCAACCGTCGGTCCCCGCTCCCTAACATAAAATGATGCTAAAATCTGCCTCAATTCACTTCTATTAAGTTCCATACTCAACTATCCTTTCATTCTACTCATTACTTCTTTTCTTCTCATCCCACTCCTTCATCGCCATGGCTAGAAACCATCGCGCCCGTGAGACCAAAACTCCTCGATCGCAATCACAAAAGCCAGCGGCCAAAGCGAGGCGTCCTCGTTTCGACTGGAATTTATTGGAAGACTGTGTCATGCTTCACAGTATTGTCAAGAGACTGTGTTCTGGTGACAGCCCCTCATTGAATACCTTCAGAGAATTGGAGGATGATCTTGGGAAGGATTTTTACTCCTTCGAAACTTTGAGGTATGATCGATATCTGAGTATCCACTGCTCAATGCTGTCGCTGATATGGTACCTCCGGGTGGCAAATAGGAGACGCTGGTTTCGTGTCGAAGACAGATGCGAGTCGGTGCTTCAGGACCGCCAAAACTGGCCTCCGAGACGACGTTGGGATTCCGACGAAAGAGGGAGCCTTGAGTGGGACAACGATATCGAGGATAAAGAGGATTATCCTACGCCGGAATCCTCCTCGACATACAGAGGGGATTATTCTCCGGCAACTGATAACTCCCCGACCCCAATCCGGGGCCGCTTCTCTGACCAACGTGGTCGGAATGACCGGGATAGGTCCGCCTCTCCCTCCCGAGCCCATCCAAGGCATGGCCGACAACAGGCCTCCGCTCCAACCCGTTCTCTCCCAGGACGTTCGGTCTCTCGACGGGCACCTGTTACAAGGGCTCCTGCCCCGGACCGACGACAAGCTCATACGGTCAGCAGGACGGCCACCGCTTCCCGGGGCCCTGCCCGGCAGCCAACGTCTGGGGCTAATCAAAGCCCTATGGTTCTGCGAGACTGCAGACAGCGACGACGGGTTAGACAGTACGAAGAGTCCCTGTCCCCTGTTGAAGCTGGACTATCCCGAAGATGATTTCTTCTGTTCACTGGCCGTTTGTTTACTCTTTCATGCCAAATCTTTCCCCTAGGAGGCTGCGGATCTATTTTCCTTGAGGATTGTTCTTTTGATTTTGTTTGTCTTTGGAATACTGCTACTTCGGTTTTTTCTTTTCGGTCTATAGCTTTTTTCGTTCTATAGCTTTCTCGGTATATAGCTTTTTTCGTTATGTTGTTTTCTAGGTCTATAGCCTTTCTCGGTTTATAGATCTTTTGTGCTCTAGAATGGTCTATGGAATAGTAAAGGACTCTCCAACATTAGTAGATCATCTGCGTGCAGTATAGTATCTTCACTTTCGAGATCCCCGCGTAGTAAACATTTATGTCGCACAACCTCTACAGTAAATTGTGATAAATGTTTATGCCATAGCTCTTCACCAGCTCAATCTTTACAGGTTGACATGGTACTTCACTTATAGTTCTCCTTGAAGCAGTGTAGTGAACTGAAAAGCATGCACCTGTTAAGTAACATTTATAGTGCTTCAGGTACGGATTAGAGAAGCCTTGAAACCGACTCAATAATGCAAATACTTTCCAATCTCAGACATCATGAATTGGCTGTCAGCGACTTGCTATAGATACAGATAGCAACCTTTATCCAGGTCTTGGCTATATCTGGTGTGAAGGCTATCTACTCCTGGAATTAGACGGTTTGGAGATAGACTGATAGTAGTCGAAAGGTCTGTGATATTTCCTTAAAAGTCTTTGGTGATTTAACTAAGAGTGAAAACAGTATTATGATCAGTTACAAGAATTTGCAACTTCCTGTAAGAGGTAACAATGAATTTCAAAATATACCAATACTGTATCTAGTAACTAACGATAACTAATGATGTCAGTGGTGGGTCTGACTAATCTCAACCCAACATTGCCCCTCTCAGCATGCTGATCTTGGCTGCACCAACTACAGCTTTTACATTTTTGGAGAAAAGGCTACGGCTTGGTGCCCAAGATGTCATTGGTAGCTATAGGTGCATGTTATGTGGATACAATCCTCACGTTGGTTGATGCTCTTCGACGACAGTCTAGTTCAGAGTCTCATTCTTCATATCAGAACCCCTTACTATCCCGGAGAAGATGAAAAGCTACGTGCTTCCAGTATCTCTCGTCGACGAGGAGGAAATTGTCCGAACACGCTCGAGGTCCTCCAGCAATTGATAGCACACAACCTGTCCGCTGAAAATATCTCCTTGGATCTCATTGCTGTTCTGCCCGCGAAGCTATCTATTGCCTCTCAGCAGATCCAGTCAGCATTCGAACCGCATGTTCGACTAGCTCATTGCATCTATCGAGAGAATGTCACAGAACCGGCCTCTAGTTACATCATCAAAAGCCAGTCTTCTGGGAGCAGGACCATTGTCAATTACAATGCTCTGCCTGAGATGACGGAGAAGGAGTTTATAAATATCGCAGATCGTCTAGGCCCCAGGGCCTCCTGGTTCCACTTTGAGGTTTGTTTTTATTACCTCCGATCATGTTGCTACTGATTGCTGTGACTGATAACTTTCCTCCCCAGGGCCGAACACCTGGCGTGACTTTATCATGCATACTCTACCTCCGTCAGAAATACCAGTCCGTGAAAATCAGTGTTGAAGTGGAGAAGCCCGGAAGACCAGGTTTACAGGAACTTGCAGAAGAAGCTGACGTTGTATTCTACTCGAAGAGCTGGGCTGAAGTATGTTGTCATCTCAGCCACGTTGTCTGCCTCTATAGCTCTCGCTGATATCCACAGGGAAATGGATACCATACACCCGAAGAATGCATCCTGCAACAATCGGCGGTAGCACGGAAAGCGTATGTTTTCTGAAATTTTGCTTCGTGGAAACTTGATCATAGCTGATGGGCTCTACTAGGTCACTGCTCTGCTGTACCTGGGGCCAGGATGGCGCTGTAGCTCGTGACACCAAGTCTCAAGTAACGATTTATAGTCCGGCATATTCAGCAGAAGGCTTTCAAGTCGTCGAGTAAGTCACAATTTTGGCCCTTCTCTTTTTCTTTTAGTCTCCACCCCCATCAGAAGTCTAACATGAAAGTAGCACCATCGGTGCAGGTGACACATTCATAGCTGGTATACTGTATGCATTGCTCTGTCGAGGTGATGAATGGAACCTTTCACAGAAGCTAGGCTTTGCGAACCGGCTTGCAGGAATGAAAGTTTCGCAAGAGGGATTTGCAGGCCTTGCGAGAGCCTTGGAATCTTTCCAGTCGGAGTAAACTAGAAACATTTTTGGGTTATTAAGTTTACGAGATAGAGTCATGGGTAAAAATCGATGGAAGCGCAATAAATAGATTGTTTCTCGGAGGGTTCTAAATCGAGATCTTGCACTATATTATCCATGGTATTCACCACTCTTTCTGATGCATCATGAACCATCGTAATTATGAAGACTTTATTTAATCGGAGTGTTTTTTACGGCCTACGGAGTACTACCTAATATAGTCTAGTGCAGCCCATACCGTCACGATCACGTGTTATTTGGTTAGGGAAGGCGGTCGCAACCAAAAATTATTCTGCCCGCAGCTTTTTCTAAATTTGCGGGCGATCAACAGCACCGGAAACTTCAAGTTGACGCAACCCCAATTCACCATGGCATCTGTTTACAAGACTGTTTCGAAGAAGGCAGCTCGCCAGCTCGCCAAAGAGCACGAGCTTGAGGAGGAGGATGTGGAGATGGAAGAGCTCCTCGCCGATGCCGACGATACGACCGACAGCGAAGATGATGAAGAAACTACGACCGAATCGGCCAAGAAGCAGCTCGCTGCAGGCTTTATGCCCAAGACTCGTGTACTCATGCTTACCTCTAGAGGAGTCACGTCCCGGTATGTTTGGCTTTGCGCTGCCAAGAATACGGGAAGCAATCACAATACTGATGTTTTTTTTTGTCAGCCATCGGCACCTTCTAGCAGACCTTGCGTCTTTGCTCCCCCATAGCCACAAGGAAACCAAGCTTGATACGAAGAAGAAGACAACCGGATACAACCTCCTCCTGAACTCTCTTGCTGACCTCCACTCTTGCAATGTCATCTTCTTCCTTGAGGCCCGTAAGCAAGGTCAAGACTTGTACCTCTGGCTGGCTCGCCCTCCCAACGGACCGACGATCAAGTTCCACGTCGCCAACTTGCACACAATGGCTGAATTGAATGCTGGATTTAGCGGTAACTGCTTGAAGGGCGGCCGTGGTATCGTGGTTTTCGATCAATCTTTCGACGAACAAGGCCCGCTCATGAGCCAACCTGGCAACGAATACCGGGGTTTGATCAGGGAAATGCTCCGCGGTGTCTTCTGCGTTCCCAAGCGGGGTGTCAAGGGCATGAAGCCCTTCATCGACCGTATCATCGGTATTTTCGGGGTGGATGGCAAGATCTGGATCCGAGTTTACGAGATCCGGGAATCCGAGCCCGGAAAGAAGAAGGAGGATGGCGAAGAAACCAAGCCCGTTCCCAAGGGCAAGGATGGTCTGCCAGAGGTCTCTCTCGTCGAGATCGGCCCCCGCTTCGTGTTGACGCCCATTGTCATCTTGGAGGGTAGCTTTGGCGGTCCTGTCATCTACGAGAACAAGGAGTACGTGAGCCCGAACCAGGTCCGTCGCGACGTTCGCCTGGGCAAGGCGGCTCGTTACGCTAGTCGCAGAGATATGGAGACCGACCGGTTCTCGAAGCGGACGACGCTGGGGTTGGCACAAGGCGAGAGGAAGCCGGATGCACTTGACACAAGACAATTGTTCAAGTGATGGGTTTCCGGTTTATTTGTTCTCTGCCGTCTGTTGTTTTACGCCCTTCTAGACTTTGATATCCTTTAAGGGATGTATATGTATTGATGCGAGGGGTACATGCATGGTCCTGCTGGCGTCTGGTGTGAAATAATAAAAGTTTGATGCTACCGTTCACATAACATTTGCTCTGGTGGCGATTCCAGTAATGCGTTCAGGGTCTCACAATGGAGATATCGTAACTGGTATCGGGTAATCAAGCCCCTAGATCGATCATTGAAAAATATCCAGCTTCGGCACTGGTGCGTTCTTCAGTAACAGTAAGGGCGTGCATTGTTAAGGATGCAATAGATTCGAGAGAACAATACCTCTCTACCTCACATTCTACCCAGTACCCTCTCCACACATCATAGCTCTGATTCAGCCAATGGGGCGATGGGCCATCCTGATGGAATGGAATGGACACCGTCTTGTCAAGTGACTTGGCGGCCGAGCCCGATCTCCTTTCGCCTGCTCCGGATTACCATCCCAGCAACTGCACCCTCCCGGCAGTCATCATGGTTCCCCCTTCGCAATCCAGCCCTGGGTGGCTGATGGGTGTTCATGCATCTTCCTCTACAATGAACCTGACTCCCTTTTGCATCTACCGTGTCTTAGCCATCCCCCAGGGCGGGGCTGCGATCTGAAGCTTTGATCGAGATCGCAAGCCGTTGACTCACTGCGACAGCGAGGCCGCACCTGTGTCTAGCACCAACGCCTGAACCCGAAAACCCCATTCTCATATTACCTTAACCCGAAGCACTTACGATAGGTAAATATTGCTCGATTATACGCCTACCGTTGTCTTAGCTAACGCCCTTGCGCGGCGATTTTAGATTCTAGCCTACATAACCATGCCATTCACTCAATTGGCGACAGAGCTTCTGCTCCACATATTCCGCTCCTGCGAAACAATTTCCGATCTTATGAACCTCACACAAACCTGTCGAAGGCTTCATACTGTTTTTTATCGATCCAATAAGCTGCAGATTCTTATTGATGTTGCGGAGTTCGAGTTCGGTCCGTTAAACGATATCATACAAATCGCGACGCATAATACAACCCAACCAGCCCACCTATTGCGCACTGCGCCTATGTCGGACTCCCTCCTGGGACAAATTGTACAAATTGGACGCGTAGCGAAAGAGTGGGAGATCATATACCCTGTCAAAAAATGGAAGATCGATTACGAGAACCGCCGGTCACTGGATGATGATGAGCGGTTCCGCCTCCGCCGTGCGATCTACCGTCTTTGGCTATACCACCGTGCTTTTCACACGGAGACTTACAGTCGGTTTAGCCGTGCCTTTCCACACATAATCACTGAACGGGCGCAACTTCTACACAACTGGTCTACGACGGAGCTCGCTGAGATAGAGGACGTCCGTTCAGTCATTGGCGATATCGTCCAGAACCATATATGTCCCAGTAATGGGACCATCCAGCGCAAGTTCCGAAAACGATACCCGGAAAGCACCCATCAGCTAGCGTTCAACATTCATCTTAATTATCAGTCGAGCAGCAGTCCTACTAGCACACCCGGTCTTCTTGAAAAGAGCCCCGGCTTAGTCGACCAGTATTTCCACACAGCACACCCCAGTAACTTGACCGAGTCACCGGCTAGTTACAAATCGCGGTTTCGGAATGACTACTTCCATGACCCTGGCTTCGAAGGCTGGGGTGATGAGATTCCGCATTACTACGTTGTGCAAGATATGATGAAGCTTGACCCGGGCCAGGTGCTCTGGTTACGAGAGCGTGCGCCCCTCAAGGAACAAGTGGAAGTTTATATACGCTCCTTCGGCGACTGGTTCCGAGACAACGGAGAAACCTTTAGTGATACCCTGGAGTGGGTGATGAAAGAGCGCGGGGATGATATCGAAGGATTTCGATCTGCCATTGCAGACCGGGAGACCGGTGTGGTGTGGGATTAATGTGATCAGGTTTATGTTGAGGTTCACCTTCTGCGGCATGTAAGTATTGCGGGAGATATATCTCACTGGGCCAGCAACCCCTCCTGTGCAACCCACTTTAGCTCAAAAAATATGCACTGAGCTCTCATACTGTACTTGACTGCTCTAGAGTACTTGGTGCAATTATATATTAGACTAAGAATAGTACTATGCAGTCTATCTACTGTACGGAGTATCGTGAACAGACTTGCCTGGACAGTAGATATCTAGTTAGTAGTGGGGATGGAGGTCGAGAGATGCCATCACATCCCTAGCTCGTAGATGATACTACTAGATACTCCCTTAGTTCTCCCATCGAGTTTAGATTCAAGTACGGATCCATTGTCGCCCACGTGTCCATCCTGGCATCCACAGCTTCAGATCAAAGGTAAAACGGAGCTTAGCTTGAAGTCCTGACATTTGACAACCCTCCTGCCGAGCGTTCCGGACTCCAGCATCCCCGTCACGAAGCACAGCAGCCAGCCATTTTCACCTCCCCTGATCAACCGGCCCTAAACCGGACGGGGAATAAATTCAGCCGCGGCGGCTAACAGTGGGTTGAGGTGGGCCGCGAATATGGAGCCTGAAACAAAGCCGGTCTAGCCTGGGTTGCTTTCGCCTTTCTACAAAGTAATTCTGACACCACCGTTTATCTAACTACTGGGCGAGCCGGGAGACAACGGGATTTTTGACCCCCCACTTCTAACAATACCTGGGTGGTTCGGTATGTTGCAATTTTTCGTTTATTATTTTCCTTAACGGATGGATACGTACTAGATCAACGAAGCACTCGGAATGGCATTAAGCGGAAAACCTCGCTTGACCTTCCCAGCTTCCGGGCTGGAGAAACTACTTTCTCCGTACTCGTACCAGATTACTAGCTGGAATAATGACGCGTATAACGATGGAAAGCCCTTGGGCGTCGTGGGGCTCCCGCCGTGTTTAATGTGGGCCTAAGGTTATTATTAATGCTACTGTAAATGGGCGGCGCACTTCCCCATAGGAGGCCAGAATCCCAGACAATTGCAGTGGGGTTTCATTTTAGTATTATTATTCTTTCGGCGCAATAATATTCAACTGCAACAGTTCACCTACAAACAGAAACAGAAAACCCTTGGCCACTATCTATAGACGCCAGTGATGGGGAAAACCAAGAGAAGCCTGAGCAGCCAACAGGGGTTGTAAGAAGACGCAGCAAAGACGTTAATAAAATCAATTTCATCAGGTTAGAGAGTAGAAAAGGGGGAAGGGGGGGAGGGAGGAGAAGATAGACAAAATGAAAAAAAAAAAGACAAGGGGGAGAGAGAGAGAAGATGAAGGCAAAGCGAATAAGGTGCCGGGGAGAATGTGATGTCCATGTCCAACAAACACCGCCATATAATGTCCATGACCCCATCATGTGCCATTCCTAACAACATCCCTCTTGTGTATCATCTCCAGGAGGCTAAGTAACAGACAAAAAGAGAGTTCAAGACCGTTCAATTATCACATCACAAAAATAAAAAATCGTTGCGGCTGACGTGTCACACATTCCCCGATCTGCTGGCCCTTTCAACAGCATCCCTGCTTGGTCTTCGGGTCCTCTGACTCGTCAATCCTCACCATATCACGGCGATCGCCAAGGACGGTTTGGCCTGCGTCGCCGCCATCCAGAGCCTTGCTGGAGACGATGCGGTAGATTTCTGCGAGTACAAGATGTCAGTATTACAAGTACTCAGCCCTAAACCAACGATGGGCATGCCTGACCTGTGAGGATGTTTTGGAACGCAAGCTCAACGTTGCTGGCGTCGAGTGCGGACGTCTCGATGAAGGAGAGGTTGTTCTCGCCTGATTTTATGTCAGCTGGCTCGAACGAGTGTATTCCATACAGGGGCGTCGGCAAAAGGCCCCCACGTACTTGCAAACTGCTTGGCCTCTTCCGTAGGCACAGCCCGTAGGTGCCTCAAATCGCTCTTGTTACCGACGAGCATTATGACAATGTTGGAATCGGCATGATCGCGGAGTTCCTTCAACCACCGGTTGACGTTGTCGTAGGTCTGGTGCTTGCTAATATCGTAGACGAGGAGAGCACCGACGGCACCGCGGTAGTACGCGGAGGTGATGGCACGGTAACGTTCCTGACCAGCAGTATCCCAAATTTGCGCCTTGATCGTCTTGGAATCGACCTGGATCGAGCGGGTAGCGAACTCAACGCCGATAGTAGACTTGGAGTCCAGGTTGAACTCGTTCCGGGTGAAACGACTCAACAGGTTGGACTTTCCAACACCGGAGTCTCCGATCAGGACAACTGTTTAAAAGAAAAGCCATCGCGGGTTAGTCGGGCACCTGGAGAAACACGACCGGGGCCAGGATCGGGGTGGTCTTGGTGCAGAGGAGGGGGGTTGGCAACTCTACCTTTGAAGAGAAACTACCAGGTAGGCAATTAGTTATACCACGCTTGGCAAAGGGGTGGACACCGGCAGAATAGGTCACTCACATCGTACTCGTCGTTAGCCATGAGGGGTGATTGTGAGAGCTTGCTTGGCGTTTGTTACACGTAATATTTGGAGACCTGGGAGGGTATTTGACGTGGCTGAGCTGGGACGAGGTAGACACTTTAGAGTCAAACAGTGAGTCTCACTTCTTGGAGGGGCGCGGCGTTCGTCAGCCCAGGATCACGCATTTGGAGGGGGGAACCAAAGGACCGGAGAGCGAGCGAAGGTGACTTTAAACCAGCGGATGGGAGGACACTCACAGGGTATGGTTTAGGGAAGGGGGGAGAAGAGGGGGCAGGCACCGGGGAAGGGAGATAGGAGGTTATCCAGACTGACTTTCTCCCCTACCGATCGATTCCCGTCTCTCTCGGTCGCCGTGCTGATCGGGTATAGCGCATGGTCACGTGTGGGGGCAGTTTGTTGCGGCGGCAGGTTCCAGATTCCAGTCCCCATTATTATTGTCCCAATTATTGACCTGTTGCAGGAACTGCACCCAGCAGGGGACATCCGAATCGAAGTCCACTGCTATCTATATATCTGTCTATCTCATCAAGGAGACCCTGTGTGACCTTGCAGGCAAGTTTACAAGTCTGTTCCGCAGTTCAGTCGCGTTGCTTGCCACCAACCAATACTCCTCGGCATTGATTTTTATTTCTGTACAGCCTCCAGTGCTGCGATCTAAGGGAGCAATGCTGTAACTAGTCCAACTGACATCTTTGAGCTTGGCAATCCGTCCGGCTGGCTCTGAAGTGCTCCGCCTTGCATTCCTTGGGCTCCACACATCGGCAGCAACCTTCGTCACCTACTGTGCTAGTAGACTTGCCCTTGGACCCGGCAATGCCTGAGAGCCAAGACGACAATGATGATGACATCTCCATCACCTCGACAGTTGTCAGCACCCAGGTCTCCGAGTACGAGGTGGAGGCCATTCTAGCTCAGCATCGGTTTCCCGATGGGATCAAGTATCTGGTAAAATGGGCCAACTACTCTGAAGCAAGGTGTACCTGGGAGCCTGAGGCCTCCTTTACTACAAATGACACTATTGCTGAGTGGGATCAGAAGCAAACAGAAATTTGCTCAGGAGAGCGTGAAGCTTTTGACGTAGCGAGATGGAACCGGATGCGGTCGAAATCCGAGGAAGATAGGAAGGACAGAAAACGCAGAAGAGAAGCCAAAAGGAAAAAGCTTGGCCTGCCAACAGCACAGATTACTGAGATGGAAATGAGGAGATCACCGGGTCAAAGTCATGGCCCTTCTGGCAAAGTAACTGCAAAAGCAAGGTCTGCTCACATGTCCGGTCCTCAACAACAATCACATCAACAAGCGGCACCAATGAAGAAGCCTGTTGTACCAAAACATCCTCTGGTCCCGTTTGGAAGTGGCCAGAAACTTCCAGCTACGCCGCGCCCTAAGAGCAGCCCGGAGACAACGAAATGGTTTTCCCATCTATCAACCAGGCGGAAACATGAGAAAGCCAAATCCAGAGAGCCTGCCCCTGACATCAATCAACTGGAGCTTTTTACACCGTCTGAAGGGCCACCTAGAACCCCATTACTCCCCAAACAACCTGGCCCCCATACCGACCCACCCTGTGATGGAGGAATGAGCCGAAGGGTTTCTCAGGCGGGCACTGATATCCCACACCATTCAGCTAATCCATGTACCATTCTTGGACATAGCCAATCCATGAATCCAGGCCCCGCTGGTGAAGGCTACGACCTACCTGATCAGGGGCATGGGTCAAGCCGGGACCAGCCTCCAATGAAGTCTAGTATTCATCGTGTCAACCCACCTAATGATAAAGAACCAATTCAAAGCCCGCAACAGAGCCCGACCAATAAGTATTTCTCTCACATTGGTATGGGTACATCGCGCGAAAAACCTCCGAGGTCTGCTCCTCGTGGACCTAGACAATCAGCAATGCCAGAGTCTTCTCAAAGAAGCCACAACCAGCCTATCCAGGATGATGAATCGAGAAGAGACAACGATACCCCCGATATTCCCTTTAGAGAACCGGGCCCCGCTGCCAAATGGTTAGCTGGTCGTTTTTGCAATCCGGGCGAGGTATTGATTCACATGTTTTACGGACCAGACAGGAAACCGATCGGTGCGGCTAGGCTCTGTGGACTTTCGCTAATGTCTATCCAAAAAATTCTCCAATACAAGAGCGGCCCTCGGATCGAGGTGTGGTTTCAACATACGTGTAATTTTGATACTTATCAGGCTCTCTGTGACAGGGTAAGTAAATGCCCTTCTGAAGCATTTAGGTGAATCTCAGCTGCTGATGTCAATAAAAATAGGTTCTTAGAAAAAGGCCACTTTTAGTAAATCGCACATTTTGTTGTGGTTGGATTGAAGGGTACAATGATACAGAGCCGGTGCTCTTTAACATGGCACGAGAACTAGAGCGAGGGAATCTGATGGCAATATTCAACCCTGACAAATGGTCACAAAATGTGTTACTCGCTTACTCACCCAACTCAAGTGATCTCAGATCTCTGAATAATGACTCCAGAGCACCTTCGGATGCTTCCCTTTTGCTTGTTGTCAGGAATTCCTTCGGAACTCGTGAACTTCATCATGATATTTTGGAGATTAACAGCCAGATCTTAGCCTCTAGGAGATCTGAAGTATCTGTGAGAGCACATCTGGAAGAGCCTGACAAAGGGAATGATAGCTTTTGTGAAGGTACTCCAATGTCAATTCCATCTGTTGAAGAGTCAGTGTTACACAAAGATTCCCCATCTTTTACAGTGAAGCATGAACCTTCACAGGAGCCTTTACAGGAACCCACGGGCCCAGTCTCACCTGGCCCCACGGATTTAGTCCCCCTCAGCAACACAGATCCAGCCCCACTCAGCAACAATCCACGATCTCAAAACGGCTTTGAGAACCCAAGTGAGCTAATGGAGATCAGTCAACAAGGTTCAGGTCCGGCATTGGGCGAACAGCAGGCGATGTCTGCTTTAGCTACGGCTGACCTGAAAGGCATTTTCCAGTCTAAATTTGGGATCTCTTATGAAGAACTAGTTAAAGTGAACTCAGTGGATAAGGTGGTGGTAGCGGAGGCATTCTATCTTATGATCCCCCAGGATTCGGTACCCCCCCATGAGTTCTTACCTCTCCAAGCATTTCTTAAAGCACGAAATCCTGTCATTTATACCTGCTACCAATCAGACGACTGGGAAAAATTCGCACGAACTGTTGCTGTCGGGGTCGTTCTTGTATGCCCTTCCATTTGACAGACCATATCTAGCATTATGAAGCTGACATCTAAGCAGTTCCACGAGAGCTTTGTCGATTTTCACACACTGCCTTTCTTCAAGTCCATCATCAGCAAACCATTCAACTTTTGGAGCTTTTCGTTGGAAAAGCCCCTTGACTATGCTGACCACCCTTTACACTTCCAGCGCATCTTTCCACATGGCGGGGTTTTGATGATAACCGAAGATTTCATGACCCAGGAACCGGAAAGCACCATAATCATTCTCGCATGGTTTAATGACTGGGCAAGAAAGAAGTTCCCAGGGAACTGGAAGATAATGTTTCGTCCTGGTGTTCTGGATTGGGTCCTGAAACAGCCAGAGCCAGCTGATGAGTTGAAGCAGGGGATGTACGTTGTTCCCCCAATTACAACCACTTGGTTCAAGATTGAATATATCTAACCAGTCATTCTGCTTTTAGTTGGCTAACTATGTACCGCCTCATCCTGCAACTGTGTACTGCTCCTGCTTACGACACTCCGTCTGGCGAGGCATTAACCGGCTCAACTGACGACTACTTCGAAAGCAATGTTATCTCCCCACCGTCACTTCCCAACTATGGCTCCCGTACAGAAGATGACAACCCTGATATACCTAGAGGTCTGAGCCAAGAACAAAGAAATACCGACCATCTGATCGAATTCTTCGCTGGCTGGGGCCTGGTTAATCGCCACCGGTATCGGCGGTTCGTCGTCCTGACTCGAATGAAGCCTCACCCTAGGTGGGAGGCATGGCAGCACATTGAGATCAAGTGGGGCGCGAAGGATTTCATGAAAGGATTTAAGGTTGACTACAAACTTTACTGGGCAAAGCTGACAGTGCCTTCTACTGCTAAACCAAGCAAGACTACCGGAGAACCAAAGGTTCAACCGGCCACTTTTACACCTCGTACGCCGAGAGCTCCTGCTCCTGGTGTACCCTGGTCCATTGATATGGGTGGTTCCAGGCTTGGTCGACTACCTGGCTCTGCATCGTCTGCATACCCCGAACCATACAATTGAGAGGAAATGCACTTCATGATCAATGTATCTAGTTTTCGCTCAAGACATGTTTCTACCCGATCAATATCTGGTGGGATTCACACAGTAGCAGATTCCATTGCTCCTTATACTCGAGTGCATGATCATTCTGCAATGGGTCACTCGGCGTGATTAAGCAGTATTACACTCGCACTCGTGAATTATGATATCCAAACAATAGCCACTTATCCATGATATTGACGATGACGCTCAACTCTCAAGGTAGTAATGATAAAAAGCATTTAAAGCCCAAACAAACCAAACATTGACTCATAAACGCCAGTACAACCAGCTATTGAACTAATCGCTTAACGTGACACAGACAAGAAAGAGAAGCGAGCAATGCAAAGGACATCATCCAAATTTACAGAATATCGGAGTTTTAGGACCCAGCCGCTCGGGTACGGTATTCCCTGAAACTAGAAATCGGGGGAAATTCATCTGAGAACTGCGACTTCGTCTTCTTCTCTTTGCCCTTATCCGCCTTTTCGCGTCGTACCTTTTCCTCCCACTTGCTTTCCTCCGCTGCGATGAGAGAGTGGAATCGTCCGCCCTGGCCGCGCGCTAGATAGATAGGCTTTTCTTTACGCTCCGCGACGGATTCGGTCACGAGGACGAACTTCACGCTGGAGCCTGGGGTTTCGAACATGGCGTCGCTGAGAATGGTTTCTAGTTCAGTTCGGAGGGCACGAGCCCCCGTGCCCATTGTGAAGGCGTTGGCGGCAATTTTGTGCAAGGCTGGAGTGGTGAAACATATCTCAATACCTGAGAGGGAGAATAGCGTGATGTATTGGGCTAGGAGCGAGTTGCGGGGTTCTGTGAGAATCCGAACCAGTAGCGGCGTGGTTAAAGCGGATAGGGCAGCGGTGACCGGGACTCGACCTACGAGTTCGGGAATGAAGCCGTAGTTCTGTAGGTCAGTGGGGTTGAGAAGGTCCAAAGCGTTGAAGTACGTTGGTTCGCCATCTGGGGTCCCGCTAGAGGCTGAGGCGAAGAATGGGAGATGCTTCTTGTACAGTGCCTCTTCCTCGGAGCCCGGAAGTATGGGAATTGGCTGATTACTTGCAGAGCCAGATGCTTTGGATCGCTCGCTGATGGTTGATGAACTTCGGACGGGCTGCCCGAATCCTATGGAGCCGCGCGATATCCTGTCCATGATGACTTTGTGCAATCCGACGAAGGCACCGGAGAAAATAAAGAGGATATTGTCCGTTCGCACGTTATAAACCTCGCCTTTTTGAGGCGGGTTCCCGCCGCTGGGGGTGAACGGGGAGTTTCCAAGGGGGCTGTTGGATGGAAAATTGTTGGGCGGACTGCTGACGCGAGGCGCGTTTCTCTCTTGTTTCGCCTGAACTTGCACTGTCGTGCCTTCGATGAGTTTGAGGAGAGCTTGCTGCACCCCTTCACCGCTGACATCCTTCCCATGGCTGACCTTTGCTGCGGCGATCTTGTCCACTTCATCCAGGACAATGATACCACGCTCCGCCTGCTCGACGTCATAGTTGGCAGCAGCTAGAAGCCTGTGAACGCATACTTCTGCATCTTCCCCAATGTAGCCAGCCTGCGTGAACGGGGTGCAATCTGAAATGGTAAATGGTACGGATAATATCCTCGCGAGCGTCTTGGCCATCAGCGTCTTGCCAACGCCGGACGGTCCTAATAGAAGGATGTTGGACTTCTCTAATTCCAAGGGCGACGAATCCTCAAATTCGGGTTGTGCTGACGCAGGTGATAACGGGTCCGCCTCGGGAGGTAGACGAACAGTTTGTTGTTGGCCTGGGAATTCATCTAGTCAGTTCTTAGCATAGTTCAAATCGGAATGTCTGGGGGGAAAGAGAGTACAGATAACGTACCTTCAACCGGGTGGTGTTCGATCGCTTCTCGACGCGCACGTTTGGCCAGCCTCTCTGCGGTTTCCTCCTCACGCCGTTGAAGCTCCTGTACCCGTTGGTAGTGATTAAATACAGCGACGCTGAGTATTTTCTTTGCGCGATCCTGCCCAACGACGAACTGGTCCAGGTACTGCTTCAATGTTCTGGGGGTAACCCGGGGTGCTCCGAATGCCGGAGTTGACCCCAGCGGTCCAGCTGTTGGGAGTCCCGGCTCATAACTGCCTGTCCACGGTTGGTTTGTGAAGTCTGATCGATCGAATTGAGAGAAGGTAGGGAAAGTGGTGGACGAGCTGGCGAATCCACAGCGTACAGGTTGAACTTGCGGCTTCGGCGCATGCCGATAGCGGAGGAGGGAGTTGCGGTGCGCCCCGAGGGCGCCTCGGGCCTGCACAGGCAACCGCAGCATGGCCAAGCACGAGAGTAACTAGAGGAGACGCAGATGCGAAGTGTGGCGACAGAAAGATCCAAAGAGCAGATGAATCCACAAGGAAGAAAAGCCAAGAGAGCGTTGAAGCTTTCAGCAGATGGCAGCAGATAAGATGCAATACAATCAAATCAATCGATAGCTTTCCCCGCAGCACGTGATGCTTGCCAACCGACGGTACCCGCGGGTGACGTGGTCCGGAAATGCTAACATTAGGACTATCTACTCCGTAGGTCCAGGTACTCCGTACTGTAGATAGTAAAGATGACCCTCCAACTATGAAGCAATGCTGGCAGTCCTTGCAGCTCCGATCATCCTACAATGCTAGTTTTATTTTCGGTGTTCGGAGCAACCTACCGAAAGAAAAAGCCTGAAATCATGACAACGTTGAGTGTCTTCCAATCGCTTGAATTTCTATGATCGCTATCTTTGCTCCATATGCCCTCTTTTAGCGCGACAAACGCAAGACTCCGCGGGTGGTATCGTACAAGTAGTCCCGAGCAATTGAGCAGTGTCGTCTATTTCCACCGAGAAGAAAGCCCTTCGGTCCCCAGCATCTTTATCCAAATGGCACGGGTTGATCTCCTTGAATCTTTGTAGCGCTATGGCATTGTTTGGGGGCGATCTCTCTCGAAAATGGGGGCATTCGAGAAGCAAAAGCCCGGGAAGCCGAGCGGTTGGGGACTTGGAGATAATGACTTTAGCCACGCATCGATCGCAAAAAAAGGTCAATGTCGATTGGCCATGACTGCGCCTCGGAGAACGAGGTGAGTGAGCGGACTGCCCTCGAGATACTCATAGTTCAAGGCTCGCATCACACTACTTGTTGGTTTTGAACGCGGGTTGCTGCTCCATTGTCTGAGATATAAAGCTGCGCAAAGCCGCCCATCTGTTAGAGGCTGTGCCTGCATCGGTATTCGAGTCCGTGTTGGCTGGCGCCGTTGCCTCCATGCTCGACAGCTGTGCCATGTTCCTTCCGAACCGGTCCCGTTCTACCTTCTCCAGCTTCTCCCTGCGCTTCATAGCACCTGGTTTATGCTGCAAGGTCTTTTGCTTGATGATGTTCACTTGCTTGCTGGGATCGTTCACTTCACCGTCGGCGTCCGGGAGGGCATCGGCCAACGAGTCAAGATTGGCAGCGAGTTTCTTCGAGGCACGTCGGCGCTTAGTGGACTTCTGTGAGTTTTTTTCGATTTTGGACATGAAGCTGGCATGCTTGATCAAGCGCTTGTCTTTCTTGGTAGTGCGAAAGTCATCATCGAAGAGGCTGGCTTTGGTCGATGCCAAAGCCCCTCGGCCACTCGCGGGTTTACTCGTGGAAGTTCGCTTTCTGATTGGAGCCTGTTCGAAAAATCAGATGGCATGATAAGGGGGTGGATTTCCATGAGCATGTGAAAAGGCAGGAAAACGTACCATATTGCTTTGCGCCGGTCCTTCTCCAGAAAGGCCGAAAAGACTGGCATGTGCTCACGATAATGAATCTTCGTTGCTGCCGATAGTTTTGCAGCGCTAGTGCCAACACGGGCTAGTGGCAATGTGTCCGGCTCCGGAGAGGAACGCCCCTGGCTCACCGCCCAGGTGACCACGCCTCACCGAATGGACGGATTCTATCTTAGCCCAGGCCCTGCGCAGGGTCCCGCCATTCAGTGAATCAATACCTCCGGATTTGTCTCACCGTCTCACGGCTCACGCTCTGACGTTGGCATTCAATCGCGTTCGGTTCTTTGCTGCTCCCACTCCAAGCTCCCAAGCCAGATAAGAACCCCAACGGTGGAGACCAACAAAGCACTAGTCCGGTCTAGGCCGAAATAGTTCCCAGGCCCCAAGGAAATCCGATCGTCATCTTTCCATCAGAGTCTTTCCCCTCCTCCTGGTCCAATTTTTTTTCGGAAGGAAGTGATCCACATTCACGGGTATCTGGCCCGCCTTTTTATCTTGCATTTGCCTGGCAGTTACATCAGGGAACCACCGCGCTGACTCTGGTTCAAGAAGGTTGCCACCTAATTTGCGGGCTTGCATGTGGATGCTGTCTCCAGCTTACCTTTCATCTTGCCGGCCTTGCCTTCTCAGCCTAAGGACATCCGCGACTACTCTACCTCGGCCCCGGAACCCCCATTTCCTCCTTTCTACTCCATTAATTCGGGAATCCTCCTCGCGCCTACCACATTCAATAACACCTAGGCCTCAAGCCTCCGTTGCAATTCGTCCCTTTCCGCGCATTTCACATATCTCGAGCAATTCTGCCAACAAGCACGCAACAATGGGTTCTCTTGCTCCGTACCAGCGCAAACACAAGGTTACCGTGGTGGGCTCGGGAAACTGGTATGCGCACGATGGTTTTCCCAGACAGATTGTCGAATTCCAATATACTGATGGACGTACAGGGGCACCGCCATCGCGAAAATAGTGGCTGAAAATGCTGCCAGCAATCCTGGCATTTTCGAGGAGAAGGTAGAGATGTGGGTTTTCGAGGAGAAAGTTGAAATCTCAAAAACGTCTCGCCACTATGACCCATCGTTGCCCCTTTGCCAGGGCCCGCAGAACTTGACGGAAGTGATAAACCAGACCCATGAAAATGTTAAGTACCTGCCGGGGATAAATCTTCCGACCAATTTGCATGCCAATCCGTCGCTGGTGGATGCAGTTCAAGACAGTACCATTCTTGTCTTCAACCTTCCCCATCAGTTCATCATTAAGACCTGTGAACAGATCAAAGGAAAGATTCTACCATATGCGCGGGGCATATCCTGCATCAAGGGGGTTGACGTGAACGAAGAGGGAATTAGCCTTTTCTCTGAAACCATTGGAAAGATCCTTGGTATCTATTGCGGAGCCCTGTCCGGCGCAAACATCGCCAGCGAGGTTGCTCAAGAGAAATGGTCGGAGTCAAGCATTGCCTATGACCCTCCACACATGGATTCCAAGGCCCCCTCCCCCAATCGCTCCCCATCCTCGTCAACCGAGAACCTTGTCCAATTCGAACACAAGGACGTTTCGGGCCAGTTTTCACGAGTTAAGCTGCAAGCTTTACCATCCGACTACCCTCCTGTTGACCACGCTGTGCTGAAGTCGCTCTTCCATCGCCCGTATTTCCACATTCGCGTGGTTAACGATGTTGCGGGTGTTTCCCTTGGAGGTGCCCTCAAGAACGTGGTCGCTCTTGCCGCCGGCTGGGTCGATGGCATGGGATGGGGTGATAACGCTAAGGCAGCCATCATGCGGGTTGGCCTCCTGGAGATGGTCAAGTTCGGTGAACAATTTTTCAGTGCCACCATTAACACTCGGACGTTCACCGAGGAGAGTGCAGGTGTCGCCGACCTGATCACCAGTTGCAGTGGTGGCCGTAACTTCCGATGCGCGAAGCTCAGCATTGAGAGAAAGCAACCGATCGAGAAAGTCGAGGAAACGGAACTCAACGGCCAAAAGCTGCAAGGCACGCTGACTGCTGTGGAAGTGAACAGCTTCTTGAAGAACCAAGGCCTTGAGGAGGAGTTCCCCTTGCTTACTGCAGTTTACCGTGAGTGCTTCTGATCTGCGCAGGCCTGATCAGGCTGATTTGCTGACCATTCGCAGGTGTTCTTCAGGGTACCATGTCGGTGGAAGACATTCCTTCATACATTGAGCGGTAAATTGGACCTGATGATTTGTTCCCTTCTGTCTACGTACGGGTTGTTAATTCATGGGGAATTGTTCCTTTTCCTTCCTAACAGAAAGCCGGACTCGAACGCGTACTTGGGAACCGGGCGGGTGACTAGCGGTGGCACCAGCCAGGCTGTTTTGAGCGCCCGACTGTGAAGAGGGCCGAGAACCATGCATACCCCTCTTTTGTTTCTCCTCTGCCTCCATATCTCTCACTCCCTAGATGTACCGTGTATTTGGGATGCCGATCTTTTGGGCCTGTCGGCAGGTATGCTTTTGTTCAGATGTCTCATGCACATAGACCAATAACTATAGACCACAATGATACGGAAATGTCTTGATATTTCCCCTTTCTTTTCCCCAGTGCCATGAATCTTCGCCGTACTGAAAGATACCCGGTTGGATACGTGCGGAGACGCCGGAGAGGCCCGAGTTCCAGCCCGGGCCTGTTGGGGGCTTGGGGCTTTCCCCGCCGCCAGCAAACGCCCGGGTGCTTTCATGATGTCAGTGTTCCCGCGGGGTTGCCTGGACGCCCAGGAACAGGAAAACTTGCTTAAGGCTTGGGCTTCCTAGCTTTCTCACCCAATTCTTTTTTAAACCCGCCTCGATTCGCGACTTCTCTGGGGTGCTTGTCGGGTCTCTCTCAAAAAAAAAAAACACTTTGGTTCCTTCATCGCTCTCGTTGCTTGGTCGGTCTGGCCGACAACCTCTCAGGACCCGCCAGACTCACCACCGTCAAGAAAGAACCTGCCTTCTAACCCGAGCGAAGCTCTTCTACGAGACACTTGGCAGACCAGGAATTCGTTTCAATACCCAATGGCTTCTCCGCAACAGGTTTATCTGTTGCCTCTGAAGGACGATGGGTCTCCGGATGTTCCAGGAGGGTATCTCTACCTTCCTCCTCCCTCCGACCCGCCCTATCTCCTTCGTTTCGTCATAGAAGGGAGCAGTTCAATCTGCAGGGACGGGCATCTGTGGGTCAACATCCCCAAAGAGGGAAAGCCTTTTGATCGGTCCGCCTTTGAAAGCTTTAGGTATGAGCAATGGAAGACCATGATTTGGGCGAGTGAATTACTGACACGAATAGTTTATCCCCGGACTTCAACAAGAACATCCAGATTGATGTCCCCATCATCTCTCCGGGATCCTTCGCCTTCTATGTGACGTTCTCCCCACTTCCCGCGTTCTCAATACTATCGGTTCCTACGCCAGAGCCGACAAGGACTCCGACGCATTACATCGACGTCGCACCGCGGTTGACTCTTCGTGGTCGGGACCTGCCACTTAATGCACTGTCAATCTTCTCGATTATCTCTAAATTTATGGGTCAATATCCGACGGACTGGGATAAACATCTTAATGGCATTAGCCAGCGCAACTATAACATGGTTCACTTCACGCCCTTGATGAAACGTGGTGCTTCCAACTCGCCCTACAGTATCTTTGACCAGCTTCAATTTGACGATGCTGCGTTTCCCAACGGCGAAGAGGATGTAGCTAGCTTGATCGCAAAGATGGAGAATGAATATGGTCTCCTATCGCTTACGGATGTTGTGTGGAACCACACTGCTCACAATAGCAAGTGGCTCGAAGAGCACCCGGAGGCTGGCTATAGTGTTGAGACTGCTCCATGGCTCGAGGCAGCGCTCGAGCTGGACACAGCGTTACTGAAGTTTGGACGGGATCTTCAAACACTAGGCCTACCCACTGAATTCAAAACGGTCGACGACTTGGTCACTGTGATGGGCGCTATGCGAGAACAGACTATTGCTGGTATCAGACTGTGGGAGTTCTATGTTGTCGATGTGAGAGCCGACACACAGAAAATAATCGACCAGTGGAAAACGTCGGATGCTGCAGACCTCACAAGCGATCAATGGTCACAGTTTCGTCTCCAAGATTACAAAAATTGGCCTTTAAAGCAACAAGCGGCATTCCTCCGCGACCAAGCCATTCCAACATCAAAGCAAGTGTTGGGCAGGTTCAGTAGAGCGATTGACCCCCAATTCGGTGCAGCCGTCCTGACTGCACTTTTGGGACCCTACGGTTCTCCCTCTGACACAACTGCAGCCGAACAGTCTATATCAAAAATCCTGGACGAGGTTAATCTTCCGTTCTACAAAGAATATGATGCGGACGTTTCAGAAATCATAGATCAGGTTTTCAATCGGATCAAATACCTTCGGATTGACGACCACGGACCCAAGCTCGGACCCATCACAGAAGAGAGTCCTTTTATTGAAACATACTTCACGCGGCTCCCTCTAAATGATGTCACCAAAAAGCACGACAAAAAAGCCCTAGCACTAGTCAACAATGGCTGGATCTGGAATGCTGATGCCCTGCGTGACAATGCTGGCCCTGAATCCAGGGCCTATCTACGTCGTGAGGTAATTGTCTGGGGTGACTGCGTAAAGCTGCGGTACGGTACCTGCTGCGACGACAACCCATTTCTGTGGGAATTTATGACCAGCTATACTAAACTCATGGCCAAATACTTCTCCGGTTTCCGCATCGATAATTGCCACTCGACACCATTGGTAGTTGCCGAATACTTGTTAGACGAGGCGCGAAAAGTTCGACCCAACCTCACTGTTTTCGCGGAGCTCTTCACTGGCTCCGAGGAGGCTGACTACATTTTCGTTAAACGTCTTGGTATCAATGCACTTATTCGTGAAGCCATGCAAGCCTGGAGTACTGGAGAGCTGAGCCGTCTCGTTCATCGTCACGGAGGCCGTCCTATTGGCAGTTTTGATCTTGACTTGCCTTCGTCGGGTAGTAGCCATGCGATAGCCTCTTCTGGTATTGACTCCGGCAAAGAAAAGGTTTCTCACATTCGTCCTACTCCAGTCCAGGCGTTGTTCATGGATTGTACTCATGACAATGAAATGCCAGCCCAAAAGAGGACCGCACAAGACACGCTGCCCAATGCCGCTCTGGTGGCCATGTGCGCTTCAGCTGTCGGGAGTGTTATCGGCTATGATGAAATATACCCTAAACTTGTTGACCTTGTTCATGAGCAGCGGTTGTATTTCTCAAACTTTTCCGAATCCTCTACTGTTGGATTACACACGCTGGAGGGAGGGATAGGCGGCATCAAAAAACTACTAAATGAACTTCATACCATGATGGGTGTTGAAGGATACGATGAGACCCACATTCACCACGACGGGGAGTATATCACTGTCCACAGAGTACATCCGAGAACACGAAAAGGGGTTTTTCTGATAGCACACACATCATTTCCCGGACATGATAGCAAAGCTTTGTTAGCACCTACTCAACTCGTTGGTACGCGTGCCAGGCACATCGGAACCTGGCTTTTGGAGGTTGATGCAAGTGAAGCCACGAAAGACCAAGTACTAGCGGACAAGTCCTCCCTACGTGGACTTCCAAGCAGGGTCCACGCCATTGAAGGTACAAATATCGAGCAGAGTGGCAATGATACCATTATCTCTGTTACGGAAGCATTAGTCGCCGGGTCTATTGCTTTGTTTGAAACCTCCATGCCAAGCGCCGAGCATGCAACTGGACTCGACGATCATATCACCCAAGGAGTTGACGATGCCTTCTCAAGCCTGAGCTTGATTGATTTGAACTTTGTACTTTACCGTTGCGAAGCAGAAGAAAGAGACTCGAGTAACGGCCAGGACGGGGTTTACAACATCCCCAACCATGGTCCGTTGGTTTATGCCGGTCTCCAAGGGTGGTGGAGCGTGCTGGAGAACATCATCAAGTACAACCAACTAGGACATCCACTGTGCGAGCATTTGCGGAACGGCCAGTGGGCACTAGACTTCATTCTTGGACGCCTAGAAAAGTTGGGACAACGAGAAGGGCAAACTGCTGTGGGCACTTCAGCTACATGGCTACGGGAGAAATTCCAAGCAGTCCGCGACCTGCCGAGCTTTCTTTTGCCACGCTATTTTGCTATCATTCTTCAGGTTGCTTATAATTCTGCCTGGAAACGAGGGGTCCAACTTTTGGGACCCCATATACAGAAAGGCCAAGAATTTATTCACCAACTTGGAATGGTCAGTGTTCAACAGACCGGATACGTGAATTCCGCGTCTCTATGGCCTACGAAGAAAGTACCAAGTCTTGCTGCTGGCCTGCCGCACTTTGCGACCGACTGGGCGAGATGCTGGGGTCGGGACGTTTTCATTTCGCTCAGGGGCCTTCTGCTGTGTACAGGCCGATTCGATGATGCAAAGGAACATATAAGTGCCTTCGCCAGTGTTCTCAAACACGGCATGATCCCGAATCTCCTGGGCAGCGGAAAACTCCCGCGCTACAATTCTCGGGATTCTGTATGGTTTTTGTTGCAATCTATCCAGGATTACACCGTGATGGCCCCGGATGGTATTGAACTTCTCAAACAACAGGTCCCGAGACGGTTTCTCCCCTACGACGATACATGGTTCCCGTTCGATGACCCAAGAGCTTACTCACAATATTCAACGATTTCCGAGATAATCCAAGAGGTATTCCAACGACATGCTCAGGGGCTGTCCTTCAGAGAGTATAATGCGGGAACCGATCTTGACATGCAAATGAAGCCGGAGGGTTTCCAAATTGATGTCAAAGTTGATTGGGACACCGGATTCATCTTCGGTGGCAGTCAGTCCAATTGCGGGACATGGCAAGACAAAATGGGCGAAAGTCCTAAAGCCGGAAATAAAGGCGTGCCTGGGACACCGCGAGATGGAGCTGCCATCGAGATTACTGGGCTTCTCTATAGTGCCCTGGTCTGGGTTGCAAATCTACATGAAGACGGGCTTTACATACATGACGGAGTCGAAATTGGAGGCGGAGAATCGATCACGTTCAAGGACTGGGCGGCAAAGATAAAGGAAAACTTCGAGCGCTGCTACCATGTTCCTACGCATCCGAATGAGGACGCTCAACATGATGTAGATGCCAGCATTGTGAACAGACGAGGGATCTACAAGGATCTCTACAAGTCCGGCAAACCGTACGAAGACTACCAGCTTCGGTCCAATTTCCCCATCGCCATGACTGTCTCGCCCGGCCTATTTACCGCATCCAAAGCCCTCGCAGCCCTTGCTCTTGCAGACGAAGTTTTAGCTGGTCCGGTCGGCATGGCTACCCTTGACCCATCCGACCTTAATTACCGCCCTGATTACAACAACTCGGAAGATTCAACCGATTTCGCAACTTCCAAAGGCAGAAACTACCACCAGGGCCCTGAGTGGGTTTGGCAGCGTGGATACTTCCTTCGCGCATTCCTGCACTTCGATCTCGCTCGCAGGACAACACCGGCAGAACGAACAGAGGCTTACCAGCAAGTGACTCGGCGTTTGGAAGGTTGCAAACGGGCCCTGAGGGAAAGTCCCTGGAAGGGTCTTACAGAGCTAACAAATAAGAGCGGTGCATACTGTGCAGACTCCGTACGTTTCCATACCCCATCCCCTTGATTTTGATGGCATCGGTCATAACTGCGATATCATTTGTCTAACATGAGCAATACTCGTAGTCGCCTACACAAGCATGGTCCGCGGGATGTTTGCTCGACTTGTATTACGACGCATCAAAGCATTCCCAGGAGTAAGATATGGCGTTCATTGGGATACATAGGGCTCCTACCAGACGGAACAACATGCACATTGGGCATTGTCATGATCGATGCGGTGTACACGCCCTGGCTAGCATACACTTTAGATACATACTAATAATGGAACTGTTTCATATTCTCTGCGGATATATGTTCTCGTGGAGGCGGATAAGGCGGATGGATCGTACGACGCGCGGCATAATTGACAGATGAGTCAGCTGTGCGCACAACGCATCGCCAACTAGGTACTTTTGAGTTTGGCTTCGTCAACATGACTTTACAACGATGCCCGACACGGTCCAGTCTGCCCGTTCCTAGTGCAGAGACTGCGGTGTAGACCGCTTGTACTGGTGTCGCCTGATTTTCCACCCTTCTTTATCTCGACAAAGCAACCCTCCCTTCAGGACTCGCGATTCCGTTGACTGCGTGGTCTTGCCCCCTGACGTCAGTTGTTTTTCACCTGCGCATCCCGTCCGCCGCACGAAAGCTCCGCGTCCCCATATGCATAGACAAGCCGGACACCAACTACCACAACCCAGCGCCGAATAGCTGCCTCTGGAGAGCCATGTCTCTCACGGAATCCGCAGCAGCAGCTATGCTGACTGTTGCATCCGTGATAGAGAGCCCCATTGACGTTCATGAGCCAAGATGGGAAGACCAAACGAGGGGCCGCGATCTGTACACACAACTGGTGATCAGTTTGACAATCGGGCTGAGTGCATTCTTCTCATTCTGTGTATGCTTTGACTCCCTTCAAGGACTACTTCAGCGCTCTGACGATGTTCCTCGTGTAGGTTTTGCGACCGAAGTGGACAGAACTGTATGCCGCCCGGAGACGACAACGCTGCGCAGCTTCACAATTGCCAGAACTCCCCGATAGCTTCTTCGGATGGATACCTGTGCTATACCGAATCACTGATGAACAAGTTCTGGAATCTGCGGGTCTGGATGCCTTCGTCGTACGTTATGGAATCACCCTGTTCAAACTTAGAGTGGAGCACTGTCTGACACTGACTGGATGCTATAGTTCCTGACATTTCTGAGATTTGCGATTCGGTTCCTCTCCACAATCTTCTTCTTCGCCTTGGTTATAATCCTGCCGATGCACTACAAGAACACCGGTAAATCCGGGGTCCCCGGTTGGGATGACGATGATGAGACTCTCGACGGGGAAAAAGACAAGAAAAAGTTTATACCGGATCCAAATTACTTATGGATGTATGTCATTTTTACATACATTTTTACCGGACTAGCCGTCTACATGCTTATTCAAGACACGAATAAGGTGATTCGCACAAGACAGAAATATCTTGGAAGCCAGACGAGCACCACTGACCGAACTATTCGTTTGTCTGGCATTCCTCCAGATATGGGTTCGGAGGAGAATATCAAGGAGTTCATGGAAGGTCTCCAAATTGGAAAGGTAGAGAGCGTGACGCTTTGTCGTGACTGGCGTGAACTGGACCATCTGATCGACGAACGACTACAACTTCTACGAAACCTAGAATGGGCTTGGACCAAGCATCTAGGATACAAACGAGTCAAGGCAAGTGGAAACAGGCTGCCATTGCTACACCAGCAGCCACGTGGCTCCAGCATTGTTTCAGACGAGGATAGCGAGCGAATCCAGCTTCTTTCCGAGAGTGGACGGGACCACGTCGCGGACTATGCTCACGAGCGGCCTACAGTTCGCCTGTGGTATGGACGTTTCAAGCTACGATACAGGACTGTCGATGCGATAGACTATTATGAGGAGAAGCTGCGCCGGCTGGACGAGCAAATTCAAGTTGCTCGTCAAAAGGAGTACCCCCCTACTGAGGTTGCTTTTGTCACAATGGAGTCAATCGCTGCATCGCAAATGGTCGTGCAGGCCATTCTCGATCCTCATCCCATGCAACTACTTGCGAGACTGGCTCCAGCCCCAGCGGATGTTGTGTGGAAAAATACATACATTCCACGCTCGAGACGGATGATGCAATCTTGGTCCATCACCGGGGTCATTGGCTTCTTGACTGTATTCTGGTCGGTGCTTTTGATTCCCGTGGCGTATCTGCTTGAAATTGAAACGCTCCACAAAGTGTTTCCTCAACTGGCTGACGCACTGGCTCGGAACCCGCTGGCAAAATCACTTGTTCAGACCGGTTTGCCGACCTTGGTCCTCTCGCTGTTGACGGTTGCAGTCCCATATCTTTATAACTGTAGGTACTGCCTAGGATAAGATCGTGTTCGAGCAGTGTGCTGATCTATATATAGGGCTCTCCAATCAGCAAGGAATGATGTCTCGGGGCGATATTGAGTTATCGGTCATTTCGAAGACTTTCTTTTTCTCCTTTTTCAACCTCTTCCTTGTGTTCACTGTGTTTGGAACCGCGACCACATTCTACGGGTTCTGGGAGAACCTCCGGGATGCGTTCAAAGACGCGACAACCATTGCGTTTGCATTGGCTAAAACATTGGAGAACTTCGCGCCGTTCTATATCAACTTCCTGTGTCTTCAAGGAATTGGGCTGTTCCCGTTCCGACTACTGGAGTTTGGGAGTGTAGCAATGTACCCTATCAACTTCATCGCTGCCAAAACGCCGCGAGACTATGCCGAGCTGTCCACGCCTCCTACTTTCAGCTACGGATATTCGATCCCGCAGACAGTCCTCAGTCTCATCATCTGCGTCGTGTATAGTGTTTTCCCTAGCTCGTGGCTGATATGCCTCTTTGGACTGGTGTACTTCACTATCGGCAAGTTCATCTACAAGTATCAGCTTTTGTATGCTATGGATCATCAGCAGCACTCCACAGGACGAGCATGGCCGATGATTTGCAGCCGGATCCTCGTGGGCTTGATGGTCTTTCAACTGGCAATGATCGGTGTTTTGGCGTTGCGCCGGGCGATTACACGCTCCTTGCTTCTCGTGCCTCTTCTGATGGCAACGGTGTGGTTCAGCTACTTTTTCGCACGGAGCTACGAGCCGTTGATGAAGTTCATTGCGTTAAAAAGCATTGATCGCGAGAGGCCTGGGGGAGGAGATATCTCGCCTTCGCCATCGTCAACCTTTTCTCCCCCATCCGGCCTCGAGCGCGACTCTTTTCCGATTCGAATCGGTGGGCAAGAACTGGGCCTGAGACTGAAGAAATATGTCAATCCAAGCTTGATCTTGCCTCTCCACGACGCCTGGCTTCCCGGGCGCAGCATGATCCCAGACATCCAAAGAGATCTCGGAGACCATGAGCACCGAAATAACGGGGTTATCGAACCCGTCTGAAGACGGCCGCCGCCCCCTGACACCATGAGGGTCCATTCCATCTCCGCCACCCAGTCAATCGTTTTCACTCACTGCACATAGATCTATAACCCTTTTATAATAATCACTGCTGTCATGTGTTCCTTTTCCCCGTCATGATCTACGATGCTATGCCTTTGATGTCATAGAGATGGCCACGTTCACGTTGGGCTCTCACTGTCTTGTAGGAGCCAATGTTATGAGTTACATTTCCAGGCGGACTGCTATATGTGTATGTTGCCGAGGCCCGACTCGGATGCTTTTCGTTCTCGTTCTCTCGTTTACTGATACCAGACCTTCCATACCGAGGTCTTCATTTTCGTCATCGATGAGCATAATCTGCATGTACAAACACATCATTGTGTAGTAATTACAAGAAGAGAAATGCAACCTCCCCTTTCTAGGCAACTGTGTCTCCTGTGAAGAGTCGGCAGTGTGAAGACCTCCAGCGTCGGCTATATTAATCTATTAATGTGCATTGTCTATATACCGTTTCACCGGCAAACAGGATGGTCTATCTCTATCTCTACCCCATACCCCATATGTATACAAACCCCCCACCCCCATCCCCGCCACTAGTACAAGCTCACGCCTTCTTCTTCCTCTCCCTCCCTCCGGTCGCAATCCGAACCACCTTCTTCGTCTTCCCCTTACCCTTCTCCTTCTCGTTCTCCTTCTCTTTCAACGCCGCATGCGCCCGCCCAGAAACCACAATACTCTCCCAAAGCAGCCCTATCCACCCAACACGCATTAGCCAAACGGCCCCTTCCCCCCCCCATAAGAAACAGAAAACGAAAACGAACCCCTCAAGGGGAGAAAAAAGGAAAGAAAGAAAGAAAGAAAGAAAGGTAAACTCACAAGCCGGCACAACAATCCAAAACGCATTACAGAAGACAAAATAACCCCAGAAATACGACGCTTCGGGGCGGGAATAACTGCGCCCAAACACCCTCTCGTCGAACCCGGCCGTCGCATAATACAACACGTCGCCGTAGAGTTGGCCCAGCGAGACGACGCCCTGGAGGGGATACCGGAGGTGGTGGTCGGTGGTGATCAGGTAGGGAAGCAGGAAGGAGAGCGGGCCCCAGCAGAACGCGGTGATGGTTTCCATGCTCAGGACGAAGGCGTCGGGGAAGAGGTAGCGCGAGTCCGAGAGGGAGTATTCTTTCCAGAGTTGGCCGAAGATGGTGGTTAGGCGGCCCATGCGCGTGTAATTGAGCGTGTAGTAGCCTTCGAAGATGAAGTGGATGAAGCCGCCTGTTTTTTTAAGGGAGAGGGAATTGGGGAGGGTGTGTGTTAGTTGGATTTTCTCTCTTGCTTTTTTCGACTGTTTTTTTTTTTTTTTTTTTTTTTTGGAGGAAATAGGTGGGGGGTGGGTTGACTGGGAATTGGGGTTGGGATTGGGAGAGACGTACAGAGGACAAACCAGAGGATGGTGTATAGATCGCCCCGGGGGGTTTGTGGCCGGGCTTTCAGCACCGCTAAGGAGGTGATAGAGAATATCACGGCGCAGCCAGCCGCGAAGATCGCAACGAGCGTCCACGCGTCGTATGTGTTGGCAACATAGCCGGCAATCTCGATCCCCGGGGGGTAATACGGATGCGCTGTGGTCGAGGCCATGGTGAGAGTCGGTTTATCTGGTCCGGTCGCATGGTGGGGGATGGTTGGGGACTTTATACTATCAAGGAGGCTGTGATGGATTTGTTTTGATAATGCTAATGGCTCTGGATTAACCACCGCGCGAAGGATCTAGGGGCTCGGCCAATCCTCGTCCCGAGTCGGATCATGAGATTAGGGCTACATGATATGCAAGGCAACATCATCATCTATATCTCGCTATTCAATTTCGTGCAAACTATGACGGGCACAATGTTCAATGTGGCTGCCGTTCAACGCCAGAATTAAATTTATCCGACTGCAACAGCCATGTATCGCAGCCAAAATAGACATCGACTTTTGATCCAAAGTGACAACCGCTCAAAGAACCCATGAATCCATTTTTAGCCGTGCGTTGAGAAGAGGTATGTCTGACGTAAGTTGTGCTTAACCTCATAAATAAGATTGAAAAGAGCCCTCTGCTGCAGCTCAGTTAGAAGCACCACTTCCGTTGACAGCCAACTTCTCCCTCCGGGAGATCACAGCTTGTGCAAGGTTCTCGAGCACAAGCTCAGTATCCTCCCAGTGGATGCACGCATCGGTGATACTGACGCCGTACTTGAGACCGGCCTTGCCCTCCGGGGGGACCTTCTGGCTGCCTGTGGACAATGTAAGCGACGGAAGATCAAAAATGTTGGATGAACAGTAAGCTTTACCCTCGTTGATATTGCTCTCAATCATAACACCCATGATTGCGGTTTCACCGGCCGCGATCTGTTCGGCGAGAACAGCCGCCACCTTGGGCTGGTTCTTGTGGTTCTTCTGCGAGTTGCCGTGGCTGCAGTCAACCATAAGACGTGGGGGCATGCCCTGCGCATTAAGCTTGGCCTTGGCTTCAGTGATGCTCTGCGCATCGTAGTTGGGGCCCTTCTTTCCGCCACGAAGGATGACGAAGCAGTCGGGGTTGCCCACAGTGCCAACAATGGCGGCAACGCCGGGCTTGGTGACCGAAAGGAAGTGGTGGGGGTGCTTGACGGAGCCAATGGCATCCACAGCTACCTCCAGGGAACCGTCCGTGCCGTTTTTGAATCCGACAGGGAAGGAGAGACCCGAAGCCAACTCGCGGTGGACCTGCGACTCAGTTGTGCGAGCACCAACCGCTCCGACCGAGAGACAGTCGGCAAGGAACTGCGGGGATATAGTATCCAGCATCTCGCTGGCAATTGGCATGCCCTTGTTGGTCAGGTCAACGAAGAGTTGGCGGGAAGTCCGCAGACCCTTATTGATCTTGAAGCTGTTGTCGATGTCGGGGTCATTGATGAGGCCCTTCCAGCCGACGGTGGTGCGGGGCTTCTCCAGGTAGGAGCGCATCACAATCAGCAGCTCATCCTTGTATTTCTCCTTCATCTTCAGAAGGCGGTCGCAGTATTCGAGGGCCATTTCGGGGTCATGGATGGAGCAGGGACCGATGACGACCAGCAAACGGCGACGGTCGGAATCCGTGCCCTGGACGATGGCAATGGCCTCGTCACGGCCTTCCATGACCGTTTGCCGGGATTTCTCCGTCATGGCGATTTCATGTTGGAGGAGGTTGGGGGGTGTGAGAGGGTTGTATCCACGAACTGGGGACGGTCGAGAGGATTAGACGTTAGTGTGAGGGCAACGCACGATTGGTAACGCGGGGCGGATCCCGGGGCACACTCACTTCTCGAGTCTTCCAGGGAGGAGTTGTCCCCGACATTGGGGTTTTCAATGAAGAACTGAGGAAGAGAGGGAGTGAGAATACGCTCAAGGCGAAGGAGGGAAGGTGGGATGACTCACGGACATGGTTGTGGTTGAAGGCGGGGTTGGTGATAGAGGTGGGAGAGATAGGTAGATAGTATGCCCGACGGGTGAGGAAGATCACCAGCAGGCTAACAGTATAAATAGTAAAGTAAACACACCTTGATGCAAGGGAAGGATGCTCCAAGTCTGATCTGATGCAGGGTTAGCTGAAGGAGGAGGTATATTCAATCGCGTCCTGTTGGTTGCACTTGAACGTGAATGAAGCAAGGCCTTTATTTCTTGTTTTTTTTTCTGTTATTTTCCCCCCATGGATTTTACCTTCCGGCCCCTTGCAGTCACACACTGGCCGTCGAGTCATCCTCACCCCATCGGGCCATCCGCACGTGATTTCCTCCCGGTGAACGGACAAATGGGCGGCGTCAGCTTACTAAGGCCACCATCGTGACGAATCCACCAATGAACTAGTTAACTACACCACCATTTTATTCCCGTGGCCCTTCTTTCCTGGGCTCCAACGCCGCTTTTCATGACTCCCAGCCAGACTCAAGAGGCTGCAGGAGTCCGAAAGGATCTACCGGCTCTCTCACTCCTGCCCCTTGTCTCATGCGGATACGATCTGCAGATACGGCCAGTCATATTGCTGTAAGGAACAAGTACATGGCCATCGCTCGATGCAATGACACCTTATGGGAACGGCCTTGCGACACGGTGCTGATCAGACGCCGGGCTCTGGAAACGCCATGACACCAAAGCATCAGGAGCTAAAATGTGCCTCGTTTCGCTTCTCCCGGCGCCGCATTCCCCAAGTGCATTCTCTGCTGGACCTGCTGCTCGTTGCGCTCGAGGCGGTGGACCAGTTCCTGGCATACATCGGTGTGGTGTTGCTGGATGGATCTCAGCTGTTGCTCGCACAACCGAATTCGCTCTTCCTGGGCTTCGAAGAGCTGGTCAAGCACCCGGTTGCAATCTTGCCGATATATCTCCAGGACATCATTAATCATCCTTCTCTCGCTCTCTATTTCGCGTATAATGTGCTAGGAACAGTCTCAGTAGTGTTGCAGTCATCCTTCATGAATAGGTTGACCTTACATCGCTAGTTGCTTGCAGAGATAACTGCCAGCTTGTCTGCTGGGGCCTCCCGTCTGCGCCAGCGCTCAACGTGACGGGCTTTGACTTCGACAGGCCTTGTGGTGACTTTCGGAATGGACTCGCCTGTGCTGTCGGACGATGTGTATTCTGGGACTTGCTCTCGCCTCCTGGTGCGAAACGTCCATTAAGGGCCAGCTGCACCGCATTTCTCGGACCTTGCGAAGTCTTCCCAGATCCGTGTACATCGGTGCATACCTTGAGGCGCTCCTTTAAGGAAAGGGGCTCCTTCGAACTGATATAACTCATGCAGGCCTCGTCCTCAGAATGTTTAAAATTGCTCGGGACACTGGGCGACACAGACATATCCTTACTGCACAGGGTGGCGCCTTTCCTGCATGACGCGGCTAGATTATGCCCACTCTCTGCATTGGTAATTTGCTCGAGATAAGCCACAGTATCTCGATCCTTGTCAATTATATCTCCTTCGGTGACAGAGGACTTGCCTTCCTCGACTGACGTTTGTATATGTTCCCGGACTGGCATAATTTCCCGAACCACACTTTCTTTTCGTTCGCCAAACAGAAGTCGCGGGCTTCCATTAGGATCGACAATGATGGATCTCGGTGTCAGTTTAGTATATTTCGTAGGATGGCCGATTTCTTTGTAAATATGCGGTGAAGGCTCTCTCGCCAGCAATCTTCCCGATTCGACATATTCTCTGTTCACATTGTACTGTAGATGGCCTGAACTGGGCAAACTTGATTCCTCACTCATAATAAGTGGACTTCTGTTGGTTTTTAATGCTGAACCTAAAATGCCGATGTCTCGATCAGCCCTAGTGCCTGCATTGCCCGACTGGAATAGACCGTTTCCAAAGGGACGCTGTGTCCCGACCCTCGATGCGATGGGACTGCATGTCTGGAGTCCCGTTGCTTGTTCTCCGTCATCTAAATCCCAGATCCTGGCTCTTTTTCTGAGTTTGACGCTCAAATTCTCTGTATTGAAGTCATCCTGAAACCCGTGCATGACGATCTCATGTGATGACCCAGACATTGACTGATTGTCAACCATAATATACTCTTCTTCGACATGCTCCGCCGAGCGTAAGTCCTCGACTAAAGTCCTGTCGCTTGGATGCATATGAGTTGATTTGGGACCTCGAATAAGTAAGCCGTCTGATCGAACAGGTTCGTTCGGAGCTTCTTGCGTGCTTTCCCTTTGCGTATGCTCCAAGGCATCCTCTTTGCTATCAGGGCTTGAAAGATTGTCTTGTTTAAAGGCTGCAAGCAATTTGCTTCCAACTGCATGCCCCCTACCTCGGAACCTTCGGTGATCTGTATGGAATTTTTCAACAAAGCATAGATAATCGTTTTCCTGGATCTCGGCTGTGGATTCATCAATGGACTGTTCCTCCACACTACCTTTCTCATCCTGAATAAAAGGAAATTCACTGCACGCCAACACAAGAGAACTGTCGTTTTCGTTGGAATCGATGGCAGTAGCCTTTGTTTTAATATCAATTTCATTTGTTTCAAGGTTACTATTTTCTGCGCCTTCCCTTCTGGAAATTGTGGATGGCTTCATAGTTTCCTTAGTGTTCTTTTTCCCTCCTTTGCGTTTAGTGCGTGGGTGCCCGCCTTTCTTGGATAATATGCTTTTTGCTGGGGCCGTCCTTCTCTTACCCAAAGAGATCTGTCCCTTTTCAAAAACACATCCGTCACCAGGCATTGGTGAGGAGACCGAAGTAACTTCTGCCTCTTGATGTTTCGACCTGTCTGCCTCGTCACTAGGTCGAAGATCTTCATACCAATCAACAACAGGTTTAGAATTGGTTGAATACACCTTCTGTTTAGGATGTCGCGTGGAAAAAATCAAAGACTCCTGAGTGTTTGACAGTTTACCTCTTCTCTTCCCAGAAGTCATTCTTGTCTGACGTCTTGTGGTAGTTTTCGTTGCGCGTGCAGTTTTACGGCTGGGCTTTTTCTGTAGAGGTGTAGGTGCCTCTTTTGGTGGCTGATCATGTGCTGAATCTTTGGGTCTGTATTTGGGTTTAAGTATAACAGGCTCATTGGGCCTAGGCACTTTCGCTGCGTGACGCAAAGTACGGCCTCCTGTCTGTAGATCTTTCAGCGACCTGGACACCAGTGTGTCTAAAACGGGTGAGGCCAGTCTGCATGCAGGACCTTCCCGCTGGTCTTGCAGAGGGCTGGAAGACAGGAAGCATTTTTCATAAAGATTTCGTTGGCCCTTTTGTAATTGAGTGTATTCCAAGGTGTCATCATGCAGATCCTCTTTGCTATTTAGCTGTATGTCCGGTGATACGTTCTCTGAGGGTTCATCGGATGTCCCCTCAGGCTTTCCTTTTCTCGGGCCCGTGTTCCCCTGTGGACTCGTTTGCAGGCCGGAGGACTTTTTCGAAATTTCCTCCCCTGTGTCCAGCTGCACCAAAAGAGAGGAAGATCTTCGAATGTTTGTACTCGGCCTTGGGGAACCCCTGGGGTTCTGGCAAATAATCTCGATTGCCTTCTGTAGATCACTAAGATCGTTGTTAGAGGCTATGCCAAGCACATGGCCGCTGAAACTCCGTCGTCTATCATTTAACGATATTGGATTTGATCGGGATAGGGTACAAGTAAGTCGATATCTTCTCTTATTGGAGCTGTCTAAAAGCTGTTGTGCATGCTGATAAATGTTCCCAAGACGAACTTCGGTGTATTCGAGCTGTGCTCTAGATGTTTCAGTTTGGTTTCTCACGAAAGCTAAGCCATCTTTGGTAGGAATGACGAGGACAGTGCCATCGATTAGAGGCGCTTTAGCGTCAATGTCAACTGATTGAACCAGGAAGCAATTCCGGGAGTTGGTATGGCACCCAAGAGCCTCTGCGGACTGCTCTTTCGTATGACTGAGTGGATTGACTTCGTTGTTGAAGTCATGAAAAAGCTGTAGTACGCTATTTCCATAAACTCCTAGGCATTCGAAGAAAGTAGTTCTCTGTTCGGTGCTGTCCGGGGGCCAGGGCAGGTCTATGCTCACTCCAGACTTGTGCAATGTATGCAAGATGGTAGTTGCAAATACCTTCAAAATTGCATCGGCTTCGTTAAGGAGAATAGATGGAAGTCTGGAAACTACTTGCGTCAGTAAAAGAGTTCCTCTATATTAATGTGTGGTACCGTGACAATTTCACTTCCTGATGCTCCACCAGAAGAGCACCGTTAAGCTCAGACTCGGATATTATGTCGATTAGTATTTTACCAGCCTGTTATCGGTCAATAGCAATAAATTACATGGAGCACTTAGACTTACCAGTCTTCGTAGTCGGACAACATGCTCCTCGGTAGCGAATATATGATACAGGCTCTGGATCAATTTGGCTAGGAGCAATCGTGACTGTTCCCCAGCCTGTGGTACTGTCGCTTGATGTACCATACATCCTGAGTCTCGTATAGATTGAGGTTCATCCTAGTGAGATCATTAGACATTTGGCAGCTGTAGTGACTAGTATGGATTCGGACCAGTAGGAGATAAAGCCCATTTTGCGGTCCATCTTCTACATTTGAAGTGAGTAGTATGTATGCCAGACATCGTAGCGAAGTGTTCTCGAGCACATGGACAATCCGTTTGTTATCCGTCAGCATTGAAAGTATCTGGTGGATGTTGAAGGCATTGTCAATAGGCTTGTTTTGCAGCAAGGCTTCCACAAGATGACTCGAGAAAGTGTAGAGTCGAGGATTATGCGAAAGACAATTGTAATAAGGCCCCGGTCCTGGTACTGTATCCTCGGAGTCACTACCTCCACTGGCCAAGCATGCCAGTTGCGAAGCCAGTTCTGGAATACAAGCCCATTGTGGATCTTCCTGGGCCATTTCTGAGATGCTGGAACTCATTCTGTGTCTTGTGGGTTGGTTTGCGTATGCCAGCCGCTTGAGCCGAAGAGGCTAAGGTGGGTAGGTAGTAGGTGTACAGGTCAGGAACGGCAAACAGCGCTGCTTGCTTCCAGATACAACAAGAGGCAGGCCAACAAGTCTGTCACATGATGCTACGCTCGTATTTTCCAACATTGTCGCCGACATCTAGTAGTTTCCCTCTCGCCAATTATCTTGGGATTCATTCTACCTCTTATGTTAAGACGAACAAACGCCACACCAGGTCGTCATCTAAAGGGTGATCTTAGGAGACTTGCATCCTGTTAGTCAGTATAGGGGGATCATAATGTGGTCAGCCAAAGGATTTTTTCTCGAGACTGCACTACGAGGCACCAACATGACTGACGCTCCACGCCGGCCGTGTATAGTCATTATTCACACAAAGCTCTGGGCGGTGCTCGCCTTATTCTAACATGCAAAAAAAAAAAAAAAAAAAAAAAAAAAATGAAATGAAATGAAATGAAAGTGGGGGGGATAATAATAAGCATAAGTACCTCATTGTCACAGTGGTAATTGTTGGAAGCTAGAGACTTTCGACCTCAATTTGACCTCTGCTGGATGGTTAGAGCCGCGTTCAGTTCGAGAGACATGTTGCTCCGGGGTGATTGGTGTGAAATCACGCAACCCTCCCTACCAGTATGCGGGCAGGCTTAGCTAATGATCTCACTGGATATGTCAAACCATCAACAACAATTTCCTTAAAAAACCACCTTCCAGAGCCAACAACCCCCCACTGTTGAACTTGAGAAGTTTTGCGAAGGTCTTCCTCGAGAATCCATGGCTTGGTCAGCCGGACGGCTACTGGAGTATCCGTTCCGAGACTTATACTAGTAATGGGAATATGGCTTTCCGGCAGCGCCGTGCAGCCTCCTGACTGGCCTATATCATGGCGGTCCCCTTTTACTCACATTTCCATAATCCAGATTGACTGACAAAAATTTACTCAGCCCAGCACTGTTCATTCCGGGAATTCAAACTGTCTGGAAATGGCGGAGGCGAACCAGGACGAGGAGGGATGTCTCCCTGTCTCTCGAGTGCGCCGGTCAAGCATAATCGCGACATTCGGAGAATTAGACGCTTTATCCGGAATTGAGACTCTCTCATCACAGGATATGGATCATTCACTCCAAACGTCTTACGAGAGGCAGCGAGTGTCGACAACGAATCAGTCCCTCGACGGTGACCCCCATCTCTCTGAAAAGGCCGTGGCTCATCATCTCGAGAAAATAGGAGACGAGAACCCCCCGCTTGAAAAGACCGTCCTGTACCTTGCTTACGGTTCGAATTTATACTCGGAGACATTCCTAGGGAGGCGGGGCATCAAGCCACTTTCTCGGATCAACGTGGTCGTCCCAGACTTGCAACTTACGTTCGATATTCCGGGCGTGCCCTACACGGAACCCTGCTTCGCAGCAACTAAGTTTCGCAATCCTGCAGGCGGGAAAGATAATGCAGACAAGGTTGAAGACAGTGGATGGAACGGACAGGCCGCCTCGGAGTGCTCGCGTCTCATACCCGGGGAAACCTCGGGCTACACCTCCAACATACCGCTTGTTGGCGTTGTATATGAGGTCACTCTCGCCGATTACGCCTGGATAATAGCGACGGAAGGTGGCGGACGTGGATACAAAGATCGAGTCGTTGACTGCTACCCGTTCCCCGAGTCCTATAACTCCGCGGATCCGATTCCTGAGCGTCCAAATACAAACCCCTTCAAAGCCCACACACTGCTGTCTCCCTTCGAAGAATCTTCCACGGGTACAAGTATAACTACATCTATCCCGTGCTTCAGCCCTCCGGTACGCCTCAACGCCCAGCCATCTGTTCGCTATCTCAACTTGATCGAGATGGGCGCCGCCGAACATGATCTTCCTATCGCCTATCGAACGCATCTCTCTATGATACAACCGTACAAGATCACTTCCCTGCGTCAACGTATTGGAAAGGTGGTATTTCTGGGATTTTGGGGGCCATCGCTGCTTCTTGTCCTTCGACTCTCGAGAAGCCTTGCGGGCACAGATGGTCGCAGTCCCGGATGGCTTATGAGTTTTGGAGATTTTGTATTCTCTGGGATGTGGCAGTCCTATGACAAGATATTTTCAAGGATCTTCAGTGACGGTGAGAGGACAGTCGATCATGATAGCACCTGATAACGGCATCTCAGCCTCGGCGAACTACGCCAGATCCACTGGCGAATCGATCAAAAGCGAGTCAACGCATGATACGAATAGATAGTAGTGACATATATGTATATATATATATTCAAGAGCTCTAGCAATCCACTCAACTTTCCGCGCTGGGAGGTCGAATATTTATACGAAAGCCCACAATCGGAAGCTAACAAAGGAAATTGTGACATTGGGGGTTCAAGCAACATTTTCAAAGGAGAATAAATATCTAAGGTACAGATACAAGTGTCCTGAGTAACATCTAACGAAATAGGCAGAGACCATCGAATAGAGTGACAGGTTGAAGGAAAAGGCGACGTGGAACCAACGTGAGTTGGAACATGGATTAGATCAAGGCTCGCTAGCCGCCTATATTCTTCCTCCGCGGTGTGCAATTCATACAGTCCGCTGCAACATTCAGCGCCGGGGAACGGGAGGGCTGTACACAATCTTTCTCGTCTTGATCGGGGACCACTTGTAACGCTTAACCCAAACGCTAACAGCGAACAGACCGGTGAGGAGGGTGATAGCCTTGACACCCATCTTCTTGCGGTCATCCATCTCGGGCTCGGCAGCCCAGTTGAGGAACTCGGTAACGTCCTTGGCCATCTGGGAGGTGGTGGCGGGAGTTCCGTCCTCATACTCAACAACACCATCGAAGAGGACACGACCCATGGCAATAGCTGGATAAAGTCAGATTTGACCCCGTGGAACTAGACACGACAAATGAATTATAACATACCGGTACCGGGGAAGTAGGGGTTGAAGTTCATGCCCTCCTGGACGGTAGCGCCAGCCGGAGGCTCATCGGGGTAACCAGTCAGCAGGTTGAAAATGTAGTTGCAGCCGCCGTGACGGCCCTTGACGATCAAGCTGAGATCCGGGGGCAGGGCACCACCGTTGGCAGCACGAGCGGCCTCCTCGTTCTTGTAGGGACCAGGGATGTAGTCGGACAGCTTTCCGGGGCGTTTCTCGATCTCGCCCTGGTCGTTGGGCTCGGTGTCGTATTCGTTCTCCTCGGCCATGGCCTTCATCTCATCAACGGTGTGCATAACACCGACGAACGAGCGCCAAGGCACACGAGTCAGGGAGTGGCAGCTGGCGCAGACTTCACGGTAGACCTGGAATCCACGGCGGAGGCTGAGGTGCAAAATATGAGTAAGGGTGCCGAAGTCGGGGACGGGCGACAATAGCTATTCGCCCGGATTTGGGGAACTCACGCCTGATGATCGAAGGTCTTGTTCCACTTGGCGTGCTCCCAAGGGTATGCGGTAGGGTGCAATCTTAAATTCGAAGCGTCAGCCTTTATCAACAGTCGAGCCGGTAAGGCGATGCCTCGGTCGGAGCAGCGGAGCAGCTAGCTACCCCCCGGCCATCTCCAAGGTATCACAATGGATCCACTCACCCCTCCTCAGCAGGTGTCATGGCAAAAGCTTCCTGGCCATAGAGATACGCGGCGGATCCGAGAGCGACAGCGGTAGCGGCGGACGCGGCAAGTGTGAGGTGGAAGGGGGAGCTGGCGGATTCGGCACCGGCGGACGAGGAAGACGCACGCTGAGGGGGGGATTAGTTAGTGGGAGACGTTCATGGAAGCCCTTCTGGTCGATTGGGAAGCGATTGTCCTCATCCATTGGGTTCAATGGGCATCAATGTCGGGGAAGTGCGTACCGTGGAGGTCTGGCTCAAGGACTGACGTGCGACACCCCGGAAGGGCACGCTGCGCAAAACAGTACGTGCCAGCATACTGACGATGTGATAGACCCTCCGGACAATGGGTATTCAGGAAGGCACGATAGCCACAGAAGGGGAGGGGGGAGGGGGAGGGGGGGGGTAAGGCTGGAGCGCACAGGGAGAATGTGCTTTTGGAGGTGAAGTCGAGGTTGGTCGAACGGGTCAAGTTTCTCTTGGGTTTGCGGATTGCCTAAACCCTCACTCTGATTGGTCACCGCCCCGGTTCTAACTGTCTTCGGCTGAAAACCGCGACTTTCCGGAACAACAATTTTCGGAGACCGCTTGACTGTTATGATGATGACAGCAGCCTCAACAAAGATTGATAAGCATTTCGAGGGGAGCTTGCAGGGAGATTCAATTGCTGGCATTCAACATCTAGCGTCTGGCTATGTTTCGATTACAGCGATCTCTCCATCTCCATCCTACGTCCCCGTCCGTCCTACGCAGAGCCGCGTACCAATCCTTCCGCTCTCATTGGCCGTTGGTCCGTGTCGCCCCCGAGTGCTCTTCCACCATCGCCTCCGCCTTCGCCTGGGTTTCCGACGCTATTCCCATGCGCAATGCTTGAATAGCCGTCCGTATATCATACCGGGCACTGTTGCTGTATAACACCAAGGAAAGGGCAGGTAATCGCCGGATGGTGCGGCCGCTAAGCCCCTAATGTACAGTCAGTCAGTCCCGGATGATCGATCCCCGTCCAACGTCGGCATCCCTCGCAAGGAAACGTCTCGACAACACTGACCTCACTCTCCAAAACTGCATCAGCCAGCAGCTTGGGGATTGCATTTGGGAACGTCTTATAGTGCAAGATCATCTCGTTAAAGGATGGTAGGATGAGCTGTTCCGCAGGCCGCTCCACATACTGCAACGGATCGTTCGGAGTGATCTGGACCACGTCAAAACAAGCACCTTCAATGATCCCATGTCGACCCAATTCCTCTAGACAGTCTTTGGAGATCTTGTAGACCGGCCTGGCAGCCAGTCGAGGAATATACTGTTTTATGTCGACGCGGTCGAGAAAGGCTTGGTCCTGAACGAAATGCATGAGCTATCGACTTCATCCAAATGGAACTTCCGATCGGACCATACCAGAGCTGTGACCAAGTTGCTTGTGCAGACAACAATCACATTCGGATGCTCTTTCAGCTTATCCAGGCCTGTCAATAGAGCGTTAACCGCCCGAATGGCATCGAAGGGCTCATTTCCATTCAATGCCCTGTCTCTCCGAGAGGCCAGTGTCTCTATCTCGTCTATGAAGACGCAAACGAAAGTATCATCTTCCTCCTCAAGCAACGACTCTATGTTCTCGAACATTCTGCCGACCAGCTTTCCACTCTCACCAAAAAATTTACTTCCTAGGGAATGCGCATTGACCTCGAATAGCTTGCTTCGAGGGTAATGCTTTCCCAGACGTATGGCAAGCTTTTGAGAAAGACCGCGACTAGATCGGTTAGCAACCGATAGCATGACACCTTGTAACTAAACGCACCAAAGGCTCGTCTTTCCTGTTCCTGGCGGGCCCCATATGAGGATCAACCTGTTCCATGTGATGACCCATTTACCAAGTCTTTGGACAGAAAATGACACTGCGCATAACCGTTAGAGAGGCTCCTCAGACACAGGTACAAGCAAGACCTCTTACCCATTCTACTTATAGCGGAAAGGAGCCTTGATTGTATTGGCAGGTCGAATTGCAATCTAAGCCATATAGTGAGTGAACTGCTCTTGAGTATTGGAAGACAGCAAGGAATCCGCCATAGTCTTACGACTCCCATAGCCCGTCCAGATCTATGCTCGGTAGAACCAGTATTCTTGCCCTTGAGTCATTATCCGACTCGTCTGCCGGACCTTCGAGCGACTGTGTATGCTGGGAGCTCTGCTGCTCGGGTTGTGTGTGGAGTTGGTACGCTTGGACGTCTAGCTCGACCTGCTGAAGTCGATATGCTCCAGTATCCAAATTTCCCCCGCTGCATTCGATGACGAGGATTGAATCAAAGTCCTGGGCGTACGACTCATTTAACCCTCCTATAGCGTCTTTAGAATGCTAGTCTGGGGCATCTTTCGCCTGCAGGGCCTTACCTACCGAATGAAGAGATCTCTTGTCCGATGGAGAGGGCGACAAAATTGTCCAGGAGCCATTTTGTAACCCCATCTCTGATCTACTGACCGGTCAAAGCGTTGGATCAATTGAAGAATAGGTTCGGCTGGAGACAGCATACCAGATCAGTTCGCACAATGATTCCGTCCTTGCTTTTAACAAGAGCCTCGACGTGCAGAATTGGTAGTTGAGAAACATCTGGAGGACTTCGAAAAGTGCTATCAAGATTCATTTCCGGTTTATGTGATCTACTTATGGAAACTGAGTAAACCTGCAACAACTTGAAAGGCAAAGGATGGCTGCTTGTTCGTGAAAACTTTAGGATGTAGCACTACGGCGGAAAGTTGGGAGAGTACACAGCGAACAAGCCATCTGCTACCAATCCGCTCTCAGCAGACCAACTACTACCTGGGAACTAGGCCACCTTAAATCTACCCACTCTTCAGAATATGAGATATGACCTGGTCAGTCAGTCTATCTTTATGTGAACCCAAAATAATCACAGCCAATTTCTACTATTTTGCACGTAGGAAGTGAACTAATGGAGTAGTGTGTGGTCTGGCACTGCATATCATGTTATGTAAGTGGATATATTAAAAACAACCTACTGGGGCTGATCAGACGCTTGGGCCTGGTGCACAGTACCTATGGTTGATGCGCATGTTCCAATAATAGTAGTACGATTATTGTTGAGGTTCCATTCACTTACAGCAGATACCACTACTAGTAGGTAGTAGGTAGGTCCCTTAATATATTTCACTGCGCTGTGGAACCCCCTCACAAAACACGAAGTGTGATGTCGGAGATTCCCATTGGGGACTCTCACCTAGATACAATGAGTATTATAAGCTATAGATCATCTTATGACAGCTCTGCTACCACACAGTCCTGCAGGGAAACATGCTTGTTGACTGCGACCTATCTACTATACTTTCCTTGGGGAGGTGAACGGTGAAGATGGTGAATCCCCCCGGAATGGAAATCTGCCGGCCGATCCAACCATGGATTTTCCGGGGTCTGCCGCCCATATGACGAACGGCCAACCAGCCCCCCTTTCGATTAATCCAGGCGATGGACAGCCCCATCTTTTGAACGAGCAGGATATGGTTCAACCATACGAACATAGCTTTCATGATCGATCGTTCCTCCTCCCTCTCCCTCCCGAAACTATCTCGGTGTTGTTTGATTTCGCAGGTCGTCTCCCGGTCGACAAATTGGGGCTGCCCCGCGGAGCGAGCTAGTCGGTCGGCGGACACACTGGAACCCTGGGCCTGACCGGCTTGCCCGCGCTGAGCTTCTGGAGCGTCTGACAGACGACAGCGTATCTCTCCCAATGCCGATTCGGTCACTACACGATGCAGAAAGCGAGGAATGGGCCAGGCACTGGGGTGAAGCCGCGCAAGGATGTTCTGGCTTCACTCAAAATGGCTTCGATGGAGGAAATCTCCAGGGCCTCCCTCCCGGCAGGTACGTTCCCGCATGCAGCAACAGGAAGCAGACAGGACGAGAGGGTGGAACACATCCTATGGGGTCAACAGGATTCTAACCTAGACTAGAGATCATGTCCTCAATCCTTGACTATCTTTCCCCAGTCGATCTTATACGAGCAGCTCGGTCGTCAAAACTTCTGCGCGAGATAGCATACGATGATACGAGATGGGTTCAGAAGCTGAAACGGATGGGATGCTGGGATGAGGTGGAAGCGAGAAAACACACGGAAGAAGTTTTTGGTACAATCGCTGACATGCCAAGTGTCGAGCGCCAAGAAGCTGTCGATGTGCAGCAAACGCATGGTGCGCCTGCTGGAAAGGGTTTGCAGGCCACCGAGTCTGATTTGAAATCCATTTCGGACGGATTCGACCAAATCAGACTTTCCACTGCCACCGCTGTCGATATATCGGACGGCTCAGACAGTGACCCAGTCCTGGGCGTGTTGAAACGAGTGAAATCGATACGTGGAGAGGCGCGCCAGGAGTATGGAAAGATACATGCGGCGCTGGCGCCATATTACGAGGACATTTCCACGTCCGGTGCCTCTCCAGACAATCTGCTTTTCAAACAATATACCGATCCGCTGCACCAAGCCATTATTCTTTCGCAGCTGCAATTGTTTTCCAAATGCGACTCCACGGACGACTGGCGTGAACGAGTCGCACGGTTGCAAACAGCTGTGTCGATGTTCGAAACAGCTGCTCTTAAGGAGTTCCGACATGGATATGAAACTGAGGACATTGACGACAGGATGAGGAAGTACGCTCATGTACTCTACACTTTGAACGGCGGAAGCGCAGCTGCTGAGCTTTTCATCCACCACAACCACCTTGTTACTCGAAGATCAGATCTCGGCAGAGTAGCGGATTGTATTGATCCCCTAGCGCAGCAGGTCAAGCTTCAACATACCCAGGTGTTTTTCACTCGACTGAGTGTGGCTTACAACGAAGAAGTCTCGATCATTAACCGCGCTTTCCCCCCGTCTTTGAAGGTTGCTACGCCTTTTATTGATAAGCTAGGACAGGATGTATTGTATCCGTTCCTAACCGCCATATTTGATGAGCTACATCGCTTGGATATCGAAGCCTACCTGACGGCCATTTCGGGGACTTTTGCCCAATGTCTCAACCTGTTGGACACGCTGTTACCAATTCAAAGCTCGGATGATAGTTTTGACGAGTTCTTGGAACGTGTTATTGTGAAATCATACGAACCTCACCTGGATCTGTATCTTGCAGAGGAATTGGATCATTTTCGAGCGGGGTCTGAGGCAGCTGTGGGGGAGTGGGATAGACAACTGCTAGAACAGGCAGCTTCAACTGAGTCATTCTTGATGTCGAACATCAATAGACAGGCGGATAAGCGGGACTTCCTGACCTCGTTCAAGAAAGTGATTATGGCACCGGTCGCTATTCTTCCCAGCTTTTCGGGGAACAAGGCAAATGAATCAAAACGGTTCTCGGAACCCACCCCTAGCGACACATCATCTTTGAAAAGCCCCAATAGATTCTCGACCATTGCTTCACCGACGACCCCTCCGATACTGGACGCTCCCCCGACCACGGAACTTGCAGCAAAGGCTGCAATCATGAAGTCTAAGATGGAGGGCATTCGGTCACTTTTTAGCATTGAATTGGCCCTGAGCCTAGTCCATGCGGCCAAATCGAGCTTGGAGCGTGCCGCGCAATTCGTCAAGATTAAAGGCGAGTACGGAATTGCCGTGAAGCAGCAGTGTGAGGCCATATTTGTTGCCCTGGTGCGAATTTTAGGGCACCGTCACCTGATCGGTGGCTTCAACAGGGCCGTTGACCACCTATCGAACTACCGGCCACGCGAGCAAGGGGAACGGGATCAATCCGGTGTTGAGCCCTTGGTCACCTTCCTAGAGCTGGTGAATGTAGGCGATCTCATTCTCCAAATGATCGACGTCTTTTATGAGCAGGAGCTCATCGGCACAAAACTGACGGACCGGAACGATTTCCTCGATCCCGCTGTGAAGGAGAAGAAGAAGTTCGAGCAAAACCTCGATGAACGTGTTGCTGCCGGACTCAACAAAGGAATCGATGTCCTCATGGAAGAGGTGGACTACATTCTTGCGACAAGACAGTTGGCGACCGACTTTAACCCTAGCATCTCCACTGATCCGTACAGGAGAACGATGGATGTTAGCATCACAGAAGCAGCTGCGGCTGTAGTTGATGTGGTTTCGTCTCATACGCAGATGCTGGTCGGAAGCACGGACAAGAGTATGCTGGACGTCTTTAACCAGGAAGTCGGACTGCGTCTATTTTCGGCTCTGTGCAAGCATCTCAAGCGACAAAGAATCAGCGTCGAGGGATCTTTAAAGCTAATCAGGTATGCTTATCCCATTAAGTCACCCACCTGAACAAGGCTGATGTCACCTAGCGATATGAACCATTATTTCAAGTTCATCCAGAATTTCAAGAACAATGATCTCCTTCTCTACTTCAAGGCGTTCCGGGAACTGTCGCAGATATACTTGATCGACCCTTCTGATGCCAAGGAGCTGGCTACGATCATCGCCGACGCGGATCGCTTCAATGGGATCTGGCGGGTGGAAGAGGTCTATGAGTTCGCTGAGCGCCGAGCGGATTGGTACCAGGTGAAACGGGACGTTGAACGAGCCATGTATGGGATTGGGTGTAATGTTATGTAAAGGATTATGCCCAGCATTATGAAGATACGGTGTATATAGAGCTACGAATACCCCAGGGCTTTGCCATTTGCCGCAGCGTTGTGTCATGGATAGAGAGGGTAGACCACGGGGTGATGCAACGATATAGATTGGATTATGTACATACACCTGGTCAATCTTCGAGTGAAATAGTTGACTGAAGGGTGAGCAGACCTGGGAGTTCATGGCTTACACTGGGTAATAATATCCAGTGATGTCAACATACTCTGTTCACGGTGAAGGTCCGGATCGCATTTCCAGAACCTTAGAATCCACATGTGCTTCTGGCCCTTCCATTCTGACATCAGGATTGAAAAAGCAAATACTACCCCTTCCCCCCGACAAAGAAGCGACGATGTTTCATAACAAAAGTCTTTGGCACCACGACTGCTTTATTGTCCTTGACAATCGGATATAGTGAAACCACCAGACAATCATCCCACCAGACCTGTCACTATCCCATTCCTAAACTTCAAAAACTAACCATGATACTCTGAATCTTCGCCGCAAACCCAGAGAGAATGATATTATACCGCAGGTTCTCTATCTCGACAGTAATCCCCCCCCTCCTTCTCCTTAGCGCCATCTCCCTCGCCGAACAAACCACCGTCGTCATCACCCTCGCCCCTACCGCTCCGCACCCACCCTCCTATACCTCCGAACAGACCTTCCAGGATGCCGTCCTCAGCGTCAGCAACGCTTACCGCAAAGCGCACAATGCGACCCATCTCCTCTGGAATGAGACCCTCACGACATACGCCCAGAACTGGGCTGACGGATGTAAATGGCAACATTCTGTGGGGTTCCTCCCTCCCTCCCTCCTTCCCTCCCCTCCAGCCAGTTCCCACTCCATAGTTATACCACGCCGATTATTCACCCCATACATACCGCATATTCATCAAGACAAAAAGAAACTAGCACATCCATGCTAACAAAAGAACCACCAACCAGCACGGCCCGTACGGCGAAAACCTCGCCTTTGGCTACCCGAACGCCTCCGCCGCGGTCACAGCCTGGGGCGATGAAGGCCTAGAGTACAATTTCCAGGAACCGACGGGCTTCACCGAGGAGACAGGACATTTCTCGCAGCTGGTGTGGCGGGCCACAACGGATGTGGGGTGTGCGGCGGTGAATTGCGGGTATGACGAGACGAAAAACGGGTCCGGGAGCTATGAGCGCCCCCAGGGATGGTATGTCGTCTGCGAGTATGCACCGCCCGGAAATGTCATGGGCGGGAATAAGCTGTTGGGGGACAAGGAGTTCTTCAAGATTAACGTGCAGGCGTCGAGTACGTACTCCGGCCCGTATGAGACCGGGTCCGCGACGGGGTCTGGGACCACCGCGACGGCGAGTAGTAGTGGTGCTGGCGCTCGCGAGAGAAAGACGGGGTTGCTGGGGTTAATAGTGGTTGTAGGTTGGGTAGTATTGGGATGATTTGTGCTTTGCTAAATAGGTCTAGTGGGTTAAAGTATCGATCATGTCATGGGAAGTTGTTTTGAAATCAAGTGCAATAAGCTACATGCGGCAGGCAGAACGGCAGGTTCATCATTGTCTGTCATCTCTCATGCTACCAACATCACATCACGCACATCAAAGTCCCACGCTTGGGAAATATGCAAACATAGATCTATTCACTTTTGATTGTTGTTCCAGACATACCCCCGGGCTGGAACCAATCCAAATGGATCACAGAAGAAGCTCACAGGGAGGGAAAATTGGGAGGCTTCCGAGGTTAAAAAAAGGGCGAGGATATCGACAGACAAGATGCAAGAAGAAGGAAAGGGAAATAGATGGAATGGAACACATTAGATATGGAAATGGACGCCCAATCAACCGATAACCTCTTCGTTCTCCTCGATGATCTCCTCCACAATCTCCTCCACCACCGTTTCGCCCTGGTCGTCGGACACGGCGGGAGCATCCCTGGCCTGCTTGGCCGAGTCGACGTCTTCCGGAACACCGAAAGCATCCTTGTCCTCGGCCAGGAACTCCTTCTCCCGACGGATCCAGGCAACCCACTCGTTGAGAACGCGCTTGCGCGTCTCCACAACAGCAGTGTTGGCAATGTCCACGGCGTACTTGTCCTCCTCGTCGAACTCCTTCGAGTATTCGCGGAGGTTCTTGCGCACTTGCTTCTGCTCCTCCTTGCTGAGAAGGGTTGCGGGGCGAGGGCGCCAGAGGAACTGCTTGAACTTTTCGGTGGGGTGTTCGGCAAGGGTCTGACCGGCGAAAGTGTGGATGTTGTAGCCGTTCTCCATCTGAAGGCACGGGCGTTGGTTAGTAAGAATAAAATGAACAGATAACCAGAAGAAGCTTACCGAGTGAGTCCAGACACTAGCACTGCTGACCACGTAACGGCCAGTAGGATCCCAGTCAATGTCCGTCACACCATAGTGCTCAACGGTCTTCATTAATTGAAGATTGGCGGCCAGATCCTTCTCGCCCTCAGGCTTCTCACCCTCGAAGTCCATATCCCAGAAATCAATGTCGAAGCTAGTTTGCGAGTGGACAGTGGCGACGACAACGAAACGACCCTTGGGCGACCAGTAGATGGCGTTGCTGTTCTTCTTCTCAATGGTGCGCACGAGCTTGAAGTTACCGGCGGAGACACCCTTCTTCTCGGGGGCGAAGAAAGACACGGACGTCTTTGGGAGAACCGCAGCACCACTGGGAGCCTCACCGTTTGTAATCAGGACGAAACGGCCACCGTTGGGCTCCCAAGCAAAGTTGATGACCGTATCCTTCAGGCTGTCGACGACTTCAACGGGGACACCCTTCTCGCGTACCCGGAAAATCTCCAGGTTGGTGGCCATGGACTTCTTCGACTTGGAGTGGCGGTCCACCTTCACACAGACGTAAGTACCTTGCGACTGCCAGTGCAGCTTGACGTCCGACACGTTAAACAGGTTACGCGTACGAACAATCTCCTTCGACGGGACGCTCATCAAAGCAACACGGGCCGGGTTGCTGCCAATTTCGGGAGTCCAGAAGCAGAGCAGCTGTTCGTATTGCTTGACGCCCTCGCGGTTGACTGTAGCGGGGGACCATTCGAAGTCCATAACACCATCGATCTTGACGGAAGTCTTGCCCAGCAAGTTCATCCGGGGCGTTTCGTAGATCGAGATCGACTGGCCTTGTAGCATTCTCGCGACGTACTTTTCGTCAGCGGACCACTTAAAAGCAGGCCACTGGACCTTCTTCTTGGGCTGGGCATCGCCTTCAGCACCGGGACCGGCAGTAAGATCGTGGGAAACAAATGACCGCAGGGGCTTTCCAGTGATAATATCCCAGATGATGATGTTCTTTCCGTCCTCCTCGTAGGTCAGGACCGGGTGACCTTCCTCGACCTGAATGGGGCGGGCGGACCAGGTGGTCAGGTAGCTCTCACCGGGCGAGAACTCGACCAGTTGCACAAAGGGGTGGGGGAACTGCTTTTGCTTCGAGAAGGCGGGTCCACCCCAGAGTTGGACACCCTGGGGGTGGACGGAGGCAAGGTAGGTACCCTTGGGGGACCACTGGACGAAGAGCTGCGTCCAGTGGGCGCGATCGACGACGTTCTCCGGGGGGTTGTTCTTGTTGTTCCAGAACACGCCGACCTTGTCGTTGCGGTAGAGGGCGAACTGGTCACGGGCATTGGCGTCGCCAAGCCATGAACGGAGGTGCTCCTTCTCCTTGAAGGGTTCGATGGTGGGGGGCTTGTATTCCTCATCGATGCGTCCTTCCCGGCCATAGCGGTCGATGTCCATGAGCTTGTTCACGGCGAGGGTGTGCTTCTTATCGAGGGGGACGCCGTGCAGTTGCTTGACGGCAGCGATGGCTTGTTCGGGGGTCTCGTACTCAACGAAGGCGAAACTAGAGGCCAGCGTTAATACTTCCACGATGTCCCCGCGCAGTTTCCCAATACATACCCTTCGGACATGTTCTTGTCGTTGATGGGCATGAAGACGGCATCTTCGGAGGTGTGGCCGACCGTGTTGAGCTTCCTCAACAAGAATTTGATGAGCTTTTGCCGGCTCTCCTCCGGCACGACGGGGAGCCCATCGATGACGACGAATGTATCCAAACCCTCCTCGATCTTGACTTCGTATTGTTCCTTCAAGTCTGCAGGGCGACGACGGGGGGGGGAGCGGCGTCAGCGACGAGGGGCACGGGGATGGCAAGGCAGGATGGACAACAAAGAGTCGCACTCACCGGAGAAGTCAATCTCCTCCTCCTCCTCCTCGTGGAGGTCCTGCTCAGTCAGGGTGTCGAAACTGGGCGCCATGTTTGCGGTCGCAGCGAACGGCGATAAGGGGAGGGTTGATACTGAGGCTGGAAGATCCTGTTCTGGATTTTCTGCTGGTCGACCCCGTTTTGGCTGATTTTAGGGCAAAAGAACAAATCCCAAACCACAAGCGCTTCTGTGTGCGATGTGATGAGTCAGGTATGTGTCAGCAGGTGTCACCTGACCTCTGACTGCCTGACTGCCTGAATCCACACTGTGACTGTAACTGTAAGATTACCTGCGGTACCGATGGTCCGCTCCCGTCCCCGGCCGTGCCACGTGACCCTTAAGTAAGCCCGCCCGCCCCAGCTTCTCGCCGGCTGATTATTGTCTGTAACCGACCTGTACATCGGCTTGGCTGGACATCCATCATAACAATCGCGATCCCACGCATCGTCCCGCTATCCTTTGCTGCTGCGGGTGATAGCTGCTGGTCGTTGTGGGCCGGCCCTCTCTACCTCTCTCTTTGTTCACTATCCCTATATCAATCCTCTCTTCCGTCTTATTTCCCTGCGGAATCTCTCTCTCTCCCATGCCCCGCCGGTCCTAAGCGCCAGCGCTACGCCCAGATCTAGACGATCCTCGCCAGTGCACGACCGCCGTGGCTGGTATCCAGCTGCCGATAGCCTCACTGACTCCCCGATCGTGCCCGGTCAGCAATTGACCCCATTAAAATTCAAAGCCTCCGGTCGGGTCCTGCATAAGGGACGGCAAGCAAAGCTACTGGCTCAAGATGTCGCGTAAGTTCGGAGTCTGATGTTCCCGGGTCGTGCTCCACGGCCGAGATCGCTCTCAACTGACATCATTTGCTTTCCTTTCCTCAGTCTCTCCGGATGCCCGCGATAAATACGTCCCAATCATTGATTCGATCTTAGCCAAGAGTGACCTGAATACCATCTCCGAAAAGCGCATTCGGAAAGGCCTTCAGGATGAGGTCGGCTATGATCTTACCCCGCAGAAGGTCTGCGCCCCGGCCTTTCGCTCTTGTCGCAAACTGCCCTTTCTTGGATCGCAATGGCCAATTTACTATAATGCTGACATGCGTGTATGCCTTAGGCTGTGATCAAGCAGCTCATTATGGAGCGGTTTGACATCTTTGCGGAGAAAGGGGGTATAGAAGCTGAACCCGAGAGGGCGTCAACAACGGCCTCAACCAGTAACGGCCGTGGACATGACCATGATTCCGCAACCCCTGCGGAACCCTCATCTCCTGCTCAATCCTCAAATTCCCAGAAACGTCAAGCGGACAGTGAAGATCGTTCCGATCATTCGAGCAAAACCCCCCCAACTAAGAAGCAAAAGCCCGACAACGACATCGATGCGGATGCCCTATTCGCGGCAAAGCTTCAGGCGGAAGAGAACATGCGGGCTCGCCAGACCCGCGGGGCTGGCACACGCAGAGCCCCGCCCGTGAAGAAGAAGACAGCGTCGACAAAGGCGAAAACTTCGAAGAAAGTCAAAGCCGAGGATGATTCTGATCTTGAATCGGGCTCGGACTCTGGGAAGAAAGTAAACCGATCTGGCGGTTTTCACGTAAGCAAGGCCCCGCTACTGGTGAGATCGGGGCTAACTGTTCCCTAGAAACCTTTAAATCTTTCCCCGGCGCTTTCGGCATTGTTGGGTGGGGAGGTGACGGTACGAATCCCTCAATCTTCTCATTGTCAATCACACGAATGGAAACGCTGATAACATCATAGCTCTCCCGGCCGCAGACGGTGAAGAGACTCTGGCAATACATCCACGAGCATGACCTTCAGGACCCCAGCGACAGACGCCAGATTTGCTGTGACGACGCAATGCGCGCCGTCTTCAAACAGGATCGTATACACATGTTTACGATGACCAAGATTCTCAGCCAGAATTTGTATAGTCCCGATGAATAACCCTTGGTATCTAGTAGAAGCTACAGCAATGCTCTACCTCCAGGGCAGTGCAGCGTGCAGCGGATACACCGCTGCTTTTACGAATATCCGATTTCTATCCACTCGACAGCATTTGGAACCCAGGCGCTATAGTTGTCTTTCATTCCATTCTTTTTTTCTCCCTTTCATTCCCCCATTTTAGCTCCTCTTGCACTCACTGCTACTCTCATTGGCGAAATGACTGCCCTCTTTCCTTGTGTGAATTTGCTTTTCTCTCCAGCGGGAGTTGGTGCTGCCTGTCAGACAGGCGCGATGGATGTTACTATCTAGAGATCATATACGTTTATTGGGATGGACTCATACAGTCCGTCGCGTCATTACATGATATCACCGCAATCATGGCCGTCATGGCCAAGGCACGTACTCAAGTAAGGAGGGGGAGGCTCGGAGCCGTTGGATTAGCCACACATAGGGTCAACCATAACCGAACGGTCCAATATGAGCCAGAATGAGTCACGGCACGACCCAGGGGGAGATTGTCGAGTTCATTCACGGTCGAGCCTGTCGCAATCTGGGACAGGGGGAGGGGGGATTGCATGGCTGCTCACTAAGCATGCCGCCGACCCAACTTTTTTGCCCGCCCGCTCGTACTTGAAAGCTGGTCCCTCCGCTGCAACTCCGGCTTATCACCCCTCCATAGAAAGAACCGCCTGGTCGCATAGGCTCACGGGAGCGCAACGCTCGTCTCGTTCCTGGCCGCTTCTGTTCGGGCTTCTGCCCCTTCATTTCCCCTCGTGAACGTCCCCTCCTTCTCTCTCCGCTCCAATGTCTGAAATTCAACCCGCCCACGCCCCCGGATCGCAAGGCCAACCCCCCCGTGGTGGTCGCCGACGAGGACGGGGCGGAGGCTTCGGAGCTGCCCGCCAATCTGAACAATCTGAGAGCCAACAGACTCCTTCCCACGCTGGTCCCGGAAAAGGCCAAAGATCTAGAGGTCATGGCTCCCGCCGAGGCGGTGGCGCCGGAGGACGCGACAAGCAGGCTCGTCCTGGGAACAATTCTGAGCCGTCTGCGGATGGTTCAGCTGGCGGACAGGCTTCTGAAGGCAAAGCAAAGCAAGCTGTTGCGGCGGCGACAGACGATGCGGATGACGGCGAAGTCTGTTTCATCTGTGCCTCAAAAGTCGAGCACACGTCGATCTCGCCCTGCAACCATCGGACTTGCCATATCTGTGCCATTAGGTTAAGAGCTCTGTATAAGAACAAGGCTTGTGCACACTGTCGGGTACGTGTTCTGCTTGGTGGCATTCCACGTGTTGCCTCAGGATATATGCTAATATATGCTCTGCTGTAGACGGAATCCAGCCATGTCATCTTTACGGACGACCATGCGAAGCGCTTCGAGGATTTCACAGACAAGGACTTCTCCCAGAAGGACGACAACCTCGGAATCAAATATGAGAACAATGACATTTTTGAGGATACAGTCCTGCTGCTGCGGTACAATTGCCCGGACAGAGGCTGTGATGTGGCTTGTTTGGGATGGCCTGACCTGCACCGTCACGTCAAGAGCAAGCATGGCAGAGTGATGTGGTATGTCCTCCGCCGAAGGATACCTTGGGCTGTGCAGATACTTATGGTTACCCCCCATTATCTAGTGACCTTTGTACCCGGAACAAGAAAGTATTCACGCATGAACACGAACTATTCACCAACGCCGAACTACGCAAGCATGAGAAAAGCGGAGATGATGTACCCGGTGCCATTGATCAGAGCGGTTTCAAGGGTCACCCTGAATGTGGTTTCTGCCGGCAGCGCTTCTATGGCGATGATGAACTCTATGCCCACTGCCGCGACCGTCATGAACGATGCCACATCTGCGATCGACGGTCTGGAGGCCGTCAACAGCAATATTACGTTGACTACAATGCACTCGAGGGCCACTTCCAGAAAGACCACTTCCTCTGCTTGGATAAGGAGTGTCTAGAGAAAAAATTTGTTGTCTTTGAATCCCAGATGGATCTGAAGGCCCATCAACTGGAATGTCACCCTAATGGGCTCTCTAAGGATGCAAGGCGTGATGCGCGGCTCGTGGATCTATCATCATTCGACTACAGAACTCCGTATCAGCCCCAAAACCAACGTCGGGGCGCTGGCCGGGGACGCGATCCCAACTCGGAGCCCTTGCCGGTATCTACCGCCCAGCCATTGACCAGAGCCGAGATCGCCTATCAACGGCAGATGGCTATCCAAAGCGCGCAGTCGGTTTCAACCCGCAGTTTCGGCGGCCAGCTCACTCGTGATGACACCCAACCGGTACGTGCTCCTGCTCGATCCGCGGGTGCCACGCCCACCGCAACGCCCCAATCGCATCAACCCCAGTCGCCGAAATGGAAAACCTCGGCCTCGCTGCCGACTCGGGCTCCGCCTCTCCCCAAGAACAAGCACGCCGTCTACGCCATGCGGCAGTGGTCGAGAGAGCCTCGAATCTCCTGAGCAACGACCAGAACAAAATCAAAGAATTCCGAACCAGGGTGTCCAGCTACCGCACCTCCTCCATCACCGCAACCGAACTCATCGATGCCTTCTTCTCTCTATTCGATACTTCCAGTTCCGAACTGGGTAAACTGGTTAAGGAGCTCGCCGAAATCTACGAGGAAGACAGCAAGCGAAACGCACTGCTCAAGTCCTGGAATGACTGGCGCGCAATCAACGAAGACTATCCAGCTCTCCCGGGACCCGGCGGCATACTCCCCGGCATGTCCCCGGAGACCGTGAACGGAAGCGGGATGGGAGGCAAACGTGTTCTGCGCTTGAAGTCCTCAACTGCCCAATCCTCCCGTTCGGCCGTCGGTAGAAGCGGCGCCTTGCCTTCATCGGCATCCTCCGCCAACCCCTTCCCTCCCCTCTCATCCTCCTCCGCTCGCTCCACCCCTCGATCCTCCACCCCTGCCAGATCCACCCCTTGGGGCACTCCAGTTGCTGCCACAGCACCCCCAACATCATCTCTCCGCACTGCTGCCACCTCCCGTCCCACCTCCCGCCCGCCTTCCCGCCCTGTCAACACGAACGCCGATGCCTTCCCTGCTCTCCCTGCCGCAGCAAAGCCCAACGTTCTCATGGCCGGTCTCACCCGCGGAACCGTCCGCTGGGACGACCGTCGTGCGCCCCAAGCAAACGCCTGGTCTTCCTCGTCCCCGAACGAAGCGGGTAGCAGTTCCACCGCGGACGATGACGGAGACTTCCCTGCCGTTGGAGGCAAGAAGGGCAAAGGGAAGAAGGGCAAACAGACGCTGTTCCATTTTGGATGATCGTATTGCCTTTCTTTTTCGAGTGCATCCTTCCCACATATACAGAGTCGGATTTTGTCTATGCATAGTTGCTGTTCTTTGCTTGTTCAGCTGATGTTTTTGAGCGAGTCATATCATAACATTAGAGTTTCTGGAGGTAACAATAAAAGCTTGCTTGTTTCGCTAGATTTCTAATTCAATCATTCAGAAATAGAACGGTCGTTTCCAGTCTCAGAGGGAAAGAAGAAACACGGGACATGCAGCCATGGCTAATACGGTTGTTGAAATTACAAATTGCGCACCCTTCAGATCCAGTTATGAACTGTTGTCCCACTCATCATCATCATCATCTTCTTCTTCATCTGCCGAGTAATTGTCGTCCGATAGCTCCCGCGAAGGGGATTCAAAGGGCCTTTCGGGTAAGTCTTCGCTAAACTCTATCATGGACTCTTCAGAAAATTCGGCGGAAGGCCCAATAGCAGACGATTCAAGCAGAAGATCATGGTGAGAATCTTCCAAGTCAGTGTCGAAATCACTTGGGGCCCTCAGCGGTAGCTCCGGGGATTCGTCCAGAGCGAAGTTACTCAGCTCTTTCTCGGTATCAACACCCTCCATATCAGAAAAGTCATCGTCTTCCGTAAACTCCTCATTGAATTCCCAGGGGGATCCATGCTCTGCTCTCGCAGAATCGTGATAATTGCGTGAGTATGCACCCTGTGTGACATTGCTTGTACTCTCCGCCTCGCCGACACAGGCAGCGTCCTCATCAATGGCAGCCATACGTAGCGCGAAATCATCCTGGAGTCTCCTCAACCATTCTCTAAGGGCTTCATCTTCCAGGGATCCATTTCGGCCTAGCGTTAGTTGTTCTTTTAGGGATAGAATCAGCTTGCGTCTGCGTGTTACCGCTAGCGCTCTCGACTTGCTATGTCGTCGTTTCGTGAGTTGGTTTAGCTTCTCGGACACCTTCTGTGCGGTCTCCAAGATGCCAGGTTGGAATCCAACGAGCTTGGCGAGCGCAAGACCGTAGAATTGGTTCGTGTCGGGCCCTTCCGCAATTTTGTAGAGCATAGTCATCTTTGAAGCATCGGACGATATCTGGGCCTCGAGATGAAGACTTACGACTCCGTTGCGTTCGCCCATTATCACGGCGAGGTCACGGAAGTGGGTAACGAACCAGACTAATGCGTGGCTTTCTACCAGGGCTTCTGCGATGGCTATGGCGATGGCTAGGCCGTCTGTGGTGCTGGTGCCACGACCGAGTTCGTCGACAATGACCATGCTCCGGGGTTCGATGTGCCTGAGGATGAATGCAATTTCACGCATCTCTGCAGCGAAGGTTGAGACATTAGCTTCCAGGTCGTCTGCTGTGGAGACCCGTGCAAATAGCTGATGAACGATTGGAAACGAAGCATATTCGGCTGGTATGAAGCACCCAATTTGTGCCATCACGGTCATCAGTGCCAGAGAGCGAATATACGTGGACTTCCCACTCATGTTGCAGCCCGTTATGATCTGGAAGCGAGACTGCCGTGTTGCATAGGCATCGTTAGGGATAAATTTCTTAGCGTGTATCTTCTCGCGGATCGGATGTCGCCCAGATTTGATAGCGAGGGTATCTGTCAGTTCAGGTCGGATGTAGTCATTAGTTGTAGCTAGTTGAGCGAACGCCACTAGCATGTCAAGTATAGCAATGGCCTCACTAACTTTGAAGAGACCAGAAATTTCGGTGCATATATCTTGAATCAGTTCCTGTACGGTTTCGTCACTCATGTTGACGACTTCGTTGTGGGCATCTGTTATCTTTTGGTTGAGCTTCACCAGGTCGAGCGTTTGACATTCTATACGATTTCTTTTGCGGTAGACGTTGATAAAGATCTCGGGCAAGGGATCAGCTTCCGTAGCTGATAGGCTAATATAATATTGACGAGCTCTGTCAAATTTTAGATCCAGGGCAAGACTATATGTATCTAGAACTGTTAGAAGCAGAGTCGAATTTGAATGCTGAAGGGATTCTTACCTGCTAGTCCAGCGACCATTTCCGCGGCATCTGTATTAGCTTCCTTGTACGTCTGCCTTGCGACATCAAGGAGACTGTTGACACCAGTCTAGGATCACAGTATAAGGCAACTGAGGGAAAACGGGCGTGTATGGGGTATTTACTCTAATACAATAGATTCGCTGGTTCCTGAGGTCGAGTGGTCTGCTCTGGTAGGTAATATGCTCGTTGAGCGTTTCTTCGATCATCTGCTCAACTGCCTGGTGGCATTCCGGGGCACATAGCTGAGATTGACTAATTAGCTTGATCCTACCCGGTGTCAAAGCTTAGATACTTCTCTAATTGTTGACAAAAGGCTACTCTGAGCCGCCGTGAGCGAGTTGTAGACTGAATTGATGGAAGACACATATGTCTTGACCATGATAACGTTGTTCACACATTGCTCGATGTATGAAAAGGCTCGTTTATTGGGAACAAGAATAAGCTGAGGTGTTAGTCAGATTGGGGAAGAAAAAGTGCAGTACACTTACCGATGTCAGAACTTTGTCTGCATCAACAAACCCTTTCAGAGCTATTGTACATGTGAGAGACCATCGATATCCACTATGGGCAGCAGAAATTGTAAAATCGCACCTTCCATGACCGATGCAAGCATTTCCTCCTTGGTGAATAGTTCTTCAACAGCGTCAAATCGTGCTTGCAATTTCGGCTCCTCCGTCGAAGGCTGAAGGATATTGGCTCTTAGGAGTCTCCCACCCATGGGGGTCAGAGTATCGTTCAGTAGTCCGTATAGGCTGTCCTTTGATTTCACACTGTGAATATTCTGGATCAGTTCCAAGGAGACGATGGTGGACAGATCAATGGACATCGATCCCTGAGAGGGTTCGAATCTGATACGGAGAGTGTGGCTAGCAAATGTTTTATTAAGCTCAAACTCGATATACTTGAGGGCCTGCAAGGGTCAGCCAGTCTCATCGCTAGCATTTCTGCGGAGCGCATACAGCAGCAAGGCAGCAAGCCGCGAAGTAATTCCCTCCCAGGATGATCTTGATGGAATCGACATCTTGCAAAAAGGCAAGTCGGTCCGCATATTCATAACCCACCCTCTCGGACCAGAGATTTCGATCTAGAAAGGTGAATGTTGTGTCCTGGAAATTTTCCTGGATGATGTAGGATAGTTTGGATTCCTTTGCAGAGTTCATAAATAGGATCTCCGTCGGCTCAAACACTCCAATCTTCGTCACAGTTTTGACATAAGTCTGGGTGTGGCAGATCTGACAGAGAACAGTTTCGGCCGTAGAAAGATTGACAAAGGCTAGACCAACCGTCGACGAGACTCCGCGAGACTCACTGACCGCGCAGATGATGTCCTGCGAAGCGACGCTTGTGGCCGTCGTAGTCGGTCTCGGTGTTCTAGGGAGCGTGCTACCGGTTCGGGATAGGGGCACGAAGGAGCTCGCCCCTCTAACGGACGATGCTCTAGAGAACGAAGCGGACATCGTGACGACATGTCCTGCGATGAACGTCGGGGAGTGTTGGGAGGAGGAGAGGAAAGTGGTGCAGACGATATAGTAGAGCTTCCATCCGAAAGTGGCTTAGCGCCGATGGCAGCCACTCCCCGCGATAAGTCGGCCTGATTATCTTTTTTTTTTTTTCTGAATTTCTTCCTCGACCAGACAGAAACCTCCCCCCGAAAAAAATCGAAGAGCGACACCATGGCGACTCTTCTTCCTCCCCCGACGAAACGCCAGAAGACCGAGACCGCTGAGCGGGCCCGTTTGCAGCAGGAGATCCAGAGTATCCCGGAAAATCTGGGCAGCATTCGAGTGCAATTCTTCGACCAGGCGACGGGATCAGCCACCGGGCCGGCGGTGTCCGTCCCTGTAGCCGATGCCAGTGTGAAAAATCTCGAGACCCTTCTGAACACGTTACAAGGCAATGTAGGTACGCAGCGTGAGGCGCATTGGCGCTCGTTGGCACCTAGATACCTGCAACTAATCGCATTCGTCCATCCCGCAGGAAGATGATGATGAACGAGTACCGTACCGGTTCACCTACCAGTCCGACGGCAAAGAGAAAGACAACCAGACCATCGACATTCTATCCGACTTGTACCATTCCCTCCTCAAGCCTGGTGTCAAGACAACCGAAGACACCGTCCACCTTTACTTCACCCCCCAAGCCGTTTTCCGCGTCAAAGCCGTCTCGCGATGCTCGGCATCCATCGCCGGGCATGGCGAAGCAATCCTTGCGACCTCCTTCTCCCCCGTCAATTCGTCCACAATGGTCACGGGCAGCGGTGACTCCACCGCCCGCATCTGGGATTGCGACACTGGCACTCCCCTGCACACCCTCAAAGGACATACCAGTTGGGTGCTGGCCGTCAGCTTCTCGCCCAACGGCGCTATGATCGCAACAGGTAGCATGGATAACACCGTGCGCGTCTGGGACGCAAAGAAGGGCCAAGCCTTGGGAGCTCCCTTGAAGGGCCACGCGAAGTGGATCACCAATCTCGCCTGGGAGCCTTACCACCTACAAGAGTCCGGCCGGCCGCGTTTGGCCTCCGCCTCTAAGGACTCGACGGTTCGCGTATGGGATGTGGTCTCGAAACGGATCGATTTCGTTTTGACCGGCCACAAGGGCTCGGTTAGCTGTGTCCGCTGGGGCGGCACCGGGAAGATCTACACGGCTTCCCACGACAAGACCATCAAGGTGTGGAATGCCCAGGACGGCACCCTGATCCAGACGCTATCCGCGCACGCACACCGGGTGAACCATCTGGCTCTATCCACCGACTTTGCCCTCCGCACAGCATACCACGATCACACCGGCCAGGTGCCGCAGTCGGAATCCGACAAGGTGGCTGCGGCCAAGAAGCGGTTTGAGCAGGCCGCCACCGTCAACAACAAGATCGTAGAGAAGCTCGTCTCGGCGAGTGACGACTTCACCATGTACCTGTGGGAACCCGAGAACTCCAACAAGCCGATTGCCCGGCTCCTAGGTCACCAGAAGGAGGTCAATCACGTCACATTCTCGCCGGACATGGCATACATCGCATCGGCGGGATTCGACAACCACGTCAAGCTTTGGAACGGCCGCGATGGGAAGTAAGTATTCAGATACCTGCCATCAATTTTTTTTTCTTCTCGGATACCTAACAATTCCAGATTCATCACCACCCTGCGTGGGCACGTGGGCGCCGTCTACCAATGCTGTTTCTCCGCCGACTCACGACTCCTCGTATCCTCATCCAAGGACACCACCTTGAAGGTCTGGAATGTGCGGACGGGCAAACTGTCCGAGGACCTGCCGGGCCACAAGGACGAGGTATTTGCGGTAGACTGGAGTCCGGACGGGCAGAAGGTGGGCAGTGGCGGTAAGGATAAGGCAGTGCGGATATGGAGAAACTAATGAATATCACTGATACTACACATGATCACCTCCCTCCCGTTACGTCTGATCGTCTCTCTTCATTATTTGCAAGATATGATATATATTGGAATAGATACCCTTATTTCGCACCCGCAGGGGAAAAAAAAGTTTCTCATCACTACTAGTACAGACAGTGTTTCTTGACAGTTCTTCCAATTTAGACACCAAATCCAATCACTCGTAGTAGTATGTACATTCGTTAAAACAGGCAGACATAGGGAGGCAGTACTACCAACCCCTCAGATTAAATTAAAGGTACTCCCAAGCGGCGGCAGTGCCGTTGGTCGGGACACCCAGGGCATCAAAACCCAAGCAGTCATCCACATTGCCACTGGGCACGGTGGCATTGCTCACGGCGGCAAACACCTGCCACTTGCTGTCCTCGGTGGGACAGGCCATGAAGCCGGAGGCGCCCCAGCCGTTGAAGGTCCATGATCCGAACTCAGTCCCAGGGGTGTAGACGAAGGGCCCCAGGGAAGAGCCGGCGGGGATGTAGGCCGAGTGGGGGACGGTGAAGGACAGGGCGCCGGAAGGGTTGACGTAGACTTCCTGGCCGCCGGGGACTTCGACGCTCTGCGAGAGAGAGAGAGAGAGAGGCGGGCGTTAGCAGGGTGGCTGGGAGGAAAGAGAGGGAGGGAGCAGGGAGCAGGGAGCAGGGGGTGGGGGTTTACCAAGCCGGAACCCGAGCCTGCGAAAACGGTCTCAGTTCCCGGGGGGCAGAGGGCGCTGCTGTTGCCGAAGGGACAGTAGGACTCGGTCTCGCCGCCTAGGTAGAAGGCGCTGCCGGCGGCGTTGAGAGGCAACAGGTGGATGGGGGAGCCAGAGCGGGCAGACATGACGCCGAAGGCAGCGGTATCCCGGGTGACCTTGGAGGAGGGGGCGGCGGCGGCCAGGAGGGGAAGGAGGGAGGAGGCGAGAGTGAGCTTCATTTTGATTAATTCGGTTATGTGTCCTGTGTTCTGTATAAAACTAGTGAACGGTTCTGGTGCTGGGGAAGGGGGAGACCGGATGTGATGTCTGGCCCCGTATTTATATTCAAGCCATCAGGGGCGAAGAGGAGTGGTGAAATTGCAGATCGCCGATTCGAAGCAGCAGGTTGATGGATATCCAGATTATTGGAGCTGCAAGTTTGCAGAAGGCCGGCGGAACGCGCCGCTCATGACCGCACTCCATCCTACTCCTCCTACTCCTTTTAGCAGGTAGGGAATCTGGATCGTAGCCTATCAGGCAATCTGGATTCTAGCAGGACATTGGCGATGGGCCACCCAAGGTGAAACCGCATCAGAGCGAGCCGAAAAGGCCACTCGGATGGGGGAACTGGAGAGGCATGACGTGAGGTCTTCCCGACTGTCTCACATTTGCTCCGAGACACGGCCGGCCCGGAGCCTGCGAGCCTGCGATGCGGTGGGGGATAGTAATCATAGAAAGGACCGTTAAGGGTGCTCAGGGTGCCGATCAGCCACGGGGTGAAGAATGAGGATCATCCATCAGCCTCGGTTCAATTAACTAAGGGTTAAGATGTGCACGTCATGCATGCATGGTGGCCAGCTGGTGCACCGCCACAGCTACGGTCATTTATGGCTGGGTCGGTCATTTTCATTCCTCTCGCCATAATAGGATACAGAAGATAGGAGGCGGAAAATCGGGTAGTAATCAAAGCCAACCAAGAGCAGCCAGGAAAGAAAATAGATAGCAAATACCAGTAGGCGACAAAAGCCAAACGACACCGGTCCGGATACAAGTACACCCACCCACCCAGTTTCAACAAAAGCCAACACCACAGAGCCCGACCCGTAAGAAATGCGTTGAAGAAATCGGAAGTAGCAAAAACAGTGCGCCCCAAGGTATCCCAAGCTAGCAAACATCCCGCCTCAGTCATAGTCCTCCCCACCATCATCCCCATCGCTGTGGCGCCCCCGGGGTCCCTTGACCCCATCCTTCCGGATGGGGATCTTGATCCCCTGCAAGGCAAAGCATTTGCTGATCGACGTGCTCTCGATGACGCCCGGGAATTTCTTGGCGGAGTAAACTTGGAACGGATCGGAAAAGACAGAGGCCAACACCGGCGCAGACCCGTGATTGATCACGGACACCCCCCCATTGGACGAGTCACCGGATTGGGTGCCCACGTTGACAAAACTCATCTTGAGACTGGGCCGATCATCAGCATATGTCATGACACCACCAGAACAGGCAGCTGAACTCACCGGAAAATCCCCTCTGTGCGCACACTCAAATCCTGCAGGATAAACCACACGCCAATCTTGTTGTCGGGGTCGGTCAGCCGAAACGCGCTGGCGCTCAGACTGCCAATCAGATTCCGTGTGAACATTCCGCCCGGCCCAGAGGCTACAGGCTGCGTGGGGGAGATGTTGGCAGGTGGCATATGGCCGCCAGGGTAATAGGGTTGGTAGTAATGCGCCTGCGGATTGGCCGGGTATGGGTTTTGGTATGGCAGCTGCGGGTTGCCGCCGTAGTAACTGTTTATCTGAGGGTATCCAACTGACTGCCCGTAGGTGTTCGGCGCGTAGGGGGGAAATGAGGGCGAGACGCTGTGCGGCGGCGGCGGGTATGAGGAGGACATGGCAGTGGATATCGACGGAGAGGTGGCAGAGTGTTTGACGAGATTCACTTCGCTGGTACCTTCAGCGTTCCACAGGTCGACCATGAGTACATAGAAGGACGTATCGATCTCACTAGGATGTTCGGTTAGTCGATATTCCAGACGGAGGGTGTGCGCGCGACGCGGACATACTTGATATCAATCTCTTTTTCGGTTTGCGCATCTCTGACAACCAGGCGGATGCAGGGAGGAGGTGTGATGGGTCGCCGATCCTGGGCGCGGGTAAGCTCTTGCAGGAGAAATGGGGAAACTCGAGACGGAAACCGACCTTATCTCCAAAGCCACACATCCGAGCGCGAACAGGCTGCTGCCCCACCATCAGCGACCAAATGCGACCATCATGAACGGTGGAAAGCGGTGCTAGATGACTTGATGAAGCCATCGCGCCGGCGGGCGGTACGGGCCCGGCGGAGCCCGGAGTGGGATATGATGACGATGGAGGGGGGATCCGATCCATCGAGAGAGGAGGTGGTGGAGCTGGTGCCGTGTGCGTCCGGTCGTCCAGAGCGTACATAGCACTCATCGCTTCGAGAGAAGAGAAACTGGAGGGAGTGGCGGATGGAGGGGCGAGTTACCCGAAGCAGCAACGAGGCTCGCGACGGTTAAACCCAGTCTGCCAGACGCATGTGTTAGATCATGATCACATTTGTTGTAGCTGCGGCGGCCGTGGCAGCAGCAGCAGCAGCATATCCAGGAGGCTCAGACTTACGTCGTACAGACGGCGATGCGCGATGCCAGCGTGAAGCTAACAGGGGACAGTCACCAGTGGATGAGCCGCAGGGAAGAGCTGTCAAAGTGCGGGAGATTCACTGAGCCTTCCACGGATCGTCCGCAAGATCAAGGGTTCCCCGACGTCTTCCACTCTTATCCGGAGGGTCGCACAGGAACAGGGGCCTGCAGTGGTGAACGAATGGCGGGAGTGTGAAACTGCAAGCCAACCCAAAGCCGAGACAGCACACGAACGGGGGACGCGTGGGAGGGGGGTGGGAGGCGAGGCCGTGAAAAGGCGGGGTTTGCTGAAGAGGGAGGTGGTGGGAGTGATGACCGTGAGGAGACGGAGAAAAGAGGGGAGGAGAAGAGAGGGGAGGGGAGAGAGAGGGAGGGGGGGAGGAGAGAAGAGTGGTAGACAGATAGAGTGGTAGTGGGTAGGAAGGTAAGGTAAGGTAGGCAGAGGTAGGTAGTGGATAGTTCCAGAGTCGTAGTGGTTGGTGCGGAAAGCAGAAAATCCCAGATTGGGGGACGAATGCAGAGGGAGCGAAAGTCACGGGCAGCTGTCGAGGTCCAGACCAAAACCCGGTGGGAGGGGAACTGTCTACTGTGTGCTACTACTAACTTATGAGCTCATTATTATTCCGGCTGCGCGTCACAACGGCCTCGTCGGTCGCAAACTACAACTGGTGGTTTACTAGACTCAAGTGTCCCATACTCTGTATCATTCGCATATCAATCAATCGAATGGCTTGCAGAATGCTCTGACCCAGGAACCTAGGCTGGGGGGATCCCACGGGCAGCAGTGTTGGGCACAGCCTGATCTTGCCGTCCCTAGGTCGGCTGTAACTAAGCGTCACGGATCAAGAGGCGATCAACCCGGCGCAGGAACCTCACGACCCAGCCGGTCGGGTTCTGTTGTGCTCCCGCCCCGTCCTCACTCCATCAGTCACCGGGTAAGTAAAGAGTTCATTCTCGTACTCTGTACTTCTAGTTTGTATTACCATCATGTCCCTAGAAACCTACTTCTACCTAGTACCTCCCTCGGTACCTAGAGTTGAGGCTGTTTTCCCTTTGTTTCCCCCTTCTATTCTCTTTCAGTTTCGCTTTCTTTGTGTCTCCGATCAGTTTCCCCTCCAGTATTAGCCGTAATTAATTTCTTATTTCTTATTTGTCATTTGACCAATCGCAATCCCACGAACCCATGACAAAGAGCAGGCAGCGAGAGAAAGAGTCTCCTTCAGTTTCTGCAGTCGTCAGCTGCTGTCACTGCCGCCATCGACAATGTAACTCTGGATGAAAGATGATTCAGAGTTCAATTGACCCCGGCTGAGTTCCGTGCCACCACCAGCTGGCAGCAGAAGGCCAGGTGGGGAACATCAGCCCTGTTCCAGCCAATCCACTCCATGGCCGCGGATCCGTCGGTGCAATGGATCCTGCATTGATCCAATGAATGGATCCCAACTTCCGAATCAAATCAAGAAATAACCGTTTTCAGCGACGGAGATCCATCAACGTATCTAGTATCTATCTACCACCTTGCGGAACAAGATATCTACCAGGCCTGTCGACTAGTACTATGACCACACTTCTTAGTGTTCTTTAGTGACATCGCAAGTCAGGGGGGGGGATGGGCTGATTGGTGGCGAGGCAAGATCGCACTCCGTCCAGGCGGATGATCACCTTCTGCCCCTACCGTCGTACCAATGGGAACCCCCCTGGGCCCGGTCGGGTGCGGCGCCGGTGGATCGGTAAGCTGGAAGACGGTTGATTTATCCACAGCTGCGGCCATGGCATGGCGACTTTGTATTATTAATATTGTTACTCTATCTAGTCATTTCATTACTTCGGAGGGTTGAGATTGTTAGCAGACACTCAGTGACTACAGGGAATAAAGTCGCAGGCACAGTGACAAATTAAGCTATGAGCCACGCTATCCAGCCCTGCAGCTATCAGAGCTATGCACTTACATACATGCAATATGCATACTTAGCAGTAAGTACCAGTTAACTAAGTAGGTAGCACTTTATGTCATCATGCCATGTCCTACATAGTTACAGTCATCCAATTCGACCAGTGGCAGGCAAGGGACAAATGGCCACATGCTCAACAGGGATGTGTTGCGGAAGAGGAAAGGCCCCTGGGATAAGCATCTAAGCTCCACTGGCGCTTGATGTCAACACCTGTCAGCGAACGATCTTATCCAGCAACCTCCCCGGTCTGCTTCACCTCTCGTTCCAGTTAGATATCGCGCCGGGCGCATGGCATGGGACGAGATCCTGGGCCCATCCGTCAGTGCTGGCTGGAAGCCCCACAGACAACGCCGGAAAGCAATTCATCCAGGGAGGGTCGACTCCGTGAATGCAGGATCAGTACTACTACTGCTGCTACTACTAGGTCCGCAGGTGCAATTCCGCTCGCAACGAACCCGAAACATGATGAACGATGCGATCCGAAATATGCGAGGGATGAACCACGAATCGCCATCTACCCGAATAATCAGAGCGTCCGTATCGAGGTAATCCTCCGAGCCGGTCGCGGTTATTTATTCGAGCGATCCTGGATCGGTCTGCTTCACGACTATCTACACCACCGTGGAGACAAAGTGATGATACAAGTCTATCTTTTTGGGCCTCAGCCCATCTCCCGCCTCTCTACCCCGGAAATCCCTGACGAAGGGTCTGGACCCACCGTTCCAAACACAAGCATGCGGCCGAGGAGCATTCCGCGCGGGCCAGGGTGAGGAAGAGGAGGGTACTTGAATGTCTAATCCCCCTGAGTATGGAGGATGGTGTCGGGCTTGGTTTGACCGACAGGTGAGCGTCGGCAGTTTTTTCAGCACCGGTGCTCTCGCTCCTTCTGCTCTGGCTTTTGCAAACCATGTGGTACCTGCTCCAGTGGAGAATTCTGGGATGGGCTCTTTGGCAGACTGTTGTGACTGCGTCGTTCACGCCTCTCCTTCCTCCGGCTTATCCACTTGCTGTTCGCAATCCATACCTGTCTAGTGCGTTTCCAAACTCGCGTTAAACCATACAGACCGCTGTCGTACTGACTACTCGCAATATACAGCGTGGCTCCCTGGGAACTTGGCACCGAACCTGCCTTCCGGCTCATCCCAGTTCTGGTATGGAAATAATCTGACATGGTCGGTCATTGTCCGGGTGGATGGCCAAGCATATAGTCTTTTCGGCGTCTCCGATAGACTGGAAGGCATTGAGGCTGCTACCGTCACGGGTGGTAGCTTTACCTCGACGCATAGCACCTTCATGCTGACTGCTGGGTCTGAGAATTTTACGTTGGAATTCTTCTCGCCCGTTTCCCCGACCAACCTCTTACGCCAGTCCCTGCCATTCTCCTATCTCACAGTCTCGGTCGGTAGCGTGTCCAGGAATAGCTCTGTGCAGATCTATTCAGACATCGATGCATCCTGGACCGGCCAGCCTGATGACGCCGCATGGGGGTTCTCGACCAATAACTCCACCTCCTTGTTTCACCTGAGCCCTGTGAGAGGGGCGACATTCTCCGAAAATACCCAGAACCAAGCTCTCTGGGGCGAAGTCGTGTACGCCACCCGTGCTCAGAGTGTAAATGCTCTCTCTTCTGCCTCCGGATCACTGGCTACTATTCGGTCTCAATTCGTCAAGAACGGACTCCTCAGCAACTCGAACGCAAATTGGTCGTCTGATGGCGTTGTCGCATTTGCTCACGACTTGGGAACAGTAAGAAGAAAGGCCTCAGTCACTTTCGCCATCGGCCATGTGCGCGAGCAAGCCATCAATTACCTCGGAAAGGCGCAGACCGGGTACTATCGAGCCATTTATCCCAGCACCATGTGCGCCGTCTCCCATTTCCTCGACGATTACTCAGATGCAGCGGATGAGGCAACAAAGCTGGACGGTCTCATCCAACAGGGCGGAGAGTCATCACACGGTACCAACTACTCCGATATACTTGCTCTCTCCGTCCGTCAGGTCTATGGGGGGCTTGAGCTCACGATCCCCAGTGACACCCTTGATACGACGGATGTGAGGGCGTTTATCAAGGAAATATCCAGTGACGGAAATATCAATACTGTCGATGTTATCTACGCAGCATTTCCGATCTTCTACATCCTCAACCCCGACTATATCCGTTTTTTGCTCAGACCCGTCTTTGAGTACATGGCCAACTCAGCCTATACCAAGCCTTACGCCGTTCATGATCTCGGCACCAACTACCCCAATGCCACCGGCCACGACCCCAGCGGCGAGGATATGCCCATCGAGGAGAGCGGAAACATCCTCATCATGACCTACGCCTACGAACAGGCCACCAACAAAACCGACATCTCCATTCCCTACTCCTCCACCCTAAAGCAATGCGCCCAATACCTCACGACCCACGGAAAATACCCAGAAGCCCAACTCTCTCTCAACGACGCGCTCGGCAAGTTAGCCAACCAAACCAACCTAGCCATGAAAGCCGCCAGCGGCCTAGCATCCTACGGCCACCTGACCTCACAACAAAACTACACCGACGCCGGCAGATCTATCGCCAACGCGCTATACATTGGCCGACTAGGCACTGACCCCAACGGCGCCTACTTCACAATCCAGTACGGGAAACCGGACTCCTGGTTCCTCGTATACAACCATTACGCAGACGTCCTGTTCGCCCTCGATCTCTTCCCCGAGGAAGCCTACAGCGCCACGTCTGCCTTCTACCCCACCGTGCGCAAACCGGCAGGGGTCGCGCTGGGCGCGGACCTCGACTGGGGCCAGACGAACTGGCAGGGCTTTGTGGCTGCTGCTGTCACCGGTGATGCACGGAACATGTTCATTGCGGATATGCATGCCTACATTGCGAACACGCTTAACGACGCCCCCTTTTCAGACCGTTATTGGGTGACTGATACTGCAGCGGGACCGGTGGCTGGACAGTACTTCTCTTTCCGGGCCAGACCTGCTGTGGGAAGTCACTTTGCTTTGATGGCTCTGCAGGGGGCGAATCAGTGGTCGAGCAGTGGGTGATTTTTTGTTTTTTTCCCCCCATCGGAATGAATATATTCTCTGTAAATAAGAAAATAGATTACATGAATAGCCCCATAACCTAACCTCCTATTTATCGGAACTTAATGAACACCGTGACGCCGTCGATTGATCCCATATCTATTATTTTTGACCGACCGTTAGATATCATCTATTTCCTCCCCCCTATACATCCAGAATATGAGAGAGTATATGTAAACGCAGGAAGTGCAGCTGGGGAAGACTTGTCAAGAATGGTATGATGGATTATGGACATTCCTATGCAAACACACGTTGTGTAGATTATGAGGTGGGCATTCCAACACTAATGTGCAAGACAGAATACAGGAAAGAGCATTGATCGATATATAATATATTTATCTACATCTGGAGTTCAGGAAAACTGCTAGACTTGGGTGTTCTTTTTTTCTGATTCAGATTAGACCAAGACATGGGTTTATCTAATAGGATAAGGTCTAGAAGATATTTAATGGAGGTTAGTCGTTTCTTATTTTTAATTCAAGTCCTAAAGGTTTCCTGTTTGGCTTGCAGCTCCAGTGCATAAAATAATGTCTCTGCGTTGATATATATTTTAGCTTACCTAAAGAGATACACCCCTGGAAGAGGAGGGGTTTCTAGATAATAATAACCATAAGAGCCAATGCTAAAGTCACTCTTAGAGCCCCCTGGGTCTCATTGGCCCTGTTACCAGCACGCACAGAGAGGCATGTTTGTACTTTCCTAGGGAGTATTTGCTCTTACATAGTCTATAGTTTTTGTTCGCGGTCTATAAAACCACTCACCAAGCCTCATCTGGGTTGCGAACGGGATACTGCATCATCACCCTGCAGTGTAGGTCGTATTAGTTGGGATAGCAACGGTTCCATCCCTGGTGTCGTACACATTTTGCCGTTTCTCGGCTCGGCGCATCTCAGCCCCCACTAGTGGTGTGAGAAGAGCGCATGGCTGATGAGAATCCTGCACGCCCGCTATCTGTGCTGAGGATTACCAGAATCTTCGGGGACTCCGGTATATTGCTGCCTTGTCTAACACCGCAAGATACGTGTCGTACGCAGAGATGACATGGATTCAACGAACAGCCTCGAAGATGGTCCGACTCGGACCTCCTTCCCCCGAAGGACGTGGTTGTTTGTCAAAAGAACAATGGCCCGCTCGTTCATTCATCTCACGTCTAGGACAAGGCGAGGGACGCGGTAGGGCCCATTCATATCAGCAGGCGCTGCATTTTCCCAGTCGGGAATGGCGATGACGTTTCGCGTGCAAAGGATTGGCCGGTACGGTGTGGTTTGACGTGTCGGCTAATCAGCAGATTGCATGCGGGTATGATTTCATATCGCACGGACTCGACGGATGATGACTTCTTGCCTATTAGAGCCAGCATCTGAATGCATCGAGAATCGCACTAGAAGATCCTGTCGAGAGGTCTGTGGTCTGAAATCGAATGATCGATGAACTGGGCCAAGGGGGACTTTTCCGGAAGTCGATTGGCCCACCGCCGAGATTAGGGTAATCGGACCTCCCAGCGAGGGTCAGGTGGACCCACCAGCCGCGTTGGATCGTGGCAGCGGCACCCAACGGCGAGGCCGGTATCGATATTCCGGCGGCCGAGTTGCAGATAGATACTAGTAGTAGATACAGAGTAGATGTTCTCGATTCTACTCCGTACTGCGGAGCAGAACGCACGTAGTCGACCGTCAAGAACTAGGCCGCCGCATTATTCCCTCAAGCTCGAGCACGACCCTCGCCAGGATGAATTATCGCAATGCACCAGCCGGGACAGCCGGGATGTTAGTCCGATTGTAATGTATATGTAAGTATGCTCGATAGCGAGTGACTACTCCGTGTTAGTACTCCGTACTAGGTAGGGCAACGCTGCAGGCTACTTTGACAGGGGTCCGGTGTGTTGCGGAGGGAGGCTGCGGGAGAGGCTTTGTTGCAACCGGGTGATCGGTGTTGGGTTTCTTCATGTTCCATCAGGCCTTCGAAAGCCAGCGGAAGAAGCAATGACAGGCCCGGGCAACAGACGACGGTTCCCGCGGGGGACCATCCAACCGCCATTGGTTCAACGGTGATAGTCGTCGTCGAACCCATGGAAACGTAGAACGAACGCTCAAGTTGACAAAATTAATTATTATTATCCGGCGTGCCGTCTGGACGGGGCGGAAGGAAGTATCGTACCACGCCATGGGGCTGTCCAGAAGGGCCCCTCGTGGATGGGTGAGACTGAACGAACGAGGAGGAGGAAGCCGAGTCGCAATGAGGATGATGAGGTAGAGAGAAGAACGAACGACCGAACGAACCATCGAATCAGGCCTTAGGCAGGGCGCCTCGGGGGAGGGAAGTCGGGCCGTCCTCATGCCTGTTGGGGCAAGGCGGCGAGAGGCGGTGTCCAATCAGGGCGGATCTGGCAACCAAGAATCTGACTTACCCAGAACAGTAAAAGCAGGGTTCATGGCGGCATGGCACTAGTCCGCGATAGGCAAAGGGGCAGTCGCGAGGATGGGGATTTGACTTTTAGGTTTGGGCTGCAAGTGGACGGAGTGGAGCCCCGACTTTGTCCCAAGACGGCATGACGAGGAGGCACCCGACTCCCGCACAGTTCTCCCAGAGTCAGGATCTGGGGAGGAGAAGATTTTTTTTTGGAGATCTACTGCACGCTGTGGAATAATATAATAATGATAATAATTGATGTGAAGAGGTACGTATACCTAGTACGGAACAGATGGTATCGATCTACTATCTATTCAGGTAAGTACTATCTAGGTACTTACTTACCTAGTACGTAGGCACGGGAAAGTCAGTAGTGCCCGCCTCAGGGGGTGCGGACCCGGCCTGATTGGGTAATTCGGTCGCAGGCCGAGTGGGGCATGTCAAGGATGGGGGAGCGCGGATGGACAGAAACTAGAAAGAGGGACAGAGATGGACGGAGATGGACTTCTGGACTTCTCTGCTGGCACAACAGATCATCCTGCCAACGGCACCACGGGTGATCCAGGGTTCGATAGCCGGACGGGGCAACACAACCAGTGCCAATCACCGCATGATGCATCATGTCTTTCTGTACTCCGTACTACTTTACTTATTGGGGGGGGCGAGAGAGGAGGGGAGGGAGGGAGAGAGTGAGGGAGGGAGGGATGAGGGGGCTGCACGACGCATTTACTGGTTTCGTTCGGCTTGCCCAGCTGGACCAAATCGAGGGCTTCCATCCACTTTCCACTTGCCTACTCCGTGCAATGGATGGATGGGCGGGCGACCCACCACGCGCAACGATCTATCGTTAGGGAGACTACCGTAGGTGCTAGTTGGTTCGTAGTACTACTCCGTACTTACTTAGGTGGTGAGTGAACATCTAATGCTCCGTCGTCGTGACAAGAATTATGAATCTGGAATAATTTAATCGGTCCCCCCCTCCCGTCGCCCATATTAAATAAATCCCAGACGCCAGCACCCACGCCCTCGCCGTTCTCGACTCAACCGGAGGGGTCGAGATTGAAGTTGTGCAGCAGCAGCAGCAGCAGTAGTAGCAGCAGCAGAATGCCCCCGGCGGCTCGCCCATGAAACACACTTGCCTACTTACCATAATTGTCCTCTCCTCCTCCCACCTTGCGCGCCGCGCCCCGTTGATCAATCCTTTGATCCAGTGATCGAGGTCAACCTCTCTCTTCCGCTCTCGCTCTTTCCCTCTCGCTCTCTCTTCCCTGTGCTTCTTTCCCCCTCCTCTCCTCTCCTCTCCTCCTCTCCTCCTCGCCCTGCATCCCTCTTCACCAAGCGACGAAGTGTCCCTGCGATGCCTGCACGGCGCACCTACAGAGCCCCGGCGCGGAATGGCTGTTTTGAGTGCAGGAACCGGCGAATCAAGGTAGGTTCCTGCCCTTTTGGGGATTAGCTGGCCTCGGCGCAGCTCAAGGACTCCGATCTACTAAATGGGTTTAATTTTCCCCCCATTATTATCAATCATCTTCCCAACCTCCGCCCTTCTTGTTGCGACTTTCTCGTTTCTACTTACTTTCCTATCTCCCTGGATCCCTGGATGCCTGGGTGCCTGAATCCCTGGCCATGCAGTGATCCTCCCTCCCCTCCTCCCCCTCCCCCCCCCGGATGTCCCTCCCAACCTTGCATCAACTCGAATTAGGAACTAGTAGTGGTGGTGCTCATACCTGTCCTGATACCCCACTGGTCTATGTGCCCTGCTTGATTGACTGCCTGCTGCATTTCCCCATCCCCTCTTTTCCGTTCCCACTGGCAGTCCTGCATTTTCCCTATACCTATCTAATACTGATTGGCCTGGGATGCAGTGTCCGCAGGAGCACCCCCAGTGCTCCCATTGCACCAGTGATAACATAATATGCCAATACCTCTCCTCATCCACCTCGCTGGTCTGGCCCCGGGTCAAGTCTCGCTCCACTACCCCGACCATCCCCCCGTCCCGAACGGCCTCGCCCTCCCACGTGAACCCCCGCATCTTCACTGAGTATCGGGTCGTCATGGACACCGTCATGCCCAAGACACCCGTGGGGGAACTCAATATCCAGGACTTGGAGTTGATGATGCAATGGTGCACCACCACCTACCGGTCCGTCTCTCGGAACAGCCTGGTCGAGGGCATCTGGCAGGGCGTCGTCCCGCGGGAGGCCATGCGCCACCCATTCCTGATGCACGGCATCCTGGCCCTCTCCGCCCTGCACCTGGCTTTCAGCAGCCCTCCCGGCCCAACGAAGGACGACTACATCCGGACCGCCCAGACACACCAATCTCAGGCCGTGGCCGGTTTGAGCAAGGTCACGGGGAGCCTGGACCGATCCAACTGCAACGCCGCCTTCGCCCTCTCGAGTATAATGGTTGTCTTCTCATTTGCCCTGCCCATCACCGCGGCACGCACGGCCACCCCGCCCGCCGGGGTGTTGGACGAACTTTTCGAGATATTCCGGTTCACGCGCGGGTCGGTGGACGTGCAGGGAGAAATCATTGAATCGGTAGCCGATGGCGAATTCAGCCCGCTCCTGGAGTACGACAATTCCCAGCCTAAGATGCCCGACACGTCGCGACTGGCGATCATGTCGCTGTCGCGGATGAATGCCACACTTGCCGGCCGCGATGCCGCCCATGAGAAGGACACGTACGACACAACCATCCGGTATCTGGGATACTCGCTGGACAAGCTCGCGCGGGGCGGAGAAACGATGATCATCGCATTTCAGTGGATTTTTCAAATCCCCCCTCGATATTTGGACCTGCTCCGGGCGAGGCAGCAATTTGCGCTGGTGATTTTGGCTCATTACGCGGTGATCATCCACTCGCTGCGCGGACATTGGTGGATGGGCGAGTGGGGGGCGCGACTGATCCGGGAGATCGGCCAGCATCTCGGTGCCGACTGGCGCGACTCGATCAGCTGGGTGGTGGACGCGACGGGCTGTTACGTTCCTCCGATTTGAAGCGGCCCAGGGGCCGATGATAACTATTACTACACATCTACCTTTCTTATTTCGGGGCACGGGGTTTCGCACCATCCACACATTCCACCGGGCGCGTTGGGAACGCGGCTTATACGGTCCACGGGAACCGTACTTGAAACAAGTACAACGCGGACGCTGCCATGGCCCAAGTTCCCACAACAGTCCGACGGTCACCGCTATCAGCCGGTGACTTCTCACACTCAATTCTCCGGACCAGGAGCCTAGCGATCGGCTGCTAGGAGACCTTACAGTTCTGCCATTTGAACAGGCCGACCGGGACGAGTGCTGGGGCTAGATACAAAGAACACGGCGAGTTAATCGACGGACCGGGAGGGAGCAAGCATCGGTCACACTGTCTAATTAATCATCCAATGCCAATCCGACAGCCACGGGTGCTGGACATCTGACGGACGGATGACTCGAACAATGGGTAGCCGGGGTGTGCTACATACAGAACATGACGCTGTGTGCATGACGAACAATAGATATCTTAGCGATCCCATTCCAGTACCAATACCTATGATCTACAGAACAAGCTATGAACTACCGATGGAATACAGAAGTAACCAGCAGTTTCGTAAACATAGGAAAAAGCAAAATAGTAACTATACTTAGTACTTCAAGTATGAATGTACAAAGTAGCTGATGCATAGATAAGCCTCTGCACGCTCATTGGAGCCATCGTAATTAGTGTCATCGCAAGGCCGCATACAAAAAGCAGACATCGGCCACCACGCCACGCCACGCCCTATCTCACAGGAAACATTAAGAGTTTATATAAGGTGAACCCACGACAGCCATCACAGAAAGGTATCAATCAAATCACAAACCAACAAGTGAAACCAAAGCCGGGTATCCTTCTCACCTTCTCACACACCTACCGACTTTTACATGGGTATTCATAACAGCAGCCGATAGCAACAAACAAACAAACACACACACAAACACACAAACACACAAAAGACCCCACGCACAAGAAAGACACAAGGAAAGACATGGAAATGCAATCCGCTGTTTGTCTGCAACAAGAGCCCTCAATCAGGCTTTGTCACACAGCGGTGTAGATGATGAATGGGAGTGGGTGGGTATAAAGGGAAGGCAACGTCCAGGACCGCCCGCGGCACACTGTCTGCCACATCGTATCAGGCGATACAATCTGCATGACCTCTTGATTGGTTGATTGATTGATTGATCAAGCGATCAGTTGGCGGACAGACGGATGAAGAGAGAGAGGGGGGGGGGGGGAGCACCCGACCCGCCAGCCAAAAAGATGATCCTCTCGCGAGGATGAAAGTGAACAACACATGTTTGGAGAAGAGTCCAAGGTCGGTATCGAGGTGTAGGTAGGTAGGTATATGGGTGATCCATAGTGTCAGGGGAGAGTTAAAACTCGGCCTGCCACGAAGATACCTCCCTAACCCAGCAATACAACCCGTCGGCGAGTCAACTGACAGACAGACAGGAAATACCGACAGGTCGACCCGACTTATCCTCAACTCCAAACGTGTGCTAGTCAACTGGTCGGGTTTCTCTCCTCGCCGCCGCCGCCGCCGCCTCCACCAGCAGTCGCAGCACCACGACTGGCGGTTTCATCCGCAGCCTCGCCCTCACCCTCCCCATTCCCATCCTTCCTCCGATCCTTCGATTGCGTGCGCACCCGTCGCAGGTTCGCCTCTTCCTGTTCGCGCACGCGTTTCTCTTCTTCGATGGTGGGGATGTATGCGTTTGCGGCGCCGCCTGGATTAAGTCACAAGCATCAGCTCCATTGCCCGGTTCTTCATGCAGAAGGGGGAGGGAGAGAGGAGGGGAGGAAAACATACCTCGCCCTGTGAAATGGGGCGCTTCTTCGACGCGCAGCGGGGGTGAGTCCACGTCCTGGGATTCTCGGGCCAGTTCTGGGTGTTGCGGGTCATTGTGCATCATGTTTCCGGAGCCGCCGCGACCGGTGGTGAAGATGTCTTGTTTGATGGTCGGGGTGACGAGGTCTTTAGGAGTGGTGTGGGATTTGTCGTTGGTGGAGAAGATGTTGCCTGGGAAGGGTTGCGTTAGGTGGAATGTTCTTATGAGGGGGGGTCGTGGTAGTGGTTGAACAGGGGAGGGGAGAGGGGGGGGGGGCATGTACCTGCGCCGCCGCGGCCGTGGGAGATGTTTCTGGCTCCGCCCATGGTGGGTTGGGTGCGTTGAGGTTGAAGAGGTGCAGTGGCGGTGGTGGGAGTGCGATCGTGGAGGAAGCGTAAAAGGGTGAAGGGGGATGCGACGGCTGAAGAAGAGGTGGAAGGAAAAAAAGATTGTGTTCACGATGACGACCTCGAGTCAACAACGTTTGACGGTGGCGAAGAAGTGGAAGAAGAAAAGACGATTGCGACCCGTCGGCGGCCAAGACCAGCTCGGATCAAATGACGTCCCTGGCGAGCAGCACGTTTTCTCTTACCTCACAGCCGAGCCCTTTACTCCGTGTAAGTCGCGTGCTATCAGCCTCTCGGTCTACTGTATTCTCCTGGCAGACACACTCTCCCCTCCCAGCTACACATACAGTAATCACCAGTTTCGGGTCATGTCGGAGGTCATGCCGATCACCTGCCTTTCCCCTTTTTTCTTGCTTGGTGGGGGGGGAGGGGTATCATATTGGAGTTGTCTTTCTCTTAGGAGACGAGAAGACAGAATGGAATAATGCTTCAAGTGCATCGTAGTAGAACTTGTAAGGGTAGTTGATTGGGGGGCCTGGGGCTTGGCTTCGTGTGTGGTTACCATGGCTTTATAGAATAGTATGATATAGAGTATGGCTCCAATAAGATGAATACAACTCAACTCACACTCCATGTTTCTGTCGGAGTCAAGAATCACGCTGAAAGCAATCAATGCATGCCATTATTATATACACCGTCGAGCCCATAATCCCATTAACAAGTCATGCGCACATGTTTCATTACCGTCCATTATTCCTGCCACTTCCGCTTAAAGAACGTCGTACAATTCCCGATCCAGACCCTGGTGACAGGAGCATATCCCCCGAGGAGGCATAGAAGCCGCTCCACTTCGGATGACGGACAAATCCTATACAGCACCGTCCAGGTCAAGCCTTCCATGGCCCGTTGATTCCCCCCTATATGCCTTCTCAAACCCCATACTCCACACCCCATGCGCTCCCTTCACCCGATACGGCCCCTCCCATTTCCACGACTTCTTCTTCTCCTTGTACGACGCCGCCCCGACATGCTGCATCTGGGATGGCGAGATGGCCAACCGGTCCAAGTCCGCCCGTGCCGCCAGCATCTCGATCACGCTGTCCACCGCCTTGGTCGGAACCACGTCTTCCATGTACTCGAGGTACTCCAGGAGAGCGGGGACATTCTCTCGATTAAACAGCAGAGCCTGGGAGCAACACCCATGCGCGTTCATGACGTGAATACCATCCTGCAGCGGGAACCAGGTGAGACGGCCCGCGAGGAAGAACAGCCCAATCAGCAGCGGGACACAGATACCGCACAGCACGAGCAGAAATGGGTTGGTGAGGACGCCCTGTGCGGGACGGGCGGCGCGGCGGACGTAGATGCCCGCGCTGGCGCAGACCGAGACAACCAGCACACTCCACGCCAGGTAGACGGGCCAGTTCTCGGAGTTCCAGCCGAGGAACTTCTCCGTGTAGAAGAGACGCACATACAGCCAATCCTTGATGGCGTCATGCCGACGCCATTCCTCGATCTGCTGGACGCTGCGCATGGTGTGCTCGTACCAGTTGCGCTGGGCCACAACGTCGTCCTCCAGCATGATGATCCAGGGCGCATCTGTCATGTCGTAACAAGCCTGCAGACCCAGGCGGTAGTCAATCAGGGATTTCTTCTTGATGTTCTTCTTCTTTTCCAGGTTGAGAATGATCCACCCGGGCGCGTCGGCCAGGTCATCGTAGGTGAGCACGCGATCCACCACGTTGTTGACCCATGTTTGGTTGTAGTCCGGATGGGCGCTGGGGTCGCTGAGAGCGAAGAGCACCTGCACCGTCAGGGCGGCGCGCTGGTCCGGCGTCAGGGTGTCCAGAATCGAGCCCACGGTGGTGTCGAGGTCTTGCTGGAGCGGACGCTTAACGGTGACGATGCCGACGCAGGCGGTCTTTGCTCGCGGCGGGGAGATACCGGGGGTTGCGTGGGAGCTGGCGCTAGAGCCGGACTGATTGAAGGCCGACAGCCACTCCAGGGACTCGTGGATGCGTTGCACGCTGTACTCCGGGCGATAGCCTTCGTTGGGCTGGAAGAAGTACGAGCCCGGGTCGCGGGCGGACCAGAAGTGGCAGAGGCCCAGCAGAAGGAGAAAGAGAAGGGCGAACGAGGCCAAAAGCAGTCTCTGCTTCCTGTTATAGTGGTAGAGAGCCATCGGTCACATAGTGGGGGAATGCGGAGGTAAAGAGACAAACCCGGGACGGGGGGAGGAAAGAGGAAGGAAGACAAGAAGATGAGAGGGTGGAGGGAGGAAGGGAGGGAGGGAGGGAAAGAGAAGATAGAATAGATAAGCACCGTACTTATGGCCCGACTACTTATGACTAGCAGGCATCGACTAGTGTTAGTGCCATCGCGATTGTTATTACCATCCAGACTCAGTCTGTCTAGGCCTGTCTGTTCCGAGTCCAGCGCCCAGATGGCGACGATGCGCAGCGTCTGACCGTCAGGGTCTGTCGATGCATCGCTTAGTGGGGTTTAGTCTTTCCTCGTCGTGTGGTCGCGACCCACCGCTACTAGGACTAGTACAGCATGGTCGGTAGGGGGGGAACCAGGGCTGAAAACTTGAAACAATTCAGGCTGCAAACAAACCAGACTGTTGACGGATCACCATCAAGAGGCAACACGGGCTTGGGAGGAACTAGGCGGAAGGTGGAAGGTGGAAGGCGGAATGCGGGAGGCGGATGAAGATAGGACTAGAAGAAACCCATGGAAATCAGACGGATAATAATAGCACCTTCTGTCTCAAAGATTCCTTTTGATGCAGAGCCAAGTATCACTAGCCACTCATCCAAGCCGCCCAGAAAAGCTTAACTCCAAACCGTCCGTCTCCATGGTTCTTACTTCTTACTACTTCATTACTAGTAAGTAGTCTACTACATAAGAATTGGTCGGGAGTGGTAAATACATACTATGTCGATATCTATTTCGATATCTATTTCAGTACGGAGTAGTCCGTAGTAATATCTACATAATGCCCTGGATCCGACTTGGACGCGATGGGGCCTCCCTCAGGCCCCGTCCCGCGGGCCAGCAGTCCTCCTGAAAATGATCATGCGCAAGTATAGTAGAAAGCGGGAGACGGGTTGTATTTCTGGCATCTGCAACATGCATCAGCAAGAAAACGGGCCCAGTCCCTTGAACGGCTAAATATAGATCCGAGGAGCCCGGATAATCAATAATGACATTCATGAATAATATACTGTGTAATACTCCGTATTAACCAGTTCCGATGTGGGTGAGTATGGAGGCTTCCAAGAGATCAATACCTAGTCCGGAGGAAAAAAAGAAGAGGAGAGGGAGCCTGGAGGTAAATAGCATGTCTAGGCAGATGTGCGGCCACTTTCTGCGGAGTTATCAGTACAGATTCTAACTCACAAAGCACATTGAACCCGCCCACCGCCCGGAACTAACACCACAACCCGCATAATAATCTTCATATTAGCTGCCTCTAAAAAACCACAATGCGTTCATTGATAGTGGGGAGACCTCCTGCACCGGAGCAGGCCTTCATATCGGATTTTACTGCGGGGAGGGCACTATCGTGACAGACAGTTGGTATACCGCCATCCGCCCGAGAAAACATCCGTGGCCAACCCTGCCAGCGGCGGACAAGCATGGCCCTTTGAATCATCTCTGGTGGTCGAAGGTAAGCATAGAAAAGACGATTAAACTTGTGAAGGAGTTTAGATGATAGGCCAAGTAGGTTATGGGCATCTGCCCTGTAGTTTCGAGGGCCATAACCACCACAAAAAGATATACCTCGGCAAGAGCAGTATAGTCCATCAAATCAGATTCATTTTAAATCGCTCACCGATATGAGATATTCGTACAAGCAAGCAGGACAACACGACTGTAGTATAATGCCGGGAAAGAAGAAAGGCCCACACGAAGGCATCACAACGCAAGAAAACCAGGCAAATTAAACAATGAAATGACGTCTCTTGCGGTTATAGGCTCTCTGGTCCTTCAGCCATTGCCGGTATCCTTGAACGCTGCCGATCTTCTCGCCATAGTAATCGGGGACCGGGTTCGCGATCGAGTTGGATGACGGGTCGACGCGGAATCGTCTGATGCGGTCGAAGAACTCCTTCTCTTTCTGCACCACTATAAGTATCCACGGCATCTCTCTCAACAACAGCACAGCCCAGAAGGAACGGACTTACCACCATAACAGACGGTTTATATCTCCGGTACGCCAACCCCCATACGGCGTTCCCAACGAACGGTCCGATGAGCCAGCCCACGGCACCGCAGGCCGCCGTCGCCATACCCAGAACGACGAACGGATCCAGACCCATGACCTGGGCCCCGAGAGACTCCAGATCCTGGGTTGAGAGAATCTGCACACCCACGACCGTGCTAGCCATCGAAGTCACGATCGACGAAGCAAGCGTGTATCGCCGGCGGCTGGCGCGGAGTTTGAAGAACGAGTTCCAGTCCAGCTTGACGGACTCGGTGGTACCAGCGGCGGTCGAGTTCGCACGTCGAAGGATCGGAGAGGAGGGAAGCGGGGTCTGCGTGCGGACGGCCGTGGCCTTCAGGGCATGGGCGCTGCGTTGGCCGTGGCCTCGGAGCGTGGATGTGCTTGCATTCCGGGCCTGAGAGATCGCATGGTACAATGGGGTGGTGCAACTGCTGGAGTGGGTGAAGGGGCCCAGAGCCGTTGGGGCAACGCGTCCGCTAAGCATGGTTATCCGCATCCTGCTGGTTGAGACGGTGTGCTTGATTAATGGCAGATGGATGCAGGTAGCAGGTGCTGTGGTGATGATGGGCGGATTTGCCCGAGCTCAGCGGGTGAAGCTGCGTAGGTTATGTAAGCAATGGGCCGAGTGAGGTCACAGCTAGTAACAACTACTAGTACTAGTACTCCGTACTACCATCTATCTACTACTACGGAGTACTCCGTAGTCCTATCCTTACTTATTTTGGCTGTACTCCGCACGGCGTACCTACATCACTCAGGAAATGTTGTTTCAAGCATGTTTATCGTGCACCGACCTTCTTCCGATCTATCTATATACTAGGTTTGTTTATACCCCTGACACCCCGCAATATGCGCTGTTGGCAAATGCGCCAGTTTTCAATACAACACGGTCCTTCTGCCCCTCCAAGACTCACTCAAAACCCACTGGACAGGATCGTCTCCACTACAAGAAGACTCACTCACTCCCTTTGGCATCCCTGTCATCCCACTCGAATATAGCACACAGATCATGCTCTATTCCAATTTTTCCCAACTTGTCACCCTCTCCCACTCCATTGCATCCTCAATAAGTTCCCCCCCCCCCCCCTACCCCGGGCTTTCCAAAACCAGCACCCTTTCTCCCGGAATCCCACACTCCCCTGGCACTTCCATCACCTTCCCGTGTTATCTCTGCTTGCTACAATCACCGTACTCCCCGATTGCCTGATACGTCTCCCGAGCTCAAGCGTAGTCAGCCCGGTTGATGCAGCAGCATACACACCCCCAGCACCGATAATACCATAGAATCCAGCCGGAAGAGGCACCCAACGGAGTCAGTCATCTCTCTCAGGTACCAACCAGAATGCGGGAGTCCCGAGGTTGGTCCTTGCGGAGTAGTCGGGAGGGCAAAAGTTTGGGAGAAAGTTGGCTACTGTAGGTTAAGAAAAGTACATGGTGGTTTCTTGTGAAAACAATCGTCGTCACATTTATGTACTAGATCCAATGCTATGTCCATGGGGGTATCTATCAACAAATCTATGTCGCGAAGTCTAGATCTTGTCTTGTTGAGATGAAAATGCCATGGTTTACTTCCTCATTCGAAAATAAAAAAAAAATTATGCCGATTAGATACTAGTGCCGTTCTGCTTCATTGCACCGGGGCGAGATTTCGGTTCGGTTCCTGTTCCGTAACCGTTAACGCGGCCGTAGAGCCACCTGAGGCTTCCGGTGCTCAGCGCCATGACAACGGCGCTCAGGGCGAAGATTCCAATGCGACCCTCGAGTCCCGCCACTTCAAATATGGGATAGGGGTACCTAGGTAGATTGTCAGTTTGCTGTTTTTATTCTTTTGCTTCTTTTGTCATAGCCGGGGAGCATCTCGAACCATCCATTGTATTGGAAGCACCGTTCAATCCAAAACCAGTATCCCAAGGCGATGGCGCTGGACAGTCCCAGAGCAGGAACGACACTGATAGTCCATGGAGGAGAAAGAAAGAGAAGGTCGATCAATAAGACGATAGATGGCACAGCGTGGAAGCCGATGTCTTTGGTAGAGGGATTCAGCAACAGGATATTGTATATATTGGTGAAGGCTTACCGGCATGGAGGGGAATGATCGCCCAGTCAGGGACCACCAAGCGCTTGTCAATCTATGTTTTGGTTAGATCAAACACCCTCGTAATAATATACAGTAAAAAAGATGTTACTGACCACACGGAGCCCCCAGTATAGGATACTGATCAGAATCTCCATTGGGGCGCTACAAATAGAGAGGAGGTTCTTGGCCAAGAATAGCCGGGCCGATAACGTCATATCCGCCAGCAGACCAAACGCAAAGGTGAATGTGGCCAGCGTCAGCCCAATGACCGTCAGGTACTGGAAATGCCACCCATATGCCTCATTGCTACCAGGAAACTCAATCAGCATGCCCGGTTATCCCGGGACCATGGTCTTGGGATGCTTACGCCCGATTTGGGTTCTCGTGCATACTGGAGCACGGTTAGTGCGCGGACCAGGAACCATGAGTAGATAGTATCCATCCATCTTGAGAACGGGAAAAGGCAAGGTGACGGTTATCGGCATACAATTTGAAGGACCATAGGAAGCTAGCGAATCCAAGTGTCTGTCATAGTGGTAGACACAGTTATCAGTCCATGGAACAAACGACAGGTACGGGAATTTGAGTACACACATGAACCAAGGCCGAGAAGCCTCTGGACGGGCTGGATAGTCGCTGTAGGGGATGCTTCCGCTGAAGCGACTGGGGTATTGTAGCCGACGCCATGCTGGGGAGGAATGGGGACGGGAGTTGAGGCCCCAGATAGTGAAACGGTTAACGATTCGCTTTATTGCAAGTGGCACCGAGCAGTCGTGAATAAGAGAGATAATGATCTCACTAATATGATGATCTAACAGAGGCTGGGGGCGGCCGGCTATCCCGGAGCGGCCTTAGTCACACTGGGCGCTTGGCCCTGTGGAGGTTAGCGGCCTCTGACTCAGCACGCTAGACCGCCGCGACCCGGAGAAACCCGCCCGCCGGCCACCGCGACTGGACCCCGGCTTATCAAGCGACGTTGATTGGAGGGGACGGCCGATGGCGTCTCCACCGGCGGGTTATCGATGTTGACTGGTCTGCCTCCGCCGGCCTGGTGTAGTGTATCTTGCTCCGGTGATTTCATCCACCATTCCTCCTCGCCTTCCTCCCCTTCTTTTCTCTTTCGCTCCGAGACTTTGATCTTGCTGAACCTGGCCCTGGCTCTGGCTCTCACCCGATGACAGCAACGCCATTGCGGAATTGTGCATGTCTACGGATACCTTTCAATCGAGCGGAGTCCACTAACCAGTAGTAAAGTTGCTGCTGCCACAAGTCCCTCCCCCCCCCACACCCCGATGAGTACGAACAACGGGTGTGGGTGTCTTGTCGATTATCGTTTCTTATCATCCTGGGTAAAACGCCCTACGCGCCGGAAAAAAGGCACTGCTGGGGACCCTGTCTAGATCGTGCCCATCTCGTGGCTGCTTGGGCTTTGGTCTGCATGGCGATCTTACTCTGCAAGGTAGATCGGAGCCATCTCAGATTCCGGGCCATCAGCCCGTGTGGTCGTGACTTCTGTTTGTTGGATTTATTCCCTCAGCCAACTTGATCCTGAACTTCCATGCCTCGTCCCAGACGGCCCGGCGCCCCAGAGCCGAAACGTCGATCACGTAAGGGCTGCTGGTGAGTCTTCCCGGGTGTCCCTTTGCCGTGTTATGCGATTGACCCTGCCCCAGGCCGTGTAAAGCCCGCAAGGTAAAATGGTTTGTGTCACTTCCTTCCCTTCCATTCCTTCTACGGACGTTCCTCTTCGATCCGCAACTGCCCTTATCTGTTATCGGCCACGCTAATGTATCCGACACAGTGGGGAAGAGAAGCCGTCGTGCCTTAATTGCCGACGCCAAAATGAACCGTGTGACTATAGCATCAGGTTGAACTGGGGCGGGAGGACAAGAAGGAAATCTTCAGTAGACTCCCCAAGCTCCCAGTCCAGTAGTCCATCGGGCCATTATTTCTCCTTCGCACTGTCGCCGCCGAACCAACCTCAGTCAGATCCCCTGAGTTCAGCCCACTCACTCAGGCCCCTTCCAACCCGAGATGAGATTCCGGTGCAGGATCAGACCACAGGAAATTTGATATGGGATATCGGGCTTACAGGGGAATTGGCAATAGGAACATCCACATCCAGTCCTAAAGGGTTACAAGATATTCACCGTGAATCTCCGGCTGCCTATGGCCAGTCTCTTAAAGAATCCAACCGTACAAAAGAGAAGACCTCTGTAGACATGGGGGCACTGTCACAAGAACAAGATGTGACAGCCTCGTGGCCAGACCTGTCCTCCCACATAGGAACGCCGTCGTCGAATGACACCATCCTCGCCTTCTCCTCGGTCCCCCATTCATCGGATGGAATCTCCTACCCTTCCCCGGCGGATACAAACTCGAGCATCGGTCCGTTCGCTACTTTCAGCTTCTCGCCCGTCCCGATATCGCGTCCCATCTCGTTCCTTCGGCATAGTTCGGGCCAGCACCGGTCGCCGCCGGAGCCCTTGCCTGATCATCGCCATGATTTCTCTAGCTATCCTTCGTCTAATATGACGGCTGTTTATGCAGACTATAATCCCCAGGTTGCTTCATCTGTTCGGGAGGTTGCATCTCCTCATTCAATGGAGGTAGGACTGCACTCATCAAGAGCACCCCACGATCTCTCGACACTGCAGACCAGTCCAGTCGTTCCTACACAAAGCTTCTTTAACAAAATCATGAACACCCCTTCGCCCCCTGATAGCCAGCTTGATGGACCACAGTCCGACGGAGAAACAGCATTCCACACGTCGAGCTCGGACCTATTGGAATCGGTTGACACTTCCATGTCGGAGAAAAGGTGGCAGGCCTACCTGACAAGTGTCACAGACAATTACGGCCTGGACTGCGGCCGCCCCGATTTGGATTTGAATAAGAACGACGACCATTCCGCCATCGACATAAATTACGCCCTCGATTTGATTAGCTTCGAGATGACGACACATTCCCCTCCCAGCCCCGGACATCAGCGGACTGACAATGCGGCGGATCACAGCTTTGACCGCAGGAAGCACGCTTACTACTCATCGCCAGTGCCAATCAATATTCCACGCTATCTCTCGCCGTTGCCACCATCCCTGGTGAAAACCCCCATCAACTTGATGTACTTTCACCACTTCCTCAATCATACAGCCCGGATGCTGGTCCCGCATGATTGCAGGGATAATCCATTTATTTCCGTATTGCCCACCAGTAAGTGATCCCCGGCCATCGCCTGGTGTCTTTCGCATCTAATGATGAATCAATTCAGTGGCCATTGGCGATTCTGACCTCTTGAACTTGATGCTCGCATACTCAGCAAGTCATCGAGCCCGATATTTGGGGCACCCAGAGCCCGCCACCCGGATCGCGCATTGGGTGAGCAACGTTTTCCCTGCTCTGCGCCTGGCGCTGGAGGGCCCCCACGAAAAGGTCACCGACAATCACCTTGCAACCGCCATTATGCTCCTTTCCCTAAAGATCATCTCCCCCAGCACATTCGAAGTGCCAATCCTTTGGCAGAGTCATCTAAAGCTAGCCCGTGATCTGTTCCTTGCACGAAAGGAACAGATAGCACGTCCGGGAAATCGGGTAGGCGCTTTTCTCACTCGCTGGCTCGGTTATCTGGATCTTATGGGAGCACTGTCTTGTCGGCAAAGCGGGCCACCGCTACTCATGTATGATTCGGTATTGAGAGCCTGCTCCCCCAGGGGAACTCACGATGAATTCTGCATTGACTGTTTTACGGGCTTTACTCCCCGGACAGGATCCTTCCTCACAAGACTGGGACGGCTGGTTTATCGATGTGATACAGAGCGGTTTGACGAGACAGGAGCTTTTATCTCCGACTGGGAACCTTCACCGGATGCTATTTTTGAAGCCGAAGCATTGATGGCAGATCTAAACACCTTGGACGAACACGTTCATGCCGACGCCACACACTTCCAGGACTGGGGTGCGCTGGACTTTCTCGCCATTGACCGGGCGTTTCGCTGTGCAGGGCTTTTGCATCTTCATCGCCGTGTGCTAAACACATCACCATGTTCTGAGGCCGTGAGGGAGGCATCCAATGAGCTCTTCAACACGATGGTTGATGTTCGACGGGGGGCGTCTGCCGAGGTTGGAGCTTTATTTCCATTGTTCACAGCGGGCTGCGAGATCCGGGATCCTCAGAAACGAGCGGAGATCCAGGAACGGTTCGAAATTCTCGAACGGACGGGAATGAAACAGGTAAGTTCGGTATCAGTGCACGCACAGGCTTTGTCTGACTCGCTTCTCCAGATGCAGAATGCTCGTACGTTGATGCAGCGCTGCTGGGCCGAAGATCTACCATGGATTGCGCTGGCCCAAGGCGAATTCTTAGGGTAGCCTACAGGTGGCTTTCTGGTCTTGACATACTTGGCTTTGGGGGTTGTAACAGGGGCTGCCTTTGGCTGTGGGTGGGATGGCTTTCCGGGTGCACGGGTTCAAAAACCGCTCACGACAGCAGTCTGTATACTTTGAGTCTTTGACAAGTTCTTTGTTGTTGACTTTATGTCTAGTGACCACAGATGGTCCTGTCATGGTAATCCCTGTTGGCCAAGCAGGGGCCTTCTTTGTTTCTCATGTATCTAAGTGACTGAGAGATTATTTGAATGAAGACACAGGAATGCTCTCACCATTTAGATTTCCTTAACATTGGTTGAGCGTTGAGGGATTACTCTGGTGAGAGACCACTGGATCTGGGATCACCTGGCCTTCCTTCATGCAAACCTCACTTGCTGACCAGACCGTCTCTCTATATAAGGCTGACGGTCTGACCTCCCTCCCTCCCTCCGACCACCTTTCCTTCTCCCTTCTACATATCCCGACATTCTTCATACCCAGGCGAGAGAAAAAGAACTCAACCCACCGCCTCCTCCTAACGACGAAGGCCTTCGCGACGCTGGTTCCCAAAATGGAAGGATGTCCCTCAGACCGGGAGGGACTCGGTCCTGGGGCCGTTGGCCAGCCGGGGACCATCGTCGTTCTACTGGTCGCAATAATCATCCTCACCTGTGTCCTCATTTACGTTAACCGCATCGAGTCGCATCTCTTCCTCCTTACCAGGCCACGCAGGCAGCAAGACCCGATTCCGAGCAAGGAAATGAGCATTCACCGTGTTGCGCCAACGGTGGCAGTGCCGCCTCCCATGGCTGCTCGGGCCCGGTCTGAGCCCATTCACGCGTCCAGTCTGCTGGACAGTGGGCTCGACGATATCATGGTTCCCAGTCTGCAGCCACTCTCACCTTCGAAGCTGCGCTCTTCGGTTCAGCCCGGTATTCGGAAGCAGCTAGATACCAATGTGCTCATGGATCAAGGCGTGGAAAATCTACTTATACCGGTGTTAGAACCCCAGCGGGTGAGTAGTCGTTTCCGGGCAACCGCCACCACTACCCACGTTGAATTTCCCTGGTTGACTCGCCGCGTGCACGTCAAGAGACAGTCCTTTGACAACATGAGAGCCCCTACCACTGTGCGTTGGGATGGAAAGCTCCGATGGGCCATGAAGGGATGCAGCGTGTTTGACAACCCGGATGAGGAGATCGACGCCTTCCTATACCGCCCCAATGTTGTCGCCAAGGAATCCCTGTCTGAGCTCTGGGTTTTCCAGTATGGACTGCGTTATATTCCCGCGAAGGATGAGAAGGACGTGTATCGCACCGTCAAGATCGAGAAACTGCCATCGGATGTGACGATGAAACAGATCCTGCCTCTCATTCACGGCGAAATCTACTCCGCTCATCTCCTTGATACTGTTCCCATCCTCGGATACAAAACCGCTCTTGTGACCTTTGTGAGACAGGCGGATTGTCTAAGCTTTGCTGAGTCCTCTGGAGGAAAACTCGATATGGGACCGGCGCAGGCCGAAGCGACTCTGGTTCAGACACCGACTTATCCCATGAGCGCGGAGATGACTCGGTCGGTCCTCGACAAAGGTCGGACGCGGTGTATCTGCATCTGTGGTCTCCGGGAGACTATGAAGGGCGAAGTCCATCGCATCCTGGCTAGATCGGCTCACTTGAATTATGTGGAGTGCATCGAAGATGGACAGGTGGTGGGCGAGGTTTACGTTCGGTTCCATTCGATCAAGGTGGCGATCGCAGTGCACAAGCTTCTGGAGGGCCACCCGAGCTTGGGGGGGTGTAAGTTCCGGTTTCTGAAGGCGAGACAGGAGAACCGACAACCTCGAATTGGCATTTGGGATTGATTGATTCGCTCGGAGGCGTATCTCTTCATAATATGAACGATCTCGGTCCGTTCGGTGGGTGACATCTGTACATTACCACGTAATTGAGGCCAGTTCCATAGGCGGATGTGGCAATACGACCTGCTTTGCGATCAACTACTCCTAGTATAATGTAAATGTCTTCATCGTAGACACCCCGGATCTCGGCCAATCGGTACTGCTAGTGTCGAGCAGAGCAAGGCGGGGATGCAGATTGCAGGGATAGTAGCACGGAGTACACGTGGGGAAACCATGAGCAGCAACCAATCCTCTTCCCCCCCCTCGCTTGAGCTCCGGCCGATCAACAGTGATAGTCCATGCAACTTGACTTTTCGAGTTCCCCGTGCCCCGTGGGGAATAACCGATCGTTTGGCTCCCGGCCAACTTTTGGACCCTGTAATTGGAAGATCATCTTTTGACTCCGTTCGTCCCTTCTATAAAATGACACCCAGGTCCCCCTTTCCCCCTCCCCCTCTTCTTCTTTCCCTCCTCTCCAGTGTTTCTCGATCCCTGTCGAAGGTTTGACCATCCATCAACCCCCAGCCAGCTAGCCAGCATCATGGCGCATCCAGCCAGCGAAAAGCATGGCGTGGACGAAATCACCAGGGCCTCTGATGCTGAGAAGGCTCCCTCGTCGCACGCTTTGCCGCGCGAGTCTCGACTGGAGCTTTTCGAGGACCCCGATCATGGCCTCAGTGAGGAGGAAAAAGCAAAAATTGTGAGCCTGCTCTGGCTATACGAAAACAGCGTGAGGGAAATGACTTATGCAGCAGCCAGGATCGTGCATTGTTGTGGAAGCTCGACCTGAGACTCATCCCGTGGCTGAGTCTACTTTACCTGGTCTCATTTCTGGATCGGTGAGACCCGCCACTTCAGACGGTAGCCATTATCAGGCGCTAATGGGTTTCTTCTGCAGGACCAACGTCGGCAACGCGAAACTCGCAGGCCTGCAGGAAGACCTGCACATGACCGACTCGCAGTATAATGCCGCCTTGACTATCTTCTTCGTGTCATATTCCGTCTTTGAACCTCTGACCAATGTGCTTCTCAAACGCATGCGACCTAGCGTCTTTATACCTATCATAATGGCTATATGGGTAGGGATTCAAGCATATCAACGCCTGGTCATCTTGGAGCGCTGACCGAGTTTGCCATAGGGTATTTGCATGACGTGCATGGGTCTCGTACATAACTACTCCGGTCTTATGGCAGTGAGTATTTGATTTTGGATACGTCTACTGGTTATTTACGCGCCAGGGCATTCTCTCAGGTATTTTTGTTCCTGCTAATGAGTGAAAAAAAGGTACGATGGTTCCTGGGTCTGGCAGAAGCGGGACTCTTCCCCGGAGTCGGCTATTTCTTGTCGTGCTGGTATAAGCGATCTGAGTTCGGTGTTCGCATGGCCATCTTCTTCTCTGCAGCTGCGCTTGCCGGGTCCTTTGGGGGTCTCCTGGCGGCTGCAATCGCCCTGATGGATGGGATCGGAGGAAAGCCGGGTTGGTCATGGATATTTATCCTAGAGGGCTTAGCTACGATCATCATCGGCATTCTTTCTTTCTGGATGGTCTATGACTTCCCAGATGAGGCCAAATTTCTGACCGAGGCGGACCGCAAGCGCGTATTGCGTCGCCTGGCAACTGACAAGCAGGCCAGCGCTGAGCGTGAGCAATTCAAGTTGACTTATCTCTGGGCTAGTCTGAAAGACTGGAAGACTTATACCGCCGCCGTCATATACATGGGTGCGGATGGATGTCTATACGCATTCTCTCTTTTTACGCCCACTATCATTAATGAACTAGTGCGTCTACCAGAGGAGACACGTACGCAACTGCTGACTGTATCTAGGGTTCGTCCTGCCATTCCCGTCGTTGATCTGATCTAACTCAGGCAGGCTACACGGCGATTCAGGCACAGCTTCTCAGCGTCCCGCCTTACGCCGCAGCGGCTGTCGTGACCGTCGCGGTGGGCTTTATTGCCGACCGAACGCGGCAGCGTGGTATCTGCAATATCATCGTATCCCTCTTGGGCATAGCTGGATTCTCGCTACTTCTTGGGGCCAAGTCCGCTGGCGCGCGCTATGCAGGGACGTTTCTAGGCGCCATGGGTATCTATCCTGCGATTGCGAATACGATCTCCTGGACCAGTAACAATACTGAAGGTAAGTACGGGCTCCTATTACCTGGTCATCGAACAGGGTTGACGGGCCACGATAGGCGTATACAAGCGAGGGGTCACGCTGGGAATCGTCATCGGTTGGGGCAACCTGAACGGCATCGTCTCGTCGAACATCTATCGTGGCAAAGACGCGCCCCAGTTTTATCCAGGCCACGGGACCGTCCTGGCTTATTTGGTCCTGTTTCTGTTTGGTGGCTCGGTGGTGCAGTATGTTCTTCTCCGACAAGAAAATGCGAAGCGTCGACGTGGGGAGAGAGACCACTGGGTGGCAGGACTTGAGCCGCACCAGATCGAGCTTCTTGGTGACAACAGGCCTGATTTTATATACACCTTGTAGTGATAGAATAATCCCTTCACAGCAGCATACCACATCGGAGCGATGTGCTCCAGAGATTTGTTCACCAAAAGAGCTCTCTAAAAGTAAAAGCCAGCCCTCTATACCCCTGTGGCCTTCACTGCCCACGCAACATGTACAGCCGGCTCCCATTGCTCAATTTCACTCCGACCCTGGCTCTATCCTGGAGTACAGATTGACAATATCCTGGTTCTTCTTCGGGCCCTTCACCACATGCCGACTGGCCCAACTGACCACCTCCCCATCCCCGGCCCTCAGCCGAAATGCATACGCCGTACGATACATATCATTAATGCAGAGATGATTCCCCCGCGCCGTCACCACCATGGTCTCCTCCTCCGCTTCTCCGTCAGATATCTCTCTTTTCCGTACAGGCGGGGGAACCGGCGGGCTGACATATCCCTCTTCTGCTTCTCCATCCCCTACTCCGGCATCGTCACCCGACGACTGTCGAAACTCCATTCCATGGAACACGTAATCTGGCTCCGGGGTTTCAGTAGCGGCAGGTTTCACAAACCACACGCTAATCTGGGTGGGCGTGAGTCTCCAGATGTAGGATTTCTTCCATTGCAGGGGAAGGGTGGTTGGGGAGAGAGCTGCGGGAAGGGAGCCGGATTCGGTGTAGAGGGACGACGACTCGAGGGGTTGGGGTTTCGTTGGGGAAGAGGGCTTTTCTTCTTCTTCTTCTTCTTGTGGTTGTGGTGGTTCTTGGTGGTGATGATGGTGCGTTGTTTCGGTGGAGGGCGACAGGAGAGTGAATGTCGCAGTGCCGTGGAGGTCGCCGTTGATGTCGTGGGGGTTGGAGCTTTTGAGGGTTCGGAGGAGAGACCATCGCGGGGTGCGGGTGAGGGAGGTGAAGAGAGTGGGGAGGATGGAGTGGGTTGGAGACATGGCTTGGTGAGGCTGTGGAGGTGGGAGGGAGGTTGGAAGAGGTGGTGAGTCGTCAGTAGTTGTGGTCATTGTTGCATTGTTGGGTTTGTGATGGTGGTGGTGGTGGAGGTGGTGGTGTATGTTATTAATGTTGGAGAGGAAAGGAAAGGAAAGGGAAGTTGAGACTGGGACTGAGAGGCGGGCGGAGAAGCAAAGTGGAGCCTTGGGTGATTGGGGCGGGATGCCCCACTAACCACTATCACTACCGCTACTCCGTACTCCGTTCTCCGTCCTCCGTCCTCCGTCCTTCTCCGGCATGATCCATCCACATCCTCTTGGCCTATTATCACCCGGTTGTACTTTGTACGCGTGTTGAAAGCGTTTGGGTGACCGAGATGTCTCCTGCAATTTGTCTGACCTCTAACCCACAGCACGAACTATGGCTGCTTCATTCATTGGCTGTCAAGGATGTTTCACTCCCGTCAAACAAACACAACATATCCCACCAAAATATTATGAACTATCATGAACTTACCTAGGTAAGTAAAATATCAGAAATGTCAATTATTCTGTCCATTGGGGAAATAACTTTTGTTATCCCAGAACAAAATATACTATTGCTCTCTTGGGCATGTTGTATAACTAACTAACTAGTTATTCTTCATGACATAATACAAAATCAAATATGATCCCCCCTTTTCACCGCTACAGCAATTTCCGAGCATCTCAGCTCAAAGAAATTCATCTGAGTTTAACGTCTACTCCAAAGAATATATATATATATATATATATATATGTTGGTCGACTATTGCTTTTGTATTCATCAACAAGAGAATGATTATCTGAAAAACAAAACAATCTATATCCAGCTGGAGAAACAAAGAGAAAAGACACGCGGACGGCTTGCATCAAGCAAGCTATCATAGCCATTTTCTGACACCCCTCCTCATACCAACACTATGCTGGCTCATTCACAGGTCACATCCCATCCATTCAGTTGCCCTTGGCGGGCTTCTGGGGCTTCTGGGGCTTCTGGGGCTTCTGAGGCTTCTGGGGCTTCTGGGGCTTCTGAGGCTTCTGAGGCTTCTGGGACTTCTGGCCGTCCTTGGGAGGACGGGGGGCAGGAGGGGGGCCATCGCCGCGCTTGTTGTTGTTGTTGTCGTCTCCCTTGGGGGGCTTAGGGCGGTCAGCGGGGGGAGGGCCTTCCTTGGGGGGAGGGCCTTCCTTGGGAGGCTTTTGGTCGTTATCGCGCTTGTTGTTGTCGTTGTCATTTGGTTTGGGAAGGGGGGCGTCAGTCGGAGGAGGCTGAGGAAGGGTCGCGTCCTGAAGGCCCGCAGGACCTGAAGGTAAGTTAGCTTGCTGTCTCTCAACCATGTTGAAGTAAACTTGACATACGCTCAGCAGGCGGAGCCGCGGCAACCAGGCCGGCGACCATTAAAGTAGAAAGGACAGCAGAGAGCTTCATGTTGGTTGATGGTAGAAGAATTGAAATAGGTGAATGATGAAATGATTGAAAGGACAAGTTTTCTTTGGTGCTTGGAGTGAATGTGTGATGTTGATGATGACCTGACAGACGCAGATCCGAGGCCGACTTTATACCTTTTCAACTCACCCACAACCCTACCATTCGCGCCATTAATCTTGGTCATGGCGACTAACTTGATGTGTCATCGGTCTAGAAGCAGCTTGGTGCCTGGAATGCTTCCAGAATTCAGAGGCATTGCCACGACACTGCGAATGTGTGGATCGACCCAAACTTGGGCTGCTCCGGAGTCCTTTTGACCTCGTCGTGTGGTACAATTGGGATTCTGAATCGCCATTTCATCCCGCATTCATAAGCTATAGGTTCTATATTGGACGTATACTGTCTCCATCACGGCTGAATTTTGCACAAATCTTCACTGCAAATCTGATATATCACCCCTTTGGTGTTTCAATCTTGCAACAAGTGATTCCCGCAGACCATCTGGTCGCGTCGCATGTACTACACCGACGCCAAAACCAAGCAATGAGCGCATATATAGAGTTGTCGTTCAGACAAGCTGCTACAATCATACGTTTCATCCCCTATGGGGCTAGTCCCAGGGTACAGTCTACCCCTAAGGATGGTACTAAACCCTAGATCCCGAAAATGAGTGAATAATGTTTACACAGTAGACATACACAGAACTATTCCGTACCACACTTGCACACATGGGTCTGCCTATTACATAGAAAAAAGTCTGTCCCAAAACACGCTAGTGGGCCCGCGTTCTATATAGAGACTTTGAATGATTCTTTTTGCCTGAGATTCGCGATTAAATTAAAAATCAGAAGCTTATCTTTACATAAGATAATATTGTGATTTATATAGTTTATAAGATAACTGTATAACTGAAAGATTAAAAATTAAAATCAATAAAATAATCTCTATAGTCTATACCAAGTTAATATATAAATTATACAATATTAAAGTCTAATATTTATTAATTCAAGTAACTTATCTTAGTAAAGGCTACTATTGAATTTATATATATATTAATTTTAAAGCTATATGATGTTAAATATATCCAAAGATATATATGGTTTTATATAGTTATATAGACAACCTAAGTAGGCCCGGCAACAGGATCATCATATCATGCAGACTTTTTTCTAAGAACTATACCTATTGGCCTGTGAGTCCCGTCCGCGGAAGCTTGGCGCTGTTAGGCGCCGATCATTGCGTAGCACTAAAATGGAGATGTTGTGAAGCGATGACCTCAACAGGCGTGTATATCTAGTAGTATATCGTTGCAGCTGAGGGATATTCTTGATAAGGATAGAGAAGTTTGCCATGGTTGTGAAAAATGGCTCATTACATCATCTTGTAGAAAGAAAAGTCTATCTATCTATCTAGTACCCCCCCCCCCCCCCCTATACAAAAGCGGACAACATCCGGTTGGGACGAAACATCAAATCCCTACTTTGTGTAATACCTTAGTGTTGCCTACAAGAAGAAGCCACCAAATTCATGCCGCCAAGGGAGGCTATTACCTCCAATTCCCCTCCTATCTGCTGACCCCAGAGTCTGCGGTCGAAACACGTTGCTCTAGTAGCGCCTGTGGATCACCCGCGTCCATAAAATTTTTATCCATCGGTCTGCCTCCTTGAGCTCCTTCTCATGTTTGAAGTAGTTTGGTGGCGCTGACCGGAGCATAGTATGAAAAGGTGATGATGGCACCTCCTTCACCGGGAAAAGACCCGGAAACATGGGTTCTCCGGAGTCCTCTGGTTTCGGTGATACGCCGGAGGCCGTATAATGTGCAAGTTGAACATGCTGATTACAGAAAGGTCGGATGCGGGACAAGAGTGGGTGATGCTTGGGGGAGAAGTACACCGCAAATTGTGGATGTCCTTTTGTGTTCATTTTGTTCCCTTGTGGCGTACCGGCTTGAGGATAGAAACGGTACAATCTCCAATTACCCTACAGTTGCCTTACAACCAACTGCCGTGTACGGGATTCAGAAACCCGGGTGTTGTTTCGTTTCTGGAGGTGGTTGAGCACAGGTTCCAGAATGTTGCCTTTCTTAGCTAGTAGCCAAGGCAGATGAATCCTGCCTCAAAATTCAGTCTCGTGGGTTTCCACCTGACTATGTTCCATATATTCTCCTATAGGTGTGTAGAATATAGAAGCTTTCTGCTTTTTCCCATGAGTCTGTTCCATCAGATTACCTGTCTTCTGTTGTCCTGTTTAGGTCTGTTATGAGGATGATGGTGGGCTGGTCTCTCTACCAGAAATGTAGCCTGAGGTAGATGACTGTCGAGCGGCATAAAAATATCATACATCCGAAGTTGCGGGATCGGAGGAAGCCCGGGGCGGGGCTACCTCTAGAACATAGTGTGTTACCCCTGCTTTGACCTTGACATAGCCATCCCTGTTAGTTGTTGTGGATGCTTGTTTCGTCTTCTAGAGGAGAAGCTGCAGTGTACCATGTCCGACCCACTGACAAGGGATGGAACCGGGATGCGCGGGTGAGTGTAGCAATGAGGCTCGCGTCATCCGCTTCTTCTATTTTTTTCTCGGATTACACAACATGTTTGATAGCAGGATATCATACACGCTTGTCCTCGACCCGCGCGAGTGGACAGATCAGTCATACCGCTGTGTTGAAATCAAATCCCCCCGACGGTCTATACTTAAGTAGTCAGATCTGCGCTGTCGTCGCATGCTATCCACAGGGCAGTGCGCAGTGCTACTTGGGAAGGCACACAGTTGCTAAGGAATTATGGAGAAATTTTGCGGTCCAAACCCCTTCGGCACTCTGTCTAATTGGGCGAGTGAGTACTCGAGAACTGGTCCTGATATCAGTTTGTGAGGAACGACCGTTCGTAGTGGAGAGAACAGAGGGAGGTGCTGAAGCGGCGGGGGGAGGGGGGGGGTTTATAGTCGCATGGCCCCGGCCTCAGGCATTTGGATTCGAGGGCGTTCCGGTAGCGATGCACTGATTGGGCGGAGTACCTCTGCGACTGACTCTCTAACGATCATCTGCAGATATTTTTCTCTGTATTGGGTCTCGACACCGCACCACCAGTTGCACTGCTGTTTCCTTTCTCTTGTCTCTTCCTCGAGTTTGGTGGTATGTATATTTATATGAGTTATAGTACCAACTACAGAGTGGCACTCTGTATGATCAGAGACATACAATCATAGTTGTGCAATTGAAGATGGCCCTGCCCAATAAGGCCTATTGGTGGCGATTCGCATTGTATGGCGCAGATGGAATCTCTACCCGTCGCTGCTAAAGCGCCCGCTCCTATATCACGGTAGGCTTTATGCAACTAATAGACACTTGACTTCATGCAACAAGCTCTCAAGCCCCGAGTCATTGTGTCTTGGGAGATGCTAGTAATAACATAACTGGATCCAGCCATTCAAGTACAACGTGACGTGCTCAAAGCAGTTCCGAGTTGGACCAAATACCGACAGATAGTATACTCCCATCACCTGCCGTTAGATAGGCTCTAGACAATGACCGCAGACCGCAAACAGATCACCCAAGCACGGTGTAGGAGAGAAATGTTCAAGAGACCTCACGCAAGAGGTGGGCAAGTTGACGTGCGTCCAAACCCCGCATGTCGCTACTTAATTCTCGGATTCCCCATCCCGACTTCCATACGTAATAATCGCCCTTCTCCAGTTGACAGAGACCAAGCTGTGAACGATGTCTTCCCAACAAGTCTTTCTTGATCACCTGCTCCTCCAATTCAGCACGGTGCAGTTTGAAACGCCTTCTGCGTGGCTGACAGATCGCTTCACCATCGTTGAGGGTGGCACCCATGCCGGTGGGTCGACTGTGTCTGTTTTTAGGACATTTCTAATGATGACAATCCCACAGGTGGCTTGAGCCGCAACAAGTTGATCATTTTCGCCGACGGTACTTATCTGGAGCTCCTCAATTGGATCAAAAGGCCAGACAATTGGAGAGACCGACCAGGAGATTTTGCTCTCACCACCTTGAAGCCGATCACAGCTGAAGATAACCGCGACCGTATAGTCAGGGCACTAGACTCCATATCCGACGAGGGTAGCCTGGGAATAACATACTCGCAACCTATAGAGGGAGGACGCAAGACGCTGCAGGGAGATAATGTTCGCTGGAAAATACTGAAGGCGATCTATACCGATACGATGTCAGCTGCGCCAGAGAGATATCACCCTCGAGGCCGCACTGATGCTCCGTTCTTCTGCCACGATGTTACGGACCGGATCTTTCGCGTGCCATACAATCTACCCTCCGTGGTCAACCATCCGTCGGGGGCGACGGGAATTTCTGGCATTGAGGTGCTTGTGCCCAAGAACAAGTTGCAATCCTATATAACCCTTTACACTGGTATAGTGGGGTCATCCCCGCAACTGTCCGAAACGAATGGAGAAAGCCGAGCGGAGTTCGAGCTCAGAGCACCCGGCTCTCTGGATTCGCGGGGCATCATTCGCATTCGGGCGGCAAAGTCGGAGGAGGACGAGCGGTATCTTCAGGTGAAAGGCGTTGGCATTTCGTCTCTCATTATACGATCGGAAAGCGCCGGGGATTTTTTATTTCCTGTGTCTGATTACCTGCTTTGACACACCCGTGCCGATGGCGCGCTACCACCGCATGCAATACAAATACCGACACTGTATCTGCCGTACTCTGGTTATATATATTCGGAACATGACTGACACTCATTCGTGTTAAGAAATCGAGTTTAGAATGGCAGAATTCGTAACCTTTGACGGCCCGATAACCCAGCAGTCGAGGGGAGTCACGGAACTGGATAAGACTACTATAAACAGTCATCCTGAGTAGTTCCGCAGCCCTGTCGAGCATCACCTGATTCCCATTGAGTCTCCAACCGTTGAACGTCCTTTTTATAGCTCCCAGGCAGACCGTGCTCCAGGAAATACAACCCTTGCTTATCTTCCTACCGACGGTATGTACCGGTAGATGGCAACTCCTCCGGTTTAAGTATTCTGCACGAATAAGACTTGGTTCGTTGGCTTACCGCTTCAAGTTCTCCGATGGCAAGCGTATTGGACTGTCTTGAAGGTTTCCCGTTCCTGTGGAGTTATACGTATTTAGTAGTCTCCATACACCGAGGCCATAGTTATAGGCAGTAGGCAGATACTCCGTACCACTGCTGGAAAAACAGTCTCTGCTTGGCATGATTGACACATTCTTGCCCCTGCCCCTGGAATGATCGATCTTTGAGGAGATCGGACCCTTCCCTGGCGATCCGTGGATCCTTACCCGTTGAAACTCAGATATAGAGTGCACCGACCAGAGAGGGATCAACAATGTTCACCTTGTGTTAATACAACTGGTATCTATAGCTAGCTAGAAAATTCCGGCGGAGTATGATGGGAATGAGTTATGCGCAGGAGTGCGTTCGAGGGGGAAGTGACTCCGTGCAGAACCCCAGAAGGCGATTGAGGTATGACGGCACCGTTGCATTGAAACTCGGGCTTGGTTGAGCGGTGGGACCCCAGGGTACCAGATTATTGGGAATAGTGTTGCTGCAGAATCCACCACAGGTCACTCTGACAGGGCAACAGCCACGCATTCGGGGCGACGCATGCGGCTAGGGTGAAGTGGAAAGGAAGGGATTGCAGGAAGGGTCCAGCGTGCAGAGCCACCAAGCCGCCAAGCCTGAGGAGGGGAGGCGTCGGACGCAAAAAAATCGAGACGGACGGACGGGGCGGTGGATCGATCAAGAGCCCGACGAGTGCACTGGGACGGACTATTCTGACCTCGGACGGGACGGTCTGTGTCAACGGGTCATAAATGTCGATGATGCTGAAGGCTGAACGATGTCGCGACTCTTCACGACTCGCGCGAAGGAGAAGGCAAAGGGCGTCCAGGGTCCAGACTACGCGGCCGAGATTAAAATAAATGGAGACTATGCCCGGAGAGGGCTAGCCGGGCATACGAGGCCTGCTCCGCCGTAATTTACCTGACTGGCAACTAACACCCAACGGAGTAAGCATAATCAGCCCGTCTCCTCTCCCTCCGGCCGCAACCGGCAAAACATCCTCTCTTTCCTCTCCTCTCCTCCCTCGCCCTTCTTTCGTCTTGCTCTGCTCGCCTCGCCTCGCTCTCCTCTCCCTTACCACCCTCAAGGGTTCTTCCACCCTCCTTCCCGGCTTGCCCGTCCCTCGTTCGGCCTACCCGCCCACCACTATCACCGCCGCCGCCGCCGAATATAATCCCCCCCCTCTCTCCCCGCCGCACCACACCACTCTCCCCTTTGACCAGATCACCATCATCACCAGCATAACCATTATCAATCATCGTACCATGGTGGGCACTTCCCAGTGAACGACTTTCCTCCCCGACGGTCCCCACCGCCAAATTATCAGCCGCAAAAGTCGTCGTCATGGCACGTTGGCCCCGGGCCTGGAACCTCATCCATGTCGCCAGCTCGACTTCACGGCCCTTATTCTCCACATCCTCCGTCCTCCTACATCTCTCGTTGATCGCCCTTCTTCTCTCGACTGTCGCTCGCGCGCAGACTGCCACCATCCTGCCATCTGAAGCCTCATCTTCCTTTCCATCATGTGGCTTGACCTGTTCTCTTCTTGAGCAGGCCCAGGACAACTGCGTGCCGCCCATCGCCCCCCATACCAACCATGCGACCTACGTCTCGTGTTTCTGCCAGTCGAACCTCCTCGTCCAGCTCCACACCTCCTCAAACAATATATGTGAGGACAGCTGCACCAGTGCTTCCGACCGTTCCTTGATCCAAGCCTGGTATAGCAAGTACTGTCAGTCCACGGGCGACCTTCAGGAGACTGATTCGACCGTCAACACCAAGAGGGATACGCTTGATGATGCCGCCACCGCATCCCTTTTCACAAGGGATTCGCGCTCGCAAAAATGGTAGGTGCCCATCGGTGATCAGACAGCTTCCGTTATTGACCCGCTTACTTAGGTGGACGACGCACTACAAGTGGGTGATCATGATCATCGTCCTGGTGGTCGCATTCTCCATCCTTACTGCTGTGGGCATCTGGCTCAAACGTCGTCATGATCGCAAATACCCAGGTCTATACCACGCCGCCGCAACTGGTGGTACGGACAGCGCATTGCTGGCGGCCCGCCAGCAGGACGCCAGCCCCTCCCCTGGACCAGGACCTCCCGCTCAAGGCGCATTCAGGGCCGGTCGTTTCGATCCCACGATCAACTCCGGGTCCATTGCCAGCAGCTCCCACACCAACGTCGCTGCTCCCCCGCCACGACCCAGTCGGACTCCATCGCGTCTGCAAAAAGCGCAACCGGTGGACGAAGGCGATATTGAAATCCGCGAAGTTCCTCGGTAATCTGCGTGCACGACAATTGCTGTTTCCCTGTTCGGATGTTTTCTCTTTTTATGCCCCTTGGATTCCTTCGGGTTCCAGTCCAATCTTTCATTACCTTGAAAAAATCTTCCATGCGGAGGAAGATATTCACGCATCTAAATATTCCCCACCGTTATGACGGTGTCTGCTGCGTTACCCTGGTGGGTAGTCAGTTAGTCGGCAACCGAATCTGTGTGCGCGTGCTCCCGCGAATCTTGCATATACCTGGCGTTTCACGTGTTTTGTGGGGTGATTGAAAATCTCACGTACAGTTCGATTCAGTACAAAGTACCTTTTTTTTCTACTGCAAATCTTCTGCTTGCTTTGCCTGCTCCAAATGACTGTAAATTTATGGTTCAGGTCTTTTTTCCTTGAAGTCGATTATGGCCATTTTTTTCCATGTTAACATTTTTTTTTCTCTTTCCCTCTATACTATACACTGCGCATGGTCAGTATGGAATACATATGATGATTGTTGTAAAACGTGAATCCAGGATACTGTGATGAGAACTGGGGTAATCAGGATTCCAATCATGAGTAGTAAATTACACTCACAATTATACACTTTTTCCGATATATATAGAGAGAGAGAAGGGGGGGGGGAGAAATCTTCGTAATTTACATGGTTAGATAAATAGGTGATATAGGTAAACAGACTGATGAAACGACAGGGGCTGTAGAGTATAAGGTAGGTATTGATCGCTTAAAACAGTATTCAGAAACAAAGCGGTAAGAAGCAAGTTATATCTTATCCAGGATGATGGCATAGCCTAGCCCTCGCCTAGCCATAACGGCTAGTATGGTAACTAACTCAACTCACGGTGATGCTCACGATCTTAATGTCTTGCTCTGGTTTCTCCTTGAAAGTTTTCGAATTCTCAATTTTATGCACGACATCCAATCCCTGTATCGCACGGCCGAACACGGTGTGTTTCCCATCCAACCAGGGGGTCTTCTCCGTGGTGATGAAGAACTGACTTCCGTTGGTGTTGGGGCCGGCATTAGCCATGGACAGTGTATACGCTTTGTCATGCTTCAGACTGGAGAATTCGTCCTCGAACTCGCCGCCCCAGATGGATTCGCCGCCGGTGCCGTCGCCAAGGGGATCGCCACCCTGGATCATAAATTTGCGGATCACGCGGTGGAAGATGGTATTGTTGTAGTACCCGGTGCGGGCGTGGGTGGTGAAGTTCTCCACGGCTTTCGGGGCTGCGGAGGGGAATAGACGGAGGTGGATGTCTCCCATGGTGGTATGGAGGATGGCGGAGGTGCCCAGCTCGGCGGATTTCTGGACGTTGGTGTCGCGTCCGGAGGCGGACTCCCGGGGCTTTTCGTTGTGGATGTCGCGGGTGGATTTGGAGATGTCGGTGTCGTTTGTGAAGAGGTAGAAGCGCACTTTGGCGAAGCCCGTGCTCATCAATATCGGATCGCGCTCTTCGGCTTCTTGGAGGAGTGGGTTGGAGCTGGCTGCCATAGAGACTGTAACCACGCCCTTCTTTTGGGGCTGGCCTTGGTACATTCCCAGGTTGAGCGCCCGAAACGGCTCCTCTTTGGCGTAAACGCGGACCACCCGGTTAGTATATGTGTTGATACATTTGACGCCGTAGAGAGATCCGTAGAGAATGAAGTGGCCCGATTCATCGAAAAGGACATTTATTTTGGGTTTGGTGACGGGGTTCTCAAGTTCGCGCTCCACTGCGAGTCGTCGTCCGAACTCTAGTTCGTCGAGCTGGTAGATGGCCGTTCCAGCTTGTTGCATTTCAGTGATCGTGGTAAGGGACTCGTCGTACTTGCGGTAAAGCTTTCCTGTGGCAAAGTCGAAGACTCGGACTTGGCGGTCCGGGAAGGATACAGCGGCAAATTGTTGGCCAGATGGTGAGATAGATAGCGACGCTGGGGTGGATTTAGACTTCCGAAATTCGAAGAGGTTGGTAGAGGATTTAAGCTCAAAGACGTTATCGGGCTTTTCGAATGAGCCATCGCCTGCTCGCCAGTACTCGATCATGCCGGACTCGTCGGCGGAAATAACACAGTCGTAGGCGTCGTTGAAGGCAATGGCGACCACGGGGCTACGATGTATCGATTTCACGGTATGCAAGGGAGTCGAGTTCTCACCCCGTCCATCATACACCTGGATCATATTGCTTTCTTCATCCGTCACGGCTAGAAGAGGTAACGATGCGCCCCGGCGATGGACCCAGCATACGCAGCGGGGGGTAAACTCGAGGGTAAGCATGGCAAGGAGATCTGCGAGAGATGAGTCTGATGAACCGACAACTGCTTTAGAGCCCAGGAACTATACCGAATGTTATGACATCAAATATCTTGACGGTCTTGTCTGCTCCGGTCGTTGCAAAGCTTCTTCCATCCGCGCTTACACTGACGCTCTTTATCTCCGCCGCGTGGGCTCGGAATTCCTTGACGAACTCGATACCGACTGCCATCTTCTTCCAGAATTTGACAACGCCATCAATGGATGAGGTGATGAGAAAATCGGTGTGCGGGGTCACGGTGACGAAGGACAATTGTTCCTTGTGCATGAGGGATTTGGAGTACCGCGGCGATGCCGGCAGCGCGTTCACGTAGACCTTCTCGAAGGGCAGCTTACGACGTTTCTTTTTCGGCGCATCGACGGTAGGGAGGGCAGGACCGAAGTCATCGTCGGAGGATGAGTCGTCTCCTGTCAGAAGTGGTCAGTTCTCTTGCTCATATCTGTCTGTGTATGCAATTGCCGTGATCGTTCGCAACAAAGTAGGCAGGGGGGGGGGGGGGGGGGTACTGGACGCACCATTCTCTCCACTCCCATCCACGGCGGAATGCGGGCGCTTGTTGGACGCCAGCCTCTGCTCTTCCTCGCTGGGCATAGTGACGGAATTTAACGAATCTAACAATCTGGCCGTGTCACGTCACGAGGGAGGAGGCGCGAAACGAGCAAGCGATGGAAGGCAGCTGAGGGCGGGCGGTCTGCGGCGGCGGTGGAGGAGCTCGGGCCACATCGCGAACTTTTCTGGTTGTCCCGCATTAGGTGAGCGGGCTGTTCTTCCATCAAGTCCTCTCCGTCCAGGACAAACCACCCCTGAGCTGCCACTCCTTCCCTTTACCCCCCCCCCCACCCATCCCTCCTCGACGGTAGCCCATTCTACCATCTACCTACAGTCACCATGGTAAGCCTCCTCGGATCGACTCCTCGCATGGTGTTAGTCGTCTCTCGGATACTGACCGCCCTCAAGGCGTCCTTCGCCAATCCCACGCAGATCTTTGCGGACGATGTCATCGAAGAGAAAGGCGAGAACGCCCGTTTGTCCGCCTTCGTCGGAGCCATCGCTGTCGGCGACTTGGTCAAGAGCACACTCGGCCCCAAGGGAATGGACAAGATCCTACAGTCAGCGTACGTGGGATGACCGGGGAGCCCTTAGCGGGGTTGCCGCTGTGAGCACCGCACTGATGACGTGGATGTTTTAGGTCGACCGGAGAGATCCTCGTTACAAACGACGGTGCTACGATCCTGAAATCGATTGCCCTCGACAATGCCGCGGCCAAGGTCCTGGTCAACATCTCCAAGGTTCAAGATGACGAAGTTGGTGACGGTACGACCTCCGTGACCGTGTTGGCGGCGGAGTTGCTGCGGGAGGCAGAGAAGTTGGTGAACCGCAAGATTCACCCCCAGACCATCATCGAGGGGTACCGGATAGCCAGCAAGGCGGCTCTGGAGGCTTTGGAGAAGGCTGCCGTCGACCGTAGTGCCGACAAGGAGTCGTTCCGGAAAGATCTCCACTCTATCGCTCGTACGACCCTCAGCTCCAAGGTCCTGGCCCAGGACCGTGACCAATTTGCCACTCTCGCCTGCGACGCTGTCCTCCGACTCCGGGGTTCGACCGACCTGAGCCACATCCAGATCATCAAGAAGGCCGGTGGCAAGCTTAGCGACTCTTACCTCGACGAGGGCTTCATCCTCGACAAGAAGATCGGTGTGAACCAGCCCAAGCGCTTGGAGAATGTCAAGATCCTGGTTGCCAATACGGCGATGGACACAGACAAGGTGAAGGTCTTCGGTGCGCGGGTGAAGGTCGAGTCGACGGGTAAGCTGGCGGAGCTGGAGAAGGCTGAGCGCGAGAAGATGAAGGCCAAGGTTGAGCGGATCAAGGCCCACGGGATCAACTGCTTCGTGAACCGTCAGCTGATCTACAACTGGCCTGAACAGCTATTTACGGAGGCTGGTATTATGTCCATTGAACACGCCGACTTCGACGGCGTGGAGCGCCTGGCTCTTGTTACCGGTGGTGAGATCGCCTCGACGTTCGATCACCCCGAGCAGGTTAAGCTGGGCCACTGCGACGTCATCGAGGAGGTCATCATTGGCGAAGATACCCTCATCAAGTTCTCGGGCGTGGCTGCCGGTCAGGCATGCACCATTGTGCTCCGTGGCGCTACGGAGCAGCTGCTCGATGAAGCCGAGCGCTCTCTCCACGATGCTCTGGCCGTGCTGTCCCAGACCGTGAAGGACCCCCGGGTCACCCTGGGTGGTGGCTGTGCTGAGATGGTGATGTCCAAGGCCGTCGAGCAGGCCGCGCAGAACACAACCGGCAAGAAGCAGCTGGCTGTGGACTCCTTTGCCCTGGCGCTGAAGCAGCTGCCCACCATCTTGGCCGACAATGCCGGTCTGGATTCCAGTGATCTCGTTACGCGACTACGGCAAGCGATCAACAATGGAATGACTAGCTCCGGGCTGGATCTGCTCACCCCTGGAGGTGGCATCGCTGATATGCGCGAGTTGGGTGTTGTGGAAAGCTACAAGCTGAAAAAGGCGGTGGTCTCTTCAGCATCGGAGGCAGCCGAGGTAAGACTTTCTCCCGTTCGTTCGATCCCATCGCACATGGTACTAACACCGAATGCTTTTGTACAGCTTCTTCTGCGTGTCGACAACATCATCCGGGCGGCACCTCGCAGACGCGAGCGCATGTAAGGAGGGAGGCAAATTTTGAGTAAATATCCACTACTATGCGAGCGCGGAGAATAATTTGCAACGTGATCCCAACCAGTATGGTCATTCAGAAAGGTGGATGCGTGTTGACAGCGTGCTCTTTCCGGAGCCTAGTTACTGTGCCATAGAACCTTTTGACGAGATAAAAGCATTTGACGAACAATCGCCTCGAACACTGGCTCTTCATCGTATGCTTTCTGGGATCTCTGGGAGGATGTTCCTGACTCCTGCGAAGTGCAAAGGTGGTGGGTATGGCTGGCAGCTCTGGCTGGTCTACTTATGGATCATTCGATGTCTCAGGCCGTACAGGCCTGCCGGACTGCCTCCATCTATTACCGTGTAGGATCTGAGTAATAATAATGATGGCATCCTCCGATCACCTCAGACACGGGAGGGCTGGTTCTGCACGATGTGGGTCGGACGATTCCTGCCGGTCTGGGTGGTGGAACTTTCTGATCTGTATGGGTAGATACCACGGAATCTATCTACTACGGTGAGCACTACTCCGTACTGTGTCGTAGAATGTTGAACGTAGCACGGAGGAGCGGCTCCAGGTCCAACGCCCGGTATATGGGATGGATAAGACCATACTTCTCCATAAGCACAGAAAGACAGAAAGCCGCGTCCTGGAGTCTGTCTGTCTGTCCTCTGGCTGTCAGTGCTCTGTGGGGGATGTGTGTGAGAGTAAGACTGAGGTACGTACCCGTGCCAAGAAGGATATGCAGGGCCGGTACTCCGTGCCACTGGAACGATGGAGGATGAAAAATTTCCGCCGATGATCAATCAGCCCGGCAGGTATCTTGATTCCTGGGTACACTGCGGTGGCACAGAGTTGAGTGGCACCTGGCCTCTACGGCATATAAGGGATGCGCGTTCTGAGCCTGGCTCAGAATCCTGGTCTTTGACCAGCAGTCTAGCGGGTATATGGCAGCGGATCCATCTGCGTTAGAACGTAGAAGTGTGTAGTATCTTGATATAAGTACGGAGTACTCGGTACCTTAGTGGCGATCAATGGGGGCGGACCCCGCAACTGGCAAGGGTCGAGCCAGTAGTGAAGGCGCGGCGCCCACCCGCCCATTGCGCGTTCGTTGGACCACTCACCCAGGACCCTGAAACTAAGACTGTCCAAGCTAGTGCAGTGGTCCCTGAGCGTTGTACTGCCTCCAGTCTGAGTCCGGACTGTAAGTACGGTTCATGATGGTACTACCTACACAGTACCTACGTACCTGCTACTCCGTACTATGTAGATACATTGAATGCGACCCCACGACCCCATGGCCAGGATCCGGAAGGGGTCCCACCTGCACAGTACTACCCTGCCATCCCTGGGAACCCGATGCCGTCACTCCAGTCTCACCCTCTACCTACCTACTACCTACCACCTACCTTGGGTCGTCCTCCTCTCTTCCTCTCTTCTTCTCCTCTCTTCCCTTCCTCACTCGCATGTCATGTCGACGCGGCTCAACATTCCAATTGCCCTTTTCAATACTTTACAGCCCTTCACCCTCGCTACATCCCAGCTGCATGGTCGGGGGTGATTGACTCCCCCATTCTTTGGCCCTCCCCGCCCCTCCCTTCCGCATTCCGCCAGATACAGTAGCAGTAGCAGCAGTACCACCACTGCCTCTGCATCAACTGGCCCTCCTGTCACCCCGTTGCGCGCGTCGATGCCGTCGTCTGCGCCATCCTTCGCCTGATATTCGCAGCTACACTCTTTGATGATGGTCCCTCCTGACTGGATAAGGGCGGTTTTTCTTACCGTCTTGCTCGCCTTCCAGGGAACAGTGTTCGCTCTCCAGCTAGACGTGAACGATGAGCGTAAGCTTCCAAGCTACTTAGGAGGGGGGGGGGGGGGGCGATTGGCTGGCTGGAACTAACCTTGCGCCACGACAGAATCCATCAAGAATGCCGCCGCGACGACGGCCTACAACATGATGAGCTACTACCATGGCAATGAATCGGGTCAAACACCGGGGAAACTTCCCGATACCTGGTGGGAGGGTGGTGCTATGTTCATGACGTTGATCCAGTACTGGTATTGGACCGGGGACACTTCTTACAACGAGGTCACCACCCAGGGTATGCTCTGGCAGAAGGGTGACGATAACTACTTCCCGGCCAACGATAGCAACTACCTCGGGAACGACGACCAGGTCTTTTGGGGCCTGGCCGCCATGACGGCGGCAGAACTCAACTATCCCGAAGAAGACGGCCAGCCGTCCTGGTTATCGCTCGCCCAGGGTGTGTTCAATACCCAGGTCCCACGCTGGGACACCTCCAGCTGCCAGGGCGGCCTGCGCTGGCAGATATGGCCCTACCAAGCCGGCTACACCACCAAAAATGCCATCTCCAATGGTGGTCTGTTCCAGCTGGCGGCTCGGCTAGGGCGCTACACCAACAATGATACCTATATCGACTGGGCGGAGAAGATCTGGGACTGGAGTGCCACAACCCCGTTGCTGAACACGAACGAATGGAACATTGCCGACACGACCACTACCGAGGCACAATGCAAGGATCATGGCGATATACAATGGACGTATAACTACGGGACGTTTCTCAGTGGGGCCGCATACATGTATAATCTGGTAAGGCTTCCCGTCCTTGTTAGTGACCGTGGCGCTCACGAGGAATAGACCGACGGTGCAGATAAATGGAAGAAAGGCCTGGATGGCTTGCTCGGGAGTGCCTTTCAAAAGTTCTTCCCCCAGGAATTCGGCGGCAATGTAATGTCCGAGATCTCCTGCGAACCGAATATGATGTGCGATCGAAATCAGGACTGCTTCAAGGGGTTCTTAGCTTCCTGGTTGACCTTTGCCACCACCATTGCGCCCTACACTGCTGGTGAAATTATTCCTAAGATCCAGCAGTCAGCGCTAGCAGCATCGAAGCAATGTTCCGGCGGCAGCTCCGGCACTGGGTGTGGGCGACGGTGGCACCAGGCCCAGTGGGATGGCGAGACATCGCTCGAGACAGACATGAGCGCGCTAAGTGTCTTCTCATCCAACATGATTACGCATGTAAATCAAGGCCAAGGGTATCACGGTCCGCTGACCTCGAACACCGGCGGCACCAGTAAGAGCGACCCCAACGCGGGTACCGCTCCGAAGAGTTCCCCCAATACGCTATCCCCCATCACGACTGGGGATCGTGCGGGGGCCTCAATCATCACCATCATGTTTGTCGGCGGTTGGATCGCTGCAATTACCTGGCTGGTCTATGGAGGTTGAGTCGAGACTGTGTTTTCGCAGGGATGTAATTTTGTACATAAGAGGAGCCGACCTAGATAGCTCTCTGGATACGGTGAAGCGTGGATTTTCTCCCAGTTTATGCCCCATCTTCGATCACGGGCGATACGGGCTCGTGTGATCCCGGATCTTTTCGCGGAGTCATTTATAACAGGTCATGTCGGTCATAACGCTTTAGGGTCAGAGGAGTTGCTTGGAAATTGGAGTTGATGGTCAAGGAGCCTGGTTAAAACTTAAGACTGTGAAACAACTCAGATTCTTTTTGGGGGGGGGTCTGGCCGTGAATCTGATGATTTGTGACACCTATTGGATTGGAAGGAGGGCTTGGCCCAGTGATGGCCTTGGATTCAGCCGCTCTGTGTTGACCCGGCCTCGGCCCGTTGATCCTATTCCTCGGCTACTCCTGTATTGATTGATTGATTATTATTTATTGCATTATACCCGATTACAGCACTCTTGGAGACTCTTTCCGGGTCGCCGACGGCCAAAGGGCCCTGAGTGCGGAACTTTTATATATATAAAACAGACAATGTTCAATCTTCAATATCCCCTCGATCCGCCAGTAAAGTAATTTATAAATTTTTATTCTATTCTGTAGTTCTTCTGTAGTATATACTAGTTTTATAGATATGTTCAATATGCAGGCCTGGCTTTGATAAACCCGATAAAACTATCTTTCTCGGCTGTCTCTTTTATTTAGTAGTATCTGTTTATAGCCTAAATTATTTACATTGTTTAATCTCGCCATTCCGCAGTTATATAGCCTGTTATGGGGTATAGGAATATACTTACTTAGCTAAAGATAAAATAATTATATTTCACTCTTAGTAAGCCAGAGATAAAATAATCATATTCTACTTGTAGTAATCTAGTTGCATCATATCAGTTACTGCAGCTGGTGACAAAGCATCAGCCAAGACAACATGGTCCTGTTCAAGCAGGCGGTGACAGTGCGGGCTCCATGCTGAATGCACCAATAATGCGGCGTGTTTTTGACCGTATACTATCTAGTATTCACTATTCACAATGGGAGAAGATTCACTAATATTGTTACATCATATGCCCAAGTGATGGGCATGTGAGCTGTCTAGTTCCCTAAAAGTAGCCCATAATCTCCAGTCTGATTTGGTGACCAACACCTGCCTTGCTGCAACCCCACTAGGTGCTATGCACTCTCTTGTCCTCCGTCTCCTACAAATTCGATCTATCACCCTCCAAATACGGACCTCTCCAAGCCGCTTCATCTGTCCCCCCAAGAGGACTGCTCACCAGACAGTACTTCACTCTGGTGGGCTTGCCACTGAAGCTTCCTGACCAGCTCACAATTTGCCTGCCTGTCCTTCAACATGGTCTTCTTACGCCTCCATGTCAAGGTGTTTCCCCGCGACCGCGAAGATGCCAGCTGCGACAATAACAACCCCGCCGTTAGGAAACCAGCCACCTGTTTCTTGATCGTGCTCGGAAAGCCGGAGGGGATCACTCTGGGTGGATTGGCGGGCATAATTCAGGATAAATGGAGAATGCTCAGACCTCATGCAGAGTAAGTAGAGCAATACACAACTCTGCATGTTGTTAGTTGGGTCCTGTCCACTAACAGCCATGGTGTTATAGCCCTCTGGAAATTAAGAAGCTTGTCGATGATGCCTATGAATATGTCGACCTCGATACTGAGATGACCGTCGCGGAAGTTTTTGTGGATAATGGTAAGGCGTTGCAGGAAGGTTCCGACCAGCGAGCCACTGTCCGAGTTATTCAGAAACCATGGCAGTATGCTCCCGTACGATTCCCCTCTGTCGTCCAAGATTGGAACGCCGCCGCCCAAAGCTTCGAGCCTCAGATACAGATCAAAAAGGAGACGGTCAAAGCTGCCAAGCGCCAGATTCCCGCGGTCAATGAGGGAAAAAATGAAGTTGCGAGTTTTGGGACACCTGACAGGCGCTTATCGAACTTGGGTTCTTATAATAAAGATAATAACTATCATACAGATATTCCTGTCTCCTCGGTTGAAAGAGATGGAATTCCTGGATCTCCTTCAGCCTGGAAGAAGCAGGCGTTTGTCCACGGGGAAAGCTCTCGGGATCAATCAGAAAGTGCCATCACTACCACACCTCTGCATAAGCGCATGGAAAGCCAGGAATTGGGCGATTCTCCCTCACCTTCCCACACTCCCGCACCTAGAGCGCAACAATCGCCTGCTAAGCATAAAGGCTCCACAAGACGATCGATTACCAAAGAAGTGACAGCATCTCCAGTCGCTCCATCGCAGGAACAGCAATGCAATGATGCGTCTCTGTCACCGTTGCATTTTCGTCAACTAGGCCATGAAATACAAATGTCGGTGTACGGTGATGAAGATAGTAGGGTTAGTGCGGATGATAGGATTGAAGATGAGCATCATGCAAAACCTCGACTGGGAGGAAAGGATCGATCCCAGGACCCCGATGTTGTCGCAATTAGTCCAAGTCTGGCATCTATGGAAGGAAACACATCGAACAATACCATAATCGGTGCAGCAAAGCCGGACAACGGTGTATCACGCAAAAGAAGGCTAAGCAAGCAAGATTTCGAGCCTAGCAAAGAACCTCGATTAGATGTGCCCCAAAATACTGTTGATAGCGGCAAGAATGTCGTTATAACGCCTGCGGTAAGTCCGCACACTCCGCGCAAATGTGCAGGACTCCCACTGTTCCCCGGCTGTGGTCGTCGCTTGAGCTTTTCTGGACGGGCGCCGTCAAAGCCCCCTAAGCCTGGCCTGGGACTAGGAATTACGAAGAGCCCTTCTAACAAACCGCCTGTGTTGCTTGATCTATCCCAGGAATCTGCCGTACCTGCGCAACCCGTGGTACAAGCTCCCAGTTTTACCCCAGAGGTTCCCAGCAGTGAGACTGCCATCCAAGGCGCACTATCCCTGCCACAGAAAAGCATCACGCCGTCGAAGTCCCAAACACCCCTCAAGGGTTTACACTCGGCTCTGCGCAAGGATTCCCCCGCTGAAGGACTATGTGAACGTCGATCTGTGTCATTCGCTGATGAAGAAGAAGTTATGTTTACAAGTAGTAATGCAGTGAAAAAGCCTGCTCCTCTGAAGCCTGGAGCCAAGGCGCCGAGCACCAAGAGAAGATCTTCCGGTCCTAGTTCTTTGGGGGTTCCTTCCGACGTACCCCAGGACAAGCTAAAACAGGATCGGGAAGAAGCAAGGAAGGACATCAGGCACAACAGGGAGTTGTTCACAGAGGATTTAAAGCAGAAGATCAAAACAGCACAAGATCAAAAGGCAGACCATCGGTACATCCAGAAACTGCAGCGTATATCGGACACGTTGAACTCCTTTAAGGAGGATGAAAACGATCACCGAACGTCAACGAGAACGGAGACTCTACGGAAGAAAGTTGAAAAGATTCAGGCCTCTATGAAACCAAAGCCTACCCTCGTCTCAGCATCTCAAAAGTCCAAGCCAACCACTAGCTCGCAAGAATTGAAAGGTCATACGCCATGCTCCCATCCGAATAGCATCTCTCGGAAAACTACAGCTTCGATAAATAAGAAAGCCACTCCTGGTCCTCGGCGGGCCCAGACGTCATCCCATCAGGAAATAGTGGAGCTGTCCTCGGGCTCTGAAGGGGAAAGTTACGGCTCAATCAAGCCCGGCCTCCTGCGGTGCGATAACACGTCCTCACTTCCCCCTGCATCGCAACCAGTGCCGACGCAATCCTGGACGGGGTCGTGGACGCACCCGTCACGCAAGACCGGGAGTCGCCATCCTACGCTGAAGTCGCTGAGGCATGATCAGATGAAAGAGATCGAAGCAAAGGCTCAGGCTAGCTGTGTAGTAAATACAATATCTCGAAAGACAGATACAATACCGCCACTTTTGGAGAGTTCCGAAGAGAGCAGTGGCAGCAGTGATAGTGACAGTGACAGTGACAGTGATTAAAGATGGACCCAACCGATAACGATATCGTAATGAGGAGTACCAAAGAATAACATCGTGTCCCGTCGATATACAGGCTGGGAGATGGATTTTACTTTGCAGTGCCTGCGTACATTCCCTTCTGGTGGCTTTTTGGTATCTGTTTGTCCAGCCCCTACGCTTTTGTCCATTGGCATTCGCTCTATTTCTTCCAGTGCCTTAGCATGCCATTGAGCGATACTGTGTTACCTAACAGTGGATTTTGACATTGACCTCCCCTAGTACATCTGGGATCCAGATCTGGTAGTAAATAAGGACTCAATATCTCCCTACGGCACATTAACCCCGTTCAACTCTTTTTCCTCATGATCATCACCCCCTTCAAATGACTCCTCTGGTGGGATTTGCACAACGTAATTCCATCCAAACGGATCCTCGATCTTCCCATATTGAATCCCCTTCAGCATCTCCAACAACTTAACACAGACCTCCCCACCCCCTTGCTCCTCCCCACCACACTCGTACTCCCAGCGACTCCCCCTCGACTTCATCGTAATACTTCGGATAGGGACCAAGGCAGCCGCGGTCCCCGCCGCAATAACCTCCTCAAACTCCCCGATCTCCTCATACGGCACCCTCCTCTTCTCGACACGATACCCCATCAACTGCTCCCCAATCTCCAAGACCGACGTAGCGGTCACCGAATCAATCACATTCTGGCTATCCGGCTGCACCAAAGTCACCCTCCCCTCCGCATCCCTCTTCACCCCAATAAACGCCGACGTGGAAAACTCATCCACCTCGGACCGCGTCTTACTATCCAGATGTAACGTGATCCCAAACCCCTCCCGGTACGCGCGCGCACTATGTCGTAACACGGGGGCATAGTTCCCTCCGAGCTTAGCAGAGCCCGTCCCGACCGGCGCACTGCGATCATAGTCCTCCAGGATCAGCGCATCCACGGCATGCACGCCGTGATACACGCCCGTTGGCGTCACGAAGACCACGAACGTGTATTCATCAGGCGGGGTCAGGCTGAGTTGGGGCGAGGACCCGAACACCAAGGGACGGATGTACATGGCGGCGTTGGCGGAGTGCGGGGGCACGTATTCGGCATTGGCGGCGACGGCGAGTCGCACGCTTTCCAGAAAGATGGGTTCTGGGATAGGAGGGATGGAGACGAAGGAGCAGGAGTGAGCGAGGCGTGTCGCGTTGCGATCGGGCCGGAAGATGCTGATGGTGTTGTTGGTCGGGTGTCGGAAGGCTTTGAGGCCCTCGTAGGCTTGTTGCCCGTAGTTGAGACCGGGGGACATTCCGTGGATGGGGAGATGGGGGTTGCTGATCACCCTTGGGGCTGTCCAGTGGCCGCTCGCTGTCGTGTAGGTGCTTTGGACGTGGCCGTTTACTATGATATATTATATCGATGCATGGTTAGAAGGGGGCAAGGGGGGCTAGAGGGGGGAGGCAATGGTGGTGAGGATAGAATTACCATCGCGGACTTTGAACCCGACGTTGTTCCAGTCAATCGAATTGGTCGGAGGAGGGGGGAATGGACTGGTCATTTTGGCAGTTGGGTTATATTGACTTGATGGTCGCAGGGACTGGGTGTGTAGAATAATAGTAGACTGAGGGTGGGTGATTTTATAATAGGCTGGCGCGGAGAATGATGACGGCAGAAGACAAACTTCCTGACGTGGTGGCTTGGTCCATTCCGGAGCAGGTCGCATAGCTATGCGGAGTCGTCGTATACGGTACCTACTCTGGACGGCTACTGATTTCAGGGTCCACCTCCACCTTCCCCCGGATTTCCTTCATGCGGAGAAGCGAGTCAGCCGTACGGTAATCTCACAGTCACAACTCACGACTCACGAGAACATAATCTCTCCTCAGTCAGCTTTTTAGTAGACCATCACCTCAACTCTTGCATATTACATAGTACGGAAGGACAGAGACGGACCACCCTGGAATGTGCCGGAACTCCAGGACATTCTCCAATATCGACATGAGGGGGCTTCACACTACTGTGGCAGAGTGTTTTAGGAACGTTGTTTAGCGGGTCGGGGCCACTGTGGCAAAAGTAGCCTGACCGCTTCCTAGCTGGGTAAGGATTTGAAGCTGTATAGAGATAATCATACTTTGTACAAAGTAAGTGGCCCCTTTTGTGGCCCTTGCCACAGCAACTCTTGACATCAGAGGCCTGGCAGAATCCTGCGGACCTGACCACAGTATTGCTAGGTTTACAGCCATGCCATCCAGCCAACAGACAATTCTTGCCGGGAGACTCTCAGAACATAGGCGGTTGGAGTATATGTACTCTGTACGGAGTACTTCGTAAGTGCTACCCCATATGTACCAAGTAACACGTTCGATCTCCAGTGCAACAATGCTGTCCGGTCCCGTGATCGTGGAACTGGTGACCCGCCAAGCCCTAGACGAGCCAGCCCCATAATGTCATGTGACTGTTATCAGTGCTTCCGGAAACGTCTGTGATTGGATCAGTCAGTCCGTCCCGAAACGGGATAGCGGGCCGATGTCGCTGCGGCGGCTGTGATTCACACTTGCCTAATCCAGCGGGTAAGAGTCACCACTTGTCGAGACACTAGTATCTATCTACTATCTTCCACACTCCTCCCTTCTCCCTTCTCTCTTCTCCCAGTCCCATCCATTTCTCTTCATACACCATCCAAGATGAGCGGTTCCAATGCTGTCGCCGAAAATATGCTCTGGGGAGGTCGATTTACCCGTAAGCTCCCCTTTTTCTGCACAATGGCTTTCCAATGGCCCTGCGACTAATCCACACTTCTGGCTTCTCTAGAGGGTCTCGACCCCCTGATGGTGCAATACAACATGTCTTTGCCCTATGACCGCATCTTCTGGAAGCAGGATATTGCCGGGTCCATTGCCTTTGCCCGGGCCAACACCAAGTCCGGCATCCTGTCCGCGCATGAGTTCTCTGAGATCGAGCGAGGCTTCAAGCAGATCGCCGAGGAATGGAGCACAAACACATTTGTCGCCAAGGAGAATGATGAGGATATTCACACTGCCAATGAGCGTCGTCTTTCGGAGATCATTGGCAAGGATATTGGGGGAAAGCTGCACACGGGTCGGTCCCGGAACGAGCAGATCGCCACGGACATGCGGTTGTGGCTGCGAGATGAGCTGCGCAAGCTGGAAACCTTCCTAAGCGACCTCGTCAAAGTCTCGATTGCCCGCGCGGAGACCGAAATTGAATACATAATGCCGGGCTACACCCATCTTCAGAAGGCCCAGCCCGTTCGCTGGAGTCACTGGCTTCTGTCGCACGCGACCGCCTTTGGCAGCGAGCTCCAGCGTCTACGGGAGGTCATCAAGCGGGTCAACCGCAGTCCTCTAGGCACTGGTGCTCTCGCAGGAAACCCCTTCCAGATTGACCGGGAGGCCATGGCTCAGGAGCTCGGCTTTGAGGGTCTTTTGTACAACTCGATGAATGCCGTGGCCGATCGTGACTTCGCCATGGAAACCATGCAATGGGGCAGCTCCTTCATGCTAAAGATTTCTCGCTGGGCAGAAGATCTGATCATCTACAGCAGTCTAGAATTTGGCTTCGTCCGGTTATCCGATGCTTACTCTACTGGTTCGTCGTTGATGCCTCAAAAGAAGAACGCAGGTAAGGATTTCCTTCTCGTCTATCACCTCTCATGTGCCTAATTGATATTGACGACTCCTTCAGACAGCCTGGAGCTTCTGCGCGGAAAGGCCGGTCGCGCCTTCGGACAAATGGCTGGCCTGATGTGCACCATCAAGGGGCTTCCCACCACCTACAACAAGGATCTGCAGGAGAGCGTGGAACCTCTTCTCGACCACATCAAGACCGTCGGTGATAGCATCCAGATCGCCACCGGCGTCCTCTCCACTCTCACTATCATCCCCGAGAAGATGACCGCCGCCCTGGCGCCCGAAATGCTCGCCACCGAGATCGCGGACTATCTCGTCCGCAAGGGCGTGCCTTTCCGCGAGGGCCACCACATCTCCGGTCGTGTTGTTGCGCTGGCTGAGAAGCACAACGTTCCCATGGACACCCTGTCATTGGAGCAGCTTCAGACAGTCGACTCTCGCTTCAATGATGATGTCCGTGCTTGCTTGGATTATGACCGTGCGGTCGAATTGAAGGATGCTGTCGGTGGTACGAGTCGTCGGGCCGTGTTGGAACAAACTGGTGTGCTGCGTGGATTGCTGTGAACGGATTCTTTTCTCATGGTTTTGGGGTTCTTCTGTTGGGTTGAGGCAAAAGTTAGCGGGTCTGTCTTGATAGAGATTTATTGATATACAAATGTGAGATATATATGGGTTATAATATCGAGATGGTTTTCAGCTTATTCTTCTTTATCCTCGTTGCAGTTGTGGTTTTCATTGCATTCTTTCTGCCACATCCCCCTCAGTATCTTCTTCTTATTTAACCAAGATAACCAAGCGCAAGACATTATCTTGTTCAAAGGAGAATAAAATAACACGCCATATACTCTTCAATAGGTCTTCGACATGATAAACTCACCAAGTCGTCCTCCACATAGGGAGATCCATACCTACCACCTACTTACTCTACATCAACAGCAACAAAATTGCCACGTAAACGCTAAAAATCCCAGATCCAATTATCTACTTTTTATCTTATATGACATGATATCTATCCTCCAGCCCCGCCAATACGTCACCGCATATATGCATACATTCAAGCCCGGCTGAGACTCTCACCCTCCTCACCCTTCTGGAGACCGTACTTCTTCAGACGGATAGACTGGATGGCAACAAACCCGGTAGTATCGGTGGGCTCGAAGTCCTCCAGGGAGTCCATGGAGGCCTCCTCGGCGGAGTAAAGGTTTTCGGTGCTGCTGGAGCGGCCGAGGATGTAGACGTGGCCCTTGTAGCAGCGGAGACGAACCTCGCCGTTGACGCGCTATGGATGATGGGGTTAGTTTTGATAAGGATGGGGTGGGTGGGTAGGGCTTGGTGGGAAGGGGGGGGGGGGGGGGGGAGGCTCACCTTTTGGCTGAACTTGAGACTGTTCTCGATGAACTCGCGCTCGGGGCTGAAGTAGCTATTGTAGGTGTTAGTTTTGACGGGGGAGGCTTGGGATGCGTTTTCATTGGCGGTGTTTTGGGGTACGTACTAGCCGTTGTAGAGCTGGATAGACCAGTTGTGGGTAACGAATTGGTCACGCAGGGCGCGGACCTGGCCGTCAAGGACGAGACCTATTGCTGGTTAGTGATGCAGTTTGGAGGGGGGGGGGTAGTTATGGGGATATCATTTACCCTCGAGGTCGAGGTGAGCATCGCGGAGGATGGTCATGGCGGGGGCTGTGTTATGTTAGCGTGGATCTGGAGATGTGAGTTTGGAGGAGAGAGGGAATGTACAATCGTAGCAGCCACGGCTCTTCAGACCGATAAAACGGTTCTCGACAATGTCAATACGGCCAATGCCGTGAGTGAAGCCAATCTTGTTGAGGGTGTAGAACAGCTCAACGGGGTCAGTGTACTCCTTCTGGGGAGTGACGAGCTTGGTGGGCACACCCTGCTCGAAGTGGATGGTGAGGTCGACGGGCTCGTTGGGAGCAGTCAGGGGGTCGGCGGTCATGGTCCACATGTCGGAGGGAGGGGTGTGATCGGGGTCTTCCAGGACACCTGTAATTGTGTGAGTATAGGGCTGCAAACCCGCTACAAAGTTGACACTTACCGGCCTCGTAACTGCAGTGAGCGGAGTTGGAGTCTGTGCTACTTAGTATTCAATGCGGGACAGTATAGATGCAGAGACCGGGTGACTAACCCATTGACCACGGCTTGGCCTAGAAGAGTATGTGTTAGCTTTGAAATTGTGCGGGGCAGTACGATGGTGCGTGATTTCCATGGCTCACCTTGGTGGAAGTGACGGGAATGCCGGTCTGGGCGGCGTAGTCGAGAAGGTCATTGCGACCAGCGAACCGCTTGAAGAATTTGGGATCGCGCCAGGGAGCAATGATCTTGATGGAGGGCTGGATGGCGTAGAAGGCCAGCTCGAAGCGGACCTGGTCATTGCCCTTGCCGGTGGCACCGTGACTGACGTACTGGCAGTTTTCCCTCTGGGCAGCGCGCATCTGGGCGCGAGCAATCACGGGACGAGCCAAGCTGGTTCCTGTACAGGGTCAGTCCGTGAACCCCGAGCGTATCAGAAAGGCGCATCATGACATACCGAGAAGGTAACGGCCCTCGTAGATGGCGTTGCACTCTAGCATGGCGGTTAGCGGGGTAATTGCGGCGACCAGGCAGACTCCATTGTCTTACGGATGGCGGGGAAGCAAAGCTCAGTGATGAATTCACGTTGCAAGTCCTCGATGATCATCTTCTTCGCGCCAATCTTGAGGGCCTTGGCCTCGACAGCAGCCCAGTCCTCCTCCTGGCCGACATTGGCGAGGAAGCAAACAACATCATAGCCCTCCTCTAGTACGGTTGTCAGTCGCGACAGGTTTCTACCGATTGGGCGCGGGAGAGGGTGTACCGATGAGCCAGCGCAGAATGCAGCTGGTGTCAAGACCGCCTAGATAGAAAACCGACAGTCAGCGTCCACAGCTCTTATCAACCGTGTAATTCAACATGCGGGGGTCCGGAGCCGGGCACATACCAGAGTAGGCCAGGCAGACACGGGGCTTTTCAGAGGCCATTGTGATGGGTTATAGATTGAAAAGGGGAGGTTGCGCGGCGGAGGCCTGTAGGGATGGGGAGTTCAAGAATAGTAGCTTAGGAAGAAAGAATAGTAGATTCGCGATGGCTCATATCCTTTGCCGGTTGTTGAGAACGCAGCGAGTGTGACTAAGAGGTCGTTGACTCATCATCCGTCCGGAGTCGGAGCCCGGGGCCTTACGTAATATCGGGGTCCGTTGTGGGCCAATTGCTGTGGACCGAGGACCCGCCTAAGCGAATCCCTATCTCGCAGTTTATCCATGCCATAATAATACGGCCAGATAATACTAATAGGGAGATAGACGGGTGCCGGTCGCTGCAGATCTTTTACTCAGAGTACTTTAGTAGTACAGTGTACCCCGTGTGGAGTATCCTGTGTAGGTACTATCTACAACTACAAAAATGGAGGACGGGGGAAAGGTTCTAATGGCTGGCGGGGTCTGCATGTGGGGCTCCGTTGTTTAGGTTTCTATTGCATAATATTTGACCTTTTCCCAACCACCCAGGGACGATGGCGCATCTGGGAGCGCGTCAGACTGAAGATCTGGAGGTGGCCGGTTCAAGCCCGGCTCGTCCCATGTCTTTTTTGCCCCCCACCCTTTTTTGGGTGTTTTCCCTTCTTATCCATCTTGAGCCAGTTCTTCCACTGCAATCCTATCTAGGTAGATTCCTGCTTTTCTATTCCTTTCCCTTTATTCATTGAACCTTCACTCTGCTATAGTCAGGGTCAGGTCATATTTGGCTTCAAATGTTTTGCATGTGTCTTAAGCAACAAACTAGTTAGGGGTCGAAGAAATAATCACTGGACCAATACATATTATTTCTCAACGCTAAAGTCTCCGTCTCTATCGCGTACGGCGTATTAGTACCAATAACAAATCCACACTGTGAAGACAACCGATCTCACTACCCTCCTTTTGCCCCAAAACTACCCCAGATACAACCACTATCGGCACCGATCTTCTCCTCGTGTTCGTATGGAGTTGAAAATGGACCGGATTCGTTCCCTCCAGGAGACCCGCGTATGTACAAAGTATTGACTCCAGGCCGGAAGAACAGCCAGAGAGCACAGACTACACAGACTATCGACGGTCAGCGCAAGGCCGTCCGTCTACCGTCGGCGATGGCGATCCAGGCGGCTATAATTAGCTCGCCGACAGCCAGGCCCTGGCCGCCCTGCTAAGGGCTAACAGTAACACGCAGCCTATTGACGGCGCCCTGGGGATCCCATTCACCCATTCACCCATTCACCTTTGACACCCTTGGCACTAGCAGGTCGGCCAACCATGCCCAGTAGTCATGTTACCCCGTTGATGCCGTCTGTCACGCTTATATTCTGCGTGTAACGACCGCCGTCTGCTCCACTGACCACTTCCCAACCTCCGCCACCAATGCACACCCAGATAACTGGCGACATGTCAGATAGCGCTCTTGTCTTGGTCGCTGTCGCCAGCTGCTAGCTTCTTCTTCTTCTCTCTGTCTCTCTTCCGAACCATCACCCTCTCCGCCTTCCCAAACCCCCCCCCCCCCCCCCCTGTGATCATGCGCTGGGCAACGTGTCTTATCAGTGCCCTCGTCACGTCCGTGGTGCCACTCGTGGCTGCGACCAGGCTCATAGAATCGAATGCTTTGAATGTCTGTCAGAACAGCCCCAATTTCACAGCAACGCATTTCAGCGTCCGTTTTACACCCAACAATCATTCCCTTGCCCTCAGCTTCGATGGGGTGGCTGCGATCTCGGGTTATGTCACGGCGGAGCTCAAGATCAATGTTTACGGCTATCAACTGACCAGCGAGACACTGGATCCGTGTAAGATGAACCTGCAAGGCTTGTGTCCCATGAGCGCGGGGGCCATCAATGTTCAGAATGCCAATATCGACATCCCTCAGGATGTGGTGGGCAAGATCCCGGGTCAGTGTATTAAGGACGAGCGTCAGCCAGTGCTCCACGCTAACATGATCAGGTGTCGCATACACCGTACCGGACCTTGATGCCTCCATCCGAGTTTACATCAACTCCACCGACACGGGCACAAGCATTACCTGCCTGGAAGCAGCACTGTCGAACGGGAAAACGGTCAACCAGAAAGGCGTCGGATGGACTACCGCGGTTATTTCAGGCATCGGGCTTACTGCTTCAGCCGTGACCGCTGGACTTGGAAACTCGAATACGGCGGCCCATGTAGCGGCCAATGTCCTTGCCTATTTCGGCTTCATGCAATCACAGGCTATGTTCGGCATGGCATCCGTGCACATGCCGCCCATCGTGGAATCATGGACTCAGAACCTACAATGGAGCATGGGAGTCATTCATGTCGACTTCTTAGACACGATCTGTACCTGGTACCAAAGGTCAACTGGGGGCATTCCATCGTCCGTCTTATCAGAACTCTCGACAACCTCGGTAGAAGTGCTTAAGCGCAAGAAGCGCTCTTTTGAGAGAGCCGCCAATCTAGTATTCAAAAGGGCTTACACCCAATCGGAGACGGCCACGTCCAGTACTACCGTCGTACGTGGAATCAAGCGCGTGGGCTTTCGAGCCGGGATTGAAGAAACCAACATCTTCCTCACCGGCTTCATCTTTTTTGTGGTCTTTGTTGCGGCGGTGATGATCCTTGTTGCCTTTCTAAGGGCAATCTGTCACATACTTGCGAAAAAGGGAAAGTTAACAAGCGACAAATTTGCGGACTTCCGGGTGGCCAAAGGAATCCTATACAGGCTTATATTGATCGGCTTCCCTCAGATGTGTGTCCTTTGCCTGTGGGAGTTCACACAGAATGATTCTGCTGCCGAAGTAGTCCTTGCAGTCGTCATGTTTCTATCAGTGATCGGCACTCTGGGCTGGGCTGCCTTCCGAGTTATCACTCTTGCAAGGAGGTCGGTTACACTGCACAAGAACCCGGCGTACATCCTGTATTCCGACGAGATGTGTCTGAACAAGTTGGGATTCTTGTATGTGCAGTACCGGGCAACAGCATACTACTTCCTTGTTCCTGCCCTTTTATATACCCTCATAAAAGCCATGTTCATCAGTTTAAGCCAACCGTCTCCGATTGTGCAGACCGTGGCCATGGTGATTATTGAGACTTCCGCACTCATCGGCACCAGCATTATGCGACCCTGGATGGACAAAAAGACCAACGGCTATAATATTGCTATTGGGGCTGTCAACTTCTTAAACGCTATCTTTCTGCTATTTTTCTCCAAGATCTTTGACCAGCCTGGCATAGTGACGGGCGTTATGGGAGTTGTCTTCTTTGTGTACAACGCAGCCTTTACCCTTATTTTGCTGATCCTTGTCCTCCTCACATCTGCCTACGCTATATTTTCAAAAAACCCCGACCTACGTTATCAGCCTATGCGGGATGACCGTGGATCATTTGTCAAGTCGCAGAGCCAGTTGATTACCGAGCTGGATGCGTTGGGCTCGACAGCTCGTGGGGAAAATAGCAAAGATGCGTGGAACAAGGTCAGCCTTCTTACGGAGGACAATGGGTCCGTTTCCAGCGGCAATGGGGTCAATGGAAGCCATCCGAATCTGGGAGGGACTCAGCATGACTTACCAAACCCTCAATTCTCCGAGTCACCCGCGAATCAAGCGGCTCAGTATCCTGACGCCCGGGCAATCAGTCCTGGTGAACGAACAGCATCGCCGGCGCCAGGGGAACTGCAGCGCACGCTGCTCAGTGACAGCGACATTGCAGCTAGGAATGAGAAGTATGCCGTTCCATGACAACGAAGGAATATTTTAGCCCCAAACCCTCTGTCCTGAATGGATAGAGAGAGCTTGCAGAAGGCTCCTAATCGACGAAAATGGGTTGGTCTTGTATCTGAATCACATAATTCGTGCGAATTTCATTTATCTTCGTGAGAGGCTGGCGTCCGTAGCTCAGACCAACTTCACCGGTAGAGGCTTGACCGTCAGTGTGCTGGTGTAGTCCGTAGATGGGTGGGTCGGGAATCGGGATAGCCCGAAACCCCGTGGGGAAGGAACGCGTCCTCGCCTCTTCTCCTTCTTTTCTCCTTTTCTCCTTCTTCCCCCGACTCACCCCCCCCCCCTCCTCCTTTAAGACGTCGTTTGAATGATAGCCCCGCTGGCTCATGAAATGCTGGGTCCGCCTGCTTGACAACCAGAAGCCGAATCCCCTCTGCGGTCTCCCCAGACAACGTCATTCCCCACCAGCCCCCGCCAGCAGGTAGATGGTTTGGGGAGAATTCGGATGCTCCACCCCCTGATCGGAAAGATGATCTGCCGATAATCTTCATGTTCCTCCATCATGGTATGATGGTCGGGTGCCAATAGTCCGACAGTCCCGCGGGTGGGACGGACTTCATGGCATGGCTGGTCCACGGGTCTATATAAATAAATAAGCAGGCTGGTCGGTTTCAAAAGCCACCAGCGAGCATTGGAATTTAATTGCCCAGGATGCGGTCCTACTGGCTTCTCACGCCCGCCTTGCTGGTCTTCACTGTCTTGGCTATACCCTACGAGGAATATATTCTTGCTCCGGCCTCTCGCAATCTTCTTCCTACCTCCGTATACCAAGTTAACGGCTCCGTCACCAATCCTGCTGCCCTGACAAGCTCGACCACAGGAAACACCACCTTTCATGGCACATCTTCTGTAACGTATGATTTTGGGCGGAACATCGCAGGGATTATCTCTCTGGATGTTGCCTCCGCGCCAGCATCTGCATTCATTGGGGTCACATTCACGGAATCCCATCTGTGGATAAGCAATGAAGCATGTGATGCTACTAGTGACGCAGGTCTTGACTCGCCGCTATGGTTTCATGTCGGCAGAGGTTCTGGACTCTATACGGCAGGGAAGAAACATACTCGTGGTGCGTTTAGATACCTTACGGTCGTCAGCAACACCACATCCACCGTCTCCATCAATAGTATCCGAGTCTACTATACCGCGGCTCCCACGCAGGACCTTCGCGCCTACAAGGGCTACTTTCATAGCAATGACGAGCTTATCAACCGCATATGGTATGCTGGTGCATATACTTTGCAACTCTGCAGCATTGATCCCTCGACGGGAGACTCGTTAGAGTGGCTCGGCATCCTCGACTCAACCGATAATATTACTCTCCCACGGACAGACTCGTGGTGGTTAAATTACACTATCACCAATGGCAGCAGTACCCTGGTTGATGGCGCCAAACGGGATCGGCTCGTGTGGCCGGGAGATATGTCCATCGCTCTGGAAAGCGTGGCTGTCAGCACTGCGGATCTGGATAGTATCCGCACGGCCTTGGAATCATTATTCGCACTGCAAAAAGCCAACGGTCGCTTGGCCTATGCAGGAAAGCCTTTCTATGATATTGTAAGCTTTACATATCACCTCCACAGCCTGATCGGCGCGTCATCACTCTTTCAGTACACTGGAGACCTTGCTTGGCTGTCGCGATACTGGGAACAGTACAAGAGAGGTGTGCAGTGGGCGTTGACGAGTGTTGACGACACCGGGTTGGCCAATATTACAGCTAGTGCTGACTGGCTGCGTTCTGGAATGGGTGCACATGTAAGTTTGTTTTCACCCTTACATCTAGAGCATCAAAGGCTCGTCACATACTTCCCGACAACACCTTATTAATATAACCGCAGAATATTGAGGCAAATGCGATTCTGTACTATGTTCTCAATGATGCCATCTCTCTCGCCCAAACCCTCGATGACTTATCCAGTACCAAGAACTGGAGCAAGACTGCGACAGGAATCAAGACTGCTGCCAACAACCTTCTCTGGGATGACCAGAGTGATCTTTACACCGACAATGAGACCACCACCCTGCACCCTCAAGATGGCAATGCCTGGGCACTCAAGGCGAATCTTACCACTTCATTCAACCAAAGTGAGGCCATATCGTCTGCACTCGCCTCCCGCTGGGGACCGTATGGGGCACCCGCCCCAGAGGCTGGGAGCACAGTATCCCCTTTCATCGGCGGGTTCGAGCTGCAAGGGCATTACCTCGCTGGCCAGCCCGATAGAGCCCTTGACCTGATGCGCCTGCAATGGGGATTCATGCTCGATGACCCGCGCATGACCAGTTCAAGTTTCATCGAGGGGTACTCAACTGACGGTTCGCTGGTATACGCACCGTATCGCAATACGCCGCGAGTTTCGCACGCACATGGATGGTCGACAGGCCCGACATCCGCTTTGACCTCTTATGCAGCTGGGTTGCATCTCATCGGTCCGGCGGGAGTGACTTGGCTGTTCAAACCGCAGCCGGGTAATTTGACCCAGGTGGAGGCCGGGTTCACAACTCCGCTGGGTTCCTTTGAGATGGCTTTCCGTAGCTCGACAGAGGGCTTTTACCAACTGACATTCACCACGCCCAATGATACCTCTGGATCTGTGGAGATTGGCGACGTGACTGGAGAACTAGTTTCCGATAGGGGTGTGAGTGTGCAACTAGTCAATGGCAGGGCAACCGGACTGCAGGGGGGGACTTGGCGATTGACAAGCCCGTGAGGCCGGATATCACAATTCTCTTATGTATGGGTAAAATATTCCTATTGGATGGCATGTTTCTCCTGGTAGTAGCTTGGTTTGAGAGAAAGATCATATGTCAACCATCACCAAGCTACGGAATTTGTGACATTGTCTGCAAGAGCTTGATTCTGCCGTGTTGATTTGTCCCAAGTCTAGTCAGTACAATATCTCAAATACCCATCTACCTGGAACTTTTCTGGTCGAACGGGACAGATCGTGAACCTTGTAGAAACCCAAATTGAGTGGAATAGTAGCTATGCTATTTAATTCTGCGTATAAGGATCGACACATTGAGGTTTGAACATCAATATCTATCTGTCTATATACGCACTATCTCATTAATATTTAGTACAAGATGACACTATCTAAACTGGAAAACCCAGTTGCAACACCTCCCTCATTCACGTCCTTTGCTTTCGTCCGCATCAGCCACCCGCCCTGCTCATTGTGCAGGACCTTTCCTCCAGCCTGATCCCAAAGGATGGTGCCATAAATCCCCAGCTCCCCAATGACATGTCCACTTAGAACCTCGCCGTCGGGCCGAAGAGCCACGTTCTTTGCGTCAGCCGGAGGCTGAATCAGCTCCATAAGGATCCAGCGCTTCCACTCTGGTTCGGGGAGGGATTGAAGGAACTCAGGAATCGCTTCTTTATAGATGTTATTGCCACCTCCCTCGCGCTGAGGCTTGAGGACGTGGTTGGCTGCAGTTTCGGGGTCCAGGGCAAGCTGTCGTCCGCGACCACTCACCGAGAGGTCGTATTGCGGTGCGAAGGTTTCCCGTAGTCTCGCGAGCGTAGCTGGGTCGGTTCTGGAAAGAAAGTTCGCAAGATGGTCTGGGCCCGTTTCTTCCGCGAGCACCTGCTGCACGACTTTACTGCCGGCGAGTTGGTTCAGGACGGTCGGGCACTTAATCGCGGCCGACCGCTCCAGGTGGGTCCGCGCTTCCCAATCGCGCTCGGACTTGTAGTCTGTGGGCGTGTAGAAGCACCGCAGGTAGACGGTTGTCACTTCAAACTCGGTGCCTTCGGCGTGGGGAGGCCGGTAGATGAGAGGTCGGGATGGATTTGAGCCCGGGATGTGCGTGTGATCCAATGTCTCGGAACTGAGGAGACGGAAGACGGGGATCTTGTGAACCCTGGTTAGCTGCCTCGAGAGCGCCAACTGGTCGAAAACGTTTCTTTCGCCTTCCTGGACGAGAACAAGAATGCATGTGGGAAGGGCGGGTGATGACTTGGAGGGCCCATAGGCTGTGTGCGCCGTAGCTAAGCCTGCAGCCAGAGTCTCCACTGAAGTATTGTCAGGGGGTTGGTTCGAGTCAAGCAAAGGATGGGATGGATATGAGATTGGGTTGCCCGGTGGTGAGCTGAGGAGTTCCGAATGAAGAGATGTCACGAGGGAAGATAGGCCGCCGAATGAGGAGGAGATGGTGTTGAACTCCACCTGTTTCAAGGACGGTGCGGTGGCACCCGACGGAAAGTGGGCCATGTAATCGGAGCGGTAGAGACCAAGGGCTAGTGTCTGAGCATATCCTTCTTCCTTGACCGCAAGGTGAACCTTCCACAGGTGAGAGATGAAATCATCCACGTCAATGAGGCTAGAGAGAGAGGATTTAGTACCGTCCAAGTCGGCAACACACAGCTCGATTGAGCCATGGGCCAGATGCCAGATCGGAGGTGTCTCCTTACTCTTCCATAATGTCGCCAATCCACTTCTCATTGCAGGTGATCGCCGCGTAGAGTTCGTTGTATACCGTCTGGAGGGCTCTTGCCTCGTCGAAGCAAGCCTTCGGAAAGGGACTGGGAAACAAGGTCACCGGGGCGCTGGTTGCAGTCACGCCTCGAGGGTCCGATTCTTTCGATATGAAGGCAGGGGAGGGGCGAATCATGAGGCCATGCTGGACAGTCCAATCCTTGACTGTTCGCACCAGGAACTCCTTCTGTGCGGGGTTGAGGGGGGGAGGGTAATCGGAGTAAACGGAGTCAGTCATGGCGGAAATTCGATTCGCTAGCAGAGGGCGCTTGTCGGGGTAGATGCAACCCAGGCCTCAAGAGAAGAAGCCGAATTGAAACTGTCGCAGGTCCTCTCTTGCTGGTGCGGAGGGGGAGGGGGAGGAGGAGGCATATCGTTTCTATTAATCAGCACGAGACGATCTCCGCAGTCACCGCACGGGGCAGAATATCCACACCGTACCGGAGCAATGATGATGCGGAGGTCGATTTGGCAACCGCGCGATCACATGACTGGCCCGTGCCGTCCCATAGATACCAGCCGTTCTGCCTACGATGTTCCAGAACAGCAAGACTACAGGGTACAGGAGTAATAATATATCTCTTTATAGTTATAAGGGAGTGTCAGTCGAACGCGACTCTCAACAAACTCCAAGGCAATGCCTATCGATCAAGTTACTGCATGCTCCAGGGCTTCCACCTCCCTTCAACATGCATACTTACATGCACAGGTTAGTAATTTTTAAGGGGATCATAAGACGACTTATTTCTCCTGTGATACGTATTGTGTTGTATTGCGTTGTGCTTTGCAAATAAGCTGGATTAATTAGCGCGCTAATACCGCGCATGATCAAACTGATTTTCTCACATAGTAGGTAGATAGAGCATTCGATCTTGAATAGGTTAAGAGATCCATCTCTTTTTTTTAACATGCGTGCATTGCATATGCACGTACAGAGATCCTGTCAGGCTGTCAGATGGTTCCAGAATGGGCTTATCCGATCCGAGTCCCAAGCGCCACGGTGATAGGGTGGGTGGATTGGACAGGCGAGGTCAGCCTTCTGCAGGGGCAGACAGAATTATCCGCGACTCCGCGCCCCGTTCCGAATATGCAGGGTGTTCTGGGTCAGGGTGGCGAGGTTGCGAGATCGACACACCATATCCTATATATGGATATGTGTAGGAGATGATGTGCTGGAGACGCAAGATAAACTATCAGGGATAGATAGTCTGTCTTAAAAGCCGGTGGGTATGGTCCAGATGTCAAGCTGTTGTGCATGGCGCCTCTTGCCGGGAGATATATAAATATCTCGCCATGGCTGCGTCGTGTTGGGGACCTCTGTCTAGCCAAGTTAACAGATTGTGTGTTTCTCTGTCTAACTATCTGTGTGGGTGTCCTGATCGTCACGTCCAACAGCTTTACTGACTTCTGGATTAGGCTTGCGATAGAGTAATTCTTGCCGACTGACTGGCTGGCTAGTGCTGTGGTTTGGTTGCGACAGAGTCACTACTACTCATACCCGATCCCCGATCTCTAAATTTAGCACATCGTCTTCTAGGCTCAACAGTCCCATCGCCCAGGAGGCTGCTGGACGTTTGACAACGGTGATAAATCGTCTTTCATTGCTGTCGGTTGATGCGGCCTCTGCATCAGGCGATGTCCATTTCGAAGCCGGTCTGAATTCGGATTGGTCTTTCCGCTCATACTGTGGCCCGCGACCTTGCATGGCAGCAATTCTCCATACATTTTCACAGCTGTTGGCTATAGAGTCTGATGTCTTCCAGCCACTCACGCGAGAGAGCTCACGCAGCTTTGTGACGACCCAATCTCGTTGCGCAGGATCTGTGTACTGAACTGCGGAGAAGAAAATCGGCACGGTCATCTCGATTAGACAAGACCCGAGAGTCGGGCTTAGGCCCCCTGCCTCCAGGTGGAATTCCTGGGGGTAGTAGACCCCGGCAGCGATTCTACCGATCATCTGGCTATAATCGTCCGTGATTGATGCTGCTACCTTGGCAGATACCATCATGGCAGGAGGCATGGATGGGTGAAATCTGTGGAGTAGCATGCGACCAGTGTAGTAGTAGCCCCATACTACGGCCATGTTGTGTGTCCGGTACTGCAGAGCCGGTCCAAACGGAGTTGAAATTGGGGGCACACTATCGGGGGGTAGGGGCCTGAAGTACGGACCGAGAGCGTGGGCAAATGAGTCGAAAGCTGCCAGAATACTTTCCCACTCATTCTCGGCGTCAGTGTAGGAGTGGTTCTCCTCCTCCTCATCCTCCCCGTCATCTATGTAGTCTGGGAAATCGACAAAGGCATCTGGCGGGCGTTTGGAGCCAAGGGGTGGAGCCATGCCGTAAAACGGGGGACCGGTTGTCGGTCCAGGCGGACGCTTCACAGGCCCCCCAGCTGGTTCCTGCTGTTCAGGCCGTCGCTGCAGGAAGCGAGCCATGAACATCGCAAATCTAGAGTCAGGCTGCCATTCAGAGCCAGTAGCCTTTGCTGCCTTCAACTTTCTCTTCCTATCACGGACCCCAAAATCCGTCAATCGCCCCATTAAAAGCCACAGGTGATCCGCGGAACCGTATATAGCGTCCAATCGACCCGCCGCCGCACGAGGAGGGCACTGCCCCCACTGTGAGAATGGCATGCTGCTGTTGTGAGCCTATAGTGCTGATAGACAAGGAATAGATGATCTACTCACAATAATGAACCACCGCTGATCATGCTCTGCAGGACGTCCTGCTTGAGATACCACCAATAAAGATCACACTGTAACCGGAAGCTTTCAATATCCTTCCGGGTAAAATGCCTATTTTGGTGGGGGTCGCTATGGCCATCATCAACTTGCCCGAACTCATCATAACTGACGGCCCGACCGAGGAGGGTTCCAATGAGCTTCTCGTTAATACTGTTCTCTTTTTCTGCGAAAGGGTCGTCCTCGGACGCCGGGTCTCCAAATAGAAGATAGTCCCCTAGCGCCAGATTCGGGCGTTCCGCTTGTTGTCGTTCGGCCCAGACCCTACGCCGCTGAGCGCGCAGACCCCGGGCCATACCGGCAAAGTCAATTTCGCGCACCAACTGGGCAGACCCTGCGACGTGGCTATTCCACTTGGAGTGATCGGCCCCCATCACTTCATAGTATCCCAGCAAGAGCGCGGCGGCCAGAGTAGTGATCTGCTTGCGTCGCGTGGGAAGACCCACCGCGGTACTGACCTTTCTAAGCGCATAGTGGTAATGTTTGAGGGAAACGGTGGGTGGAGCTTGCTGTAGGAAGGAAATATGTAAACTGCTAACAGCAAGCATGGCTTGCAGCAATGCTTGGTTCTCCAACGCTTTCAGGGGGAGTGTATACGTCCAAAGTCCCTGTTGGGCCATTGGCACCGATGTACCTAGCATGGTGGAGGGATCGATCGGATGTCGCTCAAAGACCGATAGGGACGGTCCAGTTGCATGGATAAAATGCAGAAAAATTCGGGCTGCTTTTGGATTATTGAGGGGCGAAGAGCCATACGTTGGAAGATAAGAACCCAGGATATTGGGTTCATTCAGATAAGTGGTGAAAGATCGGAGCTGCTGTTGATCGCGATTGGCCGATGCCATGATGAGACTCAGCTGGTTGTAGTTTTGTACGGCCGTCTGCCCATGCAGCTCCTCGTCAGTTTCAATGTCATAATAGTCATCCTCGCCATCGTCTTCAGGATGATCCTGTGCCTGGAGTAACTTTGTGCGCAGCAACCCCGCGCCGGGCCTCCATGAACCTTGCTGACTGGGAGTGCTCGTATCAGTCCGATAGTCTGACTCCATATTGACAGATATTTCTTGACGTTGCTGATCTAGGAAGGCCAGTGTATCCGGGGGTCGGTAAGGTTCTTGCACCGGCAGCGAACGAGACCACGGTTGGATCACTGGCTCCTGAACCGGAGCTGCACCGGGGCCCTGAAACTCGAGTAGCGCCGGGACAGTGATTGACGGTAGGGGTTGCTCCAGTGCCAAGGGTGTAGCTGGCTTAGGAGCCAAGATCGGTTGGCCAGTGCCATCATTCAGTTGCTGGGTAGGAAATGGCCCGGGTGGTTTCTGGGTGTTAAAGGTTGTTTGTTGCGAAGAAGTGCCAGGACCAGTAATCCCCAACGGGTCCTTGAAGACCAGACGCGGGCCATAACCCTTGCAGTCGCGCTTTGATTTGATACAGTTGTTGCAGGTGGGTTTCTCCTCTCCGCATTTGATGCGACGTTGGCGGCAGGCTGTTGGCGTTGGTCAATGCGTCGAGCCTTCCTTATCATTGGGATAGGGCGGACTTACTTAGGCAGCCTGTTTTGGTACGCTTCCTGGGGGCTTTCTGCGCCGACGCATTGCCCGAGACCAGTTCAACGGTGTCGTCCTGCAGGTCCGGCTCTTTGTTTGGCCAAGTGACCGATGGGGCCTGCTGAGACTTCCGGGTATGGTTTACGTTTTCCATGGCGACAAAGACTGGGCAGGCTAAGTTCCATAGTCGTACGACAGGCAGCAGGGCAGCAACGCCGGATGCTGAGCAGGCCCAGGGAACGAAGGTATGCAGCTAGAAGTGGGTACTGGTATGGGTCTGGGCCTGGGGAAGGAATAATGATAAAGAAAGAAAGAGAGAAAGACTTCTGTGGGGAGATCGGATGGCGCTGTCGTGCAATTCCGGCCCATCCCATCTGCCGATTGGCCACTCCCCGTCACGTCACGGCCTCAGGCGCTCGGCTGTTCCCGCAGGGTTCGACGCCTGAAACACCAGGCGGGTAGTACTACTATCAAGATAGTAGTTTGTGTAGATACCTACTATTTAGATAGGCCAGGTCGACGATCACGTTTCTGCCTGAATGCGCAGGCTGCAGGCCTTCATGTACGTAGCCCATTGGTCAGCAGGATCATATAACTAACTAGTTAGTTAACTAACTACTCCATATGATATAGCCCTTCTTCCTCTACTGCCTTCTTCCCAAGTTAAGAGCCACCCCAAATCAATCCCTCTCTCTAACCCCCCAAACCAATCCACTACTCGGATTGATTCCCCATCTACTACATATACCCTCAAAGTCCTCCCCGCATAGAGCATATGCAGCTCGTCGCATCCACCAAAACTGGGAAATCACAGCTACTACTCCTTAACATGTAACTTAACTACTTACCCAGATAGCTCATCAGCCCCTAACATCATGGGAATGAATTCCAGTTACACTTACCGTCCTATCCTGACCGCCTTAGGCTTGGTGACCCTTGACTTGACATGCAGTGATTCATGAGTACTACAGTAGGAGTTTTATACAGGGTCACAAGCCAACATAATATACAAATATCACCCAAGAAGGAGAGGAGGTGATGGTGGGTTTTTTAAGAGACCACCAACCACCAACCACCACGAAGAAACCACATATCCAGCGCCATTCATGCAAACAAAATCAACCAACCAACCACAATATCAGCCTAACATCAACACCACCACCACCACCACCACCACCACCACTCATTATACACGCTCGCTCATCACTACCCACCTATTCACAGCACAACACAACACAACAAACATACCCCCCCCTTCAAACCACCACTTTTATTTTTATGTTATACCTCAAAAATCCGTCACCCTCCCCCCATAACTCCAATCACCCCCAGCCCCCCACCTCAACGGCTCATTCTTAGGCCCGCCCACCTCCCCCGTCTTAGGATTCTTCTCTCCTTCAAACTCAGGCTTCGGCCCGCTTTTGATGTCCGGGTGGAGCTCCTCCCCCTTGCCGGTGGCATTGATCTCCGCCGCCGCCGCCGCGGGCTCCGAGTCGGGCGATTGACTGACGCGCGGGGTGCTGAATGCGCCGGTGGATTTGCGTTGAAGTTCCTCGAAGATCTCTTGGTCTTCTTTGGGGAGACGCGGGGGGGCGGGGGAGCGGGGGAATCCGAAGGGGGCGTTGTCGGAGAGGAGGGGGTAGTTTGTTGAGAAGAGGCGGGTGCGGAGGCGGAAGGTGGAGGTGGGCTTCGTGCGGAGGAGGTGGAGGGTGCGGAGAGACATTGTAGCTGTTGGCCTTGTTGTGCTGTTCAGAAGTATAATATATCGGGGTTTTCCCCTCTCTCTTCTGTGGGATGGGGGTGGTTTGGGCGATGGTTTTCTAGTGGTTTGGAGCAAGAAGTTGCGGGGCGGCGATGCGGAGGTCGAGCATTTATGGCAATACATAGCTGATTAATCAATCCTGCATAAGTCCAGATGTCACATGATCTTATGCACAGCTAGTGCAGGCATGTTCATGGAGTGGTTGCGGCCTGGTGTGTGACAACACGAATCAAGGGTATATTCCTAGCTAAAAGTGTACATACGTATTTACTGGCCATGGACGATCGCTAAGCAAGTTAATGTTCACAGGGACCCCATTGTGGAGTCAGCCAGGGCGGACCCAGCAGCACTAGCGCTAATCGCCGGCGAGGAAGTATGATCGGCATAGTTGTCGTTGATGCCTTCGCGGGGACGGTCCCAGGTACGGATGTGGCCTGTTGATTGGGTTCATTTATTAGCAACGCTGCTCTGGGCGTTGAGGTTGGAAAGGGTATGGGTGATGCTACCTTCAAGGGAAGAAGTCATGATGGAGTCTTCTTGGAAGCCGAGCCAGCAGATGGGATCGTCGCCCACAATTTTGGACTGTCGAGGTCAGCTTGTTCCGAGTTAGATGAGGAGATGCATCTACTCACCATGATTGGGGGTAATAGGGCTGTTCGCGATCGGGGCTCGACGGGATGGCGGACAGTCGGATCGTAACTAGCGTAGGTTTCTGCGGTTGCTTGGGAATCGGACCTCATTCGGTTTCCAGCGCTGTCAGCTCGATGACGATTGGAACTCTGGGGATTCGAAACAATCATGCTCGTGCGCTGACGGGCGCTAGACTGGTGGTGCTGTTCCACTGTGGTTAGTAAACTGGATGACGTTGACAAAACAAAGTGTATAGCGTGGAATATGCCTCGAATTGTGTCGCCAATAGACAGAACGTACCATTCTCGGACGGTGCAGCATGCCCACGCTGAAATCCCACAGTAACAGCCGACAGTCGTCACCCACGCTACCGAATCTGTATGTCCTTTCGTCGCAACGCCAGGGGTCAAAGGCTACTGCAGAGACCCACGAGTTATGGCCTTGACAGCGTGCGATAATTTTCCGCTCTGATAAGGACCATATGGTGACCAGATCGTCCTGGCCCCCAGTCGCTATGTACTTGCCATCCGGCGACCAACAGACAGATATTAGCCCACCGTAGTAGCTGCGAAAGATGTCCAAAACCCTAGAAAACTTTAGCCTGAAAGTGGCCAGGAAATGGGGAAGGTGCAGCATACTCTTCCTTGAGATAGTCCATTACCCGCAGCGATCCGTCCTCGAGGACAATAGCCAGATGTCTACGGTCTGGAGAGAAGGCAAACTGGCAGATCTTTTGGTTCGCGACTTTCCACAATGCGACGGGGTTGGTCTTCTGGTTTCTCGAATTGACGGACTTCAGGACCTGCAGGGGTTGCCGGCTACAGGCCTTCACTGTATCAACTGAAGGGCTGAGCTCCGGTGCGAAGAGAGCATCCTCCTTCTCCTTGTCATAGACCACCAACTGTCCATTGGCATGGGCTGCCATGAAGAGGTGTTCTGAGCCCGGGAGCCATTTAATATGGGTGACAGGCGAGTTGTTTACAACCCCATTCTTGTTGATCCGGGCGTATTTTTGAGATATGGGCTCGTACCAGATGATGTCTCCCGCCGACGAACCCATCACGATATCAATGTGTGAGGCGCTCTTAGTCAGCTCGTTGATATCATGGCTTATGACATGCGCTTTGGTGAATAGGATCTTGGTGAGGGATTCTTCCTTCTGCTTGGAGCCCAGGTCCAGCCATTGGTATGCACGATTAATGTTGGCAAATGCAAAGAGCCCATCGGGGTTCCGATCGTTCATCCGTTTTGTAGCGGCCTCGTGTGTGATGACCCGTGAAACAAACGATGAGCTGCTCTTCACAATGTTATTTTTCGGCTTCCTTCTCTTCAACCCATCCTTCAGCACGGGAGGAGCTAGAGCTGGGTTGCCATCTCCAAATGGAGGTGCTGCTGCTGCTCCACTCAGAGGGAATGTGGGTGTCTTGCTCCGATTGCCGATGCTCACTAGGGAGAGCTTGACACCGGATGTCGGGGGAGTAGGGCCGGTCGCAAGGGGGTTTGGATTCACGACAGGGGCTTCGGAGGGATGAGGAGGAGGGGTCGCCAGATGCAGGTCATCTCGGAGGTGGTAGGTGCCTAGAGGATTGTCGCCATTGGGGTTAGCCGTGGACCTTGATCAACAGCCAATGTCGGGGACCCTGCACATGACGTGCATGTCAGGGCATGCAACATTCCCGAAACGCACCTTCACCGGCCTGTAAGGAACAGCCACCCTCCGGATGGCTGATCACATTGTTGGTCTCAACTACCGGTACCGCCATACCATTCGACGCGCCCGCCGCATAGGCGACAGGGACGGTGTAGCGAGGCGGGGGCGGGGGAAGGACGCTGGTTTGGATTCAATGGGTTAGCCAGGTGAAGGGACACGACTCGGTCGCGGTCATAGCAGGGGGGCAGTGGATATCGTAGTAGACAGCAGCAGTAGGGCTGCAGGGGGGGGAAGACGGCGGGATATTCGGTCCTTCCAGAAAATCCAAGACGGGTCTAGTATCTCAGGCGGCAGGCGCGGAGATAAGAGGGAGGGAGAGGGAGGAGAAGCCAGCGCGGGCGGGACAAGCCTTACAACATGGCGTCGGGTCCAATATCCAGCAGGCACACCGGCCTTCTCGGTAGGGAATTAGTTCAGAGGGATTCGGGGGTGGTGTGACCGGGGCCTGGTGATGCGCGATAGGCCCGTCAGGCAACCGTCGTGGTGAATCAATTCCCTCCTCCCAAGCGCGGCACCCTGGGCGGGGCCACCGGGGGGCTCGTAGCACTGCTGGATTGGGGATGAAGTGAGTTCGAGGGTAGGACGGCCAATGCCCAGCACACTGCGATCGCAATGGAAGGGGGAAGGGCAGGTCGTGCAGGCAAGGGCTAGACCTGTTCGGAGCGGAGTGTCGCGGGGAGGGTCACGGCGTCACGGAGGTGGGAAAGCCGCTGGATCTCGTGTGGGTTTATATACGTGGGGTGGGGGTGGGGGATGGGAGAGGGAGAGGGAGATGGAGATGGAGAAGGCGATGGAGGCTGGGGAGGGGGGGGTTTGCCGGACACGAAGCTGCGCAATCACCGCAACGGCCTATAAGGGGATTTGAAGACAGCGAGAGAAGAGTGGGCAGTGATTCCGGGGTCGCTCGACGTTGGCGCGTGGGGCCGGCCGCAGTCGGCCACTCACGCTCGACTCCTCGGCTTAGATATCCTACAAGGTACAATTCCTTGCAGGCTTACGCGGGTGTAATTCGATGCGATGGCCGACGTGCCTGGATCAGGTGACTCAGTTGAGATGGTACCTAGTAGTAGTAATAGTAGTAGTAGTACTCCGTAGTAGTCAGGCAATTTGACTATATTTGCAGGAAGCATCGCGCATGGTGGCTCAAGCCTGCCCCGCGTGACGCCGCGATCAAGGAGGCCTAGTTAGTTAGTTACCTATTATGCTGACCAATTTCTTACGTACACGAACCAGAGGAATAGCAGCCTGGTCACATGATCAGCTCCGGCTGCAGCTAGTTGGCTCCCCCGACGAGGAGAACAACTTCGACGACTCTGACGGCGGCAACCACGCCGTCCCGCACCAAGAGATAACTCCAAGCCGCTCTTCACACTTTCTTGCTTCTTCCTCGACCCTCTTCCAGTCCACCACAGTCCAGTGGATCTAGACGAGGTCGACAGCGTCGCCTACCCTTCTCGTCCACACGCACAAACAGCCTCATGCTGTCCGTTCCGTCCTTTCCTCCCTCCTTCACGAGAATCACAACCACCAATGGCCTTCCGCCCCCCTGGCCGCACAACTGTGACTCGAATTCCCGACCCTGCGAGCAAGCAAGCGAGCGCTGCTCCCTCCATCGCGGGGTAAATCCCACCTGAAGCTAGCCTGGCCTTCAGATTGGGGTAATGGGTCCAGTCAGCCGCGGGGAGCCTTCAATCTCCGGGGTGGTCGGGTGGTGTGGTGCCTTGCGTCTGGATCGCGGCCGTGATGGTCATGATCGTGGTCGTTAGTAGCCATGATACCAGTTTCGGAACTACGTCCTGAGCTTACCCTCCTCGCTTGACTCATCGGCTGCACTGTCGGGCTATACTGGGTTGTAATATGCTGGGGAGGCTTACGCATACGCTTTTGTCATTTGCTCATTGTTCGCGGATACCAATTGGGTGCCAGAGACACCTCAACACTGCTTTTAGGCCAGACTGGAGTGGTAATACACGCTCATATATGCGCCACTCTTTTCGGAATAGGCTAACGATACCCACACGTGGAGTCGTGCCGACTGACTGAGGTTTTCATCCGGGCTGCGGTCGTTAGTAAAGCCCTAATCGGATATACGGAGTACTTACAATAGATACCGCACGTTGTCCACATATGCTCGAGCCTTGTCGGTCCACCCCAACGAGTGAAAGAACTTGGCCAGCGCCTTGGCCACGAACAGGTCGTTCTTCCCGAGCAGGGGCAGATACACCTTTTGGATGGGTGTGCCACACCCCGGCCGGATCTCATAGTTCCACATGAATATCTCAGCTGTGTGGAGGGGGGGTTCCTTTGCTTGGCTCCCAGCCTCACCCTCACCCTCACTGACACTCCCATCACCTAGTCCGTCCCCCTCCAGCATTCCCCAAAGCCTTCGGACAAGCCCCAAGCCACACAATGTGACTGGATCCTTCAAACGCCCACCCATCGTCCACACCTCCTCGACCTTCCGGAGACTCAGATCCGTCTGCACCCCATAAACCTTAACCCGCGCATGGGCCGCATCCACAAAATCCCAAGCCAGGTACATGTACTCATTGAACCCCCCACCTTCCTCCATGTAGTCGACGACCATCCGCCCCGCCTCCCCATCCCCCCGTCCCGTCATCGCATCCAACCGACCCAACGACTCGCCTAGGACCCGCCGCATCGGGTTCCCGGAAATCCTTCTCTTAAGCCCCGTATACACATACGCCTTAAAGACAGGCCCGGTATGTTGGAAATCACACCCAAAGTTGTACACCGACTGCACGGAATGCCGCACGAACGCCTCCGCATTCAGCTTCCTCGTCTCACTTTCCGAGATCCCGAAGTCCCTCGCGAAATGATGGTACAACACCCGATCCAGCCCCGGGCCCAAGGCTGAAAGCCCAGCGACTAGCTGCTCCGCCGCAACCTGGTTGAAGCGGTCACGGGGTGTTCCGGAGAGTTCGCAAATCGGCTCGAACGACACCCGGACATTCGACTTCTTGCCATCTTGGAAATTGATGCTCATTTCAATCGGTAGGTCCGTGTAGGTCATTACGCTGGGCCAGCGCTGCGGATAAGGACCCAGGGACGGCACAATGTGGTTCCGTGCAAAGAGTAGGTACTCGTACTGCTGGTGGACGGAGTAGTCCGCTAACTGGAGGAGACGGCCCAGGAGGGGACCAACGTCCTTCCACCAGGAGGATTCATGGGCGTTGCAGTTGGTAGGGTATTTGGCGATTATGTCCCATGGGTTGGGGTCAGTGGTATTCGTAGTCTTTTCATCTGCGGCCGAAGACGGAGATCGCTGTGTCTTTTCCATCTTGCTGCTTGATAGAGGTGTTCGGTCAAAGGTAGAAGATAGTACGTATAAGATCGATGATCAAGGCCAGACACGAAGCCTTCAGGATAGACCCTCATCACTTTGACCTGATTATAAGCCGTATAACACTGGTCACCGGTATCGAATGTCAGGGTGATCAGCTGGTCTCGCCTGTCATACCCGTGCATCCAGGGGGGCAAGAGACATGTGGAAACTAATCTAATCCAGAGCATTTCAGTGTTAAGCGACGTGTAACAGTCCTCTCCAGAGAAGGATAGAGATTCCCCGAACTCCGGAGTTTGGATGCATTTCCCTCAGCCAGAGCATCATCATCATAATCCTGGTCTCCTCCGGCTCTTGTTTCACAGAGACAAGTGGAGGTTTGACGGGTGCAACTATGTATCTATGCCCGGAAAGACATCCAATATCCCCGGCAAGCTATACCCTAGCTTCAAGCATAATGAATGCTAAGTTCAGTCCAGCAGCACAGCAGACAGATGCCGGCATGATTCACCCAGCTGCTGTGCTGTAGGACGGGACAGGCGCCTAAGCCCGCATCATAAGTAAGTACAATATAATATAGACATTCTGGATATATCCGGAAAAGTGCCTTCGCATGCGCCTGTCGAGCATAGCAGTACCGTCATTATCTAGTAGGAGTCACATGCTAGAGATTATGATAATCCGAGCGATAATTATTTGTACTATTTTCATAAGAGTGCGAGGGGATTTCGTCTCCAATGCAGACATAGAGACATGGTGCAACATCATCCTGGGTAGCACAAGGAAATGAATTTTTTTAAACAGTTAAGAAGTGTGCATAGACAGATAGATTTCTGCTTAATTGTCTATATCTTTGTACGCGTGTCTGAGTACCAGGCCTCAGCATGAGTACTAACATTTTAGTTAGTAGGAGCGGGTATTTGGGGAATGGGAATATATTCATATCTGTCAGAATATACTGGGGGCAGGACATGGTAGTGGTACCTGTTATATAAAGTAGTAGCCGGTAAGCCTGGATTACTAATTACTAATTGCTGCGCATTAACTATAACTAGACATGATGGAGAAGCCTGGGTGCTTTTAATGTATTATTCATACTACTCTATATAGGGAGGTGATACTCCGCACAGGCAAAGCTTTATAATAAAGGCGGGTAGGATTGTTGCAGAGCGAAGCTTCATATCTAAGTATACAGTAAGATGGTAGTAGTAGTATGCTGTATATTATCATGAAAAGTAGGGCGTGATTCGGTCTCTGATTTATTACTTATAAATAAGCAAGATATTATAGTCTTTCAATATACTATAAAGAAGATATATCTATCGTGAAGTCAAGATATAATCTATTTTACTTAAAGTATTATTACTAGTCTTCTATCTAGATTCTCTTGCGAATACATATATCCATAAGAACTCTATAAATGATATATCTAAGTATCTGCTAGTATAATATCTTCGCGAGGAACTGCCTCCGCAGTCATATCGCGAGGGTTATAAGATTACTATCCTTATAATATAGGTCAGCCCGATAATAACCTGGATTTTGTATAATCTCTTTTAGTACTATTTTCTCTCTCTCTCTACTGTTTTTCTGTAAGATATAATAGTTTTCTTCTCCCTATGGCTTTATTGCTTGTCTGTATTATCTTGGGTAATATGCGTGGATCAGTCAGGGCTTGCTTGCATGGGTTTTATAATCTCAAATAGCCGCGGTATTACAGGTTACGGAATAACTTTAGAAAACTAGATATGATTATTAATTGGTGAACAGATTGCTATCTAAAATATATATATACACCTCCTCCTACCTTAGTACCTTATATCTGTACCATATGGTTGTGTATCATCATGGTACCAGTACGGACCATACAGTATAATACAGTACAGAACAACCGATTGCAGCAAACCAACCCTCCACCTCCAGCTTTGGTGAGAAGAAGATTCAACAGGTTCTTCATCCACACTGCAACCTACTAGAGAACAAGTAGCGGCTAGACAGTAGTAACTGTGCCGGTTTTTGAAGGTTGACATCTAGACCACCCCCGCAACCTCTACACCGTGAACAGCGGGGACCATCATCATTTGCCACTAAACATCCCCCCCACACACTCTGCAACAGCTCTTCAACATCAACATCTCTCCGACTCCGAGTCCAACTCCAACTCCAACCCTAGAGTCAACAATAATCCCAACCGCAAACCCAATCAACCTTGCATCTGCATGGTCCCCAAACCAGCCCCACAGTCTTCATGAGCGAGCTGCAGAAATCCTTCGCCAAGTCCAAACTGGCCAAACTGCCCCTCCAGCCACCAACCGGCCCATCCAGATCCATGCAGCCCCTCGACGAGGAGGCCAGTCACGACGATGACTCCTCCTCGGCCTCATCTACAGGCACGGTGATCCCGTCTCCCAGTCGACATCTGTTTGCGAGACCGGGTCGAGGGTGCGTGTCCACCCCCCCCCCCCTTTTTTTTTATGTGCCATTAATTAAAGCAACGGTCCTCGTTATCGTTATTGTTACTGGTATTGTTATTATACTTATGATCATTACTGACCACCCCCCCAGATCCCTCCAACAAACAACCCTCCCCTGGACCAACTTCTTCGCCCAAGAACTCCATCTCACCCAAATCGACCCATCCACCAACACCACAATCACTCACCATGTGTACCTGACTCCCCCCGTAGACCCAGCCGCCGGCCCCCTCTTCGTGATGCACCACGGCGCCGGCTCCTCCGGTCTCTCCTTCGCCGCCTGCGCCGAGGAGATCCGCAAGATCATCCCCAAAGCTGGGATATTGTCCGTGGATGCCCGAGAGCACGGCAGCACGGTGGTCACCTCGACTTCGACTTCGACCTCCACCGCGGAAGGGGCGAGGAGCGACGTCGAGCTGGATTTGAGCCTCGACACGCTAACCCGGGACCTGGTGTTTGTGGTCCGCGAGACTCAGACGCAGATGGGCTGGGAGAATCTGCCTGATTTGATCCTCGTGGGACATAGTCTGGGCGGGGCCGTGATCACGGACGTGGCGAGGAAGGGCGAGCTGGGGGGGAAGGTGTTGGCGTATGCGGTTTTGGATGTGGTTGAGGGTATGTTTATTCTTTTTTTTTTTTTTTTTTTTTTCTTGGTTCTTTTGTTCTTTTGCATGCAGGCATTCAGAAGACGTGCTCGTCTTGAACGAACGTCGTCGATGCTGTGAACCTTGCGCATTGCGTATTGCGTATTGCATATATGCTGATCAGACCGGAACATCCAGGCTCCGCTATCGATGCGCTCCAGAGCATGGAGACATATCTCCTTACTCGCCCGTCCGGATTCCCATCTATCACGTCCGGAATAGAGTGGCAGTGAGTCGAAGCCCCACACCCACACCCACACCCACACCCTCTCAATCAATAACAAACTCCCCTCAAAACAAAAGAATCTATATATACATATATATATATATATACAAATACTAAAAACCACCCAGCACACGCACCCGAACAATCCGCAACAAAACCTCCGCGCGCGTATCCGTCCCATCCCTCCTCTACTTAGAACCCACGCCCCTCGACCCCACCAAACCATGGGTATGGCGGACGAACCTCTCCGAGACGAAGCCATTCTGGGAGAACTGGTTCGTGGGACTAAGTCGGAAGTTCCTCGAAGCGCGCGGGGGCAAGTTGCTCCTTCTGGCGGGGACGGATCGATTGGATAAGGAGTTGATGATTGGGCAGATGCAGGGTATGTTGTTTACCTAGTACTTACTTATTTACCTGTCACTTTTTACTTTTCTTTCTTGCTGCCGTTGTATCTTGCAAAGCAAAGCAAACCACCCCAACCTAAACCAGGCTAATCGGGTAATGTTTATCACCGAGCACAGGCAAATACCAGCTTCAGGTGTTCCCTGAAGCAGGTCATTTCATCCAGGAGGACCAGCCGACCAAGACGGCGCAGATCTTGGTGGACTTTTATCGACGGAATGATCGGGGTGCGTTGGTGTTGCCGCCTAAGGTGGCGGATCTGCAGGCTGAGAAGGCGATGAAGAAGGGGTCTGGCGTTGGCGTTGGCGTTGGCGTTGGTGATAAAAATGGTGAGCGTGGGGTGGGAGGTCCGTTGAAGAAGACATAGCTGGTCTTGTTTCTCTCTACAGTATATTGCATTGCTGCATAGTTGTCTGTTCGCTGTCATCGAATGATGAAGAGGACTGACTTTATAAGATCGACCGGGGGAGCCGTCCGTTGGGCTTCGTTGCTTCTTGATTGCTTGTGAGATAGAACCTTCCATGAGACAGCACGGTGGGATTATTTATACGTATTGAAGCGATATGTACTTTATTGTTTATTTATTATGTGATATACAGCCGAACTTCCCTATATCTCTGACCTGTGTCCTAAGGGAGGGGGGGTTGGGGATTGGGACGTAGAGCACACGTGCGCGTGGGCAGAGCAATCTTGTTCCTGTATTATCCTCGCATTCATTCATGTAGATATAGTAGCAGTGAGCAGTCAGTTCCTCCATTGCCTACATCACCTATTAGACCAAGCCAACTAATATAGCTTCGAATTGTCTACAGATAAGTCGATTAAAACGGTATTATTTGGTCTCCGCCGACATGACTAAAATACAATACAATCCGCCACCAACACCAATGCCATCCCGAATGAATGCCGCCCAGGACGCCGCATGCCGCTGAGTATCCCGCCACAAACACATAAGAGGTGTGCTTCAAGGACAGGATACCATAGTGAAGAACAGAATAGAACAGAAAAAAAAAAAAAAAAAAAAAAAGGAAAGACAAGAGAGAAACGGGTATCTGGCGCCATGTTGCATACAAATCACCCTCAGGGAAGATAAGCGCCCCCAGCAATGATCAAGTTCATATTCGTAAATTTCACCTTGTAGACCGGACTCTTCTTCGTGGGAAAAGCGCTGATCTGGTCAGGCGTCACCACCACATCTTTGCCCTTCTTCTTGCCTAGGCCCGGCCCCACGGAGCCGGAAGCTTGAGTGCTGGCTGCGGGCGGGTTTCCGCCATCGACCTTGGTGCCAGCGCCGCCCTCGCCGACGACACGTCCCTGCGAAGGGTCCTGGGCCGGACCGGTGACGTCCCACACGCGGACGGTGCCGTCGGCGCCGCCGGACACGAGCACAGTCGATTCAACGCTCCAGCTCAAGGACCAGATGCCGCCCTTGCCATGGCCGCGCATGCGCTTCAGAAGTCTTCCAGGTGCAAGGTCCCACAGCAGGATCGATCCTTGGTCATCTGCCGATGCAAGGAGTTTTCCATCGCGGCTACACGACAAGGCAGTGATGTTTCCAGTATGCCCGGTGAACATACGGACAGCGTTACCAGTGGTAACCGCCCACATGCGGACCGTGTGGTCGGAGCTACCGGTGAAGACGTAGGCAGAGTTCGGGTGGAAGCATATGCAGTCGACATCTTGGTCATGGCCAACGAAGATACGCTGTTGACGGATATGATCCGTCACCCAAAGGCGCGCTGTCTTATCATGGCCGCCAGTAGCAAAGTAGTGGCCGTATGGGCCCCACTGGAGATCCCAGACGGGCTGGTCATGACCCTTGTAAACGACCATGCACTGCCAGAGGTCCAAGGACCAAAGGCGGATGGTCTTGTCTGCGGAAGACGAGAGCAACCAACGAGCATTAGTCGGCGCCACGGCGTTGTCCGCGCGGGTAATTGATGGAGCGAATGCAACTGCGTAAACCGGCCCGGAGTGTCCGATCAAACGGCGGGAATTTGACGGAGTCTCATCCATGGCATCGTAGGTTGACTGGATCTTCTTGCCATCCATGCTCCAGACACGAATATATGACTCCTGTGTACCGGCTGCGACGAGCAGGAGGTCATCTGAGAAATCCAGGCAATTGATACTGGATGTCTGTCAGCTAAGAACTGTCTGCGAGAATACGAAGTGGTCCTCACCCATCATACGTGTTGTGGAAGGTGAACATGCAGACGCTCACAGCGGGACCGACACCACCCGTCCTGCCTTCAATCCTGAACCTATCGCGGTTTTCCTTGACCCTCTGAATCTCGATGGCCACATCACGAGCAGTCGATGGGGGGTAAGGGATATCAGCGCGAGTCGGCGCTTCGTCCTCCTCCTCCTTCTTGATCATCTGATCGAATTCCTGGATCAGAGTGTTTTGTCCAAGGCCTGGAGGGTTCTTGGCATCTTCATCGGCCAGCTCGCCTCTCACATCGGTTTCGAGTGTTTCTTCCAGCGGAAGCTTTCCGAGCTTAAGCCTGGGCAGCGTTCCCGCCATGTTCGGGTTATCTCCGGTGTATGCAGAACCAGGGTGATGTCCGGGAATGCCCTCATCTTCGCTGGGAAATGTTTGGCCGTCACTTTGGCCCAGCATGGCTGCAAAGCTGAACCGGTCGTCGGCGGTACGCTCCTTGGTGATGATAGTGCAGTAGCTGCTCAAGATGGCAGTCATGTCCGAGCCACCTTCCTTCTGCTTACTCTCCAGAAATTGCATGAGATTGGAAAAGGCCGGGTTGCTCAGAACCAAGCGGTATTTGTTGGTACGATAGAGCTTGGCGGTTGAATTGGCTTGCACATGCTCTGGAAGAGCGATCGGCTCCAATGCGCGAACATCTTCGGTATGTTCGGGAAGAAAGAGGTTCTTATTCAGGTCGAAAAACTGCTTCGCGTCTTGAGGTTTGAAAGAAGAGATCATGTTGATGAAGGTGTAGACGAAGAGTGGCCAGAGCACACGTCTAAGTTCAGGCTTTCCAGAAAGTGAGCATTGGCCTGACAGGCATGGGACATCTCCTTACCTTGTATAGATCCAAGTTGTCCTCGACCCAGACCTTGAGTAAGTCTAGGGCTGCGTTAGCTACCAGGTCATCATCATCATTGGGCTTGCAGGAGAACTTACCAAAGCCCATCCTATACTTGGGACGCGCATCTTCGCCAAGAGGGGGCATAGGAGGACGGCCATCGATTTCTTGATGCGCCGACTCAATACGCAGCATAGCCTCCGTGCGACTGTAGCCTTTCTTGGCGAGATAATCAATGACCTGGTGAAACTGGTTAGCACACATCGTAGTCTGTATATCAAGCGCAAGACGCAAATGATAGGGCCGATATAACCAGGACCAAGCTCGGGAAAGAAGACAATATGAGGAGGTAGAAGCAGGCGATTCCAGAAAGACGATTAAGACCCACTTCCCACTGGGATCTTTTTACATGTCTCAATGGGCACGTGTCTTAGTCCTCCGGCACGGCGTGAATATCACAGCCGGCCATGAATAGCACCATTCACCATCCCCGACAAACAGGCCGCATATGACGCAATCGCAAAGAACAAACGGCACGGCGCTAGCCCAAATCCAGCCCCCCGACAAGATGAAGAAACACTTACTATCTGGTTGAGATTCTGCTGCGACATTGGACCCCCCGGAGGCGGCGGAGGGGGCGCAGGCGGACCGGGGGTGGCAGGCCCAGTGTTTGCCATGGGCTGCTGAGGAGGCATAGACATACCACCACCGGGCCCCATGCTTCCACCTCGGGGAGCAGGGCTGGGGGCCCCGCCTGGCGCAGACATCGGGGCTTGAGTGAGGTGCAAGTTCCGGGCACGTTCTGAGTCCCACCAAGAAGAGTGAGCGATCGGAGACGGAGAAGCAAGGCGGGGATGCCAACACGGTGACGGCAGGTCGAGATGAATAGTCGCCGAGGTTTTGACCTCCTGATATCCGACCATCGCCCTTCCGGCCTAGCGCGCATCGCCCCGGCTGAGGTAAGCCGTGTTCCCCGGGTTGCGGGCACGTGATCTCGACGGAGCTCATCGTCACGATCAATCAATCCTCACCATACCGAGTCCCAGTGCTCACGCACTACCCGGATCCCAACATGGCAGACATCAAGGGCTCCCGCGAGCCCGACCAAACCCTCACCTCCGCGGACCGAATTCGACAATTGAACGACATCGACCAGGTAAGAAGAAGAAGAAGAAAGACCCGGAGAAGTCCCCGCGCTCCGACAATGACAACCCTCACTAACATACCCCCCCCCAGGACGTGGCCAAACTAATCCACTCCGCCGGCCTAGCCATCCAAGCGCTCACGAACGCCCGATCGGGCGAAACCCCCGCGGCGAACTCCCTCGAATCCCACAAAGCCCGCTTCAAGGAAGCCACATCACAGTACTTCGCGCTGCTGTCATCCATTGACGTGCGTCTTCGTCGCCAGGTGTATGCGCTCGAAGAGGCCTCGATTCTGGCGCCGGACCCGGTGTCGTCGAGGACGGGTGATTTACCGGCTGCGGGTGGGGGAGCGACGGGGGCGTCCAATCCGCTGGATGTGAGTTGGCTGAATAGTCGGAAAGACACGGTGGGCAAGGATAAGGAGGCGGAGCTGTGGGCGGTTGCGAGGGAGTTTGTGGAGCGGATCGGGATTAGCGATCCGGCGTCGAAGGGAGAGCGTGAGAAGATGGAGGTTGATTAGTCGGCGTCTTTTCGGTGGGGTTGGTTGGTGAGGGAGGATGGAGATCCATATATACAACCTACATTATCTTGCAATTGCGGCATGGCATGGTTACTCCCTAGACAAGAGACAAGCGGCTTTGCTTGGTTTGAGAGAGAGGGAGGGGGTTGTGCAGTCGCGCCGAAGGTGGTCTGTCGTTTCGTTTTTGAAAAGCAAGTGGCCATTATGGATAATGGCCGACATGATACCCAATTTATTCCATGATTTCAAATATGAGTTGCCCCAAATATTGACGAGGGACTATCGTCAAACACTAAGCTGTGACCGTCTTGATTTATTCTACATCAGTAGCACATCGTTTTTTATCATCGTATACGAGTATAATTGGATCCCCAGGAACCTTGAGCTCAAACTACATACAATCAACGGAACGGTAAACTCGCAGGGCAAAGGGGGAAAAAAAAGGAAAACAGTAGGTTCTAGTAAACAACAAGCGATGCGCTGGCTTCTCTAATCGACCGGCAGTTGGCTTACTTCTGCATGGACCGGATCATCTCGATGTGAGTAGCCCTGTCTCTGTTCGACTCGGACAACGACGGAAGACCTGCACCACCATTAACATCATCACGACCAGGCAGTCCGAAGCATAGATAATTATACTTACTTCTGAGCTCACCCACCACATCCTTGGCCTTGCCAAAGTATACCTCCTCTGCACGAACAGCCAAATTAGCAGCCATCCACAAAAAGTAGAATGTAGAGGACACATACGCAGCAAGTTCCTCATCTTCAACTCCATATCCTCGACCAGACGGCCCACATTAGCGACGTGGCTCGCATCCGACTCGACGGGCAAATCCACCTCGACCTGACGGGTCATGTTCCCGCTCAGGTCCATCTCACCCAGAGCCTCAGACTCGTTGGCCAGATGAAGAATGACAGTGCTGGTGAGCTTGTAATGAGACATGCGCGCTCTGTCGGTAGCCTCGAAGACGTGGATACTATCCCACTCCCCCGAGCTCTTCGCACCAGGCGTAACTCCTGCGCGAGAAAGGGAACATCAGCACGGATTCCCAACTGGGCACTCTCCTCTCAGCAGGAACAGTTGCTGGCAGCACGAAACGGAGCGAACAACCCACCCTTTTTCAACAGTATAACTCCCGCAAACCCATCGTCCAGATCCCAGAAGTAGACGCTGCCCACTCCGCCCTCGTAGTACAGCTCGCGGTAGACGTCGAATGCCTCGTTGGCGGCCACCTCGAGCTTCCTCACTCGCTCACTGGGAACGGTTCCATCGTCGAGCGGGGGGTCGAACTCATTGCTCCAGGGGGAGCGGTAGCTGTCTCCGTCCCGGTTGTAGTCACAAAGGAGGTAGTCCCGGTTGGTGCGGGGGCACTTTCGGATCTCGAGGGGCTGGTCGACGGACGAGAGGAGGTCTTCGGTGAGATCCGGGACGATGGAGGTGATCGCCTGGAGATTTTGCTTGGTATCGCGGGGGTTCAAACGCCGGAGAAGGTCGCTGCAGGGTTGCTGGTGGTCAGCGGGAGGTTACAAGCGGGGTTGACTTCGGTGCATCGTGGGAGAGGGGGGGGGTTCTTTCGCCAGGGGGAGGGGGGGATGGAGGAGGGGAGGGTTTCCTTGGGAACTTGCCAAGGCGAGGACACTTACAGCGCACTGTCGAATTGAGCGTCCGCCATGGTTGTGTTTGTGAGGCTCCGAGAAGTGTCTGGGCTGGTCCTGTGCTGTTGTTTACTTTACTCCGGAGTCGCCTGGCGGGACTCCAAGTTGGCCGGACGGAAGAGGTGCGTGACCCGACGGCGGGGGCCGTGGCCGGACTGCCGCTTCTAGTCGTTTCCCAATCAAGGCATGTATGTCTATTGCTATTGCTTCAGGGGTATATCTATCGCCAACGCAATAAAGTATCAAAGTCTCCCTGAAGCCCCGAAATTGCCCCGGAATCAATCATCGCTGTCGTCATCCGCCAAAAGCCGTCCCCATTTCGACCGCCTACTCTAGGCACTCCTATCCAAGAGAGTGGAGACATCAGGGGCTTCAAAATCATCCTCCATGTCTCCGTCCTCGGTGATTTGCGAAGAGTAGAACGGCTCTACACTCGGCATGGTCATCGGTGATGTCCGTTGAACCGCACAGCGGTCCTCTTTTCCAATATCGGTCTGCCTGACCCCAGGTCTGATCTTCGAGCTTCTAACTTCGTGTCTACGATCTTCTTCTCCTTCACCTGAGACTGCGAGGTTCTGCTGCCATGAGACCAGCTCATGTGACACAACCTCCTTGAATCGATGGTCGCAGTCAGGACGCACCTGCGCCATTTTTTGCAATGTTTGGATTATCCGGCGAGTAAGCGACCCATGATTGACCGTCTGGATAGGCCGCTGGACGAGTTGAAGACGTGGGAAGGTGTCGTTTCTAGGCTGAAAGTCCGAAAGCTCAAGCATGGGCCCCGCATTGCCGTAATGGACCTCAAGTTCTTTTCGCTGCGCTGGGGTAAGCAAGACCTCTTCAAGCGCCGGTAGTTCCACGGGCTCTGGCTCTGGATTCGGCGTGTCATTCTTACTTTTTGCTTTGGGATTAGGCTGGGCTTTGGGCTTGGGCTTGGGCTTGGCTTTGGCTTTGGCTTTGCTTTTGGTGCCTTCTTCCGCCAGATTTGCTGCCGTGGTGAACCCAGTCTCCACGTTGTCGGGCATATGAAACTTCTTGGGCGGCCTCTTCGGTGCCCTTGCTCGTCGTTTCGGCTCTGGCAGATCCTGACTGGCGTTCTCTTCGGGGATCTCAATCGCTCGTTTATCGGCAATGGGCCGCATACCCGCGGGAAGGATGCGTGCGGACTGGTCGTCATGAAAGGTGAAACGGGTGCCACTGGCAATCATCTGCTGCATCTTCTGGTAATTGTCCTTGGCCTTGTTGTAGCTTTCCTCCTCCTTGCCCTGCATAAGAAGAAGAGTGATGTTTCCGGCCCGTTTCCGGCCAGTACGTCCCATTCGCTGCAGCATGCGAATAGGGGAGGCAGAGGAGTCGTAACACACAATTAAGTCGATTTCGCCAATATCCAATCCCTCTTCACCAATCGAGGTCGCGACGATTGTGTTGTATACGCCCTCCTTGAACTTCTGCACAATGCTGAGCTGAGTCTTTTGGCCCATCCCTTCCGATCCCTTGGCGCTACTCTGTCCAACAAAGACGTGGGGCCGAATCATAGGTTCGTACCTCTTCAGTACTCTCGTTACCTCTTCGGCGCTGTCTCGGAAGTGCACGAATATCATGACTCGCGTGGCTGATTTATCCTGGTCCTCGCTTGTGCCAGCGCCGTCTCCCGCATCCATGAAATGATTCAACACAACCTGTTTCAGATACTCCAATTTGGGATGTCCGATGAACTCTGGGTTTCTAGTCCACGGCTGTAGGTGATTCATAAGTTTCTTGAAGCTTTCATCCTGGACAACCTGCCGTTGGTACTTGCCACCCTTTTGCCCGTCGGTGCTGGACTGGAAGTGCAGAAGATGACGGTAGAAAGGTGTTATGCCATGGTATTTGAGGAGGTCGATTCCATGTGCCAGGCTCGCCAGGATGGTGAACAATGTGTTCACTTTGCCTTTCACACCGAAGTGGGCGTTTCTACCGGCGTCTGACATCATCCACTGCTGCCTAGCTTTGGTAAGACCATACGCAGTAAGCCCGAGGGGGTCGCGACCCCAGTAAGCATTCATACTCCCGAGCTGGTCAACAAGGGGTTGGAGGGCCCTCGATATAAGGTCCATGCAGAAGATCATCTCCTCCGAGTTTTGGAATGTCTGGACTTCCGTGTGTTTGGAGTGGACATATTCCCTGATGTCGATGGATTGTTCTGTACGAATCTCAACCTTGGAGATATCCAATCCATCGATAACATCCTGTACAGATTCCACTGTTGATCCTGGCGTTGCCGTCAGGGCTAAGATACGAAAACTCTGGTTATACCGCCGGACGAATTTCACAACTTCCACGTATGCATAACCGCCCGTTGCGCGATGAGCTTCGTCAACGACAATGAGAACTATCCGTTTCGGGTCTGCGATTCCAGACTTGAGGTCGTTAATCAGAGTCTGAGGCGTCATGAAAAACACGCGTTTGGCCTTCCATTCTTCAGCTCGAATGCCCGGAGCAGCCTCTCCAGTGAGCATCGTTGTCTGGGATCTTGGAATCCCCGCAATTCCAAAGCAGGCAGAAACCTGCTGGGAGACCAATGGTTTGGTGGGAGCAACAAAGATTATCTGAGCATCCTTGGTCCAGCGAAACCAATTGAGCATGACTGTAGCTGCAATGAACGTCTTCCCCAGACCGGTCGGCAATGCTACAAGCAAGTTGTGGAAGAGACCTTTTTGCGCGATATTGAATTGATAATCTCTAGTTTTCCCCAGGTTGGTAGGATATATCCATGTCCCCAAAGTTTCTTGGTTCAGTTTATGCTGGGTGGGAGGTTCTTCCTTGTCAGGTGGCGAGTAAACCTGCTCACCAAGTGGCGGCTGACTTGCTGGACTCCGAGCAACCATATCGAACAATGAGGTTTGCCGAACACCCAGTGGGCGGTTTGCAGACTTGGTGAATTGTTGGGGCGGCGGGCGCGATTGGGCTGTGGGAGGTGGAGACATAGATAAATCCGAATCGAAAGCATCATCGGGAATATCGTCAAGGAAGTCATTAGAGGAGCCCAGTGCAACGGTTTGCTGTCCAGGGACGAAATTCGCTGGAGGTCGTGGAGGCGGAGGTATGGATGCTGAAAAGGAGGCTTGTCTGGAGCTTTCTTCCTCGAACGATTGCATTGATGCCTCAATTGCTGCGTTAAGCGCTTCATCTTCGTCATACTCGTCATCTTCATCATCATCATCATCATCATCACCAACAACAACACCAGTGCCGCTTCCCCCGCTTTCTTTCTCGATTATTGTAGTTCGGGGAGGGGGGATTGGATCGGGCTTCTTCCATCGCGGGCCGCGAAGCGCTTCGGGAGGCGAAGGAGGTTGCGTCAACTGAGTGACGAAGATATTGTCCTGAGGGTTATGGTTTTTGGGCGCGAAGACCTTGTGTTTGGGGCGTGCCTTTCGCTCCGGACTCTCTGCGGGGCGCATTGATTCCCGATCAAGGGTCGAGAATTCCTCGTAACCGTAGTCAGCAAACGAGTCCGAGCTGAGCCCAGCGTCATCCCTGTCGCTATAGCTCCCATGGCGTTTGTTGTGCGGTTGTAGACCTTCATTCGAAGCGGCCTTCAGGCGACGGCGCTTGGTTGGTGGAGGGGAGTCCTTGTCTGTCGGCGCATCTGCCTCGTCAGAAGGGTCCTTGACGACAAAGTCGCTCAAGTCGTCATCGAAGTAGTCGGATGAGCCCCCATCGAGGTCGGACATCTCGAACCCGAGCTGGTTCGTAGGAGAAAGTCCGGTGTCATGATTCGGGTGGCCATGAGACGCGACGCGTTTATATCAATCAATCACATGCCCGCATTCGTTACTGTAGGTTATGTAAGCCGTGACTTAGCCAGCCCCACATCCTGATTGGATCTATCATTTAGTTACACCTCCAGACAAACTACACATCGACAATGTTCAAGAAACCATCTGCTTATTACGATGTTCCGCTTCTAAAGCTAAATGGAACAATTGATTCGGACTAAACGCCTCTAATCCACGCGTGACCTCAACGATGTCTCCAAATAAGCTCCAGCCAATGCCACCCGAGACCCACCTCTAGCTCACTAGTACGGAGTATATGTTGAATATCGACAGACGCGAGCGGCATCACACCTCTAACATGAATTCAAGAAATCATGGTTCAGTCGGACTGTCTAGCAGTAGTCGCTCCTGCCCGAGCCACCGTCCTGACATCCACCGCTGCAATAGCTGATGAACGAGATATCCCCATTCGAACCACCATTGCAATGAAAGAGGGATTCGCGAATATGAGCGTCATCGGTGGGCTGGTTGGCGGCCTCGAGGGCACCGTTGACCTGGGCACCATAGTTGCCTACCCCTGCCGTGAGTCACTATCCTGAGCCACAGAGAGTTGATTCGTCACAGACCGATATTCAAGAGGTTATAACCGCAGTAGTTCAGATTGGTCTTGCAGTTGTTTGCGGCGACGAAGGGAGCAAGTGCAGCCAGGACGGCGAGGGGAAGGAAAGCGATTTTGACCATGATGGCGGATGGATTGCAATGAGGACGACTGACGTAGGCTTACTGGGAATTGGAAGAAGATGATTGATTTGAGTGCAATGTCTTTGAGATGGATTGATGGGATACAATGAGGTGGCAATGCTGCCCTTTATATACTACAGGCCCTCCGGCCCAATATATAGGCCAATTGTGATAGTACCTCGTGTCTCTCCAGATTACATTCTTTGGCGACTTGCTCTGGACGCCTGATCATTTCGAGGCACTGCCAGCAATTTGCCATTGGCTGTCAGCCGCCCAGTATGATCATTCCTGCTGGCCAGGTAGAGGGATATTAGGTCCGCGCCATATGTTGTAACTGATTTTAAGTAACGATCTACCGGCAGTTAGTTGGCATCCGATTGTTTTTCTTATCAGAATATGGGGATATGCAGCTAAATTCTCACGACTGGGGGTTTGGGGTAATCCGCAGTAGAACCCCAAGGTCAGGCCTCCCATGTAGATGAACACATTGTATCACTATCCTGATGTTTTTAAAAGCGGACCTTGGTTTTTTGAAGCTCAGCCGTATAGTCAACCCCACTGAGAACGGACAGCTAAGAGTCCATATCAGCTGGTGCTTTGATGCCTACTTTTCAGTATTTCCCAAGTTTAAGAGTAGACAAACCATTGTAGTCCATAGCGAGGGCACACATTGCCGGGGGGGGCTTGAATACTGAAGCCCTGAATTAGGTCACGATTACATATCACTAAAATGACAGGATATTGGCCCCATCATTCAGCCTTGTCCGGTCAATTCAGCTTTTTTAAAGCGAAGGGCTTCATGATCTCATTGTCACTCAGCGGCTAGGAATTTTAGGCCCTCCATGCAAAACATTCAATTACGCTTCAGTGGCGCATCGCCACCAAAGAGATTTGCATCTATCACCGGTCAGGCAGATCAGGTGGCCAGATTTTCTTCGAGTCATACCAAATACATAGTTTTGCTGATCTTGAATCAATGTGCCACTCGCTATGACAGATACCCGAAGAACCATCTGACGTTGGGACTGACACATTTACTTCCATTCCAAAATACCTCCTGGCCATTCCTCGGCCTTTCTAACGAAAGCCACCAGGACGGGGAATGGGCATGTATATTCGGAGCAGCGTACGCGAATCTCAATCCATTTAAACAAATATTCTCAGACCAGCATCCAGTACGATGTTAGAGGGACGTAGGTCGTCACAGAGAACCTTGACTGGCCCAGAATCGACTCTGGCATGACGAATTTGGGTATATTCTGCGCAGACCCGCGGCCAATTCCTCCCCCGCATTTTATGTTGAGCAGCAATCTTCTCCGGAGTCAAGTGTACATTCCGCGGAAAGTGCAAAGAGTCCGCCGGGGCATGATTTGCATCTTATGACAAACTAGTCCTAAACGTGGTTTGCGGAGGTATGTCTTGGGAGGGGATTCCTCAGGGGAGTCAATGCATCCGTGTCCAACAGTTGTCCATAGTTACCACCATCCTCCAAGTCCATGCGAAAGCACTAGTAAAATGTTCCATGTCTTCGATTTCAGTAACTGTGATTGAAGATCTATGGACTTGGAGTCTTGCGCGTGAGAGAGTATTGTCGCAGACCAAGCCTTCCGGAAATTATGATCAGTAGACATTCGAATTGTTGGGAATCTGGCCTTCGTCAGCTCACGATTGCGCTCTCCGGGTCCATGTCTACGTTGGGTTGTCGATTCATCTATCCGGGGCAAAGAAAGACATACATACATACATACGTACATACGTACATAGTTCTTGGCTGTCGGAAATCCTGTTCATTATTCCAAAGCCGCAGAATGCCGGCGGATTCAAATTCCGAAAATAACCCTTCCATTGGACAGGCACTCTATAGTACTTCGGTAGGGCCGGGTGGCGGCCATGAGTTTCCAAGCATATTAGTTATGATGTTAGTGATCTCCTGCCTCCTATGGAGTACTTTACCTACCGTGTTATACGCGGCAAGGGATAGAGGCCTTGCTGATGGGAATCATCTGAGCAATCGATCAGGATTCCGTGAATATCCCTGTACTGTGTCACAGGATCCGTCACATCCTGAACTGTACAATGAGAATGACAATCACTCTGGATATGAGAGTATACGATTTCAGTCAAACTGAGAGGTCAAGGATGTTAAGCTTAAAGTGATCTCATTCAGTTGTACAGAGAGCGATACCGTATGATTGGGACATCTATAATTCGAGGTTGAGAAAGAGTCCGAAACCAGCCAGGCGGATCCAAAGGATCAGTTGGGTGGGGGTTCACCCCGACAGGATGTCCTATCCTCCTTCTGTATGTGATTCCAGAGAGAAGACAAGCAATAGTATAGAAAATTAACTCATATTGCCAATAATATGCACAATGAGGGGTCCTTCACAACCTACTTACACGAGTCGATGTCTTTTCTTGGAAGATAAGATTCTTCACACATGTGCTGTTGTTGTACTTTACTCATGTGGTAGTTAGCCCTAACCATGACTTCAAGAGATCTGCTGGATCTCTGAAGACAGTTCAGCCAGCCATCCATTCGACCCGTGCGGGGTGCAGAGGGAGGATAGGCCGGAGGTTGGCCCGGGAGAGTCCCACAAGGGGCAAGATGGTCTGCCTCCATTCTTGGTCCTTCGCACCATCACGAGTCCAACCAAGCGGGGAAATCTGGCCAAGGCGCTAGCTTGTGCCCCTTCAAGGATGCTGCTGCGGATTTGTACGGGAAGCCCTCCAGTCGGGAGCGAGCCCCGGAGGGGATCGGATCTGCCCGAGCGAGGTTATCCCCGAAGGGGAAGCCCCCGCGCGAGGGATCTTACCTAATCACATCACCCAATTCCAGTAGGTGGTTACCATCGGGTTTCTTGGTTTCTGACACGACGGAGTACAAGTGAGTAGTTTATCAGACCACATCCATCGTGCCAGTTTTTGGATGGATGGGTCCACCAATGGCCGACCCGTCTCTAGGCGGGATGCGCTGGCTTGCCCCATCACAAAGATAAGACCATTTGGTGGACAGTGAGTGACTAGATAGTGACTAGTGACTCGCCCCTCAACTAGGGTTATTTTTAGCCGATCCCTTGGAGTCCCCCAGATTTTCAGGGTCTGTTCTCACGCCCGGCTGCTTGAAAGAGATTGAAGGGTCAAGGGACAGCGCCCCTGAGCGGCCCCGGCTAAATCTACTTGCCCAAATAGCGCATTGAATGGACGGATCCCAAGCAATCAATAATCTATCATGATGGTGAGTGAGTGTTGATGGCAAGATAATGGCTGATGTCTGATGCCGCTTCGCACCGTGTTTAGTCTGGGGTTGCCACCCATGTAAGGGTGAAGACTGACTAGCCTGACCCAGTGAGAAGCAGAGGATGCTGGAGGGATCCAAGGATAGCAGCAGCTTCGTCCGTGACGCCGTCGGAGGGCCATCGCCCAAGAGCGACTAGCCTGTGTGACTCTGGCTGCCGACTGAAACCTCACTAATCGCAGGCTGGGAAAGGGAAAGAGCAGACGGCCCTAAATTAGTGAATCCCCAGGATTGCCTGATAGTAGACCTGTTGTACGTACTGATACGCTGGCGGTACGGCCATCCCAGTCCATGCAGCAATCAGCTTCCATAATTACACCGCGCGCTAGGCTGCCTTTCTTTGACTTCTTCTGCTCGCCCTCGTCCTCTTTCTCTTCTTCTTCTTCTTCTCCTTCTCCTCTTCCTCCCTCACAGTCCTTCTTTTGTCCTGCCATTACGCACTCGTTCGCTGCTTTTCTCCGGCTTGACTTACTTCTGCCAATCTAATACCTGTCGCTATCATCCATCTAGCAAGATGAAGTTCAACAGCGCCGTCATTCTGTCCTCCATCCTGGCCGTGGCCGTGGCCCAGGACTCGTCCTCGACCACCAGCAGCGCGACCACCACCGCCAGCCTCTCTCCCCAGGCATCCTGCGCCGCCAAGTGTAAGTGCTGCTGCCTTCTCCATCAGTCCACGGACGCCATTCTTCATCATTCATCTTCCCTCCATCCAACGGCCTGCCTGCGCGGCATACATGGCCATTGCCCATTCACCCACCTCCAACCCAGACAATCCGTCCTACCCTGCCACCTCCCAGCCTCACCTGAAACTAACCAATCCCAGGCACCGCCACGGACATCTGCTGCATCGCCGCCTGCTACGAAGTGCCCTGCCCGAACAACTCCCAAGTCAACGACACCACCAGCTGTGTGGCCGCCTGCCCCCAGGGCTCCGGCTCGGCCAGCGACCAGAAGGCCTACGCTAGCTGCGAGAGCAGCTGCGTGAGCAGCTACTTCCTCGCCACTGCGACGGGCGCATCGGGCTCGTCCGCCACCAAGGGCAGCTCCAGCGACGCCAGCACCACCAAGAGCGGAAGTTCGTCGACGTCCACTGGCTCGAGTACGTTCCCGTCCCCCCGTACCCCTTTTCCAGGATCAACAAAAAGCAAAAAGGCAAAACAAGCAAAACTAACGCGCAATCCCATAGGCTCCAAGTCCGGTTCCAAATCCGGTTCCTCCTCCGACTCCACCGGCACGGCGACCGGCACCAGCGCCCACGCCAGCTCGACCGAGAACGCTGCCGCCATCGCCCAGCTCAAGCTGGGTGTTTCCGCCGCCGGTGTTCTCGGCTTCGTTCTGGCCGCCTGGGCTCTGTAAGCTTGGTCTCGTTGGAACTGATGTATTCAACCTGACCTGACCTGACCTGATCCTTGTGATCCGATCCGATCCGATCCGGTCCGATCCGGTCTACTTTGCTTTGCTTTACCCTTTTGCTATGCTATGCTATGCTATGCTTCGCTTCTCTTCTACATATGTAATCAAACCAAGCGCTGTGTTAATAATATGATGGGAAACGCATGGAATAATGGGAAATTAATATGCTGCTAAGATATCTAACTAACCGTACCTACCCAATCTTCACTTCCTTCTTGATCCATCATTACTTACATTATTTATTGCATCATATTTTGTGTAAACTATCTATCCCCCGTTCCTTGTTCACTTATGCATACATATGTTTATTCGTTTCCTATACCTCTTTTTTTTTTTTTTTTTTTTTTTGGTCTTGATGCTGTTTTTGCTGTGGGTGGCTACATACATATACATATACATCTCGGTTTTACCACTACTTTATTCAGTATGACATGGTACAATCGAAGATTGAGAGTGTTATTACTGTGTACATCACAGAAAACTATAAGTACCTACTTTGTAGTAACTATTTTGTAGGTACTAGTTACTATACTCCGTCTCCACCCCACCCACCCACTGGCATTTACTACTTACCAAACGAAGGAATGGATCGGCTGTACTATCTCCACATGCAGTACACATACTTAATTTGTACTTATCTATCCCCGCATTTCACGGGCCGGATGGCGGATGGAGATATGTCAATCTGAATCCACTGATCCAGAGATCCACACCCGTTCCGGCATCCGGGCGTGCAGGACTGACTGCATTGGCATTGCAGGGTTGCAGGTCTGCAGGGTTGCAGTGCTTCGTCACGGTCGTCGAAATCAAGGCAGGGACTTGGACGTGTCTCTCGCATGTTGAAGTGCGTATCTCTCTAGTCTACCTACATTACTGATACGATCAACGCCAAAGAAATGTGTCCCATCTATCGGTTTCGCAGTACAGTACTGGGTATGTAACATCGAATGACCACGGAAATCATATCGGAGGATACAACGGTGCGAAGCAAAAGAAGGAGTGTCAAGGTCGGATGCAAGTGCATGCAATGCTGGCATTACCCCATGATCCCGCCATGGCGTTGAATTCCCACGAGCGCATTGTGATTGTTGCCGATACGGGCATCAAGGGGGATGGATGGATGAGGTGCAACTCAGGGCAAGAGTGGAAAGGAGTGGTACAAAATCCCAAGCACGCCAACGCCGATACCAATGTAAGGTCTAAAATGTTGCATATTAGTTCAAGGCCAATGATCTCCTCCCCTCGTCCAATGGTAACGTTAAACACGGTCCCGGGCAAAATCCAAGACCTCACAGTCGTCTTCGAAGAAGCCGTCATCTACCCCGCCACCTGAAGACAGCGCTGAGGCTTGCTTCTTTTTCCGGCGCGTGGTGATGACCACTTCTTCAACATTGCCAGTACTGTTCCCCAGACTGATCAGGTTCTCCATTTCAGCCCCCAAGCCCTGGTGCTGTTCACGCACCATGTCGTCGTCCTCTTCCTCGCTACTAGCGCTGAACGGGCGCACATGAAGCTTGGTTGTCGACATAGGGCCACCAAAGACCCACTGACCGGTCGGGACCGAGCTCACGGTATCATCCGCCTCGGAGAACACGAAAAGGTTTACCCTCTGATCAGTGTGAAATGGTTGGAACGGGGTGTTTGTTTCAATCTCGGCCTGTGACAGTGGTTGACACTTAAGCTTCGATGCCGGAGGCAGTCGTGGAGTTGAAGTTGGCAGGGCCAATGTTGCAGAAACAGTTGTCTCCGAACTGAAAGTCCCCAGGGTCATGGGGCCGCAAGGGGTCTGCAGATGGGAGGGCAACCGAAAGTCGAGCTCTTTGCTTCCAATCACAGACTGTAGCTGCCGATTCTTGCTGGGCGACGCAGAGCGTTTAATTCTATAGAGGCGGAAGTATCCTCCGTCTATTAAGCCCAAAAATGGCATGCCCTTGTGGGTAATCCACGTCACACGGGATGCAACAGGATCCCGGGAGAGCCCGGAGAGGTGTAGGCGGTGTTCGCCACCATGTCTAAACGTATTGACGGTCTTGACAGTACCGGTAGCGGCCGCCCCCATTGACTTGCTAAGGCCAGCAGCAACTGCCTTTCCACCTCTCACTCCTGCAGCAGATGGCATCGCAAATCCGCCAACAGAGGGGAATGCAGCACCAGTGGATGGAGTTCGACCCCTGACTGCGGCAAGGATAGGCTGTGTCTTACCCCCAACCATCTTGAATGCCGCTGACAGGGAATTTGCGGAAGCCGTCCGGTCAGGAAGCTCTTCCGGGGGTAGATCGGTAGGCTGGGGTTTGGCAGGCTGTGGTCGGGATCGACGGAAAGGGGGCCATTGGAACGCGCTTCGTGGCAGATCGAAAACGTGCACAGTCGGTTTCGCAGTGATGACTGCTAGCTTGTCACCCGAAGGAGGACACCAGACCACGTCAACGATATGGGATGCGGTCAGTCGCGGATATCGGGCGACCTGCCGCACGCTCGGCTGTACAGCTGCTGGGTCATCAGACAGCAAAGCTCCTGCCCGACAGTATTTGGCCTGCATTAAGTCCCAAACATACTGAACATCTCCCTTCTTGCTCGCCGTGAGAAGCATGAGGCCGTTGGGAGAGAACGAGAGAAAGCTGCAGCCGTTTGGCACCTGAAAAGTGGCAACGGGGTTGAACACAGCATTCTTCGTTTCACCACCCTCGTCAAGCTTTCGCAAGTCAAAGATGGACACCAAATCAGGCTCGGTCGCCGACACGGCCTGGGTTTCTTGAGCATGTGTGGGAGGGAAGAGATTATATCCCTGTGGTGGAAAATCCATCAAGTTAGGGGAACGGCGTGCTGGCACGCTCTGCGACTGCTCCTTGTTCCAGTAATTGTTCCAGGCTTGCAGTCCCTGGTCACCCATCCAGCGCGCGCCTCGCATGAGTTCTTGGGTAACGCCGCGAGCAACTTTGCCAAAAAGACTTTCACCCTCACCGACATCTGTAGCGCAATTGATCGCTGGTCGTGACGGGGGGTTTCGAGTCTCGAGCCCGACGACCTTGCCTTGCAGCAACGACGCTGGAACTGTTCCGCGGAGACTAGCTTTGCAGGTGGCTGATGGTGGGACTATAGCCAGCCATCTCCCCTTGAGGGAGATGATTGGAGTATCGAAGCTTGGGGATCCATGTGGAGAGTCAGACTGGGATCCATCCGGGTCAGTGGAGCTCGAAGACGTAGAGTAACGCCGAGACTCCTTTGACTTGATGTTAGTCCACGTCTTCCCCAGGCACTGATACCGGTTAATGCTGTACATAAACACTTCTCCGCTAGTCCCAGAGGCAACAACAATATAGCTGCCGCTCACAAACAGCTTCAGGTTCCCGGCCGGGGAGGGCGCCAAGGTAGGCAGACCGGGTATATTACCATAACATGGACTGGGCGGGGTCGACAGAAGCGTGGTTACACGTTCCCCTGTTCTTAGTGAATACACCTCGACTCGTGTCTGGTAATGTATCGGCTCCTCTTTGCTCATGCGCCCTCCCGCGGCCGACTGTCGCCCCGCAGGTACTTCGTTTGCCTCAGAGCCGTTGGAAGATACGTGACCCTCATCATCCGGTTGAGAGCAAGGACCATGGATGATGACAGCGACGTGAGGTCTAGATGATAAGAATGGGTCATTAACTGAAGCGTTGCTCAGCAATTTAGCTTCAATGACACGGCCGTTGAGACCAGCCAACTTCCCAACAAGACGCGTCTTGCGGTCTTCAATGGCAAGGACATCCAAGACGCCATCCATACCGACGAGCAGAACACTGCCCCCCATTCGTGACGCCTTGAATAATGGACTAGTCATTGTATCAAAGGCACAGAATGAGTAATTCCCATCAGCTGGGGCCCTGCTCTGACCAGAGAACAAAGGCAAGTCAATGTCGGGCGCTCCATAGAAATGGGCCTGTGGCAGATGTGGAAGAGGTACGTGGTTGTTGAATGGGCTGTTAACGGAGTGACTCTTCTGTCGGTCTGTGGATGGCTGCCTTGACACACTACTAGTCGAGTATCCATGCCCATAGCTCATAGGTCTCGTCCTCGGAGGGGGAGATGTCGAAGAGGGATGACTAAATCCGCCCTTGTCTTGACTGGTGAGGAACCCAAAGGGAGATCCACTGTCGATTTCGCCATCAGCAGCATCATTTGGAGGGCTTTTCCCAAATGGGATGGACTTGGCCCAGGTATCAGTGCGATAAACAAGGTCATTCTCGGGGGAGTCTCCAATTGAGTCTAGAGCATCAAGCACTGGTGACACAATGCTGTCATTATGAGACTCCAGTGTCGGGTTCGGGCAAGATGACGGTTCATCCTGCAGCGGCGGCGACGCTCCTAGACTATACGACGCGTAAGTGCGGTCAGCAACGAATCGACAAACACCAAAATCCAGACAGAGTCATGCAAGGGTTTTGGACTTACAGGTCTTCAGGCGGGGATTTTGAGGCTGCTTTAGCCGCCTTCGCCTTCGCTTTAGATCCACTTTTCCCCTTCTTCTTGCTCTTTCCGCCGATATCATGCTCCAGGGTTACTCGGTTGAGATCCTCGGGAAGTGGGTTGGTGTCACCTAAGGACTGCTGGCGAAACAAATCGTCCGAAGCTGCCGGTGGCATCCAAGTGGAGGGATTGCCTCTCTGAGGCAATATGGTTTCGGGTGTGGTAACCGCTCTCAGGACCCTAAACAAGGGCCGAGAACGGAGGGGTTGACGGTGTAGTCGACCGGCAACGACACTCGCAGGGGTATGGATTCACTGCCGGAGCGAATCGTGCTTGTTGTTGTTGTCTACCTGGTCAACGAACGGCTTATCAGCATGAGTCATCGAGCAAAGACGGAGGCGATAGTACTGACAATGGGGGTTCTGATGCGGTGGATGGGAAGGGACGCGTTTGGGGGGGGGGGGGGGGGAGGAGATTCCGGGACAGCGGCCGTGCCGGAGAGAAGGAGACAAGCAGCGTATCTGGAGGGCCGCCCGTTGATACGCCGGTAGATCTGTACTGTACACAGGACAGGTCGGAAGCACTGCTTGTACCGTCCGTCCGGGTTGGTGGTAGGAACAAAGCCAGCCAGGACCAGGAGAGTCTTGGATGGGGGGATGGGGGGATGGGGGGATCGAGAGCGTGGGCAATAGTGAAGTTACAGAAGTGAAGATGGAAGAAGTTACAGCAAGGGCATAGCATTCACACCGAGGGAAGAAGGGAAGGAGAGGGGGAGGGGAAGCGGATCAGGTCAGGAGCATGGATGACATCTCCATGGTAGGCTGACTACTACCGGTCGACTTATCTCCTATCAGTCCCCCATTCAGTTCCTCCCTTAACCGGCCTTACCGTTAAGGTTCCAGGGCCACCACATGACGGGGCCCGAGTGACTATTGGCTGTTGGTGGGCTGGATACGGGGAGGGGGGTGCAGGGGGGCATGACCGTCATAACATGACGCAGCCGGGTAAGGTTCCTACATGGGAGATGCTTCTGGGTCTCAGACGGAGTCCCAGATTCAGGCAGGTCGACTGCATCCGATGATCTGCACGTACCGTACAGTACACGGTACTGGATGTACCCCGTAAGGCGGAGAACGATACCTATCTACACCTCTGTAAGCAGACTAGTTAACTACCGACGCCTCCCACCCAAGTCCGACTACACACGCCATTGGCCCTGTCTGCCCGCATGAGGGGTAACCTGCGCAAACAATGCAAACCAGACGCGCCCAAGACACGGGTCGAGGTGGTCACGTGAGAACCATGGGTGATGCAGCCATACAGCCACCACCACCTGGGCATGTGTCCCAGGGGGCCTGCCTGAACTGGATCGCTCCTGCCTCCTGTGGTAGACAAGTTGGCCTGACCCTCCTCCTCCCATGGATGGAATGGGTCCGCTCCGGTTTGGCCGTCGATACGGAGGAGTTACAGGCCAATCGCCTAGTTCTCGTCTCGGAATGCGGTTGACCGGCTGTGGCTCAGTGGTTGCCCGCCATGGGGTGAGTCACGGGGGCTAGTTAGTTACCTGGCGTGCACTGCCATCATCTGTAAGGTCCCAACCCCCCCCCCTATCTATCGCCATCGGGGCAGAACATGGTCGTGACCGAAATATTACACGGTGGCTACTTTTGTTGGGATGCAAGTTTCCTAGACGGCAGGGCAGGAAGAAAACCAGGAACGCTTCACTTGTGACCAGTATCCGGCGGTTTCGGCGTCGAATGATCCAGGGCCTCGTCATCGATTCTCCCTGCCTCACCACGCGGCAAACTTGCAGAATGTTGAAGAATGCCAGTGGTGTAATTGCACGCGGTGCGGACGGAACAATCCAATCAAGGAAGGAAGGAGGTCTGCAAAGAAGGAGAAAAGTAATGTTACATTGATACAAGACATTGATATAAGATAATGCCACCTGTTTGGTTTCCAGTCGCCGTTGTTTTGAGACACCAGTCACTCACTCATCCACCACCACCAACGCCACGTCTATTGCTCGTCTATTGCTGCTCAGCTTTCAAGTCTTCTTCTTCGCCGCAGCCTTGGCCTTGGCGGCCTTCTTCTTGTTGCTGTTAATCATCACAATTCCTATGAACGTGCCGACCACGGCGGAGCCCAGGAGGGTGAGGAACACGGGGATGCGGATGGCCCAGACACGGGGAGGGAAGAGGTCGTGGAGAGGGTGGCCCGGGTCAACGAACGGCTACCAGTGGGTTAGCAGGGGAGGTGTGCAGAAAGGAGCGCGACGCTCAGACGTACCATCAACAGAGTCCAGGTCGTGTAGTAGAGAAAGATCGCGGTAGCGACCAAAAGCATGGCGGATCCGACGATTGGGCCCAGCTGCGGCGCAATTCAGGTCAGTCCGTGATTGTCAAGGCGTTAGCGTAGAGATATTACCATAATGATGATGCGCTGGCAGATTGAGTACGTAGAAAGACAACGGAGGGGTGGCTGCTGCGAAGATGGCGACGTGCCTGATCGATCGACTTCCGTACAGAGTAGTACTAATGATTGTATGGATGGCCACGCCAGCCTGGCTCCTACGGCGGCACGTGACCCGCGGCGCGCTAAGACCTTTCTCCTTCGCCGCCTCACGCCTCATCCGGACGAGCTCCAACGTCGTGGTATCTGCGGATCCTCGCGACTCTCAGAACTCTCTCACGGGACTGCCAACGAAATATGACGGACCCGGTCGTATTGCAGTCGGCGGTGCGAGTGCCCACTCCTCCCCCAGGCGCCCCGTACTCCCCTCAAGCCTCAGCATCCCGGAAACGCTCACCTCCCTCTCGGTCGCCCTCACCGAATCGTCGTCGCTCCCCCCCCGGCGATCCGTCGAAAGACGACGCGGAAGCGCCACGCATCGACCCTGAGCGCGCGATCGAGCGAGAGCGCCAGCTCGCGGAGCGCCTTCGCCAGCATGAGAGACAGGAAACCGCCCGGAAGCCGATGACGGAGGAGGAAAAACAGGCAGCGGCCAAGGCAGAATACGAAAAGCTCCTGAACATGCGCTCGGGTGGCACCTATATTCCTCCTGCGCGACTCCGGGCGCTGCAGGCGCAGATCACAGACAAGACTAGCAAGGAGTACCAGCGTATGGCGTGGGAGGCCCTGAAGAAGTCGATCAACGGTCTCATCAACAAGGTCAACGTTTCCAACATCAAGTTCATTGTTCCTGAACTGTTCGGGGAGAACTTGGTGCGCGGTCGCGGTCTGTTTTGCCGGAGTATCATGAAAGCCCAAGCGGCCAGTTTACCGTTTACGCCTATCTACGCTGCGATGGCCGCTATCGTGAATACCAAACTGCCCCAGGTCGGCGAGTTACTGCTTAACCGTCTGATTGTCCAGTTCCGCAAGGCATTCAAGCGAAACGATAAGGCCGTCTGCATATCCTCTACAACGTTCATCGCCCACCTGTGCAACCAGCAGGTTGCGCATGAGATGCTGGCCGCGCAAATCCTTCTGCTGCTGCTTCACAAGCCCACAGACGACAGTGTCGAAATCTCCGTCGGTCTTACACGAGAGGTCGGTCAGCATTTGGAAGAGATGAGTGGCCCGATCGCCCTGGCGGTGTTTGACCAGTTCCGGAACATCCTCCACGAAGCCGACATCGATAAGCGAGTGCAGTACATGATTGAAGTGCTGTTCCAGGTTCGGAAGGACCGATACAAGGACAACCCGGCGGTCAGGGAAGAATTGGATCTGATCGAGGAGGAGGATCAAATCACGCACCAAATCGGCCTTGACGACGAGATCGAGACCCAGGATTCTCTGAATATTTTCAAGTATGATGCGGAGTGGGAAGAGCATGAGGAGGCGTACAAGAATCTCAAGGCGGAGATTCTAGGAGAGGGCAGCGACGACGAGGAAGACGAGGACGAATCGGACGAGAGCTCTGACGAGGAATCGGAGGAGGAGCGGAAGATGGACATCAAAGACCAAACCAACACAGATCTCGTCAACCTGCGCAGGACGATCTACTTGACCATCATGTCCAGTATAGATTTCGAAGAATGTTGCCACAAACTGATGAAGATCTCGCTGCCGGCTGGTCTTGAACCCGAGCTTCCGTCGATGGTCATCGAGTGCTGCTCCCAGGAGCGCACGTATTCGAAGTTCTACGGCTTGATTGGAGAACGCTTTGCGAAGATCAACCGCCTCTGGTCAGATCTCTTCGAGGCAGCCTTTGCCAAGTACTACGACACCATCCACCGCTACGAGACAAACCGACTCCGCAACATCGCGCGGTTCTTCGGCCATATGCTCAGCAACGATGCCATCGGGTGGCATGTCATGTCGATCATCCACATGAACGAGGAAGAGACGACATCCAGCAGCCGTATCTTTATCAAGATCCTGTTCCAGGACCTGGGTGAGCATATGGGTCTGCCCAAGCTGCAGGAGCGCATGAGAGACGACATTCTACGCCCCAGCTTCGAAGGCCTTTTCCCACTGGACAACCCCCGCAACACGCGCTTCTCGATCAACTACTTCACCAGTGTCGGCATGGGCTTGCTGACGGAGGACATGCGCGAACACCTCAAGAACCTCCCCAAACCCACGGTTCCTGCATTGCCTGCACGGGACGGCGGCGCCGAATCCGACGCCGAGTCCGATATCTCCCATCCCACCAGCTGCTCCACCTGCACTCCTCGCTCTCGCTCTCGCTCTCGCTCCCGCTCCCGCTCCCGCTCCTACTCCTACTCCCGCTCTCCCTCCCGCAGCCGCGGCCGCAGAGGCTCCGTCACCCGGGGCAGATCCTACACCCGATCCGTATCGGGCTCCTCGCGCCGCAGCTACAGCTACACCCCATCGCGGTCACGGTCCCCTGCCCCCAAGACCCGCGCGCGCTCCGCCTCATACAGCCGGTCCCGATCTCCAGCCCCACGCAGAAGACCCTCCGTGTCGCGTTCACCGCCACCCCGCCGGACCCGGGATCGGTCCTACGATTCCCGCTCCCCTCGTCGCAGTGTGAGCCCTCCTCCCAGACGTCCCGCCGCCTCTCGGTCCATCACACCCCCTCGCAAGCGCGACACCAACGCCCGGAGAGAGAGAGACAGAGACCGCAGCTACTCCCGCTCACCGTCCCGGTCCGTGACCCCCCCCCCTCGGCGACCCGCCCAGACGCGCGGAACCCGCTACTCGGAGTCCCGATCGCCTCCTCCCCGCAGGCGGGTTGAAAGGAGTGTATCCGGATCTCGCTCCGACTCGCGGTCTCGGTCTCGGTCTCGTTCCCCGCGCCGTCCACGCCCCAGCCGCCGAGCTGCTCGCGACGCCTCCGTCTCGCGCTCTCCAACCCCACCCCCACGGTCCGCGCGTGACGAGCCCCGCCGTCGTCGCCGGTACTCAGATTCCCGCTCGCCATCCCGCTCTCCGCCCCGTCGGGCAGCGCGCGATTAGTCGCAGACCTGAAACATACATGCATACATTCATTCATACTCAGACCGAAGGAAATCATGCCAGGCCGGGTAAATCGATATTTGCAGATAGACAGGTTCAAGCCTGCGGACGGCCGTGGACAAGGTTTGGTAGGATGGGATGGGATAGGATGGGACATGAGAGGGTATGATAGGGTATGATAGTCTAGTCTAGTCTAGTCAGGAAGGAAGGAAGGGAGATCTTTTGTTTGTAATGGATTGGATGTATCTATACGTTGACAATTTGGTGTTTGCTGCCTTGCCTTGCCTTGCCTATGCGGAACAGAAAAGAATTGCATTGTCGGTAGACTTACCCTTCCTTCCTTCTTTCTACTTTCTACTTTCTACTTTCTACTTTCTACTTTCTACTTTCTACTTTCTACTTTCTACTTTCTACTTTCTACTTTCTACTTTCTCTTTGTGGGGACTGTATCTATGTCTATGTCCATGTCCATGTCTATGTAATGAGCGAGGAGGAATCGAGTAACATGTACGGCGTAACAAGTTCGACGATCTCTATTGACATCAATAAAGTATGACTGACTATTTATCTAGCTAACGAGCTAGCTAGCTAGCTAGCTGGCTAGCTACACTCCACATGTAGCAGGGTATCTAAGCACCATTCTATCTCTATACTCTATATCAATCCTCCCTATCCCTACCTCCATGTCCAAGTCTATCTCACTCAATTATATTTATCCCCATCTAGTACACTCCCCACCCCTCCCTTCATGTCTCACCCTCTCACTCTCTCACACTCACTCTCAAACCCCCAATCCAACCAACCAAAAAGAAACTCATCTCAAACCTCCCCAGCCTCCCAAACACACCTATCACACAAACACCAACCCCCCAAGGCACCCCTAGCCCACTCCCTGCGATCCTTCACCCTCAACCCAATATCACAATAATGGTTCAGGATCTCCTGATCCTTCTTAATCCCGGCGGCAAGTCTCCTCGTCGCCGGCTGCGCTTCGTCGACATGACCGTCCCGCTTCCAAACGGCGCGTTCACCATCGTTGCGCGCGCGGAACGTGATCTCGCCGCCCCACTCCCACCGCACATTCGGATCACAGGAGTGGTTCGCCAGACACCAGAGGGGATGGACGGCGCAGAGCTCAGGCCCGCCGTCCCACGTGCTGAGACGGCCGGAGGCAGTGCCCCGGAATTTGGCGTACAGGGTGTTGAGGACCCAGGTGTCGTGGCGGGGGAGGGAAGCGTAGGGGTCGATTTCCATTTCCTCGAGGAGTCGCATGGGTTGGAGGATGTTGAGGTGGAAGGAGAAGGGGAGGGTGGCGGTGGGGTCTTCTTCTTCTTCTTCTTCTTCTTTTTCTTCGGTGGATGGGGAGGGAGAGGAGGGGGAGGTGGTCGGGGTGGGGAAGTCATGGAAATCTCCCCAGATGTATTTGATCTCTGGGAGATCGAGCGGGTGGGAGTCCTGGGTGGCGGCCATGGCGAGGGCGCGGCCCAGCAGCAGGAGGTACAGGTAATCGGCCTTGTCTTTGGGGTCGGGGATGTCTTTTCCGATGGATTCGATGTTCTCCATGAGTCCGCAGACGGCGCCGTGGTAGATGGACTGCGCGTGGTCGTGGCAGACCTGCGAGCAGAAGATGGTGTCTGCGCAGCCGTCGCAGGCGACGGGGGGGTTGGCGGAGGAGAGGTCCGGGAGGGGAGCGTTGCAGGCGTCGCAGAGGTCGTCGTGGAGGCGGTTGGTGGCTGTGAGGAGGGAGGATTCACGGAGGATGATCTCATCGGGGGAGATGTCTTCTTTGGCGAAGAGGCCGAGTTGGATGGAGACTTCTTCAGTTTCGGGTTCATTGTCGGTAGTGGTGGTGCTGTGTAAGGCGGGCAGAGCGACGGCGCGCACCTCGCATTTGGGCGCGACGTCCTTGAGACGCTCGTTCAGGAGCTGCAGGGTGTCCGGAGATTTGCGATCCGGCTCGTGCTCGTTCCAGGGGTAGAGGACACGACGGGCGAAGCCTTGCGCGTTGAGTGCGCTGGGGTTGATATGGGTGTCGTCTTCGGCGGCGGGGGCACCCTTGCGGGCGAGGTATTTCTTCCTGATGATCGCCAGCTGGGCCTGGAGGATGTCCTGGGCGGGGCTCTGGGGCATGGTTCCGAGGAGCTTGAGCCCCTGAATGCAGAACTCGTAGGCGTCGCGGAAGCATCCGCAGTTGACCAGGCTCCGTACCAGCAGGGCGTATACGTCTCCGATTATGGTGTCGTATTCATCCTGGGTGATGGGGACGAAGCCTTCATCTTCATCATCATCATCATCTTCTTCGTCGTCCTCCTCGTCCTCGTCCTCGCCCTCGCCCTCATCTTCCTTAGGCTCCTGGATTTTCCGGCGAGCGTGGAACTCGCAGCCATCAGGGTCGACGACCGAATCGAGCAGAGAGAGCGCGCGGTATGCGTCGGCGGATGCTAGGTCGGGAAAACCCAGTTTCTGGTGGATCAGGCCCCGTTCAAAGTAGAGATGTGGGTTGTGAGGGTCTGCATAGAGACGAGCAGTGGCATCCGTTCGTTCCTGAAGAGGCTGCATCTTTCAATTGCGTTCCCAAAAGGGTTGGCGAGGACTGAGAAGGAGAGAAGATCGCCGGAGAAAACGAGAAAATTGCAATCGGGAAAATGCGGGGGAGGGCCCGATAAGGGTCACGTGGCGATAGTTAGTCATCGCCTGCGGTCTGACCGCCGCTTAGTTATCAGCTCTTAAGCATACAAAGCAACTGCATGGATCGCCATAGATAGTTTGTAACATACTATACTTGTAACGGGCAAATACTATATTTACAACCACTACATCCATCCCTACGCAAGCATCGACAACCACATACGTCCAAACCAACACTCCAGTCCAGTCCAGTGTACACAAAAGAATTGGCATTGTCATTCGGTAGATGCTTTTCCCCCCCACCCAAGAAAAGAACGCCAGACAGACCCAAATAATGACTCCAGGCCGAGATGATGCGCTGGTGACTGAATGACTGGCACCAGACCGCGATGCAAGAGACCGGACCGAAGAGAGAGAGATGGAGATGGTGTCGGACTAGAATCTATTAATAATAGCATCGAAGGCATAGTAGAGAAGAACAGGATAAAGAGGAAGAAGTCAGAAGAAGAGAGAGAGAAAGAAAATACGAATCCTGTCGGCCAAATGCCAAGGGGTCGGTCAGGTCAAGTCCATGCGTGCAGTGAGTGTGCATGTGGTAAGTGGTATGTATGTCGAAACATCTCCATCGTAATTTTTGGTTCTTTTTTCTTGTTTCCACTTTTTCTTTTGATCTTCGGCCAGAGCTGGGGATTGGTCACATCACCTGTACGATATGATCCGTCAGTGGCGGTCCCGGTACATAATATAGATCCTGGCTTGAATGAACCTACCTGGCAGCTGTTGTCGTCTAGAACCAGCGTGGCATGTTCACCTCCTTCGCCCACTGTCACCCCGTGCCGTTGGTCCCTGAGGGTGGCTGCGAGACGGGCCAGCATGTGCCTCTGGATTGTAGTCAGCGGGGTCAATAAAAAAAGGGTGAGACAATGGTTCAAGCAGCCTTACGGTGATGTATGCCTCACTCATACCCCCCTGCCGGTCAACATCGTTTTGGCTCATGATTCGGTAACTGTCATGCAAGCGCTTGCGGCTTCCAAGGCCACCAATGGCGCTGACGTTCGGCCCAAGCCCAAGCGCGTTGGCTGGATTATCCGGGTCGAGGATGTTGACTCCGCGACGAGCGTCGTCCTGAGCGCGCCGGTCGGGCGAGAAGATTTTGATTGTGTTGTCGATTCCCGAAGCTGCTATGGTGGGCTCGTATGGGTGGCCTGCAAGGAATTGTTAACCTGGGACGCTCACACTTCAGGCATGCTCATAGGGGAGTTCCTCACCTTGCACAACGTTGACTACCTCGCTATCGCCCTCGAGGATATTGACTAGCTTGCAGGTTTTCCGGTCCCAGATAAACAAGTGGCCAGAGTCACTACCGCTCACGACGTACTCGTCGTCCAATCCGAAGAAATTGACATCTTTGACAGTCTTGATGTTGCAGTGTCCTCTATACACTCGGGTGTGTGGGGAGCATGGCACGTCGACATCCACGTACTCTCGCTCTCTAGGCTGGAGACCATACTCCCTAAACATTCGATCGGCAGCTTCGGAGTCATCATCGCTATCATCGAAGGCATTGCTGCGCTCATCCTCATCCTCATCCTCATCCCCGTCTTCGTCCTCGTCCTCACTCTCATCCTCATCCGAAGCATTCTCGGGCTCGCTCTCACCGTCGTCATCGGTATTCTGCAGGTCAGAGCCGCTTCCGTCGTCATTGTGAGATGATGACGCCTGCATTGCCGTAATCTCATCAGCCTGTTCCTCAGGGTGCGTTCGAGCGTATCGCGAGCCCCGGAGTATCTTCAAATCAATGTCACGGATGGGCTCCTCCTCGACGTTTGTTTCGAGATCATTCTGGGATCTTTCAGGATCCACCTCGAGGTCTTCTGAGTCACCTTCCAACCTAGTGCGCAAGCCACCGAACGCTCTGTTGACGAAAGCGTAATTTACCCCAGTGCCCGTTTCCAGGAGAATCCCGCGGGCCACCTTGAACACCCAGAACTGAGTGAACTGGAATAAGTCGTGAGAGCCGGTTGAGGCATCACCTGATGCCCCATCGCCATTCAGAATGTCCTCAACTGGATACTTGATGGCATTGGCAAAAGCTACCACCGCTTGGCGTTGAGTCGGGTAGATGATACGAGCTTCGTCGTGTTCGAATCGCGAAGCATCCACGTTCACTACAGGCAAGTCACCTGCAAGTCGCTGGAGGTAAGGGATTAACACCGACGCAATCGCCCCATCGTCCGCATTCTCCGGGATTGGGAGCCTAGCCTGGTTGTCTCGACGTGCAGGATCACGTCTAAACCCCGAAAGAAGGGCATCCCGACCTCCTTCCACAAACAACAATATAGCCTTGACGAAATCATAGCCGAACTGTTCTTTATGATCCAGGGCACGCTCAAGTCCTGGTGAATGTACTCGCTGGAACATGTCCATTTCGTGATCTACGTCGCCAGGCGTGCTTTGAATCTCGCCTCCCAGTACTCGTGCTAGTGTTCCCGCGGCTTGGACAAATCTCCAGGCAGACTGACGATTACGACGAATGGTTTGCTGAAAGCGTACAATATCGGGGGTAGGATCGAGGGGATATCGCCAAGTGCGCATGACCTCGTCCATTTGAGGGAGACAGATGGATGCATATGTTAGGGCGGTGGAGAACGACTCGGCGAACGGGGTCAAGTCGGCTTGATTGGAGGACTCGTATTCTTCGCGTACCGATGCTTCCAGCGAGAAGAGGGCTTTACGAAGCTGGACCATACTTTTGGAGATCTGCATGCTAAGCCTCTGCGATTCAGTAAGCACGGAGTATCTTGACTGCTCGAGCAACCTCTCGGGGACGTCGATGTGATGTTCTGAGAGGGACGGAAGTGGAATATCCTCCGATTCCCCGTTTCCGTAGCGGACTCGAAACGCCAATTCGCCTTCGTCATGAGGTTCTCTAGGTCGACGACGAGGGCGGGACGGATTCCCACTGGACTGGGATGACATGGACGTTCCATTCTGCCGCTTACGCTTCCTACTCTTGGATCCTCGTCGCCGGCGTGGGGCCGGAGTCTCCCGGAGGGACTGTTCGCGTTTCGACTCTGCCTCCCTTGCATCAGGGCTTCGAATCAAGTCGAAGCCATAGATATGATCGCCAGACCAGCTGACAATCATCTCGTTCGGGTTGGCGTCGCTAATCTTGCAGGCGGTGATGTGGCCGTCGTCGCGCGTGCTCATTCGATGTTGGCCGTTGGGGGCAAATCGCCGGACGCACCGCGTCGCCTGATCCATCACCTCCTCACCGCGACTACTACCTCCGGGGGATGATCCAAGATCGCCCTTCTCCGCATGAAGGTCGCGGCCGAGCATGCGCCTGTCATGGAGGAAACAATGGAGGTGGGCCCCACCCAGCGCAATATAATGTGGCTGACTAGGGGAGCAGGAGATTGTGTTGAGGTCCAGGCGATGCTTTTTGTACGAGATCAGCGGGGGCGGTACATTCGAATCATCATGATCCTGTCCCGATCGAAAGGCCATATATCCTTGTCCGCCTCGTGGTTTGGGATATGCGGACGATGGCTGACGCAAATCCCATTGACGCACTTCACCATCCTCGGAGCAAGTCAGGAAAAGATACGGCGACGACTCGGTGACAATCCGCTTCACCCGATCCGCATGGCTGCGATAGACCCTCGCATTGGTGTTGCCGGCATTTAGGTAGCGCGTATTGCTGAAGAAATTGTTGAACCGTCGGCTCCGGGCAGAGGCGGAAAATGCGGAGGTGGCGTCGACAGTACTGGTATTGCTGCTGTTGGAATACTCGATGTCGAAGATCCGGACTTGGGAATCACCGGCGCAAGTCACCAAAGTCCGATCGTTGGAGTGGGGCATGAATTTGACCGAGAAGATGTTGGCGCCGTGACCCGTCGCGACGGTAGTGTTGAGGGAGAAGGGCGCGGTGGAGGAGTCGGGTTGGTAGGAATAGATGTTCAGGTGCTGGTCGTCCGAGCCGGATGCCAGAAGCCGGCCAGATCGCGACCAACTGCTTGGGGGTCAGAGGCGGTACGGTACATACACCGGCGGGGGTTCCACCATGGCCACCGCGAAAACAACACATCCAGGACAAGAGCATACATACCTCAAGGCGTTGACACAGCCGGAATGTCCACCCAGCTCATTCACGATGTCTAGGTCTTCGACCCATTCCTTCGAGCCGTAGAGGCCATGGAGACTGGCAAAGCGCGAGACCTGCCCGGACTCCCGGCGCCAGATTCGATCGTAGAGCGACTCTCTCATGGCGACGTCGATGGGGAAAGTGACAGATTGGGGGGGGTTCTCAAGCGACACGAGATCGGAGCATTGCGCGCAGCGGAAGTTCGCGCTCACAGATCACACACTAACCGCTGCTGCTTGGATGACGTCAGACTCAGATCTGCGCAGAAAGTGTCCGCGCAAAGCTCACTTTCGGATATCGCCGCTTGAGGATAGGACAGACATATAGATGGAAGGGGGATGGACTGTAGCGCAAGAGAGGAAAAAGGAAATGACAGGTGAAAGAAGGGAAACCAAGAGGATTAAGAGAGAAAAAAAAAGGGGGGGTGGGGGGAGGGAAAATGTGAGAGAGAAAAAAGAGGAAAGGTGAGTAGAACAGGTTGTGGTAGTAGTACCGATAAGTAGCGAAATCGGTTGACCAACCCGGATGGATTATTCGGTCAAATCGAGGAGAGGGGGTTTTGGGGGGGGGGGGGGGGGACTAGGAAACTGAGATGATGGAGGAATGACCTGTCTCAGAGAAGAAAGATGTATCGGAGACCAGGAGGGGAAGAGAGAAAGAGAAACAGATGAGAAAGAAAGAAAGAAAGAGGGAAGGCAAGAGGGGGGGAAGAAAGAAGACTAGAACTAGATCGAAGAGGACAGCGGATGGGATGGAGCGATTGAAACGGGGGACGCAAGAGGGGAAGGGAAAGGGAACCAGAGCAGCAGCAGCAGCACTTGGCAGCAGAGCTCCACCGGGGCCCAGGCTCGGGCGCGGGCTGGGTTGGGGCTCCTCACCACTACTACCACCACCACCACTTCAAATAATGGATGAATTCTCTCTGCCACCCTGCATCCAGGTTGGGAAGGGAGAAGATTTCCGGCCAGGTGAGGAGGAAAGGAAAAGAAAGCAGCATGATCTGTCCGACCTCCCCGCCGATGCTGATACAAGAGATACAACTTGCTTGGGTATACTCATACTCATGCTCATACATATATGCCTTTGCCAGACTGACTAGTTCGCCGACTAGTCATCGTAGAGGTGCAGGACGACCGTACATCCAATCGACCGTCCAGGTAGCCAGCGGGCAGACGGGTGGCTTTTTTTCCCTCTCTCGCACCCCTTCAGGATCCTTCTGGCACCGTCCATCGTGGGGAGAGAGCACACTAAGGCTTACCCCATTGGGATGGCCACCGATTTCGCCAGTACCAATCGAATCAAGGCTGGCGTCCAGCACAGGGGCAGCAGCGGTGGTGCAGGAGAGAAGAACCCACCACCCACGGACTGGCCGCCATCGAGGTTGGGCTACCATGGGGGAGGGATGGTGTAGACTTCATCGACCTGACCTGATAGTGAGTAGTATAGTAGTAGTACCATAGGACGACACGACTACTGCTAGAGTACCAAGTACCACTAGACACTACACCGCCGAGGTGGACCCAGGGTTTGTGGAGGAGGGAAGAATCATGTCCTGCTGGCAGCTGCTGGCTGGCGGGGGGGGGTTTAAGCTTGACGGTTCTCCGGAGTTAATTTACGGTGACCTCACAAGGTGACAGAAGGACGATGACGACACCCCCCACATTGCTTAGTCACTCGCCCCGGAATCCCCTGTCAACGTCTCACCAACTATCTACTTTCTTTGTAAAACCAATTTTGACCGTAGTTACTTACATAGTATCCGTACATCCATCCCGTCGTCCATCACCGATAACATTCAACCCAGCCAGCTATCAAACATACCGTGCAGTTTCTCATTCCAGAAAGTTCGTCCGGGCGCAGCCACATTATTATTCGGGCCCATCATCTCCCGTCGAGGATGGAATGAAGACTTTTGCAATCCGAGTGAGAACCGGGTTGCTTAGTCTCCGAGAAGTGCGGTCAGGAAAGTGACTGATAAGTACGTGCTTCAGGCCCCTCGCTAACTCCACCCAGGGTTGATTCATCACCCTCGCAGGCTTGTGTCGACCCAAGCCCTGGACTCGCATCCATGACACGGCCTGAATGGCCCAACCGATCGGGTGGTGCGTGGTGCGCGTCCGGAGCCGTGTGCATGGCCCTGCCTGGTGTACACAGTATCCAGGCCACCGAGGCTGGGTTGAATCGAGTCTGCTGTAGTCATTATTCATTGGGTTGAGCAAGGTCTACGCTACAGTAGGCTTGCGATCATGAAACAGGATCTATAGGTGGCACAAGTTTTCAGGCAGCGCAGACCGACGTCGGGGAGGGGGGGAAGGCCGTAGACTTCCAACCAAACATGCAGGGAACAGATTCTCCGATCGGGCGAGGGGATCCCTTCCCCCCTTGTCGATGCAGACACAGCCGCGAGGAAGAGCAAGTTTGATCCGGCCGCGCTCAAAAATCAAGGATCAAACCAGGAGGCATCAGCTTCTAGAATCCCAAAGGCCTTGTCAGCCGTCCGTCCATACATGCGACCAGGGCTTCGACGACCGTCAGATCGTCGCCCATAACACCGCTAGAAAGACTAGTGCGGATAGGTGGACGAATAACCGGCTCCCCGGTTGAAAACTGGTTTTTGTGTCTCTCTGGTGACACATGCATGCCCGGCTATGCACACGGTGCCTGCGAAATGCTCCCGTGGTTCGGCCGGGCTTACGCTAGTAGATCCGGCAGAACCAATAAAGCGTAAGCTGCATGTACCCCTGGCGACAGATGGAGGCCGGGGGCCGGGGACCGGACTGATTCACGGAAGGTTCGCGGTGTCAGATAACCATAGGTCAGGTCAGCCTGGGCAGCAGCTCAACAGTCATGATGGTCAGGACTGGAATGATGGCTGTCTCCACACCCCAACGCGCGGGAGCTTCTGGTCATGTGGCAAGACTGTCGTCAACTGCCGGGCCAGCTGACTAACCCACACCCTCTCAGCCTTTACGACGTCGCTTTCAATCTTACGGATCGTGTTCACTTCCTCAACCATCAGGTGGACCATCTCCTCCAGGCTCTTGGCCGTGCGGAAGAGCGCCGACCCGTCGACCGGGCCCGCCTCCCCATAGCCAAGGATGTCCAGGCTTTGCAGCTGTCTCAAACACAGCTCGAGCTTCATGGTCAGGGTGGACATTTCATCCCTCCAGGTGTGGTCCAAAGGATCAATAAAAACCATCTGATCCGATCCCTGGCCATGATGGAGCCGGTGATTGCGGATATCTTCGACTCTTTGAAACCAACTTTCGAATTGCTGGACGACTATTGTATACCGCCCTCCCAGGTTATCAGATAGGTTGTAGACATCGTCGGTAATCTGTGAAAGCACCTGGATCTGCTCCGCAAAGCCTTGGTGTCCATTGTGCCCACGTGAGTTTTGGAGCCAGCAATGCAACGCCTGGCCATTCAGTCGACGCTGGTGTTCTTTCTCGTCGTTGGAAGCTGCCCGATAGTCACCTGCCACTGAGTCGTATTCGCTTCGTAGTTGTGTTTCAGCACCAGCCTCCCATTCGATGTACTGTCGCAGCGAAGCTGAGTGGACGAGGATCAGCTGTAAGAGTTCGGTCTGTAATGCGGCTATCTCCGGCCAGGCTGAAGGAGCTAAGCCAGGATCCGCGTTCACTGCAGGGGCCTCTACAGATGGTGTTGTCGTGGCAGGCTTGGATGTCTTCTTGGGCGAGAAGTTTTGCTGATAGGTTGTGAACTGAGTCCTTGAACGTGTGCCCATGGTAGTCGATGGCGAAGGAGACTCGATCTTTCTCAAAACTGGCCCCGGAGCCAGCGTCACACCCTGGCTGCGATGACGGGCGTGCCCCCTAGTCACGGTCGGCGTACTCGAGCTCGAAGCGGTAGGCTGTCTAAGCGAGGCGGACCGGGCAAGTCGCGCAGGCGGAGGAGGCATGTCTGTTTTCTTCGGCGATAGCGGTCGTCCATTTTGTCTAGACGCTGTCTCTTGTTTGACCGGAGACGACGGGCTGGGTGCGAAGGCGGCCCTCTTTGGGGTCGTGGAAGTGACGGTCGGTTTCAGGGGCGCTGACGGCTTCAGCGGGCTCGGTCTGATCAGGCTTTGACGGCGAGTTATGCCAGTAGACTCCGGCGTGGGAGGCTGGTCTTGTCGGTGCTGTTGTGCCTTCTCGGGGGGCCTAGTTGCGCGTTGGGCTATCCTGGATTCCGGTTGTTGCGGCAGCCGCAAGGACCTCGTCGTCGAGCGACCGTCATCACGAACCGGCAGGAGACTTTTGCCGCGAGTTGTAAGATTCTCATTGCCCGAGGCAGGATTCGACGGTGTTCCGTTTCCTGCCGTGGATGCCGTGGATGCCGGCTTACCTGTCGTCGTGCGCCCTGCAATAGAAGTCTTCGAAGACAGACGTCAGCGTTGCTGGGGACGGTGACATGCTAGGGAGAGTGGTTCGCATGGGCCGAAGGCGCTAGGGGGGGGGAAGGGATTGGGAAGGGCAACCAACAGATGCACCACTGACCTGCTTGCGGGGCTCACGAAGAGAGAGCGAACGGGTTGGGATTGGCATGGCTAGAGTTCTAGACAGTGCTCCGTAGGTAGATAGTAGACATGTAGATACCGACAAAGGCTCAAATCATATGTTCGACGCAATCAACTGGAATGGGGTGTTGTAAATAGACGAGGTCTGAGCTCAGCAGGCGGCGGCCAAGTCCGTGGTTGCCGTGTTGCGTTGCGGTGAGGGAAGCTTGGCACGCCGCCAGTCAGTCGTCCTTTCTGCGACCTGCACGGACAGCTGGTGACATGGTCTTTTCTTACTGTACATACTGATTACTCGGTCCAGATCATGGGATTGAGGACAGGGTAGTAAGGCTCGTATGGACCGTGCCCTCAAGCATTCGGTCAGGATTACTCCATTCAATTAGAGGCTGTCTGTGATATCGACAGGGTAAACGATGACACAAACTTTTCACAAATCTAGGGAAGCAACTCCCGAAGGCCACAAGACAAACAACATGAAACAAGTCATCCAGTCTGAAAGAAACACTTGTTCTTGTTGCGCGCCTCCTTGCTCTTCCGCTCCATGATGGGGCGCAAAACCAAGGAAACCCGTCCAGATTACTGGGATCCGTTCATAGCTTCGTAAACAATCCCTTGCCCTCTCCTATTAGGCCCCGATCGTCGATTGGAATCAATTTATACCCCATGCGCCCATCAATTACAGGCTGCCACGTCTGGGGAAAGCAACCCCCTCCACTGCCGCATTGTCGGTGAACCAGCTCACCTTGTCTCCGGCGCCCTGGTTGACGAGAGACGAGGGCAGGCTTCTCCCCTCTTCGGCGTCAAAGATCTGTTTCATAATGTCCTTCTTTCCGCCACCAGTCGCAATGAAGGCGATGCTGAGGGCATGCGTGACGACGGGCAGGGTCAGAGTAATGCGCTTCGGAGGCGGCTTGGGCGAGTCGCTGATAGCCGCCACCCAGGCATCCTTTTCGCGCAGCAGTTCGTGTCCAGGGAAGAGACTGCAGGTATGGCCATCGGGACCGCAACCCAAGAGGATGAGATCGAAAACAGGTAGCTTGACGCTATCCTTGGCGGCGAACGAGCGCATCAGTGTTTCCTGGTACAGATCCGCAAGCTCCTGGGGATCGTCGTCGTTGACATGGCTGGCATCAATCGTGTGCACGGTCGGGGCGCCCAGCTCCGACGGGATCTTGTTCAGGAGCTCTTCCTTCAGCAGACGGTAGTTGCTGTCTTCGTGGTCGAGGGGCACAGCGCGTTCATCGGCAAAGAAGATTTCCCACTTGGCGAATTGAGCAGTATCCTCCTCCGATCCGTCACCGGGGGCGAGGAGTGCTTGGGCCAGAACCTTGGGGAGGGAGCCCCCAGAAACCGCAATTCTGAAGGAGCTGTGACGGGCAAGCGCCGAGTTCTGACTCCGCAGGACGTAGGGCCTCAGTTGCTGGGTCAAGGCGTCTGTGCTGGCGAAGCTGAAAAGATTGGGGGCTGATCCGGCCATGATTAAGGCTGTTGTAGGGGTTGCGGAAAGATGGGATGGAGAGAGGATGAGGAAGGGTGGAAGAGAGAAAGAGGGGGGGGGGAAGGAGAAGGGTGATGGTCGCGGTGGTTTTCGGTCAACAGCTTCAGGCGGGGTGTGGCGGGGCAGAGGGAACGCTGAAGGGCTCCGTACCTGCCGGAAGCGAATCACAACGCAAGCGCAATGGGAAACACTTGGGCGACGAGGAGCGTTTCACGTTTTCACATTCCTCCAACCTCGACAACATCTCTGACAGCATCATGATGAGCGGAATCCAGGGAGATGGAGAGGGAGAATCCAGAACCGTGGCCCCCTCCATGGAATCATTCAGCAACCCAGCCACTTCCCTCCAAATACCAACCATGACGTCGTTGTTGCCCTATCCAACGGGAGCGCGAGGGGAAACAATTCCCCCTCCCCCCCCCAAAGCTCAACGGTCGGCGATAAGAGAGCAGCGTTTAGTTCGGATAATCAGTGAGCTTCCTTCTCGCCCATCTTATTGTCTCATCCCACGTCCGAGCTTCGAAGGGTCGGATGAATACTGCTTTTTTCCCCTCTGTTTCTCTCATGTTCTATTTCTGGCCGGTACGGTCTTCTTGGCGGCGAGGTCCGACCTTTGTGTGAAAGATTACATCCCTCCGTTGTATCCCCTCCCAGGCTTCTTCCCTCCCTTCCCCCCTCCCCCCGGCTTTCTTAACGAGGGGTCAAGCTGGCGTGCATGTGAGATGATGTCAGAGTAACGTCTCTCCCTCCCCATGTGGTCTTTTTGTGTCCCTCCCCACCGAATCAGGGATGATGCGAGATAAACCCAGAACGCCAACGTCCATCATCTCGATCACGTCGAGCCCTCCGACGATGATTGGCAGCCACGGGCCTCGGCGTCGGAGGCATCGACGTTTTGGTCCTCGTGCATTACCGCCAACAGGGTGCGGACCGGATGCTCACGCGCTATTACAACATCGTGCATCTTACAGTTGCCAGAAATCCAGTAATCCCCAGTCCCCCCTCGCCCTGATCGTGACCGTAGTGTTTTTCCCTGGGTCTTCCCTCCCCCAGGGCAGTGCTCGCACCTGGTGACGGGCCTAAACTAGCGGTACCAATGAGTCGATGGCCGATGCACGGCGGGACGATGGCCCTATTCCCGTAACAGCCTGAAGATGTCGCGGCCGGGATCCGGGGGGACTTGCTTAGGCTGTGGTATCGGTGCGAAGGACGTCAACAAAATCGGCGCAGGTTCGACACTCCCTGACTCGTGAGTTGTAGATAGGTAGGCATCTATCATTTTTGGACCGAATCCTAGCGCATGGACAAGACATATCAGGTGACACGGGGCTGCTGGCGATCTCTAGCACCATGGACTCACATACCACCAGGAGGCTGGTATCTCGCGCGCACATAGAATGGACATGGATGGATGCAATAAAAGTCGACGCAGAAAAAGTCTCATTTCGTCAATCATCGTACAGCACTGAATGGGGGGTTTGTATATAGGAGTGGCAGCGGTGCGGGAACTTGAAGTTGATGTCATCGAGCATGGACGTGAGGATCGAGCTAACCCAGCCCTGCGAGGCTACGAGAGACTGTCTCCTACCGTTCTTGACAATTCGACGTGATGCCCTCCTGGAAGGACTGACGTCTAAGTAAGTAAATAGCTGCACGGCATGCGACAGACAGGCGAATAAGGGGATTCTACGAATGGGAGGGCAACAAAAATAGAAGCAGGGATCAGACACGGACAGAAAATGCCTCAAAAAATCCCACGGGCCTGAGGACACGCGGAGAGAGAAGGAGAGGAAAGGGGTCAGTAATAATAGTACACTCCGTAGATAGTCGCGAGTGCGTGCAGTGGCCGAGACTGCAGGCATGGATGGATCCAAGCCCGGCTAACCCACTCCGTCCCCAAGTGCATGGCAGGGTAGGGATCCGTAATTCGGCTTGGGTCGCCGCCCTCTTCTTGTCTTCCCCCCCACCGTAAAGGAAAACAAACGACTGCAACTACGGAGTACTAGCTCACTAGCCACCCTCACCAGTCAGTCAGTCAGTCACCAAGACCGCCCGGGTTGGGATGGGCCCCTAAAGCTCAAAGCGCTCTAGGAAGCCGGAGTGAAAAAAAAAAAAAAAAAAAATCAAGTATTATTATTCCCAGATTCTTGGTCGCCCTGGGCAAAATGGATCAGACCATCGCGCTAATTTTTGGGTTGCAGCCACTGCCAGCAGCGCCACCAGCAGCAGCAGCAGCAGCAGCAGCAGCAGCAGTAGCAGTATCTAGCAGCGACGACGGCGCAGAGGATGCGGAAACAGGTTCCGTTGAGAGACTGGGAGGGAGGTATCTACAATACGGAGTACGTAGTAGGTACGGTATGCACATACGTAAGGGTAGGTAAGGGTAAGGTAAGGTATCCATCCATGTCCATGATGCCGGCGAACGGCTTCGACAGGTCGAGCAATTGGGTGATGGTCTACGTAAGTAAGTATCTAGTAACTAGTCGAAGATAGATAGATAGATAGATAATAGTTGGGCAGAGGGGGCAAGGCCCGGGCCGGGAGGCATTTTCGGGTCTTGCAGAGCTACACCCACATATCTAGCTTCAGGCGTCGAAAAGAGAACCGACAAAGGTATGGTTCGACGCTTCGATGGAACTGGCGAGGAGGAATGATGGGCATGGATGGCATGGCATGGACCGACCGGCGTCTTTCATTTTTCATGTCTGACAGAGATTCTGAAACGCCCGGGGTGGAGCCCGTAACCGCCTCACGAGTCACGGCATGCAACAGACCTGAGTCAAGTGTTCAACACCGCCGCAGGCCTTTTCACGAGGCTGAGGTAATATTGGCTGTTGACTATCTAGTAAGTACCTGAGTACTGTGCTGTGGTAGGTAGTAGGTAGATAGTACTAAGTACTATGAGAGGACTTGGGGATGGATGATTAATCACTGCAGTTGCAACTGTCATCGAGAGATCATGATGATGATAGCTGCGATCTACGGTCTGCCAATAACAACCTCCGATGGAGCAGTAAGTTGAGGCTATCTACCCGGGAATCCGACCATGGTCGAGTACTAGATAGATACTTCCGACAGTTTGGGAAGCCCGAGAATGGTTCGCCCACTCAGCAGGCGTGGTGGACTGACATTATTGTCAACGGTGACAGGCAGCCACTGACTGACTGGCTTGAAAGGCACCAACCACCAAGGTACGTACCCCATGCTCTGTTAGGCTAATGGTCCAACTTTTTATTTTTTTTCCCGCTCTTTTTATTTTATTATATTTTATTTTTCAAAAGAATAGCCCCATCCCAGTGTTGCAGTCCATTCTACATTTGTACATAATCCATAACATAGTGTGCATACCTTAGGCACGACTACCGTAGGAGAGTACCTTGCTAGTAAACTACTAGATAGGTACGGCCGGTACACGCCGACACAGTGGGTCCCGAAGTGGGCATGACTGACATGACTAAGGAAGATGAAAGGCCGGTGGGAACGGAACGGTGGAGCAGAGCGTGCCGATACGCCGATTACCGGGAATTCAGGCTCTCATTTGTCGAACCACAAGTACTCCCTCCAGGCCATGGGTGTTCCTGAGGAGAGGAGAATGGTAGATCAAAGTCCGAACCAAACAATCCTGGTGATCGCCCCGGAGAACTCCATCGGCCAGGATCAGTCATGACGACACGACCCTCGGCGTTGGGAGCGAAGCACCAACGAGAGGGAGAGGGAGAGAGGCCAGAGGAGGAGAATGGCTGAAAATGAGGGGGAAGAGGGGGGGGGGGTTGACGCATCAAGACCAAGCCTCGCTGGACTGCAGATGAGGTAGGCATTGTGGCATCTGCAGTTGAGATCATATCAGAGGGGAAGGAGGGAGGGGGATAGCCCTGCCTACGTAAGTCCCCCGGGGCTTGTCACCGTTACAGATGCTGAAAAAAAAAAAAAAAAGTCAAAGACAATGAAATAAGGTCGCATCATCATTATCGGCATGGCTATAATCCCAAGCCTCCCGGTCCCAACCCACCCGCCAGAACAATAGGTACTATATCATTAGTCGGTAGATAGGCAATGCGACCGGGGGGGTGGTCAGTCAGTCACGGGTCAGGCCAAAAGCCAGGGCAAGTCAACTGGATGGACGCCCGGTACTCCGTAACCGTCAGGTAAACAGCACATCCGGGAAATAAAATTACGGCCGCTTGGGAGGGACGGTGCAGTCATCAGAAATCGGCCACTTCTCTCATGCCACATCCATCCGCGAGACCCTGAAACAAGGATATTTACGTCGTCATTCCATTGTAGAGGAATCTGACCTACTACTTAGGACTTTGCCTCGTTCTGCCATCCCATCTCCCATCTCCCATCTCCCATCTCATGGTTGACAGACAACCGAGGCTTCTAAGGATCACTCTGAAACTCGAATCCACATTCCACACAGCTTCTCAGCTTCTCAGAAGCCAGAGACATCCACGGCTGCCTTAATCCTCAATCAGTATTGAGTGCTAGCCTCATTCTTATTATTAGTTCCCAAAGGTCGACCTTCCCCTGTCTTAACCATTTTTCGTTTTCGGGTTTTAGTGCCGTTTTCTTTTCTTTTCTTTTTTTTTTTTGGTTACCAAAACTCCCTTTCTCTCCCTGTCCCCAGTGCCTCGTCAGAATAATATAAATTACTATTATTTTGCTCCAGCTAAACTAGGCCGGCGCAAACAGGAGCGGAAAAAAGTGGATCGATCTGACCCTGAGCACTTCGCTTGGCGCTGGCTTCTGGTAGTATAGATAATACGTACTTCCAGTCACCAACTCCAGCCCAGCTCGGTCAAGTTCTTGGGTCTCTCTTTTTACTTCTCTGCCTATTGATCATTCACTATCTACCGACTCGACGGGGCCGACTCTTCCTCAGATCTCCCGTTGCTGGATTTCTGCTGCCTAACACCCTGCGACTGGAACAAGCGTTAGTCGGGAACAACATAACCTAACTTGACGCCCCGTATTTCCGCGTTTCCCTGGGCCAGCAACTAGCTATCGACTCCGCCACCCAGGCGAACCATCCTAAATAATCACCTGTCTGCCCACCTTCACCACCACCGTTCCCCCCCTCCTACCCCCCCCCCCCCGGATTCAACTTTTTTATCGACTTCGGTCGCGCAATCCACCGAAGCTGTGACCGACCTGCATTTACAACTGGCCGCCTTCGATTTGCCCGCTCTCTTCGGAGAACTTGACCGGAGAATATGAGTTCATCCTCGGTTCAAGTTCAACCGCAGCCCTCCGGCGCCCCGAAGGGGGTCACGTCCCCCACAGGATCGAGTCCCGGGTCCATGAATTTCGATATCGTCCGCTGCTCCCGCTGCCAGCGCTCCATGAGTCTCGAGAACGAGTCCTCCCCGGGTGTGGTGCGCTTTGGCATGAATTCCTACTACTGCAGCCGCTGTGCGTCCATGGTCGGCTTCATTCGCTGAAGTCCGGTGACCTGCTAAGACCGACCCCTCGCGAAACCAACCACCCACCCCCTTCCCTTCCCCGCCAGGAAATGCGAAACAACATCACCATGAACGCAACCTTCGTCGCCCACTTCACCCACTGCATGCGCAATTCCACACGGGAGAAAATCCGGCCCTGACGTGCTGATTCTTCGATGATCCACTCTCCCCCTCTCCGCCGCCATTCGCCCAGACGACGACGCTACTCGGGAAAGAATCCCACCCTGCTGGCACAGGCTGGTTCTTTGTAACACATGGAGAGAGGGAGCGCATCGCACGAAAACTGTCGAATGCGCCCTTGGATATTGGACACGGGGTCCTCGGTGGATCCCGACACTTTTTTTTTTTGCTATGCGCGACCCGGACATCGCAGAAAGGGAGACTGGGAAACGCGCAGGGCCCTACAATGAGTGTCGGACGTTATGCGTCGGACGTGAAACAGGAGTGCGCGACCCACGGCGACATCGAACATGAAGAAACTAGGTTCGATCGAACAGTCCGCTCTTGCACCTGACAATTACGCCGAGGAACCCCAACGACACCCTTTTTTGTTCCATTACTGTACATCGATTCGAGAGGAGCCTGCTATGATACCCTGCATTATGTCGTTTGGGTTGGATTTGTCAAATGTGAAGATCAGAGCCTCCTCCATTGCAGCGTTGATCCCGCGCTCCCTCCCCCTGGCACAGCTGGCGTACCGAATCCTCGAGGATTGACCATTCGCCCAGCATGTTCACTTCCCAAATTCCCGATTCAATGAATACCCCCCGGTCATTTGCGACCGACCGCAATAGTTAGTTAACAATACAAACTCCACCTACCTACTTTTACCTACCTACCTGCGTTGTAAGTAGATTGTGCAAATCAACCAACCCCCCGCTCCCCCAATTAAGCATCCCAAAACATACATATGCACATAAATATGCAGTCCTCCCCTTTCAATTCCAAATCCGATCGCAACACAGTCCTCCGAAGCCTGCCTGCCAGCCACACCCGAATGACAGCCAGCCAACCAGCCAGCCCCGCCAGCCCACCCAGCCAGGCAAACAAAGCAGACAGGGCAGGACAAGACAGGGCAGGATGCAATAGGATTGATTGGAAGGGAATGGAAGCGTGAGTGAGCGAGTGAGCGAGTGAGCGAGTGAGTGAGTGAGTGAATGTCAAGTGAGGCACGGCAGCCCCAGATTCCACCGGGGCTAGCTAGCAGCATACCACATGCGGCGTGCCTATCGCAATGTAAATCCAAACTAAGCCCCGGAGGGATCATCGCCCGGGATAACAGTGCCAATGGTGACTGGGTGAGATTGCGAGATAGGCTGGCTTTGACGATAACCTACTGTCCACTATACCCCGTCCCCGTCCCCATACTACGCCCCCAAGGCTCAAGCCCCAAGCCCCAACCCTCGACCCCTCCCTCCCTCCCTCCCTCCCCCAAGCTTCCTGGCTTCCATTCCTTCCTGCGGTACGGAGTAATCTACTACTAGGATCCTTCACTTCGTACTCCATACTCCATACTCCGTACTGAGGAGAGAGATAGATAGATACCATCTAACCGGTCGGTAGGTATGTTTGAGACTTGGTGCTTATCTCACAACATATGTAACATATGTACTCCATTCCATACCTTAGGTAGGTAGGTAAGTAGCATCTATCTACCTACCTGCCACCACACGGCACGCACCCACGCACGCGATAACGTGAGCATCGCATCACATCACAGCGCAGCGCATACGTACACCCCTCGATCCTTGACATGGGTAAGCTAGCTAGCTAGGTAGGTAGGTAGGTACTTTAGGTAGTTACGGAGTACTCCGTACGGTACGGGGTAGTGGTGCTGTGTTGTGTTGTGTTGTGTTGTGTTTCCCCGCCCACAGCCACAGACAGCACAGCACAGCACAGCACAGGAGTAAGAAACATAACGTGGGCGGCAAATTGCAACAGCTTGCATTCCCCTTTCCCTTCTTCTTCTTCTCTCCCCTCCCCCCGGGTCAGGCTGGGCTAAAGACGCACCGGTCTCGGAGCTAATGACTAGCGGAGTTCCAAATGTGAGCTCTGAGCGTGGGCGACGGCTAGATACTACACTACTACGGTACTCTATACCGGAATAAGTATCTAGACTATATAAGTAGGTATGATAGATAGGACTAGATAGGAGAAGGGTTAGTCTGAGTCCCAACTCCCCGTAGTTCGTGGTTAGTAGGAAGATTGGCACCACCTTGGGGTTAGTACTAGATAGATACGGAGTTCTGCTCCTGTACCCCGTATTGTGGTTGGGGCTAGTGTGCAATACTTACTTACCACCTAAGGTATACTCATTCCGTATACCTAACCTATTTAGTATGTAGGGACGGTGATGTTCCCCTGCTCCTGCTCCTGCCCCTGCTCCTAGGTACTAGGTAGTAGTAGACTTGACTCGCTCTGTGTCTGTTTATGGGGCTGTGCGGAGTACGGGGTACTGTACCTAAGCAAGAAAGAATGGGTTTGTAAACATAAGGTACCTACCTACACATTGGACGCATTTACCTGCCTGCCTGCCAGCCTACTTACTTACCCCTCCAATCTTAGGTAGGTAGTATGTAGGTAGGTATGTAAGTACGTAGCCGAGAACCCATCCACTATCCACTATCTACGGAGTACCCCTCATCTCTCCCCATGTCCCCGGGACATCTGTGAAATGAAGTGAACCCTCTCCGCATTCCCCCTTACATGCGATGCGGTTGCCTGTGACACAGACACGCATGTATGTACGTATATGGGTGGTGTAGTGTAGTGTAATAGAAGTGCGTAGTGTAGGTAAGTGCGTATGTAGGCGATCGGATCGGTGGTGTCTTATCAACAGCCTTGTTTGTGTGTGTGTGTGTGTAGAACCCAGGATGATTAGTTATGTACTGTAGCTGTAGATGTAGATGTAAATGTAGGTTATAATGAAATGTGCGGAGTACATACATACTGCACCCTCCCTCCCAGTCCCAGGGGATACTCACCTGTACCTTAGTTACGGAGTAGCTATTTTACAAACAGTCGTACGGAGTATGGGACTAGAAACCACCACCTGCACCACCTATATACTTACCTAACCTATGTAGGTAGGTAGGTTACCATAGAGACAAGAGAAAAGAAAGATAGAAAGTAAGAAAGTAAGAAAGAAAGAAAGAAAGAAAGAAAGAAAGAAAGAAAGAAAGAAAGATTACCTAAGACACTTCACTTCACTTCACTCACTTCACTCACTTCACTTCATCTCACTTTACCTCCCCTCCCCCTCTTTCCTTCTCCCCTCAGCCACAGCCGAGCGATTGACCCCTTTTACTGTTTCTGACATGGTGGGTGTTGCCGATCAGTGGGGTCGGGATTCATTTTCGTCCGCCGTCGTGGGGTTTTGTTTCAGCGGTTGGGGTTGCGCCTCGGGGTCCACTTTGCGACGGCGGCGGTGGTGCTAATTTCTGTTTTTTTTTTTTGGTTTTTGGTAGGATGGCATGGGGAAGAGGGGGATGATAATATGGGATGGGATGTTTGTCACTGATTGAGACTTGTATTTATCTGTCTGTTTGTCTATCGATCTATCCCGTAGTATCTCCCTGACAGCGGAGACGCCGAATCCTTTCCGTTCCAGTATGTGGGCATGTTGAGATCCAGTCGAGGTTGGCTACTACCTACATGGGACAAGTATCTAGGTAGTGCCGCTCGTTCTTGACGCGAGCACGCCCACGCCCACGCCTACGCCCACGCCTACACCCCAGGTGCTGTTGGGTTTTTCGGATCTACCTAGTACGTATATACTAACACTAGTGGGTACTAAGTAGGTCAGTATCTCTCTGGTCGAACGGATGGGGAGAGGCGATCCGCGGACAGACTGGTATGTACGCAGTACAGACTATCCAGATACCACTGAGCCTCTGAGAGATCGATCATTTACCCCACAAGCAAGTAAGTCAGTCGGGTGGGGTATCCATAGTCCGTATTGGCATCCGAACCAAACTCCTCCTGAGTAAGTAGTAGGACACAGTCCATGCGGAAGATAATCTGAGTTTGGCATGTCAGCCTCCCTCTCCCAACTGACAGGTCGTAGGGAGGGTTCAATAGCCCGCGGACTACTGTACTGTCCCTGTCCGGTACGTATGTATGTATGTATGTATGCAATAGAGAGGCACGGCCAGGCACGGTGTACAGGGCCATTAACCTCCTCGTACGACCGTGACACCACCAAAGCTTAAAGGTAGGCAGTCCACGCGCCCCCCTCCCCCGCGACTGGCCATGATCGATCGGGAATATGAACGGCGGGGACGACAGCCTCTAACCCCTCTAGCGTAGTGATTAGGGGCCCTGGAGACACCTGCATCAGGATTATGACCTTCTAGAGGAAGAGGAAGAGTCTACGGAGTACTTAGTCGGTCTATCGATCGATCGCCCGACTATCGATTCTGAAGCGGAGCTGTCTTGAGTCTGGGGTCGTCCTGCCCTGTCGTACTGGAGACGTAATACAATACAGATCACAGAGTAAGTAGTAGGTGAGTCGGTGACTCACGAGCTCAATAGGGTCAACGTGGATGGGGAGAGGGATGGCAGGGCTGCCAGGGCTGCCGGCTTATCTCGGCAGTTTAAATTCAGTGCCTGACTAGCATTTCTTAATTCATGGGCGGTTCGGTTAGGTTGGGCCCGTCCATGTCCATTCCAGATCTCCGAGTCTCCGACTGTGCTGTCTGTCTGTCTGTCTGTCTGTCTTCTTCTCTGCCGCCCGGGCGTTGTTGGTGTCGCCAGCCACCTGCCGTGCGACCTTCCCTGGACGTATCCGAGGGGAGCTGAGTGGCGATGTTCGATGCATGGAGTGGACAGGTAGAGAGTAGACAGACTAGAATCCATCTACTCCGAGGCCGGCCGAGACCTGAGCGACGGCGAAGGCGATGGATGCCTCACATGCAGCTGGCTCCAGGGATCTTCCCGGGCGGATCTGGCTGGCCCGGATCCCGAATCAAGGGGCAAGTCTGTCTTTTTTTTTTTTAATCTTCATTTATTCTTTTCTTTCCTGCTCCTGCTCCTGCTGCACGGCATCCTCGGATGACGGTGTGTCTTGTACTCTGGCGACGAAGGGACGGTGATTCGCAGGCTGGTCGGTCGCCTGAAGGGAGAGAGAGGCTGCAGACATGAGACACGTCCACCTGTGTAACTCCAATCCACTCTCCTTTGCCCTTTGCCCTTTGCCCCCCCCCATCTCAGGGCTGAGGTTATCTATTTTTGCCCGGTGCCCAGGCAAAAAAAAAAAAAAAAAAAAAGCAAAGGCGACCAAGGGGAAAGAAACCGAACAAACCGTCTGCTGGTCGCCCTTTGCCCTGGCGATGAACTCGGGGCTCCGGTATAATGAGGGAACCACTACGGAGTACTAGTTATGTACTACGCCGTATGTACTGAGCAATGGCACAATGCGATGCATTTCATCGCCTCCATTTTTCTTCTTTGACCTGACCCCCGGGGACAGACAGGGTCTTTGTGGCTGCCCTGAGATCTGGCGGTGTAACCCTGTCCGCCAAGAGTGACGTACTCGAACGAGAGGGATTGAGGGTGTTCGGAAGGGGCCTTCTGATTGATGGAGGGAGGGGAAGGCGACGGTCGACTGGCTGGTGACTGGCGACGGCTGACAGGTGGTATATTGATGCTTCGTCTCGACTCAACCACACCGGCAAGACAACGACTCCATCCATCTCTCGGCTCCTGGTGTATTTGCTTCTTCTGGCTGTCTCGCCGGGTGTTTTGACTTGATTTTCCCCGGCGGTGCTCGTCCGGACTGACGGTCACAGTCGTGAGTCTCCATCTTTTTTTATCCATCACAGTTCACAGTTGATCATGCATGACATATCATCCTCAGCTTCGATCTCTCCACTGCGATCCATCCATCCTCCATCAGAACTGCCTTCCCCCCTTTCCATTCGTCAGCCGATGCGTCGGTGGTTTCCGTCGGTTTTGTCTCTGCCTCCTCCCGGTCCTGTTGCACTAATCATCTTATCCTCACGGCGCCGGCCTTCATTATTCTTCCTGGCGCGAGTATCCTTCGGTTTCACATCGCACTGTTCCTGCTTCAGCGTCAACCCCCCAACGCTTTCGCCATCGGTGGGCCTCTTCCCATGTCGGAAATCGGTCGATCGTCACTCGGTTGTTCTCTCGCCCTGATTTAAAACCCTGCGAAGGACTGGTCTTCCAGCTCCCATCCTCTGTGGATCTCTTCGCTTCGTCGGGCTGCACCCAATTGTTTGGCTCGCGACCGAGGCCTCCGAGCACTAGACAGTAAGCATAGCACCCTCTTGGGCATCGCTGGCCGTGCCCGGGTGTGAGATCGTCAGATCCGACGGCATACTTATCTACCACCCGGCTTCCAGGTTCCCATCCCGAGCCCCCAGCCTTTCCCCTGGCGCCTCCGTCCGATTCAACGAACCGTCTCCTGAAGGACTCGAGTTCTTGACTGCACACGGTCCATCTATACCTCGGCCTCCTCCGAGTTAGGGGATCTGGTACCTCGATCCTCTCCCATAACATCTACAACCATGCCTTTGCCTCTGCGCGAAAAGGGTCGGATGGCCAAATCCGGAAGGTCAGACGAGGAGTTCGTTCTGTTCCTCCAGGGGGTAGGTCTCTGTGTGCCCGACAAGCTTCACAACCCAGCATGTCTGACCGAGGAAGCAGATTCCGGCGCACTGCCGTTGGCAAGAGCTCAAGGACCTGGTCCGTCAGTCAGCCTTACATATCCGGCAGGCAGTGGTCTATGATGACCAGCATGGGTTCCCAACCGGTCTGGGCCAGATCATCGTGAAGAACGAAGATGAAGCGTGGCGGACATATCGTGCGTAACGGAGCCCGGCCGATGCAAAGGCCAGACAATTCAGACCCTCACTGACAGGTGGCTTCCAGACAAACTATCGACCAGCGGCTGGGAGGGCCAAAGTCTGGTGGTCACATTGGCGCGAACTTGCTCACCGACTCGGCCGATTGCCGGGCCTACGAAGAGTCCCAACATGGCCTCGCCCAACTATGCACCAGGATACTCCACTCCGCCGAGGGTAGCGCAGAACATGGCGGTGCCTCCCTCGCCAGTCTCACCCGAGTAAGTCAACGAGCGAACGAGCAAGCGCGGTGTGTGGCAGGCCCCGACTGACCATACCTAGACCCGTCCTATCCACGAGCCCTAACGGCTCCGCATTTCAGACCCCCGAATATGCCCCCATGATCAATCCCATGGGGATGCCTCACCAGCCTTTCATGCCCATCTTCACGGACCCAATAACGCAGCAACCCATTTCTTGCATCCCGCCATCGCCCGTTCCTCTCCGCCACCACACATTCGGCGACGCCTTCGCCATTCCCATCTTCCCCCCATACTCCATCCCGACCATGCAACCATTCCCCGAACCACCGATGCATGGCGGCTTTCGAGGGCCCGGACGCAGAGCCCAATTTCCCCGCAAGTCCAACTACGGCTACAACAGCCAGAACCCGGCCTTTGCACCGCACAATCAGATCTACCAGTCTGGCGGCGGCGGCGGCTGTGGCCCGGGTGGTCCTCGACCCTCCCCCCGACGAACGATCTTCGTGCAGAACCTGAGCCCCGCCACCAGCGAGCTGAATTTCCGCCTCTTCGTCCAGGAGTGCGGTGCCACGGTCGAGCAGTCCGAGGTGCCCGTGGACCCGGACACAGGCCGCTGCAAGGGGTTTGCGCGGCTGACGCTGCGCACAGCCGAGGAAGCCAAACGCGTCGTGGCCCTCTACAACGGTGCCTTCTTCATGGGGGCGAAGATCCGCGTCAAGATCGACCGGAGCATTCATCTCGCGTACAGCCACGCCCGTGACGCACACGCCCCTGCCCCTGTTGCTGCTCCTGCTCCTGCTCACCCTCCCCTTGACGTCTACCACCACCCGGTCATTGTGAATTACGACCCATCCGCCAGTCACAGTCACAGCCACAGCCACAGCAACCGAAACAGCCACAGCCACAGCAGCGCGCAAACATCATCACCATCATCACCGGCTTCCGCGTCGTCCACGGCCAGCGAACACTGCGGGCCGTTGGTGATCAATGGGTCCGGGGTTGGACGGAGAGTCGTGGCTGCCTAGACCTAGATCACTATCTACCTATCTACAATACCCATCGTCTACCTACCATCTACCTACCATCTATCCACTATCTCCCCACAATCTACCTACCACCTACTTACCATCTACTTACCTACCTATCTATTCATCAATCCATCAATCCATCAATCCACAGAGTCCTTCACCATCTCATCAACACCAAACAATCACTCAATCTATTCTCCTCTCCTCTTCCTATCTCATTGAAGCGAAAGACAAGGCACTCGGGGCTGTGGCTTCCGAATATAAGCTTACTTGGTTAGTTGGTTAGTTAGTTAATCGGTTGGTATGGATAGCGTGTCGATTTCTCTCTCCATCATCTGTTTTCTCATTTTCTCCTTTTGCCGTTTTTTTCTTCTTCTATTTATGTGTGTTTGTGTGTGTGTGTTTGTGTGTGTGTGTGTGTGTGTGTGTGTGTGTGTCTGCTGTGCTATCAACGAATTAGTTCTTCATTTCCGGCGTCTTGGGTAATGGGTATCGGGATCGGGGATCGGGGAATGGGTTAAGGGTAAAGGGTAGGATATAAAGGGCAGGGAATAGGATCATCGAGTACAGGTACAGGTAAAAAGGGGGGGATTGAAATAGATCTGATCTATCTACTTTGTTTGGTGAGATGATTGATTGATGTTTGCTGATACTGCTATCTATCTATCTATCTATCTATCTATCTATCTATCTATCTATCTATCTATCTATATAAGATAAGCTGAAGTGTCTAGGTGTCTAGGTATATAGGTGTCTAGATACATAGGTATATAGGTATATAGGTATATAGGTATATAGGTATATAGGTTGAGTGGCGGGTATGTAGAGTAGAGAAGGGTATGTAGAGTAGAGCAGAGCAGAGCAGAGCAAAAAAGGCAACGTACTAGTAAACTACTAGTAGCATCTACATCTACATCTACCTCTTACTCTTACTCTTACCATAGTGCTCACTCACGCACTCACTCACTCACTTACCTACCGAACTACTATTAACAAGGGAGATGGTAGATACCTATAAATAAAAGGTGCGCAATGCAATGTAATTCAATTTCATCATTCACTCATGAGTCATCTCGTCTCGTCTCGTCTCGTCTCATCGCGTCTCGTCTCATCTAGATAGATGGGTAACGTGGTCAATCACATCAATCACATCAATCAATCACATCAATCAATCACATCAATCAATCAATCACATCAGGCTTTCTTTCCACTCTCTCCATTTCAATCCACTCCATTCCATCCCATTCCTTCCACACTCTCGCAACTATGCACATGCACATGCACATGCACATCCATCCATCCATATCCATCCACATCCCACACCACACCACTGCACTCCACTCCACTCCACTCCGCTGAACCCCCGCAATCCACAATCCACATCAAAACTCGGTCATGCTCTCATATCAATCAATAATACATACATACATACACGGATAGGATATGTAAGATCCTAGGTAGTTTGGTTTCATAACAGAAAAAGGAAAAGAGAAAGTGAAAAAAAAAAAAAAGAAGAAAAGAAGAACGCCCTAAATACCGAATGGGGAGTAGGTTAGGTAGACGCGTCTCGTCAACGCATCGATATCAACATAAAAACGGAAAAAAAAAAAAAGAAAAGCGGAAGAGGAAGAGGAAAGGTGAGGTAAGGTACAAGTACAGCATAAATAGGGGAAACTTAAGGTAGGTAGGTAGGTAGGTAGTTAGGCAAGTATTTGGTTAGTAGGGAGGTAGGGATAGGTGTTAAGTTTCCCCCATCGATTAGTGTCGTTGGCGCGTGGTCCGTAAAGAAGTTAAGGAGGTAACTAGGTAGGGCGTAAGGTAAGTGAGGTATTCCGTGCTAGGCGCCCGACCAGCTAGCCAATCGTTATCCTGGAGGACGATAGGATGGGAGCGAAGATAGTAAGCCCGCAACTGGTTGAATGGGCTGACTAGCCAGCCACCCAGCAGGGAAACAACATGGAATGATCTCATTATTTGGCATGGTCGATTAATTGGGCGTACAGCGGCTCGGGGATCTTGCGGACGATAAGCACTGTCAGGGCGATGATCTCTTTGGCATCGAGCGGCGGGAAGGATCGGAGGATTTTGTTGGGGCTGTTGCCGGGCGAGAGTCAGTGTTTCTGTCTGTCTATCTTTCTCTGTCGGTGTTTTTGTTTCTTCTTTGGGGATAGCGGGAAGGGGAGGCGAAAGATTATATCATAATGATGTGTCAGGGGCTGAGGAATGTGATTTGTCGTCGTGTCTCGGGCCTTTTGTTTTTCTTTGTTTTCTTTTCTTTTCTTTTCTTTTTTTTTTTGTCTTGTTTTTTCCTTCGGATGAGGCGAGAGGGGAAAATTCAAGGAAAAAAAGAAAAGAAAAGGGGGTGGGGTGCGATTTCACATACCTTGGGCTTTCAAGAATCGTATCCCTCATCCGGATCAGCTGCGCCACAATGCACAGGATGTTCAGATGTGTGCCGTATGCAAACAAAAAGTCCCATAGATGCAGTACCTCCGGTAGGGGAGGCGTGCATGCGCACAGGGTCAACACAGACGGAAACGCGTACAATTCCGCCTGCATGCCTTTGTCAAAGAGATAGGCCGCAAGCTTGGGCTCGACGATCTCCAAACACTGGTCTACCAGGCGCAGACCCCGATGGACCCCGTCCATTGCGCCCCGGATGTAGCCCGGGCATTCGCGGGTGATAAATGAATGGAAGAGGGCGAAGGCCTCGACCTCACTGCGGGCGGCGTAGAGAAACGGGGCGCAGAGTACGTTCATACCTTGAACGTAGATCGCGGAGTCGCTGGTGATCCCGCTGCCATCGTCTCGGTAGCTGGCGTCGCTACTTGGTGTAGTACCGGCCGGGGAGGGCTCTTCTTCGATGCTCGGAGGCGTATTGATCAGAAGCTCGATCTCGCGGAGGCGGGAGGAGGGACGGGACCGGGACCGCGATCGGTATTGATTCTTCGCGTCCTGGATCTTCCATGCGACGGCGTTGAGTAGGCGGATCAGGCTGGCTTCTGTGACGCGGCGCTTGAATAGGGGATCCGTGGCTAGGGTGCGGAAGGTGTCGTTGCGAATTTTCGTATACCCAGGAGAGCGGCCTCGGTGGATGAGCGCGAGGTATTCGTCTGTAGGAAAGGGAGGGACATCGAGAAGGACGAGCCATAGGTAGATTCGGTATGTGGACTGGCGCAATGCTGTTAGTGGAAGCCCCGTTTCCTCTGGATAGGGGGACGGGGATTTCGTACCATGCCATCGACGTCGGCCTCGACTCTCGTCGACAGAACCAGGTACCGCAGCTCCTCAAGTCCCTCCTGAAGGTTGCCCTGGTGCGGACCGTCCCGCAGCAGACACTCCAAGAGGGACCGCTTGACCCCAAACCCAGAGCCGGTTTTCCTCCCCGATCGCTTTTGCGTCGCTATGGCCGGGATCTCGCGGGAGGAGGCATCGCTGTTGGAGCGCGCCCGGCGATGCGTGCGCAGTCGCACGGGCGAGTCCAACTGAGGTGGCTGGGCGAGCTCCTGGGCACCGGCGGATAAGCGCCCCGTCGCGGGATGAGCTGAGGAAGGCGGGTGAGCCGAGAGGACTTGATGGGACTGGATCTTGCGCAAGCCTCGCATGGTCCGCGGTGATGGGGAGCGCGCCAGAGCGGCGAGATTGAGCTGGGCCTGAGTTGGTCGTTGGGAGAGAGAGTGGGAGGAGGAAACGGAGGAGGGAGACATGCTGGGTGGGCTGGCGTCCTGCAGGCAGGAGGATGAGGAGGAGGACGACGATCTATTGGATCAGCAAGGATTGGGTCTGCATCCGGCACCGAAACAAAACCATCTTCCTGGTCCTAGATGAGGGTAAGATGTGTGTTTGGGGGGGGGATCAAAGAGGACCAGGATGATGATGCAGGGGGAGGGGGGCTGGCGATGGAGGAGGAGGAAGAGGAAGTGGAAGTGGAGAGAGAATGCAGGACGGATGGAGCTGGAAATGTTCTTGGGAATTTCTTTTGCAGGGCGTGAGACCACTACGAGTTAGTCCGCCGGCCAGTTGAAGTTAATCTGATGGCGGGCTTTTTTTTGCCGACGGCATGAATGCGGGGACACGCGCGACGCGAGCACCGCCAGTTGCCATGGGAAAGAATGTTAGCAGTGGATTTAGTTCCAGTCTAGATTGATAGATAGATTGACGGCTTGTCCATATCAACATTCATGGACTGACAGTGGCCGGACCACCGAAGGTCGGGCACGAGTCGCCCCCCCAACCTTATTCGCATCGTGGCCTGTCTGTTCCCGTAGCCTGACAGTTGACACCCACGCCTGTCATTCAAGTCCTTGAATCAGCCATTGAAGTCATATTCCCAATCCCCGACTACCAGAGCCTGGTCGGATGCCTATCTATGCCTCATTAATCCGAACGCCATCCGACACTAAAACAAACCATTCCCTTCCCCCCCACCGCCTACGCTACCGTCTCATACTATTTATCTATCTATCGATCTCGCCATTATTACGCCATCACGGATCAAGCATCGCGTCGGGTCGCTTGCCCCGTCTCCGTGCCTCCCATGATGCCACCCACAAAGTCCTGGTATCGGAACACCTCCCCCCTCTTCCCTCCCCCAGCCCCCCGCCCGTCTTTCCCTCCAAATGCCCTGCGTCCCGTAAATCCACTCAGCACTTCATTGATCTCCCGATCGCTCAGCGGACGGTCTCCCTCTTCTGGCGCCGTGTGTAGCAGGGCGTCGCGCAGCTCGTCGACGTCGATCTGCCCGCTGTCGTCCTCGTCAAAGGCCGCCAGGGCATTCATGAGCTCTTGGCGCGAGGACAGTGGAGCCAGGAGCTGGGATAGTGTATTGAGAAACGTAGGGAAGTTGATCGTTTGGGGTCCCCCGAGCGGGAAGAATCTCGAGATGGCCGAAGGGTCTTGGCCTAGCCGAGCAACGCTTGTCAGACTATCATCCACACTCGTAGGAAACGTTCCGATCACCTACCCACGTTCACCAGAACGTCACTGACGTCGCCCTTGTCCACCAACCCATCGTTGTCCCGGTCAAGGACCTGGAAGGCCTCTCGGATCTCCCGCAGCTGTGCGGGGGATAGTTTGGCCGCTGCATCGGACGTGGCCGCCATCATGTTGGCGGCCCTGGCTTCCATCAGCGATGAGGACGTCTCGGGAGAGTTGGCTCCTCTGGTCGGGGATGGGGGTGCCTCGCGGGTGAATCGAGGCTGTGCGATGGGACTTCTGCTCTTGCTCGTGGGTGAGGCGGCGTCATTTTCTTCGACGGTGTATGATTCCTTCAGTTTGCTCGGGGATTGGACCGGGGTGTATCCTCGACCGGGGGAGCTGCCGGGGGTGCTGGGGCGACCTTGTGGAGGAGAATTGGGGGTGGATGGACGGCGAAAGGGAGACGCTCGCGGGGAGCCGAACGATAAGGGCGACGGCCTGAAGGGGGCGTTGGAAGTGACCTGGAGATGCGGCGGTGAGCGGAGTTAGGTGGAGGAGAAAGACCAAGCACGTACCATGATAGCTGGTGGTGGAACGGTAGATCTGGGCGGTCACCGTACGTACAGGATATTATGTGTAGTTGCTGAGCCAGGAAGGAGCAGCAGTGGATAGGATAGCATCAAGAGCCAGCGGGAGAGCGTCGGGGTCTCAGCGACGACGATCTAGATGGATGGATGGGGACCGAGCGGACATCATACTTCCCAGAAGAGAAAAGCAGCCAAACAAACAAGGCTCGGCGTCGAGTCGGCCCGGCACCGGGCGCGCACGTGCGGGGCAGGGAGCAGTCAGGCCGCAAGGCATCAAAAAGGAATTTACTGACTATCCGCATCCAGACTAGCGGCATTGGTTAGCAAATAGTAACCCTCAAGGTAGATATCTACTGAGTGAGTACTTGCTCGCTTCCTGCATTTCCTCCACCACCAACCCACCCCCATCAGAAGATTCAAGACAAATTCCTTTCATCATCATCATTATTATTATTTATTATTATTATCATTGTTGTTATTGTTGAAAAACTGCTTCTCCTACTTCCAAGCCAGTCCAATTGACTCAAATCCTCCTCGTGTCAACACCTCGCTTGTCCTCACACTCAGCCCAGTCGTGCATGGAGGTCATGGCAGTCGATGATGACGCTGTCGTCATCCATAACCGTGATCCCACCTCCTACTCAGATCTAAAACCACCCCATCACAACAACCATCACCACCATCCACCCACCCAACGCAACCCCCATCCCTGATCCACCCCAACCACCCCCCTCGACTCCACGACCCCTAACCCCTTCTCCACGCCCACCGTAATATTGACATCCGCAAACCCGGCCCCACAAACCCCATTGATCGCCTCCGCAGTAGGCAAATAATCCTGTACAAGCGGCTGTCCCTCTACCTTCGCCCACTGGGCATACACCGCCAATGTAGCCTCCAAACACAGATTACACGTCGGCCACGGCGCGGTGGTTATCCCACTCCCAAACGGCATGAAATACACATCATAGTTTACAGGGTTCGACGTATTCGTGACCGCATCCACGAAACAGTAATCCTTGGTGGTGGGTGACTGCAGACAGGTGGCGCGGTAGATGGGCTCGTAGGTGATTAGGTCGGTATAGGCGTCGACAACGAGCTGATTGCCTGCGTCGTAATCCTTTCCGCAGGCAGAGGGCTGGCGCAGGGCGATAGCCAGTGAGGAGAGCGCGGCGCTGCAGCTTGTTATATTGGCGTCGCAGGCGGTGTCTAGGATCGAGGAGGTGGCGGCGGCGGAGGTGAGCGCGTGGAAGAAGGAGTCGCTGTTTCGGAGGAGGAGGGAAATGGCGTGGCAGGATGTGAGGGTAGTGTTTTGGAGGAGGGAGTGGATGAAGGGGGAGCAGGTCGTGCTGGTGAAGTTGTTGGTTAGGCTGGTATCGAAGGCTGTGGGGAAGGTGGATGTTGTTGATGATGATGCTGTAGCAATGGTGTCACGGGGGTGCAGGAGGATGTTGGGAGGGTCTAGATCGCTGCTGCTGCCGCCGCTGCTGTTGTTGTCCTTGGAGCACGAGACATCGTTGATGGCGCGGATGCGCCGCGACGGGTGGCAGTCCATGGAACGAGTGACGGTCCCGGGGGGGTGGTAGAGAATGTGTTGGACGGGCAAACAAGAGAAAGAAGGACACAAAAGAGCAAGAGAGTGTGGTGTTATCGACACAGCATGATCTCAATGGATGGATGGCTGGCTGGTCCCAGGGCAGGTGGCAGGTGGCAGGGACAGGGGGATTCAGGCAACGAGACGGGGTTGCAGGACGAGGGAGAGGCTGCAGCTTTAAGGCTTTAAGCCTTTAACTAACTCAAGACAATACGAGAGGAGGCAGCAGAACCGGATCAGGGGCATGACATGCCATGGCGGCCGCCAACGGGGCCTAGTCAGGGCGTAGTGCCGTGGTTGTACGCTGAAGGAGGTATAATAAAGGCCGTTAACCAGTCCAAGGAGTGCAAAGGCCCTGGACGCCGGCGCCGCACGGCTCAGGCCCCAATCGAAGCGTCTGGACCCCCGGGTTATTCTTAGCGGGGCATGTGATTGGGCTGTCTGGAGGGCCTTGCTTGTGGTCGGGGTAGGGATGGGGATGTACGTGCAGGGGGATGCGATGGTTAGCGAGGTACGAAGGCGTAGTATAATGAAGTTAGCTCTGGGCGAAAAATGTGGGCAACAAAGGCAGGCCTTTGACTCGTCCTGTTTGTGGTCTGGAATCTGGAGTTGTACAACAGGACAACAGAACAACAGTACAAAAGTACAACCGAACGACCTGCACGGTGCCCGCCGGCCCCACGGGCCAATCACGGCCGCGGCCCACGTCCTCCACCTCGCCTATCGCCGACCCAGCGATGGACGGACTCAAATCCATTATCAATCCAGAATTCTGGATCCCAGTTCCTCACTTCTTCTCTCCTCTCCTCTCCTTAACCACCTCCCCTTAATTTCGCCATGTCCACTGATCTTCTCGTTCCCGAAACTCGGGTCCTGGCCGTCGCCAGCCATGTACGAATACCCCCCCCCCCTCCAATGCCCCCGCCAAAGGCTCACCGCTGACTGGGACAGGTTGTGTACGGGTATGTGTCAGACCTGATCACCTTGATCCTCTTTCTCCTATCCCACGGTTCCTCTGGAGACTGATCGATCAGATATGTGGGCAACAAGATGGCCAGCTTGGTCATGCAGCTCCTGGGCTGTGACGTCGCCGCCTTGAACACCGTCCACTTCAGTCAGCATCCCTCCTGAGTCTGAATCAACCCACCACTAACTATCCTCCCAGGCAACCACACGGGCTACCGCCAATTCAAGGGCACCCGGGCCACGGCCGAGGAGATCACCGCGCTCTATGAGGGTCTGACCCAGAGCAACCTGACCGACTTCGACGTCATGCTGTCCGGCTATGCTCCCAGCGCGGCGGCCGTCGAAGCCGTCGGGGCCATTGGCATGGACCTGCAGCGTAAAGCTGAGAAGAACCCGGGGTCTTTCTTCTGGGGTGAGCCTATCCTACTCGGCAGATCCTCAACCCACCCCCTCCCCGCCTCTCAAGCTAACAAACAAGCCCAGTCCTCGACCCCGTAATGGGCGACCAAGGCCGTCTCTACGTCAACGACGACGTCGTGCCCGCCTACAAGAACATCATCCGCCACGCGGACCTCATCCTCCCCAACCAATTCGAAGCCGAGTGCGTCCCCCCTCCCCTTTTCTCTTCCCCTTTCCCTTTCCTTTCAACAACCCCCAAACAATCAGACAAACATAACTAACCAACTCCTCAGAGTCCTCTCCAACACCAAAATCACCAGCCTCTCGACCCTCGCCAGCGCCATAACCGCCATCCACAACACCTACAAGATCCCGCACGTAATCATCACCTCCGTGTCCCTCCCCACCCTAACGCCCAACACGCTCACCATCATCGGCTCGACGACCCGCTCCGACGGCTCCGCGCGGCTCTTCCGCGTCGACGTCCCCGCCCTGGACTGCTACTTCAGCGGCACGGGCGACATGTTCGCCGCGCTGACCGTCGCGCGTCTCCGCGAGGCCGTCTTCACGGACCCGGACCCGCAGCTACGGAATACCAAGTCCTGGGTGTCGCCGGATGAGGTGCCCGCGACAGAGTTGCCGTTGGCACGGTCCACGGTGAAGGTGCTTGCGAGTATGCATTCGGTTTTGGAGAGGACGTTGGAGGTGAGGGATCGGGAGATGAAGAGTGGTAAGCCGGTGGTGGATGGGGTGGATGGGGTGGATGGAGAGGATTCGGCGGAGAGGAAGAAGAGCGAACATCTCAGGGAGAGCAAGGCTGCCGAGGTGCGGGTTGTCAGGTATGGGGGGCTGTTGAGACAGCCTGAGGTGGAGTTTCAGGCGACTGAGTGGAGGAGTGAGGATTTGCCCGTGTAGTAGTTTCGCTGGTCTTTCTCTCCCTTCCCTTCCCTTCCCTTCTCTTCCTCCTCCTCCTCCTCCTCTTCTTTCTTTCTTATGATTGTCTCTCGGGCTGTCTGTGTGTTTTTTACTCGGTATAGATATAGCGAAAGATATAGATCGATTGCAAGCCTCTAAATAGCATTGGTTAGTCATCCATCTATCTAGCCCCGTTAAATCCCACTAAAACTTAGATATCAAGAAAAAAGAAAATACGGATCCAGTCCATTAGTATCATATCATATCATATCAATTCCTATTCCTTCCTAGGTATTTCCGTTATATATCATGCAAGCATGCATCATGAGAGAAACCATCATCCAGTGACCCATAACCCATGACGATGCACTTATGCCTATGTGTCTTTTGTAATCCTGCGCCATCCATCCATCCATCCATCCATCCAAATCTAGTACCCTTTTTGTTTCTTCACTCCGTTTCATCCCATCCCAGAAAATCATATAATCCAGTTAGGTTGGGTTAGATAGAATTTAGTTTCCCGTGCTGCCGAAACCGCCAGCGCCACGGACACTCTCCTCCAGCTCCTCGACGACCATCACTTCGGGGGTGTAGATCTGTCTCTTGCGTTAGTTTTTTATCCACAGACTTGTGTGTGTGTGTGTGTGTGTGTGTGTGTGTGTGTGTGGGATAGTGAGTTCTCTCAAAGCAAGCAAAGTGAATCAAAGCAAGAAACCCGTAATAGATAGGGGGGGAAAAAAGTGAACCTACCCGCTCCAGCACCAACTGCGCAATCCGATCACCCTCCTTGATCGTGAAATCCACATCGGAGAAGTTAAACAGCAAAACCTTCACCTCACCACGGTAATCAGCGTCGATGACACCGGCTCCGGTGTCGATGAAGTGTTTCGAGGCGAGGCCGCTGCGGGGCGCGATGCGGCCGTCTATCATTATCAGATCACAGGTATGTTAGTTGTTGTCCATCTTTCTCTTTCTGTTTGTTTCTCTCATTCCCCGTTCTTCTTGCTCTATATTGGGAGGGTGGATGATGGGTTGGGGACGTACAGGTTCCCACGGGCACGGCGATGGCGATTCCCGTGTCCACAAGCGCCTTGCCCTTCGCTGGGATGACGGTGTCCTTGGAGCTGTAGACGTCGTAGCCGGCCGCGAAGGCGGAGCCCCGGGTCGGGGCACGGCCGGACTCGGTGAGCTTCTTCACCAGCAGGGAGGGGGTGCTGTCGTTGGAGCCCATTTTGGGGGGTTGTTCTTCGGTGGTGGTGGTGGAGGGCTTGGTGCGTTTGGCGAGCGGGGAGGCCGGGAGGGAGGGGGGTTCGTGAGTGGTGGTGGTGGTGGTGGTGGTAGATTCGATGGGAGGAGTGGTCTCCTTGGTCATGATCTTGTTAGGGTAGGTGAGTAGGAGAGATGGAGAGAATAGAGATCTTCTGTTGAGGGGAAATGCGGTGTGTCGATGGGTTCGACAATATGCGAGGGCGAGGCCCTTCATGGTCGATTGCGTGGAACGCGTCTGGCGGTGAGACGCGAGGCGCGTTAATGGGGTTTGGGTTTGCTGGGCGGGTTTGTCTCGTTTGAGCTGGTTGAGGTGTTTGCAGTGAAATGACTCAGCAATGACTAAGGGATCGCCGCCCAAGCCGCCAACGAAGCCGAGGCCCCCCCCCCCCCCCCCGCAACCCGCAGGGGGGAGTGGAATGCGGTGTTAGCCGCGGTCCGTGGCTGTGGCTGGGGTATCTCTCCGTCTCCTCTCTGTCGGACTAACCGCCCCCCCCGGACGGTCGGTCTGTCTCCAACATGCCCTTTCCCACTGCTCTACAACAACTCTCGTCCAGTCCCTTCCAGGAACATACGCCAAACGTTGTTTGATATAGAATTTGCACGTCCCACGGGCCACACAACCTAACCGATGGCGGGTGAAGTACGCCAACCCATCGACGTTCCCTCCCTGGAACGCTACCTCGACCACAATGTGCCGGTGATCAAGACCCCCGTGCAAGTGAAGCAGGTACGGTTGATAGACCCCGATTCTGTATCAAGCTCACATGCGGCAGTTTGGTTTTGGCCAATCCAACCCGACCTACCAGCTTACCACTGCGGATGGCAATCACTATGTCCTACGGAAAAAGCCTCCGGGCAAGCTACTCTCCAAGACGGCTCACAAGGTCGAGCGCGAGTACAAGATCATCCACGCCCTGGGGCAGACTGACGTACCCGTCCCCGAGACATACTGTCTCTGCGAAGACAGCAGTGTTATCGGAACTCCCTTCTATATCATGGAGTTCCTGGACGGGCGCCACTTTACTGATCCTGCCATGCCGGGAGTCGACCCGGCGGAGAGAACGGCGCTGTACGTCATCCCTTGGCCCAGATCCCAGCCCGTCAGTCGCCGCAGCAATTTACCGCGGAGCTAATCACCACGCAGATGGCAGGATGCGGTCCGGACGTTAGCCAAGTTCCATCGGGTGGTTCCCAAAGTGGTCGGATTGGAGGCGTTCGGAAAACCGACGGGCTACTATGATCGACAGATCGCCACCTTCACAGCAGTTGCCCAGGCGCAGGCTCGAGCCGTGGATGTGGAGACTAGGGAGCCCGTCGGGGAGCTGCCCCGTTTTATGGACATGGTGCGCTTCTTTGCCGACAAGGCGACGCAGCCGCAGGATCGGGGCACGCTCGTGCACGGAGACTATAAGATTGATAATATGATATTTCACAAATCAGAGCCTCGAGTCATTGGGATCTTGGACTGGGAGATGGCCACGGTGGGTCATCCGCTCTCCGACTTTTGCAACCTCACTAGCCCCTACTTCCTGGACTCGGTGGACCACAAGAAGGATTCGTTCAGGCCGAACCTGGTTCCTGGCCTGCCCACTCGCGCGGACTGTATCCGCTGGTACCGCGAGGTGTCCGGATACGACCCCACCGGGGAGATACCGTGGGGTGATGCATTCTTTTCCTGGAGGAGCTCAGTGATCATGCACGGCATCAAGGCGCGCTATGCGCTGAGGCAGGCCAGTAGTGCCCGTGCGGTGGAATATGCCCGGAATACTAATCCGTTCGCGCTGGAGGCATGGGAACGAGTGAAACTGGTACAGGCGCAGATGCAGCGGAATAGCAAGTTGTAGATAGTTGCGCCTCTTAAGAGAGTTCATGTCCGCCGGGGGGGGGAGGGGGGGGCCAACAACCTGAAGTGGAGTACTAAGACTTATATTATAGTTCATGGTTGCTTGGCCACTCATGTATATATGGTAAGCCAGATCCATCGTTGGCAATGAATATTATCGGAAACTCCGGGAAGGAGCCAATAGTACCAGGTTGAGAATCCTGGTGTGGGCTCATCATCTCTCCTTTCCACCCTAAGTATGTACCCTTGTACTACGCCGCAGGGTGGCATGGCAGGGGGGGTGGGGGGGGGGGGGGGAGGAAGTGGCCTTATGCGCACAACAACATTGACTCCATCCTTTGCACAAAGAGTGGACGACAAATGAATGTCCAAGCGCCAGTCAGCCTGCTAGCTGGCAGAGACTAGCCGGGGGGGGGGGGGGGGGGAGAACAGCGCACGGCTTGCTCAGATGCAGCGGCGTACATATGCAGTGGGGTGATTGAGGGTGGTGATGAGGATGATGGGGGTGATGGTGGTTATGACGCTGGAGCCTCGTATCTGCGCTAGGCAGGGAGGATCGGGGCCAGTAACGGGCGACCAACGCAGAGTCAGTCAGCACGCAGCCCCAACCACAAATCGGACTTGCGGCACTTAATTGGGTGCGGCTCACGGGCTGCATTTCCTTGGTTCTCAGCCTTAGTCGGGCTAAACTGGGAGACATCCACCTACCTACCTGCCTAATGTCCGAGTCGCCTAGCTATCTATGGTATCTCCGTTAACTTCCACGATAGATTGGACTATTATTGCTTCCGTCTCTCTCCCCCTGCCCCCCCCCCCCCCGCCCCTCTCCTCCCCGATGCTCCGACTCTCCGAGAGTCCTGACAGTGGGAACCGCCGCAGGATCTCCATCCCAACCGACGTCAGTGGCGGCAGTGGAACCTCCGGCTCGGAATCCCCGACGCTTTCCTTCAGTTGAAGGATTCTATTTTCTTCTCAGATCATACTCCTCAGCAATGATGGACCCCCATGTGCCTGGAACAGTGGCCCTTGCGATGCTAGCCGGCTCGATACTATCTAGATAGAACCACCCTCACTAGATCCGCACCCTCTTAGGCTCTTTCGGATGCTATCTCGAGTAATTTGCTCCATCTGTAGGCCCCCTACGCCCGATCTCAAAGAATCCCTGCAGCCCGACGGACCCAAGGACAAAGTACTGTACATACTCACTCGGCTGCTACGGTCCATGGCAGTGCCGTGCAAGACCGATACGTCGCTCAGGGAGGACCTTCGCGTTCGCGCACTACTGCATTTTCACATGATGATCTGCTTGTTATGTTCCCCGATTTTCTCTAGCCACCTCGGGGTCATGGAGTCTGTCGAGGGGGAGGAATGATGAATCAGGGGTACCACATGAGGCGGAAGGCCGGCACCATTATTATTATTGGAGGAGTAATCGAGGGTGCACTGAACGGGAACTGCTTCGGGGCGGGCCGCCTCTAGTCGATTAGCAGTGGTCATTGGACGTTGCATGTTGTGATAATTAATTCTTCGTGGCTCGGAGGCTTCGAGTCGGGATAGACAGACGACGGAGCCCTCTCGGCGCCGTTCATTTGGCTAACTACCCATGTCCCGTCCGGAGCACCGTATATTTGTATTACCTCATAGGCGGGTGGATATAGTGCAGTAGCTGTAGCTCTTTAAAGCTTAGCGGTCACTAGGGATTATTCTCCTCCCCGAGGCGCGAAAAGGTCGTGGGAGTCGATCAGACCTGATCACCACCGTGGTCGGTAGGGCCGGCTGAAGGTACAGTAAGCATGGGTAGGTGGCATTATGTATATCCCTGACTCCAGGCATCCCTGGTAAGTGACCAGGCATCCACACCGGGCCCGGGCCTAGTCCAACATCGTCAGGCTTATCTTTTTTTTTTCTTGTCTGGCTGGTCGGTCCTTCGTTTCTTTGCTTTTTCCCCCTGCGATGAAAGGATTCGGAATTGAGGAATTACCCGGGACTGCAGCTCATATTGGGATCAACACTGCGATCGATTTCTGCACCCGTTTGCCACGATGGGGTTGTTGGCATCGGTGGCAGCGTCGAGTCGGCGCACTGACGACGAGTGGAGAGGGGAACGTGGGGCTGTGGCGCGATTCGCCCCCGATCATCTGCAGAGTGACAGTTGGGAGCCTGAACTGGCACTGGAATTATTGGAACGACTAAATTACTCCGTGTTCCAGTCCACCAGCCCGGACGGCTAGGGGGCGAGCTAGGCACAGGAGGCCCGAGTCGGTCGAATCAATAGATCGCACCATAAGCTAGTGCTATCGACCTTCCTGAACAAGGCAAGGGAAAATTCTCTGCATGTCAGAAACGGCTGATTGCCCTCCAAGGACGAGCGAGCCCGCGAGTGAGGAGCATCGACGGTCTGGCTAATTGGGGGGGGGGAGGTTTCCCGGCTGCTGTCCGGCTGCCAGTGCCAGTGCCACGGCCATGCGAAGAAAGCCAAGAGAAAACGGAGACCTGACGAAATGAGCCCGTACTACTCCGTACTCCGTACTTACTACAGCAACGTCCGGCTCCAGCACCTTAACCCAGCTGGGTAAGGAAGTCCCCCTCAACCGTCCCCCAGACCCGTTCCGATTCACGGTACTGGAAATGCACGGATGGAAATTGGAACCTCTGGAGTCTGGACACCGGACAGGTAACCCAGCCGGAATTATCAACCGAGGACAAATGATGGGCTCTCTCGGTGTCTCAACTCTGGGTGTCAGACTCGGAGGTGCAGAGGTGCAGGGGAGGGGGGGGGAGGAGGGGGGATGTGGTTGGTGGAGGAGGGAGGGAGGAGGGAACTTGTTGTTTACGACTAGGATGCAGGATGCAAGCGTGAGACAGCTGACCGGAGCCTCTTTCCTCCCCCCTTCCCCCTCCCATTCCTCTTTGTACTCGGCGGCAGTATCCTCGATCCTGCTAACACCCGGGGTTGCTCCCGGGTTACCCAGTGTCTCTCCAGTAGATACTCCGTAGAGGTCTCCTAATAATGACCTGGTGGGTAGTGATAGGGAGATAGTATCTACTCTACTACGTAGCGGCAGTCTGTCGGTAAGTACGGTACTCCGTACCTGGTAATAGTAGCTATCTAGGCTGGCTTTTGACTGTCAGACTCAAGACTCGGTCCAGTCCAGTCTAGTCCTCCCTTTTGGAATAATTCCTTTTTTTTTTCTTTTTCCGGATTCGCTTTTCCCCTTTAGCCTCATTCTCAAGGTCTGTCCCGCCGCATCCACTTCTCTGTACTCCGCACATGATGCACATCCCTGCCTCTGGATGACTATCGTGCAAGCCTGCAGTTGTGCGACGGCGCAGGCGGAGGCCCGGCCAGTAGGGAGGAGTGGAAGGGACAACTGGGGCGGCCTTCCCGTGGCGGTCAGTCGTCGAGAAAGAGAATGTGTGTGCGTGTGTGTGTGTGTGTGTGTGTGTTGGCGGCAGCCTTGTCGCCTTAGGGACCGAGTACGACGTTACCCGGTGGTCACTCACTGGTGGTGGTTGTGGAGGAGGTTGGGGAAGACATTAACATGGTTGCTATCTTTTATTTCTGTGCTCATTTAGTACATACAGTACTCGTACTTGGTAGTGTTACCCCGTACAGAGTACATAGTATATATTGTCATATCTATACCAAGGCTAGGGTCTGCCTCATACAGCGTAACAATGAAGAATGCTTGGGGGCCTTGGACGTGCCCAGCGGCGGTACTAGTGGACTTAGTAGGGGCAGAGCAAAGCGGCCAAGTTCTACGACGGTTCGGTGCAGACGGACACTTCAGCCTCCTCAACTGTGCCCGCCGACGCTCGCCAATCAACGGCCCCGCGGCAGAGAGCCTCATTAGTGGAGCCTCTTTTTGGCCTAGTCTGGTCGGGTCGGCCTCGTGGACGTGGCATTATTCCTCTTGCTCGAGGTGGTTGTCCCAGAACAGAAAGAACGAAAGGGCAGGCCGGCAAGCACCACCTCCAGCAACAACAATCCCAGCTGGGTTGTTTCTCCCCTTACCTCCCTCCACCCTCCATCCTCCGCCTCCTTCTCCTCTTCCTCCTCCCTCCCACATCGGAACTGTCGATGATCATCCCCTGTCCATAGTAGGTCGGTAGGTAGGCAGAAATCTCGCTTTCCTCCACCCGGATTGATGGTGGTGGTGTTGTCCCTCCTTCTCCCCAATCTGTCTTCGGTGCTCACCCCACTTTGCTTGCCTGCCTACCTGCAGTGGCGCGCGTCTGGAGTCAGCGTCATTTCCTCCGTCTCCTCTGTCATCCTTGGAATTCCTTTCAGTCTCCGATCATTTTTGCTTTCTCGTCGGGGGTGGGCACCCAATTTCTTTATATGTACCTTGGGGTTCCGCCTTGTCGCTATTCCTAAAGAAGTCTCTCTCCAAGACAACAGCCAAGCCAAGGACTGACAGTACTCGGTTGGGGGGAAACACCAACAGACATCTCCCCGGAGCCAAGAACCAGTGACTAGAGAACGAGAAAGAGGGAGAGGGAGAATTGTGAGATTGTGAGAGAGAGAGAGTGTGTGTGTGTGTTTGTATGTGTGAGAGACAAAAAAGGTACAAGAAAGACAAAAAATCAGATCAGTCAGTCAGTCAGTCAATCAGTCAGTCAATCAGTCAATCAGTCAGTCAGTCAGTCAGTCCGTCAGTCAGTCAGTCAGCCAGCCAGTACCACCACCACAACCACCACTCAGACCCGAAACCTGCTGCTGCTGCTGTCTTGCTCCACCCGCTTTTTTTCCAGCCCGGCCGGTGGATCGACTGGTGGATATTACCACAGTTCTTCTCCTCAATTCTACTACCACCACGACGGCCACGCCTAGCTAACTAGCTAAACTACTATCCGTGTCCCCATCCGTTATTTTGGTTTTCCACCACCTCGCACTCGATAATTCTTATTATTATTCTTCCTCGGATCCTTCCCCTCGGTTCTGCCGTTCCAGCGCAACTCTTGCTGACCGCTCCGGCCATACCCATACATACCCTTAACCTTTTTTTCACCTGCCAAGCGCGTCATTAATCCGCCTGCTAGGCCCGTTAGCTTCATCGGCCACTATTCCATCGTCCCTTGGTTGCCGGGCCTGGTCTTTATCTGGCCTAATTACCTCTGCGCTCGTGATTATTATCCTGCCGCTGCCGCTGCCGCTGTCCTTCTGTTGCGGGCGCCGTTGGACGATGAATTTTTCCGTGATCTGATCCTTGCTCCTCCACCTCTGTCGAGCCGGTACTAGGGACATCGTGACCATCGTGACCTCCCTGGGCGTCATTACCACACCACCTCCTCCGCCGGGGTTCGCCTGGCCCTTAAGTGTCTTCTCTTTCCCCCTCGACTCCCAACCCTCGCGCGGCTCGTAATATTCGCGCGCATGATCCATTGATCCATGCGCCCCGTGGTGCCGTGGTTGGTTGCATTCTGACGTGCAACTCTTTCCAATTGAGCCTCATCGCCTGGTTCCTGCGCCGTCCGCGGTTCCTGACAGCAGGTGAGCCTCTTTTGCATCTCCTCAACGTCCTCCCGTTTTGGGCGATAGTAAAATCAATGTATCGCCCGGCCGGCTCTTATGTTTGCTCTTGTTTCTTCCTTTTGGTTTGTCGTTCACCGTCCTTCACAAAACTTGCATCGCGGGGGCTATCGCAATTGGTCCATGTGGTGCTTTCCCTCGAGATCCTACAGATCAGGGCTGCTCGCCGCCTTCGGGATGTTTGCTCAGTCCTCAAACGCCTCCCATCCGCTTCCAGGCCGAGCGGATCTCCTGCCTTCCTCTGAATTCTTCTCTGAAAAATAAAAAAGCCCAATCCAAGGGTTCCACTCAAACCTGCTCCTATGCATCATGCTCCTGTCTACTGCATTTCTTCCTGTGCCATCACTATTTATGGTTTGCACTATGCTAATACAATGACAGAAAACTGAGAACCGACAAGTAATCGCTGTATCAACGTGAGAGATCGTTCTGACAGGCGGCGCATCCCTCTTTTAAAGTCTGTTCTGAACATTCCATCAGAGCAGCAGGGAAGGGCGGGAACGATAACCAAACAGTAAGGGGCGGCGCACCTAATGCGCCTAAAACCGCCGCCTCCATGACAGAATCATACGATCCCGATGAGTATCCTGGGTTGCAGGCCACCAAAGTAGACTACGGACTTAAAGAGTCGCCGCCACCATTCGATACTGGGGATCTGTCGCCTAAAGATGGCGGTCCGAAACACGATGAAGACGAGGCAACGTTTCCGGGCAGTACCCGTAAGCTGCCGGAATTCTCCAAGCCCGATCCAACTTCGGGCAACTCGGTGCTGATCAGACATTTAGCTCCTAATCGACCAGACATAGCCTTTTTCGAAAATGAGCACCACTTCCGTGCCATTTTGACGGATGATAGCCCTCAGGTGCTTCCAAAGATGAAGCCCAGGCCGGAAATTCCACACCCGGAACCTATGGAGGCTCAACCTGTGGACCAAAGTGATGCCGAGAGGGCTGCGAGAGAGGCGCTTTTCTTGATAAGTCCAAATGAGCCGAAGGACGAGAGCGCGCCCTCTGCGAGTTTGAAGGAAGCCCTTTCCCAGCCCCTACCATCATCCAAGGAGGCTTCGCTCAAGGAGGAACCCCAACAAACACCTCCCAATATACCTCATCTGTTGCCTCATCCATTTATCCCCCAGGAAAGGAAATTGTCGGACCCCGACTCGCGCCTGAGCAAGTTGCTTATCACGCCTACGGAACCCACGGCCCAGCTACCAGCGCTCCATTCGTCGGCTCTGGGAAACTCGCTGGATCATAGCTTGCCCTCTCTTCAGACTGCGTTGGCGGGAGTTACCGATGTACCACCACACAGCAGCGCTGCCCGTATCAACGGTACTTCTTCATATACTCTGCCTCCAGTCACGGCTTCCTCGCCCCCAATCTCAAGATCGGATACGGTGTGGGAGCACCAACGCTTAGGACAATTTCCCCCTCCTCAAGTTCCGCCCAGTCCCTACTCGCACTTGTCACCTGCAAGCTCGAAGGAAATGTCGGCTATGTCTTCGCCCGCGTCGCAGCAGTCGTACTGGCGACCGCCCCTCAAGGCGGACTTAAATTATCTTACTTCCCCGTACGAGGCTGCACCGTCGACTGTCAAGAGCCCGGCAACGAGCTATCCAACGCCGACAGACCAAACTCCGGCCGCGACCTGCGACCGCCCATACAGCACCCCTTCCAACGGGGTGGTTCCTACCTGCACTTACAAGTGCCGCCACCCGGGGTGTACTGCCGCTCCGTTCCAAACACAATATCTCCTGAAGTAAGCAATTATAGGTGAATCTGACTCGGGTGTGACGCTCATCAATGCACAGCTCCCATGCAAACGTCCATTCCCAGGACCGTCCTCACTTCTGCCCGATCGACGGCTGTCCACGGGGGCCAGGAGGGAAGGGATTCAAACGCAAGAATGAGATGATTCGACATGGCCTCGTTCATAACTCACCGGGCTACGTATGCCCCTTCTGCCCGGATCAGCAACACAAGTATCCTCGGCCGGACAATCTTCAACGGTAAGATATCCACGTCCCGATCTCATATTCAGCCCATCCAGCTTACACATCTTGTCATCCAGACATGTCAGGGTCCACCACGTCGACAAGAACCGCGACGACCCGGCACTCCGCCAGGTTTTGGCCCAACGGCCTGAGGGCAGCACGCGTGGTCGACGTCGTCGAACAAACGGCCCATAAGCGGCCTGTGGACTCTCACCACGATCATCTTCAACAAAATGATATGCTCCAAAAAGTGCAGGTTACTATCATACGATATTGCATTAGCGACAGCGTCCGTGTTGATTTGTCTTGGATGGAAGGTTGACTTTCTCAACAATACTTCGGACATTGTGAGGATAACGCAGTCGACCTTTTCCTTCCCTTATCGTCAGCATGGCATTCATGTATACTGACTTGACTGCACATGCATCATGAATCAACCTTCCCACATTTTTCTGCTCTTTCTCTCGCATTCTGCAACCTCCCACTTCTTCTCAGTGATACCAGATGTTGTTAGAGCCTTGGTCTTTTTCTTTTCTTTTTCTGTTCTTTGTTTCCTCTTCTTTTTTCCTCTTTTTTTTTTTTTCTTTACTGACGGCTCAGTCATTCGCTTCATTGTTCGAATATATTCCCCCCCTGTTCGTCTTGCTGAGTAATCTAGTGAAGTGTGCACGGGTTTGTACAAGACTTTGCTAGTGGGCGTTTCCAGTGCTCCTTTTACGTCTTTTTACTTTCTTTCTTATTATCTACCCAATTTGCCTCCTCTTGCTCTTCGTTTCATTTTCTTTTTTCCTCCTACTTCCTCAGATATACATATAGGAAGCCATGGCGTCTTCTTTCTTGGATGGGAAGGAGGCGTTTTCACAGGACCGGCTAACTGGCTGCATGCGGACCGGAATCGGGCGATGGATATAAAAAAAATGAAGAAAGAAGACCCAACAATTTTCAAGTATATGTGCGCGCGCGCTCTAGCCAGCTAGCCGTCTAGCTTAGCCTCGATATGGAGTTCAATATCAATAAGGCCCGAACAAAGACAAGGTGCAAAAGAAAAAGTCAACGTGGTCTGTCTCATAAGTATAGTGAGCAAAAAGTCCATTGAAGTATATATGTGTTTGTTCTATTGGCCTGACCCGCAGGCCAGTGTGTATACAGATTGTTGGTATATTGTATATGTCCCTGCCTCGCTCTCTCGATTAATCAAAAGAGAGAGGAACCCAAAACCCAGAACCCAGAATCCAGAACCCAGAACCCCAAATCCAATCACTCCGTCTTATCCATACATATTTATCCTCCTCAGATGTGAGGTTCAGTCCAAGACTCCATCTACTCCACTCCACCCACACGAGAAGATGCGAGAGAGAGGGGGAGAGAGAAACCCCCATCCCATCCATCTAAAGACCCTTCCTTCCCTTCCCCCGACACCAAACCAAACCAAACCAAACCAAACCAAACCAGGCCAAGAATAAACATTAGAGAAAAAAAAATAAAAGCAAAGAAAAACCAAAGGAAGGAAGAATCCAAAAAAAGGAGGACGAGGAGGAGAGATCAAACCAGACCCTCCTCCCTACTCCCTACCTCCTACCTCCTACCTCCTACACCCAACTCTAATCCCTCCTTCTATGAATCCTCCTCACATGATCTTTCATATTATCCACGCGACTAAACACCCGTCGACAACCGTCCCACTCGCACGGAATCTCAGGGTTATGTTTCGCCTCATGACGATCCCGATCCTTTTTGCTGGAGAAGCCGCCGCGACGGGCCTGCGGACAGCCCTCATAGCGACAGAAGAGGTGCTTGCGGTGCCGGTTGAAGTGTTTTCGGAGGTCGCAGCCGCGACGGAACACGGCGTGCGAGGAGCAGCCCTGGAAGGCGCAGCGCCAGGTGCCGTCGGGGTTTGGGAGGCCGTAGTTGGTTAGGTTGCGCGATTGCGATTGGGGTTGCGGATGCGATTGGGTGCGGATGGAGGAGGGGTCGGAGAGGGAGGGATGGGGGGGGAGGTCGTCGGGGTCTGGGTCGATGTCTAGGTCGAATTCGAGATCGAGGTCGAGGTCGAGGTCGAGGTCTAGGTCTGTGGTTGAGGAGGGGAGCGAGGCGGTTGTTATGGGGGTTAGTTGTTGTGGTTGTGGTTGTGGTTGTTGCTGTTGGTAGAAGGATGGGTGGGTTGATGGTGTGAGCTGGTGGTAGTCGGGTGTGGTGGTTGTTTTGGTGATTGCTGAGGTTGTGGTTGTGGTTGTGGCTGTGGTTGGTGCGGTTGTTCCGGTTGTTGAATTTATGCTGGGGGATGGTTCTGATGGTGTCGCTGTTGCGGTTGCTGCTGCTAACCATCCTTCCTGGGGGAGATGGTAGTATGAGCTGTTTGTGTTTGACAGGCCGTGGGGGAAGGGATCGGCGTTGGGGCTGAATGATGGCGGCGGTGGTGGTGGTGGGATGTTTTGGCCGGGATATGAGAGGGTGTAATGATGGTCTTGGTTTGGGAAATAGAGGGCTCTTATGTCGGCTTCGCTGTGGTGTATGGGGTGGGATTGGTGGTCAAAGGCGTAGGAGACAGTCCCAGGAACGGCATGGATATCTGACAGGGGGGCCTGTTGAAAGACCACTGCCGGGAACAGGTGCGGCTGCAACCGTGACGGCATTGTAGTATGAGTTGAGGCGCCGCCGGGCATTAGCAGCATTGCGCAGTCGGTCGTGGTTCTTGCGGTCATCATGGCAGCTTCAACGCCGGCGGTTGTCGTGGTGAAAACTCGATCGCACTGGTTGGGAACGTCGTCAGAGCTAGAGGGAGCGAGGGGGAAGAAGAGGGGGAGGGGAGTTGTCCGCAGGATACGGGTCGCTCTTACAGATGTATTTCTGTCCATGAGAGTACTGCCCTTGGGGAATACAGGTTGTCCACGAACCGAGGTCATTCGGGTTGTCTCAGCGGTATAAAGCTTATTTCTCTTCGAGGATTATCCGTCATATCCTGTCTTCGATTTGGATGCATTATGGATATTTAAATCATTGGACGCAGTGCTTCTCCGTCATTCTTATCTTGAGCAGTGTCTCGAATGTCAGATGTGGCTATGCATATCTGGAGCGCTGACGGTGGGTAGCTGAGCGGAAACCCTTTTCGGATGATCGATTATCTGATTTGAGGCTTGATGTCACTGTATCATTGAATTCGGCCACCGGCTTCCCAGGCTTCTTCTGGAACCCAGCCCGAGGTCTTCTGTTTACTAAGGCCAGGCCGACCTCACACGCCCAGGGATATGCTGGTCAGGGCGTGGTGTAGTCGGTTTCTCCCCTAGCTCGGAAAATCACTGGACCGCCGTGCGTTCAGCTGAGAGAAATGGCCAGCCCTATTGGGATGACATATTTGTTGGCGGATGATCTGATCCAGAAGTCAAACAACCAAAGCGGCGACCGAACACAGCAAGCGCCGTACTCGGCTTTTAGGCCTGGGGGTTTTCCGTTCTTTGCTTTTCCTATTTGCTGCGCTAAAATAGGATCCTCCCGGCTTATGTAGACGAGAAATCTAAACATCGTAGCTCGAAATCGAATGTCTGATAGGGCTGAGGGGTGGGAGGGGCGCCGCCGAAATGCCACAAGGCACCAAGGTAATAAGAGACCGCCCAGTATAGGTACATCCAGTAGTTACTCCGTACGGAGCCATGGGAATGTTCGGCCCCAGTGATAACGTTGAGCCGCCATTCCACTCACCAGAGGCCGTCCAGTGATAAGGTGCGTCAACTTAGGGCAGTCCTCGGACCAGGGAGCATACGGACGAGCTGGGGCGATGATTGGGTGCAGCGTGTAATATTCCGTGCACAGCATCCCAGGATGCACATATGCGGGCTTTGCCAAACGAGCATGGGGTATCCTGGACCCAAAGTCAAAACCAGTGTCTGAGGCTCAGCGTCGAGCGGCCCCCAAACCGAGGTTCCAGACAATCGGACGCCGCGAGAAAAATAGCAAAGGAGATGATTGAGCGAGAAAAAGAAACGCCGAACGAGTCATACTGCTGCGCAGTTGCGGTCGCCGTTGAAAGTTGGACGACGTCGAGCGTCCGCGTCGGTTGATTGACTGGCATGCTCGGTCAGGCCCCCCACGCCAGTCAGGCCAGCGCCCAAACGGGCAACCTGTTCGACGCTATCGACGATGGCTGAGATGCCGATCCCTTGGGCTTACCGCCAGATGGGCTATGAGCCTCCGGCTTCTCATCCCTGCAGCCGCATGGAAGTTTGTGCCATGTTGCCAATTTTCCTAGACAGAACGATCCCCGGACTGGAGGAGTAGCAGCAGCAGCAGGAAGTGCCGGAACAGAGGATCGCCGTCAGCAAGAGCCGGCTGCCAAAGAGCGGTCTACTGCTCGGGCAGGCCTTAATTGTGCTGCAGATCTGGCCTTGGCCGGGTTAGATCGTGTGTCAGTGTCATGTTACATCGGCGGGATGGTCACTCGTTCAAGACAATGTTCCAAAAATATATCATTCTTCAACCACGGCAACGGCAACGGCAACGGCAACAATAGCAACAATAGCAACAACAACAACAACCTGGAAATCTTATTTCAGCTCAGCTCGGGTGCTGGCCAGACGTTGTCTGCGAGAAGGCCATCATTCTGATGCCTTGCCCTCCAAAACAAGCGATCTTTCCGCCGAAGAATCTATGAAGTCATACATGTCACAAAACCCCCAGCCTCGGTCATCATGCGACCACACCAGGAGGCAAACAAAAGCAAAGTCAAGGCTCCAAGCTAATGCCTTTAGATCCAAAAGACACCCAAAATTATTAGATGGATGGAATAAATGTGGGAAAAAGCACACTGGCCCAGCCCAGCGCCCCAAAAAAGCATTTGAGTCTAGCCACCATGAGGCGAGAGCCTACACACCAACTTCTCGAGGCAGATCGTTGGCCTCGGGCAATAGAGGAGTCCGGTCGGTTGGATTCTGGTCTTTGCCTTCCTCGTCATCTGCGTCCTTGTAAAGAACGTAGTGTTGCACAACAAAGATTAGGTCGAAGAAAATAGTGACGTTCGACAGGAGGAATTTGATGGGGTTGCCGGCGATGCCACTCCAATCGTTCTGGAAGCCTGAATCCAGAAGCAACTGGGCGAGAGACAGGACACCACCAGTCAAATCGAACAGTATCTGACTGATGCTCCAGCCGTATGTGGATTTGCGCTTATAGTTGACCCACGCTTGAGGTACGTATTTCACGATGGTAATGACGAGTTTCACATAAGAGAGGGTATATATCTGCGAGTACCGAAACCGTCCGTCAGCGTTTCCATGCACCGCGGTCATGCTCATGTCCTTCGACCACTTACAACGTCAATCCAGGCCCAGGAGGACGGTTCGTAGCCCTTATCGGGGCTCTTGGCAAGGACGATGAAGACGACCACGATGACGGCGACAATCGAACCCCAGAAAAGACCAGCCACCGGCTTGCTGACCTTCTGGAAGCGCGAAACCTTGAAGCCCCAGATGAAGGGCCAGAACTGGGTATAAGTGATAAAGCTCAGGACGACGGCGTGCAGGGCAAAGGCAAAGTCGTTGAAGCGCACGGTCGGCTCTTCGGCCAGAGGATGGCGAGCCGCATACTGATGACGGATCACGGGGGAGTATAGGAAGGCCGAGGTGTAGATGGTATAGCAGACAAAGCCCAGGACGTTGATAGTAGGGAAGTCAATGGCCAGTCCCGTGGTGGAACGTCGGCGGTAGTTGTTGATGGGCTGGGGATAGAAAGATGCGGACCAGCAGAGTGTACTTGAGCAGAGAGTCAGTGACGGCCATCCTAGCTCCCAGTCCGTTGCCAGAGCATCGGAATGGTGGTTATGGTGCTCGGGAACCTACTATATCCAGCCCAGAAGGCTACGTTGCCGACCTGTCAGTACATTCTCCACAGATAAGGACGTATGGGGCCGGGAGGAAAGACGTACCGAGAGAGCGCCTGAACGAAGATCTGCAGCTGGGTAGCCATGACTGACGACTGCCACCTGGGATAAGGAGGGACGAGGAGGAACGAGGAGGGACGAGGAGGGACGAGGAGGCACCACCACAGCCGAGAGGGGCTACATGCCTTGGGGGGGGGGTGAAGGGGGAATGGAGAAGTAATAATGAATGGGTCACTTGAGATAGCCTGATAAGATAGCCAAAGCACGCGATCCCGCGCGAATACGGCAGGCGGTCAGGCGAGGCAGGCGGCTGAGTCAGCGGTGGTTGTCCGGGATATGCGCTGGCGCGCTAAACCGCAACAGGAAAACAGTTGTTGCGCGGGCGATCGAGTGCAGCTCGCCGCTCGTCGTATTCCAGCATCCAGCCTGCATCTCGATCATTCCCGGCGGTTAGCCGTTCCTCCTACCCTGTCTCACTACCCACTGTCTGTTCGTCTCCTTCCTGTGTGTTTCCTCCCCCCGCCCCTGTCGTGCCCAGTCGTGCCCAGTCGTGCCCTGTCTTGTCTTGACTTGTCTTGACTTATCTCTCTCCCTTCCAATCCCAGTCCAAATACTACTGCTTTTCTCCTCCTTCCCCGCCTTCCACATACCCTTCCTTGCTCACCGCCAGCCTCAATTGCAGAAGGGTAAACAAGCAATCGTCTGATTATTTCGTCGCGCCTCCCAAGGCCTCCACATATACACCCCCAAGTGGTGTTCGGCTATCACCCCAGACGTGATTGCGATCGAGACTTGGCCGCCCTTCCCCATCAGCGCATGGTGCATTCTTCGGAGTGGGGGATCTCGATAGATCTCCGTCGGTAGTTCGCACATTCCAGTGTCGTGAGATCGTCGTCTGGGGAGGAATCCACTTCGATTGGACGCCATAAAACGACAGCAATCATGACGGCCGACTCGGGGCTCTCCGCTCCTGGGAGCAGTACATACTCCTCGAATACTCTGCACGTGGGCGATGGAACATGGGACTCCGAGCGCGACACCTTCCTCCTTCCCAATCTGATGGGGATCAACTTTGACACTATGCGATATAATGGTAAGTTCCCCAGTCCAGTTGAGAGGCCTGCGGGGCCCAGCCCGACTCACATACTTTGGTAGGAATGGGAAACCGATTCAAAGACATGCCCGAGTACCATACCCTGATCATCGTCCATGGTGTCATTGCCACGATCGTCTTCCTATTTCTAGTACCCATATCCGTCCTGATCGTTCGATACTACTCGCGATGGAATCCATACTGGGCCTTCAAGCTGCATGTGTGGTGCCAGGTCTTGACCCTGCTGCTGAGCACCGTGGTGTTCGTATTCGGCTGGTTTGCTGTTGGTCCGGAGAGAAGCCTGACAAACCCACACCACGGCATTGGTCTTGCAATATACGTCATGGTCATTTTTCAGGTTCTGTGGGGATGGCTGGTCCATAAGTTTGAGAGGAATAAAAGACGCTACCATGTCCCGTTGAAGCTTGTGGTATGTCATGTGAAGCATGACCGTTGCGATGCCCCTTCTTGACGGCTAACTCGACGGCAGATTCATCGATGGATTGGCCGCGCCCTCGCCATTCTAGGGCTTGTTCAAATCCCGCTGGGGCTCACCTTATACGGCTCACCCAAGGTGCTGTTCATCCTGTACGCGATCGCCGCTTTCATCCTCTTAGCAACGTTCTTCGTGCTCTCGTACTTGTACGACACAGAAGGGTACCACATGGAGGGGGGCGACCACGAAAGCCGACTCAGCTATGTCTCGGGTCCCTCAGCTGGTCCTGATGACCGCCGTCACAGCAGCTTCGGCCGAATGGCTGCAGCCGGAGCTACAGGGGCTGGTCTGGCTTCGTTTTTCAGACGCCGTCCCAGGGTGGTCAAAGAGCACGAATACGATGAGTCCGAGACAGCCTTATCCGACGAGAAATATTCCGACGAAGGGCGGCGTCGTAACGGCTGGGGCAATACACTCCTCAAGCTAGGTGCCCTTGGTGGCGGAGCCTGGCTTGCTAAAAAGTTCCTTGATAGGAGACGAGATCGAGACGATGATACGGACTCTGGCCGGTATAGTCGAGCTCATACCCGCAGTGACAGTATGACCGAGGAAAGCCTGAGTAGGCTGGAAGACGGGCGACGACCGGAGCCAACCCAACGAACCCCTCTCACTCGACCGTCGAGTAGACCTCCTAGCAGACCTCCCAGCCGGCCCCCAAGCAGACCCCCAAGCAGACCGCCCAGCCGGCCACCGAGCAGATCACCGAGCAGGCCTCCGATCAGGCCACCAAGCCGGACACAAAGCCCAGGTTCGTCGTACTATTACAACAGCACCTATCTCTCCGAACGCCCCGAGCGAAAACCGTCCCACGGCATTCGAGACGCCCTGCTAGGCGCAGGCGCATTCGCGGCAATCAAGGGCTTCTTCTCTCGTCGCAAGGGGGATGCCGAACAACGTCGTGTGGAGGAAATGCGTCGTCGAGAGATGGAGGACGAACGGCTGGCCCGAGCCAACAGCAAGCGAAGGTATCCTGGAGAAGGCTATTACCCACGACACGGGCGGGAGACCTCATTCACTGCGACCGATCTCTCAACCGAGATGACACGCCCACCACGCCGTCCACACGGGGACTCTGTGCTCTCAGAAGCCCCTGCCGCATCTGGAGCAGTCGGTGGTGCGCCACGCTCAGATATACCACCCCCGCCAGGTCCGCCAATCGAGTCAGAGCTAGTATCAGAAGCGCCACGACCAGTGCCACCCCGACATGACCCTTCCGAGTTTGCCTCCGGGGTAGCGGCCGGGACAGCCCTAGGCGCTTCGTCCGCCCACCGTCGCAGCCGCAGCCGCAGCCGACACCGCAGTAGCAGCCGACACCGCGAACCCCTCGAATCTCCCCCCGTCTCCGTGAAACTGAAAATGCACAACGATGGCCGCCATGTCACCCTCCGGAGACTGACGGAAGAAGAAGCCGCCGCCAGCCGCGAAGCCAGACGACGAGAACGAAGAAACTCCCGTCGTCGGGCCGGAAGCGCGAGCTCACTCTCCGGCAACGAAGGCGGCTCATATGACAGATGGCGCCGTGTAGAGGAACTCGAACGCCAGCAACAGGAACACATGCAACGAGAACAAGCCGCTGCCGCTGCCGCTGCAACATCCGCTGCTCCATCGTCGAGTATGCCCCCCGCAACATACTATGCGCCGCCACCTCCCCAAAGTGGGAGCCAACTGCCGCATCCACCTCCTCCCCCTGTGCCCTCCAGTCATCCATATGGGTCAGGGAGCATCGCGTCCCCCGGCACGTTCACCGGAACAGAAGCCAGTGGCGACTACGCCAACAACCGTCGACGCAGGCGAGCGGAAAGAGCTCGCGCACGGCAAGACAGACAGCAGAGTGTGGAGTTTACTTGATGAGAGTGATATACATGCCATGTCATATCATATCTTCTCTTCTCTTCTCTCGAACAAGTTTACAGCACCCATTCTCTTCGCATCTGTACAGCACTTATGATGATGATCTCCCATGCATGCGATATAATCTTTCTCTCCTGTTGCTTTTCGTTCCTCTTCTTCTTCTTCTCCGATCTTGAGCCTTTCCATCCGATCCACCCCACCCACCCCTTCATCATGTCAATCTTGAGATTTGAGATATGAGATATGCTATGTCACGATTTGTTATCTCAACGGTTGCTTGCTTGCTTGCTTGCTTGCTTGTTTCTTCTTGCATCTATTTTTTTTCCCTGTTTCTTTTTTGTATTTTGTTGGAAAACATGGGCATGGAATGAATGGGCTTTTGTGCCTCTCTGCCCTGTGCTTTGTGATGTCTGATAATGACGGTATGACCGAGACCGCGCGACGATATGCAGCATATCTTCAATGAGCGAGGAAATGGAAATGGATGTGATATGATACGGTCTGATTTATGTGGCCCTTGGCCCAGAACAAGGAATGGATGGACATGATGGGTTGGGTGACAATTCTTTCTGAGCAACTGGCGTTTCTTTCTTGCAATGGCCCTTGTTACCAGGTCTTATTTTGTGAGACTTTTTGCTTATGCTATGTTATGTTTTCTTTTTTGATTTTTCGATTCTGATATTTCTGCGTGTAATATTTGCCGTTCTCAGTTTGGGCATTCTTTTGCCTCTCTCCGGATGCACATAGAAATGATTCTGTATCTAAGCATACATCATATCATGATCGTCAATAGCATAACATGATGTCCCAGTGGAATCCCCCTGTCAATCTTTCTTTCTCGGCCCTAGAATGACATTCCCTCAAGCCATGGATCAAATAATAGCTCCCCTGCGGGCTAGACAACTAAGCGCATTAAACAGTATCAGCTTTTCCTGCCTGAATGGCAATGCTAATCCCGGTTTTCTCTAATATGTATAGTAGGGGCACTATAACGAGTCTTGAGAGAAACTGCACTAGCTTTGCCACAGTAGCCGCAGCTTCTGAAGACATGAGGCTTCGTAGGGCCATACTAAGGCGCGCGAGAATCTGCAAAAGTATCATCGGAGCAATGAGATCGACCTGCAAGAGACGTGCAGTGTCACAGTTGGGGCCAGCAGGGTTCCATCTTTGGGCTTCTTTGCTTGCCACAGCCGCTGAGTCGATCGACCTATTGACTTCCAGGTGGAAAGAATATTTAAATTTCGAAAGCGGCTGCTGCATTGATCGCTTTCTAACCAATGACAAAGTGATCAAGCCACGCTCCTGTGACACCGACCGGGAACCCCATTTCTGAAAGCAGTCGCTCAAAGCTTTTCCCTTCGAATTCTCTTCCTGCGGGTGCGTAGAGAAGACATCATCGATTTCCTGGAAGTGTACATTGGCAGATCGCGGTCTACCGATCTTGAAGTCTTGGCGCAACGGCGATCTGTCGACCGGAGAAAAGGCCATCGGAAACGGTCTACTTGCGTCATCTTTTGGAAAGCAAGATCTCGGACTTTGTTCAGGTTGGGATCGTGGAAGGCAACGCCAGTGTCCCAGCCTCGGGTTAGTCCAAGGTTTTCTCTGCGTCTTTCTGATATCGTAATTCATGCCCTGCAGCAAGATCGATCGGTTGGTCATGTGAATGCGAGACCTAGTGCAGCCCGGGGGAGCGGAGAATGGAGAACCTGACCGTGGCCATATATGGTCCAATTTTCGCTCTGGTGATTCAAGAACTAGGGAAGGTGATACATTCTCACGTGATATGCAGCGAGTGCTATCAACATCTGAGAGGAATAGCGGTTTGGGCGGCTTGGGCGGTTTCCACGATGTTTGGCTGTTGGAGGAACCGGGACAATTCTGCTCGGTTACAGATCTTTCATGCAAGAGGTCGGGCGCTCGGTTCTCCAGCTTCGGAGACGCAACATCTCGGCTATTCTTGCCGCAGGTAGTGGCAGAATCATTGTGTCTGTTTTTGAAAACCGGCGTATTGGGGGTGTTCTCAGGCGCCGCATGGATCTCGATCCCTTCCTTGCCAGGCACGGTGCCTCTTGTCGCTTTTGAGGCCGGGGGCTGAGTCTTCATGGCAACGTCTTTGTCTACTTCCATGGGAAATATATGAAAGGCGTCAGGGTCCCGCGAATCGGTCCGTTTGAAGATGGCAGGGGCAGAGCGTTCCTCTTTCTTGCTGCATGGACTTCGAGTTGGTGATGGTTGAGAGGAGACTGGGACCCGACCGAGGAGATAACCCGAGGCATCGGGCCTTGGCTCCTGCATTATTGCAATGGGGCTGGTGAAGAATGGTGAGATATCTGCCATAGTGGACCAACCTTTGGTTGTATTTGCTCTTCGGTATCAGCGGATACGACGGAAACAGACAGTGCTGAGGTTGGACGTGATACAAAGAAGCTATAGAAGGGGAAGAGCAGGGAAATAAACCAAGGCGGGGGAAGAGGGAGGATGGCGCCCCAACGAGCTATTTGGGAAGGAGCGACCCCGAGGCTGCAACGGGACAAGTATTAGCAATCAGCCGATCGGTTCGGTAGAATCTGAATTCGGCTATAGATGGGTGTCTGTAAATAAATCATGAAAAAGGTTTCAGGAGAATTGCTTTAATTCTACAGGTTCAACAGGTTTCAAAATTGTTGAAGTCGCGAGTGCATATGTACATCAGGTATCTATTTGAGGACGGCCTGCAGGCTCTCCAGGACCTAATGATAGGGTTAGTCAAAAGCTTCAGATCCGTTCGTTGGTGTTGACCTACCTCCAGCTCAATCTTAGCCTCAGCAACATCCTGCTCGCTGCCGCTTCCGCCGGCGATCTTCTGAACCTCGGCAATCTGGGAGCGGACGGCCTGTGGTCGGGAAAAAAAATGATTAGCAAGAGACGGCAACAAAAGGCACGATCCGGTTCAACATACATCAGCGCTGAAGTCCTCAAGAGGGTAACCCTCGATGGCGTTGATGCTCAGCTGGGAGTCGGGCTGGACAACGGCGAATCCACCAGACACTAAATCGCAAAAGAGTCGTGTCAGTATCGTCCCCAACGGCATTTATATCGGCCGGCTCAACAATTCTCGATTTGCGGCGCGGCCATCAAGACGAGTGGTCGGACGTACGGAAGAACTTCTTGCTGGCACCACCCTCCTCAAGGATCTCAACGAGACCGGGCTTGAGCTGCTCGATGGAGGGAACGTGGTTGGCGAGAACACCCATCTCTCCGGACTCGGCGGGAATGTTGACCTGGACACTGGATAGAAAAGACTCGTAAGTACGGGGCGGTCTAGGGTGGGAGACGGTCGTCCAATTGTTCGAGTTGACGGGGACGAGAGGCTACATACACGCCGGCCGACTTGAAGATGGTCTATTGGAAGAGTAAACTATCAGTATCGGATATAGGTGAGGGGGCACAGGGGTGCTCAACGGGTCGGGAATCGTACCTGGTGAGGAAGGGTCAGGGAAAGCTTGATCTTGTCCGACACAGCCTCGGCGTAACCTCTGCGCTGGAGAGGAACGCGGAAGGCGGAGGGGCGAGCCCGGAGGGCAGAGCGAGCAAAGCGGAGAGAGCTCATCTTGCAATTGACGAAGCGAGGTGGTGGTGATAGTATCCCTCTTGAACCTGGGTTGGGAGTTGCAAAGGTCGAAGTCGGATGCCGGTTGTTCCCTAGCGGCTCGGCCGGTCACGTGGCGGGCCGCGAGAACAACACGCCCGTACTACGGAGTACTACTGTACCTCTTACATCAACTATGAGCAGACACTGCTACATACCACAGAACACTACTCCGTATTAATCTTCTGTTTATTCTGAGAACTGTCAGACATAATTACCCTCTATCTGTTACAGCATGCTGCTATTCTCTGCATGTCTTCCGTCACATTGAGCAAGACATGGATTGTCGTATGTTGGTTCATATGCCGACATGCTACAGAGAAAATACTGTCGAGTTTACCCTCATCCAGTGCCAGTAAAGAAAGCCTCACAACGACAAGGTATCTTAGTACTAGGATCGTAACAAGGCGACATATAACTGGGTCGAGCTCAAGCATCGTTGGGGACCCATATTCAACATCACGTGATACTGGAATGTCAACAGACTTGTCGTCATACTCACCCTACCCCATACTATCGTCCCACATAATTATTGTCAATCTGTATTTCATGCAAGTTGGTGCTCTCATTTGGCCTTTTAATAGTCGTCCAAAAAGCTCCGTTTATAACCAAAACTCGACACCTAAGTAGTGCGCCAATGACACAACGTAGAGAACCGACAAATTGTTAGTCATCAATCACGGGATCCTTTAGTTATGCCTCAGGTATCAGCTTTACTGGCGAAGAAGGACCATGAATTGAGTACCTTCATTAAGCCATAGATCTACTAAACAAAGGGAAAAAAAGAAAGAATCAGCAGAACCTGAGATTTTAGTAGGGCATCTAGATAACTCTCCCAAGACTGAAATAAAATGGACAAATGCCTACCGAAAGCCCGCGCAGTACACTGCTAACTACTACATACACTGGATGACTCCGGCGCCCAACACGCTAGCCGTGCTCGGTAAGCGAAATCCCACAGAAAACCAGCCCTAGCCGAACCGGCCTTGGGGACTCTGGCCTTCCGCTCCGTTCAGGATACCCTCACCCGCCAACTTCTCGTCAACCAGCTGTTAGTTGCGACAAATCCGACAAGATGGCGAGTATGTACACCCCCCATTTGAATGCGCTGCGGTCCCGCAGACCTCCAGATTCTGAGTCTGCGATTCTCACTCGATTCTCGTCGCTGTCGGAGGAAAACCAACCATGCAGTCGCTGACATGACTTTTTCTTCTCTCCAGAGTCCAAGAACGCGTCTCAGCACCACAACAGCCAGAAGGCTCACCGTAACGGGTGCGTATCACCGATACCTTTGCTCTCTTCCCGATTCGACGAGATGTTTCGAGGCTCAATGTGGACGAATACTGCGATGTTGGGTATGGGGTGATTGATATCTTCGATGGGACGGATCCTCTCACTCTCTCTCTCTCACTCACTCATGACGGAAATCGACCATATCCCAACACACCGCATATTCACAACCCCCACCATGACTCGAAAACAGACAGGGAATCGTGTCAGAAAGGAGGGAACATTGGAGCTGACCATGGTCGTCTTTGCAAATCAACAGTATCAAGAAGCCCAAGACCCACCGTTACCCCTCCCTCAAGGGTGTCGACCCCAAGTTCCGCCGCAACCACAGACACGCTCTTCACGGTACCGCGAAGGCTCTGGTACGTTCTCCCATCTATATTCGAAACTTGGTCTTCAGCCAACGGATGGTCCGCTAACAACCGAACAGAAGGAGCGCAAGGAGGGCAAGCGCGAGATTGCCTAAATCAATTCAACTAATATAGAAACGTTTTAAAAAGAAATGAAAGCGATTTGAGTTGGTTGATCGTCCGGTCCGGCCTTTTCTTTTCTCCTTTTTCGTTCCCTTCCCCCACCTACCGTGAGGCGACCAACACAATCACACAACGTCATGGGAATTCGTCGGATATCTGCTGGGCCTGGGTCTTGCGCACCGCCCGCATGCAAACGGTTGTCACGTACATAAAGAGCAAATGGATTCCGATTCGGTTGCAAAAAAAAAAAAAAACGTGCATAGCTTGAAACTGAGGTTGAAGCTTTTGACCTGGTTTGGTTTGGTGGTTTTTTTTTCGCTTTTTCCCATGACTGAGTTTGGTTGGTTGGTGGTGGTGGTTTCCAGACCATCGTAGTTCATTTTATGAACAGGCATATGTGTGTACAGCGTCGCGCCTTTTTTCCATGCGCTATTGCTGAAGGATTTTTCAACGTGCCGAGAAAAGATCCCCTGCCCTCCAATTACCAAACACCCTCTCCCTTTACTCTTCCATGGTAAGAGGGTGCATGGACGGAGGGCTACATTCTTTTGTAGCCCATAGCCCATTGTAGGTTGATAGCCAAGCCAGATCAGTCAATGAATTTTACTTTTTTCCATCTTATATACAACTACAACCCAGGATACATCATAGAACCAGTCACTCCACCTTCCAAACCACAAGCCTCTTATCAAACCCCCCACTAACCAACCACTCCTCTCTCTCGACCTCCCCTCCTTTCGCAGTCGTCTCAACCCACCCCGCCCAAATGGCCCGAATCTTACACCCAACCTGATGCCCATCCTTCAGCAGCGTCACGACCTTCCCCGTCTTGGTCTCCACCCCGCGTATAACCCCATCATCCCCATTAACCCAGACCCCGGAGCCATCGGGCCGCCACACGACCTGCGGCGTCGAGTACGCCGTCTGCGGAGCGAACGTATTCGCCTGGATCAAGATGGCCGCGTCCTCGCGGTTCTGAAGCGACAGGGCCGCGAACGCCTGCGCGGCTTGTGTCTGCGGCTCTGCATCCTCATTCGCATTCGCATCCGCACCCGCATCTCGACTCTCGGCCAAAGCTGCCGGAAACAGCAGACGCACGATCATGACTTTCATGTGCGGGAGCGTCGAGGTCGCGATGGCAAGGAGGCCGGGGTCGAGCGGGCTGAGGGCGAGACACGAGGGGGAGAAGGCGACCCAGGCGTTTGAGTGAGGGGCGAGATTCTGCTTACCGAGGCAGACGCATTCGTAAGGTGAATCCCGGAGCTGCGCGGGTGCGACGACCCGGTAGTAATACAGATAGGTGGAGTCACGGCGGGAGACGAGGAGGATCAGCTCGTTGGTGTCGATGTGGCGGACGAAGAGGATGGATTCCGGGTTCGAGGGCAGAGGGATAGATGCGACCGGTTCGCCGATTGTCATCGGTGCTGCTTCATCGTTTGTGAGACTGGTGCGGTAGAGGAAGATCTTCGAATCCCAGCCTGCCGTTGCGATCCAGACGGTCCCGGATCCATCAGTGTTACTGTCCTCGTGGGTGACGACTTTGACGGCATATTTGGCGTGGTCTTTTCTCCGGTCCAGGATCTCTGCGCCTCGCTGCAGGAGCAGCTGGCCGGACATGTTAGTTAACAGCGCGCATTTTCCACCCTGGATGGGGGCGTAGGATAGAATCGGGGCCTCCGAAGTCCCAGAGAAGGACTGGGCGGGATCGTAGCCGGCGGACGTCTGGAAGAGATTGAGGTGCTTGTCTGCGCCTGTCGCGACTAGATAGGCCGATGGGGCGTTGAGGTGTTCGTTGTTGTTGTTGTTGTTGTCGCTGGGGAGTTGCCATTGCTCCACGGAGCATGCCAGTATATTTGAGGCGGTTGGGGTTGCGACGATGTTTGGTTTGGTAGGGGCTTTGGTGGTGGTCAGTTCGTAGATCGCAACGCAGGAAACATGCGGAAAATCTTTACCTGGGACACTCCAGATGCCTTTCTCCTTTTCGTCCTCGCCGTACCGTTCGAAATTCACACTCTGGTCGAACGCTTTTTTCTCCTCGAGGACGCCCTCGATCGTCCAGACGTTCCCCTCGTCCTTGTCGCGGAGTTGCCCCGCGTTGGCCGGGAGTCCCGCTTCGCGCAGGAAGGCGTCGAGAGTCTGCGTGTAATTATGTGTCCGTAGAAAACGAGCGACGAGAATGCTCGCCAGCGATGCTTCTTGGGATTCGGTGGGCATCCTGGATGTTGGAGTCGACTACTATTTATCGAGGGAGCGATAAGGGAGAGGGAGAGAGATATGTGGCGGCGGCTAGAACAGTTTGAGGCCCACACTCCAGTTGATCAAATTGGGGTCGTTTAAACGTGAGGAGGCGTATTTAAATGGTTTGCCCATTCAAGTGGATTTTTATGGAAGGCTTGAAGAAGGAGAAGGAGGAGGAGGAGGTAGGAGTATCTCATTAAGGATAGGCTGCAGTATGCAAGAGAAATATACAAGATTGAAAGATTGGTATCACAAGATGTGAATGGCGTTGTGAAACAGTCGGTTCTTTAGACCTCATGCGCCACCAGCCAAGCATATAAGAACAACCAAGAAGGGAAGCCACGGCAAAACTGTAAATGCCACCCGATTATGCCGCTCATCAGATCGTTTCCCATGGTTCGAAGCCCTCAGCTAAACATGTCCTCGGCCCTTCGTCGTGGGCCTCCCCGCCCTTCGATTTTGTCGGAGAACAGCTCCTTGCCAGCATTGGAGTTGTACTTGGATGGGAAGAGCTCTCTAACAGACGCCCCCCGTCCCTTGATTGAGATACCGTTGGCCGCACCACGAATCAACAAACCCTGGTCCTGCCCTGCTGTGCCACGGATGTTGAGTACACCTGTCTCGGACGTCTCGGGAAAGAGCTCGATATCTCGCTTCCGTCGTGGAGGAGGTTGGTCGTGGGATCCATCCACAAGAGGGACCGATATCCTCCGGGCGAAAAGGTCTGCCGTCTCATCCGCAGCGTCGATGGCGTCCGACCGCCGATGGTTGCTAACTTTACTGGGGAAAAGTTCCTTCGCCGTGCGGTTGGGGAATAGCTCCCGCGTGTTGGAATCGCTGGCAGCAGTCTTGGAGACCGGGAAAAGCTCCTTGCCTTCGTTGCGACGGTTAAGCTGGGGCGATCGGTCCCGGAAATTCCTGCGAGAGTCAAGTCGATCCTGCTCCGCGTACCTTCCTCCTTCTTCCATCAATGTGTCACGACCTGGCGACGCGCTACGGGCGCGGAGGCGCCCCGACGATCGTCCTTCCTCTGGAAAGAGTTCCCGTCGCCCTCGCCTTTCCCGCCTATCATAACTGCGATCGGACTCGGAACGATCGGGGCTGGCGGGCTTCGCATCGTCGTACATATTGGCGCTGAAGCTTTCGTCTGCATCGCGGTCTCTCCGTCGTCGTAGTTCCCGACCATCGAACCGTCTTCGTGTGTAGTCGCCATCGCCAGCATCGCCGCCTCCCGAACGCCGTCTGTCCGATAGCTCGCGTCGCAACCGCTCCCGGGGGTCGTGCTCGGGGTGCATGAGGTAGAACCGACTGGCTTCGTGGGCGCGAGGTTTTTTGCGATCCGTCTTCACGGCGGATCTCACCTGGAGAACCGAATCGGGGTGGGTAGACAAGGGCTTCGCCGATCTTAGCCGTAGGGCGGGCAGGGCAGATGTATCTTCCTCCTCGTTGACCTGCGTCAAGGCCGATAAAGCCTGGAGGCCGATTTCCGCGGATGAGTATAGGAGGTTCGCCGATGTGTCATCGATCCATTCGACGCGGCTCGGGGCCTCCAAGGAGAAGTGCTCGATCGCAAATTTTCGGATGTTATCCGTCGTCAAATCATCGACACCGCGTACATGGACCTTTTCGTACTGTGCATCCGCATCGAGGTGATCGAGGACTCCATCGGGGGCAGTCGTCATAAGAGTTTGTTCCTGAGAAGCCCGAGCTCGACGTTAGATAGCTGCAGGGACATTTGACATTGAACCAAGGCATTGGAACTCACCGTTTCAATGTGCTCATCATCTGGGAGGGGACCCAGGTCAATGTCCATATCAATATCCATGGAGGCGTCCATTGTGTTCGAGGTTTCGGGTTGCAGAGGTTGTTGCACGACTTGGATTGGACGCGGAGGAAGGAGGGAGACTCGGGCGGAAGAGGTGGATGGTTGCGCTGGTTAGGAAGAAAAGGGTAGGTCTCAGTGGGGTCACATCCAATGAAGACTCCAGGAGCCGTGACGTTGGGATGAAGAGGGACGGAGAGGTGGCCGAAGTGGTCGCAAACTGAAGCCGCAAGGAAGTTGCTCTCACACCGCCCGCGCCGCCACTTGGGCGGAGCTTCGCCGCAGCTCGACGATCTAGATAACAACCATCTGGATACAACTCTCTCTGCATGAAAAGAGCACACCCGGCACGGGGTTTCCCATCTGTCAAGTCTTACTATCTCTTCACTGGTTGCTCGCCGCAGTCCGCTCATCCATGCCTTTGACTCACTCCAGAGTGAGCTATGGATAACTACCAGCTGGATAAATCTCCGCTGAAGCTTGGTGGCTGGTGGTCAGGTTGACAGGTTTCATTGAAACAGAACGATGGAGTCGCCATGGGTCCGCTTTCCCACTTTCTGCTCATTCAGACTTTTGATCGAATAGCAAAGGCATGCAGGTTTGCTGTCCTCTCCAATTGGATCGATCAGATGGGGCGACGCCCGCCATGGCGATCTACGCGATATGATCAGTGTCAAATCTTCGTTCTACGAGCGCATCACTCCTCAACCTCATCCCGACCGTCTACTCCGGAGTGCCCGAGTCAGCGATTGTTCCAGTGAAACGTGCGATCATGTACCTCTCTTGAAATTGTCACACTTGCTGAGACCATGTTAGTGATGTCATTGATGTACTATGATGGTTGTCTGATTGCGTCGGAACATTGTGGTCTCGAAGCTGGTATCGATTCGATGTCGAACCCTTATGAAATCCACGAATTACAATTCTAGCAGTGTTGGTGGTTTCTTTGACCACCTATGGACTAGTCGATTCACTATTGCTGGGCTCAGTTCCTGTGCTCATCTAAAGACAACCGAGTTCACCTCCAGTTATCTCTGCCTTACAAACCGCTTGAGATCTTCCGGTTGACGAGAAGCTTAGCTTAGCCCGACTGGTAACCCAGAAGCCTTTATGTCTGATATTGTTGCTGTTGAGCAGTGAGTCATGGTGTTCCACCGATGACTTGTCTGGCTTGTGTCGAGATGCCATCCATCTTTTGGGTATGGGACTCCTGTGCTCTCGAGATGATGCCATAAATCCAACGGCCGAAACTATTATTTCCCCGGGGTGGCATTGTAAACGAGTCCAACGGCGTACTACAAGTCTCACTGTTGTTGGCGGGAAGCCCAGGCCCGCGACTTCCCCGCTTCCCCGTCGTCTCGTCGACAACCGCGGAGCTCCTCCTCACCGTCCCGACGTGGCTGTTCATCAGGCCGACTTTAGGCTATAGTCCTTGGGAATCTCCCAATAGGCCAACTCCGAAGGCTGAGATGGCTTCTCTCTCTTGGCTGGCCAGCTCACTCGCTCTAGGGCAGTCCCTTTGTCCCCACTGCCGTGCTTTTTTGCCTTGCACAGAGACGAAGATAGCTGCCAGATGTCCATGGTGACGCTGGTGACGCTAGATGCAGCAAGGCGACCATAGCGGAGGCATCGTGTTGGTTTGTCAATTGGACCGCATTTGTTGCACTGTTGAAATGCTTAGGCTAAGCAAGCTACCATGAGGGGCTACAAATGCAATATGTCTCGCCTCCTCCCTCGCACATGTAGAGTCTTCTGGTCCCTCTGTCCTCCCTGCTATTGCTGTTACTGATCACGATATTCATCTGCTAGGCTACTCCGACGTGCGATAACTACCCACGATGCTCTACGCTGAAGATAACAGGCTCGTATTCCGGTTCGACGACCACCTTCTCTGGATAGAGCCATGGGGGGAGAATGCACTCCGCGTGAGGGCAACGAAGCTTGCCTCCATGCCCACTGAGGACTGGGCCCTGTCTTCGAAGGTCCCGACAACTCGACCGGTCATTCAAATCGAGGAGAGCAAGGATTCCACCATCTCAAACGGCAAGGTCAAAGCCACTGTCTCCCAACGTGGCAAGATCACCATCTACAACCACAAAGGAGTCAAACTCCTGGAAGAGTATGCTCGCCATCGCCGCGACCCAAAAGACCCCAAATGTAGCGCTCTGGAGATAGAGGCTCGGGAGCTGCGACCTATCCTGGGGGGCGACTTTCACCTGACCATGCGGTTCGAGTCGCTCGATTCCAAAGAGAAGCTATTCGGAATGGGACAGTACCAACAGCCCTTGTTGAACCTCAAAGGCACAGACATAGAACTGGCCCAGCGAAACTCCCAAGCAAGTATCCCATTTGCGCTCTCCTCGCGCGGGTATGGATTTCTCTGGAACAACCCGGCCATCGGACGCGCCGTGCTCGGGACCAACACAATGAGCTTTGAAGCCTATTCCACCAAGGCGCTGGATTACTGGGTCGTTGCCGGTGACACCCCGGCTGAAATTGAGGAGGCATATAGCAAAGCGACCGGATACGTCCCGATGATGCCCGAATACGGTCTCGGGTTCTGGCAATGCAAGCTCCGATACTGGAACCAGGAGCAGCTACTGGACGTGGCTCGAGAATACAAGCGACGAAAGGTGCCCCTGGATCTAATTGTCGTTGACTTCTTCCACTGGAAACATCAAGGGGAGTGGAAATTCGACCCCGAATTCTGGCCCAATCCCGGTATGTCCATCATTCCACCCCAACTGCATCCTCCAACACCCCAGCTAACAACCCTACCAGAGGCCATGATCAAAGAACTCCAAGAAATGAACGTCGAACTAATGGTCTCCATCTGGCCGACCGTCGAAACCGCCTCGGAAAACTACCCGGAGATGCTCGAACGCGGCCTCCTAATCCGTCACGACCGGGGGATGCGAATCGCGATGCAATGCGACGGCGACATCACACACTTCGACGCCACGAATCCAGAAGCCCGGGAGTACGTATGGTCGAAAGCGCAGCAGAACTACTACTCGAAAGGCATCAAAGTGTTCTGGCTCGACGAAGCCGAACCCGAATACTCCATCTACGATTTCGACATTTACCGATACCACGCCGGCAGCAACCTACAGATCGGGAACATCTTCCCAAAGGAATACGCCCGGGGGTTCTACGAAGGCATGCAAGCCGCAGGGCAGGAGAACATCGTCAACCTGCTCCGGTGCGCGTGGGCAGGGAGCCAGAAGTACGGGACGCTCGTATGGAGCGGCGATATCGCGTCGTCATGGCCCTCATTCCGTAACCAGCTCGCCGCAGGACTGAACATGGGACTGGCTGGGATCCCGTGGTGGACGACAGACATCGGTGGCTTCCACGGCGGCAACCCTGAAGACCCGGACTTCCGGGAACTGTTCACGCGGTGGTTCCAGTGGGGGGCGTTCTGTCCGGTGATGCGTCTGCACGGCGACCGGGAGCCCAAGCCAGAGAACCAGCCCACGGCGTCTGGGTCCAACAACGAGATCTGGTCGTACGGCGAGGAGGTCTACGAAATTTGCAAGAAGTACATCGAGATCCGAGAGGAGCTGAGGGATTACTCGAGGGGGCTGATGCGGGAAGCTCACGAGAAGGGGACGCCGGTGATGCGAACCCTGTTCTACGAGTTCCCGGATGATCACAGGGCTTGGGAGGTGGAGACGGAGTATCTCTATGGTTCCAAGTACCTGGTCGTGCCGGTTCTCGCGGCTGGACAGCGGACGATCAAAGCGTATCTACCTTCGGGGGCGTCGTGGCGACTGTGGGGGGAGGATGAGATCCGCCAGGGAGGCAGGGAGGTCGAGGTTGCTTGTCCCATCGAGACGATGCCAGTATTTGTCAGGGTGTAACGCCCCGGCCTTGGTCAGAATCATGACTGTGATCGTGATCGTGATCGTGATCGTGATCGTGATGATGCGGTGAGAGATATCAGTCGTGTAGCGAGCCACTTTGGTTGGGTGGATGGATGGATGTATCGACCTACCGTAGGTTAGGTTCAAGGCGCAGGCAGGCAGGCTGCAACTAACTGCACGGATGTGATATTCCGGGATCCTCGAGTTGGATTTCTCTCTCATTCCTGGTAGCATGCTCTTACTAGTACCATTGAGACTCGCACATGCGGAGACTAGGCTAGAAGTACCTATAGACATGGCTACATACCTAGTAGTACCTATTGATACATCCGTAGCGAAACCGCATATGAGTGACAAATCGAACCGTGGCTTTCCACACACTGTTTATCTAGTACCTACTACCTACCTACCATCTACTTACTTACCTACTACCTAGATAGGTAGGTGGATAACCTTACCTCTTCCGTTCATTTTTTCAGACCCCCAATGCATCATTGCCATTACCATTCCTTTTCTTTTTTGTTCCTTCTTTCTTTTTTCTCTCGCTTTTATTCTTTTTTCATTTTCATTTTTTCTTCTTTTTGCACAATCCCAAGCCCAAGTAAGAGAAGAGAACAGAAGAGAACTATCAACAAACCCGCATGGCCAAACAATTGAACCCAGCCTCAGCCCCAGCCCCAGCCTCAGCCCAATCCATCCTGGTGGTGGGTGCACCACCGAAAGCCACTATCGAAGACACCAAAGACCGGAGAGAACATTCCACACAGGACGCAAATCCACGGTCTCGGGTTTTTCTCATTTTTTCCTGCAAAACCCACCATCCACCATTCATCATTCACCATTCATCATTCATCATTCACCATTTACCAGCCCCAGCAGTAGTTAACTAACTACTTACTTACTTACTTACTTACCGGTACTCCGTAGCTAGTCCAGCTATCGAAGTAAGTACCTAGTAGTCAGTCTAGTCTAGTCTAGTGATTCTTCTTAGGGTATTGGGTATTGGCATTGGCATTGGCATGAGCGTGGGACTGGGCGTGAGCGTGGGCGTGGCAGCCCAAAGGAGCAAAAAAAAAAAAAAAAAAAAAAAAAAAAAAAAAAAAAAAAGAGCCCGATTCCAGCCACAGGGTCCATAAGATGGCAGTGGATCAAGAGGGAAAAGCAAAAAGCAAAAAAAAAAGGAAAAAGAAAAAAAAAAAAAAAAGAGAAGAAAGGAAACGAAAAGAAAAGAAAAGAGTAGTACCTATTTAGTATGTGAGTAGTGAGGAGAGGAGAGGTCAGCCCAGCCACAACAGGCTGGCGAATTTTTCCGGTTGAAGGGCACGCAACGCTACGCTAGTGTCCTACCGGGGGGGGGTAAAAAAAGAAAAGAAAAGAAAAGAAAAGAAGAAAAGAGAATGAATGAAAATGGACATGGATATGAACATGATTTGTATTTGTATTTGTATTTGTGTTTGTGTTTGTGTTTTCTACCGACTAGATATCTACTACCATCGCTCATCCGTTGGTTTTCCAACGTAATAGGGGAGAGGTGAGAAGCTAACTCGCCTCACCGTTGGATAGACGATAGACAGGGTTTGTGGTGGTTGATACACACGGGATGACTCCGGACATGGGAGTATTATAGTGTAGTGCCATTGTAGACCGTGTATAGTAAGTCCGTGCAGAAGCTATGACGGTTGCTAGCGAGCCATATGGACGGGAATTGACTCGGATGGTCTCGCCTCATCCTTCCTCTAGCCGTTCGTTCGGCGTGCTCGATGCTGTACTTCGTACTGAGTTTCCTGTCCACTTTTGTCAACGGAAAAGAAGGTGACCCAATGTGGTCAGTGCAGCGCACATCACGGATCCTGATGGATCGCGCCGCACTTACTCCTTCCACGCCTCCCAATTCGCCCCCCCCTCCCCCCCCCCTCTTTTGCCGCCTCGTCTGTATTTCCCGGGAGGTCTCTGACGGTCGTGGGGGGGAGGGATGGTAGCGCGGGGCGGGGAACGCAGAGGGGGTTGGAGATAGTGGAGATGACTCTGGTGGTCATGGTATCATGGAGACTGGAGTGGTGGTGGTAGACATTACTATAGATAGTCCGGGATGGAGACGTGCGTGGATGCCCACTCGGCAAATGCACGGTCTTCCCTTGCCTGGTAGTAGTATCGCAGGACGGCTTGTGCAGAGGGAAGAGGGGCGGTTGCTCCAGACCCTCTTTTCATTTATTTCTCTATCCCGGTTGATCACTCGGCACCTTGGGTGGGTTCTCCGAGTCAATAAGAGAATCGAGTCGCCAACAAGCTTATCCCGGGATCCTTGGGGGCCAGTAGCGCGACGCCATCGCCCACCTGGGTCCCCAGTTCCAGGTCGATGACTCGATTGCGGATTGATGTTATTGTTAGCACTGGGTAAGTGATTGACCCATCAGGCCGGCTTCCAATGGTGCGACAATCCACCAATCCGCGGCTCCCGTAGTTTCAGTGTCGAACCTGGACTCCTGGAGGGCTCGGCATTGAATCTGATAGGCACGGATAGCCTCCAGGAGTCCGAAAAAAAGAAGCAGCGACCCGGTGCCAGACGAGCAGGCACGGTTCAAGAAGAAGGGGGGGGAGAAATTAAGGATGAACGGGGAGGAGCCCAGAAGCAGAACCAGAGCCATGGAGAGAAACGGGGGCACCGTTCCCGGGTACGCGGCTAGCTCGCTGGTGCTTGGACGGGAGGTCGCCCATGGCTCGATGGAGTCCATGCTCTCTCCCCTCCCAGGTTACCTGAGCGCCGGGACTGAAGGGCGGACGGGGTCGCGGAGATTGAGTTTTCAATCGGGTAGATTGGGTTTGTTTGGGGGCCTTTTGGTGTGGTCTAGTTGGATCGGAGGCTGCTCGTTCTGGCCCACTGATGTTCCTACCAGTCGCTAGATAGGAGACAGTCGGTGGATGGTTTGATGGAGGCAAGGCGTCCCGTTCCAAGACGTTAGTCCCAGTGACTTAGTAGTGCGCTCTGTCCCAGCTTCCAAGTCGGCCAGGTCGCCGTCCTGAATAAACTTCATTGACGACGGGAAGCCCGTCGAGAACGGGCAGAATAGAAACAACGGGCTGCACTGGACGTGCCAGCTGACTTGTCTGTCGGCCTGTCACCAGACCTGCCCGTTGGGAATGGAAGGCATGGCATGGCATGGCATGGCATGGCATGAAGGATGTCAAAGAGTTCGAGTTGGTCGTCGATTTGTCAGACCACAAGGAGAAATGGCCGCTGGTTGCAACCCAGCGTCAACAAAGTCAATAGTGCCGTCACATCACATCACATTTCTTTTGCATTGGCCCAACATTCACGACCGAGCAAGGCCATGGGAGCAAGAATTGCCCACTGGGGGAGGCCTGGGGGGTAACAGGCCGCGTCAACACGACTGACTCGACCTCTCGGAGGGGGGAGGTCGAGGTCTCGAGAGGTTGTCGAGGTAGTGGTACAAGGAAAGCCAGAGCAGGTGAGGTGTGGGGGTTGCGTTCGCATTCACCGAGAGAGATAGAGAGTGAGAGAGTGTGCGAGAAATAATGATCCATCATCCATCCCTCCAACACAAGAGCAACGGCAACGTTTGTTCCTACCTATCACGAAGCCCGTCGCATGGCACAGCCAGCCCACCACCACCATCCATTCACCTTGCGTAACCGCTGAGGATCCATCCCATCCCGGTCAAGGATAACTACATGCATACTTACCTTGAATTCAACCTCGGTATCTAGTATTATACTTGCCTGCTGCAAAGGCAGCAGACATGCGTGCTCAGCTCAGGTACCTCCGGTGAGAGCACAACTGCCGTGTAGCGCTTTATCCTTGTACACTCTGACCCTCGTTTTACTTGGTAGATACACATAAGACAAAAATCACAGGCGTCACTGGTGGTGAGGTGTGAGTGGTGGTAGGTAGTACCGAGTACGGTATGTATGGGCAGTATGTATGCTGGATACAATGTACAATGTACGATCATGTACATACCTCCTGCTAACATCATACCTACATCCAAGCACGTCCAGATGAGGTAAGGTACGCAAAGCCCGTCCCCTGCTGCGGGATCCTGGTCAGCCGGCAGGACGGCGGCAGGGCAGGGCCAGTCCCCGGGACTAGGCCCAAACGGGCCATCGGGGAATAGCCCAGCCGGGCATCTGGGTGGAATCGGGGATCCCACATGGTCCCCGAAGGCGGAAGGCCATAAAGCCCGAGCAGGGAGGGCATCCAATCACCGCCCCCCGCCTCCCCCCCCCCCTTACCCCCGCGACGTCATGGCCTCAGCTTCGAGGGGGGTAAGTGTATCTACGAGACTACTTACGAGACTACTACGAGACTACGAGTACGGTGTACCACCACCGGAAGGGAGTGCACATTCTCCGGCCTTGAAGGGGGAGGGGGGGGGGGAAGGGAAGGATTTCCTGAGATCTGCCCCCCCCCCCTCCATCTCGATCGATCCAGGTTACCGCGGGAGGGGTTGACCGTTTTTTCGACCAAGGATCAAGGCGCTGCCAGCCTGCTGCCACTACTGGGCCAAAATAAATAAAAATAACGTTGAAAACAAAAACTCAATGCAAGGATCCCAGGACTATGATAGCTGGGTGGCAGCATCTGATGAGATACATGCTACTCCGTACCGACCCCGAGTTCCCCTCGAGGCGCAAGAACGTTGACCCTGTCTGGGTGATAGGTAACGATGATGATACTACAGACTCATGTACCTACATAGATAGTAGTACCTTAGTATTGAAAGCTGTATGCCGCGGTTAGTGACTGGGCATGGACGATCATCCCCCTTTTACAGGTATATCCATCAACTCCAATTTCAATTCCAATTCCAATTCCAATTCCAATTCCAATTCTACACGGAGAAAAAAATCTCTACATCATTTCTACAACCCATACCCGTAAATAGCCCAAGATCATCTATTGAGCTGGGGAGATGGATGATCCAGTAGGTCCGATCCTATACCTATAGCTTACAATGGGTGAGGAGGAAAAGGAAAAAGAAACAACACCAACGGGAAAATTATCAATAGCATGCGCCCAGGACCTGTACGATTCTCGATGAATCGTACATATCGAGAGCCATACATGGAGTCGCAGTTGTTGATAATACTCAGTAATGATCGCAGTCCCGAATAGTTATTTATTCATCTTTTCTTTTTCCATGTTTGATCGATTTGAGTTTTTTCCCATGTTCATTGGCTTGATACAGACTCCTGACAGCAGTGCTCGGGCCTCCTGAGGTTCGCGGACTTGGAGCCCGACAGTCAGGAAACAGCGGCGGATGCGAGAGAGCCGTTCGCTCCACCCTTCCTTCTTCCCCCCCCCCCCTTCCTCCGTCCATCCCTCCATCCCCCTCCCCCCATACAGGGTGTCCTGCAGTCGGAAAATCCTTGTCCACCTGCCTTGTCCACTGTGCCGTCTATTCGGGGGTTGCACGACAGCCTGCAGGCAGTGTGTGGGCGGGCATAAGTACTACACTGGCAGACTCGCTTACAAATGCCACTTTTTCTTTTTTAATCCTGGTCGTGGTGATGCGGTGTTTATTTCTGTCCTCCAACCCACCAAGGTCCAGGGATTGAGCGGGAGTCCAAACTCATCTGCTTGCTACATCGAGATGAGTATAATTCAAAGTACTACCTACCACCTTGGGCCCTGGCATCTATCTACTACTCTACTCCGTGTAGTCGGCTAAGCAGTAGCTGAAGATCCATAGTTTATAGATACCAGGTGCCCGGCCAGGCACTTGCTGAATACAAGCCGGATTAGGCAAGTGGCAGGGCAGATCCCGGACGCGCCTGCACGCTAAGGTACGAGCGAGCCGGGGTTTATCTCAAATACTTCCCGTGTCTCTGATTGGTACCCAATCCCTAGGTACGGTCGGGGACCAAGTCGACCTAAGACAAAGTGGTCGTAGCTCTGTACATCAATTGATTCTTCTCTGTGGGAATTTTTTTTTTTTTTTCTTTTTTGGTTTTAGACTCCTGGCTGTGTGTCAGTTGTGGCCCCTTCGTGATAAATCGATAGTCGCGGGTTCCCCTTCCCTTCCCTTCCAACCCTACTTCCGTCCAGCTGGGTCTGGTTGCAATTGAGACGTCGAGAATGGAATCCTTCAAGTCATGCGCGCAAATGCGGGGAGGTACCTTACATTATTCGGTTCATCGCTTGAACTGGACCATCATGATAGTAATACTACATACCCACGTAGGTATGGTACGTATACTAGTAGGTAGTAACTAGATAACTCAGGTTACTAGTGGCGAGCACAATCATATCATATCCGGGGGAGAGAGGATCTTCTTTCCTGACTGGGTGATTCCATTACTATGTATGTTCTCGAGGGTCGTGTGTGTGTGTGTGTACTGTGTACACAAATGATATATATATACATTCGGCCCGCCCGCCGCAGCCATCCATCCATCCATCCATCACGATATGTGATCCCGGATAGGAGATGAAGTAACACTGTGTTATTCAAGTAAAGTAAATAATCGCTACTGGTAGTTTTACGATTTACGGAGACCATACATACCTGACATACATACTATACGTACTACGGTACACTGTAGTACATACCAGGTTCCTTGTATGTATGCATCTCGGTTTGTTTGTTTGTACGCGGTACTCCGTACCACGAGGGTTAGGTAGATCGCAAGTACCCGTCCACATGGCAGTTTTGTAACCTCCCACGACGTAGATGGCGTTTGACACCACCACCACCACCACCACCACCCATGACCCTGTTTATCGAATTCTGATTCAATAGCACATCCCAAGTTCCGGGGCAGGGGGGAGGGCAAAGGGGGGCCAGTCTGTAGGGGGGCGAAGTCAGTTCTTTGCTCCGAATAAGTCCAGGCGCTGCGGGCGGGGACATACGTTGGCAGACGTTGACATTGTAATAGTATGGGTACGGGGGGGAGGGGGGGGGGTTGTCATGGGGAGGGGACATCTCCACTAACAAATTTGTTTCTCCTATCTGTTCTACTGGGTCTCAGGGCTGTAACTTACAGTTGCCCGAGGGCTGATTCCGAGCTGGGTCCCGCACCGCGAACAATTTGATTTCTTGTGTTCATCATCGCTGCGTCGTTGCAGAGAATTGAAAGGGGGTGGGGGGGGCTTTTGGACAGGAATATCAGGCCAAAAAGGGAGAGGGAAAAAAAAAAAAAAAAAAAAAAAAAGGACCGCTCTGCGAAACAGACTACCGGAAAATCCCATTGTCATCTCGTTTAGAAGGGACATGGCGAGTCAAATGCATCGAATCCATGATCCAGATCTTACCTGTCAATTGCCAGATTAATCTCGATTAATCTACGCCGTATGGGGCATCTAGTCCTCCGTACTTGTCAGTCTGTCAGGCCCAGCAGAATCTCCCACCCGACCGGACATCCCCGTTTATCATTCCCTTTACGGGACTAGCGCTGCGGTTCCAGAATGACAAATACCTTATTTTGGCAGCCCAATCAGCCGCGAGATCGGAGCAGTGGTTCGTCACGTCATGCGGTTCAGGGGTTCGTGCTTCTACCCTATTCTGCTAGGATACCGGATAGATACTATCGGTATGACAGTAGTACAGAGTGAACCCATCCACCTCGCTTCCAGTTCTGACTTTGGGATGCCGATGGGCGGCCATGCCCAACGGCTTCTGACTCGTGGCAGTTCCCCTGGATCCCATCCGTGAACCTGTAAGCGACTTCCGTTCCCTAGCGGGCTCTGTACCCAAGGTTCGCGGGCAGGTTATGGAGCTTTGAATTTCCGGTAGCGACGGTTGGTGACAAGTGATAGCTTATCTCCCACCGCCAATGGGTCGCCTCATAAGGCGGAGGTGTGCCAGTGGGATGATTGATCATTGAGGCAGCCCATTGACGTATGTATAGTATGTACGATGTACGATGTCGGGGTAACGTGATACCCTCTTGTACGGAGAATTCTGCGCCGATTCCCAGCAAAAAAGAAGCCTGGAAGGATTCTCGGAGCCCGCCATGGTGTGTGGTGGTGCCCTGGAACAATGCAAGAAGGCGGCGCATGGCAAAACATGGCAATGCTTTGTAGTTGGGTAATAGTTTCAACCAGAACGGCGATGATAGACACGCAGAGACATTGTGCTTTGTACGGTAATTGCATGATGATCTGGATCGGATCATCTCAGCCATTGACGAAGGTTATTGTTCCCCTCCTCCCCTCCTCCCCCTTCGGCTTCCACACCACCGGGTCCCAAGGCTAAGCGACCTGGAAGGCAATTCGATCGACTGAAGAGATCCATCGACGATACTGGGATCAGCATAGATCGCCCAATCGCAGCAACGTTGATTCCGATCGGACGACACGGCGGAGGAGCCCTGATGTTGATGGGTAGTATCTACTAGGGCATACGGAGGAGTGACGACACAGTCTATGAAATATGGATGGCAGGCGGAAATACTAGCGATCCATAGTCCAGGATGGTTGGATTTAGCCTCTCGGCCATGACAGCGGGACGGTTCCGGTGCATGGCCTGCCAGCAGCGCCTTGCTTTCGTCTAGCCTAGGCAGGGAGCAGGCTCAATGGCCAACAACTCGTACGTACATACGTGGGTACGTACTTCCGCAGGCCATGGTTCATCTGGCATTTGGAATCTTCCGAGCCTCCCCGGATGATCGTGACCAAATCGTCCCAAGGCCGCCATGCTCATGAATGGAGCACTTAATCTATGGAGGCGCCCCGTAGCTGCAGTAGAGGATGAGGCTAGTACCTGGGGGGGGAGGCCATGCTCGCCGACGAGGAGCCAATCGAGATGCAGAACACATGTCTGCCACAGCGATGGGCAGCCCCGAAAAGGGGGCCTGGATGATTCCATGAGATCTATCAACCTTCTGCTGCATTTCCGACCCAGGCAGCCAGCCCCATTGCGATGTTCCCGGGCACAGAGCCCTGCAGAAAAACGTGAGTCAGGATCCTGGATCCAGGCTGCTGGTTGGGTGCGTTCGAGGGTTCCATTCGAGTTCGTTCGTTTTTCCTTCTTTAACCCTCTCGGGAAGTAGGTAGGTATGTGTCTGATGGGACTATTGCTGGCGTTCTTGTTCATGATCTGAACCATCGAGTTTCTGCACGGGCCCTGTGCGGTATTTGGTCTTTATCTTCGTACCTGATCTGCTGCAAGATGCAAAAGAAACAATGGACCAAGGAGATGGGAGCCGGTCCCGTCTGTTTGGTGCAGAGGGCAGCAGCGGCTGTGCGTAAGAAAGTGACGATGATCCATCCGGAGGGCTGGTAACCCCGTCCTGACTAAGACATCTGATAGGTTAGGTCACTACTCCGTAGTATGTATTCAGGTACCGTGCTGGACTGTCGAGGATGACTAAGGACATACCTACATAGTTACCCTCTCGCTGCCCGGCAGCTACTCAGCACTCCGTTCCCAGATTCGAGATTGCGTACGATCTCCGTGTCGATCCTAACCCGGCTGGGTATAAGACAAAGCCAAAAAGATTTCAAATTGTCCAAGGACACTAGCCAGGCTACGCCAATCATGATCCCCACCTAAACGGTTCATGTTCTGGGTAACGGCCCACGGGGAGTGGAGCGATCAGGACGGTGTAGACGGTGTCCGGAGCGGAAGAGGGACGAGGACTGAGCGGTGGCCAATGGGGGCCCGCGAAAGGGGAGGGCCAAAAAGAGGGAAGGCGGAAGCGTCATGGCTGGCTGAGCGGAGAATACACCCAGTACTGTACTCCGTACTCCGTCAGTACTAACAGATGTTATGGGTCACTTAGTTGCCACTTGCGACCGCGTTTTGTTGTCGTTTAGGAGCCTTCTTGGTTTCATCGACAGAAATAATCGTCCCTCCTGCCAAGTATAGTCACATATTGAAGGGGAGGGAGAAAGGAGGAGGAGGGAGGGGGTGTGAATGAACAGTGCGCAACCAAGATCTGTCAATGCTCGAGGTTCCTATCGTGAAACCTTCTTGACTCAAAGACCTGCCCAGAATAGCCCTTTCTGCCTATCACGCCCCCGCTGGCCGAGCTTCTTTCCACGATCCCGGCACGCCTCCAGCCCATCATGCACACTACACTGTTTCTGCAACTCTCCTCTCTCTCCTCTCTCCCCTCCGCCTCTCCTTTTTCCATTCCCTGGAATTTCTAAATCCGCGCGCCGACCGCCCCGCCGGACCCATGCAATCCGTCGGGCGTGGATGACCTCTCCTACGAGTCCTTCCTCATTCGCCTATTGACCAGACCGTTTCTGCCGCTCCCGTTTTCCTGTCAGGGCCTGAACTTTGACGACTGGAGCATGGGCCAGTCTGTCGCCATTGACTGGGCCTGGTTGATGGATCGCTCATGAGCTTGCCAGCTCGCCATGGGCGCTGGCTACTGCCTACTGGCTCCTGGCTCCTGGCTCCTGGTTACCGCTTCGATTCGACCTGGGATTTTCCCTTTTCGGCGACGTCTGACTGGTCGGTACCGTGGACTCGCTCGCACATTTTCTCTTGACGGGGTTATCGAGCCCACCTTTAATTTATTCTCCTGGAGCCGTTGCTATAATTGTAGGTGCACATCTTTTTTTCTGCTACGGCGCGGAAGGGGGGAAATTCTCATCAACCTTCCTGTCGAGGCAAGGCAGCTTATCAAGATGTGCTGTGTACCTACCAACCTAGTACATAGATAGTAGTGCCTAGGATAGTGTAACCCCTCCCCCATGGAATTTAAACTATAAGCGACCAAGTAAACGATCATCTTACCAAGATGTGATGTCCGAGAAACGCCGCAACGATGATGCCCAGCGGCGCAGGGAAGCAAGCAAGCCTCGCAAATCGTCGCATGCGCTTGGAAGTGCCCGGGGTGCCACACGCCCACACCGTATAATGTACTCCATACACGCTCCCCAGGTATGAACCAGGTTAGCCTTGCCACCACCACCGATACGACTCATGGATGGGTTCCCCTGGCCGTCTCAGCCTGTCTCTGTCTCTGACACAATGAATCGTCGACAGTGCATTCACCCCCCCCCCCCTCCCAGCACCAAAAAAAGCAACGGGGGTAAATTACCTTGAAAACAAGGTGCATGCATCTGTGCCTCACTCTGCCTTCCTCCATTGGATTCCACCAGTAGCAACAGGCCCGACGACCTTACTATACCGGATAGTGGCAAATCTCCCCCACGATCTAGAAACGCCAGCTGCTGCAACTGATAGCTGCCCTCTTTTCTTTTTCGGTTCACCCGGTGGTCGTGTGGTTGCTAATGCTTCGCAATCCGCACCTCTGTCATTGATGGGTCTGATTTACTCCAAAGGAGGTGGTGCATGAAGCTGCCCGTCTCCATCGTCTTCCCCACTTAAGCTTCACAGGATCGGTTATAGTTCAGACGCTCTTTTTTCATCGACTTTCGTTTGGTCGTGGAGGCATCTACCTACTAGGTGCGGTCCCTACCGAGTTAGTACGATGTTACCTAAGTATTACTGCAGGTTAATACCTCCATAGTCCTTTTGGGGTTAAGACTTGAGAGCATTGTTGAGCTCGATAGTACATAGTAGGCCAATCTTATTAATTAAATGGGCTATCTAGATGCCTTAGGTCTGTGCCCCCCAGGCTACTACTACCTGAGGGGTACCTGCCTAACATCCCTACTACGGATTGCTAGGTACTGTAAGGTATGTATGTATGGCGCCCCGCGGGTAAGGTAGGTAATACTTGGATACCATACATACCAGGCGGTTACCGCTGCGGGTAAGGAAAATAAGAAAATGGAAAATCCGGATTGGAAATAAAATAAAACGAAAAAAATAAAAAAAATAAAAACAATAAAAAATAAAAAATAAACCCCCAAACAAAATAATATATTTGGGAATAATAATTATTTTTATTTTATTCCTCCGACAACTGTCAGCTCCGAGATCTTGGATCAGATCTTCTCCTATAGCGTGCTCTAGGTGTGGAGCAGTAGCCCATTTTTCTCTGACCCGTCTCCCTGGTCATTGTATTCTTCTGCTCTGCTTGTTGCTATAATAGATGATCGTAACCTTCATCTCCATCTCTCCTGGACACGACTATTGTCTATCGCCCTTTTTATAATCCCAATTCCCCCTTCCGGGTCTCAACTCTCCTCCAATCTTCTTATATCTACCACCTCGCCGACGCCCCTTCGAACCTTATTCTTTCCAACAACAACAACAACTACTACTACTACTATTACTCAATCCATTTGAACTCCCAACCTGCCTCTTGCATTCGCCTAACAGCTCGGTTGCGTTGGTCATTGCTCCATCCTCCTTCCCTTCCAATCATCCTCTCTTCAACGCCCAGTCGTGTGTGGTCTAGCCTCTACCTACATAGGTGTGGTACCTGGCTGTTCCCCTGTGCGCTAAACTCCCGCAACCCCACGGTAAGCTCCCATCTGCCTTTTAAAGGCATGAAGTCAACCCACGCATACTCCCGGGAGTCTCCTCTCAACTCTCTTCCACCACCACCACCACCACCACCACCACTACACCACTCCACCACTACACCACTACCACACCACTACACCACTACCAAATTCTCCGACCTCCTAGCATTGGCGAAAGTCTAACGTTACTTCGACAGAACCCAATATTCACTACTCTCCCCGGATTTAATCCATTTACCCTTGCACATTATCCGCAATGGCTCCCACTCATCGTCGTGGACCTTGGGTCCCTGAGGAGGATCAGTTGCTACTTCAGTTGGTTCGCGAGCAAGGCCCCAATAACTGGGTCCGCATCTCCCAGCACATGCACTACCGCTCCCCCAAGCAGTGCCGCGAGCGCTTCCACCAGAACCTCAAGCCGTCATTGAACCGGGAGCCTATCTCGGCGGAAGAGGGCTTGATGATTGAGCGCATGGTCAACGAGATGGGCAAGCGGTGGGCCGAGATCGCACGGCGTCTAGGGAACCGCAGCGACAACGCCGTCAAGAACTGGTGGAATGGCAGCATGAACCGGAAGAGGAGGGGTCTCCCCACCTCCAGCTCGCCTCACGCCGGACGCGCCATCCACGGCCGCGTGGAAGCCCCATACGCCCGGGCTTCGCTGGCCATGAGCAGCCCCATCAGCCGTTCCCGCTACTCTTCCATCTCCAACGACAGACCCCTGACCTCCTGGACCAAGTCCCCTTCGTCCCGGAGGGAATCTCTCTCGGCCGCTTCGATCGACTGCCCCCGGCAGTTGACCCCCATCTACACACTCCCCGCGCTGAACCGCCCCGTCGAAACCCCTCTGACCTCGCCTGCCTTCTCGGAGGCATCCAACACCCCTTCCATGGAACCTCCTTCGATGATCTCCGACCATAACTCCGTTTCCTCTTCTCCCCGGACCGTCTCTTCGCCACAGCTCCTCCCGCTCCCCGTGGACTTGAGACAGCAATACGACTTCCGCAGACAAAGTGCGGTCTCTCTGCAAACCCCCGACGAAATCTACCTTTCGAACGCCTACCACGCGCCGAAGGCTCTCGAGTCGCTCTCAGATCTATCGTTGAAACAACGATGGGCTGCCGATCACCAGCAGTGGAACCATCACACCTTGCCGTCGACGTGGGCTGCCCAGTCGGAGGACAAGAGCGAGCCCCCGCGCGACTCGCGCATGGGTCTTTCCAACCTGCTCAATTAAATGACGATGGTTCCCATACCGCTGCCGATGATCTCACGACCTTTTTCTTTCTTCTGTTGTCTTCTGACTGATAAAATCTCGGAAATTTATGTACATGACCGTCCGACCCTTGTCACTCCTTCCGGCATAATTTCCTTTGTATCTATATCCTGTACATTGTTTGGATGGTTCGGCCCGGCTACTTCCACGGCGGGTCACGTGGACTCGGAACGGACCCGGTTTCCTTACGGTACCAAAAAAGCATTCGGGGTTTTGTTTTTCTCTTGTGTGATACTCCTATTGTCCCCTTTCCTATTATTTTTTTTTTCTTTGTTACTTATCATTGGACTACATGGAGTGAATCTGTGTTTGGGGTTATAGAGGAGAGCCGGGAGTGACTGACTGCCCATTACTTTTTTGTTGATTTGTGGCGGTTGAATTACCTGTATATGTTGGTTTCTTTTCTGGTTTGTTTTGGATTGGAAGACTGGAGAAGTTGCTGTGAGCTTGGACCTAATAATACCCCCCCCCCATGACTGTTGAGTGTTACATCGCCCGAACAACCCCGGCCGATGATTATTTAATGATACCAATAATACTTCTTCAAACTAGAACCAATCCCTCCCTCCCTCCCTCCCTCCCTTAACTTAACCTTATATCTGCCTGCCTACCTGCCTAAATTAAGTCTCTATTTTTTTTTTCTACGCACCGCCCAACCCGACCATCCAACCCATTCCCTGGCTCATCCGTGTTTTGGGAATGTTTTCTTTACCTGACCTGAACCTCGGCGCCGTCGACCGTTGCGGGCTTCGGAGAACCCTGAGATGATAATAGGGGGGAGGGGGGGGGGGGGGGAAGAGGATCCACTGGCAACGACGCAGCTTATCCTCCGTGACGGGGGCTGGCTGGCTGTCATCGGCTCCTGTCTCCCTGTGAAAGGCCCGCGGACTCAGGAGTGCAAAATACGCAAGGGGCAAGGTGGGAGTTACGAGGAGGCGAGACCGTGGGAGAGACACGAGCCGAGCCAAGGAGGGGATAGGACAGGACAGGACAGGACAGGACAGGACAGCCTGACACTGACAGAGCAATGTGAGGTGAAATGCAAAATGCGGGTGAAAAAAAAGGTTTTTTTTTTTTTTTTTGAAAAAGAAAAATGAAGAATTCAAGAAGAATTACAGAAAAAAAAAAAAAGACACAAACATCGGTCCAGACAAGAGGGATAGGATAGGATAGGGTAGGATAGGACAGGATAGGGTGGATCGAGAGAAGGGAAGGGGGGGGGGGTAGAGCAAGCTATCTGCCCACACACACCCTGCGATGAGACGAGGATGATGATGGTGATGATGGTGATGGTGAAGCCCTCCCTCTCAGGAAGTCAGGATCGATAGGTCCATTGGCAACGCAGCTGACGAGCGTCAGAGCCAATCCTTTCCAGGTGGACGACCGGACGGGCATGGTGAGTGGACGGATGTCGCGATAGTTCATGCAGACCTGCCAGTGGGCATGGAAAGACTCTCAGTGGCCGGGATCCAGGGCAGGGTGGGTGCCATGGGTTGGTCCCAGTCAGGATCCTTCCCCGAATGAGTTATTCTGGGACTTTCTTGACTCCATGGAGACTCGGGGGGAGGTAAGGTTGATACCCAGGCAAAGTTTATCCAGGGCCTGGCGGATTCCGATTGCTCTGGACGCCGTGAATGATTCGCCGGCGCCCCTCCTCCTCCTCCTCCCCTCCTCCCTGTGGCCGGTGGTCCATTGCAGCTGTCGCTAACGGCTCGAAGCAGGATCATCCCCCCGTTCCATTCTTGAGAGGCCACTACTGCTGCTCCTGCTCCTGCTCCTGCTCCTGTATGTATGCGCCGTCTCCCCGTTACAGTCCGGATTGGGTATGAGCAAGCCGACGGGCACCAGGCCTAGGTATATCCCACAGTCATATCGGCAATCCGTCAAGGTCGAGCACACGGCGACAATCCCGGCCAGGTCAAGGGACCTGGGCCAACGAACAAAAAAAAAAAAAAAAAGAGAGAAAAGCAAAAAAAAAAGGGAAAGAAAGACCCCGACGACCGACAATGATGAGTCGGTGCTCTCCATTCCGCCACAATGGCCTCATGTGCCACCACCAAAAACCACCTTCCTGGTCTGGACTTGGTCTCCGATCGACTCTAGCTCGTCGAGCCATACCAATCGCAGTGCTTCTTGGGAGTCTTGGACACGTCCAGGACCTCTAGTCCTGCCTCCCTGCCTCCCTGCCTGACTCGCCACAGCGCTACCGAGGAGTAGAGTACAAAATATCAAAGCCACAGTCATCGAGGACCTGGCTGCACGCATGCCGATCAGGCAATGGGCATGACTGATCTAGAATCCGGAACACGGTGAGGGGGGATGGCCTCAGGAGCTCCTATCTACACATACTACTAGTACTGTACTCACAGTGCATGGTGCAGCCGGTACTTACTTACTACCTACTTTTGTCTGTGCCTCTGTATCGTCTCACCCCACCTGCTTATCTAGCCCCGGTAGACAGATATCTAGCTGCTGCGCATCCATGCTCCAGCAACACGCCGGGTGTGCCAGAAGGACTCCTTTTCGCGGTAGATACGGGCTCAGCTGGAGGGAGGTGAGTGGAGTCGGTCGCCTGCAGGGCGTGAAGAGAACGACGCGACTCGTATAGGAGGATCGCATCAGGTTTGAGGGATGGGAAATCCTGTCCATCAGGACCGTATGAAGTACACATGACTACTATGGATGTATTGTATGTCCAGGCTAACTCGGAGTGCATTGGTTACACATCAGTACATGGTGGTTGGGCACATTCCGACACAACCCGCGAATCCCTCCTCCCCACACGGTTACACGGGGGGCCAACTTTAAGTCTGTCTCGCTGCATTGACAGTAGGTATTTAGAGACCCGGCTGCTTGTTTCAGAGTAAATATAGAACGAAACAATCATACTACGGAGTACCATTTAGTTATTTACGTCTGGCTAGATATGCATGCCAGTCGCACCATGGGGGCGTAGGTCCACCGCATGGCATACAGGGACAGACAAAGGAGGGAACCTTTTCGAGCACAATGGGATGGTTTGGGACGAAGGGGACGGACTTTACTTGCTTTGGGTCGCGATGGAACACCAACACCAACACCAACAATGGCGCAGTCAGTTGGTAGATAGTACTGGTGGGTAAAGAAACTAACCTCCTCACCACTAAGTAAGTTAAGTAGAATAGTGCAAAAAAAAAAGAAAGAAAGAAAGATAATAAAAATAATTGAAGAAATAAAATCAAAAACACAGTCAGTTTGATCTCATCGGGAAAAGAAAGCCTTGGACAAGCCAAGACGAATCTGGCCCTAAATTAACTTAACCAACGCTGATCTTTTTTTACATTTGATTTGGAATTCTGGTCGCTAGCGCTGCCGCTAAACCGCATCCGGTCAGCTGGCAACCTGCACAACAACGTGACGTACTCACTCGCAACTTGTCTCAACGAGTCAACCCTCCGATCGCGCATCATGATTTGATCACTACGATGACGATGCAGATGGGACTACTGCTCTACTGGTAAGGGGGGAGGGGGGAATCATGGGGGAGAACAGAACGATCGGTCCACCAGGCGAGTCATGGACCAATCCCATCCCATCCCTGGTGCCTCTCTCTGCTCGTCGAGTCTCGTCACTCCTTTTGTTGGAGTGGTGGTGATGTCTTGGCGGTGGAGCCTTGTTGACCGTTACACAACCTCCACGATGGCATTGTAGGTTCCAGTCCCGGTCCGCCGGCGGATGCTGCAGATACCATGGATTCGATTCCCAACTCGGGTGTTGTGCACACAAGTTACTACTAGTAAGTAGTTAACTAGCCTATCATCTCAAGCTAAATACATACAGAGTGCTTAGATACCTACTACCGACCGTTCACAACTCCACGGCCCACGCCCACACAGTATCATCCTGGTCACGACCCAAGATACGGGGTAAAAACTCCGTACGTCAGTTATTATTGCTGTCGCCAAGCAGGCAGACAGGGCAAGGCAAAATCAATATTAATCCGGAATAATTAATAATAATGAGCTGATGCGCGAAATTGATTAGCCCACATCTGTTGTCTGACCGTCCGGATAATCAATCATTGATTTGCCTTAATTTGTATAGATTGCAGGCAATCTCGACGGCCGTCACGTCCTGACAGCTGAAACAACCCACTGACTTAACCTCAAGCCCTCCATCTAGAGTACGTATGTGTGTGTTTGTGTGTGTGTGTGTGTGTGTAAAACTAAGTATGGAGCTTGTCAGCTTTATTTTTAAAAAAAAACGGTTGACTGTTAGCAACCTTAGTTGGCTAGTCTAGCTCATTCTGTTCGCCTGTTCGTCCTCCTATCGACCGATTGAGCTAACCGCTCTAACTAGATAAGTATCAGGTCGCATGCCCAACAAAAAAAAAGGTGATGGCGGGTGTTTCGGGGCGGTAGTGAGAGAGAGAGAGAGGGGGGGGGGGGGGGCGCCTTAATATAAATTGTGGGGATTCGTTTCCCACAACCCTCCCCTGGGTCTTCCCGGGCTCGATTTCTGTGTGGGTGAAAGAGGGATGGATCATGGAGCGTTGAGGCGCGATTTCCCTTCCTCCCTCCCGGTTTGATCGTCGGCGATGCAGATTCATGCATGGACTGGGGCTTTGCTTGTTCCAGATAGATTATCAGCTCTTTGCCCCAGCCCATTGTTTCCAACGTCGCCACACCACCACCTCGATCGCCCTCCCTATTCTAGGTAATGTAGTTCTCGCTTGCACCGGGGCAGAGCTGAGCTGAATATGATCCCTCCATCATTCCCCCCTCCCCCCTGGCCATTCGTCTTAATGGTATTGCTATTACTTCTATCAACGCCCAACCGCCGAGGTCATCCGAATAAATACCGGGGCTGTGAGGGCCGAGGAGGAGGGGGGGGGGGGGGAAGGAAAGAGGGAAGAGGGGGCGTTGAAAAGACAGGTATGAATGAAACCCTAGTGATTTCCTCATTGGGAAAACGCTCAACCACCAGCTAACTACTCTGCCTACCTTAAGCCCAACGTTCAGTATTAGATAGATAGGCAGATAAATAGATAGTATTACTCTAAAT